CCTACTGTCGTTCGTGGCGTATCCGAGGGATTGGCGTCCACGACAGACATTCAGTTGCGATGTCATCCAACACCGCCACGACATCCAGCCAGATCGCTGGTCTGTTGTTGAGGATTCGTTCGCGTTTGGCTCGCCATTTGCTCAGTTTTTCCTGGTCGATGGTGGCTGGTCTTGCGGGCACTCGAGCCAGCTTGGGGAGTGCGTCGATTGCAAGGTCGATGTACGTGATGCCTTCGGGGATCCTCGCAGGGTGTACATACTGCTCGAGGCGGTTCTTGGCTCGGACACATTCCGACGCATGTTTCCTGTTCACGGGGACTTTGGGACCATTGGGTCCGGGCTTTCTGCACGCTCCGTCAGGTTTGGGAGGGAAGCCTCCGGCCCGCCAGAGGAACATTCTTCGGGCTTGAGCGACTGATATCGCTGGTATCCTTGCGGTCAGGATAGGGTCTCCATCCCATTTGTAGGTGCCTGCGATCGACATCACCTTGCTTGGGTTTCTTTCCTTTTCGTATAAGCGCATAATCATGGCCTTCTTGATGGGAACGCCTGTCCCTGTCCCCTTCTCGAATAGGGCCGGTCTTGAATGCTCTGGGGAGGTTCTGTGCTGCTGTTCCAGCTCTTTTCAGGTGGCGTTTCCGGTCAGCTTGGAGAGGATCCTTTTGTTTGCATCCCTTGCTGGGAGCTCCGCAATGTGTCTGAGCACCTGCGACGTGAGGAAGCCTGGGTCGCCCCTGCGATCGTACCAGCGGCCGAAGCATTTGATCGTCAGTACTTGTTTCCGAGTTGACATGGAGTATATCCCCGTGACCGCCTGTATCGCCGGCCCGGATATGTTGTGGCGGATGTTGAGGGCGGATCGAAGTGTCTCCATCATGCATCGTTGCAGATCGTTCATCGTGGGTCCGCTCAGATTGATGATGGCAAGGCCGTATTCCAGACGCGGTCGGACAAAGGTCTTGTATATCTTGACTATCAGTCCGGGGTAGATGGATTTGCTGAATATCCCGTGCTTTCTGAGCTCCTTGGTTTGAAGCTGGGCCTTGTGTTTGAGCTTGCTTGCATGGGCTTCCACGTCAATGCCTTCGGGGCCGAATTGCACCCCAAGGTATTTGAAGGTGGAGCGGACAAACTCGAGCGGTGTGTTGTTGAGGATGACAGGTGCCGGGTTGGCCTCTGCCGTTGTGACTTCGCATTTGGCTGGTGCGAACATGTAATGATGTTCCGCCGCATGCGCTTCGGATATCCTGATGAGGCTCTGCAGGTCTGCGTGATCTTTTGCAATCAACGCCATATCATCGGCGTACATGACGTTGTTGATGATAAGATCTCCTATTCGTGGCGAGGCGATCGCCCGGAGACGTTGTGAGAGGTCGTCCATGAAGAGGCTGTAAAGGGTGGGAGAGAGGACCGATCCTTGCAGCAGTCCAGTCTCAAGCCAGTATGGCTTGGAGCTGGTGCCGCTCACCAGGACGGTGGTGCTCACGTCGTCAAAGAGAGCACGGAGGATGCGGACCGTGTGCGCGGGGACGTTCCGGTTCTCGAGCTTGGGCCAAAGCAGCTGACGATCGACCGAGTCGTAAGCGGCCTTGATGTCCATAAAGGCAATCCACGGAGTGTTTCCGTCGTTCATCATCATTTTAACAATGGTGTCGAGTGCAAAGACCTGGTCCAGGGTCCCTCTGTTGTTGCGGAAGCCTCCTTGGGAGATGTCGATGGCGCCCATCTCCTGCTGCAGTCGGCTGTGAATGATTCGTTCAAAGACCTTTCGGACGACCTGCAGAAGCGATATTGGCCTGTAGGTCTTGATGTCGGCTTCTTCGCCCTTCTTCTTCCAGATCGGGTGGTTGGTGGCGACATTCCACTCTCGAGGAACGACGCCGGTCCATAGGCACCAGCTGAAAAGCTGACACAGCCATTCGGAGACGTGATCTGTGACCGGGTGCAGGAGCTCGGCGCTGATCCCGTCCGAGCCGGGTGCCTTGCGCTTGCCCGTGTGCTTTATGGCAGACCGTACTTCATTTGCGGTGATTTCGTGGGCACTGGTTCGGCTGAGCAACACCTCTCGTGGTAACGGGGTGTTGTTTTTCTCTTGGACACCGTGGCGACTGGAGACATTACCAAAGTGCGTTCGGTATCGCTCCATGCTCTCCTGATCGTTTGGGAGGATCGACTGGTTGAAATAGCCACTCCTGATCTTGTTCCTCTTGCTGATTTCTTTGAGCAGATCGGTGTCTGATTTGGTCGAGAGGGACTGCGCCCAGGAGTTGTAAAAGTCTTGCTTTTGTATCCGGATCCGTTGTTTCAGGACGCTGTTCCAGTGCCTGTAGTCGGCCATGGCCCGCAGCTGCAGCCTTGAGGCTTGCGGCAGCTGGTTGATCAGTCGATATGCCGCGTTCCGTCTTCTCTTGGCATCCGCCATTTCCGGGGTCCAGAAGCCGTTTTGTGGGACCGGGCCGTTTTTCTTGCGTTTGCAATCACGATGCTGGCAACCGTTGTGATGTGGTTTTGGATGATATTCCACCCTGACTCGACGAGGGCCACGGCTGCTTCGTACGCCATTGGTCCATCTTCTTGCGGCAGCCGGTTTCCCAGCCGAGTGATCTGCTCGACGACTGTCGGGTGGTGTTCTTGTATGGCCTCCGTGTACTGCTCGAGCACTTCCGGGTCCTCGAGCTTTTTTGTCCGCCACACGAGGATTGGTGGCCGTTTGGGCTGCTTCGCAACATCCCACTCGAGCTCCATTGCAACCACACGGTGGTCGGAGTTGCACGTATCGTTGAAGTGGACCAATGCCGACTTGATCTGGTTGATAAGGGCCGTGGACGCAAAGAACAAGTCGAGGACCGAGTTTTGCGTGTTTCGTCCCCTTGCGACGTGGGTCCAGTGTTGGCCATAGGGATTGGATGAGTCGACAAACTTCAAATGGCCTTCGTTGATGGCGCTCAAGAGTGGTCTGAGTCGGCCGTTGTATATTTCTGTATCCCTGGTCATTCTTCCCATGTGGGTGTTGAAGTCGCCCACGATCACCAAAGGGATGGGGGCGTCCGTCTTGGTGGTGTTGTTTTTGATCACCGAGACTGCTTCTCTGAACTTTCGCAGTTCAGTGGCGTTGGCCGAGAGTGCAGGTCTGAGGTAGAAGGAGCCAAAGACAATGCCTCTGAAACTGAACCAGATGCTCGTGTGATGAGGTCCAACGCGGAAGTTGCTAAAGTCTTCGAGGTTGGTGGTTTTCGGGTTCCGAATGAGGGCGATTCCGCCTTTGCCTCTTGCGAGGCCGTCGACAGAGACATACGGCTCTCGGGTTTCGAAAACTATGAGGTTCTTGTAAGGTCTGATGGATTGCTGTGGTTTGAGCCACGTTTCTTGCACCGTTATAAAATCGAGGTCTTTGGTTTTAACAATGTCCATAACCTCCTGAATGGAGGTTTCAAGTCCGCAGACATTCAGAGTCGCGAACCTAATAGTAGGCGTAGGTTGGGGCTGCATCATTTGCGCAGGGGGGTGTTCCCTTCGCGTCCGCCTTTTTCTTGGCGGCCTGACTTGTTATGGGCAAGCCCTCTTGCCTTGGCGGTGATCTGCTCAGCGATGGCTGGATCGTCAATCTTCCGCTGGTACAAGGTCGCCGTGAGGAGGTCGTTGGATTCCGCACAGATCCTGGCGGCGCGTTCGACAAAGCTCTTGATTTGGAGCTTCTTGGACTCCTTCTCGGCCTCGGTGAAGTTTGCTACGTCCATGTGTGCGACTTCAGAGAACTTCATGTCCGTAATGTGCTTTAGGAATTCGTCCCTAATGCTCTTGTCCCTGAGAACGAACTCACAGACGCTGTTGTTCACAAAGCTGATATTGCAGAATCTGGTTGGTGGCGAATCCCTTCTCCTTGAAGGCTTGTCTGATCGGTGCGGTAACTTCCTCGAGGAATGCCTTTGACATAGACCCAGGCGGCGCTGTCCATTCGGTCTTTCATGGGCCCTTCCTCGACAGGGACCGCAGCTCTGATCATTCGGAACGGAGTGGCGGTCTTGGGCACCAGCCACTTGCCGTCGGTGGAGTCACGGCCACGGAGGATGGCGCCGATCGCCTCGTTCTTCTTGGCTGCATCGGTCTGCTGATGGACCTTTTCGAGGGCCGCCAGCTTGCGCGCATCAATGGTCTTGTTGTCGGGCTGCTTCTTGGCACCCCGCTGGGCAGCTGCCGCATAGGACATGGGGGCTGGGCGTTCCAGGATGGCCCGGGATGCATGGTCCCAGGCCTGGTCGATATTGGTGTGGGTAGGAGTGGAGCAGGCAAAAGGGAGAGAGATGGAGGGAGGACCAGATGGTGTCTTGGATCGCTGCCTCGGGCGACTTTGTTCGTTGGTCAACAGGCATCTTGGTAGGTTTCTGTTGTTCTGGGCTTTGCCGACCATCGCTGGCAGTGGGCCCAGTCGGCAGGGTGCAGCTTATTCTCTGGTGTGCTCTCTCCCTGATGATCCCGCGGATATCGAGATCAGGCTGGAGCTTCAATGTCGCCGAGATATCTAACTTCATGCCTCCAGGTAGCTCCTTGCTGGACAGACACACACAGATATCTCGCTTAAAGTTGCTTCGTCAGCCTGAATCATCCATGGTGACCCCAGGGTGTTGGTTGTCTCCCCAGCGCCCCCGACGAACAAACCGTACAGCACCGGGTGTTTCGATTGTGAGGGGAGGCGTCCTTGTGTCGTGAGGCAAGGGTTGACAGTCCGCCCCATGGGCTCTTTGAGCGACAACGGTGGATGAGGCCTGTCCCCTTTCCCCTCGCCGTCCTCTTCCCCTCGCCTCTTCAAATTCAAGACTCGACCCTTTCCCCCATTCCATCCTCCCCTTCCCTCGCTGATATGCTTGGAGCGTTCTCCTGCTGCCTCGGAGGGCTTGGAGCTTCATCGCGTGACCAAGTTGAGTCGCAATCCCCTATCTCCCATCCACCTGTCTCGGCAATCTCCCCGCCCGGAACTTGCCCAGCCAAAGTTCACCGCTTCGATGGATCCTCTTGGTCCTTGGCTCCACCCCATCGAGTTCCTCGTCAACACTGCTCGCGACGAGCCCAATGCTCTTCTCATCAACACATATGAGAGCTGGCGTGTCCGGTTCGACTACAGCTACCTCGATGTGTGGAAGCGAGCGTGCTCGATTGCACAGGGGCTCAAGACCCTCCCTGACTGGAATCAAGTGGACCCCGAAGTCATCGGGATCTACTGCGAGGCCGAGGCCAACTGGGTGTTCTGTTCGCTTGCAGTGTGGATCCTCGGAAAGTGAGCGCTGTGTCTGTTGTTCTCCAGCGTCATGACCTGCTTGTGTTCTTGGTTCGGTCAATCGAGCATTGTTCGTTGTTAGGCTGTATCCCCTGCGATCCATCGTCTGTCAGCTGCGATACTGATACAACCCTAACTCACCCCTCGCATCGTTCAGGAAGACGCTTTGCTTTGGTTTGAATCTCCCTCCGGCTGCTCGCAAAGCCCTCTGCGAGAGGTAGGTTACCACCAACCCGGCCCCAATCGCAAACGGAATGCCGCTCCAATATCACAACCAGCGCTAATTCTGTCCGTACAGACATTCAATCAAATACATCCTGCACCACCACACCAAGCCTGGACGCACAGAGGGTGCGATCCTAATCGATGCTGCCACGTTCCCAGTCCTCAGCGACGCTCCAGCCCCTTCCCTCGAGAGCTGCGTCCAGCTTGATGAGTTTGTGACCTATGCGTGCACGTCCGGAACCACAGGTACGATGGCCGCTCTTGAAAGCGCAACGTACCCGTGAGGTTGGGGATCAGGAAGAATGGATAGACCGTTTGAGTTGTGGTTGGTGCTCGTCATCATGGCTGCAAATCGAGGATCCAGGTTTGACTTGATCCTGATACTCTGTTTCGCTTGCAGGAGTTCCAAAGTCGTAAGTACTGCCACCGTTGCCACGAACCTGGTTGGGATGCACAAAGTCCATGCCCATGTATCATTCGCTCTCGGTGTCTGACTCTGCTCTCGGTGTCTGACTCTGCTCTCGGTGTCTGACTCTGCTCTCGGTGTCTGACTCTGCTCTCGGTGTCTGACTCTGCTCTCGATCCAGCTTCAAATATTCCCACAAGGCCGTCACCGTCGTGCGAGCCGCTCTTGGTATCGCTTACATCGAGACCGGGCTTTGTCAGGTGCGATACCCCTGGCACGATGCGGAACACAGCACAACTCGCCACGATATACTAATTCACGCCCATACCCCAGCTACCATCGTTTGTCGCTACCTTGGCCACCTTTCTCGCAACCTTGAGTTTGAAGGGCTCGGTTTGGATTCCAGAGCCCACACCCAATACCGTAGACAAGGCCAAGAGCATCATCAAGATGCTGGACGACGGGTTGAAGAATATCTACTTGGTAAGTGGACAACTGGAAGGGCCAAGCCACCGCTCGACAGCAACTAATGGCGGCTTTGTGATGATCAGACTCCCTCTTTCATGAAAACAGTCATCGGGGTCGCACTTTCTGTGACTTCGGACGCCAGGTGGGAGGAGGCAAAGAAGATCGGACTTGGCTCCGAGCTCATCCCGCCCAGCGTGCTCAAGATGACTCGGCGTGCATTCCCAAATGCCGAGATCGTGTCGAGTTATGGATCTAGCGAGGTACTGTGGCTTCGGTGCGCTAATCGCGATGCGCGATGCCACAGACACTGACGTGCTGATTGCCTCCCAGACCGGTATCCTCCAGGCATTTTGCTACACCTCACTCCAGCCACACGACGAGGTTCCAGAGAAACTCATCTACAAGCTGCCGCATCCCCAAGTCCGATGCCTCCTCTTTGACGAGGAGGGCAACGCCGTCGACCCAGGCGTCTCAAAGAGTGGTATCCTTGTCTTTGCCGTCCACAAGGACCACCCTGTCAAGAACCACTTCAACTTTGTCACGGCCAACACCAATGACAAGATCGCTTCGTTTGGTTTCCTCGACGATGGCTCGCCTCGTGTCTGCACCATGGACTGGGTCGAGATGGTGAGCGAGAAGACCTTCACTGTCGTCGGAAGGTGAGGTCGACGGCGTTCTGCAGGCTTGATCCCAGAGTAAACGTCGCCTCGTCTCTCGAGTCCCCATCACTCACTCCGCACCCTTCGTGCCAACCAGATTCGATCAAAAGATCAAGGTCAACGGCGTCTACGTCGACCTCAACGCCATCGAGGAGCTTGTCTACGAACACCTCGGAAAGCAGTTCAAAGACTGTGTCTTCATCCAAACCTCCGAGAAGAAGGTCGTGATGCTCTACGTCCGCCAGAAGGATGCGCCCCTCCAACAGTCATCCGCATTGGTGATCCAATGGGTTGAGGACCTCCTCACCGTCAAAAACATGTCCAAGTTCCCGATCCACAACTGCTTTGAAGTTCAAGAGTTCCCCTTCAACGACTCGGGCAAGCGCGACCTCAAGAAGCTCAAGCACATCGCAGAGAATGTCGATCAGTACAGCCATGCCGTCGAGTACCCCTTGGTCCCTCGCGACGACTCTATCCAGTCACGAATCGCCCTCAAAATCTCGCAGCTCGGCAGCGAGATTCTCGACAATCCTGCTCTCGACGGCCGGGACTACTACATAGCTGGTGTCGGATTCGACTCGCTGAGCGTCACCCGTCTGGCCTTGGCGATAAAGGATGAAATCCATGTTGAGATTTCGCCCATGATTCTGTTCTCTAATGGCATGACCCCCAGCGACATCTCGCACATCGCCTTAGACATCATCCACAACAAGCCGTTCCTGCCCCCGACCGTCGACCTGGCTCAGGAGGCCGCCAAGCTCGATGATGCGAGCGTGACAGCCGATGGTCTGGATCCATTCATTTTCCGAGAGCCCCGAGATGTCCGTGGAGTGGTCGTCACCGGCGCCACGGGGTTTCTCGGAACATTCCTAAAGTTCAACGTAGCCAACAGGTTCCCCAATGCCACGATCTACTGTGTCATCAGAGCCGACGATGAGCAGCACGCCCACCGCCGCAACTTTGAAAAGTCAAGCATGTTCGTGATTGCCTCCAGGAACAATGGCAACCCGTGGTACGATATCGAGGATCGATTTGTATCCATTTGTGGTGACCTGTCGCTGGATAAATGGGGGCTTACCGACGAGCGATGGAGCGACATTTGCGAAAAGTCAGATGTCATCATCCACTGCGGCGCAGAGGTTCATTGGATGTTCGACTACGAGCGACTCAAGGGCCCGAACGTCCTCGGCACGGCCACAGCGTTGCGACTTGCCACCACCCACCATTTGAAAGCACTGCACTACATCTCGACCATCGGCACGGTCCCGATGGCCAAGAATGCCGACGAACCACTCGTCGAGAAGATCCACTCCACATGGAACATCCCGGGCGGCTACGCACAGACCAAGTGGGTCGCCGAGCAGCTGATCAACAAGGCTCGATCGAGGGGAGTGCCTGCAACGATCATCCGACCAGCCATCATTGCTGGCGATAGCACATTCGGAGGTGAGCAGCGCACCAACCCAATGATGTCGGAACACTCCTTGCATTCTCAGTCTGTCTCACCCGCATCTGCATTTGCTCACACTCACTTTGACATCTGCAGTGTGCAACGCCGACGACTACCTCTGGCGATATGTCAAAACTTGCATCCATATCGGCATCGCTCCCGTGCACGGGTCGCCGATAACCATCGCCATGGATCCAGTCGATCGCGTGGCTGCAATCATTGCCGAGATTGCCGGCTCGGAGAAGGCTCTGTCCAAGTTTGTGTTCCATGTCAGCGATCCGGAGCACAGGTACATAGCGATGGATGAGCTGCAGGCTATGGCTGGGCGAAGGCATACGCCGAGAATGCCAACACATGAGTCGAATGGCAGAGGTCAGAGGCAGGGGCAGCACGCACATGTCGTCATGACACTGATACCATTCACCCGTCTCGTACCTCAGCGTCATCGGCGAAAAGCGGCTCTTTGACATGGTCAATGCATACGGCTGGCCGATCCTGTTCGAGTCTCGTGAGCAGTTCCGAAATCTCCTCAGCGCCGAGCCCCTGCTCAAGACCAGCGTGGTGTTCCCGCTCATGCACTTGATGATGAGCATGGCCATCAAGATCGACAACACAAACACCAAATCGATCTATCCTGCCGCGCCTCCCCCTGTCGAGCTCATCGTTGGCAAGTGTCTGCTCAACCTCCATCGCTGCCACTATTTCCCAGAGCCCAAGCACCCCGCCGTCGAGCTCGAGGATGAGTATCCCGAAGTGAGCATTTTCACTCGCACGGGTCGCACGGCCTGACCCACTTCCACGGCTCCAGCGGGATCCCTGTTGGCCGGTGCATCCGATAACGCCTCGCCTGACATTCAACTGCATGGATGCATGCTTCTCGAGAAGCACACACACAGCAGAGTCTGAATACATCCACTGCACGAGGCTCATCCACTGCACGCGACCAGTGTGCTCTGTATGCGCAGCATGGGCTCGTGCGCCAGGACCGCGATTTTTGCTGCATGGGGACTGGTCCACAGGGTTCCGGTGACCCGAAGAACAAGCTGCGTTGCCTTCCATCGGGCGCCATCGCGGCGGCTTCCTCGATCCCGCCCTGCCTGCGCTATTCCCTCGCTTCTCCTGCTTCCGTCGCTTCTCCTCTGCTCGATCTCATTCCTCTGGCCGGGCTCAACAACGGCGGCACCAACCCCAGGCATATTCCTTCGATTCCAATCCGCAAGTACAAACGCCATGATCAATCCAAGTATCCCTCCACAGGAGATGGGCCTGCATCCCTCCCTGGATTTTGTCGAGGCCGTCCAGCAGATCCCCGACTTTCCCGCCATTCGCACCACCGAGAACGACACGCCCGAAATCATGTCCTTCAAGCAGCTCTGGGACCTCTGCTGGGCCGTCGCCAAATACCTGAAGGACCAGCCCGGCTGGCACCAGTCCGGCGACAACGTCGGCATCTACGTCGACACCGATAGCAACTGGCCCGTCGCCGCGTACTCACTCTGGCTCCTTGGCAAGGTTCCAGTCACCTTTGGCCCGGGCTGGACCCGCTCCGTCCGCGAAACCGTCTGCGAGCGCCTCGGTATCAATTTTGTCCTCCACGGAGCCGTCCACCCTGGAGATATCACTGGGGTAGCCCTCGTCGACCTGCCCAGCGTCCGAGCGGCCATCTCGGTGGTCCCTGTCCCAGCCGATCGATCGCTCTGCCCCGAGCATATTCCCGAGGTCACCGCCGTTTGCCACACCTCCGGCTCGACGGGTGTCCCAAAGTCCGTTAATATCTCCACCACTCGCGCCCCGCGCCGCATGTCTTTGCTGAATGGCAACGAGCTCAAGTCCTGTGCCATAGTGGCCTCGCCCTCGTTCGGAACGAGCACCGCAATGGTTGTCGCCATGACGCGAAATCTCTCCACCATTTGGCTCTCCAAGCCAACTGCTGACAGCTCGACCCGAACGGCCCGCGTTGCCGAGATGCTCAGAAACGGCGCGGCTCTGACGTTGAGCTCGCCGTCATACCTCCGCCTCCTCCTATCGTACGCTCAAGCGCACGGAGAGGTCTGGTCCAGCGTCGAGACGTACTACATTGCCGGCGAGCTCATTACGCCTGCGCTCATCACAGCTGCCAAGAACGTCATGCCCAACGCCGAGTTTCGCTGCCTGTACTCCTCCACCGAGTGCGCCACGCTCGGTGCCTTCAATACCATGATCATCCCGTCCTCCGCACCGGCCCCAGAGTCGATTGTGTATCATGTCGACAATCCGCTCTGCAAGCTTGCGCTCCTCGACGAAGACGGCAACGAACTTCCGGCGGATGCCAAGAAGGGCATCCTGTGCTTTGCGGTCTCGCCGGATCATCGCTGCCGCAACACCGCCGAGTTCAAGGCAGTGACTGCCGACACTTCCAAGTTGGCGTCGTTCAACTTTCTGCAGGACGGCAGGCCGAGGGTCTGCACTTCCGACGTGGCGGAGATCATCGACGACCGTCATTTTACCGTCATCGGCAGAACCGGCCGCACGCTCAAGATCAACCTGTACTTTGCTGATCTCGATGTGCTTGAGGAGAAGATCTTACTGGGCATGAATGCGTTTTTCAAGGACAGCTTCGTGACCTCGACTTCAAGCACCCACATCGTCCTTCTGTATGCGCTCAAGCCCGAATATGTCGGGCAAATGACGGGCAAGCAAGTTCTCGACGAGACCTTCAAGGTGCTGGCTGCAAACGAATTTTCTAATGTCACTATCCACAACGTCATTGAGCTTCCCGAGATGCCTTACAACGATGCTGGCAAGAAGGACCGCAAGACTCTCAACAAAGTCGCTGCCCAAGCCGAGAGCGAGGGCCGGTTTGTGGAATATCCGTTGCTTGATATGGAGAGTGAGCCGGTTGCCTGGAAGGTTTCGATCGTCGCGGCTGAGCTTCTGGACGCACCCCGTCTCAGTGGCCGCGATTTTTACTTTGCCAGCTGCGGCTTCAATCTCGTTCAGGTGGACCAGCTTTCCGAGCACATCCAGTCTGAGTTTGGCGTGCATTTCCAGCCTGGCTTGCTCCTGTCGAACGGCATGTCGCCGAGACAGATTGCCGAGGCCGTTGCTGCCGAGAAACCGGCCGTTGCCAACGGGGATGGGCCCGCTTCTGCCGCCAATGTGACCAACTCGACCCTGACCGCTGCGACCAATGGCCCATCCGCCGACATTGAAGTCTCCGCCGCCTCCGCTCCTGTCAGCAAGGCCACGCACGTTGCATTTGCTCCTCGAACAGCGCCTGCTGGAAGGGGTGCCGACGGCATCAAGTGCACGATTCAATGATCGATCCGAGACTGGAAGCACTTGCCATCGGCGTATGGATACCGGGTCTAAGTTGATGATGTTCATGGCCGCACCATGACTTTGTTTGAAGCCATTTTCCAGCCTGTTTACTCCGGTTGTCTGTGTGATCCGGTTGCATGTATCGTCTCCGGCCCATTGCTCGAGCAGACCTCATTGGCAATAAAGCGCACCGCCACTCAGGGCTTTATCCTCTGGCACCGCTCCAGGGAAGCATCAATATTGCCCCGACAAAGACCCCACCACCGGCATAACCAAACGATGAAAAGTGTCTCCAGAATGCGACCGACGGTGGAGAGTAGATATAGAGGTATCCCGGGCACCCGTTCAGCCGGTTCCCGATGGTGTCGGTCAACACCGTGGCCACGGCGTTCATCAGGATGAGCCCAGCCCACTGCCAGGGCTCGGGTTTGAAAAACTCACACACATTGTGCTCGACATTGCACTCGAATGCCTGTTGCAGAGTCGCCTCGCAGTCAGCGAATGTGGTGGTTGTCGCTGTCGATCTCGGCCATGCTGCACTCACCGTATAGTATATTGAATAGTTGGTCACATTCATAAAGACCAGATGCATGATGCAGTAGTAATCCGAGACGATCTTGGTTCCCTGTCGAGAAGCGTGTGAGCTCTACCAGGCACGGCGATCCCGGTTTGGTGATGCTGCTGGAGTTTGGTCGTCTGGATACCCAGATAGTCAACGGCACCAGATCCTCATCGCCCACACCCTCCTCGCCATCCACACTACACCACGCCATACCATATACATGGCGCGCATGACAGACTCCTCGCCGATAGAGCGCGGGAGAAACCGTTTGAACGGGCGCATCAGGACCAGATTGACGTTTGTTCTTGCGAGCACTACATGACACAATCGACGACATGCGCTCTTAGTACTAGCATTCACTGCCTGTCGCCGGCGAGAGCCAGTGCCGCAATTTGCTCCGCTGCCGCGAGTGCCCGTTCATGGCCCCGAATCGCTGCGAGGGGCTTACCGTCGAGGATGACGGTCAGCGTCATGTTCATGACAAATGCGAACGGCGAGTCGTTCATCGAGGCAATCAGCAAAATGAACGACAGCCCCTGCACAGTGATGATTGCAAATCAATGTCAGTTCGCCATCGGCCGTTTACTCGCCATGCGGTAGCAGATAAACCACTGCAGAGGACAACCTACACCACCTGTGTTTGGGCAGCCATGAAGGCATACAGAACGGCAATGTTGTGTGGCTTCCAAAAGTACCGATGGTCGAGGACGACATGCTTGTGCTCTCGCAGCTGATCGACAGTCGGATCGCAGCCGTGCAAGAGCTGGAACTGCAGGCGCGGATCGGTCACTTTGCTGAGATGGGCATCGAGAGCCTCCCAAGTCTTTTCGTAGGCAACAAAGATGATGGCCTCACACAGGGCCACAATCACAGGAGCACCGATGAGGCCAAGCGACGCCAGAGTGTCGGAATCAGAGCTGTGCGCATAGCTCATAAAGTTGCCGTATCCGAGCCCATAGACCAGAACGATAATGATAAAACACATAAAGTATCCGGTAAAGAGCGGCTGGAGTATCATGAAGCCAGTGTAGAAGGGAACGCGATGCAGATAGACGTTCAAAACCAGGAGAAACTGCACGATGAACGAAAACAGAAACAGAGTAAAGAACGACTGGAGGAGGGATGTTCGAAAAGGAATCCACAGGGTCACAACGACGACAACGGCGATCGAGGGGATGGCGAATAGCAAAGGTGTTCCGAGCTTGTGGTAGACGGCCTTGAACGAGCTCAATGTGAAGGCGTTGCTGTGCGAGAGCCGGTGTCAGTGGATTCGGATGCAACTCGGTACCTTTGACGACTGTCACGATCATTGAAGCCATGGTGCCGAAGCCACGGACTCATCTATATATGACCTACCCCGTCAGGCCGATGTAAACGGGTATGAGGCTGAGGATGTAGATCATGCTCTCGCTGAGCGAACACGCTTGGTCCAGGGTGCACTTGGGTATGCCATTGCGAAAGAAGCTCGGGACCACGGCAAAGAGCGCAAAGAACATGAGAGCGGCCAGGAAGGGCAAAAGGCATCTCCAGATCTGTCGCAGATCCGATCGACGAAAGCGAATCTCGGTCAGGGTCTTCCAACGCGGACCAGATCCCATGTGGACTTGCTCTCCCTTGCCGGCCAGGTCCTGCAGCGAGTAGGCTGATTTGAGGTCGGCCAGCTGTTTGATGCCATCAAGGGTCATCGCGCTCGACGACGCCGACAGTTTGTGGTTGGTTTGTACAGGCGGCTTCATTCAGGGCAGTCGATGCTTTGGCAGGATGAATCGTCCACTGTAAGTTGGGTAGCAGCAGAAGCGATGCTGGTGAGCACGTTTCAGTTGAGCTGGAGCAGAGACGACTACAGGCCCACGCGGAGAGTGGATGGTGCAGAGTCCACCTCGAAGCTTGATGCTGCCGACGGGCTGCGGCCGGAAAACGACAGCGGCTATAAGCGCCCGATATCTGCGGGTCTTGCCATGGTCGACATATATGATGGTGTATCGTCACCAGTGCGCTGTCGCATTCGACGCAATCCTGACATCGCCCTGCCTGTGATTGTGTCGACACGTTTCCAGGGGTCTATAGTGGAGCCGGGTCCATATGGGTGCCGAGACAGAACTATCCATCGACTCGTGTGAAATCATCAGTGCACCCTGACAAAGGCGAGACCCCGCTTTGAGGGCCGGAACCTGCGTTTTGTGCTGCAACTCTATCTTTCCCCCAATCACGCCACAAACAGGATGTCGTCAGCATGCGTGGTTGCGTGAGGGGCTTCAGCCGCAATAGTCCTATTGATTTCGTCTGGTGCTTGGGACGTCGTGAGCTGAGCTAATGTCGCGATATCGCCGAATATTGCGTTTGGAGATGCAAATCGATCGACGACGGTACCCTTCGCTTCGTACGGACCGGAATCGGTGCACATGTCTCCATGTCTGAGAGACGCTTCGTCCTCGCAGCAACCACGTACATGGCAACGGCAGGGTGTGGTACTTGGAACGTGCGTGATACTTTGCTGCGTCGTGGGATCCAGTGGCGGCTCGCATGGCCCCAGCGACTCGATGGAGTGGCCGGCATAACTTGTGGCAATATGTGATGGAGGCGTTTCCGCGACATCTCGAATCCGAGAGGGATGCAGCGATTGGGAGGGCGTTGGTCGCAACATGCCCGGCTTCATCGAGGGGGGGGGCAACCATTCATTGTTGGCGAGCTTCGGGTTCATGATCGCTGCCGTGGGATCACAGTTCCGCTCATTTCCGCACGATGTGGATTTCTCCTGGCCTGGCGTGACGCGACGTTTCGCTCTGCGATGCACAGAGGGCAGCGTGACTCGCTCGGCGGGAATCAGCCACAAGAAGAAAAGCAAGGCGTCGCGCAACAGGGCACCAGCCAACCAAAACAGAAGCCAGGCCGGACCGATGTAAGCAGCCATGTTCCGGCGACGAAGATGTGCCGATGGGGCACGGCAGCCACGAACACGGCAGCCAAGGGCAAGCAGAGGGCATTGCGGACAGACGGCGCTCCGACCGCCACTGCAACACACCAGCCCGCGGTCGCTGCAATCCCTCGGCACTCAGAGAGCACGGCCAACTGGGCAGCCGAGCCAATGTTACATGCCGTTGCACAGTGTTGCACAGCCGCGAGCAGACGCGCACCGACGCGCGCGCAATATCCCTGCCGCGCGGCGCGCCCCTTCCTTGGGCCGTCCCCTCCGCCACCACCGCCGGCGGCCCTGACGTCCATTCCCGTCGTGGTGCCCTGAAAGCCGTCGTTGTCTTGTCTTGTCTTGTTCAGCCTGTGCTGGTCTTGTTTTGGTCTGGTTTGGTCTGGTTTGGTCTGGTCTGGACTGGTCTGGTTTTGTTTCATCTGTCGCAACTCCCGATCCATCCACTCCTGCTCCGAGTTTGCTGCACTTTTCCAGCGTCTTTCCCGTCTGTTCCAGCTCCGATCTGCTCGTCTCCTCCATCTCGCCTCCATCTGCCCACAGCCAGCACTCCTGCAAGCAGCCATGTCCTCGCAAGCCGATCAGTCGTCGGTTCCTCCCTCTGCCTCCGCAACTGAACCTCCTACGCAGCCGACCGCCGGTCCTCCTCCCCCTCCTCCTCCTCCTCCGCCGCCGCCTCCACCTCCATCCGAAACCACTTCGCAGCAGCCACAGCCTCCTGCTCCAACCGACTCGTCTGCCTCCACGACCGACCCTGCCAGCTCCTCGACAGACCAGTCCTCCGCAACCGGCAGTTTGCCTCTTCTGAGCTCGTCCATCACTGCCCTCACGCAGCAGACTGCCTCTGCAACATCGTCGCTGCCCGCCATTGCGGGAGCCTCGGCTGCGACATCGGCCCCTGCGCCCGCCCCTGCTGCAGCTTCCGGCCCGTTACCCATTCCTGTCATCATCGGTGCAGGCGTTGGCGGCCTTGCTGCTCTCATCCTGGCCATCGCCGGTGTGGTCTTCCTCATTCGCCGAAGACGGCAGTCCAAGCGCACCATCGACTATGAAATGAAAGTGTCCTCTCCTGGCGCCCCCGGCACCTCCACTTTCTACCAAAACCTGCAGGACAGCGACAGCCCCTTCGCTGCCGAGTCCTCGAAAATGCCGGGACCCGCCATCGGCCAGGACAGAGATGGCGGCTACGACCACACAAAGTCCATGATCATCGACAACTATGCGTCTTATGAGAACCCGAACGACTCGCCCAGGTGCGTTGTCTCGCTCGGCCAGAGACAATGCGTCCTCCCCCATCTCATACCACGTCACTTGCTTGCTCTTTGTCTGCAGAGTTGTTCTCGTTCGCCAATCTCACTGCTCTGCTTCTCTCCTTCGACACCAGCGCCCCGAACCCCATCGGCCCGACTGTCAACAGGGCTGGAAAGTCCACCGAGCGGTCCGGGCCCCAGGGCGGCAGCACGGACATGAAGACACGATTCCACCGTCCCATGAATGCCGCCGAGTCGGCTGCACCAGAGCTCTCTCCAGTCCGATCGCAGCAACAGCAACAGCAACAGCAACAGCAACAGCAACAGCAACAGCAACAGCAACAGCAACAGCAACAGCAACAGCAACAGCAACAGCAACAGCAACAGCAACAGCAACAGCAACAGCAGCAGCAACAGCAACAGCAACAGCAACAGCAACAGCAGCAGCAGTCCCAACGCACTGACCAGTCTTACACTGGCGCCTCTCTCACAGGCGGCATCCAGCACGAGAGCATGTATGCCCAACCCCAGGCCCAGGGCTCGTATCCCGGGCGCCTTGGGGTCGAGTCTCTGTACAGCCTCTACTCGGACCCGTTTGTGGGTTCAGAGCCTGCTGCCGGCTATGGCCAAGATCTGGCTCGCGACTCGTTTGCACCTCGGGGTACTCCAGCCCAGAACCAGCAGCAGCAATTCCAGCAACAGCAACAATTCCAGCAACAACAACAATTCCAGCAACAACAATTCCAGCAACAACAACAATTCCAGCAGCAGCAACAGTTGCATGAACAACATCAGTACGGTATTTCACCCACCGCACCAAACATGCCTGGCAGCGCTTTAGGTCGCAACCCTACCGCCAAGATTCTCCGGGCCGGACCTGCCCAGCCCGCCGCTGAAGCCCGAGACTCGTATAATCCGCTCCAGTACCGCAGCGGCCGCTCTACGGGCTCGCCTGCCCTCCAAGGCCTCGCCGACATGCAGCCCCGGACGCCAACGAGCCCCATTCGCCCTTCGCCGTCCCATGGCTCGCATGCCGATTCCGAGCATTTCGAAGCCTTTGGGGTTCCCAATCGACCACAGGCCCTCTTCCGACAGCAGAGCTCTGGCGGCGCTGCTGTCAACTCCCGTGTCAGAGACCATTTGCCAGAAACCTCGCAGGACGGACAGCGCGGCCAGAACATGTCTCCCTCGAGCCCGATGCGCACACGTTCGCGATCGGAGACGCTTTCGGAGGCAAGTGCCCCTGGCGTCGTAGCTGGAGACTACTCGCATGAAGCCTTGCCCTCGCCGGCATTGTTCGGACCGCGTGCGCCGCTGCAGAGCAGTGCCTCAACCTCGGTGTCGCCGCCTTCGCCCTATGTCGGCTCGGCGAGCTCCAAGGCCCGCAAGCAAGCAATCGGAAGCCCTCGTCCATCGCTGCGCCCAGCCCCGCCCCCGCCCCCAGCTCCGAGCATCAACCGCGAGCAGCAGCAGCTCCAGCAAGCCGTCGAGTCGCGCCAGCGAGCCCTGAGTCACCAATTCCCCTCCAGCATCCGCTCCGCTGATCAACAGCAATCCAGCGACCCTCCCAACATCTATGTGGCCCAGAATCGCAACCGCTTCCAAGCCGAGTGGGCCGACGATGATGCCTAATCCGATGAAGGGATCAAATGCCCCCGCCTTTCTCGGACTGCAAATCTGCGACCGGCCTCTGAATCTCATGACTCCTATGCCTGGCCACCTTAACTAGAGCGCCCAGAGCAAACTCCCTCCAGGCCTGTCTAGAGCAGGCACAGTCCAAGTGCCTTGTGTCCTTTGCCACTACAAGTTTCACTCTTCTTCGCTGTCCATCTTCCTGTTGTGCCTGCGTTCTATTTCCTTCCGCCTCGCTGCCTCGTTGTCCACGCTCTGTACGATCGTTCCGCTTTGCTATATCATGGGGCATTCGCAATCCTATGCAATCGCCCACGGCCTTGCCTCAATATAGCAAGATGTCAGTCCCATTCCGTTTACTCTCTCCGATCCCATGCTACATCTTCAGCGTTCATTGCCAGCATCCGCATTCTGCCAGCACAGGAACAGCGCAAGCATCGCTATTCATCAAACAGGGTGGCTTTCACCACGATCGACCACACGTGTTCATGAGAAGGACAGCGTCAGCCCATCGCCACTCAAATATGCACGGCTTCCTGAGCCTTTCGGGCGCCTCTTCCCACCTCCTTGAAAGAAAGTCGCATCACGACCAGCCCTCCATCTCGTCCATCTGGACCGATTGCCGCACGTCTATCCAAATGTGCTTTTGATCTTGCGCTTGAGGCTCTGGATCTCCTTCTCGACCGTGTCCAGCCGATTCTCGATCTCTTCGCGCTTCCGTCGCATCGCACCCGATCCGCCGGTTGGCGGGATTTTGCTGAGATCTTGGGTCAGCTGCAAGAATGAAATCGCGTTGCATCCTCGGTCAGTGTAAATCCTTTGCCGGAGGTAGATTCCTCAGCAACTCGATGAGCTCGCTCGTATTCCATTCGTCCTCCCGCAGTGCAATGCAGGCGAGCATGCGTACCTTTTGCTGTTGTGTGGTCATCGCCGTACAGGCCAGGTGGATCCAACCAGCACAGAGTCGGATTGTATCATCGCCATCATCGCCATCGTCATTAGTGGATGTGCTCCATGTGATTGCCCTTGTTCCTGCTACTGCCCTTGGAATAGCGGATCCAGGTGCCGCCGCCATCGACACAGACACCTCGAGCACAGCAAATGCTCCTTCCCATAATCGTCTCACCTTCTCGAGCACAAGCTCTTCATAGTGTCGCTGCATGTCTGCCTTGGACCGGGTGAGCTCGTCGGCATTGCCTGAGCCTGTCGAGTGTTGGCTCTCGTTTTGACCCGTCGCCACACCGTCAACCGAACCGACGGTATGATACTGCCCGTTGGTGGTGTATCCTCGCTGGCTTTTGTATCCTTCGCCGCTTGGGCCGCCGGCATGTCGCACCTGTGATTGATACACCGCCGGTGGCTCCACAGACGCCGACCACGCCGATCGCATCGCAGGCAGACCCGCATGGTCGTCCACCAGAAATCGACGTGCACTCAAAGACATGGGCTCGTACGGCTCCATTGTCTCCAGCTCGTATCGGCTCATCTTTTGATCAAAGGCGGCACGGTCGTTTTGCGATATCGCCACGCTGCTCCCAATCGAATTGGAGAAGGACGGAGCCGCTGCCGACGACGGGGCAAAGTCGCCTTGTCGCAAGCGGTCGGTGCTCAGCGAGGGTCGGTGCTTGCCGCTGAATCCGGACGAAGTCCCCGGGTCGGACGATATGCCTTCTTGGTCAAGTCTGCGCTTGTATTCTTCGCACAGTGCCTGCACATTTGAGACGGACCAGTCGAGATCGGGCGACGCGGGTGAACACCATGACGGCGGTGCGTGCTCTGCATCCAACTGCACCGGACTTACCTTGAGGCTCTCGTTGTCAAAGAGCAGCTGCTCCGCCCGCATGCGGTAATACCCATTCGTATCGGAGTTGTCTGTTGCCACCTCGTATTGGTAGCGCTACAAAGGAGAATGGGATGCGTTCTGCTGTGAGTCGGGGCAGCAACTCGCTTGATTCAGCCGTCAGCCTCATGCAAATCAATCGAGCGACAAGCAGTCATTCAACGGTCGAAGCTTGACCGCCAAGAGCAACTCCCGATTGAGCGCAAGTCGCAGCAAAGCTGCATCTTTGGTGCGGACACTTGCTGCCCCACATATCCACGGCATTGCTGCAGTATCAGTGGCCCTACCCTGAGCTCGACCCTCAGGTGCTCGTTTTCTTCCTTCAGCTGCTGGTTCGAGTCGCTCAGCAGTTTAAACTTGCGATTGAAGGCTGCAAAGTCCGATTCGTTCCGAGTTGTCTTGGACTTTTCTGCTTGCAGCAGAGAGAATAGTTCCAGGCGCTCCTGCTTTAGTTTTGTGATAGCCTCCATGAGTCGCTGGCAGTGCATGTTGGCATCTGGCGTTTCCGGGCAATAGATGTTTAGTGCGTGTGAGTGCGTGTGAGTGAGCGAGGTGGGCATCGACAGCACTTCCCGGAGGTACACTTGATATCCGCTACCAGCGGCAGTCGCTTACGCCAGTACCCGTGCTATCCAAGATTCTGACGATTGCACCGCTCGTCCCCAAGCAAGTGCAGCAAACCACAATGGATCTCGGTAGGCATGCCCGAGACCAAGGAACTAACCTTGCTCGCGGAACTGAGCTTCGGATAGCTGGCCCTTAAAGTCCTCGATCTCTTGCTGGGAAAGCTGATAGAGCGTCTCCAGGTTGCTCAGCTGCATAGGGATCGAGGCAGCCATGTTAGCACCGACTGCGGCAGAAGCACCTTGCCACCAGTCAAGGACGGGGCCGCTGTGGCAGAATGGAGTCGCTCCACCCCGCCTGTCGCCACCACATTCCCCTGGCCGTCATCCACATCGTCACTCTTCCACCACGACGCAGGAGATCCGATAGAATCGCTTGCCAAACAACGCCCCTGTGCGTCCGTCGATACTTTTGGTGCGATCGCTTACATCTTTTCGCAGTGTTCCGATTGTCGTTCGGTGCGCTTCGTCAATCTCAATCTTCACGATCTCAATGTGCTGGGCCACTCGTTCGTCCACGTCCATGCGCGAGCGGTCATGCAGCATGCCAATCTCGCTGGAGAGGCCCGCCTGGACGCTCTGGGCTTCTTCCAGCCGGCGATTCAGCTGCTCGATGGTATCGTGGCTCCGCTCGAGCTTATTCCTCAGCTCATCTGCCTCGCGCACGGCGTAGTCGGCCTTGTCGGAGGCAGCCTCGTATGATCCTCGCGCAGCAGCCAGGTCAGAGCTTAGCTGAAGGACCTTGCCCTCGAGCTCCAGGATGGTTGAGCGGAGCTGCTCGACTGCTTCGGGGTCGTCTGAAGGCACCAGAGGCGGCGACAGCGCAGCTACCGGGGGCGGCTGGCTCAAATCGGTCTCGCGAGACAGGATCGACTGTTGAGAATGCCCATGCTCCAGCTCCATGACATCCATGGAGCGGTCTCGGTGTGTCGGCATCGACGCAGGCGGCGACGGGATGGACTGATCCAGAGGCCGGAGTGGACCCGAGTTGGACACCTTGCTGCGGACCGAGCGCTGTGTCGGCGGGGGAGGTGCATCGACGCCAGAGACAGAGCTTGCAGCGACACTGGCTGCATCGTGTGCCTTGTGCTGATACAAATGTCCGTACGGTGGCTCGAACGAGTGTGAGCTCGATGACGGGTTTAAGGGTGCTGGGTCTGTGCCAGCGAGCGTCACCGAGACAGCGCTGGGGCTCTGAGCAATCGTGGGTGCTTGCGTTTTCGGCCGGCTGAGCGACGTGCGAGTTCCAAAGAGCGAAAAGGGCTTGTGGTCTGATGGAGCCGGGTCGGGGCCCTGGTTGCTGGGCTGGGAAAGATGGGCTTCGGGCTTGAGATGCAGAGAGAGACGTTTCCGGCCCGTGCTCTGACGGCGGTTGAGGGCTTCGCCTGCCGAGCGAAGAGGCTCGCGGGACCGAACGAGATCGTCTTGCCGAGGAGCATTCTGCGCCGATGCAGATGCAGCATCAGCAGACGTCTCTGCAAGATCCACGCTGGGTCGCTGGAGCGGCAGCCTCGAGCCCAACGGTGGGTTGTGGGAGCGGGGAGACTCGCGAGCGGCCTCGCTCTCGGCCGAAGATGCCTTTGGAGACGCAGACTTGTTTGTCCGGGCCGAGTTGAGCACCCGGGCAAATGTCTTGGAGAGCTTGCTGATCTTGGGGTTTGGAGTTACTGGTGCCGGTGCTGGTGCCGGTGCTGGCTCAGGCATTGGTGCTGGTTTCTTCTCGGGCGAAAAGACGGAGCGCTTTGGGATGATGGGCGATGACTCGGAGGAGCTGGCGGGCACATCGCCGGGGATCGATGAGAGGATGGTCATGTTGCTGGAGGACTTGAGACATGACGGAGCCGACTCGGGCGACAGCGACACATGGCTGCGAGCCGAGTTGCAGGGACGGCAGAACGCAGATCCAGAGAAGGTGCATGGCGGTGAGCTCTGTGCGGGGGGCAAGCGACAGGAGAGAGACCGCCGATGTGACAGCAGAGGATCGACAAGTGGCCTCCCAAAGCGATCCCGAGGCCGACGCTGATGTCTCCATGGGTCGAGGCCACCGAGCAAAAGAACCTACCTCCGTGGAAGGTCGTCGTCGTCGTCGCTGCTCAAGCGAGCCTCGCCAAACCTCCGTGTCAGCGCTTGGATGCCCCGATCTGGTCGTGGTGTTGGAAGAGACAGCATGGCAGCCGGAAGCCGGCAAAGGACGGATGGATCGGAACCAGTGTCGACATTGCAGAGACGATGCACATATCAGAAGGACGGAGCCGACCCATTGCCGAAACAAGACCCACAATGAAGATGCACCCACAGAGACCCCCCAGCATCCGGGGAATGAAAGGTGCACTCGCCATGCGTCGGTGGCGGCAGCAGCAACGGTAGCAATTTGAGGCATCGATATGCGGGTGGATGTGGCAGCCGGCCAGGTGGCCGATGCCCAGAGCGGCAGTGCCCGTACCAGGGTCCAGGCCTTCGTCGTCGTCGTCGTCGCTGAAGAGCTTTGGATGGTCTCGAGAGTGGTCCTCCGACTTGCGGTGGGCCGAGAGGAAGACCAGCGGCGAGGCCTTGGCAGTCCTGAGGAACGAGGCCGAGGTCTTTGACTTGAGCACCGGCGGGTTCGGCTTCTGGCCCCGCTGCTGCATCGGCTGCATCTGCTGCTGCGAAGCTGCAGGATGCGAGTGGCTGTGGACTGATGCCGATGACTTTTTCTTTCGCAGCATCACTGGGGGGGGGAGGCGAGGAGTCGAGACAGAGGGACCGGCAAAGGGTAGTGTCGGTGGGTTGAAGAGGACGAAGGTGCCGGGAGAGCCAACGGGCAAAGGACTCGCCGTTGCGGGACAGGCGACGAGCGGGGATCAGACAGGCGATCCCAGCCTTTGAATGGGGGCCGGCGCGCAACCGAGGTGCTGGACGGACGGCCGCGGGGCGGACGAGGGACCCGCCGCTGGAGGCCGAAGGGGCCGGATGGGATTGGACCGGGCAGCGGCCTGGACGATTGGGGCGGCAGAGCTGGACAGCAATGCTTGGGCGACCATGGGCGGATTAGAACAGGTGGGTGGATCATCATGAGTGGATTAGAATAGTCGTAAGTTGATTGATATGCTCGGACTCATCATATTCGGATTGTCGTTACGAGCTGGATTAAAGAGCTGCGACAGTCCAAAGAACACATCGCCCGAGCAACGACATCGGTGCATTCATCGCCCCGTTCGTCCCCCTTGCCCGACTGCCCGCATCGCTGCACTGCGATGCATCCGTCGGAATGCCCACTCCCATGCTTGCGATGTCGTCGATTCATGTTCGGCCACGAGTCCACAGCCGTCTCGCTCGCGCCGAGACCGCCTCTCGCCGCCTCTCGCCGCTTCTCGTCCTCGCGCTGTCGCCATCCGCTTTCTGCGCCCAAAAATCGCAGGCCCTTTTTCTGCACCCTCCCTGGCCTTCTGTCCATCTACTCGCTCGCCGCCCCGCCTGCAGACATCCCCGGCGAGAGCAGCCCGCTCGCGATCTTGTTCTGCCCTTTCTCGCTGCCACATCATGGCCTCAAAGGCGAGTGCCCTGGCCCGAATGGTCTGGGGGCGACCGCTGCTCCATGCGCCCCGTCCTCCCGCCTTCCCTCGCGCTGTTCCTCCAGCCTTTCCTCAGCCTCGCCTGCTCCTGAGAGCCTTGGCGACCTCTGCCGCCGAACCCCTGGCTCCTGAACCGGCTGCCGAAACCACTACAAAGAGGGAGGAGCTCAAGGTCCTCGACATCGAGACCCTGGCGCACTCGTCCGTCCCTCCCACGGTCCCCGAGAGCCCAGACGCCCCCACCACGGTCTCGGGCCGGGTGTGGTTCGAGAACGTCTTTCCCATCAAGGTCTCGATCTGGGACCCCCGATACTTCTTTGTCCAGCAGTACGCCAACGACCTCCGTCTCCGCGCCAAGGCCCAGCTGCTGCCCCCCTTGGACCAGTTCCCTCATGAGTTCATCTACAAAAAGACCATTCCCAACGTCAAGGAGGGCGGCTTGTATCTGCTGTTTGACTACAAGGGTCAAGGCGCAAAGGTCGAAGATGCCTACGAGGTCATCAAGGCGCACGCAAGCAAGGTCGGCTACCGCACCTGGTACAACTGGACTCCCGTCAAATCTTTCCGTGTCAAGGTATGGCCTTCTTAGCCACATCGACTGGATCGTCCGTGGCGACTGGAGGGGGCATCGAGCAGCGATCTCTGGATCCATGTCGCCGCTGCATGACCCTGTCAGCCCCAGTACAGAGCATTCTCAGTCTCATCCAATCGCTGCCTTGTCCATTCTGACACTCCGTTATTGCCTGACAACGCAGGGTGAGCCCTTTATGGAGGATATGGTCGGACACCTGCCCACCAGCACCTTGAAAGTCGAATTCCTCGGAAACAATCTCACCGCGGTAATATCCTGAACAATTATATTCTGCCCCCCCTCCCTCTCTCTCTGCACTTCGGACTGCGGCGAACAATGAGAAGAGCCCAGTATTGGCACACAAATCTGACTCTCGTCCACCCGCTCCGCTCCTCTGTCATCCGGCTCGCGGCCACAGGAAACCCTTTACCGCGAGTTCAGACCGTACGGAAAAATCAACTCGATCGAGCTCCAGCCCTCGACGGACAAGGAGCTTCCTCGATATGCCCTGGTCAACTTTGCACGAACCCGCTCGGCCACCAGCGCTCGCAACTGCATCCATGGAGAAGTCATCGATGGCACTCGTCTGCAGATTAACTACGAAACGGTACGTCTGACGACCGAGGGTCTTGCCAAGGGTCCTTGCTGATAGCCGCGAATCGCAATCGTCAATGACGATGCGATCACCTGTGGCACTCCTTCAACCAGTGGCCGTCAATGGCATATCGCCGACCTCGCGAGAACTGACCACTGTGTGCTGTATCGTGTCCCCTTCAGCCTCGAAGTCGTCGTGCCTTTTGGAGCTGGCTGACTGGCAACTATCGTGTCTCGGTATGTGTCGCTGGAACTCCCATCAAGCACACTGCGGCTGTAGAATAGATCCCACGCGTAGCAGGCGCACTGTGGATCACTCGAAAACATGCCATGCCATGCCATGCCGCGACTGCCCGGCCAAGGCCAAGGCCGATTCGGCGATACTTACCCCACTGCACTTTTGCCCAGATTCCCGTCATTCTCGCCAGTGTCATTGCTCTCTCCTACCTGATTTTCGACCCCATCCGGATCTTCTGCATCACCAACAAGCTCACCAACCGCTTCAACATTCAAGGCTATCTCATCGAGGTTGCTGAGTGGTGGAAGGTCACCGGCAGCGCGCTGCTCTCGAAGCTGACCTTCCTGGGTTTTGTCATGAAGTCCAAGCTGGCCGCGTCCGAGTCGGCAGAGTCATGGAAAGAGCGCCAGGCCGAGGAGAAGCGACTCAAGAGCTTTTTGAAGGAGGAGCCCGGTAAGCAAGCCATTTGAGCTGTCAAGGCAGCATGCCGCCCAACGTCGAGAACGTGTCGACGGCTTTGCCGTGACCACGATCGGCTGTGTTGTGCACCGGATACCGAACCTCGGTCGCTAGATTGCGAGTCCGGAATCTGACGACAGAGTTTCCGTTGTGGCTCCGCTTAATGTATCAGACAACTTTATCCTGCTCACTGGACCTCGTGGCAGCGGCAAATCCGAGCTCGCCCTCAAGGTGGTCAAGGACGCCAAGTCAGTATCCTCGCCGTGCCGCTTGAAGTGCGAGCGGGTGGATGGATGCGTGAGTGAGTGCCTGCTGGCTGCACAGCGGTAGCTCAATCTCACCACTTACTGCCCTCTCCCAGGCACAAGATTGTAATCAAGTGCGAGGACTTTATGGGAAAGCCCGAACATGTGCTGCTCAATGAGCTTGCCAGCCAGATGGGCTACTTCCCTGTCTTTGGTTTCATGAGCACCATCTCTTCTTTGATCGACACCGTCATGACCGCCGGCTTTGGATCCAAGACAGGTTCGGCTCAGTGCTCCATCCCAGTCAGCCACAACGGACAAACCCTGGCATGACCGGCAGAGCTCTGACTTTGTGTGTTCCACTGCCATCACCCAATCTCCTCCAGGCATCTCTGGCACCTCGATCGAGTCCCAGGTCCGCAACATCTTCGACACCGCCACCATGGCCATCACCGCCCTCACCCACCGGCAGCTCCATCTGCACTCTCAGTCGATGGAGCAGGAGCAGAAGCGCCGCGACTCTCTATTGCTTGCCGAAGAATCCAAGAAGAATGAAACCGGCGAGAAGCCCGTCGACGTTCGCGAGCCCGAGTCTCGTCCCGATGGAGTGTACAAGGCCCCCCACCACGAGATGGAGTATCCCGTCATCGTCATTGACGGGTTCTTGCACAAGGACCAGGCCAAGCAGCACTACGTGAGCGAGCTCATCATTGAGTGGGCCACCTTCTTGATCGAGTATCGCCTGGCGCATGTTATCTTTGTGACCAACAACGTCGAGGTCCAGAAGAAGCTCACCAAAGGCAAGGATGGGGCGGGCGCGGGCGAGATTCCTCGCTTCGATGCACTCGGCTCTGGGTTGCGAGCGTGCAAGCGTGCAAGCGTGCAGTGCTGTCTTCACGCAGTTCTGACACCGACTTTGGTTCTGCAACTTAGCCCTGCCCCAGCGCTCCCTCGATGTCGTCCGTCTCGTCGATGCCTCGAGCGAGAGCGCCATGGCCTTTGTCAAGAAGCGCCTTGGCCTGATTTTCACGCCCACAGACTTGCAGACCTGCGTCGAATCGCTGGGCGGCCGCCTCAAGGACCTTGAGCTGTTCATCCAAAAGATCCACGCTGGCGCTACGCCAACTGGTACGGTGCTGGCCCGAGATACGGGAGGAGCTTTGTGGTTCGCTTGGTGCATGAGGGCGGTGATGGACCAACAGACGGCTTGTGTCGGGCTCCGTGTATCTTTCACACCCGGCACTCACTCCATGTTTGATTGTTTTCTTCTCTCCGTGCCGGGTCTCTCCGTGCCGGGCCTGCCACGCAATCCCTGAAACGGCGACATCCCCATCGACAGCGGCCTTCAACGACATTGTCATGAAATCTGTCGCTGAGGTCCGCCGAATCGGCACTGGCGAGGAAGACGAAAACCGATCGCTGCTGCCCTGGACCCCTGTGCAGTTCTGGAAGATCGTCCAGGTTCTGAGCAAGGTCGAGGAGGCGCCGTTCGACGACCTGCGATTCCATCCTCTGTTCAAGGGAGATGATCGCGCGCTGCGCGGAATGGAGCGTGCCGGCCTGATTTCAATCGGCCTGCAGAACGGTGAGTGCTGCTGGCAGCGATTGCGATCGCGGATGTGTGCGGGGCAGTATGCGTGTTCAAGGTCTGCAGACCTGCGACGAGATTCAATAGCCCGGTCAGTCATTGAGGCACAGTGTGCAAACTGGCGAGAAACGAATCCCTGACCCCGCCGGCTTGACTCTCGCATGCAGGACGGCCATTCGTCCTCAAGCCCGGCAAGCCCGTCTACCGCAACGCTTTCAGCCACCTGCTCAACGACACCAAGTTTGCTGCCACGATGGGCATCCTGACCCACAAGGCCCTGCAGGCTGACGAAGAAGCCAAGATCAACAAGTATCTGGCCGAGATGAACACCATCACCAACATCATCACCGGCGGAGGAGCCAACCCCGATGGCCGGGGCCTTGTGAGCCGAGAGGCCAAGGGCGATCTGACCAAGCGACTCGAGTTCCTGGCGACGCTGGTGGCCGAGTCGCAGGCCAAGATTGCCGAGTGGTACTTGGAGGAGCAGCGCTGCAAGAAGGTCGTCAAGCTGAAAGAGCAGTAAGGCACTCGCCCGACTCGAGTGATCGCCGACTGACTCGACTGCCGACCCGATGCAATTGCCGACCGCTGTGGTCCGTTCTACTGCCGGCCCAGCCAATCTCGCCTTTTGCTTTTTGTCATGGCGGTATGGGGCGCTGTCCCGCATCCTCGAGCAGCACCCAGCGCCGCCTTTGACCTTTCGTTTGTCTTGCCCCGTGCAGACCAGACAGACCAGACCGCCCCTGGCAATAAAAATGATTTCTCTGTGTGAATGACTGGTGGAACACATGTATGCTCGAGTCGTTGTCGATCAAGCTTGATTGATTGTCCCGCCGTGGAACAAACAGACCCAAGCCCGAACCAACTTTCCCCCGACTTCCTGGCCCAGCCGCTCCACGCCACGGATTTCGGCAATCCGGGCTCATGTCTCATGTCCCGGTGCAGCCAAGTCAATACCTCTGCTCGCTGGAACAATACTCCCTCATGCCCCCGCCGCACCTCCTGCAGCATTCCATCGGCTCGCCCCGCAGCCTTGCCCTCATCCCCAACCACCGCTTCCATCTCAGCCGTCTCCGTTCCTGCAGGCCGCTGGCGCTGGGCACCGAGTCGCTCTGGCGCTGTCGGCCCTTGTTGCTCTGCCCGCCATTTCGCCCTCCCATCCCCAGACGGCTCGCCCATCGCCCATCGCCCATCGCCCATCGCCCATCGCCCATCGCCCATCGCCCATCGCCCATCGCCCATCGCTCGAGCCCATCGCTCGAGCCCTCTTCTCCTCGCATCGCCAAGACACTTTCCTTCCCTCCGTCGTCCTCCCGAAATCCCTCGCTCTCCGCGACCCGATCCGTGCTGCTCGAATCTGTCCAGCGCTGCAAGACACCCGCACGACCAGCCCAACGCACGCTCCAATCCCGCTGCCCGCCTGCCCGTCCCATCCACCGCCATTCCACAGCGAGCCTCTGGATCCTTCTTCGGCCGCCCCGTTTCTCCTCGGCCGTTCCCGACCGGCCTTTCCGCTCTTGTTCTCAACCCGCCATCGCATCTCCCCTCCGTCGACGTCTCTGCACATCGCGAGCAGGTAGGCTGCTTTCTTTTGCACCAGCACCATCAGCGTTGTTCGCACCAACACCACTGGCGTTGCCTCTCGAAGTCCCCCATCTTCGCGATAGAGAAGCGAGCCCGGCCCGAATAGCTGCATGCATTGCGTTCCCGGATCAAGCCGAGTCATGCATCCGAGTGGGCTGCACTCGCCACCTTTCGCAACTGACACCGATGCTCGCTCTCTTTCGTATTGCTGGCCCTGCGCTGCTCGCCCGACAGAATACACCAAACTCTGCAGATACGACCCTCTTTCCCCATCCCGGCTTTCGTCTGTCGTCGAGCAACCACGACCCGTCGCGGCCATTAATTTCATCGACATCTCCTATCCACAACCATGATACCCGCATCTGCTGCCGAACCAGAGGCTCCCGCGATGGCCGCCCACCCCCAGCCTATCTCAGAATCAGAATCGCCTGAGTCCTCCTCCTCCGCAGCCGCGAACCCTGAATCGTCCGGCGCCAAGGACCCATCAGCACCAGCGCAATGCCGATCAACCTCGAATGCGCCTCCGCCTCCGCCGTTGCCACCAAAGGATCTGGTGGAATCATCGACGAATGCTCAAACCGCAGCGCCCGTATGGCCACCGGCACCAGCAGCATCGGTGCCGGCAACGCAGGCCACCCTGCCTGCTCTCGACAATGAGCCCGTGGCTGCAAGTCTGTTCCCCGAGGTCCCCTCGGCCTCGCTTGTGCCGGGCGCATCTTCTACCATCTCTGTGCCGGCAGCGACATTGCCATCCTCGGGACTGGCGACGTCGCCGTGGATGGCGGCCTCTGCGTCGGGATCGACGGTGACGCCGGCAACCGTTGCCCCTGGTGCCGGCGGGCCCGAGCCAAGACACCACCCGTCGCTATTCTTCAGCCCGACAACCAGGCTCGCAAGCGACTCTCATCGCGAGACGGCGTCGGTGGCAGCCTCGTCCGAGAGCCGATATCCAGTGCCGCCGCCGCGCTTGACCCACACCCAGCTCCCTCCAGGCTACGTCCAGCCGGTCATGTCCCGCCGGGCCTCGACTTGGTCGTCCATCTCGTCGGTTGGACAAAAGTTCATCACCACCATTCCCCCGGGGAGCCCCGTCACGCCCGGGCCGGTGCTCGACAACACCGTCGACCGCGAGTCATCCAATGTCCCGTTCCTCTTTCCCGCCCTCGGCCAGCCCATGGTGTACTCGCAGCTCCCGCGTGAGGTCATGCCCCAGTCGCAAGGCGCGGGCATCACCGGCCGCAAGGCGTCGACAGCCTCGAGGGTCTCCAAGCTTGAGGCGCACCACTTTTCGCTGCTCGAGCAGCCGGATCCGGCCAACTCGTCGACCTCAACCATCCTCCACACCCACGACGACTCGTGTGGGTCGCTCAAGATTGATCCATCGTCGCTGGCACCCGGCAATCTGATCATCTATCCGCTGGTCGCGTGCGATGACACTGTCATGATCATCGAGAAGCCCGACGATCGACTCTTCCAGAGGAACATCCCGATGCTGCTCTTTCTGTTTGGCTTCTTTGCGCCGCCGCTGCTGTGGGCAATTGGCTCCTTCTGGGTCCGCTACAAGGAAAGACATCTGAAGGCACGTATTCCTGGCTGTCGCGATTGGATTGAATTGGATCGGGTTGGATCGGATGCGATTCGATTAGATTCGATTGCACCTGATGAGATTGGTGGCAAGGCGGGCAGTGCAGGCATGGCGAATAGTTGCGTGCACCAGCTACAGTCGGCGCGACCTTCTCGAGTCGGATGGGCCGTCCTGCTCTGGATGCCTCGGCTAATCGACGGAGGCAGCAGACGGACTCGAAGACGAGCGATTCCCGCTAATGTGCCGCTGCCGGAACCACACGGCATCATTTCGCTCCCTCTCGACAGGTCTGGGGCTATGCCAACATGACCATGTTCACCTTCACAGCGGTCTTGTCCTTGTCGATCATTATCTGGGGAATTGCGGGCAACTGGACCTTCCAAACCAATATTCACTAGCAACTTCGCCTCACCGGCCCGCCATCCCCTCGCTCCTCATGAGCCCAAGCTGCTCCCCTGCTCGACCATGTCCTTTCCAATCCGGGCCTTCCTCATCCATCCCATCTCATCTCTCCCATCCCATCTCATCTCTCCCATCCCATCTCATCTCTCCCACCACATCCCCTTGCTTGATCTGCACGAGCGACTCTGACTGCTGCGATCCACCGACGACGACGTTGTTCTGTAGAGCTAGACTCATAGCGCCGGCCGGATGCCGCCCATCCCGCTGCCGTCTCCCCGTCCTTTGCCTCCTTGCTATCCTGTCGATAAATCATCGATACACCATTTTGTCCTGCATTGGTGTGCGTATATCGCAATCATCGTCACCATCACCGCTATCATCTGTGGTGTGTGCTTGCTGTTCAGGTGGCCAAGCGCACTCGGAGCGTGCCAGTTGTGCAAGAGCCGCATTCTGGGCGGGAGTACTCTCCCTCAACACCTCACCCGATGGATATCCAGAGGACTTGCAAGTTAACCCTGGCAATGTCCCGCTTCGTTTCGGACGTGCTATAAGACACATATATTTGACAGATTTGAACATAGAAAGTGAAGAGAGGGGGGGGGAATCCAATGTTGACTCAAGCGGTATTACTTGGGAGAAGGGTACAGGGCGTATGATGGAGGCCGGTACGCCGGCAGATCATCGACGGGATTGGGCTGACTCTGGACAAAGTTTGGCTGGCTGGTATTTGGGCTCATTTGGTGCGAGTAGACAGCAAAGGGCTGCGGTGCTCCGGCTGGGGAGTCTGCCATGCGAGAAGTGCTTGATCCGGCAGAACCGTCGGGGCGGTAGATGGTCAGCGCGGCCTTCTCAGAGCGGGGCCCGAGAGGTTGTTGTGCATGACCAGGGTGGACGGGCGAGGGGCCGTAGCCAGCAGGTCCGGCCGGAGTCTCGGCAGCGACCGGCGGTGGAATGTATCGCACCGAAGCCGGGTTACCGCTCGGGGACTGAGTCGGTGCTGACTGAGTCGGGACCGGTCCACTCGTAAAGGCATAGGACATGCTGTGGGAGCTAGCCAGCGCTGCCGGATCGTAGTTTGACCCAAAGGCGCTGTCCTTGGCGATGCGACCCATCTGCAATGGCTGCGGCTGGGGCGGCTGTCTCTCGAATGCGCCGGCGGGGGCGTTGGACGCAGGCGGATAGGCCGTCGATTGCGGTGGATAGGTTGTCGACTGAGGTGGATAGGTTTTCGATTGCGGTGGATAGGCTGCAGGACGAGCGGCACCTGCAGCAGCGCCGGGGCCAGCAGCAGTGGTTGACAGTGGGTAATCGGCAATGTGGTATGCAGACGAATCGGGTACAGATCGGATGGGCGAGGACTTTGCCAGGTCGTTCATAGCAATCTTGTTGTGGGGCAGATCCCCTGCGGCGGCCGCGGAGCCACCAGGCTGGTCGACTTGGACTCGGTATCCCGAGCCTCGGATGCCCCGTTGCGTCGTAAACGGGTTGCGAGCTTGTGGATTCGGCACTCGGTACCGAAACCACCACAGCCCAAAGAGGGCAAAGAACACAACGGCCGCGCCGATGGAGCCGACGATGGCGATGATGAGGGTCATATTGGACGACGAGCCCGGCTGTGTCAGCGGATCGTCGGCGCCCGGCGAGGGGGTGGGTGCAATCGGGCCAGGAGTGGCCGAGGACCAGCTGGTGGGAACCGAGGTCAGGCCGTTGATGGGATCGAGGATGGTGACCGTCATTGGCGCGAACATCGAGCCACCACCGACGCATCCTATGCCACTGTTCCCTATGACTTGACAGGGATTGTGTATGATGGTGAGATTGGCAGTCCCGGCTGTCGGCGGAAGGGGAAAGCAGCTGACGGTGTAGTTGCAGCTCGTGCTCGTTTGATTGCAAGGGGCATTGAGGGTGATGAGTGGCTTTGTGTTCGTTAGACTTGTGCAGTTCAGCACGATATTATTCGAAGCGCCTTGCATTGTGACCTCAAAGAGAAACATATCCACAAGCGAGCCGATGACATTCTCCACGATAATCGAGGTATTGGTGCCGACGATCCAATAGTCCGGGGTGTGGGCGATGACTGCAGCGTCGGTCTGCGGGGAGCACACGAGGGCATAGAAGGCGACGAGAAGCCAAGACGAGAGCTTCATGGTGGGCAAACAGCGGCGCTGGACTGGGAGAGCAGGCGGAAGCGGTGGGTCTCCAAGAAGGACGAGACGACCAAGACAACAGGGGCCAGACAGGCAGTCGCAAGCAGGTGAAATCAGCCGCCGCGAAAGGGGCAAGAAAAAATGTAAAACTCGGGGCGGACGGCCAGGCCGAGCTGGGCCGAGCCGAGGCGGCGGGCTCTATTTGAAGCAGGAGCGAGGGTGGAGGGAGGGGATATCTCCTGTCTCGCAGCGGCGAGCATGGTCCAAGGAGACGCGAACTTCATTTGAGCCGGGGTACGGCCAGGGTTGGGTGCGCGACCAGAGGCGGTGCTGAGCCTGACGGGGCGTGGATGGTATCAGCAGGACGAACGGCATTCAGACAGCAGCGCAAATGCGCCGCCTCGGTGGCTGAAGGAAAGCGCTCCTTGAATCGCATCTGGCGGTGCGCCGCTCGGGTTGAGCAAATGCACAGGCCGGGGGCAGCAAGCAGTTCCGGCTGTGGCCGAGAGCGGCCATGGCCAGGGGGAGGGGGCGAGTGGGTAACTGTTGATGTAAGGGTGGTGCTGTTGTTGTCTGGGTGCTGTTGTTGTTGTCTGGGTGGTGCTGTTGTTATTGTCAGGGTGATGCTGGTGTGCTGGTGCAGCGGCGACATTGCACAAGCAGCCAGAGTCAAATGGGCGCACGAAGGGCCTCTCCTGCCCACAGCAGGGATATCAGGCGAAAGCAGCGAGTCGCCTCCGGGCCAAGTCGGGCCAGCATGTCGGCAGATAAGGGGGTATTGAGATTGATGGGGAGGATTGCAGAACGATATGGAGGAGGAGCAGAGACTTGCGGGCGACTTGACACTGTGCAACAGAGCGCCGATGCCGATTGGCTGTGCCTCGAGTCGCGCTGTCGGACCACTCAGCACGCAGTCCGCGACGCGCCTGGCTGCCTTGTGGCCATCGCACACAGTGCGCAGCGAGCACGTGTTTGTCATTGTCTGCCACACACACACACACACACACACACACACACACAGCCCCAGCCCCAGCCCCAGCCCTGCGAGCAGCACGTGGGCACGCCGGGCCAAAAGTGCTTCCGTCCGCAACCAAAAGTACTTCTTCTGCCGGCCGCTCCGAAACCACTTCTCTTTCGCCCTTCCCTTGGCCCTTTTGCCGACCTCTGCAACGGCGTTCTGTCCTGCACACTTGCACTCGCATTCTACCCCGAGTCTCCGCTTCTGCTTCTGCTCCTGTTCCGGTGCTCTCTCTTGCTCCTTCAGTTGCCCGTCTTTGCCGATCGGCGCTTCCCGGCCCCACAGCCACATTCCCGTCCACCATCAGACTCTCTTGCGTCTCTGCCCATCACCACAACTTGCGGATCGTCCTCTGTGTGCACCCCCCCCCACCCTTGGTCTGCAAGCCCACGTCGTCGCTGTACTCCCAGCCTGTCGAGAGCCGCATCTTGACCGTCCGTCTCTGCTCGCCTCGGCAACTTGCCTTCTGGCTCCTCTGGTTCGTAGTCGCTTGAGCTGCACACCTTTTGCTCAGTGGTCGCCAAGCTCCACGAAATACACTGCCCAGGTGCCACTGCCTCAAGTCAGTCGCTCCGCTCGCCCTCTACTTTGGTGTCCCCTGGCGGTTCCTTTCGGCGTCGCCTCATCCGTCCTTCTTTCCGTCCGTTTTGCATGCGATCTTCTCGTGTCCCCTCCATCCGATCCACTGCCTGTTCTTTGCCATCCCATCTGCTTCCTCTTTCCTGGCTGCCCCTCGTACCCCGCCGCCGCCGCCGCCGTCTCCAACTCTCTCGCCATCCGATCTCCGCTTTTGGGCTACATCTCCCCTTCTAACACTATCCGCCCTCTTGCAGTCATGTCGGAGGCCCCTCCGCTTCGCAAAGAGCACTTTGAGGCTCCCTCTGCCCACGGCGAACCCTCTTCCCTGCACCCAAGCCCCAACCCAAAGGCCGCCTCAGGCACCTCCACAAAGTCGCCTCCGCCGTCCAGATCCGGCTCCAGCGCCTCTCTGCCGTCGCTGAAATCCATGATGGGCCACTCCGGAACCCACTCGCAGTTTTCCCAGTCCAACAAGCTGCCCCCTATCCACCACGGCTCTCCACACCCGCCGTCGGCGCCACAGCCAGCCAGTCTGCCTGCGAACGGCGATGGTCCAGATCGCAGCATCCATCTGGATCGTCGGCATCGAGGTGAGTTTCGAGCTGTATCCGGCTCTGGGAGGACTAGCTGTCTTTCTTCAATCGCTCGCCCTTCAGACCCTCTTTCACACCCCTCCCGGGATGAGGCCATGCCTTGGGTGGTTCGGCCTGAAGCTCTGCATCCCGGTCTGCTCTCTATCGTCATGGACCGGCCTTGGCCTCGGTGTTTGGCCTGGCTTTGTCCTCGGGGCAGCCGGCCCTCGCCCGTTCTCGACCCCCCCCCTGTTCGACAGCGACCAGCGGGTGTGGGCGGCCGACCAAAGCTGCGGCCATGGGTTGTCGGAGGGAACGCAGCAGAACGCTCCTGGCGAGGCCGCTTGGCCAGACTCGTTCGCCTGCTCGCTGGCCCGTCCAGGCCCGCCCATCCCGGGCATTTTCCCCTGCACTCCCAAACCAATTCTTCTCCTCCCAAACCAATTCTTCTCCTCCCGAACCGATTCTGGCCCGTTAAACCGACTCCCCAACCCGATCGTTCTGTTTGCCGCCCTGATTCCCAAACGACTCGTCCTCGCGCACCTACCCTCCCTTTTGCACCCGTATTCTTGCCCGACACTCTGATATTCCTCGCCCACCCTGCACATCTCTCGCATCCATTCCGTCGCGCTCCCCGCCTCCTGCAGGCTTCCATTCACTCGCACTCACATTTGCGTCCTGCTGCTTTCTTATCTATCCAGACGATCCCAGTTCAAATCCCAACCAACCCCCAACACTGGCTCCCCGGATATCGCCCTCGACTTCTCCCCCATATCCCGTCCCGCTACCGTCTAGCGGCCGAAATTCCTCGGAAGAGTCTACGGCCACCATCCCCGACACCTCAAAGCCGTCCTCCCAGCCTATCGCGCTCTATTCACCCGTGCCGAGTCCGGCAATGTCCTCGCATCCGCCGCCAAAGCCCACCCACGCCCAAGCACCCCACTATTCGCCGTACGGCTACTCGCATCTGCAGCCAAAGTCGCCCCACATCGCCCCCGACAAGGCCGTATCGAGCCCTCAGCCTTTCTACGGCGGGCACCCCGAGCCTTACTCGCACGCCCTCCCTCCTCCGCACCACCAGGATCCATCCAAGACTCCCGGCTATCCCACCCCGACGCACGCGGCTCCGTCAGAGTCTTCATCACGATTACCGTCCGATCCAAATCAACGGCATCATTCCAAACACCACCATCACCATCATCCATCGCATCGTCGTGATCCAAACTACCCCTCCACCTCCAATTCAAACCAGATCCCGATCGCCCCGCAGCATCCCGTCACGCCTCAGCATTTGATCAACTCATGGGCTCGCCCGCCGCAATCGCCACATCCGCACCCGCACCCGCACCCACCACCGATCGCTCCTTCACCCACGATCGGCCCCTCCAAGGCCGCCGTCACAAAGACACCGATTCTGGGGCCTTCGCCTGGCAACTCGACTCCAACTAACTACAACGGAAGGTGGTCGATCGTCGAGTGCCCGCAAATCGTCAAGGGTACTGAATGCTCGCTCGCCAAGCAGGAGATTGAGTAAGCGATTGTCGCATGATCATTTTTATACCACCTCGACTGCACGCATCTGGCGGCTCGTATCTATCCAATGGCATGTACTAATCTATTCCCCGTCTTTTTCATCTCTCCCGATGTCGTCTCGACTGCTGTGCGCTCTCTCCCGCACAACCCAGACACGAGCACGTCGAATTCAAATGTCCGCTCTGCGACATCACCATCATTTGCATGTCCATCACCGTGTCGTCCGAAGATTGCCGCAGCAAGCTCATCGACCTGGACCAGTGCCAGCAGACCGATCTGAACTATCGCTGCGAGGTCATTCACCATCTGCTCAAGGATCACACCGAGCGCGATCGCTTCGTCTGTCCCATCCCAGAGCCAGGCAGCAAAAAGTGTACCGAGCGACTCAGTGGCGAGAACGGCGTGCGCGAGCACCTGAGAAGTCGGATACACAAGAGTCTGTGCGCCCCGCTGTTCAAGTGCAATATCGGAGGATGCAGAGTAAGCAATGCCTGCGTCTCGCTCGGTGTAGCCCACCATCGCACGCGTGGATCTGCGATCGTTGCCCGAGAGGATGCTATCAGTTGGCGTGACAGCGCCGTCGCTCTTTGCTCGGTGGCTGGTTCTCCGCTGTTGGATCAAGCAGTTTCCATGCCGTCGCCTGGTCGTATGCTTATGATCGAGTGATACATGGCAACCCATCTGTGCCGGTCTACTCTGCCGATGCACCCTCATTCACGCCCTAACTTTTTTTTTTTCCAATTTGGTCGCCTCCGCCCCCCTCGTATCAATTCGTCGGTCGGTGCTGCCACGGAGTAGTCGCAAAATTCCTCCACAGGTTACTCGGGGCATCGTTGGGACAACTTTCGCGACCACCTCAAGAACAAACACAAGATCGAGTTTCGTAAGTCCCTGATCGAGCACCCGGTCGAGCGAGTAGCCTGGTCCCTTGTCAGAAGCTGATATGTGTCTGTTGGAAATGTGCAGCTCGCAAACGCTCCCTGGACAACGACGATGCCGTGTTCTCGCGGCCCGGTGAAGGTGAGTGATCATGCTACTCGAGAGCAAGCAAAGCATGCAGTGTAAGGCATGGTAGAACGAGACACGGTGTATGATGGGACAGCGAGATATAGTGAGACATAGTGAGACATAGCGAGACACAGCTGACCTGCTTTCGAATGCAGTCTATGGCCGCAAGCGAATCAACATGGGCGATGGCACGGGGCAACCCAGTGAATGGGAGGACTCCCCCCTTACCCTGCGCCCAGGTCTTGAGTCGCCCATGTATTCGCGCACACCGAACAACCCGAACGTGCGCGACATGGGCAACCCGCAGGATCTTCTTGGCTCGCCGTACGTCGGCGCCCGTTCGATCAAGTCGCCCTATGTCCACTCAATGCCGCCCACATCTCACGGCCGATCCTTCCCCACTGTCGAGCTCCCGCCCTCGATCTTGCAGACCACCAGTCCCGGTATGAGACCCAAGTCCACGCCAACGAGCGGGATGATGCCCAGTACACCCAGTGGCCTGCAGCCCTACAGCCCCAGTCTCTATCCCACACGGCCTCCAAGCGTTGCAAGCCCCAAGGTGAATGGCATTGGTGCACAGCACCTGGGCCTCGTCTACTCCCCCGTTGTGCAGCCCGAGTTTGAGAGCTACCACTCACCCGGGCTGCGCCCCGCCAACATCCCACAACCCGCTGCCCACCACCTCTCGCACATGCCGAGTGGCGGACCCGACGGAATGACAAGCATGCCGCTTCGAACCACCGCGATGAGCATTTCTACCAGCTCTGTATCCCTGCCGCTGTATGGGCCCGGGGTCGTGGCGACTGGACCGGTCTATGCGGCCGCACCCAGAGCCAAGTGCGCGGCTTGCAGCCGTAGCGTTGATCCGTTTCAGCGCGACCAGTGCACGTTTGTGGACTCGCTTGTGTACTGCATACCTTGTTTTCAGCAACGGCATGGCCGCTGGAAAACGAGCCAGGATCTTCCGTGCTACCGCTGCCGAATCTGCCGCGAAGTTGCCGAGCTCCCTGCCGATGGAGAGCTTTCTGTGTCGCAGCCCAAGACCCTGTCGCAACCGCGCCCACAATCCCAGAGCGAATTTCAGCCACAGTCTCAGTCACAGTCTCAGTCACAGTCTCAGTCACAATCTCAGTCACAATCTCAGTCGCAGCCCGATCCGCCGTTGCAGTCACAGGCTGATGCCCCGGCACAGTCCCAGTCGTCGACCAGGCCTCTCGAGCCCACACCGGAACAGGATGGCAAAGCACTGCGGGAAGTCTCAATCAAAGCAGAAAAAGAGTCCGAGCCAGCACACCGCTCTGCAGCGCCGAGTCGCTCCTCAACCCCCGAAACGCCCCTTGATTCTGCTCCAGCAACGTCATCGCGCTCGCCAAACACTCTGCCCTCGCCCATTCTGCCCACCAACGGTCGCCCGGCCCCAGCCACGCAGTTTTTGTGCGTGACCTGCAACGACGTGACCGAGTTTGAGTACGTGGGGCTGCGTTCACAGGTGGCCCCGGATCTGCTCAAGCGCCTGGGTCGCTACAATCCGTTTGTTTATCGATGCGAAGGATGCCGCGACCTTTGGATCTGGAGGCAACTCGATCCGCTGCTCCTCTCTGCTCTCGGCGAGGACAGGCAAGCGGGTGCGGCTCGCAGCGCCTTGACCCATGCGACCGATCGCAAGCTCGCAGACTTTGAGGCCTGGGCCAAATCGATAGGACAAGCCATGGTGATGGAGCAATGGTGTCAGCGCTGCAGCCGCATTCAGTCCTGGGAAAAGGTTGGCCGGCGCGGACAGGAAGACGGCGAAATCTGTGGCGATGTCGAAACCCGAGTGACACGCAACGGCTCGGGCAATACTGCCAAAGCATCGAGGAGTACGCCTGCGCCGTCGTCAGCTGCCTTTGCGTCCCGCTCGCCTTCTGAAGCCGCAGCGGCGCCGGACGACCAGGGCCGCATGGATTGCGACCCGGCAGCCGCGTCGCCTCCAGTCACCGTCCACTTTGAGAATGGATCTAGCGATGTCTCGCTGCCGAGTCAAGAGCCCCGGCCGGAACAGCCCCGAACGACGCAATGGCTCATCTGGAACTACGACCGCTCGGATGGCCTGCAAGTGGGCTTTACGAGCGTGACCAAGTTATAGGACCGGTGTGCGGGTGGAAGTACTCTCCCCCTCTCCTCCCCAACTCGAAATTGTGGCCGCTGACCCTCCCCACGTTTGGTCCAGCCAAGGATTCTCCGCGATGGCGCCTGCTTCTGTCCGCGCCCCGTCCTTGGGAGGCATGGAAGCAGCTCTTGCAACATAGCTCGACCAGTTGATGCCTTGCCGTGCACACCTGACAGCGCACCCTCGTCGCCCATCGCCAAACAGCCGCACTCAGCCCGTGAACGCATCCGCCGCATCGCATTGCATCGCATCGCATCGCATTGCAACCCGCAAATCCCTCAAACAACACCAGTGTCAGCACCAGTACTCGCGCCTCAAACGACCTTGCAATAATCAACTACTTTCCGCCCCCCCCCCTCCCGACTTTGGTTTCCGATCGAGCAGAGTACAGCGGGAGGATCTCCTGGTCCAGCCTGGGCTGCCGTCTGTTGGGCTCTTTGCACTGGGAGGAAATCCGCCACCACCGCCGATCAGAAAGTCTGCATCCAACTATTACGATCACTCTTGTTCTTGCCTGCGCTTCGTTCAGATATGCAACTCCTGGGCGGTTCGCTCGCTTGCTTGGCGCCATTCAGAACTAAACGCGTGAGCGACGCCTTGAGATTTTAAGCAATACAGAAAGAAAACCGGGTCACCCTGGTTTTGTGACCATTGATCAAATATTTTGCCTCAAAACATCGCGCGCTGGCCATGACCATTCTGCAGTGTGGTGCTTCGCCCTCATCCATAGCCTGAGAAAGGTTGGCTCCATATTCAGCGTGTCCAAGTGTGCATGTCGATTGTGGAGACCGGAGAGCGACCGGCGGTCTTCGCTCGGAGGTGATCTGTTGAATTGCATGCGCCTCCATTGGACGTAAGCCGTCACATACTACGCTGACAAATGGGATCGTGAGGATTTCTCGTTTTTTTCTCAATAAAATGTAGCAATACAACTCGTCGCCGATGCAACCGACCCACGTTTCCTTTCACCATTGAGGCCTGCCAGGCCAGGCTCGGCTGAGTCAGGCACGAGGAGAAAGAAAAAAAGGCATCGTGGCAGGGGAAGAGGAGGCAGAGCAGGACTGTTCCGGCGACCGGCGTCGCTGGTTGATCCCGATCCGCTGTCTCTCTCCGTGGTTTTCCCGGCGAGCCGAAAGGAAATGAACGCAAGCAGAGCAGGCATGGGGGGCTTGGCGAAAGATGCCTGGTCGTCGCTGGGGCCATGGGGTCGCACGAGATTGCACAGCGGGAGGGAAGGAAATGAAGGGGGACCACAATCCGCTCCCCCCCCTCCTCCCTTGTCCTTGCGGCCTGGACAGGGGGCTGGTCGGGATGATCCGGGCTGGCCGGGGCTGTGTCGGACTGGCTGGCTGAGGAGGATGAATGCTCTCGTCGTGCAGGACAGGAGACAGGCCGCCCAAAGGGGTGAGACGGCCTGGCTGAGCTGGATGCGACCGGAAACAGGCGCACAGCCAAGCAGAGACCTCGACAGGACTGAGCCAGAGGACAGCAGAGGCACGCGGATGCCCTTTGCTTTGCCTCCATCGCCCCCTGGCCCACGCACCGCTTCGTCCTCCGGTTTTTGCACGAGCCTTGGCACCTGCGGGCAGGGCCTGAGGTCGCTTGTGACTTGCGCTGCCTCCCAGGCGGATTGCTGGCCTGTGCTCGTCTGCAGACCCGCTGGAAGTGTGGATTGCCGTCTCATGCTTGGATGGCGTGGCTGCGGCGGTGGCCTCATGACGAGCCAGGTGCCGACGGCTCATGAACCTTGCCTGCGAGCGACACCAGCGCGATATGCGACGGGGATACCCGGACGGCCGAGCCGAAGGCGCAACATGGGAAATCGCTCCGCTGCTGGCCGATCGGTCTGGCGAGCAGGCGACGAGCGGCAAGGAGCCAACCCGGTCGAGAGTGCGGCAGAGCGAGATCCGCCCCCAGCACTGAGCACCTCGATGCAAGAAGCATCGCCCCGATTGGTGTCGTGCCAGAGACAAGAGGCAAGCCAGGGGGGGGACGGGTGCGCATTCGCAGGAAGCTGGACAGGGACAGGCGGGCGACCACGAAACAGACGCCGCAACCGTCCAAGCACCCGAGCGAGGACATTAGTGAGTTGGGCTGGTGAAAAGTGCAGGATCGCAGCAAGCACAGCGGCCGGGACAGATCCCGCCTTGGGCTTGCCAGCAAGGGCTGTGGAGACAATGCCTTGAAGCAACCGAGCAAATTTGACGACCGCATCGGTGCATGATCGTGTCTGGTTGGTCCATATGCCCAGGAGACGGCGTGTCGGGCCAGGGCCACACTCTCCTCACAGCGCCTGGCACAGCGATATGGGTCCGCGGACACGGCGTTCTGCACAGACCCGAGATTTCTCCAGCTGTGTGGGTGTGGGATGGGCTGTGGGTGGTGAATCGCAGATGGTGGATCATGAGTGGATGTAAGGCAATCTGGCAAGAGAGGAGCCACCTCGGGTCATAGACTTCCCCCGAGGCCGGCATCACCCGCCACAACAAGACGCACCAGTCCGTGGCAGGCACAACGAGGCAGAGCGAGGCACAACGAGGTAGAGCGAGGCAAAGAGAGGCAACCCCAATCGGTACCGACAACGTGGAGCCAGTGGAGCACAGCTGACCGGCGTGGTGTTCATTTGAATTGGTTCAGCGACAAGGGCACCTCAAATGCAACCGCCTCTGAGGAAGCACAGAACCGATTGGGTTTGGCCCATGGGTGCGGTTGGCACGGCAGACAAGAGGCCGCGTGCAGCGGCTGGGGAGGGAGTGGGAAGATTTGCGAGGATGGGACCGATGGGACGGAGATGTGATGGGATGGGATGGGCATTGGATGGGGATGCGGGAACAGGACGAGAATGCGGGATTTGCGGTTGTGCAATTACGGACGGCTGTGATGTTGCAATGCTGTGATGTTGTGATATTGTTTGGTGGAGCCTTCCTGGCGATGCCAGACAGACAAGCAGGCACTTCCTCCATGGCCATACTCTCGCGGGTGATACCCACCGCCACGACCGCAATGCCACCACTGCCAACCGTCACGACACCGTCACGACACCACCACACCTCCCATGCCGCCCAACTCTATCGCCAGGCCGCATCGCCGATCCAATCGAGATGCCAAAGCGCGACGGCAATTAGCAGCGCAGGCCGCCCCCCCCCCAACCCGGAGAAACTATGACCCACGGATTGGATCCACACACACACCCCCCGGCCCAGCCAATAAACCTCGCGCACCGCATGTGCATCGCCCACGCAGCCGCACCACACAAGCTCCCTGCGGGCCGTGTGTGGGGATACCCGCCCTGCCACGTCATTATGACTGGGCAACCGCGGCTGTGGCCGGGCGACGGACAAGGCCCGGTCCGTAAACGAGCGTCATGGCCAGGCGACAGATCCACGGGCAACGGGGCCAGCGCTATGTTGCAATGCCGGAGGCAGATGACTCGCCGTCGACAGAAATTACCCGTTTCCAGCCAGCGACACCGCGAGGGATCGCCGTTGGCCGCTGGCGATTTGCAGCATCGTCGTGGTCGGCAGCCGGACGATTGTCATGCCGTCGGCAGGCCGTCGGCTCGGCACCGGGACAAGGGCGGAGCATTGCTCCGGCCAATAATTGCCTCGAGCGTGTGTGGATCGACAGCCAAATGAACCGACGCGGGCCAGCACCAGAGCAGCGATTGCGGTGGTGGGGGAGAGACTCGCGGACAGCGGCTGATGCACCGACAGGCCGCCCAGCCAGGGCTCGCGGACGGGTCTGCGGGTCTGTGGGTCTGCGCTTGGGCCGATGGTGCCTCAGCAGCCAAGGAGAGACGACGACGGGCTTGCCTGCCCTTGAGCAAGCCGCAATCTGCGTGTCGGGGCTCTGCCTAATCTCGCCAGACATTTGCAAGGTTCGATTTCGGATTCACCCACGTCTGACGCACCAATGTCCAATGTATCCGCTCCAGGCGCGCTGGCATGGGCCAGACTCGGCGGAACACTGTCGCGAGCGGTTGCGTGCAGACACTGTCACGATGCAGGCCACAGCGAGCCACCACAGCCAAGCGCTCCACCCGATTCCATGGCCGATGCAACAACGGAGGTCGCAACACGCGAGATGGTCTCGAACAGGATGTGGCAGGGGGGGGGAATAATGACAGGAGGATGCCGCCATGACCAACAGCGGTCGTGGTGGGGAACGACGACGGTCCTGTTATGGGTCTTTGCCATGATCCTCCTGCCACAGCGGCACCGAGGCGACTCAACTGCAATCACTGGCCGGAAGAACGCAGACGCAATGATTGCTGGGGGGGGGAGGAGAGCAGCAGCACACCACAATCACCACCATGACAAATGGGCTGCAACGCGGCGGGCCAGTCACCGCGGCTCTCCGCCTCAGCTCACGGCCACGGGGCCGGAGGCGGCCGTGGCGATCCGCACGCGATTGGTGGGGGGTGGCTCGCAGCGGGACAAGGCAAATACCGTCGGCAAGCCGCGGAGCGAGGGTGGCTGGGCGCGCCGGGGACGCAATGTAACGCGAACAAGGGGCACACAAGGCGGGGCCTCGCCACTGGACCAGCGTGGCCGCTGCTGACTTTTTGGCTGCAGCCCGCGGCGCTGATTGGCCAGCCCGGCGAACCACTCGCCGGGGTCCGTGAATCTGAAGGCCTTGTCGGCGCGGCGGCCTTGCGTCGGCGTGGGACACAGGCGGCCCGCCTCCCGCTCGGCAGGAGAGCCGAGGACAGCCGTGTTTGGGCGTCGGGCAGCCTGGTCCAGCCACTGGACCGCTCTGCTGGGTGCTGGTTCGAGCACTGGCCCAGGCACTGGCTCAAGCACTGGCTCGAGCACTGGCCCGAGCGGTCGAAGCACTGGTCTGGGCAGAGGCGTCAGCATCGCTGCTGGTCTGGGGACAGCGCCGATACCCCGCGATAGGATGTCGTGTTGGGAAAGTGCAATCTCTGGGCAGAGACAGAGGGACACCGTGGGAAGCCAGCCCGCACATCCCCCGCATGCTTCGCTCGCTCGTTCGCGGCGTGGGAGATGTCGCGGAGGACGTCGGCAGCAAGACCAGCCGACCGACTCTGGAGGGTGGCTCAGACGAGGCCCACCGACCTGTTTGCGGTCTCGCTGCCCACGGGGCATTGACTGCGATTACTCGGGACTGCTCGGGGGGGTGTTTGCAGAGCAGGCCATTGCTGAGCATGCATCTGCGTCGCGGGCCGGATAACACTTTCATGACCGACCGGACTGACAGCCGATGCAAGGACGTTTGTCTGCCATGTCCATGCCCCGAGACAGGTCCGATCGACACTTGGCGATGTGGACTGCCGGGCGATGCCCGAGATGTGCATTCTCAAAGTTCAAAGGCCGCGAGTCGACTGAGGTCGATAGTGTGATTGCATCTACGGACAGCAGCACCACCTGATGATGGCAATATCACAACCCGACACCACCACCACCACCACCCATCCACCGTCCAGCTCGCTGCCCATGTCCAAGAGCGAGCCGCATCGACCGCCGCCCCGCCAGCGTCCTCTGCAAACAAACCGCCTTCTTGCCCGCACGCCTGGCCGACAAAGGGGCCAATGCCCGTTTGTGCGTGTGTCTGGCAGTGGACTGCCGACGCCCCTCGGCAGACAGGTCGCTGAGCACACGGCCCCATTCGCTCGGCCGGCCCTGCCCTGAAACCGGCTCTGGGACGCCTGTCGCTGCTTTTGCTGCCGCTGCTTTTGCTGTCGCTGCTTTTGCTGTCGCTGCTTTTGCTGTCGCTGTCGCAGCTGTCAATGTCCGCCCCAGGCCTTTAAATATCCGCCCATCGCCCGCGTCGCCGGTCGTCTCCCGCCTGCTGCTCTGCTTCTCCTCCCCGATTCTCATCCGATTCTCATCCGATTCCCATCCGGTCTCCTCCCGCCTCCGTCGCCGGCCTCCGTCCCTTGCCTCCCGTCTGCATCCTCGTCTTTCCCTCTGGCTTGTTGCCGCCCCACGTCGCTCTCGCTTTCCTCGCCCTTTGGCTTCCCTCTCGCCCGGTTGCTTCTTTCGCGCCTCCCGGGCCCTTCTCTCCCTTGTCCAGCCTTTTCTTCGCCCCCCCCGGTCGAAACCTCCCCAACTCCAACTGCCGCTGCTGCTCTATCCGAGCTCTCTACTCCTTCCGGCCCCTCCTCTGCCTTTCCTCATCCACACACACCCCCTCCATCCCCTGTCATGGCCCGTATCCCTTGGGAACGCAAAATCCAAATCGTCCAGGAGGCGTACAGCATTCTCCGTAATGTAAAGCCCACCGCCCGCAAGTTCAAGGTGCAGCCCCAGCATATCCGCCGCTGGAAGCATCAGATCGAGACCCGAGATATTCTGGGTCGCCCTGTTTCCTCGGCCCCTCGCAAGTCGTCGTCGTCGTTGTCTCGCTCCAGACGCTCCGTCGCTGCCACCACAAAGACTACCCTGGTCGCCAACATCCCTGGCTTGTCCATGGGCGGTGCCTCCAGCATCACGACCACGGAATCGCCTCATCTGCCCATGTACGAGCTCGCCCAGGTATGAATACGCCCCACGCAGACATCTGCCTTGCCTCCTGTCGTTGGAACCCCTCCCCCCCCAGTCCTCTCTTCCATCGGCCATGGTCCACATCTCCCTTCCATCTCGCCTTTCATCGGCCATGGTCCCACATTCCTGTTTCCTCGACCGCATCCATATCCCCACACCTTCTGTCCATGCCCTCGTGTCTGCTCCTGCCCACATTGCCCCGTCTACCACTTCGGCCCCCTCGGGTGCATCTCGGGTCCACCTGCTCGCATGCCTTGCCTTGCCTTGCCTTGCTTGCTTTGCTTTGCTTGCTTTGCCAGTCTCCGGTTGCCGCCTGCGAATGTATGGCCTCCCGGCGTGATTCGCAAGGATGGAGATCCTGGCAAGGATGGAGCATTCCAGCGTGCCCCATCATTCTTGTCCCCATGAACACACACATCCCTTGTCTCTGGCCCCCATGTTTGTCATGCCCCTTTCCAGCTGCTCGCGTGCGACATCTGATGACTCTTGCCGGCTGCTGATGCATCGGCTGCCTGTCACTTGTCGGCTTCGCCTGCTGCGGGTTGTTGGATCCCCCCTCCTCATGCAACCCCATCCATCCATTTATTCATCCATCCATTCTCCACTTGCGCCGTCGTTTTGGATGCTCCCTGGCTGTGGTATCCGCCCTCGTTGCTGGCCATCCCGAACTCGCCCGCTCGGCTGTGCGTGATTCTCATCATCCCGTTGCTTTCTTTCGCCTCGCTCCAGCCCGCCTTCACACAGCACTCGTTGCTCTCGGGCCAGGCCTTCCTTCCCTCCCAGTTCAACCCGGTGACCCTCAACATTGCCATCCCGTCGCCCGAACTCAGTCCCATCCACACGCCCATGTCGCTCATCGGCGATGCCAGCCAAGAGTTTTTCCATCCCCAGGCTCACCATCCGGCTTCGCGCGAACAGTCTCGGTTCCTTCCCGCCTGGTCGCCCTCGTCCGTCGGCTCCGTCCCCGCCTTCATCACCAACCCCGCCGCCTCGGTCTTGTCTTCGATCCCACAGCCCGGAACCACCCCCGTTGTCCCTTACCATGCCATGCCCTTTGCCAGAGCCACCTCGGTCTCGTACGTCTCGTCGCCATCCTTCCAGCTCACCCTGCCCATCGACGATCCCCAAGGCTTTGATTCCTCCGTGCCGTCCCTTGGCCCCGGCTACGACCAAATGTCTCCCTACGACCCAATCCAAACCTTCCCGTCTCCCGCTGCCTCCCGCGAACTGTACGACCAGCCTCCCGCCCTCATGCCGCTCAACAACCATGTCATCTGCCGTGGACCCATACCCTCGCGCTTCTACACTGCTGCCTTACAAGCCCAATCCTCCCAGGACTACCGCATGATGCCCCAGTACCCCAACGCCAGCGTTTCTCCAACCATCCAATATGCCCCAGCGGGCGGCTACCCGGCCGAGCTGCACGACGATGGTGTCTCGACGTTCCGCCCAAGCCAGTAACGGTCAATTGGCACTCGACGCCGGTCGATCCGTTCTGATGTCCCTTCTGTCTCTTGGTTTTGATAATGTCACCTTGGTATCTCCCACGCGATGCAGCTATCCCATACCTCTACTCTGCTTACACCAGGACTCGTTTCCTTTTACCCTTTACCAATCGGGCTTTTGCCATCGTTTGTGCTATCCCCCTCCCTTTTGTGCCCATTTATATCCGCCGCCTAGCTCATGGTCCCTTCCTCCTTGCTTTTCCTCTGGTCTCCAAAACGCTTTCCTTGCCCTGTTTCTCTCAATCAACCACACCCTGTCTCACTGCTTCTTCTCTTTCCCCGCGCCTAATCAACCCACCAAGCTACCGAATCCACGACGCTCTTTCTTTGCCGCTCTCCTGCTTCCTCCTCCTCTGCTTCCTCCTCCTCTGCTCCCCCTTGTATCCTCCGTACCGCTCTTGTACATACCCATGCGTACATCCTCACAACTGCAACCGCAACTGCAGCTGCAACAGCCATCACCACTCTCCCTCTATCTCCCTCAACGAGGATGGCAAGAAAGCGAAAACAAAACGACGCAAAGCCGTCTGGAATGTTAATAGTACTTTTTTTTTATTTTTTTTGGAACTGGGGACAGTAGCACCAATTATTACTCGAGCTCTCCCCTCCCCCACCCATTATTGGCACTCCTCACATCTCTCTCCCCACCCAAATGTATATTTGCAGTGAAACGCCTGTGATTTTTCCTCGATTTTGTTGGGACGTGTCTTCCTCTTCACGCACCCTCCCCCCCCTGCATCTATCGTTACTCATTCTGACCCGATAACACCCTCGGGCTGTACACTACTGACATCCCTTTTGCTCGTCATCGGGTCGCCCGAAGCAATGTCTCTCGGGCAGGGAAGTGCTTTCCCGGTCTCGGCGCTGGGTGCGTTGACTTCTCCCTATATCTCTCTCCCAGGCCTCCAGGCTCTCTCTCTCTCTCTCTCTACTTTCTGGTGGTACTGGGAAGACGGTCCCACCGACATCTCGTCGCAGGGCTGCTGTCTGTCTGTCTGTCTATCTGACTTTCAGTTCTTCTTCGTTGTCTCTCTTCCTATTTTTGCTGGACTCTCGTGCACCAGCGATATCAATACATGCTTTATTTCGTTTTTTACTTTTCCTTCCTCGTCCCGGATGGCCCGGGGGGAGGGCAACATCTGTCCCATCACAAGGAGAGAGTGGGCAGAAGATGATGACACTGGCTGGCTGCATCCTCCTCGGCCCGTGCAGCCAGCAGAGTTGTTGGATGACATGCGTCCCAGTCTCCTCCACATCTGCATCTGCATGCTGTATCATCTGCATCATCTGCATCATCTGCATCATCTGCATTCGCTCCACTGCCGCTGGCCCCCGCCCCGATCCTGCCGCACTCACCAGCCCCGATCTGCTCGCGGCCTGTTGGTTTGCCCCGGCCCCGATTTGTCTTGTCCGCGCCGGTGGCAATATTCACCCTTCCACGCTGCCATGGTCAGTCCCGTCGGCGTCAGCGCCTGCGATGACGATGACAAAAACGGACGACGACGACGACGACGACGACGACGACGACGGGAAAGAGAGCCGGGTGCGAAAGGATGATGGGCGAGGGCAGGGACCACGACACCAGTGCGCTGAAACCATGACACCAGTACGCTGAAACCAGTCTCTCCTCTCTCCCCGGATAAACTCTGGCTGGGTGCCAGACGAATCGCAAGGCGAGCCGGTCGGGTGACGAAATGCAATTTGACCGAAACAAGGCCAGGCAACACCATCGACTGCGGAATCGATCCAGCCGATCCAGCCGATAGAGCCGATCCAGCCGATAGAGCCGATCCAGCCGATAGAGCCGATCCAGCCGACGCATTGGGCGGTGGCATTGGAGGGAAGGAGACCGGATGAGAGACGAGGATGGGAAATCAGGGTGGGGCCGCTTCCCCATCGGTGTCCACTGGAAACGAAGCAAAGGAGAGGAGAAAGGCCAGCCCAGATGAGCAATCGCTTGGACACCTGCCCGAGCCGGCCGGTGGCTGCGAGGCAGTGAGCGAGACAACGAGCCCTGCACCACACCAGGCCGAGCCGGATCAGGCCAGGCCAGGCCGAGTTGAGCCGAGCCGGATGAATGGCATATCTGCGATTCGAAGACGGTCCGGCGACTTCACGCGGCAGCACACGCATGTGGCCGGTGGTGAGTCCCTCTGGATGAGCACATTGTCATTCGTTGGCCTCGGCTGGACTGTTCTGGATGCCCCACTTTTATTTGATTGACATCTCGGGGACTCAACTGAATGTCCCCAGTTCAATTTTACAGAATGTATGACGAATCGAGCGACGAGATCAGGCAGGTCGGATCGGATCGGATCGGATTGGGTTAGGTTGGGTTGGGTTGGGTTGGGTTGGGTTGGGTTGGGTTAGGTTGGATCAGGGATGGTGAGGCAAGGCGAGTCAATGGAGAAGCAGCGCTGGGTGGGTTGCTGCTTTGCTGGGCTTTGAAAGCTGCCATCGAGCGGCAGATGGAATCAAGCCAGAATCGGAGGGAGATGCGAGCGTGAGGGTGAGAAACAGGCGGTGCATGATGGCACGTCTGGATACGATGGGTTGCGGACAAAAGGACGGAAAAGTACATGGCAATAATGCAGGCTTCAAATAGTGCAGAATGAAATGTGCTGACAGAGAAAACGATGCAAGGTACAATAGTGCAGACAGATGCAATAGTGTGAAAGTAATGTGAAAATGCAATGATACGAAATAACAATAGTACACAGCGATATCTGCACAGGAGGCAGAGGAGGCGAGCGGCAAGAGAGCCAGTAAAAATACACGGATGCGTATGTGGATAAGGCAAGGAGGGAAGCGTATTGGCAGGACACGATGCCCTAGGCACAGAAAATATGCGGTACTTGATGCAATGGGCGGACGGATGGATAGATAGATGGATGGATGGACCCTGGTAGAGGGCGTCGTGAATATGGAGGTACTGCTCCAGTGCAGAGCGGGGGGGGGATGAAGCGAAGGAGTGAAATGCAAGGGACTGGGTCAGGGAGAGACCGGCCAAAGCGGAGACTCTGCGGGTCGAAAAGTTCATGGTAACCGAGCCCGAGCGCACGAGTTGCACCTTGCGGTTGTCATCTCAAATGCGCTCGACCAAGCCGGTGGAATAGCAGCCAGAGCCCTGGATGATGGTCTCGGCAAAGCCTCGGCCGTTTGTGTTGTCGAGCGGCATGGAGTAGGTAGGAATCAGGCCTCCGGGGAGACCGATGGCCATCGGCGTGTAGATAGCACCGATCGACATGGGTCCAGGAACCACCCCCGGGAAGATCCGATGCTCGAGTCCGTCGGCGGGGCTGAGGATGGCCAAGTCGCTGTATCGAGCACTCATCGAGATGGGCACCGCGCGGTTGTGGATGGCTGTCGGAGGAGGCATGGCAGCGTCGACTTGGACGGGACCGAGCACAGACCGTCTGCGGAGCTGCGACATGGGCTTGGGCTCGACACAAGTCGGCGGGCAGAGTTGGATCGCCGGGCTGATGGGGCTCGGAGCCCAGGGCGAGGAAGGGCAGCCATAGGCGTTTGGGTACACTGACTCGGTCGAGCTGATGGGAGACACCATGCTGGCCATCAGCCGGGGCTGGAACATGCCCGAAGCCGACACCAGTTCGGTGCCTCGGGCAATAAAGTCTTCGCAGACGCTGGGCGGGTACGGGCTGCAGCCATCGACGAAAGCCGCTCGGCCAGCCGCCAGACCAGTATCGACCCGGGGTCTTCGTGTGGGAGTTACCAAAACGTCACCGTGGTGCTCGCTGGAAGTGGACTGAGCAAAATCTTCGACGGCAGAGTCCAAGCCAACATAGAACGAGTGGTTTGTATCTGAGATGTAACCGCAGCCAGAGTCGGCAGGTCCACCCCGAGACTCGTAGTCAGGCGGAATGGCGGGATCGTACGCACACACCAGCGATGAAGGGAAGGTAATGTAGCCGGACGAGGGATCCTGCAGCGCTCCATGGCTGAGCGCATCAATGGAATGGATGGCTTGGTCCATATCGAGGTAGTAGGCTCGGGTGGGATCTTGATCGGCGCCAAGGTTCATTAAGGGGTCTGGCGTCATGGCAATCAAGTCGTTTTTGACGCCGACGAAGAGGTTCGAGCAAACGAACTGGTCGCTGTCCTGCGAAGACACAGCCTCCATGTCGAACAGCGGAGACGGCGAGAGTGTTGACGAGGACGACAATACGGACGAGCTTGTCTGACTGCGTCGCAGGGCAGCTCGCTTGCTCTGGGATGCTTGGCAGGACTGGCCTTCCTTGCGAGCACGGCGGTTGGAGAGCGTGATGATTTCACGGTCGGCCAGCATGTACAGATGCCGCAGGATCTTCTCCTTGAGGCCGCCGCGGAAATGGGGATGGCACTCCTGCACATACAGCACAATGTCGGCGGTTTGGGGTGGTTGGTCTGTGGGCCGCAAGAGTCAGGGCAGAGCTGGATGAGACAGGGTACGGACACTCATGCTGTCGAATGTGCGGACATGCACTGAAAAACAAGGACGATTATGCTGATCGGCCGGTGGATTGGATTGGATTGGATTGGATTGCAGGGGGGCGTTGCTTCGGATAAATGGGGACAGGGGGAGGGAAGGGGCGGCGCCATGGGCCGTGCGGATTGCAAGGGATATGCAGTTGCACCCTGCGGAGGGTATGATTGACCCAAGTGCTGTGATCTTCTGACCAAGACCAAGGCCAAGGACCCTGATTCTGATCCTCGGCCAAGCTTACTCACCGGCATGGCTGGCCTTGAAGCTGTCGATAAAGTCTTGGATCCCCTTGTCGACTTCGGGGTACTTGGGTCGCCGGCCACGGTGGATGGTCAGGTTCTCCTCCTTGTTTTCCTCAAGGCGCTTGATAATGTCTTGGCGCTGCTCATGCCATCGGCGGATGTGTGGAGCCGGGATGCCGAACCGGCGGGCGGTAGGCTTGATGTTTCGAGGCTTGCTGTAGGCCTCGGTGACGATCTTGAGCTTTTCTCTGAGGTTGTAGCGCACGACACTGAAGCGCTTGGCGCGGGGCTTTGCGGGTTCTGAGGGAACGGGCATGATGGCAGCGATGGTGGTAGTGATGGTGGTAGTGATGGTGGTAGTGATGGTGGTAGTGGTGGTGGTGGTGGTGGTGGAATACAAGGATGAGATTGGACAATTAAGGAAGATTACAACAGAAGTTGACGATAAGTCGATGAGGGGGGGGTGTCTCGGTGAATGAGATCACGGTTCAGGCTGAAACAGGGTCAAGCGTTAAAGGACCCACAGGGCTGGAGATGTTGCGACTCGAAGAGTAGAGGAGCGCGGGAGAAGGAAGGAGCCGGTGCTGTTTTGTTGAACCGACTGGGGTCTGGAAACCGCTTGGCGAAGAATGCTGCCAGAGAACAAAAACACGGCTTGGACGATGCAAGTACCGCAGGGTGGGAGGCAGCGGCAAAACCGGGGGGTTAAGGACGAACACTCGACAACTACTCGGCAAATACTCGACAAATACTCGTAAACACTCGTTAAACACTCGTTAAACCCCCGAGGGAAGAGAGAAGACGACGGACAGAGCAGATGGCGGAAGGGGGAGGGGATGGGAAGAGAGCCAAAGGCCGCCTTTGAGATCAGCGGGTTTTGGAGCCGAGACAGACGGGTGGGAGACGGAGCGTCTTGAGCACCGAGACCGGCGAGGGACCGGGAGGGGGGAATAAAAAGGCAGCGGGGGCCGTTGGGGCCGTTGGGGCCGCTCGATAGGGCGGAGGACGGAGGGGAGTCAGCCGGCGGAACCTCCGCCCTGATCTCGGGATTGCAGCTCGATGGCAACGAGTGGTGAGCCTGCAACCCCGCCCAGCGGGGCGGCGGATGGGCCGTTGGAGATCCAACCACGGCCGGCGGAGGCAGTCGGAGATGGGGGCGGCGAGGGCGGTCCGACAATGGAGCCGAGCGTTGCTGAGTGCGGTTGAGTGCGGTTGAGCGTTGCTGAGTCTGGTTGAGTGCGATGGAGTGTGGTTCAGTTCAATTGGACCTCCACAGTTCTGCTGGAATCCACACAGAGTGCTCTATCGATGCGATCGCACTCGACTGTGGCAGTATGCCTTCCCGCATCCTCGGGCTGTTTCGGTCGGGTGCTTGTGGATCGACCGGCCATTGTTGTGTCGGGTGATTCTGCCAAGCACAATCACAAGCCCAGGCAGGATCGGTTGGCAGGAACCAGCGCAGCTCATGACCGGCCAGCATGACCAGCGAGCGGACAGCCTGCAGGAGTGGTTCGAGACGGGTTTCATGGAGCAATGCCCACCGTCCGTCCTTCGGCTCTGCCGCCATGTCGCCCACTCCATTCAGACACCCGCATCCTTTGTCGTTGGAAACAGGCATGGCCCGGTCGGATCAGCACGCTGGCCAAGCTCTCTGGCCTCGGCTGGTCCAGATCGCCGCGCTGCGATCGGGTTGAGCGGATTTCGGACAGCCGGACGAAACAGCCTCTTCCTGCGCATCGATACTCCAGCCCGGCTGGCCAGCCAAGCAAAACACTCCCAGATCGCCTGCCTCCCCTCCTCCCACTTTGCCCGATCGTGGGATAGGACAATGAAGGCCCAGCGACTCAGCCTGGCACACTGCTTCGGACGAGGCCGGACGGAAACAGCACCCGGCTGGAGCGAGCTGAGCAGAGTGAGTGCTGCAAAGGCGGTGCTGTTTGGCAAGTCCGGCAAGCCTGGCAAGGCGATCTGCCACGATGCACTGTCCGGACCGGACATCGGCATCGGCGAGTGCAGCGGGCTCGTCTGCATGCCGCCTCGCCAGCAGCTCCGGAGTTGCATATGAGGATTGCTTGCCAGCCAAGGACACACCGCAAGACTCAACCCGCAGGACTCAACATGCAAACCAATCGGATACTGCAGGACGCAGTCGGATACCACAAAAGTCAATCGGGTGTGCTCGATGTGTGTGCAGGGGGGGGGGTCAGATGTCCGATACCGCATCCGATACGGCATCCAATACGGCATCCGTTGCAACTTTCCCGCGCTTCCGCTCCAGGAAGTCGGTGACAGCTGTGGATGGTGCGATGGGCAGAGACCCCCTTCCCCGAGGCCATATTGCCGCGGCTTGCCTGGCGTCCACGAATCTCCCAGAGGGAGAGGGCTGGGCCATGAGAAAGTGTGGGGTTGCGCAGAGGAGGGAGACGGGTGTGACCTTGACTACTCCCCACACACTGCAATGTCTGATATCCTGTCTCCCTTTCATAGCGTGCCTCGCAAGCAAGTTCACAGGCACGGTATGTTGCTACCTGGGTATCTGGTCCGATCCGACTGATCCGACTGGTCGGGCTGGTCGGGCTGGTCGGGCTGCTCTGGTTCCCATGGCTGTCGTCCGGCTCTTGAGCACATGGCCCATCCTGCCTCGGCTGGTCGTCGATGTTAGTCTTGCATACCCCCCCCCAGTATATCGAGCGCTCCGCCGCGCAGGGCATCACATGGGTGTCCACGAGGTCTATTCGGTCATATTTCGATGTGGATCGGAAGCTGGGAAAGAGCAGCAAGACCAGGTTCCCACGCGGTCCGCCATCGCACCACAGTCCCGCAATCTCGCTCGCGATCAGGATGATGCTTGGAGGCGGAAGCGGGTGGGTGGACAGGTACCCATTTGCTGTGGAATGGACCTCGTGGTGTCCGATATGGCGCTAGCGGCTCCGGACTCGACCGCTTGCGGAGCAATACTGTCCGAACGCCATTCCAACGAGATTGAGGAGTCGGAAACGCAAGCGGGCTGGCGAGCATGAGCTGGTTCATCCGCGAGTCGGGCAGACACGCCTGTCGACAAGATTAGGCTGTGGACCCGACAGAGCTGGAGGGTGATGTCAGGAGTGATGTGCGATGAATCAAGACCACAGCCCGCCCAGCCTCCGGACGACAGCATTGTGCTCGTCCGAAGAGTGGATTGCGGGCGAGCACGAGAGAGGGACTTGGGAGTCGTCGCAGAGGGAAGCAGAGATGGATGTCTGCCGGACTGCTCCTCCAGAGGCGGAGCTCGGCAAAGATGAAAATACAAAGCCGAGCGGGATCTTGGGTATTGTCTTGTATCAGAAGGAATGCGTTTTGAAACCTCGGCTCGCGGGTACCCGGTCGGGCTGAACGTAGGTGCGAATGATTTGATGTCGGAAGATGAAGCTGTAGACCCAGCTGCTGACCGCCCAGAACAAGACCAGAAACGATATGTACTGGATCCAGCCACTCTTGAGGGTTTCGGCCAGCTTGGGCCGGTAGGTGACTGCTTGCTCCGGGAAGTGGATGCGGGTGTGGATTTGAAAATTGGATGATTGAGCGCGAGGAGCCTGCCACAGCTCAGTCAAAGGCGCAAGCGTTGTCCGCACTAGAAATGGGCAGCACAAGAGCGGTAAGCACACCTGTGATCTTGGCCGTGGTGGTTGTCACTCTCATGGAGTCGAGCCAGATTCACAGCACCGTTCTCAGAGCCCCCACGCCGTTCCCAAGCCCATCGACTGTCGTCCAACCCACCATCGCGCTGGTTGTATCGCTCCAGGACTGCACGCCATTCCCAAGTCGAGCGTGAGTCTGTAAAGTTCCAGATCGGGTCGGCATTCATGTCCCAGAGGCGCCCGTCGCGCACTCGGTCTCGTTGCACCAGTTGCAGATCGGCCTCGACATCCACAGACGAGCCCGGTGTGGTCGTCATGAGATCGTGCAGAGCCAGCGCGCTCATCTTGAAGCGAATGACATCCTGGGTATTCAAAGTTGGGTCGAGTGCGATGGGCAAGGGTGGTATCGATCGAGTTAGTTCTGTAATGCGATATGAGCAGCCAGTGGCTTGTCTCTTGCCGGAATTGGGTTTGGTTATCTTGTCCGAGGCCGCGGAGACTTGCAACTATCGCTCTCACATCTCACAGTCCTGCCAGGAGCCACAACGTCCCGGTTTACATCCTCGAAAGCATAGCCCACATCTACGTCGTGACTGGGGACGCAGGCCTCTTCCAGGAGACTACTTCACACAGCAACTTACGTAAAGGACATACTGCATCTCCAAGCCCAGTCGTACGTGGTAAATGTCCTCGTTGTCACGCAGCGGAATGGTCAACCACAGGTCAAAGTAGTCCACGATGCCGTCCCGATTGACATCCGTATCTCGGAACTAGATTGCGAGCCGATACGACGAGGGAGGATGGACCGTGAGATTAGCACGGGCATGGGAGTGTGTCCATCGTTGCGCAGAAAGCGTAGGCATGGGGGAAGAGCAAAGAGGCGCGAAAGTCTTTCGCTGGCACTCTTTTCTCTTGCACTTTGGCTCAATGGACCAGCATTCAACCTTCTGGGGGTGGGCTGGACACGGGTGTGCGAGTCGTTACTGCCACTGGTAGTCTGCCATCCCCCCCCATCCGGCCAAAGCGCCTGGCAGATCGGACCTTTGTGTCGATCGTGACTCAGGAAGCCAAAAATGATGAACACGGCCATCTCGGTGGCGTGAGCCCGAGAAGGGGGAGTGTCAGGCTTGGGCCGGGCTGGAGAGCCCACGAAGGACAAGCCGACCGGCAGGCCGGCGAGCAGGCAGACAGGCGAGCAGGCAGACCAATCAGCCGCACAGCTATCATGCGCATGGCTGGCAACGAAGCAAATATCCGGGCGGACAAGGAGGCCAGCCGAGCAGCATGCTCGGTGGAGGAGAGAGACGAAAGAGATGGTGCAATGTTACCTTGATGGTGGGCACGCGGGTGTGGTCGTTGTAATGGACGTTGTAGGCCTCGCTGGATGCCCAATAGATCGAGAGCGGCAGGATGCTTGAGGCAGCGCGCACGTTGCCCTCCAGTAACAGGACCATGTTGCCCGTGAATCCGACCTTGGGCTGCTCAAAGGAGGTCGCCAGCTTGAGCCAGAAGGCTGGTGAAAGAGCTCCGTTGAGTTTGGATTGGATTGGATTGGATTGGATTGGATTGGATTGGATTGGATTGGATTGGGTTGGAGTGGGTTGGAGTGCATCGGAGTGGATTACATGGCATTGAGTGGCATTGAGTGGCATTGAGTGGCATTGAGTGGCATTGAGTGGCATTGAGTGGCATTGAGTGGCATTGAGTGGCATTGAGTGGCATTGCATGATCCCGGGGCGTTGTTGGGCGCCACGACGAGTGCCAAAGCAGGCGCGGCGTGCATGGGCGTTCGGCGCCATGGCCATACAGACGAGCGGGGTGCCATAGAGGAGCCAGTTTGTGCCGGTGTGTGTTGCGGTGCCATCGTCATTGGAGGCGAGCAGGGTGGTATTGAGTTGGCCCGTTCATAGAATGACCGCCAGCGCCATCCAGTTGTGTCGGCCGGGGGATGCGCCAAACCACACGGGCACCGATCCGGCCCCAAATGTAGGTCCCCGACGCCGGTCGCAGATGCAAGCCCCAATTCAGATACGAGCCGGGGATGGCCCGACGAGACCAATGGGGAGGGTTGACCGCAGAGGAACAGCCGTTATCGACGGCGAGGATCAGTCGGGCACGCGGCAGGGCGGCATGGGAAGACCCCGAGACCGGAGAGACAAGAGAGCGGAAAGGGGTGAGCACGATGCACGAGGCCGACGCGAGCGGCAAGGGAGAAAGGACAGCCGTCGCAAGGATGTCGAATCGCGAGCACACCGCAGCCGAGCGACGACAACGCCGCTGTCGATGTCATTGGTTAATCGCTCTCCCCACGAATACTCGGTGCTTGTGTTGAGACAGGACGTACATCCCGAGGCATAGGCGAGGACAAACGGCAGAACGAGCCCGGCGGCGGCCGTGAGCGCGAGCGAGAGCGAGGCCCACGAGAACAGCGGGGCATAGTGCCGCTTGAGGAACGGCTCGGCGTAGAGCGTGAGCATGCGATGGTGGTGGTGGTGGTGGTGGTGGTGGAGATACGAGACTGCGACGCCAATCGACCAAGAGTCAGGATCGCGGCAGCAGCAGAAGGCCGACGACAGCAGAAGTGAGAACGACGAGTCGGCCGGGAGGAGCGGGGCCTGCGAGCGGGAATGGGAGGATGGGGGAGGAGGAAAGACCAAAGGCGATAAGGGGTAACCAATGGCAGACCAGGCGAGGGGAGCGCGGGCAAGGGTCGAGCGGCTCACGGCCATGGGCCCGCGGGTGGCTGGCGGGACGCGGCGAGCACGGGAGCGCGCGCGGCGTGTGGCGGGGCGTGACCGCACGGCTGTCTGCGGCCAGGTCTGTGCTGCGATTGCTGCCAGTGTCGCCGACGAAGCCACGGGGCCATCCACCAGCATCGCACACCTTGGCGAGGCAGTTGCAACAAGCGCAATCCTGCTGAGACGAAAGAGCCTGGTTCGGGAGAGACAAGCGATGCGGGATCGATGGAGCAGAGTCGACAGGACAGCCAGGCGGACTGCGATGGACCGCGATGGACTGCGATGGACTGCGATGGACTGCAATGGATCCGACAGCGTTCGACACTACTCGCTTCTGCCACTCTGCACTGGCCAACAGCACTCGCTGCACACCGCTTACACTGCTTACACCGCTTACACTGGGAATGCCCTGGCAGTCGTGACTCTCCAGCGGCACCCAGGACAAGCCCTCGCCCACGGGTCTGTCCGCCTGTTTTGTTTATCGGGCCCACGGGGCTGGGCGTGGTCTGGTGCGAACGCCTTGCTGTCCTCGGGTGCACGAACCGCCGCTGGGTCAGCAGCAAAGCCTTTGTGCCCTGCTCATGCTGACCCTGGCTCCGTGCCCGGCCCCACCAGACGCGCCGGCCCTGGTCGCCAGAGCCCGTGGCCCGGGGTCTGGGCAGCCCCCACGCCAGCCGGACAAATTGGCCGCAGTGGACCGAGCGACCACCCTCACACACGCTTGGCTCGGCCCTGTCCTGCGTCGTCTTGCCCTGCGTCGTCTTGCGTGGATGCAAGTCCCTGGTCTTGTCGTCGCAGCATGTTGCCGTGTCCTGTCCTTGCGCTGGATCGCGCAACCAAAATACTGCAGATCAAAATTTGCCTCGTCTGCCTCTCCTCGCATCGTCCCGGGCACTTGAATGTCTGTCGCCCCCTCTCCCGCGTCCGCCGAGCCAAATGGATCGCCTGGCGCAGACCGGCGACAGTACCCTTCCTTCCAAGTAACCCACCCTCCGCGTTCGCACGCCCGCCGAGCACCACGGCCTCCTCGGCACTGCTCCAGGTCCACCGCAGATCGGCCCACCGTCGCCTTCTGGATCTGGCCTTGGTTGACCCCGCCGAATCGGACTTTGAGCCGCCACCAGGACACCAGTACTATTGGAAGTGCGAAACCCCCACCCTGACCGTGCCCGCTCGTGCGCTACCAGATCTTTTTTTTTTTCGTCTTTGACAAGCCAAACTTCCTCCCATCATCCGCTCGCTCGCTCCCCATTCTGTTGCCCACCTCCTTTGCTTCCGTGCCCTTTCTCCCCCGCCGCCGCCGCCGCCGCAATGGCAGTCATCGGGCTCATTGTCACCATCCTCGCCGCTGGCCGAGGCAGGAAGGTACTCTCTCCACCCCTCCCGATGGAGTCCACCAACGTGCTACCCTGTCACCGGCAACTGCGCGGTCCTTTCTGTCCACCTCGACAGAGCCGCTGCCGGACGCTGGTCGGATGATCTGATAAACCACTCAAAGCCATCCCGAGCCGACTCTGGCGGTGGCATCATGAGGTCGATGGTGGAGACATTAGTCGCACCGACGTGTCCATGTGTCGCTCTTGTCTCTGCCATCCACCACAGACGGGTCGCTTGCTTTGCCCGTGCGCTCTGTGCCGGTTCCCCCTCTATGGTGGCCTGAACTCGCCGTCTCTGTCCATCTCGCGGTTGTCGCCGTCGAATACACCACTTGCCTGCCTCGAGCTGCGTCTTCATGGACGTGGCTGTCCAAGTGTCGCCATTGCCGCTTGATCTATCGGCCACTTCATCCACCCCATTCGAGCATTCCTCACATTCATCCATTCCTCCTCATACTCCCTCGTCATCTCTGTCTACCCATCGGGATGCGTGCCGATATCGATGGATATCGATGGATACCGATGGATACCGATTCGGGTATCGCTCTCTGTTGTCCGTTGTCTGCCTATCCGTTCCTTTCGTTTCCTTTCCTTTCCTTTCTTCCCAGCTGCCTGTCCCATCGATGTCGGCGTTGGTGCTGTCACCATGGCAGCCATGTCCTCTGAAAGCCACTCATTCGAGAGGCCTCTGTCTCCGCTCCCCTATTACAAACCCAACTCCACCTTCATTCCTGTCTCCGCTCTCCGCTTTCCGCCCTCCGAACTTGCAATCTTGTCTTTGACTCTAGTGTCGTCCCTGCTGCGGCTTGCGTTTCCATTTCCATGCTAAACTCCCATGCAGCCCCGCGACCGTGTCCGCCTGCAATTGACTTTGACCAGTGTCCATGGCATTGGCTGCTCAGTGCTTTGCCCGGCTACTGTTGGCCCGGCTGCGATTCGCTCGGCTGCCGTTCGCCGACTTGGATGGCAGGGCGTGCAAACCATGGCCAAAGCCGGCATGTCCCCGCCTCATCTCAGCGGCAACGTTCGCCACAAGATGCAGTCAGATTGCACCATATCCAAATCTCGCCGCGCTGTCCTTTCGCCCCACCCTACTTCGGGCCTTATCGCAAACTGAGGGCGGAGCCTGCTTTCCCACAGATTTTCCCGCCCACGGCGCGAAAGGCGAGGGGGGGGGGAGGCCATCGATCCCACCCGCCATCAGTAACATCACGGCTGAACTTTGGCGCTCGGTCAGATTGGTATCGATCCTCTGGCCGAGCTGCTTGCCATAGACAACCCGTGCGACGACAGGACACACCGTGACCATCTTGTCGGCCTCCACCACCACCGTCTGCTCGCTCAAGTGATCTGCTTGTGCCGAGACATTTGGACACCACTCTTGGACACCACTCTTGGACACCACTCCGCCCCTATGGTATCCGCTGGGCAGATTGTCGTGGGCGACTAAGCGGCTGTCGGGAGGAGTTTTCCCATGAAATTGCAACCAAGTTGCTGGCGTGGTTTTCGGATCTGGAGAGTGCGGTGTGGTGCCTGGGCTGCCCGCTCTCCCTCCATCGGCCACCTGTGCCCAGCCAGGCTCGACCACCGAGTGGCTTTCCTCATCGACACAAGGGTGACACCGGCTCAGTTGCTCGACCTGTCAAGACGGACAGGGCCGCACAAGTCGAAAGAAAAAGAGCCGCGTGCTGGACAAACAGGGCTGCAGTCCCGAGCCTGCCGCAGAGCCACCACAACTACTCCCGCCACTACTACTTTCTCCGTCCTTCTCCCCACCCCTCTCTTTCTTGCTTCCTCCTCCCCCCCCCAAAACCTCTTTAGTGGATCAGAAATTACACGTTGCTGTCGGACCAGCGAGTGTATCGGCCGCTGAAGCTCGTCGAGACTGGGATGAGGGATGGATAAGTCCGGGATACTCGGTCGGCACCTGGAGGAGGAGGAAGAGGAGGAAGGATGGGCTGCCCTTGTGACTTTGGCTCTTGGGCAGTGCAATCGTTGCAATGGGCCATCTGGCTCTGACAGAGTGTGCGCTGGTCGCCTGGTTGCGGACAAGGACCTCGGCGAGCCTCCGGGTGCGGACAGAGCGGGATTCTACCTTCTTTCTCGGGGCAGATTTGGAGGCGGGTGCGTGGGATGCCAATGCAAGCGCGAGCGGGGAGTGCCGGCAAGCAGTACAGCGACCACGAAGGACAGCGGCCGCAAAGGATGGCGAGCCCACGAAGGACGAGATTCAAGCCCGACACCAATCTCAAAGGAGCAAAAGCGCGACGGCTGGCAATGCACATTGGGCGGCGGATGATGCATGCTCTTGGGCTCCTTCGACGAGCCGAGCATGGGTTGGGTTAGCCAGCCTCGTCTGAAGGGCGAATCACTTAAAGCTGAGTGAGGGTGGTGGGCATATGCCCATCGCAGGGCAAGCCTCGACACACGGCCGCCGCAGGGACTCGAGACCCTGTCTGCCCGCCTGTCCAAGGCCTGTCCAAGGCCTGTCCAAGGGCCTGCACGGCGAAAATGCGCGGCGCCCCAGCGAGATGTCGTGGGGAAGCACCATGGCGAATGCCCACCATCGTTGTTGTTACCGCCGCCGTCGCCGTTACCGATTTCACCTGCTTGGCCATCAACACTGGCCTTTGCCTTCGGAATCGGGAGGCGCAAAGGATCAGAGTTTGTTTGCGTCTCGGGATCGATTGCAAGGTGAGACGACGGTGGTCGCGGCATCGGCTGAGTGGTGGGCCGGTTGGAGACCAATCGGATATCCAAGGTGCCTGCTGGGAAGTGGCATTGCTGGTGCGAGGCCAACGGCACCGAAGCCGACCATGGCAAACTGGCTCCCCAGGCGAGATGGGCACGGTCGCCGATGCAAGCTTTGTCGCTGCCTGATCGTCTGGACAGCACAGGCTTTGTCCCAAGATCCGTTGATCTTGTCAAGTGAGGGCAGCGGCCTCGCCCATTGAGCCGCGCCCTTGTGCAGGGCCTGCTCGCTTGCCCTGGTCTGCAACCCCCCCCCCCGCCGATATTGGGCCTTGATGCCCTGGGCAGCACTCAATTCACTTCGTGGTGGAGCGCACTTCTCGCGGGCTGCTATGGCACTGGGCTTCGGCTGCATCCGCCTCCTGACCCCCTCCGCGGGCACTGTTGCAGTGCACGGTCTCCGGCTGGCTCCCAGGCCCGGCGGGTCCCTTCGCTCCCCCCCCCGTCTGTTCGCTACGATGTCGATCGCACGGCCGCCCCAGCCACTGGATGTGCCCTGTACACAGATATAAACCCGCCCTCCCGCTCGCCTCACCCCCACCGGCTATTGGATGTTCCAGGCTTTGGCTCGACTTTTCTGGGAGGCGCCCTCGTAATTGGCATCCTCCGTAATTAACGTGTCTCCTGAATATCACATCATACTCCTCCCCCTTCTCCTCCCTCGCCTCCCACTCGCCTCCTGTCCCGCCGCTCCACCCTCGACCGCTCCATCCGCAAGCCCGCGTCGTTCGCCATGCCAAAGACCTTTGCAGAGAAGCGTGTGATTGTGAACGAGGCCTATGCCGTCCCTCGCAATATCAAGGCCACGGCAAGAAAGTATAGTGTCCAGCCTCAGCACATCCGGCGCTGGGCCAAACAGCTCCAACGCCGCCAGCTCGATCATCTGGCTGCCTTCTCGTCGCCCGCCGGACTGGCCCGCACGGCCTCGCCCTCGACCCTGTCCGAGTTGTCGTTTGCCAATCTCGCAAGCGCCCCGGGTCTGTCGGCCTCCGAACCACTCCACCGTCGCCCGAGTCTCCTTGCCTCTGCAGCCGAACCCGACACTCGGGTCGCTGCGGCTGGCATCCCTGGCATCCCTGGCATCCCTGGCATTGCCGTCATCTCAGGCATCGCGGCCATCTCAGGCTCCACAGGCTCCACAGGCTCCACAGGCATCCCGAGTGTTGCTGGTATCGCAGATGTCGCTGGTGTCGCTCGCATCCAAGACACCACAGGCATCCCGGCGATTGCTGCAGACATTCCTGGTCCTGGCCCTGGTCACTTTGCCCACCTCCCCGAGACCTCCCGGCTCTCGCTCCACACCCATCTCACTGGCCATGTCTCCTCATCCGACCACCCCCAGCACTACTCATCCGACCACACCCAACACTACTCGGCCAGCCATACCCAACACTACCCGAGCCACACTCCCAGCCTCCCGAGCTACTCGAGCTACTCTGGCTACTCGAGCTACTCCGGCCATTCCTCCATCCATCTGCCTGACGACATTGTGACCCACTCCCCCGCTCACGCTCCAGACTACTCCACCACCCACACCCCACACCATTCAATGGCCCATGTCTCGAGTTACTCTGTCGCCCATGTCGCCACCCATGCTGCCACCCATGTCGCCGACCACCCTCCCTCGCACATACCCCATCACGTTGCCGGCTCCCACCACTTCCCCGAGTCCTACATCCTCGACCACTGTCGCCCCCACGACGCCGTGCGCATTCCAAATGTCCACCGCATCATCCAAGCCGGATGTGCCTCGCCGATGCGCAACTCGTCGCGATACGATGCCTCGATCGAGCACCCGGTGTCGCTGCTGTCAGATGCAAGACCACACGGCCAACCGGGACCACCCGAACTGCCCGAGCCACCCGGCCAACTGGCACCTCCGAGTCTCCCGCACCTGTCGGTCTCGCCTGTGTATGAAACCAAGCTGGCGATCGAGGACCTGCAAGCATTTGGCGGATCGCTCTCGACGACCATCCCGGATCCGCTTGCAGGAACACTGCCGACAGCAGTCTCGACGACACTCTCGACGACATTCTCGGGGACTCACCCGCTCTACTACAAGGGCCAGGGTCACGGCAGTGTGGTGAAAGACGAAACAGTGACAAGCGGACCAATGGGCTCGTCAGTGCCGTTCCTCCCAGGTACTTCATCGGCCACTCGCCCGATTCCCATGTCTCAGGTCAGCACCTTCCCCATTCACCTCGATCAATCCGAGAGCTGGCTCCGTTCGCAACCGCACAACCCATCCGAGTCGTCCTTCCCTGCCGAGCTCTGCGCGCCACCCTCGCGCCCGTCAGGATCTGTGCGATCGTCACCGTACCCTCAAGCATCAGCCTTCCCACCAAGTGCCCGACGCGAGTCGCGATCGATCAACTCGCTCATGATCGAATCCCATGCCCCAAGACGACGCTGCAGTCACTATGAGATCCTGAACTCGGTGTGTGATGGTCCCCTCGCACTGGACAGCTCCTCCAGCCTCCCGGCTTCCTCGAGACAGCCCTCAATGTCCGCCCAGTCCAGCTTTACCTCGCCCGATGCCTCGGTCGTTTCCGCCGTCACCAGTCTCCCGGCCCCGATGTCACTCCCAAGTCTGGCGAGTCTGCGCGGCCCATCAGGCTCCCAGACCCTCGGCTACTTCATCCCGATGAGCTCCGTCCGGTTAAACACCCACGATTTTGAAGCCACGCGACCGTCGTCATGCGATCCATCCCTCTATTCGCTTGCCCATTCTGTCCAGCCCAGCCCCGGCATCCTGGCCGATTCCCGTTCTCTCTCCGTGGCCTCGCCACACTATTCGTTCTCGACCCCGGCGATGGCAACCGCCCCAGTCGATGGAACATCGCCACCCATCGAGGTCTGTCCGACAGACATTACCTTTGCAGCCCCTCTGGATGTCTCCCCTCTCTACCCGTATCCTCAGAGCACTGCGTCTCCTCCAAAGTACTATCGTCCATCCCCATCGCGTTCCCCCAGTTTCCCAACGACCTCTTCTGGAATGAATGCAATCTCGATGCACCCACAGGGAGACCAGCAAAACCCTTACATCCCTTATCTTCCTTGATCGTTTCAATGGAACAGTCCGATGAGGGGTGGCATTCTCCCTTGCCCTCGCCCTGACGGAAGCCTTCTTTGAACTTCCATCGTTGCTTCGTTCCCGGTCCACCCAACCCTTGGACTCGCATTGCCCTTCGCTCAAGATTAGTACGCTTCTTCCTCCACCTCAGCCTCCGCCTCCGTGATTGACAGACCGACGACGGTTTTCACCAGTTGCCCCTCGCATTGACCCATCCTGTGACAAACCTCTGTTTCTGCATATTTTGCATCTAGCTCTTGCACATCACCAACCCTCCATCGTACCCGCAGCTCCCCTCTGCTGATTCCAGGCAGCGGTCTTTTCGCCCTTCTTTTGTTCTCGCCTTCCTTTCTTTTGACTTGGTCCCATCAATCCATGCCCTTGCCTGTTGTTTCATCAATCTTCCTTTTGATATCTCCATCCACATGTTTCATTTCTTTCTCTTGCGACTGTTCTTCGCACCCCCCCCTCTCATATCGTTATCCCCACACCTTCCCCCCAAAATCTTTTACATCTTGTTCAAATCTCAATGCCTTTCATTTCTTCTTTGAAAATTTGCATTTCTCGCACGTTGCGCTGCTTTCACAGACTCGATTCGGCTTCTGACATCCCCACTCTAACGCTCCTCTCGATATCCTCGTCCCTCCCTCACTGCCTCGATTTCCTAACGATCGAGCGACCTTGCTCTCTCTCCTCAATACCAAGGAATGTTTGCCCTTGCCGTTTTTTTTTCCATTGTTTCTTCCTTTATTGAAACTTCCTCCTTTCCCCCCGTGCCCTCCATATACCTTCGTCGTCGTGCTTGTGGATATTGGTGACTGTTATATCAATTTCACTACTGTGGTCATTTTTTCTGCTATTTTCATTTGGGTTTCTGTGTTCTGCTTGGATATAGCTTACTCTGGCTCGACTGCCCGGCTTTCTCTTGCTCCGTTGCGCCGCAGGTAGTCCCCCAGCCTCTTCGATCTGATCCTTGCCCTCGCCCTTACTTTCAACTTCGCCCTCACCTCCATTTTACCCTCACACTCCACCTTCGACTCTACTGTCACCAGCCCAGAAGGTTGTCGGCCTGCATTACGCTGGCGCTCCCCGTTGGTCAATCCCACCAGCACCGACCGTTTTCGTCCTCCACCATTGCTACTTCAACCAACGTGTTCAATATACCAGCGACTTCGACCCCCAATATCGGTGGCCTTGGCGTGTGTCGTGGAGGGTGCGGGAGCAGAATCGCTTCTTTCCTCTTCTCCCTCCCTCCCTAGTTTCCGCCATCCACCCAGTTTCCCCCGAAATCCCCATCCGACATCCACCCGGCCTCTCTGGGTCCTAGCGAATCAGGCGACTTGGCTTGTCTCCCATGACGGGGTCCCATTCTGGATCCCCTCGTAGTCGGCAGCATGACCAGCCGGGCAAATCCATGTCGGAATCATGTCGTGGAGTTCGCGCGGGCAACAACAACAACAACAACAAAAACGTCTGCAGTCGGATGGGTTCCCATGGCATAGCACGGCATAGCATGGCAAAGCAGCGAGTTCGACTGAAACACTAGTGTGTGGCCTGGAGGGAAGCTGGAATGAGACAGGGAGGACTGGGTACAGGTCGGAGCCAGCGCCAGCAGGGACGAGTAGGCGGTGGAGCGATGGTCAAGAGCTCAAGTCATCGTCCTCCAGCTTAGCCCGCTGGCCAAGATCAGGGACGAGCGGAGCAGCGATGCCGGATGGTCAGTTGGACTGAGCCGGTGTCAGGGCCTGGATCGACGGCGGGAAAATTTGAGAGTCGACGATGGCGGGCTCGAGGTTGGAGGAGATGAAGACAGCGATGACCTTGGCCGGGTGGGGGCGGGTGGGATTTTGGGCAACTGGGTGGGCAAAGCGGCTCGACCGCAGGGAACCAGGCCCAAGCCCGATCCCGAGTCTGATCCTCTGATCATCTGATCCTCTGATCCTCTGATCCGCCAATCCTGCTCCGAATCTGGTCTCCCTCCTTTGCCCCGGCCTGGTCTCCTTCGCTGCTCTGGTCCACAACGGCCGGCTCTTTCTCCCCCCCCTCCACCTCGCTGGTTTTTGCCGCTCTTATCTTGCCACGATGCACATCTTTGCTGGAGGACGGAGGGGGGCAGTGTCCTGGTCATGGCGCAAATGCTGCTGGTCAGGAGGGGAAAACAGAGGGAGATGGACGGCCCATTCCCCCCGGGGACTGCCAGGTTGGTCTCCAGCGTCAATAACGGCAACGACGTCGTCCGCTAGCCGAGTCGCTCAGCCGAGCAAGGACCATAGAGGGGGGCCAGCTTTGATCCGATCCCGCCCGATAGAGGATGCCGATAGCAGGCTGGACGAGACTGAGGAAGCGGTCGATGGCCCTGGGCCGCAGACTTGCCCACGACGAAGGGGGCATCGCCTCAGGAGCGATCTGCGCCGAGACCAAGTTTCCGAGAGAGCCAATGCAGTTGCTCCAGGCTCGTCCTCCCTTTGACCTCTACCATGCTCGCTGCGTCTCACGAGTCTACATGAGTCTTCGCGTGCTGTTGATTATCGCCGCGGCGGCCAGGGACTGTTGTTGGAGGAAGGCAGCAATGCGGCCTGGTCTTTGCTGGCCGGAGTCGACGACCCGTCAAGATGATGCTGCACACTGGCTCGGGCCGCTATCGCTCGGTTAGCTGTGGCATTGCCGCGAAGCCGACAGTCATTGATGTTCAGAGCAGCTCAATCCAAGTTGGACAATGTCGCCGCCGTGGCATTCGGATGCAACAGAGGACCAACATGAATCAAGTTTCGCCCCGATGCCTGCTCAGCACCCAACTTGCCCGATCGCTGCCGGCCGCCTGCAACTTGATCATCTGTATTTCCGGCTGTCTGGATCCAGTTGTCCAAGATCCGGTGTCCAGGGCCAGCCCGATCGCATGTCCTGCCCTGGAGGACCTGAGGGATGCCTCTTCCGTCGAGGACATTGGCCATGTTGGCGCCGCCGCTGTTGCAGCCAGCCTCGTTCATCCAGCGGCAATCAAATCGGGTCCTGTTGCAAGCAGGTGCGACATTGTCCCTCATGAACTCGAAAGATGACCCCTCCACCGAGTTGTATCCGCGCAGGTACGTTCCAGAACAGGCAATGAGATGCCACCGCAGCGCCTGATCAATCGCCGGAAGGGATCTATCAGAGGGGGGGGGTCAGAGAGCATCGAGGATAGATCTCGATGCATGGCGGCTGCTTTCGAGGAGCAGTCTCCAGGAGCAACGGGATCATTCGTGAGATCGCTTCGTGAGATCGCTTCGTGAGATCAGGCGACAGTGGCGGTGGAACGAGACAGAGCAAGCTCCATTCTTCGCAGGGTGCCCCATTGCCAACGCCGGACCAAGGAGTCTCCTGGACTCGGCTGCGATCCATCTCCGGGTTCGATCTTTGGATTCGATCTTTGGATTCCATCTTCGGATCCCATCGAACGTTTGATTGCTGAGGGGCGACATGTGAGTCTGGATCAGCTAAGGGATCTCGCATATCCAAAGCCCGATCGATTTGCTCACAGGACCAGTAGCATCGATATCGCCGGCAACAAAGGGCCGCACAAGATCAAGAGCAGAAGCAGCCAGCCGGCAATCACAGCGATGGGAGCATCTTTCATTTGGCGCATCGGACGGGCTGGCATCGCTGTTCGCAGGAGGAAGGGGCTAGTGGCAAGACAACCCACTCGCAGCCGACCAGAGAGGCGAGTCGCCGGTAGCTTGTGCTTGATGGATGACTGCCGACTACTGACGACCAAGCCCGATGCGGGAGATGCTCTGGGGATACCGACGGGCTGCCCTGGACCCACCTGGCGGGAGATGCTGAGATCGGCCGACTGTCAGCGACAGATGCGACATGACGAGAACGACCCCCCCCCAACGCGGACGCACGGGCAGCCACATTCTTGAGAGTCAACCCAGCATATACAAGAACAACAGTCGAGATAAGCTCCGCCATGGGACCAGCATCCGTCGATACCGAGCGCCCACGGCGGAGGACAGAAGCACCGGGATGTACCAGCGACCGCCATTTGGCCAAGCCAAGGTGGGTTCTGCGGCAGCGGGCACAGACGAGCGGCAGCAGATTGAGCTGAGCAGAAGGAGCTGAGCAGAAGGAGCTGAGCTCCAAACACTGGCCGCGGAGGTTGTCCTCCGCCACTCGCAAAAGGCACATTCGGAGATCGATGGCGGGCGGTGCTGAGTCGGATCGAGGGACAATCCCAGCCAGGGTATGAACAAAGCGTTGCGGAGGCAAGCCGGCGGCGCTGTCGATCCTGGCAAATGGCCAGAGAGAGCAGAGGAGTTGAGGGTCGTTCCGGCACTGTGCATCCGTGGGAGGCGACGACAGCATCGATGCCGCAGACCTCCAAGGAGAGTGGCGGGGCGACACCAGTCGGATCTGTGCGGAAATGCATTCCTATGCAGACGTTTGGGACGCACTCGCCGACGGTCCCGGGAACAGAGCAATGCCCCCGATGCAATTCAACCCCCAGGTCGCTGTGGACGCCAGAACAACCGCAGTCCCAGCAGCGATCCGATCCGATCCGATCCAGTCGAGATCCGATGTCTGCAGCGATCACTTTCTCCGGGCAGCGCTGGCGTCATTGCTGATCGGTCATCACTCTGGTCGCGTTGAACGATCGCTCTGAACAATCGCTCTGAACAGTCGCTCTGAACAATCGTTCGCCTCGCATTCGCACCTTGCGTTGCCCGCCTCGATGCTCGATGCTCCGTCTGGTCGTTCTCGTTTCGTGCCTCCACTTCCCCCGCCCTTGTGCTGCCCTGTGCGGCCCTGTGCGGCCCTGTGCTTGTGCTCGCATCAAAAGACGGCCTCGACAATTGGTTTGCGCTTGCCAACGTGAGTGGATCCTCTTGGACAGAAGGCTCGCCATTGCCTGCTCGGCTGCCATCTCCAACGGAGCAGGCTGTTCGGGCCCACCAGCGTCCCCAGACCACGCCCCTTCTCCGCTCGCAGTGCCTCGCAGTGCCTCGCAATGCCTCGCAACAACAAATGCTGCCCCATGATACTCGCGAGCGCTCTGTGGTGGTGCCCTTGAGTGCTATCGGAGTAATTGCGAGCTTGGACCGGACTGAGACCGGCCTGGTCGCAATCGCAGACCTCGTTGGGGACCTCGTCGCAGACCAGTCCGACTCCATCCGCTCGCCCATCCATCTGGACAAAGAACCTGCTGTGCGGGCCTGCCGCCGGCTGGGACACTGTGGCACACCTCCGGACCAACGACATCCTCCGTCCGTGGCTCGCCTCCTGCGTTCCCGCCAGGCACCTCTTGCTCCGCCCTGTGGTCGCACCTGTGGCGACTTGCCTCGACTCCTGGTGCTCGTCGTTCCCGCGCGCCCCTGGCCGCCGATCTCGTTATAAACCCTGGCCTGGTCACTCATGCCTCCCCTGCTCCCCAGCGACTCTGAGGGTCTTCCGCCTCTTTGGTCTCGTCTTCCGCCCTGTCTCTGCTTCCCGTTATTGCAAGTCCTCCGCCCACGATCGCCAGAGCAAATTTGAATGACTCCATATTTGAGTGATATCTGCACAGCGTTTCGATTATCAGTATGCCCAAATCCCTCGCCGAGAAGCGTGTGATTGTGAACGAGGCCTATGCCGTCCCTCGCAATATCAAGGCCACGGCAAGAAAGTATAGTGTCCAGCCTCAGCACATCCGGCGCTGGGCCAAACAGCTCCAACGCCGCCAGCTCGATCATCTGGCTGCCTTCTCGTCGCCCGCCGGACTGGCCCGCACGGCCTCGCCCTCGACCCTGTCCGAGTTGTCGTTTGCCAATCTCGCAAGCGCCCCGGGTCTGTCGGCCTCCGAACCACTCCACCGTCGCCCGAGTCTCCTTGCCTCTGCAGCCGAACCCGACACTCGGGTCGCTGCGGCTGGCATCCCTGGCATCCCTGGCATCCCTGGCATTGCCGTCATCTCAGGCATCGCGGCCATCTCAGGCTCCACAGGCTCCACAGGCTCCACAGGCATCCCGAGTGTTGCTGGTATCGCAGATGTCGCTGGTGTCGCTCGCATCCAAGACACCACAGGCATCCCGGCGATTGCTGCAGACATTCCTGGTCCTGGCCCTGGTCACTTTGCCCACCTCCCCGAGACCTCCCGGCTCTCGCTCCACACCCATCTCACTGGCCATGTCTCCTCATCCGACCACCCCCAGCACTACTCATCCGACCACACCCAACACTACTCGGCCAGCCATACCCAACACTACCCGAGCCACACTCCCAGCCTCCCGAGCTACTCGAGCTACTCTGGCTACTCGAGCTACTCCGGCCATTCCTCCATCCATCTGCCTGACGACATTGTGACCCACTCCCCCGCTCACGCTCCAGACTACTCCACCACCCACACCCCACACCATTCAATGGCCCATGTCTCGAGTTACTCTGTCGCCCATGTCGCCACCCATGCTGCCACCCATGTCGCCGACCACCCTCCCTCGCACATACCCCATCACGTTGCCGGCTCCCACCACTTCCCCGAGTCCTACATCCTCGACCACTGTCGCCCCCACGACGCCGTGCGCATTCCAAATGTCCACCGCATCATCCAAGCCGGATGTGCCTCGCCGATGCGCAACTCGTCGCGATACGATGCCTCGATCGAGCACCCGGTGTCGCTGCTGTCAGATGCAAGACCACACGGCCAACCGGGACCACCCGAACTGCCCGAGCCACCCGGCCAACTGGCACCTCCGAGTCTCCCGCACCTGTCGGTCTCGCCTGTGTATGAAACCAAGCTGGCGATCGAGGACCTGCAAGCATTTGGCGGATCGCTCTCGACGACCATCCCGGATCCGCTTGCAGGAACACTGCCGACAGCAGTCTCGACGACACTCTCGACGACATTCTCGGGGACTCACCCGCTCTACTACAAGGGCCAGGGTCACGGCAGTGTGGTGAAAGACGAAACAGTGACAAGCGGACCAATGGGCTCATCAGCGCCGTTCCTCCCAGGTACTTCATCGGTCACTCGCCCGATTCCCACCGCCGGCAGCCCAGATCCACCGCCAATGAGTCCTCTCAGCTTCGGAGCCACTCATGGGTATTCACATGATACCACGGCCGGTTACCCTCGACAACTCTTTGTAAAACATCAGTCCATAACCCATCAGGGCTTTGAACCAATCTTGAATGTTGCAGGCAATGGCACGATCGTTGATCTGAGATCGCGCACTCATCCCACCAGAATCCACTCGCCATTGCCGGTTGGGCCTCTGCACGATCCACGTCGCCCCATCATGCCGGGCCCAGCCAGCTCCTGCAGCTCCTGTTCAAATCTCCAGTTGCCACGATACTTCGTCCTTGACCAACGCGGCTACCCTAGCCTTGAACCTCGTCCAGCCTCGCAACCACCGAGTCGATATCCCAGCCCAAATGCAGCATGGTCGATGAGGTACTCGCCGGTGCACCAGTTGGATTCTTCAGAGTCAACCCCGACGCTTTCCCCAGAATCGCAGACGCTGTCGGCACCCTTGAGCAGCTTCAGACCAAGATTTGGACCCTTTCTCAGCCCCGACGACATCTCCATCCATCGGCTTGTTCCCGACGCTAGCCAAGATAAACCGATCTAGTCGCCTCGACCAATCTATGGACTGGGCAGATCTATCGCCTGGATCTATCGCCTGGATCTATCGCCTGGATCTATCGCCTGGATCTATCGCCTGGATTGACCCACTGACTGCATTTCTTTGACCCATCGCTGCCTCCCTCCTGCAAATAGCAGGATTCAAGTTTGTTCGCGGCCGCTCGGCCTGCTGCTGTATCGCCGATACCTTGTCGCTATCTCTTTCCCCAGGCGATCCTCTCCTGTGATCGCCTGTCTGACCCCTCTCGTAATACCCACTCGCTGCTCTTCAGAGCTCCCACGAGTGCACGAGCGGGACATCACATGTGGCTGTTGCAACTGACTGAACTCTACCCCCCTGTGATTGTGATGATCCAACACTGCGTCATTGGCCTGGTTATTCTGTCTCCTGTAATTTCGTTATGAAATAGCGGGCCCTGTTGATTGATCTGACTCCTCGGCGCGATTTGGCCGGGGAGAAGCTGCGATCAGTGTTGATCAATGCGGTCTCATTGAAATGCGGTCTTGGTGGATAGCCTCAGTCCCGCATGTCCGTGAGTGATGATCGGCTGCGATGGTGTCGGTGTGGGGTATCGCTTCAAAATGGAGATGGTGCCCGAAACGACGGGGCCTGGGGCTCATCGAGTCACAGTCGCATTTCACCGCCGTGCTTGCGTGCTATCCCTGCGTTCGTCCGCTGTTGCCCTCCCCATGTGTCCGGACTGGGCCCAGGGAGAAGCCCCGCCCGTGGCTTCGTCGCAATCTCCGCCATACACCCACATGCCTGGCCCAGTCACCAGATGTCGTGCGAGCCCGGCGGGGGCGTTGTGCACTGCACCCAGCGGACAGGCCGCTGCCTCACCTTGCGCAAGGGCGGTCCTGTGGCTGGGCTGGCTGATCAGCGGCCGGCTTGTGGGAGCAGCTCCACCGTCCTCTGGAGGGTGACCAGGGACTGCAGCCAGGCTGAGGCGTGGGAACGGAGGCGACCGCCTGATCGCAACGGGAGAGCAAAACAGCAGACGACCCCCCCCAGACAAGCGGAGCAAGCCTCTGCCGGTCAGTTCCTTCAGGCCCTGGCTCGGATCGGAGGAAAGAAGACGCTCGACCGTCGGCGATAGGCGGGGTCGGGGTTGGCGATACACAGGTCGACCACCCGCCTCGAGCAACCATCTGGGATCCGGACTCGCTTTCAGCAATGCGGCTTCCGCCGGCCGTCGACATGACCAGTGCTGATGCTGATGCTGATGCTGATGCTCGTCGGCCAGGCAAACCGTCAAGGACAGTGAGCCCCTTGAGTCTTTGGGCCCAGGGGCTGGTGTTTGCGCCTGCTGCGCACGCTTGTGCGCCACAGCCAGCCACAAGAACCGGCACGGCGGGTGACGCATCACTGCGGACTGTTGCGCTTTGCTGGCAACTGCCCCAAAGCTGTTCCAGACAACTGCCCTGTGTCGACAGAAAGCTGCAGGAAACTGCACAGCGCCGCGACACCGCGATGCGCGCCGAGCCGCGTCTGTGTCGTGTACAGCATTTCCATCGGCGCCCTTGTTGTCAAGCGCCGTGTGACCCTGAGCGCGCTCGGTTTTCGCGTCGCGCCACCGGGCTTTCGTTGCAGCGCGGCCTGCCCATCGGCCTTCCCCTTTTCTCCTCGGTCTTCCAGCCCGATGGGTTGTCGTCTCCCTGCTTGCCATCGCCTCGAAAGCAAGAGCCAAGGCTGGCCTCGTACCGTTTGCGTCTACTCCTTTTTCTTCTTCTGCTTCTGCTTCTCGACCCTGCATCGATAGATAGAACCCATGTCCTGCATCGACCTGGGCGTCTCCACATACTGCGCGGCTTTTGCTGGTAAGGCTGGCGGTTGGCATCGGGTGCTGTCGCTCGCTTCTGCCTCGGCACCAGCATCCGTCTGTCTCGAGCCCGTGTCTGCTCATGCCCGACTGCCTCTGCGGCGTATCGCGCAGGCTGCACAGCGGGCATCGTCGGCCCCGGTTGGCACATCCGAGGCGTAAACTCCCCCCCCCTTGTGCTTGGCTTGTGTTGTTGGATATTCGACCACCCTTCGGCTGGTCCACTTCTCTGAGGCTCTGTCACAAGCGCTCACCGCCCTCGCTCCTTCTGCGTATTAGGCAACTATGTCCTGTTCAACACGCCAACAGGCCAGTACATCGATAGCCTCATCAACAGCAGCATCAGTGGCGGATACGCTGCTCAGATGCAGCAGGGCTGTCCTGGCTTCAACCCCAATGCCGTGCGATACCACATCACCCAGCTCTGCGGATACATGGTCTTCAACAACGGCGCAAGCTGCACGGAAAATGCCAACAAGCCGGCGACGGCACATCAGATGTGCTCTTCCACCGAAGCAGCTTACCTGAGCTCCTTCCTCGCCCAGACCCAGACCACCGGCTGCAACGCCAACAGCACCAACATCCAAACCGAGCTGGCATCCAACAACCAGCTGCAGGCCGCCCTTGCTGATTCGGCGGGCTGCATCACCAGCACCAGCTTTGACTCGGCCAACTGCGGTAGGCTGTCGTCGTCACGCCTTTCAGCCATCGCCGATCTGCTTGACTCTGCTTTCAGGCGTGTCCTTGGGCAATTGGCTCACCAGCAGACTCTGTTCATCGACTAGGCTTTGGCGATCAGACCAGTGCTACGGCGTTTTGCCTTTCCAACCCGACACAGTCCTGCTGTGCTTCTCTCCAGGCCAATACTACTGCTACAGTCACAAAAACTAGTGCGTCGGCTCCCATTGCCACCAGATCGACCGGCCCATTGACTCTATTGCCCCAACCCACCACCTCCGCACCCTCTGATGGCAACTCGTCGTCAAGCGTACCTCTGCCCGTAATCATCGGAGCTGCGGCCGGAGGTGTTGTGCTGCTGGTTGCCCTGATCATCGGAGTGATCTTGGTCCGCCGACGAAAGACCCGCAACCTCGAGAGCGAGCCCCATCAGTTTGCCACCGCAGCAGCGTTCAGCGAAAACGGCACAGGCATCACCGTGAATGAAACCATGGAGTCTGTGTACAACTACGTCCCCAACCTCTCGGACGAAATCTACATTTGTAAGTTGAATGGCCAGGCGATTCACCGGTTGCATTCTGGGCTATGGGTGCTCGTATTCGGCAGTGCACCCGCGACCATCGACTGTGCTTCGTCTTAGCTGATGCACTTGTTTCCAAAATAACCAACACTCTCTTACCCCTCCCCCGTTCTCTCAGATGTTGGCGACTCTGTGCTCGTCAAGAACAAGTTCGACGACGGCTGGGCCTTTGGCTACAACCTCTCAACCAAGCAAGAGGGCACCTTCCCGCTTGCTTGCTTGGCTCCTTTGAATGACCAGGGACGAATCAGCACGCAGCAGGAGATCAGACAACCCATCCGTCAGCGTGGCTCCTCGCTGTATGCCCCCAGCAGTGGTGTCTAGTCACTATGCCTGCTGCTAAGTATCCGAGCGCGGCTATCAACCCCATGATGTTTTCCTGTCATCATGAACATTGACATCGACATGGATTCCTGGATCCTATGGCTTCTTTTTTTTTTTCCTTTCCTTCTCTTTCGTACATCTGGGTTTCGTGGTGCTTCTTCTTTTCGTCTGTATATGCTCCTGCTTCGGATGTCTCCCTTTCCATTCCTTGCTGATCTGTGCGTGCGGTCAGGGTGTGCCACTGCCCACACGACCCGCACCCTCGACCCGTTGCCTTCGTTCTTTGATTGTTCCTCCCTTTCCCCGACTCCATTGCTCTGCCGTCGTCCCCTTTCGTCCGATTAGGGTGGCTCCTGTTCCTGCTCACAACAGCGTTTGGCTGGCCGACGTACTGTTCGCGCTGCTCATACCGACAAGTGAGCGCCACCAGATCATGGCACTGTTGTATCTTGACCCCTCCCCTTCACAGCGTGTCCACCAAATGAATGGGATACCTTGTTGGCATATCCCCTGGCCTGGTTCGTGTGACTGGTGACGGTGGCGGCGATGGCGAGTCGACGGAGAGAACCCGACGAAGGCGTCCGTCTCGTCCGCGGGTCATGCAGATGGCTCCGAGCGAAGCTCGACTCCCTGGATTCTGGAGTTACCACGGTCGCATTTGCCTCAGCATGCGATGTTTCGCGCACACAACCAGCGCCTCGCCCTTGATGACGCTTATGCGGATCCCCCTGAATAAAGTGTATGTTGCGCAGAGGCGTCCTCGATTCAGATCCAGAAACGCATCACGCAAGTGATCCACAAGTGGGTCATCTGGTCACTGAATGCCAGCGATGGCTCTCAGTGCAGCGCTGTGGAAATCGAGGGTGTTGTGTTTGGCCATGATTGCGATGAGTGGGTGTGTATTCAGGTTACAGAAAAAGCCCTGTCATGGCTCAAAACGGGAGTGTCCCATTTCATTTTGGAAACGCTGTATCACGCGATCGCATCTCGAAGTGACGGTTGCTACGGTGCCTGCGACGGGTTTGCTGGCGCCGATTCAAATGCCACCCGGACGAATAGGGTCGAGAACGGCACCAGCTCCCCTTTCCAGTCGTAAAGCGGGACATGGCGGTAGCCTGGTGGGCGATAATGCGGGCTGTTAGCGCGATCGACATCCCCCCACCAGCAGCAGTGTGCGATTGTGCAAGAGCTGATTGTTCCGGACAGCATACCGAGGGCATGGTTGGGCAGATGGATCACATATGAGCCAACCAAATCCGTTGACAGCTTGGCATCCCCGTGGACAACTTGGTATCTGCAGGATAGAGCAATACCATCAGCAAAGGCCAATCCGGGCGAGACTTCCGAAATACAATGCAAAAATGATGGTATCGTCCTCATGGGGCTCCGGCGATCGATCTGCAATATATAGCCTCGCGAAACGGACTGCAGGGCATCCGCCGGCCAGCATCTGCACATCCAGAAGTCAACATGGCCTACTTTAGAAACACCATTGCTGGATCGTCTATGTAGAACTGGAATTTTTCGTTCCAGAAGGGATTGAAACCTAGAGAGTGCAGTTGACAAGCATGTGCGTCGATGAGCTCTGGAGAGTCCAGGTCGACAAGAGATGGAGAGTCCCACTTTGTGACAGCATGCTGGGAGGTGCAGTGTGCGCTTGCAGGGATTGACGGTGCCAGGCTCACCGTTACGAGCTATGCGGCTGGTTCGATGCTTCAGCGTAAGGTGGTCGCCGCCAATGACCTCGACTTCAACAAATGGATCGATAACCAGATCCGGAATGTCGCCTTTCGGCTTGGGCAGCTGCTGTGCACTGATTACCTGGCGGTGCAGAGTCGGGTGTCAGAATCCAGTAGCGCATTGCGTGCTATCACGGCTGGATATGCACAGATAGCTATAACAACTCAGCGACTGGCCGCGGCCGCTCACCCTGATTGTCCATAAGCCTGGTCCGGGACTGCTTCGAGCCCTGCCAGATTCGGCTTCCGCAGGTGGCCGTCGCAGGGCTTCCGGCTTGAGCACATAGCCACATCGCCCGTTCCCCAGAAACAGGGCTGTGTTGAGCTGCAGTGCGCGATCCAGGGTTTGAAAGTTCAGGGCCACCATGGAACAGCCACACGCCCAGTGTGGCATTGGGTCGTGATTTGACGACGTCACTCGGATGGCTGAGGGGTATACGCGGGTAATGAACTGCTTATTGTGCTCGATGTACTCTGCCCGCTGCTTGTTGACGAGCGCAAGCGACCTCCGCTCCGAGAACGAGCATACATAGTCACACCGCATGACGGCTTTTGGTCGAGAACAATGTTTCAGCCCAGGCGTTAGATTCCATCGGGGAGGGCCGCCTCCCAGCTCAACAAACAGATCACCTGCAAATGTGTATGTATGTGGTGTCGCCAATGTGAACTGCAGGCCGGGTCTCGCTACAGCCGCGCGCTGCTTACCCTGCGCATGGCTAAAGCTCGAGAAGCCAACCTTTTTGCAAAACGTGATGCGCTCGAGCTCCTTGGCAAGAATGACCTTTTTCCACAGCTTGGGACTACTCTTGCGCTTGGTCACCGTCATTTCGTCGCCGCCGCTCGCCGTTCTCCGGGGTCGTGCCGCAAAATCCGAAAACACAGAATCATCTTGTGGACGCTCGTGGTCCCCAGAGCGATGGGCCGATAGAGCATCTTCTACGCTTGGCGGCGGTAGCGGCGGTGGCGGCGGCAGATTGCCATAGGACGGAATACTGCCCAGGCTGATTTTTCTCAGTATCGACGGACGCCGCGAGGGCGACATGGGCAAGGCGTCACTCAGGGGAGAGGTGGATAGAGCACCAGGCTCGACTTCACCACTGCCGCCACCGCCATCGTCATCGTCAGTTCCTTCGATCGCGTCTTCTGTGATCTGTGTGATCTTGCACTGATAAAAGGTAGCCGCCACCCCCCCCCCGTGTTCGAGATCAGAAGCATACTCTGTCAGTGGAGTTCCTTGATGCATCGGTGGTGACAATCTTGTCAAGTGTGACGGGATGACACCTGCACCATCCGATGGCCTGATTCCTTGTCGCTCCGAGTATCCTCCGTCGTCCGCCCGGACATACCTTCACAAGCACTCGTCCCGTGAGATCCATTGGAGACGGCAGACGTTCGCATTCGTCGCCAGCCATGGCCGGAAGCAGAGTGGATCCAAACGACTCGTTCATGATCAGCGCCATGACACGTTGTTGCTCGAGTCCGCAGTGGTTTTCGATCGAGAGAACAAGCGGGTATGGCGAGAAGCGGAATGCATATTTAGCTATCGCTTCGATAGCATCTTTGAACAGGATCCGGGTTGTGCTGCAACCAAAACCAGGGAGCGATGCCAAAGTGGGAAAGATAAGTGAGCGTTCGAGTGAGATGCTTCCGCGACGGAAATGAGCTCCGCTGTCTGTTGGCCATACGGCCAGCCAGCGCATTCGCTCCAAGGATGTCGCTCGATTGGCCCGATCGAATCATGCGTGATGGGTACTCACAGGGTCCGTCCGTGGTAAACCAAAGGAGCGCCATTTGGTCCGTCCCAGCAGTCCACTTGAATCGAGAGATAATCAGGGTCAGCTGCAAAGTAGCTGCTTGACTGCAACTTTCAAGCCACCAGCTAGGAATTTGCTCTGCAGGCGCATGGCTTGCATCCCCATACGGTTCGATGCTGTGAGCCATCAAGTCCGGCGCCGGTACATCCCAGAATGCGCCGACAGGTAAGTGTGGTGGCACCCGACAGCGAAATAGTCACATCCGTGACTTTCAATTTGTGTTCTCTTACGTTCGACGCAACGACACCCGCTTTGCAGTGCGCGGATGTACCCCTCAACCGAGCTTTCACCGGCGAACTGGTCGCCAAGCAAATATGTGTTGTGTGAGGTGTTGATGAAGTAGTCGTTCAGCGGAAGGGACATATCCTGGTAGACGGACATGTGCGGTTTCTTGAATATTGAATTGTTTGCAGACATCAAAAAGGTGGTGAAGTGGTTGAGATCCATCAAGCGCTGTCCGTTCGAGAGGATCGGCTCTGGCGTGTACTTCTCAAAGTAGTCCAAGCACTGCTCCTCGGACCACAGGCACTGGAGATGAGTCCCGATCGCATGGTGGTATTTGAGGAGCAATGCCGATGTGCGAGGTCAGCAATCTGTTTTCAGAACTGAGTGCCTCGAGTAGATCTGTGCTAAGATTCCAGCCAAGCCCACATCAGACCCCGCACACTAGAACTAGGATGCTCGGCCATCGAGTCGACTGAGCTCAACGCAGAGTGCATGCGCCCATGTCCATGCGGGAGCGTTGTCGGTGCAGACAACGGTGCTGGGTAGAGAAAGAGAGGGAGAGGGAGGCTGCAATACTTACATGCTGAATCTCCAATACAAACTTCTGGAATTCACTCAAAGTGATCCCATATGGGCATTCCTTGCTGAGCGACGCAAACAGCTCCGCGATTTCGGGGCGAAAGCGCAAAACCTGATAGAGTCGCGAAAAGACACTAAAGTCTATATATCCTTCTTTTCGGATGTCTGCGTTCTATGAAGTTTGGGTATTCGGCAGGAGTGATGAGCATGTAAGCTGAAAGCGCCAAGAGTGTGCCGAGATCACTTCAAACTGCACACCATACGGCGCCGGGCTAACGTCGAGCTGCCTCGCAGGTAGGTGCGGCTGAGAGTCGTTAACATCACTCAGATGTGCCGAGGGATGCAACAGGCCATGCATCAAGCTGGACTTGCTCACAGCCTTCCTGCCCGACATGTGCTTTCTCAACGCATCGATATCCAGCTACCTTGAATATACTCTTCAGCTCTGACTTGGAGAGATAAATATTCAGGCGCTTCATTAACGACATCACTTCGTCCAAGTTCAGCTTCTGCTGGTTCTTGATGTCGATTTCTTTCCAAATCTTGCCCAGCCAGAGAGCAATGTTGGTATGGATCATGGCTGGATCGCCTTCGGATAGATCGGTTTGTGCCTGCAACATATGCAGCCCCGAGACCCAACAGGAGCACAGCTCCTTCGAAGGAGCCACTGGCCATTTGAGGGTTAGTGACAAGGGCACTCCGTGGATCCTTCGCTGGCTCGGCACTCGAGGCTATTTCGTTCACAGACTCAACTCACCCAGATTGAGCATCTTGTACTCGCCCGAAGGGGCGACGTAGATGATACTGAATGCCCGCTCCTCAAATTCAGGCCGTTTGCCTCGCAGTTCAAATGCTTTTGTGTTCTGACCAAGCCGAATTTCGCGAATAGAGTGCAGGTCCACTGAGGGCAAAACGGGGTGGTTAGAGCACTGTTGCGACGGAGCAATCGGCGGAAACTTGCGGTCGAAAACCACCCAAACGAACACCGCCTCGGCGGGACAACACCGAGTGGAGAGGGGCCAGGTTCCTTCCAACCCATTCGCTCGGGCCGGAGGATCCCAGGCAGACAGACATGCAGCTTGGCCACGAAACATCGTGAGCGAGTCCCGGGCTCACTGACTGGGTAGACCGTGAGCAGCACAATCGCCTTCCGCATCGGCATCGCCAAGGGGTACGAATGGATCCACTGTCATACAGCTCTATCCATATCTGCAAAGGCGTCTCGGCAATCCAAGCGTAGATGCAATGGCCAAGTCGGCGGTTCCATTGCCAGAGCAACAGGTGGATCGGGCACAACACAGCCCAGCTCAGCAACGTCGGTAGCCGGACCCACCAGTCGAAAGCTGGAGCTTCTTTTTCTTGGACTCCCACGAGATCTGCAGCGGCATCAAATCCAGCTTGATCATGCGCTCCTCCGGCTTGGACTTGAGCTTGTTGGGGTATTTCATCATCCGAGTCCCCTCGGTCAGGCTTTTGAGGCTCGAAGCATCCCGCAGAGCAGCCGAGCGGTCACCTGGACCCAGAATGTCGCCAGCTGGATACTCATCTCGAGCAGGAGACGTCATCATCACGGCATGCGCTGCAGGGAGGGTACGACAGTCAACAGGGTGGTCGAGGGAAGGCTCGATCGGCATCCGCGGGCTGGTCGGCTCGCGGCGGGGCTCTGGTTTCCGGGAGGGACCGCACGTGCTGGCGGCGGTTGGCTGGCCACGGAGCGGCTGCTCTCCTGCTCGCCAACCACACAACAACCACTCAAGCAAATCGAAGCACTGACTCGATCGCATGAGCCCACGATCAAATCTGGCCCGGCGAATGAGCCCACAGAGACTATGCCGTGCATGCAATGAAATAGGTCACCTCCGAGTGAAGACCACTGGTCGCTCTCCGGTCTCCACAATCGACCTGCACACTGGTCTCGGAGTGCCAGCGGTGAGTGGTGCTCTTGGACACACTGGCGAATGACCATGGCCAGCGCGCGATGGTATTGGGAAACAAATTCTTCGGTCAATGACCAAAAACCAAGGTGTCCCATTTTTTATTGGATTGACTGTAACAGGTTAAATCTACCACGCCGCGGTTGTGATCATGTTGGATACTCGCGGCCACAACTCGGGGACGAGGGCGCAAGACGACCCATCGCCAATTATCTCACTCCATTCCTCCAAAAGCCTTTCACTCTCCAGCCGACGATGGTCCCTCTGTCGGATGGCCGCTGAGATGTCCATCAGGAACTGTTGCAGCCCAGCGGCGTCAAGTCCAACCAATCGGGGTTGCTTGGTCAGTATCAACTCATCCAGATTGTGCTGATACTCACTGGCAGCTCAGTCAGCGCAGTGCATTCGTATCCCGCCACTTGCCTGAACGTCTGCCGGTCTATTCGAGCTTGACGTGTCGCAGATGAGCTTCTCGATGCGCAGACCTCGGATAGGATCATCTAGAGACAGTCATCGGGGTCAGTCGCCTTTACATCCTCGCATGCGTTCTCATGCAGTCAGCCGAGGCATCGATATAGAGCCACTTTACCGCATTCAAGTGAGACCAAAATGGCTTCACCAAGCAAGCGCATGGCTCGGCAGCCAGCTTGATCGCCTCGGACATCGCGCTTCAGCTGCTTGTCGTACTCGGCTGCCTCAAGCAATACGTCGGCTGCCAGCCACTTGGATTCGCCTGACAGATGCAGCTTCGCAAGAGCATCAAATGCGTCCTGAGCGTCACGGCTCTGGGACCCTTCAAGCTTGGAGCACAGAACCCAGCGATATAATGATGCTGCCAGCTCGATCCGGCCCGTGAGGCTGCAATACTCTGCTGCCTCTGTGGCCACCATTTCAAACTTCTGCACAAGTTTGGTCGATCCGGATGCCAGCGCAGGGGCAATGTGCTGCTCAAACGTGGTTCCGAGATCCTGCGCGTTGATTGCCAGTGTCTGGGAGCCCACATACGGTTAGCGGAAGTACCCTGTCTGCTCTGAAAATCCCGAGCAACAATTCGCCCACGAAGGTCATAGCCTTCCAGGTGGTGTGCTACCTACATCCAACTTGGTGTACGGCAAGCCAAATCGCGCTAGGGCATCCATGTAAAATTGTGTCGATGCCTTCTCCAGTTCTTTTGAAGCTGAGGCAAATCGAGCTATTCTGGCTAACGCCAGCCGAGCCAGGAAGAGCGTCTCGCAGACTTGTGCTTTTGTCAGAGACGCTGCCCCGCCTGTCGGCTTCGATGCTGTTGGCGATGATGGCTCGGGGCTTTGGTCGAGGTCTTCAAGGACGGGAATGATCTTCACCAAACACTCGGACACCAGTACCAGATCGAACCCGTTCTTGAACAATTCTGCGTGGGGACCGAGAACGTCTCAGCAACTTTCCATCTCGACGAGCCGCGGATATATGCCGGTGCCCGTACCATAGCATGTAGCCCAGAGGACAGTTGCCGCCATCGATGGATTGGAGGCCTGTATTTTTTCGAGCTGCTTCATTCGCGCGGCGTACTCGGGTGGAAATTCGATCCGCGGCGAGGATGCGGGAGCAATGGTGGCCGACTTTTGCGAGCTTCCGGTCAAGAACTGTAAGGCTGTGGGTACGAATGGCAATGCATGAGCCTGGCCTGGCCGAGGTTCTACTGCGGGCAAGAGCGACGCCGCTCCAAAGGCAAATGGTGCGTGTAAAGAGTGCAAATGCGATTGCCGACATCTTTAAAAAATTCTCTCTCGGAGAGCTTGCACCCGAGTGCCTCTGCTGATCGTATTTGCAGCGCATGTCCGCACCTTCGCTGTTGCTCGCCACAGTTCGCTCGGCATTGGCTCGCTCAGCGCTTGTGTGCTGCTCGCTTGTCAAATGCGCCGACCACGACGAAGATGTGGCCAGCGTCTTTTTGCAGAGCGAGCAAAAGAATGGGGGGCCTTTGACAAGGCTGGGATCGAAAGTCTTCTTTGGAGATGGTTGCGCTGGTGTCGTCGGTGACAAATCGATCGTACTGGAGTATGCCTGAGCGGATTTGATCGCTCGGCGAGATGGGCTGTCGGCCGGTGTTGCAACTCCTACGCTGCTCCGAGGCGCAGCGGGGGCCCGACCGCCGGGAAACCTCATAGCGTCTATATGCACCGGCGAAAAAACTGGTTGTCGTCGAGTCATCAGGGACTGGCAGAGTCAACGGCATCGAGGCTGAGCGCAATCTGGACAGCATAGCTCAGGCCCGCACCAAGAATAATTGGCGGCTGCATTACTCACGTTCCAGAGGAAACGGCAGCACGCCGTCACGACGACAGCCAGCGACAGACGCCGGAGCAAACCCGTTGATCATGGTTCTGGTCTGATCATTCCACAAGAGAGACCAGAGGCCACGAGCAAGCAATGGACAGCGGTTGCAGAAGGAGGCGATCACGGGCGCGCACGTGCCCTACTGGAACACTGGGTCGTGGTTTGTGAAAACTGTATTCGTATGAATAGAAACGAAGAGACATTTGCATAGATTCGACAGTATGGGAGGAGTACAGGCCGATGGGTGACAACAGTCTATCTAGTGCGAGCTATGACGGTTGTAAGGGTTGTAGGGGTTGTAGGGACCAGCAGAAGGAGAGCTGGAGGCGGAGCAAGCAGCGGTGACTGTAGTGGTCTGGGTCACGGTGATGGTGATGGGGACAAAAGTTGCCGAGGGGCAAGAGCTGAGGGAGGTGGCGGAGGTGGCGGTAGGAGTGACGGTGGGAGTGTCGGTGGGAGTAGTGTAAGCACTGGTGGTGGGAGTCACAGAAGGAGTCACAGTGGGAGTGTTGTAAGCGCTGGTGGTGGGAGTCACAGAAGGAGTGACAGTGGGAGTGACGGTGCCAGTGGGAAGCTGAGACGAGACAGCGCTGGTGGTGGAAGTGACGGTAGGAGTGACGGTGGGAGTGTCGGTGGGAGTAGTGTAAGCACTGGTGGTGGGAGTCACAGAAGGAGTGACAGTGGGAGTGTTGTAAGCGCTGGTGGTGGGAGTGACGGAGGGAGTGACAGTGGGAGTGATGGTGCCAGTGGGAAGCTGAGACGAGACAGCGCTGGTGGTGGAAGTGACGGTAGGAGTGACGGTGGGAGTGTCGGTGGGAGTGTTGTAAGCGCTGGTGGTGGGAGTCACAGAAGGAGTGACAGTGGGAGTGTTGTAAGCGCTGGTGGTGGGAGTCACAGAAGGAGTCACAGTGGGAGTGACGGTGCCAGTGGGAAGCTGAGACGAGACAGCGCTGGTGGTGGAAGTGACGGTAGGAGTGACGGTGGGAGTGTCGGTGGGAGTAGTGTAAGCAATGGTGGTGGGAGTGACGGAGGGAGTGACAGTGGGAGTGACGGTGCCAGTGGGGAGCTGAGACGAGACAGCGCTGGTGGTGGAAGTGACGGTAGGAGTGACGGTGGGAGTGTCGGTGGGAGTAGTGTAAGCGCTGGTGGTGGGAGTCACAGAAGGAGTGACAGTGGGAGTGACGGTGCCAGTGGGAAGCTGGGACGAGACAGCGCTGGTGGTGGAAGTGACGGTAGGAGTGACGGTGGGAGTGTCGGTGGGAGTGTTGTAAGCGCTGGTGGTGGGAGTCACGGAAGGAGTGACAGTGGGAGTGACGGTGCCAGTGGGAAGCTGGGACGAGACAGCGCTGGTGGTGGAGGTGATAGGGAAGGCAGAGGGAAGGGTGTAAACGTTGGAGGCCGTTGTCGCTGGCAAAGACGTGGAGTAAATCACGGTAGAAGTATATGAGGGAAACGCGGAGGAAGCCGGAGTGCTGTATACGGTCGGCTTAGCCGATGAATAGACCGGCGGAGAGTTGGTCACAGTGTGTGGGTGTCTGGACTCATGCTTGGTGGAGTACGGGTTGGGTTGATGCTTGGTGGTGTATGGGTTGGGTTCGTGCTTGGTGGTGTATGGGTTGGGTTGATGCTTGGTGGTGTAAGGGTTGGGTTCGTGCTTGGTGGTGTATGGGTTGGGTTCGTGCTTGGTGGTGTACGGGTTGGGTTGATGCTTGGTGGTGTAAGGGTTGGGTTCGTGCTTGGTGGTGTATGGGTTGGGTTCGTGCTTGGTGGTGTAAGGGTTGGGTTGATGCTTGGTGGTGTAAGGGTTGGGTTCGTGCTTGGTGGTGTACGGGTTGGGTTGATGCTTGGTGGTGTAAGGGTTGGGTTCGTGCTTGGTGGTGTATGGGTTGCCATGGATGCTGACGTCGGCACTGTATTTCATTTCAATGTATCAGCGAGTTTCATGCGTCAAGATTGCATCTGCACATCGACCAAAGCAGTGCTAGAGTTTGGTCTTACCAGCTAGTGTAGCATTCATCCTTGCCTTGTCCAGTGGTCCAGCTCCAGCGGATGACAGCATCAGTGGTGTCGACATCAGGGATATTGACCTCAAGGGATGCATCGGCCATGCTGCTTTCACCGCAATTGTCCCTGGATCCAATGAGCTAAAGCAGCAATCTAGTCAGCAACAGCCTTTAAGGACAACTCCAGTTCCATCGACCAAGTGGTGGTGGAAAAGATGGTCGAGCGAGTGAACTTCCGGACTTTAACGAACCTGCCAGTTGTTTTGGCCAGCGTGAAGATCGATATAGACCTCGCAGCGACCAGACTTGGGGGCTGTGACGGTATAATGGATGTTTTGCTTGCCTGGCTTCAGCGAAGTTCGGGGAGGGCCATAGCGGGTGGTGCTGCAAATGTCCGGGTTCGTGGAGTATCCAGAGCCGTGACCGCTATAACCACTGCCGCCGCTGTTACCGTTTCCACCTGAAACAGGGGCGAGTCGCAGATGTCAGGAGCTGTGCAGGGGCTGGTGAGGCGCTACCCGCGCCACGCTTGAAGGCAAGAGGGGGCGATACAAACCAGGAAGAGTGCGGGTGTAGGGGTAGTTCAAGTATCCAGTGGCTGACACAGGCTCGAGGAGAGCTGCGGAAAGAACCGAAAGGAAGAGGGCGGCGGCGGAGAGCTTCATGATGGAGTGCAATGCTGGGGAAAGTTGGTGTGGAGAGCCTGAGATGCAAGACAAGATCGAGTGCGCTGCTGGTGGGTTGGAGAGGAGGAGGCACTGGCCGCCCCTTTTTATCCATGCGTCGTTCGCGTGTCTCTGGCATGTCTCTGGTCCGCAGCACAGCACCTATGGCTATGTTTGTTTGTTTGTCCAGCATCGCTTGCACTGCTTGCACTGCTCCGCGGCATTCATGGCTCATGGGTAGGGATCGCGCCTTGTCCTGGCCCGAGGGAGCACCACTCAACCTATTCCTGACGCACCCAGAGGGTTTTGTTTGAGGGCCGACAGCCGTATGTATGCGTGCGCTGCCGGATATAGGCTCGGTGCTTTTGTTCTGAGTCTTTGCCGCAACGGTCATCGGATGTCGGTCGGAAGCTTGTGGAGGGGGCACTTGCCTTTCGAGAAAAAAAAGGACACACAAAGGGCCTCGCCACCACAATCTGTGGCCGCCGCGAGCGGTGCAAGGCATGTCTGCGGCGCAACTGGGAGACTGGCACACATGGCGCCCCCCAGCTCGGGCTGGATAAACAATACGCTGGCGCCAGCGCCATAAGGCAAGTCACCGGTGGATGCCCTCGACACGAGCGGTACCGTTTGTCGACATGGCCGTGGTGTTTGGTTTGGACAGGGTTGTGTCGCAAAGAGAACCCTCGCCCTTCTTGCTTGTCCAGCACAGCACCCGGCCCACAGGCAACCACAGCCAGCCCTAGTGGCAATCAAAATCAAGGCGCAACCAACAAACAAACGCCGCGTCCTGAAGGGAGGGGCACCGCAGCAATTCAGTGCGTGTGACAAATGAAGGGACGGGGCAAAATATTGCCCGACCGCGCGTGTCCCCGGCAGGACAATGAGGGCATTGTCGGGGCCAGGTCTGCTCAGGCATTCACGCGCCGCATCTCCCGCGCTGGCTTGTCGGCCGTCTGCCGCACCACTCACCCAGGTTCATCTTCCGCCACATGTTTGCCCCGTCTGGCAGCCTCGCGCAGTGACTGCACATTGCCCGCTACCCTGTCGTCCTGAGGAGCTGGCTCCCTCGGCATTTGAAGCCTACCCAGGCGTGAGCCTACCTGTGCTGGGCAGCCAGACACTTTGCAGATTGCTTGAATATATCGAGTGTATTGGTGGATTAGTGGGACGTTGATGATCCCCTCAAAGCAGACCATACGATCCTCCACTGGGACTGCATCGGTCGATTGGAACATCGGGCTCCTCAGCCACCCATTGCTGCAGAGTCACAAAGGTGGTGTAGACCATTGCCACAAGTCCCATGATCGCAATCAGGTAGTCCTTGAGCTTGACGAGCGGGTGACGAGCGATGTGCGCATGGAAGAGCGCCGGGTAAATGAACGACAGGGGGATACAGGTGAAGTTGCCGACGAGGGACACGACGCGATCGAGTTGATTGCTGCCGAGCCAAGCGACCTGTCGAGAGCAAGGCAAAAGAAAGGCGGTGGATGAGCGCGAGCGACAAGCGAGTCGGCTGTGGGGAAACATCATATGACACCGTCGCGGGTCCTGGCGTGTCGGCAATTGCCTCGCCTCAGTGGGCGCCGGTGCACAGCTGCCTCATCAGTTGAGGTGTCAATTTTCAGATCAGCACCAGCAGCATCGGCAAAGTGCATGCGATGAAGAAGAGGGAGCCATTGTCCACCAAACAGAGCAGTCGTCTGCCGCACAAAAATCGACTCAGGGACCATCGCTTACCAGACCAAGCAGGGACACCATTGCGGCACGATACCAGTTTTTCATCCACTTGACCGATGGGTCGAGTTTGCCATCAAGCTCACCGAAAATCCCGTGCTCGGAGATGCGGATTGCGGGATAGACAGTCAGCGGGAACGACAGACATATAGCCAGGGCGTAGAAGAGCTGGAGGGACTCGACTACGACCGAGCCTTTGGGGAGGTTCAAAAAGACCACCGTCTCGACCTTTTCGCCGAACGTCAGGTATCCAGTGGCTCCGACGGAAATGAAGATTGCACCAATGGTGACGATGCATGCAGTCATGACCCAGCTAAAGCGCTCCGGCCGCTTCATGCTGTCGGCAATTGGCAGAATCAGGCAGATGCCCTCGAAGGCAAACATTGCCGTTCCAATGAACAGTGAGAAGGAGTTGAGGTTGAACCAGACCAAGTCGCGAGCGGGGCCGCGAGTGCTGAGCACGGTGACGTCGTAGTAGAGAATGTAGGCCAGGCCCAGCAAGATAAAGACATCGGCCACGATGGAGGTGTACGAGAAGTGCTTGATGCGACGGACCCACGACAACGGGATGTAGATCAAGATTTGGAGTACAATAAAAACCCAGTCCGGGAGAATCCAGCGGCAGTCGGTGATGTTCATGGTGAAATCCCGGAGGTTCTTGGCGACAAAGATGTAGTAGGCACAGCAGAATCCCATCTGGATGCACGGCGAGGTAATGCAGACTGTCAGCACACCGATTGCGGCTCGCGTGCGATGCACTGGGAGTGACTACAAGATCCAACAGCCTGGGCGATTGCATTTTCTACTCGCCAAAGGCATTCGCGCAACATGCATCATATCAAAACAGAGCGGCTCGTGCATAGACAGGGTCGATATCATGCGGTGTCGCTTATTTAGCACGCACAACAACAGAATGTGGTCGCTCGGAAGCTGGAATCGTAACAAACTATTGCATACAGATCGGCTGGAGCCATACCTGGGCGACGGCGATAGATGCCAGAACAGTTCGCTTCATGTGGATGCCGTAGACGGCCTCACCAATGTCGCCAAAGGAGCCGCCAAGCGTTTTGCTGCATTCAACGAGAAGGAGCATGCAGTGGAGGGTCAGCCAGCCCATCACAACCATCAGGATGATCGAAAATCCCATGCCTCCGTTCGAAAATGCCTTGGGCAAGAAGAGAACTCCGGTTCCAACAAAGGCTTTCATCAGCAAGAAAAACGCCTTCTTTGCGCTGGTGCCCTGCATTGTCTTGAGGGATGGAGTCGACCGGCGCACCAGTGGCGTGGCTTCATCCGGCTCTTGCGATGACGTTTCGGGATCGCTTCCACGCTCGTACGGGAGTCCTTCGGCGGCGCTAGAAAAGGCGTCGGGTTGAGCAGCGCCCGCCAGCCGATCGCGACTCTCCTGCTGGATGGCGTGCTGCTCTTCGGCATCGGGGTGCACGTCGCCGCCATAGTACGTGAAGATGGCAAGGAAGTCGAAAAAGTTGTGGGTGATGATGGGCTGGCTTGTGCCGGCGTTGCTAGCTTGCTGTCGAATAAAGAACCGTCTAAAGCCGCCGGGTCCGGAGAGATCCGATGCCCTGAGGTTGCTGATCTCGGACGGGTCGACCGACGACGATTCCTGGTGGGTTATCTGGCGGAAATCGGGCTCAGAGTTTCGACGTCTCGGTTGCTGAGCCTGCTGTTCCTGTCGCTCATGCCACTGGTAGATGTCGCGGGTGGTGTCGCCTGTGGATGAAATATCGACGCCAAGATTGGCATTAATGGTTATGATATACAACGACACAGGTGCAGGTTGAGTGAGCGGGGGATTCAGAAGTTGGGAGGTCCTTGAGCACGCATTGGAGGCTCGTGGATAGGCAGCGCCAGACGGTGAGCGAATAATACAAGGGTAGCTGGCATTGCCGTACCGAGTATCCAGAGTATTCCGGAGAGGGAAATGGAATCTCATGGGACTTACCTCCGAGGAGTGAATGAGAGACCGAGCCGAATGAGGCCTTCTTGGAGACCGAATGGGTAGCATTACGGGATGAGGGTCGGATGAGCGATCCTTGGGATGAGGAGTACGAAGCGCCAGCCTCCGACGGGTCGGGAATGCTGTCTCTGTCCGGCTCATCATCGCCAGGCTCGCGAATAAGGTATTCTCGCACGACACGAGAGAGCTGCTCCTGGTTGGAAGCCGATGTGCCCAGGAGCGCCGATGAGGCATTGCCGCCAAAGGAGCGAGGCGTAGAGAAAGCAGGGTCGGCCGCCGAAGCCGAGCGCGCAGACGACGATATCGGACGGGACGAGCCCGGAAGGGTGGAGATAACCAACGGAGAGCTCGCTCTGGGTGGATTTTCTTTCTTTGAACTCATGTTGGAGGCGGACCAAGAGCAGATTGCGGGCTGGACAGCGGAAAGCGAGCTGACGACAGAAGGTCAAACGGAAAGCGCTGGTTGATGGGTGGATAGAAAGGCGGCGGGCGAGAATATGAAGGACAGATGGACTGGGTTGGGCTGGGTTGGACTGGGTTGGGTTGGGCTGGACTGGCTTGGCTTGGAGATGCGAGCCGAGCCGATCGGGATGCGGGTCAAGCCGGATGGCTGTGCTGCGCCGACCGGAAACCCAGGGCGCCTTGACCGGGTGGCTGGACTGGCTGGACTGGCTGGACTGGCTGGACTGGCTGGACTGGCTGGACTGGCTGGACTGGCTGGACTGGCTGGACTGGCTGGACTGGCTGGACTGGCTCGACTGGCTGGACTGGCTCGACTGGCTGGACTGGCTGGACTGGCTGGACTGGCTGGACTGGCTCGACTGGCTGGACTGGCTCGACTGGCTGGACTGGCTGGACTGGCTGGACTGGCTCGACTGGCTGGACTGGCTGGACTGGCTGGACTGGCTGGACTGGCTGGACTGGCTGGACTGGCTGGACTGGCTGGACTGGCTCGACTGGCTCGAGTCGCCCGCCACCCCTGCTTCCTTTTCGCTTGCGTCCTCTTTGGCTTCCTGGATCCCAAGCTGCCTTTGTCCACCAGCCACCACCAGCATCGAATACTGCCAGCGCAACAGCCCTTTCCATGAGTACGACGCCCTTGCTCTCTTCAGAGCCTGTTCTCCAGCGCATCTTTTCCGATCTCAGGATCAGGTACCGTGCGCACCCCGCCCTGCTCATACCCTCGCCGGCGCTCTGCTGTCTGGCGGCTCTGGGATGCTGATGAGCACCGCCGACGACGGTGTCTGGAGCCGGCATCCTCACACCAAGCATCTCCTCCGAGAACCGAAACGTCGACCCACATCAGTACATTGAACCTTTGCCCTCGTTCGCGCCCATCCAGAAATGATGATCAGCAGGAAAAGGCCGCTCTGGAGCTCCGTGAACATGTAGGCGTCTCCGCAGCCCGTTCCGGCTTGCCAAGCTGCAGGATGTCCCCATGGTTGCAGGATCCCATGATTCCTTGATTACTTGGCTCCGAGGCGCTCTCGGACTCTTGGGCCCTCGGATCGTTGGCCTCGATACCTTGCCTCCGCGAGTCCACAGGCTCCGCGACAGATGCAGTTGCAGGGGCAGGACCTGCGTGCCGAGTTCGCTTTGCTGTGCCGTCGGGGTTGCTGACGCTTCCGTCCGTCTGATGCGGACGCTGCCTTCCTTGCGCTGTAGGTTATTACGGTCTCGAGGGAGTTTTCTGGCGAGCCGTTCACAAAGTTCCTGATCGATGTGAACAAACGCATTTGGGAGCTCATCCATAGCTCCGACGTCAACGACAAACTTGGAGGCATCCTTGCCATCGGTATGTACGAACGGGTACCGGCTCATCTCATCGTTGTGACTGAGCCGATGAGCGTCGCCTGTGGCAGCGCACATTGAATCTGGGTGCTCAATCCAGGAGAGATTGGCAAACTGCACCTGTTGGGCCGTCCGACGGGTGTGGATCGAAGGCTCTCAGTCAGTCGAGCTGAATGCACTGACGCTTGATTGCCCTGCGCCATCTGACAACACTCGCCGGTCGACTCATTTGCCTGCCAAAATGATACCTGTGCAAAGACCTCCTCATCGACGTCGATGTCGAGGAGAACACAAAGAAGATTACTCGCTTCGCCAACTACATCCGCGCCGTACTTCCCGGCACCGAGAAGAAAGTGACCTACCGCGCCGCCCAAGCCTTGGGTATGTGCTCTCCTGTGGGCCTCCGGGTTGACAGTTACCCTTGGTCCACTCGCTGGATCTTGATGGTCAGCTCGACTTTGTTGCCTGTGTTGTGATATGGGTTGCACCACTCCGCGCGTTTATGCACATGCTCACAAGCACACCCGTTCTCCAAAACACTTAGGCAAGCTGGTCCTTCTTGGGGGAGGTTTGATTGCCGACTTGGTCGAGTTTGAAGTCAAGCGTGCGCTCGAATGGCTGCAGGGTATGCTGACGCTCTGGCCTTGTCCGAGCTGTGTCTGCCCAAACAACGCACCGCTGTCTTTTTGCACAGCCATATTCGTATTCACCCATTGACTGTCGTTGTTCTCTGTCGTCGACAGCTGATCGCAACGAGCAGCGCCGCCATGCAGCTGCTGTCGTGCTCAAAGAGCTCGCCATCAATGTGCCGACACTGCTCTACGCCTATGTGCCGCAGATCTTGGATCTTGTGTGGATCGTACTGCGAGACCCCAAGGTGGCGCTACGAGAGGCTGGCATTGAGACCCTGAATGCCTGTCTGAAAATGGTCGAATATCGCGAGAGCCAACTTCGTCGTCAGTGGTACCGCAAGATTTTTGACGAGGCCCAGAAGGGGATGAAGCACAACACTACTGAGGCCATCCACGGCTCGCTTCTGACCTTCAAGGAGCTCCTTATTCATACTGGGAAGGTGCGCGTCTACCCTACTGGCACGAGCGCCGGTGACAAATGCAGTAGCACTGCCTATCTCGACTATGATGCTCTACTCATACCCCTCTTCATTCTACTCTTATGTCGTTGTCTCGGTTACCGATGCTTGTGCTGCGCCTTAGTCGATGGATAGTAGCTACGATGAAATGTGTGAAACCATTCTCAAGTACAAGACCCATCGAGATATCTTGATCCGGAAAACCGTCATCCAGCTGATTCCCGCCATGGCCGCCTTTGACCCTAAGGGCTTTAGCACAAAGTATCTCAAGGAATCCATGGGATTTCTGGTCAGCCGAACCAAAAGAGACAAGGACAACTATGCTTTTGGTGGGGTTCTTGTCTCAACTGATGCCCTGAGCTAGCACAGATGCCGCTGTTGCAGCAGCGACCTGGAGGAAGGGGGGCCTGTGGAAGCCAGCTCGATTGCATGCACTTATCCCTGCACCCGGATGTGTCGTTCAGCCTTCGTCGCCATCGGGCAGGTTTCGATCGAGGTCAAGTCCGAGATCACTCCGTATCTTGGCGTGATTTTCGCCGACATTATGGATGGTCTTCCTGCGAAGGGGTAAGGCTCGACGCACTCCGACACTATGCAAAGCTTAAGCAAAGCCGACTCCTGCGCATACCTCGCGTATTTTATGCTCTATGCGACAACGCTGCCTGCACTGTGGTCGGCAGAGAAAAATAACCCGACTGCTTGTCAATCTCGATCATCTTCCAAGACGACCGTCCTCGCCAGCCAACGAAGCTGCTGTGTTTGACTGTATCGGCATGCTGGCTCGGGGAGTCGGTCCGGCTATGGAGCCGTTTTACAGCCAGAATCTGCTTGATATGATGTTTGGCGCGGGCCTGAGCGAGCCTTTGCGAGGCGCCTTGGTCGAGGTTTCGGAGGCCGTCCCCAGTCTGAACCGAATCATCCAAGGTATGCCGTATATTCTGGCAGCACCACGGTTGTAGCTTCGGCACCGTGATGCAGACACCCTCCACGGCCTCGTCTCTACTAACGCCGTGGGTTTGTCGGCTGCTCTCCAGAGAAACTCCTCAGCGCCATCTCGATTATCTTGTGCGAGAAGACATACCAGCATCCGGGCGCACCCTTCAAGAGATCCCTGAATGCTGGCATATCCGCCTTGGTATGCGATGTGCATCAGCCTTTACGCATCCTTTATTTGCAGCGTCGACATCAAAGCAGGATCACTGCGCTGCATCCCTCTTGCCCTTGTCCTGGATCGCGTTATGCTGGCTGACTCATCTCTGTGTTCCCGGCCAAATATCCAGCACATGGAAGTTCCAGACAACGAAAGCCTGCTCTTGGCGCTGAGCACCCTCAGCAACTTCCAATTCACTGGTATGCCCTACTCTATTGATCCTCTGTTTGTGTACCTGTTCTCAATCTGCACTGCGCCCGATGGCGCCGCATCACCCATTGTCCTTGCAATCTCATCCCGCCTGGCACTTTAGACTATCTACTGAAGGATATGATCAAGACCATTGCCGAAACCTACCTTGATCACGAGAACCCCGATATCCGTCGATCTGCCGCTGTGACGTGCATCTATCTGCTCGTGCGAGATCCTTGCTGTTACCAAACCAGCAATGCCTCAATGCAGATTGTCAACGATGTGCTCGCCCGGCTCTTGGTCGTGGGCATCACCGATCCGGGTGAGTCACCGTTCCAGCAGCCAAGTGGGATGTCTCACCCTACCTTCACCTCGATTGATCCCGCCCTTGCCGGATGGATGGGTGTACTGACTCTGCTTATTTGGCGCGATACAGAGCCAACCATCCGACTGGCGGTGCTCTCAAACCTGAACGAACAGGTTGACCTCCATCTCGCTCAGGCTGCCCACATCCGCGCCTTGTTCATCGCCTTCAATGATGAGACTTTCGAGATTCGTAACATTGCCATCAGCATCATCGGCCGGCTGTCCGTCATCAACCCGGCGCATGTGATGCCATCGCTGCGCAAGTCGCTTATCCACCTTCTCACCGAACTGGAGTTTTCGAATGTGCCGTAAGTTGAATCGACGCTGCCAACTGAATCTCAGTGTGTGGCCTGGGAGCATCAACGGGTGTCCGCCTGTCTAGATTCTGCCGATGATCCCTCATGTTTTCGCGTGTCTGGATGGCCCAATATCTGACTCGTATTGTTTGTTATCATGGACTCTTTACTCGCCTCCTGCATAGCCGTCACAAGGAGGAAAGCGCCCGCTTGCTCAGCCAGTTGATCTCGGTCGCCAGACATTTGATCAAGCCTTATGTGGAGCCTATTCTGAAGGTTCTGCTGTTACGCGCCAGAGACCCCAATCCTGGTGTGGTCTCGCATGTGCTTTTGGCGATCGGAGAGTTGTCGCAAGTGGGTTGTGAGGCGCTCATCTCCCACATGGATGAGTTGATCCCCGTCATCATCGAGACGCTGCAGGATCAGAGCAGCCCCGCCAAGCGCGAGGCTGCGCTGCTGACCCTCGGCCAGCTCGCCAGCAGCACTGGTTTCGTTGTTGATCCCTACCTCAAGTACCCGTCGCTGCTCGACATTATGATCTCCATTCTCAAATCCGAGCAGAACCCAGCGATTCGCCGCGAGGCTGTTAAAGCTATGGGCGTCATCGGCGCATTAGATCCCTATCGCCACAAGGTCTGCATTGGGTTGTCGCAGGTGGTCCTCCGGGGCTCCATTCGCGCCTAAGGGGGATATGTATATGTATATGTATATGTATATGTATATGTATATGTATATGTATATGTATATGTATATGTATATGTATATGTATATGTATATGTATATGTATATGAGATCGGGGAGTCGTGTCATTTTACACACTGCGACACCAGAAAATGCTTACCGCTCTCTATCGTCCCTGTAGATAACGTCCTCTGGCACTGGCGATGCCTCAAGCAGCAACACCGCTGGCGCCGACATTCTCTTGCCTCCGGGCTTGGGTCAGACCTCGGAGGAATACTATCCTGTTGTTGTCATTAATTCGCTCATGAAGATCCTCCGCGACTCGTCACTAGCGACTTATCACACGGCTGTGATTCAAGCAGTCATGTACATGTTCAAGACCCTTGGGCTCAAATGCGTGCCATTCCTTCCTCAGGTGAGAGCAACATGCCGTAATTCAGGCAGAATTGCATGCTTGGTCAACGCCAGCACCGTCTTTCGAATGGATGTGCCACGGGCAAGCTGCGTATGCGAGTTGCTCAGTGACCGTGATGCCGAGCCTCTACCCCCCCCCTCCCACCTAAATCGCTGCACGAGCATCTCAGATTGCGCATTTGGTGCTCGTCAGCGGTCTCGCTCATTCCTCACGCAGCACACGGTTTACCTTGACTTTCTCTTTGAACCTACGTGCTTCGTGTCACTTTTTTTGGGGGGGAGGGGACGAAGAGCTGCCTGCCTTGTGCTGTCGATGTCGTGTCGGATCGTTGCCCCTCGATGCTCAACCCTGTGGATCGCTCTCATACCGACGATATCTGTTCTCATTCCCCACTGCCGAATCGCACAGATTATTCCCACTTTCCTGGCGATGATGAAGAGCAGCCCAACGGCCATGCTGGACTTCCATTTCCAGCAGCTCGGTCTGTTGGTGACAATCGTCAAGCAGCATATACGCAGCTATCTCCCGGATATATTTGCTGTCATTCAAGAGTTCTGGAACCCAAAGTCGACTATCCAAATCACCATCATCTCGGTGATCGAGGCTGTGGCCCTGGCCATGGATGCCGAGTTCAAGGTTTACTTGCGCATGTTCCTGCCTCGGATCCTGGACATATTTGAGTCGGATGAAACAGAGCGCAAGCAGCCCACTCAGAAGGCACTGCACGCCTTGATTGTCTTTGGCTCGCACCTCGAAGAGTATCTGCACTTGGTGGCACCTGTGATGGTCAAGCTGATCGAGCGCCGCGAAACGATTCTGTCCGTCCGCAAGGCTGCTATCCAGACCGTTGGGCAGCTCTGCAAGCAGACTGGATTTGCAGAGCAGGCCAGTCGGCTCATGCACGCCCTGATCCGTGTCCTGGCCAGCCAGAACGCTGAGCTGCGAGGTGCGGTAATGGATACTCTTGCGAACATGGTCTGCGCGCTCAAGAGCGGATTCGTCATTTTTGTGCCAATGGTTGACCGGGTATGTCATCTCTGGCGGCTGTCGCGCAAGTCGGCTTCTCTGAGACCCATAGGCAGCTCAAGCAATGTTACATCGATGCCACGGGGTGCCTCGGGGATCTAACCACATGGGCTTGCATTTTGGTATCAGGCGCTTGCGCGATACGGCATCCAGCATCAGCGATATGTTCTTCTTGTCGACAAAATCACTGCCAACGAACCCATCCCCGAAGAGCTGCTGAAGGAAAGCAATCCAATGTGAGTATCGCTGTCGCCTTTGTCCCAGCACGATCGAACATGTCTAGATGGATGGCACCTGGTGCGCAGCTTACGGCCGCAGAAGTCGTAATCTGGGTAGCATTTCCTGTCGCAATTGTCGCAATTGTCGCAATTGTCGCATTTGTCGCATTTGTCGCATTTGTCGCATTTGTCGCATTTGTCGCATTTGTCGCATTTGTCGCATTTGTCGCACTTCCTGTCGCCCTTCCTGTCGCCCTTACCCGGCCATCTCGACAACCCCTCTAATGCCTCCCGACAGCTACATCTCGGATGACTCACCTCAGGAATCGATCGCCAAGAAGCTTCCTCTGAACCAAGAGAATCTCCGCAAGGTAATTGGGCTCCTGGCTACGTTTGAGGGGGCACTATCGGTCTATGGGCCCGGGATCAGCGCCTGTACCTGCGACATTCGGCATATTGGCAGTCGCCGGCGGCGTCGGCAGAGCAGTCTGAGCCGGAGACGGGATCCGTCCGCACAGCATGCCACCGTTCCAAGTGGCCGCCAACCGCATCTGACTGGACTGTTACATCGTTAATCTAGGCATGGGAGGCGTCGCAGCGCTCCTCCAAAGATGACTGGATCGAGTGGACGCGCCGCTTCAGTGTGGAGCTCTTGCGAGAGTCGCCCTCGCACTCTCTGCGATCATGTGCCGATCTTGCTGGCCAGTACTACCCGCTGGCTCGCGAGCTCTTCAATGCGGCATTTGTCTCCTGTTGGAACGAGCTGGAGGACACGGTCCAAGATGAGCTGGTGCGCGCGCTGGAAACGGCCCTGACGTCCTCGACAATTCCGCCCGAAATTCTTCAGTCCCTGCTCAATCTGGCCGAGTTCATGGAGCACGATGACAAGGCCCTCCCGATCGACGTGCGCACCCTCGGTGGCTATGCAGCCAAGTGCCACGCCTATGCCAAGGCTCTGCATTACAAGGAGCTCGAATACGTTTCAGAGCACTATCCAAACACCATCGAGGCGCTCATCAGCATCAACAACCAGCTTCAGCTGCCCGACTCGGCCACAGGCATGCTGGTAGTGGCCCGATCGACCCATACCAATCTCAAGGAGTCATGGTATGAAAAGCTCCAGAGATGGGAGGACGGCTTGCAAGCATACAACAGCAAGCTCGCCTCCGACCCGCACAACGCGGACTATCTCCTGGGTCGCATGCGCTGTCTGCACAACCTCGGCGAGTGGGAAACGCTTGCACAAGCTGCCCAGCAGAGCTGGGAATCCAGCTCAGTCGAAAGCCAGAAAGCCATCGCCCCTCTCGGTGCCGCAGCCGCATGGGGTATGCAGCAGTGGGACTCTATGGGCGTCTACATCAATGCCATGAAGGATGACTCTCCCGACAAGACCTTCTTCATGGCCATCCTGGCGCTCCACCGAGATAACTACGTCGTGGCTGTCGAATTCATCAACAAGACGCGCGAGCTTCTCGACACTGAGCTGACTGCGCTCGTTGCCGAAAGCTACAATCGAGCATATCCGTACGTATGGAGATCGGCTGCTTGATGCGGCGTGTATTATTGGAAGCCGTCTTGTGCTCAGCACTGTCCTTGGGCCGATGCACTTTGGGGCCCGGAGACCCATCGATTGGTGATTAACGCGCATAGTGGCTTTAGGGTGGTAGTCCGGAACCAAATGCTCGTTGAGCTCGAGGAAATCATCCAGTATAAGCAGACACAGGACATCAATCGCAAGACGACCATCCGCCAGATGTGGCGCGATCGCCTCAAGGGATGCCAGAGGAACGTGGATGTCTGGCAGCGGATCCTCAAGGTGCGCGCCTTGGTCGTTTCGCCCAAGACTGACATGGAAATGTGGATCAAGTTTGCCAACCTTTGCCGCAAGAACGGCAAGTTCAACCTGGCCCAGAAAACCCTCTATAGTCTCTTTGAGGTCGAGCCGACCGAACTCAGCAAGCTGGTAAGCCACTCTGACATCGCGGCTGGCTGTTGCTCACGGATAGTCAAAGCAGGGGCGTCTGCGCTGACTTTGCCAAGCCACTCCATTGGGACGACTGCACACCCTACATTGGATCGACCCTTGTCTGCACCAGCGCTGGTTGGTCCCTTCGCTAACCTGTGGCGGTCTCATGCTCATTCTGCCAGGATACGCTGCGCAATCCGTCACCAGTCGTCTATGCGGCCCTCAAGCTCATGTGGGCCAAAGGCCAGCGCGAGCATGCGCATGGAACCATGAAGATCTTTGTGAAAGGCATTCTGGACCGCCTCGGCGTGTCTACCCTTCCGGAGATCCTCTCGCACGTCGAGTCCAGCAAGAACGACCCGCACAAGGCTGCGGTGACCAAGTTGCTTGCGCGCTGCTATCTCAAACTCGGTACATGGCAGGCTGCGCTGAACGAAGACCGTCTGTCTGAGGCCATCATCCCCGACATCCTCAAGTCGCACATGGCCGCAACGTCGTTCGACAAGAACTCGTACAAGGTAAGACGACGCTAAGGCTCGACCATATGCCGCCGAGCACCACAGATTGTGCCGGATTGTGCCGGATTGTGCCAGATTGTACCAGATTGTGCCAGCGTAGCGAACGGCACTGCTTTCTGCTCTAACAGGCCCTGCTCTCCTCGTCCCTCCGCCTTTCCTGGCCCATGTCTTCCGGATGACTGTCATAGGCTTGGCACGCTTGGGCTTTGGCCAACTTTGACGTGCTCTCGTACTACGAGAAGCTCTCGGAAAACACCAACACTCAGTATCTGGTTGCTTGTGTGCTGCCCGCCATCCAAGGCTTTGTTCGCTCGATTGCGCTCTCCAAGTCAAACTCGCTCCAGGACATTTTGCGTCTCCTGACTCTGTGGTTCAAATACGGATACGTCCAGGACGTCAACATGGCCATTGCCGATGGCTTCAATGATGTCGGCATCGACACGTGGCTCCAAGTCATTCCCCAGCTGATCGCTCGCATCCACTTTCCGTTTGCCAATGTCCGCAAGCTTGTCCACCAGCTGCTGACCGAGATCGGGCGAGTCCATCCACAGGCACTGGTTTATTCGCTCACAGTTGCCTCCAAGTCTATGGTCTCTGCACGGACCCAAGCGGCTACGACCATCATGGACAAGATGCGAACGCACAGCCCCGGCATTGTCGACCACGCGCTCCTTGTTAGCAAGGAGCTGATCCGAGTCGCCATTCTCTGGCACGAGCTATGGCACGAAGGCCTTGAGGACGCCTCGCGACAGTGGTTCGGGGAGCGCAACGTCGAGGCCATGTTCCAGACCCTCGAACCGCTCCACCAGATGCTCGAGGCCGGCCCAGAGACCCTGCGCGAGATCTCCTTCATCCAGGCCTTTGGGCGAGATCTGCAAGAGGCCCATGACTGGTGCCGACGCTTCCGACGCAGCAACAACCCCAACGATCTCAACCAAGCCTGGGAGGTGTATTCGCACGTCTTCCGCCGTATCAACAAGCAGCTTCCTCAGTTGACCAACCTGGAGTTGCAGTATGTGGCTCCGAAGTTGCTGGCAGCCCGGGACCTCGAGCTGGCGGTTCCCGGCACATACAAGAGTGGCGAGCCGGTGGTCAAGATTGGGTCGTTCTCGCCGACCCTCACTGTGATCATGTCCAAGCAGCGACCTCGCCGCTTGACGATCCGTGGCAGCGACGGAAAAGACTACCAGTTCCTGCTGAAAGGTGAGCCCTTGTCATCGACTCGATAAACACTCTCGCTCGCGCGAATGCAGTTTTGTATGTCCACAGCTGCCTGCCACGCCCGCCAGATGCAGGCCAGGTCCTTCAAGAGCGGCCGCAATGACCAACGAGCCTTTGCTCTCTTTAGGACACGAGGATCTGCGCCAGGACGAGCGTGTGATGCAGCTGTTTGGCCTCGTCAACAACCTGCTGACGGCCGATGCCGAAACCATGAAGCGACACCTCAACATCCAGGGCTTCTCTGTTGTCCCACTCTCGCCCAACTCGGGCCTCATTGGCTGGGTACCCTTCTGCGATACTCTCCACTCGCTCATCCGCGACTATCGCGAAAGCCGCAAGATCCTGCTCAACATTGAGCATCGACTAATTCTTCAGGTACGTTGCATGGACTGCATGCGATCACCATTGGGCAGAGGCATCGCCGACGGACGAGCTGGCCCGTCGGTCGGAGAGCGCTAACCATGGCTGTGGCACATTCATGCCAGATGGCTCCCGAGTTCGATCACCTCACGAAACTGCAGAAAGTCGAGGTGTTCGACTACGCCCTTGAAAACACCACTGGCCAGGATCTAGCAAAGGTGTTGTGGCTTAAGAGCAAGACCTCTGAGGTGAGAACACAACCAGAGGCTTAGGGTCGAGTAAACGACTGGCAGCGCAGCTCGGAGCGGATTATGCCGCGTGGCTGACAACGATACCGCTGCTCAATCTCAGATCTGGCTCGATCGCCGAACGACATACACCCGCTCGCTTGCGGTCATGTCCATGGTCGGATACATCCTTGGCTTGGGCGACCGACATCCCTCCAACCTTATGCTGGATCGATTCACTGGCAAAGTGATTCACATCGACTTTGGCGACTGCTTCGAGGTCGCGATGCAGCGCGACAAGTTCCCTGAGAAGATTCCCTTCCGACTGACTCGAATGCTGATCCAGGCCATGGAGGTAAGCATCGGCAGCGATGAGGGAGACGCAAATCGCAAGTGGTCGAGTTGGACCGGAGCGCGTGAGCCACGGGCCGCAACACGACAGAAGCGAGGTAGAGGAGACTTTTCTATGCCGACACTCACATCCATTCGACATGTAAGTGTGTACTCACAACGACCGCTTCACGAACCCGCCTCCTCCATATGGCAGGTTTGCGGAATCGAGGGCAACTTCCGAATTACTTGCGAAAACGTTATGCGCGTGCTCCGCGAGCACAAGGACTCGCTAATGGCTGTGCTGGAGGCCTTTGTGTACGATCCCCTCATCAACTGGAGATTGAACAACAACGCCAGTCCCCGAGTAGACAGCACCCGAGGCATTGTTGGCCCGGGTGAGGGCGAAGAACAGAGTGACGATCTGCGCCGCAATATCCCCGCTCGTCGGCCCCGATCCCACACTGATGGGGACCAGCAGCAGCCGCCGCAAGGTAAGAGTCTCGTCCGGGTCTGCCATCCACCGAGAGATGCTCCGAGTAGATCTGGAAGGCGCACGCGGCTGACGTTTGCATCTCACACGACAGCAACCGACGACAACCCGCAACGCGAGCCCGTCAATGCCAAAGCCATGGCGGTTATCAACCGCGTGACCGACAAGCTCACCGGTAAGTTGGCGGCGATGAGCGAGCGATGGAAGGATAGATGTCGTGTATTGGGTGCCAGCCGCTGCGGACGGATGGGAGAGGGGGCCGGATCCTGCCAGGGTTTTGACTCTCGAACTGACCCCGCGCATATGATACCTTTATTTCAACAACAACAGGCCGAGATTTCAAGCCTACGCAAACCCTTGATGTTCGCGACCAGGTCCAGCAACTGATCGAGGAGGCCACCTCCTCCGAGAACCTGTGCCAGGTACGGACGCGAAGCTGGGCCTGGAATGGGTGTCTGAAGGGGAACAATGTGCAAATGTGCTCTGGTGTCAACGTTGGTGGCTCTGTTCGTCGGCTGACATATATGCTCTCTCGTCACCAGTGCTTCATCGGCTGGTGCGCCTTCTGGTGAAGGAAAGAAAGCATGGATGGATCGATGGGTGGATGGATTGAAATCGGGAAGCCACAAAGGAAGGGAGGAGGGTGCGCTCCTTGAATAGCCATCCCCACGAGAAAGGAGCACTAAAACATGCCGAGAAGAACGATGGCACATCCAGTGGAGCGAGCTGCGTGAGGCAGGGTCAATGAATGCCCAAGACCAAAGATATGCGGCGGACAGTTCTCAGGAATACACACAGCACCCATTTTGACGGGACGCCCAGTCCTGAGCCCAGTTGGTGACTTTCTGGACGTGAATACACACCCATCCACCGCCCGTCATGACCGGAAACACTCGCGCGGTTGGAATCGAGCGACGCCCGCATATCCACTGGGCTTCAGACTCGTGGCGGTCGCAGTGACAATGAGTGCTGCTCTGTTCTTGTTTTGGAGAAACGGGCCGTATACACATGAGACACGATCGAATGTACATAACGAAGCGGGTTGAGATGGAAATGGAAACTGCGTGATAAATGATGGGCGGGTGGTGGTGCAGAGTTGAGGGGGAAGTGAGGAAGCCTGAAAGGAGAGAGGGAGGGGGCCAGTTACTGCGACCCTCGTCCCTTGCGTCCGTCTCATATGAACGGCACCAGGCGTCCGTCGGCCGAACGGCCGAGTGACGCAATGTATGCGGCGGCGTCTTTGCCATCGGCATACCATAGATTCTGTGATGAGGCCCGCTTGTTCATAGGAACTGGCTGCAAGCGCTCACTTTGTTTGAGACCCTCAGCGTCGACGACGCCTCGCTCGAACCAGAACGACAGCATCTCGATCGTGGCCTCGCGGGTGAACATGTCGTGGCTCATGGGAATGGTGGCGGATGAGGCCTTTTGCAGCAGCAGAGCCTTGTTGACAATGGTGGCCTCCATGGGCGAAGGGTCCTTGAGGCGGGGCGTCCAGTTGCCGGACGAAGGATCGTGGTCATAGAGCGGGAGCAGCTTGTAGCCATGGGTGGCAATCCAATCGATGCCTCGGAGGATGTAATCGATCTCCTCTTCGGTGTGGGTGTGGCTCAAGTTGAAGCGCACGAATCCGGGCTTGATGGATTCGAGGTGGTCCGTGAGGAAGGTGCGGCGGAGGAACTCTTCTTCGGATCTGGTCATGTTGGTTAGCTCGATGTAATATGGCGCCGCGCAGCTGCATCCGCTGCGAGTCTGAATGCCAAAGAGATCCGTCAGCAGTCGGCTGACGAAGTGGTGGTGGAGCATCTTGTCGCCGTCCGCGATGGGCGACCGGACCAGGAGCGAGAAGATTGGCAGACGGTTCTCGGACGAGTCCTGTGGACCCAGGATCAGGATGTTTGGGTTGCTTTGCAGGGACTTGAGGCCACGCCTGCAGAGCTCAAACTGCCGCTCCAGGATGAACTGGGGAGTGAGCATGGACTTGATGAAGAAGGTGAAGCCAGCTCGAATGGCGCCGATGATGTCGGGGGTGCCGGCCTCTTCTCGGGTCTCGAGGTCACGGACATAGGTCTGGGTCGAGGCGTTGACCCAGAGGACCGAACCGCCGCCCGGAATGCTCGGGGGAGCATTGTCCTCATATCCACGGCACAGGGAGCGACGCACCAGCAGGACACCGGGGGTGTTGGGCCCGCCGATGAACTTGTGGGGACTGATCATGACACCATCGAGGAACTTGGAAGCGGGAACGTCGGGTGGACAGAGCTGGATGTTGGCATAGGGACCGGCGCAGGCGTAGTCGAAAAAGACATGGCCATGGTAGTCGTGGACGATATGGGCGATTTCGTGAACAGGCTGGACGACACCGACGATGTTGGAGGCAGCCGAGAAGGAGCCAATGATGAGCCTGGAGGCCGAGGATGTGCCGCTGGTGTGTACCTACGGAGCGAGCAGAGCAAACGAAGGGATGAGCGGGCTGGTCAGTCAGAGAGTGTGCATTCGTATGAGGCAGTGAGCACCTTGCAACCCCCAGGGAAACAGTCAACGTACCTTGAGTGTGGCCTCGAGGGCGTCGAGAGAAATGAAGCCCGTGGCGATATCGGTGGGGATGGCAACGACCTGGGCGCCCATCTCTCTCCACACGAGGATGTTGGAGTGGTGCTCGGCAGTCGAGATGAGCACCAAGGGCCTGAGCGGGTCGGAGGCTCTTCCCTCCAGATTCCCAACGGCACAGGTCGAAACGGGTTTCAGGCGGTTGACAGCCTCAGGGACACCGATCAGTTGGGCGAGGCGGTGGATCGAGCCGGTTGCTCCCGAGCCCACAAAGATGCATGCAAACTTGGCCGAGTCTGCCCAGCAGGACTCCTTGATGATGGTCCTGCGGAAACGCGATGGAATGGATATGAGCACGGCAACACGGATGCGGCACCATGCTCGCCATCGTGGCGCTGGACGACCAGCGGCATCGCCGAACCAGAGGCACCACTTATACTCGAGCGTGCCAACGGAGATGGCATAGACGCAGGTCAGGCCCCGATGCAGTGGCGAAAAGAAACCCACCTTGCGTCCTCGCGCAGCTCGGTCATGAGCCGGCCCAGCAGTCCAGTCTCGGTGTGGGTGTTGGCATAGTAGGGCATGATGTGGTCACGGATGACGCTCTCGATGCAGCCCAGGGGGCGGCCCGAGGCAATGAAATCGGCATAGACAAGCGGGCGGTGACCAAAGGGAGTGATCACGGACTTTGCGAGAATCATGTCCGAGTGGATGAAGGCCGCGAGTTTGTGGGGATCAGCCTTGACGTTCTCCGGAAGAGCCAGCAAGGTGTCGAAGGTGGCGGCGGCATTCGAGGTCAGGTGCGAACAGCCAAGCCTGCGATTCTGCCGAGAGCCCGTGGCGGACGTGTCCTTGACAGTGGCATCGGGCACTGGGCAGCTGGACGAGGTTGAGCCCGAGAAGCTCACAGACTTGAAGATGCGTGGAGCGAGGAGTTCGCTGTGCTTCGGGGCTGGCACGGCGAGGTGGTCGCCATCAACCGCCTCTTTCTGCTGGCGGGCCATGGCCTGGACCACGCGCTTGAAGTGGTCGCCGGAATGGGCCGAGGCAAGGGAAGTCGTGCTGATGGACTGGGCGGGAGGTGCGGCGCTATAAACCGACGCCGATGAGGCGCCGCTGGTCTTGGGAACAATCTTGCGGTAGAGCTTCTTGCAGCTCTCGGTGAAACTTGGCTTGTCGTGCGAGGGGTGCATGGGTGCGAACGAACGCAAGTAAACTTGGGGGGATAGGAGCCAGAGAGGAAGGAATGCCGGGCGGCTGGCAGCAGAGACGGGCGTGGGAAGGAAGGCAGATGGGAGACGAGAGAGGACGAGCAGGCGGGCGGGGCTAAATAGTCCTGCGATACCCCACCCTCGCTGCGGATTGGCCGGCCGACCCCACACTCTGAGTCACACAGGCGGTCGCACAGGATCGGACGCGGCGCGTTTTGGGGCAACGGACAAGCGCAAGCAAGGGGCGGTGACATGTGGGGCGGATCAGTGGGACGACACACGAGCGCCGCCGGGCTGTGGACGAGCGATGCAGCAAAAGGATTGCAGTGGAGAAGGACAGCGACTTGGAGATGCCGAGGGGGGCATTGAGCAGCAGGACCGAGAGAGAGAGATCGCCGTCGAGCGATCGCCTCCTGGAGGCCAAAGAGCGCACCGGTCCAGCAGGCCACAACCAATCTCGACCAACGGCTGCTTGGCTGTTGGGCGAAATGGACTCGACGGCGACAAGACAAGGGCCCCGTGATGCGCACTTGGGCCCACGCTGCTCCTGAAGGCCGGCACTCGCTTCCGCAAGGCGGCTGGCAGCGGCCCATATCGGGATTCCATGGGCCACCCTGCGCAGGATCGCACCAGGACGCAAACAAACGCACCGTCGCAAGGAAGTGGAGGCCGAGTCGGCGGCGATGGTCGGCCTCGTCTCCGTTGCTTCGGATGCAAGACATGTCCCGATCGAGAGGGGCAGGGCATTTGCTGGGCCAGCCGCGCCGGTCTGGCCATCATGACCGGAACGACAGCCGCACCCGACGGTGGCATCGTGAACGTGCGTGCGGTCGACGGCGCTGTGCTGCTTTTGTCTGCGTGGTCGTCCTGCGGCTTGATCCGATCACCCCTCAAACTCACGCGCCCGTCTTTCCCTCCACCGACCGCCATCCATCCACTATCCACCGACCACCATCCACCGCCTTGCCATACTCGTACGCCGCGCCGTCCTGGCCGATCCAATTCACAAACCCTATCCGACCGCCGTTGCTTCGCCATCGCCCATTTCACACACATCACTGACCCATTCCAGACGACACATATATATATCTATACACCCGTATCCGCGCTTCCAGAGTCGCCGCCTCGATGCAGCCCAAAAGTATATTTACATCAACAGCAGCGTGGCTTGGTCAAGCAGGTGGATACCCACATCCGCCGCGCTGTCCCATGGCTCAATGGTCGGGCTGCTCCTCGCTGGATCCCTCGATTGGCAAGTTGAGGGGGATGCTCAGGGGATCCGCCGCCGACTTCTCCGGCCGGGCATTCGTGCGCTTCAGCGGCTTGGTCTCCACCCGTCCGCCGGCCATCTGGTAGTCCGAGATCTTCTGGGTGTAGATTGCCAGCTCGTTGTTGTAGGTGTCTGCGATTCCGACGCCGTCGCGGACAGATCGATTCGATCGGACCGTTGAGTTGTTTGGGCACATTCAGTTGATTGAACAGATTGAGTTGATTCGACCAAGTGGATCAGCAGAATAGGAGCGCGAGTTGGACCGCCGATTAGTGAGGCTGCACGGTTGGACATTGATGACACCAAACGACTCCATCGGGTTGACACCACCGGCCCGGTACGCAGGCTAGCACCGTTGTCGGTGGATATTCTCAGCGACTGCGATTCTGGCCCATCTGTTCTCCTGCTCCTCTATCCACAGCTCGAATCAACCTACCGATGTACTCTGAGCGCAGGCATTCCAAGTCAGTCCCGGATGATGTAGTTGCGGACATGATGTTGAATGGTATGCAAAATCAAGTCGAGACCACGGCCCGAGCAAGGGACATTGGGATGAGTCGCTGCCGCATGTCCTGCATTCGCATATCCACCAACCATCGCCTCGATCCTCGGTGGGGCGAGCCGAAGCTGCAACTTGGATATGGCAACGACCCGTGCAAACATTGCATCCTGCCCTTCACTCAGCATCAACGTCCTCAATATCAATCTCCTGTGGCGGTCCCTCCAAAAGCAGTCATTCTTATGCAGTGCATGCGGATGGGCATCCGAGCGGTGCGGTGCTTGCCAAGGGATGCACTTACTCTGACGTTCGTGATCGCTGAGAGTCTTCCACCGAGGCGAGAGCATCTTGGTTGTCTCGGGCCACGATACTTCACGCTGGAGCTCCTCGCGAAGTCTTGGTCGCTGGGCCTGGCACCACATCAGAAAAGCGTTTGCCGGACGCTTAGGCGCCTTAGGATCGGGCTTGACCTTCTTGGGCGCTGGGCCGCTCTTCTTGCGAGCCGGAGTGGCCGCCTGCTTTTGCTGAGCCTCGCGCTGTGTATCGATGTGCTGCAAGTCAGTGACTGCTCCCACCTATCCATCAGCACACTCTAGCATCAGTGCTGTCTGGTTTGTCCGCTTGGTCGCTGACAGCAGGTTTATCAATGGTCGGCTCGACAATTGCCCGGCTCATTGTATTCCGGCTGATCAATATTCGGCGGATCGCTGTCGACAGCAACTTGGACGTCTCTGCAGCCTTCTACACCGGACACTGTCTGCCACGACACATCCAGTATCGACGGCTTGCTCACCTCCGAGTCCGAGTTCGAGGTGCCGTCTGACCGCGATGCACCTTTGTTCCGATCCAGCTTATCGTACAGGTATCTATCGTTGGTTCATATGCCATAAGCGACCGCCGTCATCTGGTATGTTTCGAGTCCAGTGGCCAAGACACCAGGACAACTGCCCCATGTCGGACCCAAGTGCCATGCGGAGCGGCTCCTGATGACACGGCATGTCGGCTGGCTCAGCCGTTTCGACGATACCTTTTCTCAAACCGAAGCTTCTGGATGTTCTGCTTGGCCTTTTCCAGTCTCAGCAGCATGTGCTCGTTCCGCTTTCGATCGAGAGGGCGCGAGTTGCAGTCGTCAGCTCATACGATGGATCCTGTACTCGAGTGGCCTGCTGGATCGATGGACACTGGAGTACTTGATAGGCGCACATACCTCCTCAAGTTCGCCGACTTTCCGCTTCAGCATCTTGTACTTGCGTAACTTGTCTGCAGCAACAGAGACTCGAATGAGTGGCGAACGACCAGCTACAAGTGCAGTGCGATCGAGCCGGGTGCGGATACGACATCATCGCCCTTCCGATTCAGCAATCTTCATCGAGCCAGCCGGTCTGCCGTGCATCCTGATGCATTGTCGGGCATGTCGCCGCCGCCGCCGCCGCCGTCTCTCCGGCTCGATGGTCAGCCAGCACAGAGCCTTCACGGCGAGAGACATGGCCCGGCGGCAGGGCTGGTGGATGTGAGGCCCACCTTCGTCCATCAGGCCGGTGTTGACGCCCTCGAATGCGAGCTCGTTCTTGGGGTCGCTCATCATTGCTGCTCCAGATGGGGTCTGCGCCGGGCTCGGCCTCCGCTTTGCGTTTTTTTGGAATCCAGCCTCCCCCTCTCCCGCCGCCCTGTCTGGTCGATCCTCTTGTCGGGCTGTTGGCTGCTGTTTGCTGGCTCGGGAGCAACGCGGCCGATCGCAGCGGCTGGTTCGGCCGCGAATTCGAACCGCATTCATTGCGCACCGCTTTTTTTCTGCGTTTTCTCTGGTCCTTCGCCGTTGCGCATCTGCCCCAGACCCCGATCGACCGATCGACAGAGCCCCCCAACCCGGCCGACCGACCGACCGACCGACCGACCGACCGACTGTCCGATCGAGCCGAACACACATCCCGCCTCCCGACGATCCTGCTCTCGCCCAGCCCATATTCGTCCAGCCTCCAGCACCATGTCCTTTGCTCAGATTGCCCGCTCGTCACGACTGCCATCGGCATTCGCAGCCAAGTCAAATCCAGTCTCGATCCAGCAGCGGTTCATCACCCTGATCGACAAGCGAAAGAAGCCCAACGTCACCAAGACTATCGACGTCGTCCTGCCGAGCACCACCGAAGCGATCCCGAAGGAACAGCTGGCCTACAATGTCAAGCGCACCACCGTGGCCGGATGGCTGCCGGTCTATTCGGACTTTCGCAACAACCGCTCGCGGCACCTGACGCTGATCCGCAGAATCGAAGGCGATATTGAGGTACGGGCCGCATCCACCGTGCAAATCCAACCTGCATCCTGCGATCGAGCAGTCGGAACCCAGGACAGACAGACTCGGCGCCTGGCTCGGCGGACATGTATATGGCGATCGGGCTTGAGGCTACCATGCGGAACAAACCACAGGCTTGCTCCGCTGCGTATGCGCCCTCCGTCTGCTTGCCTGTCCTTCGCACAAGCCGTGCCCAGTCCTGCAAGCGGTTCAATTGAGCGATTGGTCAGTCTATTCCCGCGATTGAGGCCCTCTCGCTGACTCTCCCGCGGTCTCTCTCCTCTCCGACTCTGCCCGTGCTTCTGCAGCGGCTTGCAAAGGATCTGGAACAGATCATCCCTCCCCAGAACATTGTCGTCAACCCGCTCACCCATAGCATTCGGCTGAAAGGCAACTATGTCAACCAAATCCGGGACTGGCTGACTGCTCGGGGCTTTTGAATATCCTTCGAAAGCATCACTGGCATCGCGAAAGAGTCCTCCATCGCGGCAGTGCGAACGGCTGCGGTCTGTTCTTGGAGAAGCATCTTGTCTGATGTCCTCGACGTCCCCTCCCCCATCTTCACAGTGCTTGGCGCCCCGTCGCCCCAACAGAGAGAGTGCTTGATTGGGTTGACCACGATGAAATTGTCGGGCCTCTTGGCCTTCTCGCCCGGAGCTGGCGTGCAGAGGAGTGTCTCCTCATCGACACCCGGCTTGGCTTGCCTTGGCTTGGGTTGACTCGGCCCCCCCCCCTCCATTCCTTCCATTCGCATATTCGCTCGCACTTCCTCCAAACCAATATATAGCAATTGTTCACGCTCCCGGCTCTTCGCGCTTTCAAGTACTGCCCGGTTTACCTGCAATTTGATTTGCGCTTTGCCTGCCTCCTCTCGGAACCGTCTGGCACTCACCGTCCACCACCATCGCACCCATAATCATTTGTGCCTCCATCCGCACCACTCAAACTTCTTCATCTCCTTCAGCCAGCAAAACCTCCGCAACCGTCGAAACAGACCCAACACCCACACCCATGTTCGGCGGCAATCGACCTAGTGGAAAGATCGCAAACTCTCGCAGCCCAAACCTCGACGTGCGAGGCTCGCAGGGCGTCAGGGGAGAGCGATTCCGAAGCAACTCGAGCGGGCCGGCGAGTGCGATCGCGTTGTCCTATGGCAGCGACTTGATGGATCGCGAGTCCGACGGTGACGATGAGCAAAACAACACCCTACCGCCCATCGTTAAAGGCGTCATGAGTGAAATCGAAATGTCGTGGAGCTTCATGACGGAAGACGACGTGGGTATCATCTCGGCAGCGACAGGAAGGGGATTGTCTCTGGGCAGGGCACAGGCGCCATGAAGCACATCCTGCTCTTGCAGGCCGCCAACTGCATCGCGTCGGCCGTGCTGCATGCTGTTTTGGCAGGGCGATGATCGCATCGTGTGCGGTAAATCGCGACGGGTTCCGAGGCCAATTTCACCATTCCTTTCATCGCCCATCCTTGTGTCTGCAACCCGATCCGTGTGCTGAGGCAGGAGGCGGAAGGGCTGCTTTATAACTGCCATCCATGTTCATTGCTGACCGTTTCTCACGACATCTTGCTGGGCGTCGTCAGTTCAACCCAGTGCCCCACTCACTGTCGCTGCTGGACTCGAGCACCCTGGGCAAGAACTACAAGGCCTTCACCGAGATCTACGGCAAGCTAGAGTCAGCCATGGACGTGCTCGTGAACGGTAAGTCCAGCCCTGGCCATCGGCTACCCAGCCAACCCAGTGATGCTCACGGCCGTTTATCTGACCAACGGGCTCTGACAGACTATCACCAAGCCTTCAACTCGGCCATCCAGGCCTTCAGCGGAGTTGTAGACCATATCTCAGGTGGGTGCCACATTGTCGACGGGTCAATGGTGCCTCGTATCGTCTGTTCGCCATAACTTGAGCAAGCGACACAGACTGCCGTGCCGATACTCTGGCCGTTATCGCAGCGATCCCGTCTCGGACCTTCTCGATTTCAATACAAATGGTATCTTGTATCTCCTCCCCTTCACTGCCACAACCACAGACTCGCAGCGACGAACCAGGCTTGTCCGACAGAATCTGGAGCAGTGTCGCGAGCTACTCCAGTGCAAGCGCTTCGATCTGCTCCACCTCTTTTTGAAGAGCCTCCAATACAAGGAGATGTCCCGGCTCCTGGATGTCATGTACGAATCCTCTTCTTGATAGCCCAAATAAGCTGTAAACAGCACGTTTACTTGTCCTGCCTCCCAAGCCCAACACACACCAAGTTCATCATGACTCTAACTGCGTGCTCCCGCGCTTGACCACAGCGACGACCTCCAAAAGACGCCATCGGTGATCGAGAGTCTCATATCGCGCAAGTTATACCTCGCCGCCGTCCGCACGCTCATGGCGGCCCTCAAGACCGCCAACGGAACTGAGTGTCGGGAGATTGGTGGCTTGGAACAAACCCGAGAGAACCTCATCGAAATCCAAAGCGTGCGTATCACCATGCGACAGTAACCGCCGGCTCCATTGTTCCAGCCTTGCGGTGAGACTCGTGCGTCCTTACTCATCACCCACGTGTCGTACCATCAAACGATCAATCCTCTTCAGAAAATCCACGAAACACTCATCGAGGAGCTGCATAACCATCTCTATCTCAAGAGTCCCTTCAGCCTCGAGCGCTTGGGGAAACAGGGTCTGTATCTACTGCATCGCCGAGCGATATCCACGAAGATCGATGGCGGAAAGTATGAAGCGTCATCAACTGACAGATTTCCCCGTCTCCTGACACTTGCTACGATGATACAAATGTCATTTATCCATTCGACACTCGACACTCGACACTCGACACTCGACACTCGACACTCGACACTCGACACTCGACACTCGACACTCGGCACTGGTGCTTGGGTCTGAATGAAAGGTTCCAACGATAACCTGGCTGTCAAGGAGAGCAGAAAATTTGCCAGCAAAGGTACAGAGAGAATGTACTTCAGCCTGGACACTTGGATAAGCACTTGTTGCACAGAGCTAGATCTACCAGATGCTTATTTCATACGACCACCATCCAAAACTCTGGGAAACCCAGCCTCGGATGACCAAGGGGATGAAACGTCTGCGGTGAGCATACCAAACCGAAATCGAAGGGGCTCCGGTAATAAGGGAATGGTGCACTGGGACAGCAGCTAACATCCACTGATGCTCTCGGTGGCAGGATGACGATTCGGTTGATCCAGAAACCGATTCAAACATTTACATGGCGTCCTTGATCGAGGGACTCTTCCATCTCGGGAAGCTTGCAGATTCGAGTGACATGATCAAGGAGCGTATGTCCATCGAGTTGTACTATCTGGTCGAGAGGACCTTGCAAGAAACGAGTCAGCAGTAAGTCGCCGTGGGCTCTGCAGCACACCTTTTCCAGTCCTCTGTTTGAAAGGACAGTGTTTTCTGTGACGTCGGCGTTTGGAATGCACCATTGGGCTGAACCAGGATTTAGTCCGGCCGCCGATACTCATCTGATTGTGTCATTCGGCAGGGCCACCCAGACAGCCTTCAAGTCAGGCTCGTCCAGAGCTGCCCCTGGCCTCGAAACCACCACTTCCTCGCTGATGCTGCCCGATTTGTTCGGCAGTCCGTCCAAGGAGGAGTCTGGGCTGTTGGTTGAGTTTTTGAGCGACCTGTACAAGAAACTGCAGTGTGTCCTCGAGGGTCACGCCTTTGTGGTTTCGGTGGTGCAGCAGATCTCAAAGGTGATGATCAAGCCTTGACCATGCTTCCTTGCTCAAGTTGTTGTGAGTGGATGACGTCTTGGAAGAACGGATCGGCGAGAGGCTATACACTCGTTCGCGATGCTGACTTTTTGCTTGACCCGCCTCTCTCGGCTGCAATTGCAGGAGAACCCACAGTCAGGGAATCTGAGCGACCAGTGTAAGTGACGAGGCCAGAGGACCATCACCACAGGGTGCTTCTTCGGCCATTGTTGCGATGGGTTCCAACAAACTGAGCCACCATTGGCGATGTGATTTTTGTGCTCGGGTCAAATGTAGGGTACATGATGAAGGATGTTGTGGTAGCCGTCGAGAGCGAGGTAGGCAACATGAGACGGCTCAAGTACCTCGGCGACACTTTCAGATTGAACTACTTGAGCAGCCCAGTCGCATGAGCCTTGGCCTCTCGCTGCATGGTCTGGCATCGTCGGCCATGCCTAACTGACTGCTGCTTCTTAGGTCAAGACCCTTATCTCGGACTACATCACCACGTCCAAGCGTGTGGCTGTCGAGAGCAACGATCTCAACCAAATCCTGCGAGAGCGGCGCCCGAAGAAGCAGGGAGTGAGCAAGGTATTGTTCCAGCCAAGTGCCTTTGTGCTCCACTCGAGTGCGCGACGTGCCTAACAACCCATCATCCTGCCATTTGCTATGGTCGCCAGAATCTATACCATCTTGCTGGCCTGGTTCCGTCAGATGATATCTTGGCGCTATATCACAAAATGGAGGCCCAGTCCCAAAACACCTCTGGCGGTCTCGATACAAACTTTGGCGTCGACACCAGCGAGCACGACCAGATGACGGCCCTTGGCATTGGCATAGTCGACAAATACGCCCATGTCATTGCCACAGGTCATCGGATGCTCGTCCACCAGCCGGATGCATACAACATCCTGGCCGTATTTGGACCCACGTGCGAGTTCATCATCAACGTCGAGGGCTCGCCCAAGCTCAGGTGCATATGCCTGTTTGCCTTGAAATGACAGCGCGCTCTGCTACGTGTTTTGCACTTCTCTGTGTGCGTCATGCGCACGCTCACACAACAACTGATTGCCATTCCCTCACATCTTGGATCGGCGAAAGCGTGTTCAAATGCAAGTTTTCGGGATTCATACCGTTTATGGACGACTTTATCATGGAAGACTTTATGCCGCAGATCGAACAGCGTGTGTTGGACTATTACAATCAATACGTCAACGGTAGGCAGATCCTCTGAGTTCCTGTGTCATCAAGATAGTCTCCTCATTGATCCAGCCAGGCAGCACTCGCCATTGACTCGCCAGATCACTGCGGCCACAGGATCGGATGCCTTCCAGACAGAGTATTGTTGCGAGCTCTCCGGCTACCCGTTGCTCAAGGTGAGTCCCTGTAGCCCAACATTCTTATGACTTGAATGAGCCAACGCTGTTGAATCGCGAGAGCCTAATCCATCAATGCGGCTGCTGCTGCTGGCACTGCTACCAGAGCGGAATCGCCTTGGTGGTGCTGATCCACGAGATGTGTCGCAGTCTCCTTGAGCTGCCAGTACACCAGGACGAGTTTGTGAAGATGATAGAGATTTTGATTATTCGATATTACGAAAAGTGCTGCGGGCGCTTCCGTGGTAGGCACTACTTCGCCATATCTGAGCTTGGCTGGAGCCGTTAGCTCGCACGTGCGGTTGCAAGTGCAGATGCGGCAATCATCTCTGTCGCTGCTGGTGGTTTGCTGACACTCTGTGCGCATCGCAGGAATCATGTCGCAGGACGGCGTCGCCTTGGACCGCCCAACCGAGATTCTGACTGCCAACTGGGCACAGCATGAGGACCTGGTGCATATTCTCATTCAAAACACATATTTCTTGAAAGGGGTACGTATCTCTCTCAATCACCAGCACGCTTTCGCCTGCCGCGTGCCGAATTATGAGAGCCCATCCGGACCTGACCAGCCCACCCGCACCATATCGACTCAGCCCGTCAACAAAGATGTCAACGAAAAGCTTGGACAAATGGTACGATGTCACGGCCCAAGGCTCCAGTCTCGGTGTCATCCTGGCCACCGCGATCGAGCAGAATATTTGCACCCTTCGTTCACTAACAGTCACTTGACGAATGATACAACAGGAAATCATCCTGGAGCAGCAGCTCAAGTCCGAACGGTCGCTGTACCAACCAGAGCTGATCTTTGATCTCAGAAAGATTCAGTCGATCGCCCATCTTCATCACAGCACGGTATGGGGCGGTGGACCATGCACAACTCAGCCGCGAGGGTTGCGATGATTGGTCATCGACTCGACTCTGCAGCGCCTTTCTATTGTGTGATCGCGCTCCTTCCTAGCCACGGCATCGATCGTGCCCTCGCGTGAGTCGCCTGCGATCGACTAACCAATCGTCATATCCAGGAATGGCTTCTGTCACAGATCATTCAACTGCGTATCCGAAGCGAGGCTGTCCCCCAGCCATCGCCTCTCGCGAAGGATAGTTTGGCCAGTCAAGAGGATTTGGGAGAGGTACCTGTGGCAATATGAAATGAGCGGGCTTCATAAAGGGCACGACTAACGATACATGCTGTGCGCTTGTTTGTTTGCTTCGTCGGCCCCATCAGGATTCCATCAACTGGTCGCTCGACAGTCTCCCTGCTATGATCGTGGAGGAAGAGAGATCAACCATCTTGCCTCTGACGCCCGACATGATCACGTTAGTGGTGCCCCATTGCCCTTTCTTTGCATGCTCCACGACCACGCACGGGTGCACATTAAAACTCACCTGCATTGACTCGGCCGCCCCAGTCGCACAAACGATATACTCGATAGCTTCCAGAACCTCTCGGAGGTGTCTCTGTTCTCGCTGAGGATCGAAGTGCGGCTCCACTGCATGTACTATCTCGACCTTGCCTTCCGAGAGGTGAGCACCGCAGCCGATACAGTTAACGGCGCATTTACTGGGTGCTGGTCGAGCCAGGCATTTGTCACCTGGAGAGAGACAGTATCTAAGGCAGCTGAGATGAGGTAATTCACCTCCGTGCTCATCCGTCATGACAACGAATACCACACACTCTCTAGGGAAGCTATGTGCTGGACAGCCCACCAGCCGGACCTGACGGCTACATCGGAATGCTAAACAACGACATGGCCCTGATGGAGGAGTGCCTCCTCTCGACGTTGATGCCCCGACGGATGAAGTATGCCTGTCCGCAGCCGTGCACTCGTTGCAGTATCGAGCACTGGTTGCGCAGAGCGCAGGATCTCCTACTCACAGCCTCCCTCCCTCCCTCCTTCCCTTCCTTCGCTCGATCGCAACCTGTGTGGGCCAGATTCGTCTTTGACGGCATTGCTGCCTTGATCACGCACTTGCTCTGCAACAGCGTTCGTTACATCCGCCGCATCAACGACTATGGCGCCGACAAGTTGATCAAAAATTATCGATCGCTCCAGCAAAACATCAACAACATAAGCTCGGTCGAGGAGAAGAGCCTTGACCGTGCCGGCCACTACTTCAAGCTTCTCCAGATGAGCCCAGAGGTATGTGGCCTATGCGCAATGTCTGCTGGACGAGAGACTGCACTCATGCTGGTTGATCACGGGCACGTCCGTTGGGCACTGTTCATGTCGGTTGACTCGGTACATTGCCCTTGACGCTATCAGGAGCTTATCGAGTCACTCAAGGATGCTCCGTTCAAATTCTCGTTCGACGAATACCGAGTGATCATCGATCTCAAGTATGCCGATGGCTTGGTGGACGAGACCTTGCCCGAGAGGAAAACGTACAACGAAGTGCTCGCCAAGCTCAAGGCCTGGTTTGTCAAGCACTGATGCGCGCAGACCATGAACTGCAGCGACCTCAGACTTAGGCTCTGATCTCAGGCTTTGGCTCGGAGCTGTAGCAAAGGCACGGCGTTGATAGATGGACATTCCGCAAGGCATCAAGCGCGGCGGCGCCATGAACCGATTTCCATCGGGGAAGTCTGATCTGAGCAGGAACGATCGCGCTGGCGCTGACCTAGATTGAGCCAGCGGCCGGTAATCGCGGCACAGATTCGAGAACGGCACAAGAAAGAGGTGTCTGATTTTGATTTCAAAAAGAAGCGCATTACATGCAGAGTCTATCGGATGCGCAATGCGCCATTTGTTTTGTTGTCAGTTTTGTTTTTTGTCGCCGTGGCTGTTTCGACGCGATTTGGGGATGCGGTGCAGGTGAGGGACGTGATGTGTGCAGTGGAGACGTGATTTTGCAGGCAGCCATTGACTTGAGCAGGACGCTGCCCGATGTGGCTCGATTCGGCGGCCAGGAAGCTCGGCAAGTACAGCGACAGCTGGCTTGCCCTGCGCTCAGGCACGCAGATGCACACTAACAACCGGTGGCTGTCCGGCGCACTGAACGATAGCGAAAAACAGCGGATCTGTAGGATGGAACACATAGGATACATATCGTCTGCGCAACAACGAGACGCCAGTGAGTTGCAATCGCAGCCGAGCAGCACGGACACCAAGCCATATCACTCTGTGGAACCATGCAGAGCGGTGGACGGGCCATGGACACCCACTTTGAGTTGCGCGGCGGAGGAGCATATCCATGCGGATTGGATTGGATGTCGAGATCAAACTTGTACTTGAGCGACCCCGTTTCCCGATCGTAAAACTTGATTGGAATGTCCACACACTGGCGTATCCTATCAGCAACGAGACGAGTAAATACACCCAGCGCTAGTCCGTGAGACCTCAGTAGGGCAGCAGCTTCGCTTCAGCACAGCTGGCGAGGGGCGTGCAAATGCTCACTTTTCGGTGTTGGTGATGGCCTTCTCATCGTAGCTGAAAATGGAGTGGTCAAAGTACGGACTCGGCGTAGTGCACTGTGCAGTAACAGGAAGCGCCTGGAGGACCCGTCGATTTGCTTGGATCATTCTGGCGGGCACAGATGTGGGTTAGCAGACAGATCGTCTCCGTGGATGCTCCAGCGGTACGGCACCACAATCATCATGGGAGTGCCGCCCAACGGCGCTGCGATACTTACCCGCCGTTGCGCGCCTTGCGGATCGAGTGGATTTGCTTCCGCAGCGCATCGCGTGCGTACTCGTTGTTGGAGGGGTTGGTTATGAACGAGTGGGGAGTGGTCCGCAGCGGCAGCGCCGACGATGACGATTGAAGGCAGTTCCATTTCTCATACATCGAGAGCAGCTCCTCCGAGTTGCTTTCATACACGCCGATGATATGGGTCGTCTCGAGGGAGTAGATGGCAAAAAAAGAGGTATGGAATGACGCCGAGTCTGAACTCTATCGTCAGCCAAGCCGATAGCGATTCCATCGTGGTGAATTGGCGAGGTCCGAGTCTGAAGGAGTGCTGGCGAGGGCGGCGCAATCGTGTAGCATCATGCGATCTGGCCTTACCCGACCGGTGACGTGCTCCAGGCTTCCAAACTTGATCAAAATGTGTCTGTCATCGAGGAACTGCATCCTCCACATGGCGAGAGATGCAAAGTGCTGGAAGGACATGTAGTAGTGGCGCATTATGCTGCGTCCACAATGATACACACAGCCACGGAGATTCAGCACGATTTGCGATTATGTTCTGGTCGCGTCGCACTCATTGCTCCCGCTGCTATCATTGCTATCATTGCTATCATTGCTATCATTGCTATCATTGGCATGATCGCTCGTGAGCTACTCTTTCGACCAACTTGCGCCACAGTCGCTAGGTGGCCGGCGGCGCACCACCGTTTGTCCCAGCATGACCCATGTCAGCACAGCAATCGACACCCACCGAGGGCTCTTGGAGGACACGGCCCGCCGGAACAAATACGCCATCAGTCGGTGCTTGATTCCGCTCAAAGGCATATGGCTCTGTTCACGAACGAGGTCAGTCAAGTTACAGCATTCCATGTTCCCACAGGGCACGAGCACTTTCCCCGCATTTGTTTCTCGCTAGCCGCCAATACGTATGACTCACCGACTCGCCGTCCGAGATCTGCGGATCCATGGCTGCAAAAGTCTGGCTCCAAATGCGACTGAGGATATTGAAGCGAGACGGATCTGAAGCCGACGATACAGGGACTTGATGCAGGTTGGGGTCAAATGCATCGCCGTGATAGCGTCCTCCCCGCGAGAACTGGACCGGAGGCGGCTGCGTCACGGGCGAGGAGCCACCCGAATCCAGCAGGTAGTCCAGGCTATGTGCGCTCTCGCTCTCGTACTGCTTGCGCTGGAATTTTTCCTCGGCATCCCAGTGTTTTTGGAGATGCAGCTCGTCGTCCTCGGAGTTCAGCCAGCCAATCGTCCGGACATCGATGAACTTGCCCGATGGCTGGAGGGAGAGACGTCAGCGACGGCTAAGGCTGCATGGATATGCTGTCAACCAAACGATATCACCGGACGCCTACCGTTATGTGCACGATATAAATGGACTGATGTGGGACCGATACAATGCCCAAGAGATTCCCGTTGAGATGTACACCCGAATGGTTCTGCAGATAGATGTGGTCATCCTTATAGATACGGCGATCGGTAATCTGGAGTGCAAGCAAAAGCAGGCAAGTCAGCGACCGACAGATAAAGCATCGAGGCGTGCTTTCAGGTTGCTTTGGTGATGCTGGGAGCCCAAAGGAACACAGCCATCCGCCATCGATATCCACGATTCAGTCCTGCATCGGCACGATCTACTACCTCGCCTGTTTTGATGCAGATGATCCAGAAGGTGACATTGTCAAGGGCTTGCATTCCGCGCATGGAGTTTGGGAATCGCCGCTGGCGGTCGTGGATGGTATTGCTCGACACCGTTGAGGCGACAATCATCTGCAGCCCGGCCCAGGCCAGACCGAACCAACCCAGCCCAGCCCGGCGCCGTCCCAAAAGGCCGGACCCCAGTTGCCAGATGCAATCAGACAAGGGCCGTTAGTTTGAGGGATCGCAGGCCTCCTCGGCTGGATAAGTGGACGAGGCCCAGCCCAGCCCCAGTTTGGGATACTCGTCGTATATCGTGCACTGAATGAATCTGGAAGCAGGAGTCTTACGTATTTGTGATCTGCAGAGAACAGACAGAACTCCTTGCAGATCGACTCGGGCCCGTTGGTGAGATGCACTTCGTATTCGAGCGAAAAGAGGGTGTCGAAGACGTTGCGGGCATCGACGGTGAGGCTGTTGACGCTCGGGCCGAGGTATTTGTATACCTGTACAGAGCACCGGGTATAGAAAACGAGATGCTTGTGGGCGGAAACGGTCGACCCGGCGATTGCGCATTGGTGTTAAAGGCACTGGTGATGGTGATGGTGCCCGGCATCGTCCGGACGTGGGATGCAGCGCCATCCTGACAGGGACAGGGCTGCCCGGAGCGATTGCATTCGGGCACGCAGAGAACGACAAGCAGATCGACAGGGACGCAGGGCGAGTCAGCGCAGCATCGAGGCTGGGTCAGCCCACCTGTCCGTCGGGTGTGAATTTCCGAAAGTGGCCCTGGGGATAGACGATGTTGTGCAGGGTGTGGTTCGGCACGATCGACAGATAGGCCTTGCGCTCCCGATGCAGATGGGTACCGGGGCGCTGCCCACCAAGCTCTCGCTCTCGCAGCAGCCGGGAGATGTTGGGGCTCGGCGAGTCCATCCGAGTAGTCCGTTCCATGTCTGCTCGATGCTGGGCAAGTTGGGTTTGTGCCGCACCTGGCTGGCCGGCCGACAGAAAGGGAGCGGTGGAACTTGCGAGCGCTGCATTGGCCAGCCACAGCGCGGCCTGCGGATCGAGTGCGCACTCGAATGCACGGCGCCCCGGCTTGATCCGGAAAGCGCGCCGCAGCCGCACGTGCCGGTCCATGAGCGCCTTGTGCTGTGCTGCCCATGGACCTGCGGGTGTCGCCTTGCTGGATCGCCCTGCCCTCCCCCGGTGCGTCCCCTTCGCCCCGTTCCCTCTGGCTTTTACCGCCTCTGAAACCCAGACACCTGAACGCTCTCCCGCTGCGGTTGTGCGGAAATGGGATACACCACATCGGACATCATCATCCCGGCGCGATTTCTGACACTCGCCACCAATCTGATGACCTCCATCGTCGTCTTCCAGACCAAGGTGCGACTGAAACGACGAGGCTCGCGTTGTTCGTATCGCTCGCCCCCAGTGTCGCCCTTGAGCTGCCATGCATTTGGTTGCGCTGGCTCGCCTGTGCACTGCAACTCAAGTCCATTCGACGCGTGCTCTCTCGGCAGGACGGAAATATCCTGTCGGCACTTCCGCTCAACGACAGCTCGCTCTATGGCAGCTTTAACCAGTCGTGAGTGCATTCGGTTGCTTCGCACTATGGGTGTAGTGCTTCCCATCATCGAACGCATGTGCTTCATACCAGCAATGTTGCCACCATTCCACCCTGACCGGCTCTCCTGGCAGTTTGACGACGGCAATTGTGCTGTCGTGGATCTGTTTCGCCATCCAGCTCGGGGGGCTCTTTTCAGGACTCACCATGTTTCGACGGCGATCCAACCTTGTCCGTGAGTTTCTCTGCACCGATTTGCTCACAGCCGCGAGCCTCTCGAGTCACTTCGCGGGATCGCTGACCAGTGCCATGGCCATATAGATGTGCTGGCGAGCACCTTTTGCACTGTCTTTCTGTCCTATTTTGTCACCGAAGCTTGGCACTACATGGTGTACTGGTACATTTTTGCCATTTTTATGTGAGTATACGCTTGCCTGAGCTGGCTGCCCGACCGCGGCATATCCTCTTGATATGGCGGCTCGCTGCTGCTGGACTCTCTCCAGTTCGAGAACCGAACGGCATCGTACGCTGAGGCTACGCTCGGTCCTATCTCTGACACCCGTTTTCATCCCATGTCGTCCCAAACGGTTGACAATTCCCGGACTCGGGATCTTGACCACCGCTCCCAGGTTATTTCCGACCCTGATGGAGCTGGCACTCATAGGACGGATTCTGCTCCTGAAACTCGACAACTAATCTGTAAATGCGACAGTATGAGAAACACGAGGCTTATAATTCTTGACGCAGCTGATGCGGCGGCTCTTGTGGCAGCTTTTGATCTATGTGGTACTCGAAGACAGGGCTAGCGGCGGCTCAAAACCGTGCGCTAGAGCGAGAAATCTGTGTTGTATGGCGTCTGAATCAAACTCCTTCCCAGAAACCTTCAAAATCCATCCTCGTCCTCGCCAAACGATATTTCATCGTTTGAGTAATCGAGATCGTCGCTTTGATTGCTGTTGTTCTCGTCATCAGTATTGCCAGCACCAAAGTTCTCAGAGTAGTCTGACTCTGGCTCGGCTTTGGGCGACTTCTTGGGTTGTTCAACCCAGCTAGAGACAGTCTCCGGAGCGGCAACGGATCGATGAGCCGCGGGATCATGTGAATCAATCTTCGGAATACTGTCCTTGTGGATTTCGTCGACAGCGGTGAGGAAGGTGGGCTTGGGCAAGGATGGAGCCGTCTTCGAATTGGCTTCCTGATGCTGTTGTCCGTCTGTACCGCCACTGTCGGCTGCCTTGACAGCACCTCGGCCAGCGACGAGCAGATCTGGGGTGCATGTTACCTTGCGCGGTGTGGATGTGGGTCCCTCATCCAGCGGCAGATCCTCCACGTCCTCCTCGGCAAAGTCGTCGTCCTCAACGCTCGCGTCATCATCGTAAATGAGCGAGCTCAGCGTGGATTGAACATGGGATTTGTCGGATATGCTGCTTTCAGTGGCACCAGTGGTCTTGGTTGGATCCAGGAGACTGCCGGGACGAAGCTGAGGAAGCTGGTGAGGGAGTGCCTGAGGAAGCTGGTGAGGGAGTGCCTGAGGAAGTGCCTGAGGGAGTGCTTGTGGAAGCCCGTGCCGAGAAACAGGCAGAAGATCCTTGACGTGCTTATCGATTGGATCAGACTCAGCCCCACTTCTTTCTTCTCGAACATTCAGGGCGCCGGAATCTTTCAATGCCGCAGCATTGACGAACGTATCTATCTCGGCCCCAGTTTTGGCTTGGCTCCGACCCTCGGGAGCTGTGGTAGATGTGGCAACGGGAGGAACGTTGTCGACGGGATTCCTATCCACAGAAGCACTGCTCGTTTGTGGAGCGGAACGATGACCATCGCCACGCTCACGGTCGTCGTCACTGCCATCATGGTACCGCATGTCGGAGATGGAATCCGAGATCAACTCGTCGATCTCATCGTGTATACCAACAACCGAGTCGTGGTCTACTTTTGCATCTGAATTGTGGGCCGATGCGAGGGATATTGGCTTGAGCGAAGGGAGTGCACCAAGAAGCGAAGACTTTGCTCCACCTAGCGATGGAAGCACCCCCAAAAGCGGCTTTGCGGGATTCTTCGCAGGGGACGCTTCTACTGGCGCAATGGAGTCATTTATGTTGCTGGATTCAGCTTGCCCTTGCTTTGATGTGGTCTCCAGTCCCGTTTGCCCCTCTCTACTGTGGGATTTCGTCTGTGGATTGGTTGTTCGCTCAGCCTGCGCAGACATTAGAGACACTCCGTCAGGCATCGAGGGCATCGAGGGCATCGGGATTTCACCGAGTTTTGGTGATATCGAAGGAGCCTTGGCAAGTGTGGCGTGCGATACCACATCTCTGGAATCTGGAGTGGCAGTCGTCTTTGCTGGCTCGGGCGACGCGCTGATGTTCAGGGTTTGCAGAGTGGTGTTTGGACTGGGGTCATTTGTGTGCAAGTGCTCGGGGCGGACGGAGCCAAGCGTTGTCTCGGATACATGAGTCTTGATGGACTCGACTTTGGTGCTGAAGAACTCATCCTCGTCCTCGTCACCGCCGAGGCCATTTTCAAAATCCTCGTCGATATCCTCCTCGATCAGTTCACCAGCTTGCTCCTTGACTGGCTGCTGAACGGACTGCGCCTGGATGGATGTCATTGCTTTTGGAGCTGGCTGTACTGCCACGAACGAGGGAATCACTCTTTCCGAGGGATGGGAAAGATCAGTCAGAGTGCGCTGCGGCTCAACGGAAGACCCGGGCACCTGCGACGCTGTCTGTGACGACTCAGGTATCCGGCGCGATGGCTCGGGTGCTCTGTGCGATGACTCGGAGGTTGTATGAGAGAGGTCGGATGATCGACCGATGGGATGCGAGTCCAGCTCCTCGTCGTCGAGCATGCCCAAAACAGCGTCCAGGTCTGCCGAGAACTCGTCGTCGGGCTTGTCGGCCTTTCCCGGCAACACTGAGTCTCGCGGCTGAGAAACAGAATGCATCGGTGAGCTCGAGCTCGTTGGTGAGCTGGATATTGAGGACGTGGCTAACTCGCTGGTTCTTGAGGACCGACCAGAAAGCGCCGGCATGGTGAGAGGTGGTAGATCTCGCAGAGTCGAAAACTTCTCTGATACTATCGGAGCGAACGCTGGGTGATCGCCAGACTTTTCAACTTTGGACGGCAATTGTGCGGTCACGATGCCGGTCAGAGCTGTGTGAGAGCCATCGTCATGCTGGAGTGATTGGAGTTTTGGGGAGTTTGTCTCGAGTCCTGTTATAACCGGACTGGCAGGCTGAGGTAAAACAAGGTGGCAACGATGCAATCAGAGCACAGGTGCCCATCGGCCAGAGCGGACGGGGCACATATGTCAGGAAGTTAGTCACTGTTTTCTGACGGCGGTGGATCACTACACAATCAATTGAAAGAGCCTCTCCGCTGCATTAGCATACTTTGGCAATATCCTGTGGTGACTTTTGTGTATCACCATCTATCTCGCTGTCAGCTTGGTCCGAATCCCAGTCGTTATCTTCCTCTGGCGTGCCGAAATCCACCTGGTCAAAACAATCACAATCACAGTTAAAATCGCAATCAAAAGCACAGCCAACGATCAATCGGCAGCCGAACTATAACTCTCGATCGAATGCAAACACACGTCGCGCAAGCGCATTATGCAAGCAATGGTTTTCGTCGCTGATTCCCTTGCCTTGACTTCGTACTTGAAGCCAGGGTCGCCTGGACGGATGGCGTTTTTGTTGAAGTCGACATCCATGGTAGCCTTGTACTGTGAGAGAGTGTCATTACTTTGAAGGGGGGGGGACGTTCCATCAAAGGCAGTTTGGTGTCAAACAGTTGCTTTGTGTCGGATGGAGCGACACAAAGCAGTGTTGGAGGTGCCCGGAGTGGTGTTCAGCGAGCGAGTGCTAGTGCTCGAGCAGATGCATGCTGGACTGCAATTAGGATTAGCACAAATGCCATACTCAAGTTTGTTCAAATCCAGATGATCATCGACGAATCTCATGTAAGTCTCCGCGGGAGTGCCACCGGAGCCACTGTGGTCATTCGAGTCTGGTGGGAACGAGCCAAGATGTTCGGTTGCTACTGTTATCCTGGTCTCGGGCGGTTCTCCAAGATCAGAAACTGGCGTCTTGGATCGCGAATCCGAGAGGATAGACTCGAAATCGTCGTCGGAGTATTCACCGCGATCGCCTTTAACCGATAGTTCTTTGTGCTGGCTCAGGCCCCCAGATGCTGTCGGCGGCTGAAGCAGCGACTTTGAGCTGGGCTGCATGGATCTCTCCTTCAGTCCCGGAAGCGATCCAATCGATGTCTTGTCGAAGGCTGAGGGCACATTCGGAATCTGTGACGGAAAGACGGTGGGGGTGCTGTAGAGCTGGCTGTCATCTTCGTATTTGAAGAGATGGATTTGAGTCTGCAAGGGAGCAGGAAGCTTCATATTGGCGCGTACTGATTCGATGGTGGGTTCGTGGGTCTCTGGAAATGATTTCAGCTTCCTGAGGAGACGCTCGATCTGAATGACGAGGAGGCTCCGTCAGGGATGTGTTGGGGGGACTCACTACCACTATCCTCGTGATATGAAATGGCAGGGGGGGGGGCGCTTCGCCAGATGGACCATGAGCGGCTGCTGGGGAGGGGTAGTCATGGGAGAACGAGTCTCCGTTTTACATGCCTGAGTATCCTTGACCCGTCCCAGGAAGAGGGCGTGCCGCGATTTGAGTCTGGAGATAATGCTGTCGATACCGACATCGGCCTGGCTGAGATCGCGCAGCGGCATCTTCCGGAGACGCGACTTGTTGGTTCGGATATCGTCGTAGATGAGGAACAGGGCTGGATGCCGCAGATCGCGCCCAACCGCGATTCGGCGAGGAAGAACGGAACCTCCGCCGGAGCCGATGCGAATCGATCCCTGTGGAGATGGCGATGCAGAGGCCATGGCGCGAGTCGATACGGCTCGAAGGACGACGTGATGGAGGAAGGGCGCATTAGAGCAGGCCTCCATCCGTCGAGGGGTTGCCGCACAGCACAGCACCCAATCACGCCGCGGATGCGAATGGCCGTCTGCATCCGTTTCCGGGCAGTCTCAGCTGCGGGCCTGCAGCAGGCCGTGCATTGAATCGAGCAGTGCATCGAGCAGTGCCTCGAGCAGTGCATCGAGCAGTGCATCGAGCCATGCGCTGCCTGGGTCTGATCCTGAGCCAGGTGTCCCAGGCAAGGTCCCCTGCGCCACGCATCCCACGCTCGCGCAGTCATGCGACCGGCAGCGTGTGGCAGGTGCGACGCTGACACGTCCGCGGACGACACCGCTTGCCAGAAAATTTGACTCCTGCCTCAGGAACTGTGTCGCGACCTGTGCGCGTCTGTGCGAGTCTGTGCGCGTCGGTAGCTTGTCTGGCTGCATTGCCACTGCGAGCAGCGGCTCGGTTGTATCCGCACACAAACACCACGCCGCCCCGTTCTGGCTGCTGTGGCTGCTGTCCCTGCGCTGTGCCGCGTCCTTGTTTCCGCGTTCTCCTTGGTGGGTGTGGTGGGACAGGCGTCCAAATCCGTCGCAGCTTGTTGTCTCCACAGTGCCTGTCGATAGCGACTTGGTCCTTGCTGAGGCTGTGTTTGCGTTGTGTCTGCCGTCGCCCCTCGCCTCGGCCCTCCTTCGGTTCGCTCTTGGGTCTTCTGTTCTGGCCCGGTGCCGGCGCAAGTGCCTCTCCCCCCTCATCCAGCTTCCAAACCTTGGAATCGCCTGGGCCACCCCCCCGCAGAGCCGTCGCCATGTCCGCCCTCACCTCAGGTTGGTCTCGTCGCCATGCGCTGTCTGCTGCCCATCGTCTTTCTTCTTGATCCAGCGCCGCGGCATCCCATCACTGGCTCGCCTGCCGATCCGGTTGCGTTGGGACTTTAGGCCTCAGGTCCCGGTCGGGGCCTGCTTCCTTGCTTCGTCCATGTTCCCGATGGGCTTGCCCATGGTCCCATGTCTCTCCGTAGCGACGAATCTGACACGCTGGATATGCTTCTCTCGACACAGCATGCTCGGCGATCCCCTCAAAATCGCCAGACACTTGCATGGCCAACGGGAGCTGCAAGTTCTGTCTGGCTCCCCTGACCAGCGCCAACACCTTCCAGGCCGGCTGTGTAGATCAGACCCAGGGCGCTTGCTCCGGCCTGTCGTCACGTACGTATCCACCAGCGTCGTCTGTTGCCAGTGTGGTGGTTCTGGAGGCGCTGCCTTCCAAATTAGCACGACTACCGCATGCTGATTCGCCCTCTCCCACGATCGATCCAATCAACATGCCAACGCCTCCTGGCCGGACCATGCGATATACCTTCTATCCGAACCAACCTCTCAATCGACAACGACAAACTCGAACTCTGTGGTGGTCGCCGGCCGTGCAGCCCTCGGCTCGAATAACGCTCTCGTTGTCAGCCAGTGCGGCGCCGATGGCAGCTCGTGCATCCAGTTCTCCAACTCGTCGTCGTCGTGCTCGTTCGCGGTTGGATGCACCCCCTGTGAGTACGACTTTCATGAAGTCTGTTCGCCCTTGAGCAGGTCGCATCTGCTGGCCGGGTCTCCTCATCGCTGGATCAAGGAACTTACTCTTTGCTGGCTTCATGCACATTTCCTTCCAGCCTCCGGTCCTGTGTGCTACCTCTGCAACCTCGACTGTCAAAACTCGCTGATCCAGTACTGCGCCAGTAAGTACCATCGAGCTCCACTTTCAGGGGCCGCATACGGTGCAGTCACTCTGGATAGGGTCGCGATCGGGGCGGCTAAGCTTGCCGTCGCCGGATTCTCGGCCCTGGCGCTGCTTTTGATATGACCGCTCATACGCCGCCCATCCCCGTCCCGATCCAGCCTCAAGCACAATCCAGAAAAGCGGAGGCTCGTCCAACAGCATGCAGTCCACCTCGGTTCTGCTGACAATCGTGCTGCCGGCCTGCCTCGGTGTCCTGGTGATTGTCGGCGCCGTCGTGGGCTGGATGTTGACCAGAAAGACGCGACAGACCAACCTCCAAAAGAACCGCCGCAAATCGGTCATTTCGATGCTCTCCCAGAAGGCCGCCGCCTTCCGCCGGCAAAGCACCTTCAATGCCCACCATCAAAGCTCCCGACAGAGCGGTGTGCGCTTGTCCAACTTCCCACAGCCACCGGCGGCACGCCAAGGCGGCTCGGTTCAGCGACCCGATAGCGAGCGGATGCGTGGCCCCGAAGACAACGCCTTCCGATCCTATGCCAGCATAGCCGGCGATGCCAACGCGCAGGCCAAGGCGCCTACGGCCAAGCGCTACAACCCCGAAGCCAACCCAAACAGACCCATGTCACAGCTCTTTGGCAAGAAGGAGGGCCGGATGTCGACCAACACCTTCCTGAGCAATCTGCGCAAGCACACGCACGAAGGCGACGACGAAGAGCGTGCCATCGATGCCGATATCGAACCCGTCCCCCGTATCCCAACCCTGCACCGCCAGCAGCCGCCCATGTCCACGATCCGAGAAGGCCCTGGACCCAGCAAGGCTTCTGTGACGGAAATGTCGATGCTCTCCAGTTCGCCGCGCGGAGAGAATGTCTTTTCGGACCGCAACGCCGTTTCGGTCCGGCGCGAGCCCTCCGTGGTCTCGAACAGCAGCAGCTCGTCGCGGTCGGGTCTCGTTGCTGGCGCCGGGGCACCACAGCCCTCGAGCACCTTCCCTCGCCAGCTGCCCGGTGCCGTTGTCAATGCACAGCCAGCGACTCGGCAAAACTCGGCGCCGGCGCCCGCGTATCGGGGTGGCAACAACGTGCGGCCCATCAACACGGCAGCGGGCGGATCACAGTCCCCAGCTCAGTCCCCAGCACAACAGCGACGCCCCGCTCCGGGTACAAGCCCATCCAGCCCGCAGATCCAGCAGTCGCCACAGCAGCGACCCTTGGCCCGCAACCCGAGCAATGGCGGCCTGCGGAAACCGGTGCAAGTCGCCAAGGTCGTCCACACCGCCAGGATCGAAAATGCCAGCGGCGGTCCAAAGTAGAGTTCAAATGACTCCCACGCGCATAGCTTTGTGCCCTCGACCACCCCGAATCGAGCTTTGCTCCCGCTTTGCCCGTACATATCCGCCAGATTGATACATGTCCTCGCGTTATCGATCCCCAACCATCCGTGCGATTCTCCGCGCTGTCCTGCCACCTCGCCCGGTCGCTGATTGACACCACCTTTATCTTCGTTGGCCTGGTTCACCCTCACCTTTCTCCCTCTGCCTTCTTCTCTGCTCACTCTTTCGCTCTCCATCGATGTCGTTATCGTTTCTCTATGCTTTGTCTATGGATTTATGTGTCTCTCTTTGTCCTTCATTCGCCATTCGAGCGGAAACTGTATCCCGATGTCTGACAACCTGTATCTGTGGCTGCCCAGGCCGGGTCCAGTTCTCCGACATTTTCAGCTGCGTCCTCGTCAATCACACATCCAGCCCAAGCGTGCCCCGTCGCGAATCATACGAGCCAGACGACGGGCATGTGTGGGAAGGCAAATGCAAAGCGGTGTCGAGGCAGCGGATCAGGTCATGTCTATGCCGGCAAGACTGTGCCCATTGTTTCCTTTGCCACACAAAAAAAAAAAGCGCTCATAAACTGAAAATACATGTACACTTCTCGTGGCTCATCAATACCGAAACCCCCGACCAGCCGGGCAGGTCTGTGCAGACCATGGGAGGGCTCGGGTCATGCAGCTACACGGGCCTGGAGACTCTGCCAGCTATCGCTCATACCCATTCCGAGGGAAGATGATCTGGCAAAGGCCGTAATCGCGTTTGTTAAGCTTCCACCATATCGCAGGCCATCCTCTCGCCCGGAAGGAGGGGCAAGCTTCTCGTGTGTGCTATTAGGCTAGGCCGATCAAGAAGATTGGCCAGAGATATGCAGCAACATCAACAATAAAAAAAAAAAGGGCAGGGAGTTGGGAGGAGAACGAGACGAGAAAGGGGAGGCGATGGGATGGTCCCGATGGATGGAAGTAACGCTGGCTAGAGCGTGGATGGCGTGGGGATAAGGCAGCGAGCGAGGGGCGGGAAAGATTGAGGTGGATGGCCGTCTAGTACTTCTCAACACGGTCGGCAAAGGTCGAGGCGTTGATGCGGACCCGGTTGCCAGCCTTCTTCCACTCGGCGATGCCACCCTTCAGGCTGCGAACGTTCTTGTAGCCCAAGTTCTGCAGAGACTCGGCGGCCAGGAGGGATCGGTTGCCACTGGCGCAGTACACGACGATGGGCTCCTGCTGGTCGGGGACAATGGACTCCTGTGACGGCATGAACGGCAGCCCGGAATATTGGATCCGAGGCAATGCCCACTGGGTGAGTAGCTGCTCATACTTATACGTCCGATCGAGTTTGCAGAGCAGAAGGGTGTAGAGGAGCCTCGCAAACTGAGCCGGAAAGAGATCAAGCCAACACATAATCACGCAAATCTATGCAGCCCAGTTGCAGCAACGAACATTGCATCACAGCCCGTGACGGCATAAGAACCTACAATGTCTCTCTCCAGGCAGCCACGTCCGGTGTAGATGGCGTTGGGAATGTGCTCGACGTTCCACTCGTAAGGCTCACTAGCAATGGTGTTGGTCGGGCGAAAGTAGAAAAAAGCAGGGACGTCAAGAGAGATTGGGTGAAAGGGTCAACATGCCGTTGAAGCACATGGATTTCGGCGCGGTTGCAGGCTGACGAAAGAGCCATCATCGGCATTGGCCAGGCGTAGCATGATGAGGAGCGAATTGCGCATCGATTGGAGATGCTGCAGTTCAAGTCAACCCGAACGTCGACTGGGAAGCAGTACAGCGCTCGCGATTGCGGTGGTTGTGCGTACCGGACATCAAGAAGGTGAACCGAGACGCCGTGGTGAGGATCGGCCTTCTTGAGCTCGGCGTTGACCTCGCTGACAGAGACCTCCTTGACATTCACGCGGACACGCTCAAGGTAATCCTTGAAGTAGCCAGCTGAGATAGCAGACTGGGTTGACGAAAGATATATCGAGGTCGGACCGAGGGTAGCATAACCAGAGCGAGATACGAGGCCATAGTCATAAACCAAAGAGCAACAACGGTTAACATCAATCTCCGGATAAAGGGGCAGCACCCCGATCGGAGCTGAGTAGATCCACTGCGAGGCAACGATGCAGATCACCGTTCGTTTGGATAAGTCGGTTCGGGATTCGCCAGCAAAACCAGCATTAGATAGACACATACGCTGGAGAACGCGTGGCGCTGGACCTAGGTGCCGATGCCACGGATACGATCGCCAGTTCAAGGTTCGGTGCAAGACCGGATGCGGTCCCAGGTGTCGAACGGTGTCGATGATTCGATTCGATTCGATTCGATTCGATTCGATTCGATTATTGATTCACAGTTTGCCGATATAAGCATTGGAGAGCACATGATGTGATCCAGACGAGATGAGGGACAGGACGAAGGGGTTTGGGAAGGACAACAAGAAATAAGCATCAGCATTGCGAACGGTGAGCAATGTGCACATCCGCATCGCCAGTAGGGATGGCGAGGATTGCCAAAGGTTCCTTCGGAGGTGATCCGATGGTCTGGAACAGCATCCCGAACGGCTCCGATGGCTTCGATCTTTATCGGAGAGACTACCCGAGGTTCGGGATATGCGATATTGGCACCAGCGCGATTCTACAGTCCCATTCATCCATCAATCCTTTCGTCCCTTCCCCTCGCGTTGCTTCATGGGCACATCGTCGCTCGGGCCTTCCAAGACACTGCGAACAAGCACGAGAAGAAGCATTCGCTGTATCCATTTACATTATTGACAGCGCAGCGACGGGCCAGGGAAGATCGGGCGAGGGCGAACATGGTGTCGGTGTCGGTGTCGATGCGGGAGGGAGCGGGCCTGGCGATTCGAGACGAGAGGAAGCGAGGACAGGACGAGGGGGCGTGTGCGGGCGCACCAAAATGGTGCTGGCAAATTTTCGCTGGGCAGCGGCAGGACGAAATGAAATTCATTAGCACTGCGACACGTGATGTGCGTAGTGGGGCTGGGGCTGGGGCTGGGGCTGGGGTGCGTGTGTGGTACAGACTCGGCAAGGCAGCCGCACAGAACGACAGGAACAGCACAACGACGAGCTCTCGAGATTGGTTCTGGTTGATGCGATGCGATGCTTAGATGTGCGCGAAGGACAAGTTTATGATCTTATTGGTGGCACTGGGGAACAGCAAGTGAGCAAGACGAAGAGGGGGGGGGTAACTCAATTCACGTTGGAGATGGGGTGGAAAGGCACAAACGTTATCCAAACGAGCGAGTGCCATTCGAGGAGTGCGCCAGGCAGTTTTGGGGGATCGAGCAGCTGTCCAGTCAACCCACAATTAAGGGAGGATCAAAGAAGTCGGAGACACAAAGCTACATAAAGAAAAGGCCTTGTTTTGGGCCTTGAAGGAGAGATATGTTCATCATCTTAGGCGGCAACAGCGGCACTACGGTGCTTCTTGGTAGCTTTGGTCTTCTTGGTCTTGGTCTTCTTGGTCTTGGTAGGGACAGTGGTAGTGGTTTTATGCTGATCACCCGTTGTGACGGGGATACAATCGAAGGAAATAGGATCACATTGATATCCGCTGCTGCAAGTTGCAATGCTGATCCAGTAGTCGACACAAATGAGAACATCGTTGGCAGATCCACAGGCATATTGGCCGTAGTTGTTGCACGAGTCACCAGCGGTAGGGGAGGGACTAACCGAAGGGGTGGTCGTGGTAGTCTTGGAAGTGGTGGTCTTCTTTTTGGTGGTAGTAGTAGTAGTAGTAGTAGTGGTGGTGGTGGTGGTGGTCGGCTTAGTGGTAGTGGTGGGCTTGGTGGTGGTGGTTGTAGTAGTAGTGGTGGTAGTAGGCTTGGTAGTAGTAGTGGTAGTAGTGGTGGGCTTGGTAGTAGTGGTGGTGGGCTTGGTAGTAGTAGTAGTAGTGGTGGTGGTGGGCTTGGTGGTGGTGGTGGTGGGTTTGGTGGTAGGCTTGGTAGTAGTGGTGGTAGTAGTTGTGGTGGTAGTAGTTGTGGTGGTAGTAGTTGTGGTGGTGGGGATAACAGCGGTAGTGGTGGTGGTGGTGACAGGGGCGTTGCACTGGTCGTAGAAGCCGCTAGGGAAGTCGACACTGGAGAGACCAGCATTGTTGACAAAGGTCACGACGAGACCGGCGGCCATGTGCCATTCCATGTGGCAGTGCATGAGCCAAGTACCGGGGTTGTTGAAGTTGACGAGGATGCCGAGGAAACCCTTCAAACAGCCCTGCTCACCGGTGCCACCGTGGCCACCGACACAAGAAGGAACCTGGATACTGTCACGACGAGCCAGGGTGGCGGTGGCGGTCGGGGCGTGGAGAAGGCGGCCATGGCTAACGACATAGAAGGTGTGGCCGTGGAGATGGAAGACGTGTTCCATGGCGTCGTCGTTGTGGATCTCGATGTAGACCCAGGAGCCATCGTCGACGGGGATGGGGGCGGAGCTGTTGGGCAGGGCCTGGTTCTGCTGGGCAGTGTAGAGACTGGGAACGCTGGGCATCAAATACTGAACCGAAGTCCAGTCCGGGGGGCCGGAGAGAGTGGTGGTGGCGGTGGTGATGTTCTGATCACCGAGAGGGCCGATGAAAAAGTCCAGGTAGATGGACGAGTTCCACGAAGGGTTGTTGCCGACGGCAATGCCGTTGAGCTCGCCGAGGGAGTAGACGTCAAAGCCAAGGTCGGTGGCGATCTGGGTGGTGGGGTCGACGACAGGAGCGTTCTGGTATCGCCAGATGGCGCGGACCTGGGGGTTGAGACCGCCAGCGAGCCAGGGAGCGGGATCCCACAGGTTGTTGATGTCGGCGCGCATCCAAAAGTTGCCGATGGCCGTGGGAGCGTTGGCGGTGACAATGACCGAGTAGCGCTGGCCGGTGTGGATAGGGAGGATGTTGACGACGGTGGGGTTGGTGTAGACACCGTCAGCCTCGATGATGGTCATGTTGTGACCGTCGATGGTGAAGTTGAACTTTGCCATGGCGCTGGTGTTGATCAAGCGGAGACGGTAGCGCTTGCCGGGGACAACGTTGTAGACGGTAAGAGGGTTGCTGTCCTTGCAGGTCGAACCAGCGGGGGCAAAGCTGCAGTTGAAGCGGCCGGCGCCACCGATCAGGCCAGAGTCGGGAACGGGCTCAAAGGCGCCTGCAATGACGAAAGTACACAGCGTCAGCAAGTCGTAACGATACAGACAACATTGAGGTGCATCAAGGGTATAATAAGCAGCAACTGAACACCACGCAACACGAAGGATACCGAGGCAGAGGATGGCGATGCAAAAGTCCAGCGAGTGCACTCGTGGCGCTGCTTACCCTCGTTGGGAGTGAAGTAGTAGTTGAGCAGCTCCTGCGAGGGCTTGTGATGAAAGTCCGAGAGAGTGACAGTGAGATCGGTGTCATACTGAGACTTGTAGGGGTCACTGGGGTCGTTGATGATGAAGGGGCCGCGCAGGCCATCGACATACTGCGACTTGTAGTGGGCGTGCCACCAGTAAGTGCCGGTCTGGTCGCCAACGTTGAACTTGTAGACAAAGGTGGCTCCGGGCTGGATGGGGCACTGGGTGACTCCACCAGCACCGTCCATGAAGGGAGTGCCCTGTGGGAATGCGAGAAGTGCGATGAAGCAGGACGACAAAGGCAAATGTGAGCGACAGATCGATCGGGTATATCCACTGGGCATCCATCAGGGTCGGAATCATCTCGGTGATTGGTTGACAGAACCTGGCCATGTACCGATCGCACACTTGCGTTGAGAACGCGGCTGGCGGTGCTGTCGCGAATGGCACCGATTCTGGCGACCTACCTTCTGGAAGATGCCGTGCCAGTGGATGGTCGTGGCAACGTCGAGGTTGTTGACGACGGTAATCTCGACATCGTCACCCTTGTTGACAGAGATCGGGTAGTCGATCTGGCCGTTGGCCAGCATCATACGGCCCGAGAAGCCATCGGGGGCGACAGTGCTGTAGGCCAGATTCAGGGTGAAGGTTTTTGTGGCGGCATAGCAGAGCGGCAGCACGGCCAGGAGGAAGGAGAGGAGCGAAAACAGGGCTCGGGCCATGGCGGGGTGGGATGAGGGGATTGAGCAGCAGTCCAGGGATGAGGGTGGCTCCAACAGTGGTGGGGAGAAGCGAAAAGGAAGCCCTCTTTCCGGCGACGGTGATCGGTCTTTCGCTCGGTCGATATTTCCATGAGTGCGGGCGTTGGATTGGGTTTTATGTTTGCTTCTGCTCTGGGGCATGGGCAGCCGGGCCGTTGCTGAGAGCCGCATGCCACGGGGGCTGGAGTCGCGCAACGAGGTGCCTCCACAAAGGGCCGGCAGCTGACTCGGCTGGGGCGTGGATCAGCGGGCTTGTTCGCCACAAGCCGAGCAGGCGACAGGCCGGCGCACAGAGAAGGCAAGAACAGCAGCAGCGAAAGCGGCTGGTGGCCGGCATCACTGTCAAGGAGAGGTGGGCTGGAAAGACAGGCCGAACACCAATGTGGACGGACTCGACCGGATGGGTTATTATCAAGTAGGCGTATCATCAAGCGAGCGCATCATTCAGCGAGCGTATCGTTAATCGGACGGTATCATCAAGCGAATGGAATTGTCTGAATACTCGCCTGTTCGCTCAGCAGAATAGAGCGAGGCGGGAGGAGCGCCAGAGACAACCGACCGAAAAAAAACAGAAAGAACGAGACACACGCAACAGGACAGAACTGCCCACAGTCAATGGGACGACCGCCCACAGACACAGTGCAGACACAGCAGACACTGCAGACACAGCAGACAGCTCGCTTTCCCACACCGGCACTGTGCAGGCAAGGGTGGAGCCGCCTCAGAGCAAGGTCGCAAAAGAAAGAACGGGCGCCGCCGCGCGCCTGCTCTGCTCCACCGCGCGGTCACACAGGATCTGTGGCCGTGTCCGAACCAGCCGCAAAAATCGATCAGATCCAGCGTGACCCAGCAACGTGGACAGTCGATGCCGCTCAGCGTCGCACCCGCCCATGCCCGCGAGCCGGATCCGCGGCTGCGTCAACTTTGGTTCTGGTCGCTGCGAGCCGCGAGCCGCGGTACTATCAGGCACGCACGCTGAGGCGGGTGCTGTCGCTTCTGCCTGCATCGCTCGCCAGATCTGTCTTGGCAGCGGCCCCGTTCGCCAGCGGCATCCAGAGCAACACCCACAAGGATCGTGCAGCCACAGGACTTGCTTCTTGCGCTACTGGGTGGATGACCCTGGGCGCTGAGCCCCACACTGACCCCGTAGCAGCAGCGCCGCAAAAATCACTCGTGCAGGGGGCACAATCGGCGGCACCGGCCACAGCCGCCTGCATGTGTTCCCCACATCGCGTCGCCGGGCACACCAGGCCCAGACACCACGGCCAGATGACGCCTTTCTGCATTAGCGCCTTCAAGCCACCTGGCTGTTGTTCTTGGGGTGGACAGACCCCCCCCCAAGGTTGTCTTGCGCAGGTCGGTCAGGCGGGTTGCATCAGCGCCCCCGCTGCTCAATGGGTCCGGCTCACCCATTCGGCCCGCGCCTTCAACCGACCACCAACCGCCTGCGCTCGAGGCTCTGCAGCCAGATGATGCCGCATCACACGGGGCTGGCCCAGTCGGAATATTCCCTCAGATCGCACAGCCCATGTCCTGCCCAGCCGCCCGAGATTGCTCAAGGGTGCCGCGTGGCCCGATCGCGTCGGGCGGCGTTGGGGGTGCTCATCGACCCTGTCGGTGGTAACCGTGGGAACGGTCGCGGCAGCTGACGAGGGGTCTGCGATGTGACCACCTGAAGAGAAAACATGAAAAATAACCAAGCCACGGAGACAATATATGCCGCGGAGACTACATATGACACAGCGACGGCCTGGCGACCACCGTGCCCTGCCACCGGATGCACACTGCGTCAGCTCTCGCTGCATCAAATTCTTGCTGCATCCTCCAACTGCCCCCCGTCTCAGACACACGAGCCACCAGTCCGTTTGCATCCGCCCATTCGATCCTGATGATGTGCCGGCTACCCAAGGCAGGGGCGATCAAACTTATTGACCCATTCTTGCGATCGGTGTGTGTATTGAGAACAGAGAAGCATGCCAACAAAAGCCCACATCAATCCAGGTCGCGCCAACTTGATTTGGACAGGTCATTCATCTCGCACGCAAGACCCACGGCTTGTGATCAACACCAACGGGCAAGCTGATCCATGAGGCTGTCGGGCACAAGTCGTCCAGGCGCACCCACCCAACGAGATGCACGAGGACTTTTGTCGTGGTTGTGGACAGCTGCAGCCCAAGCTTGCTCGCGGCACGACATCCAATGCATCACATCCGCATCGGGTCCTTGCCGCAGACATTTCTAGTTGGACGCGGCCTGGTCCTTGAGCTCGCCGATCTGGCTGTAGACGCCATCGAGGTTCTCCTTCCACAGGGTCACGGTGTTGTCGCCGCAGGTAACGGCAAGGATGTTGCCCGACACCGACCAGCTGACTCGCCAGACGACATCGGGGAATCCATCGCTTCGGAGGGGAGTCGAGGTCCATTGCTGCGGGCTCGTCTCGGTCCAGATCAGGACGGTCTTGTCCTGGGAAGCCGTGGCGATCGTGTTTGGCCCGATGCCGAGGTTCGGGGCCCAGCTGACGTCGCGAACCCAGTCGCTGTGCTTTTCCAGAGTCTCGTAGTTTTCCCACTTGTCTCCTTCCTCTCTGTGGCAATGGGCAGCAGCACGTTGTCAGTATGTGGTGGGTTGTGTCAAGACTCTAGTCCAAGGGAAGGTACCGGCGTGTATCATGGCGAACTTGAGAGCGCCATCCCGGCTCCGGTGCAGAGTGCCTCGGCGGTCTTTGCCAGCGCCAAATCGCATTGACTCGATACCAACCTCCAGAGTCTAACGTGGGTATCGCAGCCACCCGTGACGAAGCGGCGGCCAGGCGCAGTCGAGTTGGCAGGCGCCGAGTTGATGATCGAGCCAGAGATGGACGAAGGCGCCCACGAGACAGCGTTGATGCCGGCACCCGACTTGGTGCTGAAGGGGCCAGAGGGGTACCAGCCCATCTCGTCGCTGAAGCTCAGGAGCGAGACCGTGCCATCGGCCGAACCACAGAGCAGAGTCAGGCCATATTCATGGGGACCCCAGGCAATCGAGTTGACTGGTGAGTGAGTGAGTGAGTGAGTGAGTGAGTGAGTGAGCGAGTGAGTGAGTGAGTGAGCAAGTCGAAAGATAGCCTCCGCGCTCGCAGCAACATGACAAAGCATTCTAAGCGACGAAGCTTGTCCACACAGTTTCAGCACTTTGTGCATCCCGATGTTCAGTACGCACAGTCTGCTGAGAGAGTCGTAACGTGCGCACGTTCCCCAAAGCTCAACCATAGCCTCCTCCCCCAGTCTCACCTGACGCGGTGTGCTTGGTATGATCGTAGAATCGAGCCCATGTGCCGTTGGTTTCTTTCCAAATGATAACGGTGGCATCGTATGAGCATGAGGCCAGCAGGTTGCCAAATTTCGGGTGGGCCCAAGCGACCTGCCAGACAGGGCCTTGGTGACTGTGCAGTGCATCGAGCACAGCACATCAAGTGCAGCACATCGTGTACAGCGCATTCATCGACCAAAGCAAAGGTGAATCGAACTGATCAGCGACTGCATCGTGTCTCATCGGCTTTCCCAACCATACCACGTCCGTTGACGGGTTTGACCAGTCAACCAAACCGTTCCTGGCAGTGTCAATCCAGAACGGCGTGCCGCATGACCAAGCCCACCAATACCAGAACCATTCCGCTCCAGCAGCGTCAATGCATCGTATCGACACTAATGACGCCGGCGGTATGTAGAAACCGCTGCTCGCTATCTCGAGGCTTACCCAGGCAAAGTAGCAACGAGGCGCTGGTTCTCCTCCTCGACCTCGAAGATGCGGATGCTGCGGTCCGAGGAGCACGTAGCGAGTTTCTTTCCGTAGTAGTCGAGCTGGGCATCGTGCTGTCGGAGATGGCCGAGGGGGAGGGAGCTCAAGTCAACGCGGCAGGTCGATGCCAATGGGGTCAAATGCAGAGCAAACGGCATTGTGGATATACTGACGATCATGTCCTCGTGCTGGGTGTCGAATGTGGATGCGGCAGTGGTGGCCTAGCGACAAGAGGAACGAGACGACACATTGCCGAGTCGGCGCGCATGGGGGTCAGTTGGGCCTGACGACATATCGGGGACTAGCCGCTCCGATAAAGCCTGCGCCCATATGTCGTGCGTGATGCCGCCGAGATCACTGCTGCTTTCGAGATCATGTCTTGGGAGCCGAGGGGCTGAACAGATATGGCGATTGCTCGACCGTTGCTTGCGGCTCGATCTTGATTCTCGCATTGTTCAAAGTGCAGTCGGCTTGGTTCTTGTCCCGAGATCGTAAGCAGCCACTCTCATCCCAGTGCCGTCGAATCTTGGAGAGCTAGATCCGGCTGCTGGCCTCGGTTCGCGCCAGATCCAAGAGTTGAGATGGAGGGGGGCTGCCGCTGAGTGCCAGCGGGTCGCAGCACTCACCATGGTGTCGGGTTAGGTCTCTCACACGGCAGGGACAGCGTGGGCTTCGGATGGCGAGGCGGGTAGGTCGGCGGGCCAGCGATGGCAGCAGGTGCGCGGCAGATGATGCAGCAACAGCGGAGGACGTTGCCGGTCGGGATGGCATCAGGCAGAGACGACCCGCCGCCGCCCCTTTTCTCGGCTGGGGGGGGGTGTGCGGGCTGGCTGTTTGCTGGCCGGCCACGCAGGATCAACTTCCACGTCGGAAATGAAGATTTCATAAGCAGCCGCATCCCCAAAAAGGAAACCGCGCGACGCCGAAACCGGGACGGGTGGCGGTGTGTGTGTGTGTGTGGCTGTCAGATCGCGTTGAGATCGAACAAGATCCAAGACAGCCATCGGTCTGCTTGCCATCGGTCTGCTTGCCATCGGTCTGCTTGTCTATCAACCTGTTTAGCGGCCCGCCACCATGTCTGCCCCCACCATCTACGTCGGCCCGTCCAACGCCGCCATCTCAGATGCCCTGAACGACTTTGTCCAAGGCCTTTCTGCCCAGGCTATCGCCCGATCCGGCCGCTTCACCGTTGCGCTCTCGGGTGGCTCGCTGCCCTCGATCCTGTCGCAGACCCTCAAGCACAACAAGAGCATCGACTTTTCCAAGTGGCACGTCTTCTTTGCCGACGAGCGCTGCGTTCCCTTGGACCACGCCGACTCCAACTTCCTGCTCGCCAAGCAGACCCTGCTCGACTTTGTGCCCATCCCCGCCAGCCAAGTCTACAGCATCGACCCCGAGCTGGCTACCCACCACATTAAGGCCGCGCAGGCATACGACCAGGTCTTGCGGCAGGTCTTTGGCACGGCCGATGAGTTCCCTGTCTTTGACCTGATCCTGCTGGGCATGGGACCCGACGGCCACACGGCCTCGTTGTTCCCCGGCCATGCGCTGCTCAGCGACCACCAGTCCTGGGTCGCCTCGCTCGCCGACTCGCCCAAGCCGCCTCCGGCCCGCATCACCCTGACCTTCCCCGTCATCAACCGAGCCCAGACGGTTGCCTTTGTGGCCACAGGTGGCTCCAAGGCCGACATTCTGCACGAGATCTTTGACCTCAACGTGCCCTATCCCTCTGGTCTGGGTGAGTGCCCGCTGTTGGTGTGGTGATGCCGTTTGTGCCGCGGACCCGAAGGACCCGAAGGATCGCGGCGAATGTTGCCATCAAAGGAGCCGAGCCATCTGCACTGCCCTTGACTCGCATTCGCATGGACTTGACTGACTTTGCTGGCATCCGCTCCCAAACTGCATCCTCTCTCTCCAGTCCGCCCTGTTTCCGGCAACCTCGTTTGGTTCATTGATGAGGCTGCCGCTGCCAAGCTCGCCGCTCCCACAGCATCCTACAAGCTGTAATTCATGCACCTGCCGCCGACCGAACCAGCCAGCCAGTCCAAGGGTGGCGGTGGAACACCATCGTCTCGCATGTCTGGAGAAACACGGTCGAATCCATGCACTTTACCCCAATTGTGCCCGACCGACAACAACCCCACTCGAGCAGCAATGAGGACTGGGGCCGGCGTGAGTTTGTCTATGTTACAGGTGCTCCAGCCACACATGATCTATTGAAAGTATCGCTTACTATACATGGCAACACAAACAAACATGGTTTGGCTGGAAAAGAATGCGAGGGCAATCTGGCTACCACCGTGGTCCCACCGTGGAGGGAGGGGCGGCGGCGGCGGCAGTGGGCTCGTGGTTTATTGCTCGGTGTTGGTGTAGAGGATGGTGCTCTTCTTGAAGCCGTTGAACTGGGAGGCAGCGGCAAGGGTGTAGGCACCCATGTTGTCAAAATAGAGCCAGTCGCCGACGTCGAGCTTGGGGAGCACAGCGGTGCGGGTGATGCAGTCGATCGAGTCACAGGTGGGACCCCAGATGCTGCAGTCGTACTCGACTTCGTTGAGCTCGGCGCCGTAGAGGTAGGAGCCGTTCTTGATGAGAATGTTGGGCTCGCACTGAACGTGATCAAAGGTGATGCAGTTGAAGCTGCCGTACATGCCGTCGTTGATATAGTACATGAACGAGGGCTTCTCGTCGTCGCTCTTCTGCACGACGCGGCGGGCAACGACGCTGACGACCAGGGTGAACGCGGCCGAGACAAAGTAGCGGCCAGGCTCGGCAATGATGCGGATATCTTCGGGGAAAAGCTCGTCGAGGACGGGGCGCAGGACGGCGGCGACATCGTTGAACTGGATGCCCTTGTTCTTGTTGCCGGGGAAGCCGCCACCAATGTCGAGGAGGCTGAACTTGAAGCCCATGGAAGCGCCAATGTCAAAGGCCTTGCGGGCAAGGACAACGGCGTCGCCAAAGGCCTGAGCATCGTAGCAGCCGCTGCCGACGTGGAAGCTGATGCCAACGACATCAACGCCCAGGTCCTTGGCGGTCTGCAGGAGGTGGGGGACGACGGCGAGGGAAGCGCCAAACTTGACGCCGAAGCGGCAGACGGAGCGCGAGTCGTCGGTCAAGATGCGCAGCACCATCTTGGCATTGGGGTTGATGGCCTTGACCTTGTGCAGCTCGTCGGCGTTGTCAAAGGTCATCATGTCGACGCCCTTGCCGGCGGCATAGCGGATGTGGGTGGGGCCCTTGCAGGGGTTGGCGTAGATCACACGGGAGGGATCGACGCCGTAGTCGAGGACGGTCTGAATCTCGACCTAGAGCACGCAAGGACAGCCCCGAGTCAGTCTCGGGGGTGATTGACCCAGGATGCCCAAAAGGCAGTACATGATCGAGGACACAATGGAAAACCTCTTCGCCCAGATCAGAGCCCGGCATACCTTGCTGGCGCAGTCAAAGCCGATGCCGAGATCAACCAGGGTCTTGATCACGACAGGGTCAGGGCAGCACTTGACGGCTAAGGTTGGAGGGAGGCAAGGGCACACGTCGGATGATTAGATCGTGGCGCATTGAGGCGGAGGTCGTCCGTCGGCGTAGCGGGCTTCTTCGGGTAGGTCGCGACAGGTGTCAGGCGGACGGCAGGACATGTCCAGGGAGCCAGATTCATTTCCTCTTAGAATTCCAGGGCGAGCGGGCGCGAGGCAACTCCCTCCTGCGGGGTGCGGCGGCTGTGTCTGCTCACCATAAAAGGGCTCGACACGGGGGAGGAGAGACTTCCACTGGCTGTGCTGGCGGACAACGTCGCCCATGTCGGCGACAAAGAACGAGTCCTCGGCCTCGGCCTCGGTCAGGGAGGGCGACAGGAGGCGGCTGCGGATGAGGGCATCGACGGATCGGGGGTCGTACTCGAACGACTCGGTGTCGGACTCGTAGGCCGGGAAGGCCTCGTGGCAGAGTGGATCAACGGGGATGGAGACGTCAAGCATGGCTACGGATGTAGTGTGCTGGGGTGGCTTAAATAGTTATGGGCTTTTGTAAACCGGATTAATTATACGTAGATCTTGTCAACGAAGACCCTCCGCCCACGGTGGTTCTGGATGCAGATGAGGGGGGGGGAGCCTGAGTCAGTACAAGAGCGGACGACCCCGACATCGCACCGGCTATCAACGCACCGGTAGTGTCCGGTATGTGGTATCAACCGCGCACTGCCCTGCCAGATCCAACAACATACCGGGCAGAAACCCCAAAAGGAGTCCGAACTTAATTCTTGGATTAGTGAAGGCCGTGATAGGCAATGCACAATCGGGACCACCTGCGAGAGGAAAGACGCGGAGGACAGACACAGGGGGGGGGTCACAGTCAGCAAGTGGAGCGGAGGCCCGGACCAGCCCGGACGGCAGCAACAGAACAGATACCCTCCCTCGGCCGCCGAGTGCATTGCAAGCTACCAGGCGTGTTGCCGCCCTCACCCCTAGCCTCGCTCGCAGGCAGAGCAGGATGATAGTTACCCAAAAGTGCAAAAGTCGAAAAAGTGGGCGAATACCCAGAGAATAATGAAGGATAAGAAGCGCTCTGGATGAGAGTGACGAGGCTTCTGCGAGAATAACAAATAGAACCGGCGAAAGGAACAGGTTCTTCGGACAGTACGCAGAGGTCGGGTAGACGAGAGAGGGCTGGGGTGGAATACAAGAGGGAGGAGAGCAGGCTCGGGCAGAGAACTAGGCGCAGATGTCGGCGTCGAGCTCAGATGGCGGGAGAAGCAAGAATTCGGGGTTGGCAGAGAAAAGAGGCGGCGGCGGAAGCTGGATCAGCAGAGACAGGCCCGGGTGGCGATCGTATGAAGAGGAGGACCGAGGCGACGGAAAGCAGTCGGGATGGAGGGGATGGGAGGGCCGGTCGCGAGGGCAAGTATTTATACGGCGATGGGCGACTGAGTTGGCCGATGGTGTTTGTGGGGCTCCACTGTTTTCGCACCGAGTTATTTGTTATTGAGAGAGTGAGGAAAAAAAAAAGCCACTCGCCGAAAAAGCTGTACCACCGAGAGCGACCAGCAGCGAGGAGCAGCGAGGGCCGCCACAAAGGGCAGCGAGGACGGCGAGCGAGACGCGGCGAGACCGGGGAGGTGCACACAAGGGCGGTCGGCGAGCCTGGCAGCGAGAGAGGCACGAGGTCGCGAGGGCGGGCGAGAGCACACGGCGAGGACGGCGAGGGGACAGCGAGGGGACAGCGAGGCGCCAGCGAGAGACCGGCGGCAGGGGGGACGGCCAGCCAGGCCAGGCGTCCCGGATTGCCGCTTTTGGAGGCTGTGTCGCACCCAGAAGGCCTTGTCCGCCGCAAGCACGGCGAGCCAGCGCCGCCCGGGCCAGCAGACACGCGAGCAAGGGCGGTCCGGTGGCCGGCAAGCCTGATTGGGCTGCGTCTCGCCGAATCAGGATGAGCGTGGCGGCGTCCCAGTGACCGCAAGCGAGATGGCGGGCGAGACCAGCCTCGTGTGGTCCTCGCTTGCACAGAGCAGCAGCGAGGGGCCTGCCGAGACCAGACGAGAACCGACGAGACAAGGCGGCAGGGCGAGTGCTGCCGAACAGCCTCCGGAGTGCTGCGACGCTCCTGCGGCGCTCCTGCGACGACAGAGGCGGGCAGCAGCAACATGTCGCGCCCAGGCCAGCTGGTCCGGCAGGTGCGCTGCGGGGTCATCTCGAAATTTGCCCAGTCGCACCCCCTCGCCCGGCTGCCTCGTCTGAGGCCGTTCGGTCGATCTCGCCATCCCAGTCCAGCATGATCGCAATCGCTGCTGGCACACACACTCCATTGTGCGTGCCAGACACAAGCCGCCTCTGTGCTGCCGCTGTGTTGCCGCTGTGGACCCTCGCTCTCGCTCTCGCCAGGCTCTCGCCGGGCTCTCGCTCCTCGGGTCTGGCGCGCCGAGCCCCCGTCCCATTGGCCGAATGCCAAAAGTACTTCTGTCCTATCACCGAGCGCCCCGCCTGAGGCTGTGCACCGATTGCTCCCGTCTTGAAGTACTTCCGTCAGCGTGACACACCGCTGCCGCTGCCACTCGCGCAATGGCGACATCGGCTGGCAAGCCCTTGGTCTGCTGTCCATCTCCACCCCCCGCCTCTGCGTCGAGATGACCTCGTCGACGCGTACACATTGTCGATCCTTTCGTCGGATCGGCCAAGGTTCGCAGTCGAGGCCTGTGGCAGCGAGCCTCCGTTGGGACCCGCTGATCCTGGCTGCACCACCAATCGACCGTGCCCCTGGCGACGCCCCACGGCCTTCGAGAGCCAGCCCCGCTCTGCCAAGAGACAGTGCCGCACTGCCCAGAGACAGGAGCCTCGACGAGAGGAGTCCGTCGTCAGGGTGTCTGGGGCAGCACGGCATGGAGGCGAGGGACGGTGGCGGGACCAAGAAGAGGGTGATAGATGGAACGCCAGCGTTGATACCCGAGACACCCAGGCAGATCAAAGCATCATCGCAGACGGGAGAGCGACCAGTTGCCCAGACCAGCCGGCTCCGCCGATATCGTCTGCGGATTTACCCAGCCGCTTGCGACAGCGGCGCGCATCGACATACTGGTGGTTCCTGCCCATGTCTGATTGAGGGAGCCGCCAGGCGGAGCAACACAATATGTCTGTGGGAAAGGGACTACCTTTTGCCAAAGTATCGCCGCACCATCATCGACGCTCTCTGCCGGCGCGTGAGACTCGCCACGCCACCACTTCCAATTCCCAACATGAAAAAAGCCGACTCCAAGTACGCAGAGGCAAGTCAGGGGCCCTTGGCGCACGCCCGCTCCCTCTTGATGCTGGCTCGATCGCACTCGCCGTGCTGACGCTCCCTGAACCGCGTTCGGGTATCAACCCTGGGTGTGGTATCAATTCCTCGCTCTGGCGCACACGCCTGGACCTCGCGCGGTGATACCGATGCAATTAGATCAAGAGCAAAATCGCGCAGCAGTGGGAGCTTGTGCCTGCCCTGCCGCTGGACTTTTCGTTCAAGGACATGACGGCGATGCAAGGTACAACTCTCGACGGGACCGCCGAATACCTTCGAGACTGGCACCCTTTCCCATTCGTAACCCTTCGACAACCACTCCCACAGATACCGAAACCGAAGAGCCTCGTCCTCACACTCACAAGGAAACGGTATGTCGGGCTGCTGCTTGTCGCTCCTCTTTCGGGCATCCGGCTCCTCACAATCATCGCCTTCGCCTGGCTGTATCGCCAGGGCAACCAGCTGCAGTCCATTCGCTTCTCGAACAATAAGATTTCTACCTTGGAGGGACTGCTGCCAGCAATCCAAAAGGTCAGCATGGCCTGCGACAACATAACCTGGATTGACTTGTCATTCAACCAGCTCAAAACTATCGATCCGGTATGGCTGCGAGAGCGAGTGGTCGTCGGAGCTTTGAATCTTGGTATTCCTCGCCGTAACACATCGATATCTACTTCTCAGGTATTTCTGAGCTTTCCAAATCTGAGTGGACTGTATCTGCACGCCAACCAAATCTCGGCCGTGCAAGATGTCGACAAACTCGCGCCGCTGACCCGTCTCCGGACGCTGACTTTGCACGGCAATCCGGTCGAGAGCGCCAAGGGCTATCGCCAGTGCGTCCTGGCCAGGCTGCCGCAGCTCAAGCATCTGGACTTTTGCACCATCACCAAGATGGACCGAGCCGTGGCCATCACACTGCAGCAGCGAGGATGTGGCCGCGCCAAGAGAGAAAAGGCCGAGCCAGCCATCTAGACTGTGCATGGCTCGACCGTCGCCCATCTAGGTCGAGAATAGCGGGCTCGGTGCACCGCTGCTATCCAGTTCGTTCGCTGTCTCGATTTCCTCTTCGTCGTATATCTCTCGTTATTCATATCACAGCGACCCACACCGCCAACTGTCCGTCCAGCGTCCGAGCAAATACAAATATCACCGAATGCTGCGCCAGGACCCGGCAGTAGCCGCTTTCGCCTTCCACCGTCGTATCATCGCAATACCGAGTCGTTCGCACGGTCATGCGGAGGCAATCCAGCGTTGCGGCCGTGAGTGGACAGGAGAGTCGGCCATGGGTTGACCAGGAGAGCCGGCCGATTTGCTGCTCGGAGCTTTGGTGCGGACTTGTCGTCGTTTGGTGGCAGCCTTGTGCCCCTTCTGCGCAGCCTCCCAATGACGCAGCCGCACTTTTTTTTTTGCTCCCCATCCGCCGCTTGCCTCCCCATCCAGCATCCTGCCCGATCCCACACCGCCAAGCCAGCTCCGAAACAACCATGGCCGCCCTGACCAAGACCGTATGTCCTCCGCCGTCTCATCGTTGTCGCCAGAGGCAGCGCTCGGCTGCTCGCGACGACTGGCTTTTCGGTTGCAGCGACACCTTCATCGCCCACTTCAGCTCGGGCGGGATTGTCGTTTTGACATCCTGGCAAGGATATGGACGCCCTGGAACGCTGCCGCCATGGCAAGCCCTTACTGATCTCCTCCGGCCTGGCTCTTCCGCTTTTGAAGGAGTTTCCCGACCTCAAGCTTATCGCCCGAGGCAAGGTCCGCGATCTCTACGATGTCGACGAGAACTCTCTGCTCTTTGTCGCCACGGACCGCATCAGTGCCTTTGACGTCATTATGGAGAACGTGAGTAGACTCGCTTTTTCGCCGGGTTCTCAAACTCGTCCTTGGCCGCTCGCGCTTGCCTCAGTCAACGCGTGACCCAAAGCCCAGCGAAGCGCTGAACCGACACCATCGCCGCACCCTTGCGTCATCGACAGGGTATTCCCAACAAAGGCAAGATCCTGACCGAAATCAGCGGCTTCTGGTTCGAGCTCCTGAAGGATGTCGTCCCCAACCACCTGATCACCACCAACGTCGACGAGATGCCCGAGCCTATCCGCAAGTACAAGGCGCAACTTCAGCACCGCTCGATGCTCGTCAAAAAGCTCAAGATCCTGCCCGTTGAGGCCATTGTTCGTGGCTACATCACCGGTAAGCAGCCGGACCAGAGGGAGGATAATGGCTCCAGCGCCTTGCACCGCCGTCATGGGAATATGATTTTGGCAGCTTCAGTCGTTGCAGTGCAACGGTGCTTGAGTCACAAATCATGATCACATCAATGTGTCGAGATGCTGAGATTGGCCCGCCAGGCGTGTGTTGGGCTGGCAGGATCTCGCAATTGGGTTGGATTCTCACGATGTGCTGTGTTGTGCTGTGTCGGCTCAAGGATCTGGCTGGAAGGAGTACAAGAAGCAGGGCACCGTCTGCGACATCAAGCTGCCTGTTGGCCTTCGAGAGTGCGAAAAGCTCCCCGAGCCTCTGTTCACCCCGAGCACCAAGGCCGAGATCGGAGACCATGGTGAGGATCGTAGTAACGGCTACAAGACCGTGGAGGAGGGGCTCGGTGGAGCATAAGCTGCATTGCGGCGTCAATGATCGGCCTGGCGTCGAGAATGTCGAGCAACGACTCGACGGGCCGGACTCGCTCATGCAGCTTTCATATCACGAACGCCCTGGTTCTGAGAGCCGCCGTTGCTGCCTCGCTCATGAATGCTGCACTTTACCACTTTGCCAGACGAAAACATCCATCCCAGCAAGCGTGAGTATTGCGCGCTAAACCACATCTCCGATATGAACAAGCTCTGAACTGTGCAGGTTCAACACAACGTCACCGCCTCTGACACTTTCGCACCTGTGTTGGCTAATCCCCTTTTAGTTGTCGATATTATTGGCGAAAAGTACTCTAATCTGGTCGCCGAAACTGCACTGAAGGTCTACTCCAAGGTGGGCGGGTGTTACTGTCTTGCCGGCGCAGCCGACAGTAGATGCATCCATATCTGCTGCCGTCCGCTAGATCCTCGCATGCCGCTCATGTCCGTCACATCACCGTACTCTACAGGCCCGCGACTATGCCCTGAGCAAGGGCATCATTATCGCCGACACCAAGTTTGAGTTCGGCGTTGATTCCGAGGGCAATCTCGTCCTTGCTGACGAAGTTCTGACACCCGGTACGTCTAGAACTGCTGCCCGCTGCGGCCATCGATCTCACTGTGTCTGTGAGGCAGCTCAGGTGCCCTGTTTATTGACGTCCCTTTCCTTGCGTCCCGTCTCTCCGTCATACTCGGTCGCTTTGCTTCTCGTGTGGCCAGACTCCTCTCGTTTCTGGCCTGCCGACCTGTACACCGTCGGCCAGAATCAGCCCAGGTGAGTTCGAGAGGCGAGAGATTCCTTTCCCCCGACTGTGCTCTCCTCCGCTGCCGATCCTGGTGTCCCTTGCCGCCGGTCTTGGCAGAAACAGCAACGATCACAATCGCAGTTGCCCTGTGGAGGGATGACGATCAATGTTGACGCAATCCTCCACATCGTCGCCTCAACACCTGCTCCATAGCTTCGACAAGCAGTACTTGCGCGACTACCTCGAGTCGATCAACTTTGACAAAAAGACCAGCGTCACCCTGCCCGTCCACGTCATCGACAACACCATGGCCAAATACGTCGAAGTCTACACCATCCTCACCGGCAAGGCTCCCCAGTTTTAATGTCCTGCCATCCGATCCAATAAACCTTGTGCACTATACAGAACCCTGCAACAACGAGGCGGCGCTCGCCGGGAGTCATGGTTGGGCCTGCAGCAGCACCACGAAAGTATCGCCCTTGACTCAGACAATCCACCGTGAGTTGGATGTGTATTGGAGCCGATGGAGGCGCGGGCTCTGGACAACCAACATGCCGCCCAACAGAACGCCTCACAGCTTGCGGAACTTGGCCTGGATCCACCGACGCTGCATCGACAGCTCTCGTTTCCGGTTCACAATCTCCTTCTCGACATAGTCGATCGCAATCGCCTCGAAGCCAGCATTTTCGAAGAGCTCTTTGAGCTGCTCTGTTTCCGACAACGCCAAAAGAGTCCGCCCCCCCCCCGAAGCGGATCGAGACAATGTTAGACACGGATCTGCGAACACAGCATCAGCGACTGCCACCAGGAGCACGCCGCCTACCGATGCTAAAGTAGACCGAGAACGTGCCATCCTGGCGGACGTAGAAGTTGTCGTCGATCTTGTGGCCCGGCTTAAACCGCAGCTGGGCAGCATCGTAGAGCCCGTAGTCGCGGAACATGACCAGGCCGCCCGGCTTCATCACCGCGCCGATGTTGTTAACGGCGTCTTGCAGCTTCCTGCTCGGTTGTATCACGCGCACCGATGCGAATCAGTGTCGGATGCAGCAGGTCCATATGACTCAGCAAGATGAAATAGTCTGGGTGGTCCCGACAACTGTTGGCAGACCCAACCAGCACAATGCCGTGTCGCTCGATATTCCCTTCCCCAAGTGTCCGCATCCGTACTTGCAGACTGAGAGCCAGCCATGTCGTAAGCACAGTGTTCAGGTGGATGGAGAAGGTCGCTTACTGAGGAGGAACCGCGCTCAGGCAGAATATCGACGAGAGCAGATCCAGCGATGCGGCTGGAATCGTGTTTGTGAGAGGATCTTGGGTGATGTCGCAAACAAAGGCCAGGCATCGCGACTCGTCGTAGTTTTCGTTAGCCTGGGGGGGGGGAGGAAGCACGGGATTCTCAATACAACACAGCTCAAGGGCACACAGTCGTCGTTGCAAGACGATATCGCCGCCCTGCACGAGTAAATACATGTCGTGCCCCCGTGGCTGGGCACCGACCAAGCGCTGCTCGATACTTACTTTTACAAACTCAATTGCTCGGCTGGAAAAGTCGCAGCAGTATATGAACATGTCCGGGTTGGCCTCCAGTACCGGAAAGACAAAGTTGCCGACACCACATCCTGCGACAGTCCCACACAATGCCCACATCAGCATTCATTCGGCGCAACGGTCCCACAGGTTCACGTGCCAGACTCCAGTGTCGCCACGAATCGATTCGTGGCGATAAACAACTATTACCTACCGACTTCTGATGTTCCCGAGTGTTGGGTATTGAACGCGAGAACACTGTCGTTGAGCAAGCAAGTCGTCCATCGATCGAATGTGCCACTGCAAGTGGTGTCGATGCAAGGCTTCCAAGATCTAGGTTGATACCACACTTACCGAGGAGTGTCTGCAAAGGCGCACAGAATGGCGGACAAGCGTTAGGTCGGGAGCACATGCCATGAGCACCCCTCGACCGTTCGTCGCCATTACCACATCCCCATCCGCTGCAACGGACTCCAATTGATTCTGCAATCGACTTTGCCGTTGGTGCTTGCTGGCCCGCTTACCTTCTTCTCGCCGGTGGACTGCAGCTCGGGGAACTCTCTCTCTGTCCAGTGGCGATCCTTGAAGAATTTGACGGTGTTTCGCTGTGGCAGACATCGCGGGTCAGCATCGTCGTCGTCATGTAATGTCGCTCCGAGCTGCGTGGTGCTGGAAGCCAGATCGATGCATCTGGCCATATTGAATCATGCACCCCTGCATCCGATGTATCCCGTGGTCCCTGTTCATCCGGCTTGTCCGGATGTCGCTGCTAGTCTTGCGTGGTTGGTCTGGGGTGTCGGTTCGCCATCACAGATGATTCCTCCAAGCAACTCGGCGCTGCTCTGCTGAGCTGTGTATGCATTGCTGTATTCACCCCAATCGCTGGCAGATCGCCGTCGCAACCCAAAAATGGCCATGCTGGTCAAGATACTGACCTTATAGAACCTGCAGAGACCGTGAATGGCAACAGTTAGCCCACGAACTTCACGCGGGGAGGGTTTGCTCTTGCCATCAACCCCGCGCTGCAGAGCCCCCCCTCGATGCCGGAACTTGGTTCCTGGCGATGCTTCCGTCAAACGTACTTGTCCCAGCTCTTGGATGCCTCGCGGATATACTTTTGAGCAAAGAAGGGCTGCACCGGCTTCTGGTCCTTCTCGAGAATGGCAAGGGCGCTGGCTCGGGCTTCGTCGTCGATGGCCTGGGCAAGCCGGATCTGGCCGCCTCCGGGCTCGTCCAGCGACAGATCCGAGGCAGACGACTGCAGCGACGGCGCTTCCGACATGGCTGTGGGGATCGGTGGGTGAGCAGATCGGCGAGTCGACGGAGGATCGGATGGGCGGCTCGGCGGCTCGACGGATTGATGGGTTGATGGATTGATGGCCAGCAGGACCGATGCTGGGTGCATCCAGCCCAGATCGCGGCCGCCTGGTTTTCCGCGACGGGAATGTCGCACAGCCGCCGGCTCGATCCGGCTCGGATAGCTGCGCCACGGCCGCACAAGCCACACGTGGCGCATTTTTCTGTCGCCTCGCCGGGCCGCCTCGCTGTGTCCTCGCCGCGCTCTCGGCGCTCTCGCTCCGGTGTTGCCGAGACCAGAGTAAAAGAGTTGGCTCTTGTGAACATCCTTTTCTTTCCCTTCCTCTTCTCCCGTCAGGACCAAATCGTTGCCCGTCTCGGTTAGCGTGGTTAAATTATCAATTAAGGTAGAGCATCGCCCCTTGCCCGCTCCGACCAGCTTGCGGCCGTGTTCTGCCTGCTGCGTATTGGCAGCGCCCGGATTGTGGCAGCGCCGGACACAGGCGTATATCGCCTTCGACTCGGAGGATGTGCGACTCGCTATCAGTGGATCGCTGGGCAGTCTGGATCCGACGACGGTCTCGGAAACAATCCAAGCGGACGACGAGCTACAATATCTGGAGCGTCTCTGTTGGCCTTATAGGCTGTGGGTCACATCGACAGGCCCATGCCGACACCCGTTCGCCCGCATATCAGACGGAGCACCGGCGTCCGCGGACTCGGCCAGTGTGCTCTCGTGATCAGCTCAGCCGGATGCATCCTGGAAGCCCAAACGCAGACGCAGTCTGTGTGCCACGTCGGGATCGAGGAAGAACCGGATACTGTGCAGCTTGGCTGGCTGACGAGGCGGCGCCGGGGCCCGCGAATAATGGCTTGGAGCATCGCAAGGCAGTCGGAGCGCCTGCGACGTGCGACTGGGTTGGAGTGGCTACATTTCCCGGATTGAGGCAATCGGCAACACTGCTCCGACACGAATGCAAGTTGGCCGCATTTCGGGCAAGCAAGATCGATGCCGAATGTTGCCCTCGATCAAGACGTGCGCCGATCATATCCCCTCGGCGCTGTGATAGACTGGCACTCGTGGCACACTCCGTCGCTAACGACTCGTCTCCTGTGTCTTTGTTGCTCGCAGAATCAAAATGGGCAGACTTCACGAGTACCAGGTTGTTGGACGCAGACTCCCCAAGGAGGGTGCCGAGGCCCCCAAGCTCTGGCGCATGCGCCTCTTTGCCCCCAACGAGGTTGTTGCCAAGTCTCGTTTCTGGTACTTCATCAAGCAGGCCCACAAGGTCAAGCCCTCTTCTGGCGAGATCGTCTCGGTCAACGAGGTGAGTGTTGCGGGCTGTATCGCATCGCTGCGTCGCTCGGTGTCCCCTTATGCTGCATCGCTGACTTTGCCCCCCCCCCCTTGTTTCGGCAGATCTTCGACCGATCTCCCCTGAAGGTCAAGAACTTTGGCATCTGGCTCCGCTACAACTCTCGCTCCGGCACCCACAACATGTACAAGGAGTACCGTGAGCTGACCCGCAGCGATGCCGTCGAGGCCTGCTACCAGGATATGGCTGCTCGCCACCGTGCCCGCTTCCACTCGATCCACATCATCAAGGTCGCCCACGTCAAGGATGCCGATGTCCGCCGTGCCAACATCAAGCAGGTTGCTGACCCCAAGGTCCGCTTCCCTCTTCCCCACCGCGTCCTCCGCCCCTCGAGCAAGCGCTTCGTCAAGACCTTCATTGCCAACCGCCCCTCTACTTTCGCTTGAAGAGTGTGCGCTGACAATAAACATTGGTTTCGATAATTTCAACCCACGATTTGATGTGTTTTGCTATTCCGATGATGTGAGCTTCTTGCCCATCTGTAAGCAACACGGTTTTCCTGTGGAAAGACACTTGTCCTCTGTCCCAGCGCGAAGGGAAACTAAGCGAGACGGCGCTTCCACAGCGCTTTCCGAGTGAAACGGGGATACCCTGCTTCTTGTTCAGATGGGAGTGGAAGCACGTACATTGTTCATGATGGTTGTCTGTAGCTTTGTTTTACAGCGTTTCCAAAATGAAATGGGACACCCCGTTGAGCCATGACAGGGTTTCTTTCTGTGACCTGAATACACCCATCCACTCATCGCAATCATGGCCAAGCATAGCACCTCGATCTCCGCATCGCTGCACTGCGACCGGTGGTCTTCGCTCGGAGGTGATCTGTTGAATTGCATGCGCCTCCATTGGACGCATGCCATCGCATACTACCCTGACAAATGGGTTGTGGGCAGGTGTCTCATTTCCCCCTGAATACAGTGTACATTGACTCATGCATTCCCATGCACATCGACTTGGCACTGACCTTCCCCTCACCCCACCCCTCGTTCCGATTGATATCAGACACACACATAGACACCCGACATGCACTTTTGTGTGGGCGAGCACACCCCAAGTTGCAGCCACACGCTGCTGCAAATCAAGATGTCATTTGCCGAGCCACAAGCATAGGCACCGAACTGGGTGCATGGCTTGCCAGCAGTGGGCTGGCTCGGGTTCGACGTCGGTACAGCCGTAGTTGATGTCGCTGTGGTTGTTGTTGTCGTGACTTGGGCGGGGATCGTTGTTGTTACGACAATAGCCGTTGTGGTTACTATGGGGCTTGGGTTTGGGCTCGGGCTCGGATTGAAGGTGGGAACGGGGCAGAATGGCCGGCTAAGGCATCAGCCCGTGCAGGAGGGTGTCGAGAAATTGTGGTCAGATGCAGTACTCTTGGATCACGAACGAGCCACCAGCAACCACCAGCAACCACCAGCAACCACCAGCAGCCATCAGCAACCACCAGCAACCACCAGCAACCACCAGTAGCCACCACGCTCTTCCCTGTCGGCTTGTGTCTTACCTGACGCTCGAAGACGTCGATGAGGAAGGCTGCGGGCTGCTGGGAGCGGGAATTACCCCAGCACAGCGACTGTTCTGCGACCCGAGCACTGCCTTACAGATTTGCTGTGATGTTGTCGTCTGGGATTGCCGCCAATTGAGGTTAGGATGTGTCCGTGGCGAGCAGTGCATTCGAGGCAGCGACATCCGCCAAAAGCCGCCACCTCACAGAGGAGCTTGATCGTGCGGAGCGAGCTACTCACAGGGTTAACGCTAGTTGGCTGATTGCCGGGGCCCTTGTAGAGCTCCCAGAAGAAGCCACCCTGATACTGGGGCTGTGTAGACTGGATGATCTGCTGGAGCGCCGAAGACGTGAGGGGCAGCTGGTGCGTTGGGTCCTGGGTGTAGTCGGGATAGGCCCTGCGATCCAGCAGCGGAACAACATTGGGGGGCGTCAATGCTCGGCTCCAACAACGGCCCGTGCCAAAGCGAGGGTTTCAGCAGCGACTTACGGCTGACCGACTTCGTAGCCAACATAGACACCACCGGGACTGATCTGCTGATATGTGTTAAGGTAAAAGTTGACCTGGCCAGGCAGGTCGCATATATTGTCCGTCGGGCATTCGTGGAATGTCGGGTTACTTGAGAGATCGTAGCTCATGATGTTGAGCCCGCCGGCGTTGCTTCCTTGTGTCATGAAAGCAAAGGTGTCTGGGTAGAGTTGCTTCATGATGGCCCACAGCCCATGCAGGTTGCCGCCCCACCAACTGGTCGTCTGGGCTCCGGTCGCCGCCGCTGCCGTCGATAGCTTGCACGTGGGATAGAACTTTTGAATGTTGAGCATAATATCCCGAGCAATGGCCGTATACTTGTAGACCGTCTGGAAGGCAGTGATGGGCGACACCGACACTTAGTTGGCACAGCCTTTCCTTGTTAAGCATCAGGTTGCTTTGGACCGTCTCGGTTGCGGCTTGGAGCTGCTCCTGGTGGTGCCGACTCCCCTGGGCCAATGGATAGAGATGGCTCACCTGGTGGATGCTGAACGGGCCTTGTGGTGACGAGGCCGAGGTGCTGACCTTGAAGGTGTCGGCGTGCCAGGTCTCTTCGTAGTCAATGTCGATGCCATCAAGTCCCAGGTCCTTTGCCAAGAACACCAGATCTTGATATGGATCTCGGTTCTGACTCTTCCCTGATGAACAGCAGCAGGAGGAGTTAGCCAGGCATGTGTGCATGGACGCTGTGTGAGTCGAAGCGGCGGGCTTTGCCGCTCTGGGACTTGTCGGGAACTGTGAATCACTGCATTCAACGGCACTGCCCCCCTGGCAGCTCGCATCTAGCCTCTGTTAATCACTCAGCAGTCCCGCGTTGTTGTGCTGCACTCACAATCCGAGTTGCCCGGGACAATGGTTGTGACGCCGTTCGAGTCGGTGTACTGGGCCCCGCCATAGAGCTGCGGATGCCATGTTGGAGCGTATCCCGAGGCCGCACCAGCTTGAATGTAGGACTGGGCCGCTGTCCAAGAAGCGCTGTTACTGGGTTCTGGGAATATCGTGAAGCTCGACAAGGTTGTGTTTTCACTCTGGGGCTCGCAGCTGAGAGCAAGGAAGGCAGATTGGGCAGGTAAGACGCTGTCTGCAGTCTGCAGTGTGATGATGGGCAATCGGATTCGACCTACACACCCCATACTGGCACTTACACATAGCACCACATGTTGGACTCGGTGCATCCGCTGGCTTGGCCGTTGGCATACTGGGTAATCTTCCAGAAATTGGGGCCGTTCCCAGGATTGTAGATGCTGAAACGCATATACAAATCTGCAATGGCACAGTTTCAGCAACGCGGATGCAGGACACAATTGATCGCTGCCCTTCCTATGTGCGTGTTACTCATTGTGAGACACTGCTGCTGCGGGGCGATTTCGTCTTACATGGATAGCAGTTGTAGTTCCATCCGCCGACAGAGATGAAGACTTCTACCCCGGCAGCCCGCAGCACTGAAACATATTTCTTGATCTCAGCAAAGCCATAGTCGCCCGAGGTTGCATAGCCCAGTCCAGTTTTGGCCAGGGTGTTGGAGCCCGAGACATAGATCCTGCAAGTAGAGTGAGAGGATCAGCCGCGAACTTTGAGGATCGACGGCGAGTTATTCGGCTCGCCGCACTCGGGAAACGACCCCCTCGCAGCTTGCGGGTCTGTTGCTGTGATGACCAGCATCACAACGGACCAATGAGATTGTCCCGCATGCTCTCGCCCTCCGCACCAATCATGAGTCCCCACGTGTTTGTTTGCCCCCATGCATGAGCACGCGCCGTTGCCACCCGCGTCTACTGGTTTCCTGCCTCCCCCACCGCTCGGCACATGTCCCCGGGCTGTGCCAAGCCTCTCTCGCTTGCACACCAGCCACTCTCGCACCCCCTTCTCGCTTCTCTGTGATGCTCCACCCTTCTCGCCCACTTTTGCCCCTCGACCTTCTCCCGGTCTATAAATAGCCCTGCATGTCTGAGCCTATGTTGAACACCAGTTCGAACAAAACTTGTTCTTTGGTGTTCGGGGCTAAAAGCTAATAAAGCTCATACCAAGCACTTGGTCTTCGTCCTTGCGCTTGTTCACTCCTTACACTTTGTTCGAACTCTCTTCTACTGATACCACCTGCTTGGTATCTTCCGCTCCTAGCCCCGCCCCTTTCCTAGTCCTGTCCGAACCTCAAGCACACTTGTGTCTGAGCCCTCTTCGCTCTCCTGTTCTTGAACCTCCTCGCTTTTTTTTTTTTTCCCAGTCCCAGTCCCAGTCCCGCCATGGATCCTGCCCTCGTGGACCGCCTCCGTGCCTTGGAGGCCGAGCTCGCCGAGCTCCGGACAGCTCGCGATGCTCCTGCCGCTGGGTACAGCGTGCAGATGCCGGACCGTTACGACGGTAACCGGCAAGGGTTCCGGGCATTCGTAAATCAGTGCAAACTGTATATACGAATGCAGCCCCACCGGTTCCCTGCTGACCCGATTAAGGTCGGATTCGTCATTAGTCTGCTCACTGGACCGGCTCTCCAGTGGGCGACTCCGATGCTTGAGATGGGTGATCCCCGACTCAACTCTTTTGGCGATTTCCTAGAACGCTTTTCCAAAGTGTTTGACGACCCTGATCGGGCCAGGACTGCCGAGTCAGTGATCACCACACTGTCTCAGGGCAACCGCCCGTGCGCAGTCTATGCATCCGAGTTCCTTCGTATTGCCGCCGATACGACTTGGAACGACGGTGCAAAGATCTCGTTCTTCCGACTTGGCTTGTCGGATGATGTCAGAGACGAACTTTCGCGAGTTCGCCCTCTGCCACGAGATCTGGAGGAGTACATCGAGCTTTGTAACGAGCTCGATGCACGAATCCGCGAGCGCCGTCAAGAGCGCCGAAGCACGCCTGCCCGCTACCGGTCTTCCCAGTTCGCCTTTGGTTCCGCCTCCGCTGCCGTTCCCGCCATCGCTCCCGCGCCCGTCCTCGCTCCGCCGCACCCCTCCTACATTGTTTCCGAGCCCATGCAAGTGGACTCTGCCGTCTCTGGACCCCTGACCGCCGAGGAGAAACAACGCCGCCGCCGCTTTGGACTCTGCCTGTACTGTGGCAAGAAGGGCCACTTGGTACGAAACTGCCCCGTCAAGTTTGGATCTACCAGAGCTACCGGACCGCCCCCTGGACCTCCCGGCCCGAGGATCATCCGCACCATCGTTTACGAAGATGGAGAAGTGCAAGACTTCAGTTCGGGAAACGACCAGGCCCGGTTCTAAGTGAAGGCCTTGAACCGGAGCCGTGCCCACCGCCTTCCGAAAGTGAAGACATTGGTAAGGTGCCTTTGGTAAGTACTGGGGAAGCAGTGATGTGCGGACAGCTTCGCCTTGCCTCTGGACCGGCGGACACTCTCAGCTCTGGCATAGTACCCGTGGCACCTCTGGTGTCACTGGGAACTGCACCTCATCCACAGGTGCAAATACCTGAGCTGTCCTGCCAACCCTCGGCAAAGTTAACTGTCTGTGCTAGCCGCAACCCTGGTGCCGAAGCTGGTACCGAACCAAAGTCTTGTGTTTCGTCTGTTCGTCGTTGCTCGTTGGTTGTTCCCGTCGCTGTTCGTCTTCCTTCTGGTGATTCTCTGTCGTGCGAAGGACTTGTCGATTCTGGTGCCTCTGGCAACTTTATCGACGAGGACTTTGTTGCTCGACACTCTGTCCCCACCTGCTCCAAGGCTTCGCCCTTGGCAGTGGAAGGCGTGGATGGTAAGCCGCTGTCGTCTGGCCCCATCCTCCGCGAGACTGCTCCACTCGAGGTGATTCTCGGGGACGTCTCGCAACGCCTTCGGTTCGATGTGATCAGGTCTCCACATCAACCACTTATCCTTGGCTTTCCTTGGTTGCGCACCGCCGAGCCCAAGATTGTCTGGTCTCGCGGTCTTCTTTGTCTCCCTCCTTCTGTTGATTCCGACCCCTCTCCATGCACTACTTCTCTTTCGTCTTGCTCCACTTCCTCCAATGTCACTCCCCTTCTTGATGATTCCACTCCTTTGATTGATCTAAGCTCCTCTCCTACGCTCCCACCTTCGTCTTCCCCTTCTTGTCTTGTTCCTCCCGAACCCCTTCGCTCTTCCCAAACCCCTTCTTCTGTTGTCAGTTCTCTTTCCCTCCTTGATGTACCTCCTCCTGTTGTTTGTTCTTCGGACATTGTTCAGAATAAAGTAACCGTCGAACATTATTCTGACCTTGTCCACGCCCCTCCTCTCAGCTCGGACGCTCCTCTCCGCGTCTGCAGCATTGATTACCGCTCGATGCGCGAGTCTTTGGATGCATGCAGGCATGGAACGCAACCCCTGACCATCTTTCAGGTCCATGTCCTGCCCACTGACGAGCCGAGCACTGCGACTGTCGAAGTGCCTGCGGAGTACAAGGACTTCCTGTCTGTTTTCTCTAAACAGGAAGCTGACTCCTTGCCTCCGCATCGCCCTTATGACTGCCCCATTGACTTGGAGCCGGGCAAGTCGCCAAAGTTCGGGCCTCTGTACTCACTGTCCGAGCCCGAACTTCACGCTCTGCGTGACTATCTCGACGAGAATCTTGCCAAGGGATTCGTTCGTCCTTCGTCGTCCCCAGCAGGCTCACCAATCCTCTTCGTCAAGAAGAAGGACGGCTCACTTCGTCTTTGCGTTGACTACCGCGCACTGAACGGTATCACGGTAAAGAACCGTTACCCTTTACCGCTGATCGGCGAGCTGCTGGACCGACTTCGAGGCGCGAAGGTGTTCACTAAGCTGGACCTTCGTGGAGCCTACAATCTGCTGCGCATCCGCTCCGGGGACGAGTGGAAGACAGCTTTCCGTACTCGATATGGGCACTTCGAGTACTTGGTGATGCCCTTTGGGCTCACCAACGCGCCAGCGACGTTCCAGCACTTCATCAACGACGTCCTGCGCACCGAGTTGGACCAGTTCGCAATTGCGTATCTTGACGATATCTTGATCTACAGTGCTGATCCGTCGCAGCATGTAGAGCACGTCAAGCAGGTCCTCTCGAAGCTCCGAGCTGCAAAGCTGTATTGCAAGCTGGAGAAGTGCGAGTTCTCCAAAACCTCGGTCTCGTTCCTTGGTTTCATGGTCTCGCCCGAGGGCATCGGTATGGAGCGATCCAAGCTCTCTGCGATCTTGGATTGGCCCATACCGCGCAACATCTCGGATCTTCGATCCTTTGTCGGGTTTGCGAACTTCTATCGACGCTTCATCGATGGATACGCAAAGATCGCGGGGCCCATGACTCGGCTCTTCCGGAAGACGCATGGCTTCCAGTGGTCCCGCGAAGCCGATAAAGCATTCAGATCCTTGAAGGATGCCTTCGTTTCGGAGCCCGTTCTGGTGCATCCGGACCCATCCAAGCCGTTCGTCGTAGAGTCAGATGCGTCGGACTTTGCGCTTGGATGCGTGCTCTCCCAGCGGGGTGCTGATGATCGCCTTCATCCTTGCTCGTTCCATTCGCGGACACTCTCGAATGCTGAACGTAACTACAGCATATACGAGAAAGAGCTGTTGGCGATCAAGGAGGCTTTCGAGGCGTGGCGACACTACCTCGAAGGCGCCCAGCATCCCGTTGCCGTTCTGACCGATCACAAGAACTTGGAGTACCTGGCAACGGCTCGCATCCTAAACCAGCGTCATGCACGGTGGTCCCAGTTCTTGTCTCGGTTCGACATCCGCATCCAGTACCGTCCTGGTGCGAGGAACGGCAAGGCCGATGCCCTGTCTCGTCGCTCGGACTACATCCCTTCGTCGGCCTCCGTGTCGAGGGATCCGCCTCTGCTTCTCGATCCTGCCGCGGTGATACGCGTGCTCCGAAGCAGAGACGCCCGCTCTTCGGTTGCAAGTCGCAGTGACCCTGTGGATTTGCTGCAGCTCATAGCCGAAGAGCAGGCTCGGGATCCCGGTCTAGACAAATACCGTCGTGACCCGAAGTTCGTCTGGAATGGCCAGTACCTCACCTTCCAGAACAGGATTGTGGTCCCAGAGTCGTGCCGAGTTCCGGCGCTCAAGTCGTGCCATGACCCAGTCGCTGTGGGTCATCCAGGCATCCGACGGACTCTGGCTCTGGTATCGCGACAGTTTTGGTGGCAAACCTATCGGAAAGATGTCAAAGAGTACGTCTCGACGTGCGACACCTGTGCACGCTCGAAAGCTCCGCGACACAAGCCGTTTGGGTTCCTGTTGCCACTCCAGACAGCCGATCGACCCTGGGGGACACTGACCATGGACTTTATCACTGATCTGCCAAAGTCCAAGGGTCACACCTGCATCTTTGTGGTGGTATGCAGCCTCACAAAGATGGCACACTTTATGTCCTGGCGTTCACTGCCGTCGGCGGAGGAGACTGCGTCACTGTTCCTCGACAATGTCTTTCGTCTCCATGGCCTCCCCGACACAGTGGTTTCAGACCGAGGAAGTCAGTTCACCTCTCGGTTCTGGAAGGCACTCTGCACGCAGCTCGGGATCCAAACCAGTCTGTCCACGGCCTTCCATCCCCAGACCGATGGACAGACTGAGAGGGTCAACCAGGTCATCAACCAATACCTGCGCTGTTACACGTCGTATCAGCAAGATGACTGGGCCGAGCTGCTGCCGTTGGCCGAGTTCTCTTACAATAACCTCGAGAACTCGTCAACACATGCCTCGCCATTCTTGGCAACCTATGGGTTCCACCCAAGGTTCGAAGTCCCCGTTGTCGCTGGCGGCCCTGATGTTCCCTCTGCCACGGAGAGGGTTGAACATCTCCAGCGGAACCTGGCACTGTTGAAGGAGAATCTTGAGAAGGCAAAGTCTGACTACAAGCACTTCTCAGATCTCCGGAGGTCCCAGGCTCCCGACTTGCGTCCGGGCGATCAAGTCTGGGTGCTGACTCGTAACATCAGCACCACTCGCCCAAGCAAGAAGCTGGATTACCAGAGGATTGGACCATTCACCATCCTCGAGGCCGTCGGGACATTGGCTTTCCGCCTGGACTTGCCAAAGGACATAAAGGTGCACCCGGTGTTCCATGTGTCTCTTCTTGAGCCCTACAAGAAGAACTCGCTTCCGGGTCGGGTGCAAGCGCCGCCCCCTGCGGTGGTCATCGATGGGAACTTGGAGTGGGAGGTCGAAGAGATCTTAGACTCCAAGTTCGTGCGCGGAAAGCTGCACTATCTCATCGATTGGAAAGGCTACCCGGTCACCGATCGAAGTTGGGAGCCCGCCGACATTGTCTTTGCCCCAACGGTGGCCGCGGAGTACCACCGACGCTACCCAGACAAGCCTGGCCCCAGGAGAACTCAAGATGGAACACGCCGTAGTTTAAGGAGGAGATAGTGTGATGACCAGCATCACAACGGACCAATGAGATTGTCCCGCATGCTCTCGCCCTCCGCACCAATCATGAGTCCCCACGTGTTTGTTTGCCCCCATGCATGAGCACGCGCCGTTGCCACCCGCGTCTACTGGTTTCCTGCCTCCCCCACCGCTCGGCACATGTCCCCGGGCTGTGCCAAGCCTCTCTCGCTTGCACACCAGCCACTCTCGCACCCCCTTCTCGCTTCTCTGTGATGCTCCACCCTTCTCGCCCACTTTTGCCCCTCGACCTTCTCCCGGTCTATAAATAGCCCTGCATGTCTGAGCCTATGTTGAACACCAGTTCGAACAAAACTTGTTCTTTGGTGTTCGGGGCTAAAAGCTAATAAAGCTCATACCAAGCACTTGGTCTTCGTCCTTGCGCTTGTTCACTCCTTACAGTTGCTTGAATGACTTGCTCGAATGGCTTGCGTAGATACGAGATGTGAGCGAGGGATGTCTGCAGCCCAAAAGTACAAACTACAACCCAAAAGAACGGGCCGCAGCTATTAGGAACATACAGGTCTGGTCTCACAAACGATATGAAGATGCGGTTGAGAGGCAGGGTGGCAGCGTTGTCTGCCAGAGCCTTGAGCTTGAGGGGGCCTTCGACATTGTCGATGAGGAGGTAGCCTCCGACAACGCTCTCTGCGAGCACAGTGCAATGCGCGATAAACAAGAACAGCGCTAGCACCAGAACACAGCGACGAGGCCAGTTCGATAGAGTAGTCGATGGTCGAGCGTTCATTGACATATGGCGAGTGCTTCTGCGCTTGCGTGGATACTGAAGGTCGATACAGTCAACTCGACCAGCAGGCAGCTGCGAGGGCCTTCCGCTTTATACTCGCTCGCCGGGCCCTGACATCGGGTCGTTCCGTCTCGGCGGCGTCGGGGGAGCCAGGAAGCGACTTCATGCGCAGTGTCGCATGGGGTCATGGCATGTTGGGTTTGCCGCTCTCATGGCTACTGGCTCCTCCGCCAAAAAAGCAGCCCGCCCATTTGCACCGCTGCTTCTCGCGGGCGCCAAAACAAGCACAAGCCCGCTCGATGGCTCTGCTACAGAGAGACTGCGTGGAAGCAGTCACTCGGACCGGTATATTGGGCAGCCTGAGCCCAGCCTTGGCAACAGCGACCCGATGCTCCCGCCGCGGCAGAAGCTCCTCGGGCATCGCGGGTAGTTTGCAGGCTTCTCGAAGGCGGGCAAATCGAATGGCAGTGGAAGCCCAAAAGGAGGCGATGCCCACAGAACCATGTTGCCAATACACCGCAGGTAGCGATTCGCTACCCGCCGACAGCGTCGCTACGGGTAGTAACTCTCGGGGAGTTCATATCCCTGGGTCTGTGAGCTGGGAAACACAAGATCGCTCCAGTCCTGGGCCGGGGCCGCGCAATAATTCTGGCCGATGCCGTCACGACTCATGGTGTAGACAAAGTAGCTCTTTTGAGAGTCAACCGGGGTGCCGGTGGTGCAGAGGCCAAATAGGAATTGTTGGTTGATCGAAAGATGTGCGCTCGCCAGACTGGGACTTGCAGCGGAACAGATGAGCGGCGTGGATCGCTCTCGGCTCGTGGGAACACCCTGGCCGACATCAAATTCGACACCATGGAGCGTCGTCGTCTTTGTCGAGTCAGAGGGCTCTTCGGTGTCTAGGCCATACGGAGGGAAGAATGTCATGAGGAATCAGGATCGATGCAAGTGCTGGGACAGGAGCATGGCAAGCTGCATCCGCTTACAATACAGCATCGACCCATCGTTCCAGAAAAAGGGCTGGCCCAGGAGGTTATCGAGCGTCAGATTCAGCATGCCGTGCTGTGTCGACCACACTGCTCCTGCCCGGTTGATAGCATAGAGAATCGGCAGCACCGGGTGGGGCACGATCTCCACAACGGACTGGTACAAGTTTGGTGCAAACCCGGGTGGGACTTGCACCAGCTCGGATTGCTGCAAGACACTGCTGGGGTAGTCGTAGCTGAGCTTGACGACAGCGCCGTTGAGCTTGCTGAAGCCATACAGATTCATGGATCTGCGGAATGCCGAGTTTGGGTGCCGTCACGTTGAGACATGGTCCCGGAGCAGCTGCGATTCCCCCATGCGCTCTCTCCGGACAACTCACCCATCGAGAACCATCCATGAATATGCAAACTCGGCCGTCAGAAGCAGCTGTCTCGACTCGGCCAGCGGATGCTTGGTGCTCTGTCCAGATCCCAATGAGCCTGTGGTGAGTCTGGGGGTGCGTGTGCCAGAATCCATTGGGCTTTCTCCAGGATCGATTCCAATGCGATGCGCTGCGAACCATACCCTATCGACGCGAAAGGCAGCGATACCATACTCCGGGCTGGTGAGATTTTGGAAGCTGACGAAGAGAACGTCGTATGCCGGCACAGCGATGACGCTAACCACCCTGGCATCTGGGCCCAGCGGTGCAGACTCTTCCAGGAGCGTCCAGTTGCCGTCGGCGGATGCAATCTGAAAAGTCGACAAGAGAGGCAGCTGCGAGCGCTGGTCGTCGGTACTTTGGTACCGCCAGCAATGGATGTGTTGGCCGTCTGGATGCGCGTAGAAGAAGAAGCATGTAGAGACGATCTGGAACTGGACCGGCTCGGACAGCCTCAGGTTCGAGTTGGCCGATACAGCGGCAAGGACATTGACGCCCACGCTTCCAACCGGAACAGACTTGGAGATGGCGAAGAAGCGTGTGGCCGAGGCGGCCTCGGCTCTGTGAACCAGCGCTGCGAACGCAACGGCGATGACAACGGACCAAAGGACAGCAAACTGGCGCTGTCCTGCACAGCTGAACGAGGCTCGGCGCATGGCTGATGGAGCGTGGAGTGGCATCCTCGAAGGCGGCGGTGCTATTCGAGAGCGTGCAGGGGAACGGGGAGCAAAACTGCCCCCTGGCCGCGAAGGCATATTGGGTTGCGTACACGAGGCCGAGCGCTCGCTTTGCCGCCGATGCGATAGGATCCAAGCAGCACTCGGAGCTCGTATGGCGACCGCATTGTTGCTGGCCGCCTGGCCATGAACAGCCGGCCGGCCTGCCCTCTGCCACCACCACAACACATCTCCCCGATCTGCACACGCCCGATGCGATTTGCCCCCACGCTGGCTCGTTGCCATCCCGGCCTTGCGCGTTGGTGGCGTCCGGCTGGGGGCGGAAAAAGCGCCTCGTCCGGAGAATTGGGCGGAGAAAGGGCAAAGCCCGCCAGCCCATGGCGGCAGGATTGTTGCTCTCCGTCATCGTCTCCCCTGGCGAGCCTGGCGGGTACATAAGCCCCTTGCATCTGCCCGTCTGCCGACGAGATCTCCACAGAGCATCCTCCATCGTGCCGCTGTGTCTGCCCTGCGTCGCTGTGCCCCCCAGTCCGCCTGCCTTCTCGTACCGTCCGTCGCCTTCAAACCGCTTCCCAAACTCGTCCGACTTCCATGAGTGCCACCGAGTCGACTCCTCTTTCTCCCAAGCCCGCCGCCCCTTCCTATGAGGCCTGGCTCGACGGCGGCTGGGTTCCAGACTGGCTCCTGCGGTACGCCATCCGTCGCTTCTGCGGCAGCTACAAGCGTGAGGTCGACGGCCGCAACCGCACGGCCAGCAACCAAGTCAAGATGGATTACATCCACGCCCTCAAGAACCAAAAGGTCATTGCCCTCAACACAAAGGAGGCCAATGAGCAGCACTACGAGGTCCCCACCTCCTTCTTCCGTCTCCATCTCGGCGACAGAATGAAGTACTCGTGCAGCTACTACGAGTCGGGTGCTAAGACCCTCGAAGAGGCCGAGATCGCCATGCTCGAGCTCTATGTCGAGCGCGCCGACATCAAGGACGGAATGTCGATCCTCGAGCTCGGCTGTGGCTGGGGAAGCTTGTGTCTGTATCTGGCCGAGCGATTCCCCAACTCCCAGGTCACGGCCGTTTCCAACTCGAACACCCAGCGCGAGTACATCACTGGCGTCGCGGCCAGCAAGGGGTTCAACAACATCAAGGTGATCACTGCAGACATGAACTACTTCAACTTTGACCACCCTGTCGAGTTTGACCGCATCCTCAGCATCGAGATGTTCGAGCACATGAAGAACTACTCGCTCCTGTTCCAGAAGGTGTCGACGTGGCTCAAACCCGAAACCGGTCGTCTCTTCATCCACGTTTTCTGTCACCGTGTGATGCCCTACGACTTCAAAACCGAGGACGACGACTCCTGGATGGCCCGCAACTTCTTCACCGGCGGCACGATGCCATCCGAGGACCTCTTCTTGTTCTTCCAGGAACATATCACCCTTGTTAACCGCTGGACCATCGATGGAACAAACTACTACACCACCTGTAACCAGTGGCTTGAGCGCCTGGATGCACACAAGAAGGAGGCGATTGAGATCCTCACCAAGGCATACGGCGACCCCAAGCTTGGTTTTGCCTGGTTCAACCGATGGAGGATGTTCTACATGATGTGCGGCGAGACTATGGGTTTCAACAAAGGCCAGGAATGGGTCGTAGCCCACTTCCTGTTCAAGCGCAAGTGAGCCAGCTCGGTTTCTGCGTTCTGAGCAGTCGCATCCGATAACGAGTGAGCGACCGCGTGCCTGCCACCGTATACGTACATCATGCTCCGAACCCTGCCTCTATTTCATTGCTTTATATCGTTCACCGAATGAACGGGACTCTCCTGATTTGTATAAGCCTTCATGCGAACGCAATACACGCATATACGTATAGTCAATCCAGAAAATGGCGGGGCAGTATTCGTTTTCTCTGGCATCAGAGGCCTGAAGTCTGCTAAACTTTTCCGTCAGCCCCAGTGAGCAAGCCGCCCGATTGTTTCCAGTCCCGGTTGACAATCTCTTTGTTTTCCTTGGCTTGGGAGGCGTAGTCTTGGACACACTCGGTCGATCTCCTGTGTCGACGAATCGACTGGCACTGGTGCCTCGAATGGGAGTGTGATGCACTCAACCATCTGTATACCTCCGTGATTTCTTGGCATCATGATAGTCGTCATCTCGAATCGCTTGACTTTTCGACATTGTGAGCACGCTGCTTAGTCATGGTTGCGAGTGTGTATCAGGCCGAGGAAGAAGCGAGGAATACGCATGCAAACGACTTGCATGCGATGTGCCAGGCTGCTCGTCCTGGATAGTGTTGCGTTTGTTTTTGAACATCATGTACGCAATTGCTCTCCACTGCATTCGCTTCTCCAGCATCGAGTCCAGACCCCCGGTCGGCCGCCAGCAATTGGCAGCGAGATCGACAATCTAAACCATCGTGTTCGTCTCGCTCCACGTTTCCAGGTTGCGGGGGCGAAGCGGCTCAACCGGCGGATGATTTCGCTGGCTCGATGTGCGGAAAAATGAATCGCCAGGCCATATCTATCGCTGCTCCGTCCCCTCAACCCAAGACCCACCAAGACCGTCTCTGGTTCTGAGCCCCAGCTCCTCTGCCCAGGATCTCTGCCCACGTCCTTTGCCCAGCAATCCTGGAGCTCCGCCTGTGAGTGTCTGGCGCATTCCGCTCTTCTCTTCCGCCGCCGCCGCCGCCGCCGCTCTATTTCAGCTCAGCTCCCAGCACTCCCCAGCCCTCCTCGTCAGTTTCGGTCTATAAGTACCGTTCTCGTCTGCGTTCACTGCGTGGAAGGGGCGCTCGATCCACTGACGATTAATCCCCGCACCTGCCTTTTCTTCCACCCAGGACCTCCAAAGCCAGCACTTCCTCAGACCCTCGATCCAAATCGCATCCATGAGTTCCGCTGATTCCTCCGTCGCACTCACTCCAGAGAGCAGCTCGATTCCGTTCTACGAAGCATACCTAGATGCCGGCCGAGTACCGGACGTGCTGACTCGATTTGTTGCTCGGCAGTTCTTTCATCGCCAGAAGCGCCAGTACGACAGCGCCTCCAAGACAGCCAGCAATCAAGTCAAGCTGGATTACATCCACGCCCTCAAGAACCAAAAGGTCATTGCCCTCAACACAAAGGAGGCCAATGAGCAGCACTACGAGGTCCCCACCTCCTTCTTCCGTCTCCATCTCGGCGACAGAATGAAGTACTCGTGCAGCTACTACGAGTCGGGTGCCAAGACCCTCGAAGAGGCCGAGATCGCCATGCTCGAGCTCTATGTCGAGCGCGCCGACATCAAGGACGGAATGTCGATCCTCGAGCTCGGCTGTGGCTGGGGAAGCTTGTGTCTGTATCTGGCCGAGCGATTCCCCAACTCCCAGGTCACGGCCGTTTCCAACTCGAACACCCAGCGCGAGTACATCACTGGCGTCGCGGCCAGCAAGGGGTTCAACAACATCAAGGTGATCACTGCAGACATGAACTACTTCAACTTTGACCACCCTGTCGAGTTTGACCGCATCCTCAGCATCGAGATGTTCGAGCACATGAAGAACTACTCGCTCCTGTTCCAGAAGGTGTCGACGTGGCTCAAACCCGAAACCGGTCGTCTCTTCATCCACGTTTTCTGTCACCGTGTGATGCCCTACGACTTCAAAACCGAGGACGACGACTCCTGGATGGCCCGCAACTTCTTCACCGGCGGCACGATGCCATCCGAGGACCTCTTCTTGTTCTTCCAGGAACACGTCTCTGTCGTCAACCGATGGATCGTCAACGGGACCAACTATGGCAAGACTGCAGCGCACTGGCTGCAGCGCCTGGATGCGCACAAGAAGGAGGCGGTTGAGATCCTCACCAAGGCATACGGCGACCCCAAGCTTGGTTTTGCCTGGTTCAACCGATGGAGAACCTTCTACGTCCTTGTCGAAGAGACCTGGAACTACAACAAAGGTCAGGAGTTCGAGGTCATCCACTATCTGTTCAAGCGCCAGTGAGGCAGTTGTCCTCGGTTCTGATATGACCGGCATCGCTGGCATGTCCTTGGACAACCCCTGGCCTGTCCGTCTGCGCACTCATCCTATTCACTGAATGCATCGATCATGCGACTTGATACATCGTACCTATTTTGAAACGGAACACCCGAGTTTGGGTCAGAGTTGGGAGGTTTCTGGGATCGGAATATACACCCATCCATCGCTACCTTGGCCAAAGCAGTACTTTTGAGGGAGATTGACCAAGTGTCTGTAGAGACATGTGAAGTCCTGCGACAGGGAGAAGATGACTTCAGCACGGTGGTTTACTTTGTCCACTGCAGAGGGCATCCTTGCATACTCATGAGCCGATGAAGGTGGGCACTGTGCTGGCTATGTTGGTGGGTGGACAGAGGTTTGGCAGAGATCGAGTGGGGAGCGGGGTGGTCCCTGAATGATGGTGAATTGGGGAGAGAAGATCCATCGGGCTCGGCTGGCAATGTGATACCCCGCACCATGGATATCAATAGATGAAAGTGGGACAGCACTGTTTGTATATTGGATATATTGGGTGGATTGAATATCAAATACAACACCACTGGACCGCTGCTGCTTCATCGGAATCACTTTGCAAGTCCACTATGGTGTCATGGTGTCTGGGATGTGTGTGGGCGGTGTGGTTGCTTGGTTACTCTGATAGTTCATTGTTGCGACATGGTTGTTCGGGGAGTGCAACTCGGGAGGACTCGAGGATCAGGGCCACTGGTCGAGTTCCTTGAGTCTGTCGATGGCAAATTTGTAACCCTGGTCGGCGGACTTGCGGAACCAGAGGATGGCGGTGTCGATGTCCTTGGGGACACCCCAACCATTTTGGAAACAGTGACCGCAGTAGTATTGTCCATATCGATTGCCCTGCTCAGTCGATTTGCGATACCACTCCAATGCCTTGGACTGGTCCTGCGTAGCTCCGGTTCCAAAATAGTAGCAATGACCAACCATCCACTGCCCGAACGAGCTGCCTTGATTGGCCGACTTGCTATACCACTCGAATGCCTTCTTGTGGTCCTGCGATACTCCCGCGCCCCAGTAGTAGCACATTCCGATCCAAAACTGGCTGTCGCTGTGGCCTTCCTCGGCGAGTTGCTCAAAGATGGCCGCTGATTTCTCTTGGTCTCGGATGGTTCCGAATCCACGCATCAGACACACAGCCATGAGATGTCTGCATAACCAGTCTCGGTCCGATCCGAGCTGACACAGGTCGAAGAACTTGCGAGCTGTGCGTTGGTTGGACTTGATGTTGTTCCAGTACGATGCCAGACAGTCGTCCTCTCCGAAAGGGAACTCATCCGATCTGTTCTCTCGGATGATTCTGACGCCTTTCTGTTCGTTTCGCTCGGTTCCTCGGCCGAGGTAGTGCATCCAACCAAGCATGTGGGTGGCGATGGGCTTGAGGACTGGATCGGTGGACTTGGTACTGACCTCCTGCCAGTGGTTGAAGGCAACGACATCACTCTGTTCGACACCATGACCAATGAACGAGAACCATCCACGGAGGAACGCCATTCTGTCTCGAGCATCGTCGTTTCCTTGATTGGCGGACTTGGAATACCACTCGATCGCGGTGGTGAAGCTCTGATTGACACCTTCGCCATTCTCAAAGTATTGGCCGAGGGCAACTTGAGCCTGAGGCATCCCACGTTCGGCCAGACTGCGGTACAGCTCGATAGCCTTGGCGTGGTCTTGGTCGACTCCATATCCTACGCGATAGCATCCCGCCAAGTAGAACTGTGCCATCGCATGATCGGCTTTGGCTGCACTCATCAGATTGAGGATAATTTGCTGCTTTAGGCCTTTCTGCTGGGACCGTTTCAAATAACCGATAATGACTTGGAGGGTGTATGCCAGGAGATACGAGGCAGAAGCGTTTCCTTGGTCGGCTTGATCTTCGAGCCAGGATCGGTCGGCTGTGATTTGATCGTCGAAGTGCAAGGAGAGGGAAATCTGGTCGTTCGGTGTGAGGCCGATTCGCAGCTGTCCTTCTGGATTGCACAGGCCTGCATTCTGGCACCAGGTGTTGAAGCGAGGCACCTTGGAGCTCAGGAAGGGTCGGGCTCGTTTGCACACTCGGAGCAGGGTCTTGATGGTGCTGTGGTCGAGAGCGAGCTGGAAGCTGTCGTTGCAGCAGACGATTTTGAAGATGTCTTGGTCGTAATCGAGGGAGAGCTGGGTGATATCGGGCATCGAAGAGGCTGTGCTGGTTTCAGCTTGAATTTGCTGAGTGGCAAAGGATGCGGTGTTTGAAGCAGGTTTGTTCATGTTGGCCATGCTGAATGTGTGAGGGAGACAAGTGGGTGATGGCGATGAATAGGAAACAGAGAGGGAAGTTGTGAGAAGCAAGCCAGACCTGGGCGAGGCGAGAATATATAATGCGGTTGATACCGACGGTATCATTGCACTGCCACAGGGGATCAATCGGGTGACACGCTCACCCACATACAAGCCTGGCTCGATACCGTTGGGTCCTCCCTCCCCGCCAGCGACCTCAACAACCGCATGAGCCCTGATTACTCAGGAATATCGATACCGTCAGAAACCTCGTCTTGGATTTGGCTTCCCCGACCCTACCATATGTCCAACCCCACCGTCTCTGCAGCCCCTGCTATATGCCATTACATCTAATCTTATCGGCCATCCCGTTCCTGTGCCATACCACGACTCCGGAAATGGTATGGTCTCCAACACAGCCCCAATATTACCCCGAGGAAAGAGTGGAGGCTGGACTGAACTGAGGTGAGCTGGGCTGTTATTGACGATGACCAGCTTCGTGCTGTATATGCTCCGCTTCTGTCATTCACAGCCACAACTGCATTTATCAAGATTGACACGGCAAGGCAAGCACTGAAGAATCCAACGGGAGTGGAGAAGCACAAAAACAACAACTCAAAATTGACTGGAGCAAAGGCACAGAGAAAGGGCCAAGTACTGATCGAGAACAAACAAAGAACAGAAGCTGAGCGGGAGGGCATTCCCAAAGCGACCAACAAAACTTTATAACAGATCCAGGCGCGCCGCGGCGAGAAAACATGGCAGTGGCGGTGGTGGTGGTGGTGTCCGATCGGCTACTGGCAGAATTGGATCTTGGTGGGGACAGGCCGGCGGCGGGCCAGAGAAGGGTAAAGTAGATCTCATGAGGTGGCTTACTGCTGCTTGCCGAGGATCTTGCGTCCGTACTTGGCGCAGTCTTGCTCAGCAAAGAAGTTCCAGAAAATTTGAATGACATTGAGCAGGGGCAGAGCCAAGCCCTGGAGTGTGAGGAGATTGCAGTGCCGACCCCGGATGTGGAGCGGAATGCAGATATGTGCGCGTAGATGAGTTGAAGAGATCGCAGAGGATGTCAGTCTCTTGTTGACAGCAGCGGTGAAGCAGACACGAAATGCAGATGCAAATCGCACGCAGAGATCAGCCCTGGGCTTCTCCACGGCGAACCAATCCATCTACCAAGCCCGCTCGACAGAATAACGCAGCAGCCGTCAATACTTGCCTCGGTAACGGGGCTGGGACGAACGCACATCGACTGGGCGTAGATACGGAGGATTTCGCCAAGCAGGTCCGAGGCGATCAGGGGGCGGTCATGGAGGATCAGCGCCAGCATGACCTCGGCGCAGTGTTCGGGGGACAGCAGTCCGGCGACACCCTCGATGGTCTTGGTGAGCTCAGGCTTGGTCTTCATCTCCTCGGCGTAGCCAGGGGTGTCGATGTTGTTGGGGATGAAGAGCTGGACATTGGTGCCGAAGGGGATGAATTCGTTGCGGAGGCCGTCAACGAGACCCTTGAGAGCGTACTTGCTGTTGCCGGCGACAGTGATGGCATTGGGGCGTGTCCGACAATGTCGGTCGGTCAGAAAACGGATGCAGCGAGATGGCAAGAGCATACGAGATCAGTATGATGGAGGACCGGTGAGCGCAGATACGGTGCAGGATCGGTTTGTGGGCGACGCTTGTTCTTTAGCGACCCGAATCAGCGAGGCTGCCCCAAGGCGAACCAGCTCTGCCTTCCGATCCACCCGCATGTGCCAGCTGGCCGCGGGCTGCAGCCTCAACTCGCAACTCTTTACATGCCGCTCGCTCAGCCACCTTGGTATCGGACTCACCTGGCCGAGTAGGATGAATAGCCGGCAAAGCTCAAGATCGAGAGCATCGAGCCAACAAAGACGAAGCGCTTGGGCAGGGTCTGGGCGTCCTGGATCGGGATGCCCACGCAGAGATCGCGGCCCTCGACACCCTCGTCCAAGTTGCCAGCCAGACCTCCATGCTTGGAGTTGTGGATGACGGCACCAACGACGTTGGCGGCCGTGAGGTAGTTGGATTGGATCTCGCGCTCGAAGCGGGCCAACTTGGTCGGGTCTGAGGGGACGCTGTCGGCAAAGAAGCTGGGGACGGAGCCTCCGGCACAGCCAAGGACCCAGTAGAACGGGCCGCGGGCCTGGATGGCAGCGCGGACCATCTGCACGGTCGAGCTCAAGCTCATGAGATCGGTGGGGATTCCGGCAATGTGGGCGGGCTCGACATGGGCGGGGGCGAGTCGGCGGCACTCCTCGACGATCAGGTCCAGGGACGACTTGCCATCCTCGTTGCGGTCGTTGCCGCGGGCGACGAGGGTGAGATGGGCGCCGTGCTTGGCCAGGATCAAGGCGACCGAGCGGCCCAGGCCCTTGGAGGCGCCCGTCAGGAGGATGTGTCGACCCGAGACGGCCTTCTCGAGCTTCTTGGGGTTCAGTCTCGAGAGCACCAGGAACTTGACGATCAAAAACGACAGCGACAGGACCGGGACGCCAATGACGAAGACGAGGAAGGCGACCAGAAACTCGGCCGGGTTGCTGAGGAAAGAATAGACCATACTGGGCGCGGCGGGGGTGGTTGGTGCGGGTCGGTGCGGGTCGGTGCGGGTCGGTGCAGATCGACGCAAGTCGGGGCGAGGACGATGCTGGCTTGGGGGCAGGCGACCGAGACTGGAGATGGCCAAGAACAGAGCCGAAATCGAGTGGGCACGGTGGCTGCCACCTGTGTTCCACGAGCGGCGGTTGCCGAGCACAAGAGGCCAAATGCAGAACTCACTCTGGATGAGCCCGACCAGCAAGGCAGATCTTCGAAGGCCCCGCCTCCGAGTGAAGACCACCAGTCGCTCCCCGGTCTCCGCAATCGACCTGCCCACTGGTCTCGGAGTGCCAGCGGGGAATGGTGCTTTTGGACACACTGAAGATGGTGGCGACCTTGCGCAGGCTATGGATGAGGGTGTAGCAACGCAATGCAGCGATGCGGAAATCGAGGGGGCCGCGTTTGGCCATGAATGCGATGAGTGGGCGGGTGTATTCACGTCACAGAAAAAACTCTGTCCTGGTTAAAAACGGGGGTGTTCCATTTCATTTTGGAAACGCTGTAAGAAACGAAAGCAAGAACGAAAGCAAGAACGAAAGCGACGGCATAAGCGGACGATCAAAGATGCATCCGAAGTAGGGGGGGGGCATCCGCGACAGGGCTGAGGGTGGGGAGCCTTGGAAGGAAAGCCGGCCCGGGATGGAAGGACAAGTCAAGAAATCAGCAATCGACAGCATCCATCATCGTTTTCAAGAACGCAAAGGAAGCACCAAAAACACCCACACCCACGCCTACACCCACACCCACACCCACAAGCACGACATCCATACAAGACAGCAGAGCAGGTCGGAACAACAAAAAGCAGGCCCCAAAGAGCCGGATACAAGACGGGAGAAGTGAAACGGGATGGAGACGGAAAAAGGAGTGGCAGTCCGGAGGCACTCGTAAGGCTGCGTACTTGCGGCTGATCAGCATCGTGCATTATTGGCTCGAGATACAGGTAGATGGTGGCTATTCAGCAAGTTCAGCCAATGTGGCGGGGGGCAGGCGAGCAGATGCGCTTGTGAAAAGAAGCAGATCCATTGACGGCTCCGGTGGCGCCAAACACGCAGGATTCATCGATGGAGGCTCCGAGGCTGACAGAGTCGTTACTGATTGACCCAGCACACCCCGTCGGCCACAATGGCCAGGATGTCGAGGGGGTTGATCTTGCCGACGGAAACGGCGTTCCCGCTGCTGTTGGCCGAGTTTGCTTTCTGAATCGTATCGTCTGCCAAGGGGCTGGACATGGCGCTCGCTGCCGAGCTGGCGCCGTGCAAATGGCCACCATGACTGCCGACACTGGCGCTCTGCGGGCCACGAAAGTTGCGGACATCGCGGACATCGGTTGCGTACTGATAGGCTTGCAGATACTGCGGATGGATCGCCGACGCCGCCGAGGACGGGAAGGGCAGCGAGGCGCCATCCTGGTGCTCTCGGCCGAGTTGGTGGTGCAGGAATCCAGGGTTATCCTGCAGAATGCGGTGGGATAATAGGAGCGAGTCGCTGGTCTCTGTGTGCTGGCTCCGGGGAGCGGAATGGGCGTCAGATGCATGTGGGGAGGTGAAATGCACATCAGGATCAGACTCGGGTGTCGCGCGGGTGGAGCTCGGGGCCTTTGGTTTGTAGGGGCCGCGAGGGACACCTGGATAGGTTTCGCGTAGATTGAGTTGGAGGGAAGAGAGAGGAAGGCGCACAGGAGTGCAAGCCGAGTAGGGTCGTGGATCGAGGGCCGTTGTCCATGTTGAGCAGAGCGGTGACCACGTTGGTCCATAATAGATCCGCCATGATTGAGGCCGTGGGATCAGAGGCGAGGAACAGAAGGGAAGAGTTGCGCCAGGACATTGAGTACACGCGAGGTGAGATATACGACCCGAGCTTTGCCGACTCAGCGACAACCACGGGAATGCGGCAGGCAGAGTGGAGCACCGTGTTCAGCCCAGCCCAGCCCAGCCCAGCCCAGCCCAGCCCAGCCCAGCCCAGCCCAGCCCAGGGTGCAGATCTGCTGGCAGAGTCGCAACGGCGTCGGTGGTTGGATGAGGACGTACCCTTTTTGCGAACCTTGCGTTCCGAATCCACACAGGTCGCATCGTATCCCAGCTTGACACACCGCGAGCACGGTCGCTGGTCATCGCACTTTTTGCATGCTTTTTTGCAGTGCACTGGAGCGAGGCCGGCGATCGCGGTGTTGGGAACAGAGATGTGCAAGAACAGGTCAGCTCAGATAACAGCTTTGGAGGAGCCACTGTCCACGGATCGAGCCAGGAAGGCAGCGCTTGTCGATACAACGGTATCGGCCCATTGCCTACGGCTGATCTGGACGACGGTGACATTGCTGCCGCACCGATACACACCACAAGCGTGCTTGACTTGCTCGCGCTTGATGACCAAACCGGTTTCTGGATCGATGCGTGCCCGGTGCTTTCGCGACGAATTTGGAGTGGTTGGGTACGAGGGAGGGGTAGTAGGCGTCGAACCGGACGACTCCGAGGCAGGCGATTTGATCGATCCAGCAGCCGGAAGCGGCGACGAAAAGGGCTGTGAGGCCACGAAGCCACCGGCGGCAACTTGGGAAGCAAAGGTGCTGGACTCGGCAAGGTTGGCAAGCTGGATGCGGGCGGCGGCGATGATGGCAGGATCGATGGGGACACCGGACTGAAAAGCCGTAACGGCCTCGGCAGCACGCATGATGGAGTCAGCGCCAAAGAAGGGCAGTGACAGCGCCGCGGCGGGTTGTTGCTGTAGCTGCTGTTGCGGTAGTGCCGGCTGCTGCTGCTGCTGTTGCTGTTGCTCATGCAGTGGCTCTTGGGCAGTTGGGGAGGGTGCCGACGGGGGAGCGTCCGAAACAGAAGCGGTGGCGGCCGAGACATCCACCATCGAGGCTGGCGGAGGCGATGGAGGGAGCGGATCTGGAGCAGGAGCCGAAGGGGTAGGCGGCAAGAGGTCATCCAAGGAGTTTGAGGTCTGCATTTCAGTCTTGACGATGGTCGGAGAGGCAGGGTGCTGGATGGAAGGCATACTCGGACGCGAGCGGTGATGGGCGTTCTGGGAGGGCGACGAGGCGGCGAAAATGGACGAAGCAACAAGGCAGAGGGACGATTGGTGTTAGCGACGGCGCATGGGAGTATGGACAGGCCAGCGGGTTGCTTGGGGAGGGGGCGAGTATATGCTTGGGCGGATGGGGACGGGGGTGGGTGGGTGTGGTGGGTCGGCGTGTCTGGGGAAGGTGAGAGCGGGTTATGGGAACTCCGATCGAAAGTCAGAAGTGTGTCGGGCGGCTGAGGTCGCTGGTGCGAATTTGATTCTCCGATGGCAGAGACCCAAGGCCCCGCCGACACCGAGGGCACTGCCGCGAGCAGACCCAGCAGGATGCCGGGGAGTAATCCGGTGCAGGACAGAGGGGCCGCGGGCATCCACTTCTCGGCAGCAGAACATGCCAGAAGATAGATTGGGAGTGGAGTGGAGGCCAAGCCAATGTCTGTCTCGGATAGCTCTCCAGACAAGCGTCGGAGCCACCCGGACAGAGCCCGAGGGCGAGTGGGCAGAGCCAAGGGACGGGGCAGCTCGCCGGGTACTCAACGACAGCACGGCACGAGCAGCAAGGAGCCCAGGATGCGGGAATAGTACTGGGCGATCACTGGTGTGCGAATAGAAGGGGGATTGGTGGTGTCTGATCAAAGACCAGGAGAGGCCGGGCATGGCGATGGCGCTGGTTACCTGAATTCAGAGGACGACGAGATCGGACGACGAGGCGGTCACGGTAGGCGAGGACAGCAGTCGGCACGGCAGTCGGCACAGCAGGCAGGCAGGCGAGGGAGAGTACCGGTGCGGGATGCAGAGGTCGCAGATGGACAACAGGGAGGCCGCCTGGGCAAGCGCTGGGTTGGCTCGATGCCCATCTGGCCGGCAGGCTCTGCAAAAAAAAGCGCTGCAAAAAAAGAGCGAAACAGCGTGCGGGGCGGGTGCCGTGTGTGTGTGCGCGCGCGCATCGGCGCCGTTGTTCTGTGTGCTGCCCCAGCTGGCAGCGCGGGGGGGGTGCCGGCTGCAGTGTCGATGTGGAAGGCGAGTGGCCAGACATCGAGGGGTTGCCAAGTGGAGACGGCCCTGTCGAGTGCATGTCGAGTGCATGTCGAGGGCAGCATCCACCCTCTTCGATGCGATATGTGTCCTGCCCACGGCATCGGCGACCCGCATCGCTCCAATGCCCGTCTGTCTGTTGGCACTTTCTCAGGTCGGAGAAAGGCGGTCGGACCTTGCGTGGCGGCGGCGGGTCGCGGCGCTGACGTAAGCGCCGTGTCGCCTGGTGTCACACCGCGCCGGCGCCGTCACACCCTGCTGGTGTCGGATCGAGCCGCGGGCGACGCCGGCTCGAGCCGGGCGCTTCATTTCCGCCTGATTGCCCTTTCATTTTTGATTTTTCTTGGATTTTCTTGGATTTTCTTGGGGTTTCCCTGAGGTTTCGCTGTGGTTTCGCTGTGGTTTCGCTGTGGCTTCCTCGGATCCTCGTTGGCTGTTCCTGGGGTCTATCGATACGCCGGCCCTGTTGTTTGCATCTCGTTTGCCCGGCTGAAGCTCTCGACTGAGGACTCGATCGTACCGAATCCGACTTGATCGCTCTGATATCCGTCCCGATCGCATCCGGTCGTCAACTGCACAACACTGCAACGAAATCGCGGTCTGCCCCAACGCATCCATCATGAAAGATACTCAAAAACGCACCCGTTCGGCCGAGGCCGCCGATCAGCCTGCCAAGAAGCAGAAGCACCTGGATGCCAGCTCAAAGCCTACCAACACCAATGCCAAATCAGCCGACGCCAAAAAGTACAAAAAGATCGTCAAGGGCCCGCAGCAAGAATCGCACTCAAGCGCAGCTGTCAGGAAACGGATCCGCGACACCGAGCGGCTGCTCAAACGGGTGGGTTGTCGCCGCTATCAAGCCAGATCACGGACCTCGCCTCTGTCGAGCCAGATTACGGACCTCGCCTCTGTCGAGCCAGATCAGGGACCTCGCCTCTGTCGAGCCAGATCAGGGACCTCGCCGACCCTGCTATCAATCTCCGCCAGATGGCTATGGATGCACCGGACTGGTGAGCTCCGGCAGCCGTCGTGCTGAGTACTGACATGGAAGCCATCGTCTGTCCCCCGTGCATCTAGCCCAATCTCGCAGCAGACGTTCGGGTCGAACTCGAACGACGCCTCCAATCGCTCAAATTCGAGGTCAGCGAGAACACCCAGGAGCAGAAGGAGAAGACCCTGTACGAGAAGTACAAGTACCTTCGATTCGTGGGTGAGTGCGCGCTCGGGTCGATTGAAACACTCCCGGTGGCATCACCATGTTTCTTTCCTTTGATCAGGGCCAGCGACAACAGTGTCTGCTCCAGGCGCTGTGTCGTCCTGAGCCACTCGACTTAAACTCGTGTTTCACTGCAACACCACCCCCTCGACACCATGCTGCTGTCGCCACAACCCATCTATTCAACAGAACAGAAAAAGGTCTCTCGGAAGCTCCGCCAGGCCGAGAAGCTTGTCGCCGATAGCACCGAGCCGGACGAGGCACTACTACGCCAGCTGCACTACTACAAGGTGCTGATGAACTACATCCAGCATTATCCGCGGGACATGAAATACATTGCTCTCTTTCCAAAGAACGAGCCCGATGAGTCAACCGATCCCTCTGAACTGGACGCCGAGACTGCAGGCTTTGATGTCGAGGCGGATACCAACAAGGAGCGACGAGCAATCAAGATGAAGATATCCGAGCTTGTTACCGATGGCTTGATCCATGACGGACTGGTCCTGCGGCAAGCCGATGTGTTCGGATCGTCTGCAAAGGCCCCCGGAACCGGCCCCGATGAGGGGCAGCTGCCAGCCAAAACGAAAACCAAGAAGGCGGCCGTCCCTCCTCCAGTCCTGAAGAGCAAACCAGCAACTTCCCCCGCCCCAGTTGACAATGCGACAGACTCGAAAAAGAGCCGAAAGACCAAGAAGGCCTCCAAGTCCGCATCGACAGATAAAGCCGAGCAAGTCACGGCCACTCCGGTCGAAGAAAATGAGAGCGACCAGCCGGCACTCGAAGGTACGTTGCTCCATCTCCCACTTGCGCTCATAGCCTGGGTGGTGCTCGCTCCCGCACATCCGCTGACGCAGCTTGCAGCAGCTTCCGTCGCCTGGCAGTCATTTATCCATGGATGTTGGTGTGCTTGCCACAGCATGCCACTCCCTGACTTACCCTGGCTGCTTTTCTGTTTATTTGCATCCCATCGCCAACTGCCGTGACCAGATACCGACGACTTTTTCTTGGGCGGCGATGGCGGCGATGGCGGCGAAGGAGATGCGCCGTTGGTTATCCCGGATGTTGAGGACCACGAGATCCTCGGTCTCCGTGAGAACGAGGACCATCGGTACGGCAAGCAGAGCTCCCTGCTCGACCGGAAAAAGAAGAAGCACGGCCCTGACGGGCAGGACTGGCAGAGCGACCGCACCCGCGGCAGAACCTCGGGCCGGGGCGGGAAGAAGCAGCGGCGATAGACACAGCCCTGTTGTGCTCTAGATCACGAATATACATGGTTATGTCGCCATATGTAGAGTGGTGGGGCTGCTCAGCGTAGAAAAGGGATGCCAGGCGACGGCGACGGGGGCTGGAGACTCATCGTCTGCCCTGCGTCCAAGGGACGGGCAGTCCCTACGAATGGCGGATGTGCGAATATCCGATCCGTCATCTACAGTAGGTCCAGAAAGAAACGGGACAGTTCCTTTCTGGCTTCAGATATCTGAACCCCGCTGACTGACTTGTAGGCCCAGCGGGCAGGCCGTGAGATTGTTTCCCGTCCTGGTTGGCAATCGAGTGGTTTTGGTTGGTTTGGGAAGCATGGTCTTGAATACACCCGGTCGATCTCCTGTGGCGATGATCGACCGGCATACCGAGATCATGTTCCTTGAGGCATTGATGTCTCGATCCCACAGTGTATGGCAGCTTGCACAGCTCCGGACAAAGTGTGGTTTCTCGATATCAAGATACTCGGGTGACTCAAGTCGCTTGAATTCCCGGCAGTGTGAGCACACCTGGGATGTGTTGAACTCGTTCACCGAGCACACATGGATCTTGGAGACGGATCGGTCTGGTGGTCGTCTCTGGTGGTGGTGGAACTGCTCAAAGTACTTGGCGAACCTGAGTCTCCGTGGGCTGGATGCATATCCCTTCCCCTGTTTCCAGGAAGCATTCCCAAAGGCAATCACCACTTCGGTCTCCCTTGGTGCCTGGTCGATGACTTGCTTGCACATCTCGTGGACGGTGCGCTGTCGCTTGCTGTAGAGATCGAGTCGCTTGAACCGCCGTCGCCGGGTCAGGCTGAAGTACAGCTGTTTCTCCAGCATGTCTCCATCGAACACATGGCGAATATATTGCAGGAAGGGAGCCAACCCGGGGATCTTGGGACTTGGTGTGGTGCTCATCCAGCACGTCTTGAGCTGGAAGCGATTCCCACAATGGCGTCCTTGATTCAAATCACAGAATGGTCATGGCCAGCGCGCGATTGTATTGGGTAGCAAAATAGTTGATCAATCGTCAAAATCACGGGTGTCCCGTTTTTCATTGGATAGACTCTATCCTTTTTGGGCGTTGTGCGACGCGGTTTTCTGCTGCACCCACATCGGTCGCTCATTCTCCGCTGGCCCGTTGGCCATCCTTCCGATCCTGATCGCCAACCCCCATTCAGCTTCGCCCACCGCAGCCGCAGCATGACCGTTGCCAAAGTACCCGTATTCCAGTCGAGCCCTGCGGCACTCCATGATGTTCTGTTGCAAGGTGCCTCATCCGAATCCTGCTCTTCAGCGACGACGCATCTGGCCGAGTCGCTCGCACTCTCCTGGTCCCTAAGCTGCTGGCTTCAGCATCCGTAGCCGTGCGCCTGACCAAAACCCCTCGGTTCACAGACGCCAACGGCTCTCTTGCCGAGTTCAAGCAGATCATCGATCGTCGGCTCGAATCACCCGATGTGCTCAGTCAGGTGAGCAGCGAGTTTCGAAAACCTCATCCCTCTGACCGCTTGGCGATCGCTACCAAGCGTTCCTGCTGACCAGCTGCCCAACAGATCGCTGTGCTCAGCTCGGCCTCGGTCTCCGAGCTGCCAAGCTATTCGTTTGTGCGCTTCCGAGCCATGATCCAGGACAATGGCCTCTCCCCGCAAATGTTCTTGAAGTCTGTGCGTTTGCAGAGCACCAACGACGGCTCCGAGCGAGTTGTCCCAAACTACTTTATTGACGACGTCCAGGTGCCCGAGGTACGTCCGCTGGTTCGCTACACGGAACTGGCGCTTTGATTGCCAGTGCATCCTCGCTGACTCCGTGCGAGCCCAGATTTGCCATCCGTAGCCTGTCAGGGTTGGTGTTGATTGTCTCCGACTCATCAATGGCTTGCCACCGACAGGGCTTCACGGTCGTCCAGCCAAGCTTCAGTCACTCGGAACTCGACACCAAGCAATGTTACTTTTGCGTCAACGTCCCTGCCGAGAGCTCCTGGCTGGCGCCGCCTGGCACAACCACGCCGCCGCCCGCGGCCTCCGCTTCTGAGCGAATGCCCATTTCAGATAGCCACTCCATTGCCGTGGTGGTCAAGGTACCGAGCCTGCGTCTGGACGCACTCGGCATCCCAGAGAGTCGCTGTTCCAGATCCCGTGGATCTGCTCACACACAACTCCTTTGCTGGCTCCCTTTCAGGTCCCTGGTGAGGATCCTCAGTTCAAACTGAATGAAACGGTCGACTTTTATGGGATACTCGAGCACCCGGCGACAGCCTGCTCCGACAGCGACAAGTGAGTGTGTTTGTCTGGGTGGTCGCATCCAACCGCTGTACCATCTGACGCGGCAGCAGCGCTGGAGACTGAGTAGCGCCGATGACACTCATCACTCTTCTGCTTGTCCACACCAGCTGCTGCGAGGACGATTTTGACGATTTTGACTATCAGGGCAAGCTCCTCAAGCAGCATCCATGTTTGACGGTCGTCACATACAAGCGTAATATCTCGGTTCTCGACTCGATTCGAGGTGAGCCAGACAGCGACTTGGCGATTCCTCACAAAGAGGACGACAGGACCCCCAATGCTCCTCCAGCGAAGCAGCTCACACTCGTGTTGTCTGATACCAGAACAAGCCGAAGATGTCGATGCCGAGGCAACTTGCAGCAGAATCCGGGCGTACCTGACCGATGTTCTGCAGGGCGACGAACTCGCTGCCGACTATCTCCTGCTTCACACGCTCTCCAAAATGTAAGCTGTGGAGCCATGGATGAATATGCCATCGCGAGTGCCCGGGCCTCGTTCATGTGCTTTACGATCGATGCGAGGTCACGATCAAGCCCAACTAACGTCATCGTTGGTTGCTCCAGCCGCAACCGCTCGCAGGATAACCTCGGCTATTTCCCCATCAACCTCACCAACGTCTCTCCCTCATCGCTTGGAGAGGAGTTTGCCAGCACGCTCACTGCTGCCCTGGGGGCACTACTGCCAAAGCACCACTATCTCCCTTTGACTCTGGACAAGCTCGAAAAGGGACGAGTGGTACCCCGGCTCGAGAACGACCGAGGCCTTCTCTCGGGCGAGCTGCAACTCACCGATGGAACGCTCCTGATCGTGGACGAGACCCGCATGAACGAAGGTACCCTCAAGGAACGGGGCCTTCTCAACCTGAAGGCTATTCACGGCCTCATCCACAACGCCGCGCTGTTTTACGAGTCAGAATACACTGAGCTGGAACAGCACGCCGACCTGGGGATTGTTGTGTTGAGCCAGGGCAAGTCTCTGTTCCCGGTAAGAGAGAGAGTGTGTTGTTTGTGCTTCCCAATGAGTGAAGCGGATGCTGTCCGATTCGTACATGCGTAAGCCAACCGCATCGCTACTGTCCCTGCCCATTTGATCTGTTCTAATCAACCACCACTTCCCTATCACTACCCTCGGACTGGACTGGCTGACTGACTGGTTCACTGGATGTGGCTCTGTCGACTTGACCAGATCGACTGCGTTATCCCCGTTAACCCCTCGGGTATCGCACCGGACGCCAGGACACAGCTTTCGGAGGAGGAGCTGGCTCAAGCGAGAGCAACGCTGCTCAAGCTGAGAGAATCGGAGTACTCTGTGCCCGAGGACATGCTTTCGGTGAGTCTTGCACATCCACATACTTGCTTCCATCCATGATGCTACGCGATATTGAATCAGTGCCTGTTAACCGATGTGCGGACGACCGCTATGTCCCGTGCTCCATCGGCGATTTCTCATCCACTCGCTCATCGATCCCGTGATTCTACCCTGCAGCATGTTCAATCCTCCATTGCCGAGTTTCGCAAGCTGGATCGCGAGTCTGGGCGAGGAGCCAAGACGTCGCAGGACTTTTTGCGGATGCTGGAAATCGCTCGGCTGCTCAGCAAGGTCTCTGGTGAAGTTGTGCTGACCCCCCAGACCTGGGAACGGGCCGTCGAGATGGAGAAGCAGCGACTTGGCAGGATTGAGCAGCTCACCCGGCGGGCATGATGGCGCCTTGCCATGCCCCTCCGTTCATGACGGCAGCTGGCCCCGATGCGTTTATGTTTTGGGGAGTGGACGTGCTTTGAATACATATCCAGCGACTGCAATCTGTGCCTGGAGGTGCGTGCCGGTCGGTCATCGGTCGGTCATCGGTCGGTCGCCGGTCGGGGGTGATGGGACTTGGTCAGAGAAAGGCAGGCTTGCGTCCTTGGAATCGTGTCTTCTCGTGGCTTTTTTCTTTCTGTCCTGCATCTCCCTGATCGCACATTTGCCACCGCGCCCACAGAGGCCAGCACCATCATCCGTTCTGCCCGCCTGCCCGACTGGAATCTGTCCTCCACCGGGCCTCGGTTATTTGCACTGTTGCCCGACTCTATCCTCTGCATCCTCGTAGCCATCTGCACCACCTCTCTCGCTCGTCCCCTCGTTCGTTTGTGCCATCATGGGTATCCTCGAAAAGATTGCCGAGATCCAGGCGGAAATCAGCCGCACCCAGAAAAACAAGGCCACCGAGTACCATCTGGGTCTACTCAAGGCTAAGTTGGCCAAGTACCGAGTGATGCTCCTGGAGCCCACCACCAAGGCCGGCCCCAAGGGCCAGGGATTCGAAGTCGTGCGGTCGGGCGATGCTCGTGTGTCGCTTATCGGGTGAGCAGCGCATACGATCGGCAGACCACATCCGATCGGCCGGCAAGCAGACCAGTGGGCCGTCAAAGTTAACAACGTCTGCAAAACCAAATCCACTTGCCTTGCTGGTCAATGTCCATCCGACGGCGACCGCCCCCCCCCGCCTCCAACTCTACGGCGTAGATTCCCTTCCGTCGGCAAGTCAACGTTCCTGAGCAAGGTCACCGGCACTACATCCGAGGCAGTAAAGTATCCCGATCCACAGGCAACGGCATACGATCCTCCCAGGCGAATGTTGGCGACCGTCGTTTCGCACTTGTGGGCTCGTTTCGGATCTGGCTCACTCGCTCGCTCGGTCCCTGCCCACTCCACTCGACACCACTCATATGACGTCTCACATCTCGCTCTCCTCCCCTCTTGCATTTTGGTAGGCGTCATACGAGTTCACCACGCTCACCTGTATCCCGGGCAAAATCCATTACAACGGCGCGGCGATTCAGCTGCTCGATTTGCCCGGTATCATCGAAGGCGCCTCGCAGGGCAAAGGAAGAGGTCGACAGGGTAAGCAACACTGGCAACAGCAGAAACCACCACCACGACTGCAGCAACAGCGGAAGCCACAGCCCCCCGCCCCGAGGAGATCATCCCTCCACCTGATGCTGGTGGTGAAGGTGGCCGGATGAATCGACTCGAGTGACAATGAGGCGATCGTCTTGATACAACGCCATCTCTTGGATGATCTGTCTCGACAGATGGGCACTGCGACCGCACCTCGCGCTGGCCCGTCTGCTATGCTCTAATATCGCAATGTCTCCTCACCGTTACATGGCGCACGATCTCGCGACAGTCATCGCCGTCGCCAAGACCTCGGATCTCATCCTGATGATGCTCGATGCAACCAAGGGCCCTCGTCAGCGCGAGCTATTGGAAGCTGAGCTGGAGGCTGTCGGCATCCGAGTCAACAAGAACAAACCCAACATTTACTTCAAGATCAAGAAGGGCGGCGGTATTTCGTTCAATGCCACCCTTAAACTCACCCAGCTCAACGAAAAGCTGGTCGTCCAGGTGCGCATGTCCATCAGGCAATACCCCTCCCGAGAGACTTGGTCAAGTGCAGCCCGACCTGAAGTGCTGATGGCTCACGCACACATGGCCACCTGGATATAGCCATTCCGCACTCGCGCTGATTCCGATGCATGGACATTTCCCTCTCCCTCCCGAATATGCGCCTCTGCAATCTCGCTACATGTCGGCGACTGAAACCCGCACCAGATCCTCCACGACTACAAGATCCACAACGCCGATGTGCTGATCCGCGAAGATGCGAGCGTCGACGAGTTCATTGATGTCGTCCTGGGCAACCGCAAGTATCTCACCTGCGTGTACTGCTACAACAAGATCGATCAGGTCTCGATCGAGGAAGTCGACCGCCTGGCTCGACAGGTATGGGCCATCGCGCGACCGGCGGGCCTGCTCGCCAACCTGCGACCCATCCATCCGTCCCTGCCGTTGGCCGACAACTAACCCTTGTGTCGAACACCCACTAGTCACACACTGTTGTCATTTCATGTGAATCCGATCTCAACATCAACTATCTTATCGAGCAAATCTGGAAGCACCTGAGTCTCATTCGCGTCTATACCAAAAAGCGCGGAGAATTCCCCGACTTTGATGGCGGCCTGGTCGTCAAGGCCCAGTCTACGGTCCAGGACGTCGTCCGCAGCATCCACAAGTCGCTTCTGGACGAGTTCAACGTAGGCTTTGAGGCGACATCTCGGGCGCTGTGCGTGTGCGGAATCCTGGATCTTGAGTGGTTGGACGTCGTTCGCTCGCTAACACGATGGTTCTGCACCACAAACCTTGCTCTCTGGACGCAGTACGCTCTCGTTTGGGGCACGTCGACCAAGCACAGCCCGCAGAGAGTGGGCATGAACCACGTCATGGACGATGAAGATGTCATCCAGGTGAGTGTCCATCTGTGGCTTGTCGCCGCGGAGGAGCCTTATCGGCTGCAATGGATCTATTATGATCGCTGGTGATCGAGGAGGATATGCGCGATCGAAGTGGCGCGCACCGCTTCTCACCAACCTGGGTTGGAATGCTTTGCCTCGCTAGGTCGTCAAGAAGAAGGCCTAGGCGCTTGAGGACATTGATGGTCGTTGCCCGGACCCGATATGTGTACAATACATTCAACACATGCAGCTCGAGAGGCGTCCGCGCCCTTGGCATGACCAAAGCAACAGGAGGAGATGAGTGCGGTCGGATATCGGTTGAAGCACCCAATCGATCACAGCTCTGTTCGATTTCACTTTCGTCTCCGAATGCAGTTTGTCCAGGACAACAATGACAGTCTCCTTGGCCGCACTGCTGGATCGAGCTGGGCGATGGACGGATGGGCGTGTATTCAGCACCCAGAGAAGAGTGACACACATGACACACATGACTCAAGAACGGGGTGTCCCGCTTCGCTTTGGTTGCGTTGTGAACTCCCCTGGCTTGGAGGCGGCCTTTTTGATTTGCGGCGCGCTGGCTGCAGCTACGGCCGCAGCCACGGCCGCTCCAAGCTCCAGATCTGCACCAAGCTCTCCAGATATAACGATGCGCGGGGATGCAGAGCGTGGGGGCAGGGCTCCTGGGGGTCGAGCGCGAGATGACGCGGCTGATGACGACGATGACGGTGATGGCGATGGCGGAGGAAGTTGGGCCGATACATCCACCAGAACAGCAGGACTCTCGATGGAGGCCCCGGGCCCGTTCACAGCAGCGGTCTCGCCCTTGGGCGCAGTCACGGACGGCGTATTTCCTCCGCAGATGATGCCGACAAGATGAGCAACTTGGCTGCGAAGCTGGTCGAGGTCGCTCTGCCAACGCAACTCGCACTCGGCATGGTGGCTGATATGGTTCTGTAGCTGGCGCTGGTGTTCGAGGCGCTGCTGCTGCAGTTGCTGCTCAAAGGCATGCTGTTTCAGCCGGGCACGGTCTCCTTGAGCCTGTATCTGGTCCTGGAGTTTGCGGATTGCGTGGTGCTGCGAGTTCACGATGCCCTTCATGATCTTGAAGGGCAGATCAGGGTGCTCAAAGGTCCGCACGGAATAGCCCCGCCTGTTTCGTCGATGCTGGTAAGCATGTTGCTTGCATGGCGAACATGCACGAACATGATGTGCGCATTGGACTTACCAGGCTGCTTGAATCCTTGTGGCTGCATAATGGCCCTGGATGTATGTCTGGACTCGGCGGCGCACCATATGGCCGCGATAGCACGCTTGGATCTTGATGCAGCTCTTCAGCGCGCGAGCGTCTTTGGTTGAATTCAGTGCGATGTTGGCGCAGATCCGATGGGAGATGGGAGCAGTGTTCAGAACGCGGAAACCAGCAGCGACCCAATCTTCCAAATCGAACCACGCAGGCATGCTCCAGCGCGCTCTGGGGGCACTCAGGGGTACTCTGGGTGCTCACCTGTACTGTGGATTTTGTATGGTGGGCCTCTAATCCCTTCACACGTCGTCCACAGAGACTCGAGAGACATATATCGCACCCGGTCGGGTCGTGACGGGTCTCGCATCCACGAATAGAGATTCGGGCCCAGGAGTTTGCGGGTCTGCCACAGCGGTAAATGAGCAAGTGTGTGCCTGCCCCACTCATTTCCATGCACACCCATCCGACAGAGCTGAGAGCACGCGAAATTGGCTGGCGATTCAGGAGGCATCCAACTTACCCGGTAGCCGCGGTAGACGGCTTGGATTTTGACCACCGCGGGATAGCATTTGGCCTCTTCCTCCAACAGCAATGCCTTGAAGTATCTCCGCATCTCTTTGACCTGCGATTGACCAGTGTTGAGAATCCAGATGAGAACAGGAGCTTATAGGTTCGTCGATGGGTCACCACCGCCAATGACTCGACCAATTAATCCATAGAACGCAGTGCCGTACCTGTTTTTGCATCCGATCTACCTTGGAGTCCAATCGAGCCATCACAACCAGTGACTCGTTGAGTTGCTCCATCTCCTCTTCGTCGATTGGATGCATTTCTGAGGTCGAGTGAAGGAGACGCTCGCTCGGCTGGGAAGTATCTCGGACAGAGCGGACATCCCTATACTCGACCGAGTATCCGCGAAAGTAAAGCCGTTAGTGCCGAGGCGGCACGAAAGATGTACTGGTTCAAGAGCCCCTGACCACGGGCTTGAGTGGTACCATCGCTCTCTAATCAGCGTCAGCACTCACGAATTGACCGATACGCCTAATCCGTTGATGAGGATCGGGCCGGAAGTGGCATGTGGATCTTCTGGGCTTGGGATACTGTGATTGACGCCCAACCGAATCGAATCGATTTTGGTGGCAAGCTCAGAACCCACCCGGCGGGATGGAATGGCCTGCGCTAGTTGGTCGAGACGGTCGGAGAGCTCGATGGCCTCTTTTGCAGTTTCGGTTGTGCGCACGATTTCGTTCCTGCTGGATGCAGCGTCGCGCTGGTTGCGATCCTTTCGCCGCGACTCCAGATTGCGGAAGAACTGCAGCAGTGCTGATGAGTCGGATGACGAGGACTCTTCCGCAGTCGGGGATAGCGTCGAGGCAGGAGGGGCTTTTGGGGGATCTTGTCGAAGTGTGAGAGTGTCGACGCCTCGTGTAATGTCGGCAGCGCTACTGATGCCATTCAACTTGGCGGGACGGGCTGACGCTGCGTTGTCCAGGACAACCGATCCATCTCTTGTGGGATGCGCAAAAGTGGCCCTAGCGCTCGGTAGATCGGACTGGGATCGCGCCGATGCTGCAGACACCGGCTCGGGCTGCCGTGGCGACGTAGGCGCAAGTTCGGGAACAGGGAGCTTGGGCGAACCCGCCGGCAAGACATATCCACCTGGAAGCGCCCGGTGGTCGCCAGCGGCAGCGCTCTTGCCGGATAGGAGGGAAGAGGGCAATAAATGGCTGGGCTGATAGCCGAGCGCGACTGAGGCGAATGCGACTGTGGTGAGGGCGACCGAGAGCGCTCGATAGGCGCCGTGCGTTGGTTGGCGGCTGCATCGGTCGCAGGACGATGGGCGAGCTCCCAAGCTGCCGATGGGTCTTGGTAGCTCTGCGGCGCGTAGTTCTGACTGGGTCTCTCAAAGTACAACTGGGCCGCTGTTCGATCCACCTGCTGCTGTTGCTGCTGTTTCTGGCTGGGTAGAGAGTTCTGATGGTGGTAACTTGACATCTGCTGCAGCTGCTCCGCCAACGGCTCGCGACGGCTCCGAAACGGGAACACCTGCTGAGGTTGCTGATAGCGTTGGTCCTGTTGATGTTGACTCTGAGGAGTATGTGGTCGACTACCATATGAGATTGGCTCAGCAGCGGCGTCGGGTCGACGATGATGTGCCAGTTGAGATTGCTGCTGTTGTTGCAGGGGCTGCGGCTGCGGCTGAGGACGATCTTGATGATAATGAGATGGCAGAGTAGTGCGGGTGACGGTGCTGATGGAAGCCTCTACAGCGGGTACCGAAGGAGGAGGTGTCTGGATAATGCGGCGATCGTCGACAACTTTGGGACGAGGCTTGAATATAGCATCGTAGTCGTCGAGCTGGGTCGGTTGATCCGATGTGCCAGGCGCGGCAAAGGAGAAGAAAATAACCAAGATGGATCAGGCACAGACGATGGCATCTAATGAGATCAGCCATGCGTGTTCCAGACAGCCACTGCAAAGTCGCCGAGGCGCTGAGGCTTCGACTTTTGCTTACATTATCGGGAAGTGAGGCTTCAGGGGACCGGGGCACTTTGCCAGGCTGGAGAGGCTCGTGCGAGGGAGAAGATGAGCGCGGGGGAGTTGGATTTGGCTTGCGTGGAGAGCCTGGACCGGCCGACGACACAACGACAGGCTGGTGGTCTTCGAGATCGTCTGTCTCGAACGATTCGGAAAGCCCACTGCCCGACTCGTGGGCACGAGGATGATTCGATAAGCTGTGCAGGCTCCGGGCAGCGACGGACTGCGACTGCTTCGATGGAGACAGGATCGAGCGCGGCACTTGCGGAGAGGCCGGCTTGGCATGCTTTGGCGGTGCCCGTGGATGTGTTCTGCCCTGCGACGACGACGAAGCCAGCGATGCCGACGAGGAAGACGACGATAGCGGCGGACGATTGGAGGCCGACGGGTTCGCTGTGCGTCGAGCCGACGATGCGGGAGCAGACGCCCTGGCGGCGCTGTTGGTGCGCACCGTCGACCGGCTCATGTCCTCGGGGAGTCGACGGGTGGGATGCGGATGGGGGGGGGGAGCGGAGCCAAGAGCAGCTTGATGCAGGGCAGAGCCGACTGCGATGTCGCCGGGCTGTCTGCGACGGATCGATGGAACACGAGCCAAAGCCCGGACCGAGAACGAAAGTCCCTCTCGGCGAGACCGTGATGATCAAGGTGCCGTTGCATCTCCATCAAACCACCGCATCGATACCCACCACAACATCCACCACAACATCCACCAAGCATCCACATGGACCGATTCATATCGCTCTGGAATCGGTGGTCCGGCAGCCCGCCCCCATCGGCCGCGCTCGATGCCAACTGGGACAGCCTCTCGCGGCGGTATTCCGAGCCGCACCGAGCATATCACAACTTGGACCACATCCACGACTGCCTCGCCCGCTTCGATGAATATGCCGCATATGCCGTCCGTCCTGAAGCCGCGTCGCATCCGGCACTCGACGGGCAGGCCTGGGACGATGTCGAGATGGCCATTTGGTACCACGACGTCGTCTACGATCCAAGGCACCCGGACAACGAGCATCAGAGCTGCGTGCTCTTCAGAGAGCATGCCGCCGGCCTTGCTGCCCAGGAACGAATCGACCGAGTTGCCGCCACGATCATGGCAACTCAAGCCCATGTCTCCTCAAGCACAGCTGAGGCTCTGATGCTCGACATTGATCTATCGATTCTGGGACAGCCCGAGGACCGCTTTGCGGAGTACGACGATGCCATCCGCAAAGAATATGGACATGTGTCCGAGAGCGACTACCGAGCCGGTCGATCCAAGGTCCTCCGGTCGTTTCTGGCCCGGCCCAGGATCTTTGTCCTGGGCTATTTCCAGGACCGATACGAGCAAACTGCACGCTCGAATCTGCAGGCAGCACTAGATTGCTTGGATACCGCGACCGAGAGCTCGTGATTGTGTGCCAAATGCAAGCCGATACTTTGCGCATCTTGGCCAGCACAGGATGCAAGAGCAGGACGACGAGAACGATTCGAGAGTCCAGGCCGCCTCGGCCATCCGCGTTCCTGCCAATGGATGATACCGACTGAAGATGCTCCTCAACGAGCCCTGCCAGTCATTCATGATTCCGTGGTGGTGAACCAAAGACTGGCTTCCGCTGCTTCTCCCTCCCAATGTCGCCTTGTTACATTCCAAATACGAGCCATATGAGGAAGAGCCTGCATGTCAGCAGCCCCCCCCCACATGGTCGATGGTCGTGTTGGTTTCGGGAGGGAATGCGGACTTGTCCGCTGTCGAGTACACAACACGCTCTACAACGCCGAGACAGAGAGGAAGCACAGTGCCAATACAAACGGATAGGATAAAAGGAAGACAGGGGGGAATCTGAGACTATTACTGATGAGAAGAAGAGGAAAGGAGTGTGTGTGGCTTGCTGCATGCAGCAAGAGGATAGGAGGAGTAACTGATATGGGAGGGGGTTGCGCACAAGTCGAATTAGAAGAGGTCCCAGAGTTATGGATCAGGAGAGCAGCGGAATCGATAAGCAATGGATGAGAGTAACGAGAAACAAAGGAAGGATCCAAGAGAGTCCTATTGTCTCTCCTTCGCTGCGTCACGATCGACACTCGTTACATTTTGCAGCTCGAGTCCGGCCTGCTCGGGTTTTGAGAGGCAGGTGTGCCAAGACGACAGTGGCTGTCCCCTTATACCGCAGAGGAAATAGCGGGATCGACATAGGCCAGACCGGCGTGCTCGATCTTGTTGATGTCCATCTTGGTGTAGAAGCGCTCGGCGGCACTGGCCTCGGTGACGTTGTCGGCCCAGGCGTGGCGGTGGCCGCACTCGACGCAGTTCTTGAGCTGGTAGATGCCATAGGTGCGGCAGTTGGCGCAGCGCACAGCCCACCACAGGTTGGCGGCCTTGTCTCTCTGGGTCTTTCCAGGGACCTTTTGGAGCTTGTCATCGTACCAGCGAATATGAGATCCAAACTTGTTGTTCTGCAAAGCCAGGCCACGCGCAAAGAATGATTCAAAACCAGGTTAGAGCAGCAGCCGAGTACATCTGTGATGGGCAGTCACAATACAGCACACATTGCTTGCTTGGCCTTGGAGCCACATCCAAAATTAAGCTCACGGAGCGTCCACACTATCAGCGGTGCCACGGCGGATGTGGTCATGGTACTCACGGGGTAGCGCTTAAGGGCGTCGGCAATGTAATCCTCGCAGATCTCGCTGAGCTTCTCGTATGTCTCGTCGTCAACATCTTGGAAAACAGGCAGGTTGATGTAGGGAGTCAACTGCAGCAGCAAAGGAATGGTCAGGGGTGTCAGGGGCGGATCTCAGACTCTGTTGCAGCCGTCAGCTTGGCAACGATTCTCTTGCAAAGCGGCTGCAACCACCAAAGTGCATGTGCGGACCGTGGCTTACCCTGTCGATCATCTCTCCACATCGACCAACACCGTAGCCGATAAACCACTTGAGATCACGGAAGAGATACTTCTCAGCCACCCAGGGTTCCTGTCATACACACCCAAACAGCTGCGTTAGCCATCGCTTTCTGACAGGTCACCAACAAACTTCGCAGCGACCATGGTCCGATGTCGATGTCCCCTGTCCAGAAGCAAGTAGTGCTGCAGGCCCACCACCGCTCACGACTTACATCACCGCCAGTTCCAACACAAATGTAGGCACGCCACAGCAGAGCAAAGAGGCGGTGGTCGCGGAAGGTATTGTAGAGGAAGAGGTTGACCTTGAAGAGGCTGGGAACCTGCTCGTCCTTGACAAAGCGGTTGAAGGCGTGGTAGTCGAGCATCCTGTCTTCGCCGTTGAGATATCGGACGGTCAGGAAGGCACCAAGGTTGGCCTGGGGAAGGGCGATGCTGTGATTGCCAAAGCGAGGGCGCAGAGGGACGAGTGAGTTATCGAATCGAATCAAAGACGGGCGCCGACGCCGCTGCAACAGACGAGCAGGATCCCCTCTTATCGCCGCAATCCGTCCTTGGGATGGCAGCAGCGTGAGCGAGGCGCAACAACCTACCAGTTGATGCCAGGCGAGATGAGCGGGTTGGTAAAGCCCGAGGCATTGCCAAGGGCGAGCCAACCAGGACCGGCGACCGGGCCAGAGTGCATGTAGGCAAGACGCTTCTTGACCCAGAAGGTGGTGTTGTCGTAGACGTTCTCGAGAAGGGTGTAGTGCTCCTTGAACAGCTTCGAGACCAGAGGCTGGCCCTCGACAATGGCCCAGAACATGCGTTCGGCCTCGGTCTTGCCAAGATGGGCGATTCTGCTGGCGGGATAGGAGATGGGAATGGCGTCTTCGCGGATGGCCCATCCAATGGAAACAATGCGGTCGTAGGTGGCATCGAACATGGTTGCGAGCTCGCGGAGCGAGGGCAGGTCATCATAGTCCTTCTTCTGGACATGGAAATCAATCAGCCAGGCAATAATGTCCATCATGTTGGCAAGCGGGGTCTTCTCCCAGCAGATGATGCGGCTGTATGGGGCATCCGGCCAGAAGGACAGTAGCATGTGAGTCGATAGAGTTCATTCAAAGCGGCCCGATAGACACAGCACCAGTGACAGAAGGTGCAGCGAGTTTGATGCAGTCGGGAAACCAGAACCATCGACAGCTTACATGAACCAACTCCAGCCTTCGTCAAACATGATGTGCTTGGTGGCAGGGTAGCTATTGGTGGGGGGGCAGGGCGAAAGCGCTGGATCAGTATCGACTGACGAAGGAAAGGCGACTGCGACTGCGACTGCGACTGCGACTGCGACTGCGACTGCGACTGCGACTGCGACTGCACTCCGATACGGCGAGTCCAGAGAGCCGAGAGAAAAAGGCGGGGCCAACTTACTTCCACTCGGCGAACTGCTCGGGCTCGTGGGCCGTATTCTCCTTGAAATAGGCCCAGTAGGCATTGCAGTTGAAGGTGTTGGGGAAGGGGACGGCCTTGCTCTTCTGAGAAACCAGGGCACGAGTGACGCCAGAGGCATCAGCAACGATTCGGGCCTTGATCGAATGGCCAGTCTTGACGTTGACAGGCGCGGGCTCGGGCTGTTCGGCAGCAGGAGTCACGGCGCCGCTGGAACGGCTGGCAATGCCACGGAACAAGGTCGAAAAGAAGCTGGAGGAGCGCTTCATGCTGACAGGGGTGGGGAAGTCAAAGGTGCTGGGCGACGTGGGCGACGTGGGCGAGGAGGGAGTGGGGCTCATGGCAGCAGAAGATCGGCCTCGGAATGAGAAGGCACGGCTGAGACTGGGAAAGCCGCGGCTCAGGATGGGGCTCTGAGGGATGGGGCTTTGGGGGATGGGGCTCTGGAGCATGGGCGACTGGGCACGAGCAAAGGTCGTGAGGGTTTCGCCATGGGACTTGATCGCAACCATCTTGTAGTTCTCGTTGGTGAAGTCGCAAGTCCTGGAGTCGACCTGGGCGCCGTAGTAAACCTGCAGTCACGAGGAGGGGGATAGCGGGTCAGTTAGCCAACGATGAGGGCCTTGGGTGGGACCGAGGGTCGAGCTGGGGGCATGGGCAGATACCAACCTTGACACCAATGTGTTGGGCCCACATGGTGAGCATGAGCTCGGAGACACGACGGTCAAGCTGGTACCTGTGGGGCAATCACGGTTAGACCAAAGTGTGATGAGCGGCAGCAGCGACCGACCAGGGGCCAGACTTGCACCAGGGACGGCAGGCCGAGGGGTTGGGTGCAGTGGCAACTTACGAGACATCAAGACCGCCAATCTATGAGCGATCGCGAGGGGTTCAGGAAGGGACAGAGTCAGCAACAGTGGTGGGTAGCATGAAGGGGGATGATCACATCCCGAGGAATTGGAGGCAGCACCACATCAATAACAGGGGCAGCACTGCATCAACTCACGTCCATCTCCTCGTGGGTCATCTTGTCTCGGCCAATGCAAAGAAAGTCGAGTCCTTCCTTGACGGCAAAGAGGCGAAGCATGATCTCCATAGGCAGGACACGCGAGCGAGTGAAGCGACCAAAGGGCGAGAGAGTCGACTCTCCGATGCGGTAGATGGGCGACTTTGCTCGCTCGAGCATGACAATGGAGCAGTCGGGCTTGAGAGACTGTGGATGGGTGTGTTGGTTGGTGGCGAGGGGACGGGATGGTGAGCAAACGGATAGACGACGGGCAGTGTTGCAGAAGCAGGATCGAGTCGAGGGCAGATGCACCATAGTGGGCAAGGGCCGCGGCGAAGTGATGGAGGGGGCGTTACCTTGGTCTCGATGGCGTACAACAGACCGGCGATACCGGCGCCGATGACAACCACATCGGCGCTCTCGGGGATCTCGACCGGGGTGGTGAAAGCAGTCGCGGGAGCAGCACCCTGGGCCAGGTAGTTGTTGGCGTTCAGGAGCTGGTCCTCGGACAGATTTGGGTTGTTCTTGACAGCGTCAGCGAAAGGGGTTGGGGCCTTCATGGTATCTGAGACAGGAAGGGGGATATAGTGGGCCAGGGCCGATGCGGTCTATTTCGATCAGAAAGGGGGGAAGGGGCAGCAGCTTATATACTCGGGGACGGCGTTGCGACATGAGTCAACGACACCCGCACAGTCGCCCCATGCGGCGGTTTAAGGGGGATCGCCTCGCCAGGGCTGGTGCGGTGGCCAGGAACCACTTGGGCTCTTGTGGAGGGTTGGAGGAGATCAAACAAATCGTGCAGACGATCGCAGCAGACATCCACGCGGACACAGCGGCTCGTGCGCATGCCTGTGGGGCATAAGAGGCAAGATGGTTGCGGCCTCCTCCGGGTCACAGCCGGAGCAGCGCCTTGCATGCAAAACGAGTGACCATGGCCCCCACCCAGGACCCAGCCGCATTTGGCAGGATGCTCCGTGGGTCGCCCGCTCAGTCGTATCGGCATCACACCACTCGTCTGTCGCCGGGACGATGGTGCAACCATGCAGGAGACGGAGCGGGCGGGCATCAGACACCGCTGAACACCCTGCGGCGTGGCAGAGAGTGCATAGCAAGCCCAGCTGCTCCTTGCCCGCACTGCCCAAGGCAGCAAAAACAGTATACGACTCCCGTATCGTAACGCCGGCTGCCATGGGCTCTAAGTACGCGCGGACTCAGCAAATCGGCACACAGGGATCTACAGGGACAAATGGGGACACACTGTGGCGCAAGGTCGGCACACAGCCCGCTGGCAGCAAGGCGCGACAGCCGTGCGACGCCGGATGTTCCTCTGTTGGTGCACTCTTTTCTCTATCGCGGTCACACAGACACTGGCGTGCCATGGGTGCTGCGCAGTACAGCGCCAGCGATTGGTGGCAGGTCGCAACGCGCTGGACCCTTGTTGCCACAGACATCCACACAGTCTCTGTGCATTAGAGTTGTGCTGCGGCTCCCCCTTGCTCGGCGCCATCCTCCACCACCGCACTTGCTGGCCGCTGGGTGGGGGGCTGTGGGTGTGATCGATTCGCGATGGACTCGGCCGTGGGTGCGATCGATTCGCAATGGACTCGGCTGGGCGACACGGAGCAATGCACACCGGTGTGCATGGCGATGACCAGGCGCAGGCACGGATCGGAGGAGGAGGAAGGGGCAGGATGCGACGGGTGTGGAGGAAAGATGGCTGGCGAAGGATGGCTTGCGAATATCGGGTGGGTGTTGGTGGACGGCGGGGTGGGTGGACGTGGGGCGACCGGGATTGCTCATCGGAGCCACCAGCAACCCACCGCAAGGCGTGCTGCCAGGCAGCGCAACGACATCGACCCTTGCTCCTTCGCCAAAGGTGTGCTCTTCTCTCTCGCTCTACCCAGCCTTACAATTGTGCTGGGCCCTGTCTGAGGCCTCAACTCTATCAAGCCACGCCGCGCTTGCAGAATACGGGGCGGTCGTTTGCGGCGCTCCCGATGCACAGCGCGGACCTTGTGCTGCTTTTGTTGTTCGCCGGGAATTGCCATCGCTCCTGGCGCAGGTGCTGAGGCAGCGGCGGGTGGGTCCGATGGCTTCCACTAACCACAAGCAGCAAGGATGGCTGCGAGCCACCGGGTCTGGCAAGACCAATCGGCGGAAGACTTGGCCGCCACAAGGCGTCTCACCAGATGGGCCTTTCTGGTTTGTCCCTGGCCGGAAACGCGTGCCGTCGCGCTGATGGGGATTATTCGGCTGAGGTGGAGGCTGTCGAGCGAGGCGGCTGTCCTGCGTCTTAACCCGCTCGACCAGCCATCCTCGGAAGCCGATACAGAGCCAGGCCCGCTCTGTCGCCGATCCTCATCCGCCGTCACCCCCCTCAGTCCCGGCCGCCAGACACTTCCGTTCGGATCTGCAAGTGCGGTCACAGCAACCATGAGCTCATCTCCCAGCCCCACCTACCAGCACGAGCAACAGCAGCTCTACCAACAGCAGCAACAACAACAACAAACGCAGCCGCAACAACAAACGCAGCAGCCGGTCTACCAGCAACATCCGGTCTATCAGCAGCAATTCTACCAGCCGCATCACCCCTACCAGTACCAGCAGCCGGAGGGCTACCAGTCGCCGCATCAGCCCCCTTACCCAGAGTCCTACCAGCCGTCTCCCCAGCTTGGTTACGGACCCGCCCCGTATCACCCGCCTCGCAATGCCTCGCTCATCGCCGAGACCAAGGCCATGAAGGCACCGGGCGGAGTGGCCATGTACCGAGCAAGCACGCTCCAGAGCCCCAAGCCATCCACCTACGAGAAGAAGGAGGTTGCGCTGCCGACGCACAAGTACTTTCCCAGGTACAAGCGGTGAGGAATCATCAACCATTGCTCTGCATCCCACAGCGGCGCCAATTCAATCGAATGCATCGTGCTATCTGCTTGGCTTGGTCTTGGTGAGCGTATCCCCGCTGACCTTGCTGTCGCTGTCGTTCCCAGAGCCCCCAACCCCATCAAAATGCACAGAGCCCTGTCGGTCCCGTACCACGATCGGCCTGGTCCTCCGCAGATGCCCCTTCCTCAAGCGCCATTTGAAGCACCCCCGGCGTACTCGTGTCTCTCGCCCGTCTCCCCGGCCTACTCCAACAGCTACTCCAACAGCTACGACGGACGACCGAGCTGGGAGCAGAACGACGAGCAGCGATTTGCTTGGAGCCCCGCGCCCACCGTCGAGTCGGACACCCAGAGCAACTACAACTACCAGTATGCCCACAGCGATGACTGCTCCATGTACCCTCCCAGCGCCGAATCCCAGGAGAGCATCGGCACCATCCTCGAGTCGTTCAGTCCCTGCGGCCCCAATGGATGCGAGCGCCCGCAGCTGATCCAAAAGATGTACTTCCCCAAGCCCGTGGAGGTCCCCGAATATGTCAAGGAAAGCACGACCAAGCAGGAGCGACCCTTGCTGAGCGAGCTTCTCAGCCGCAGCTGCGAACGCCCGGAACAGGTCGAACAGGAATACTGGGTGAGAGCCGCTGCGTCGAGTCGCACCCTGATGTGGCTCTGCACGGTCGTCGACCTTGATCGCATGCCGTCTGGAAGCTATTGTCCTCTGGGACGCCTGGATGGAGCGCCCCCCCCCCCAGACTGCTCACTGACCCACTGTCCTCTGCCGGAACATGGATCGTCAGCACTTTTCCGCCATATCCAAGTGGTTCAACGGCTCGCCTGAGAAGGGTCTTCCGCTCTTTGCGCTGTGGCCGCCCTGTGTCCGTGTGTACCAGTATATGGCCCCAAGAATGCTTGGCATCCCAAACGTCGACCTCAGGGTATGCTCACGCCACCTCGATGACGACTGCCTTGTGTGTGCTGGTCTGTGGACCCCCCGCTCACGAATGTGCCTCCTCTGGCCTCCAGGTGTCCAAAGTAACTCCACGTCTGAGAAGGGCAGTCCTCCTGATCAGCAGTCTCCAGTACCGATGGTAGCGTCCCCGGCACCTCGTTGGTCTGCACGTGGATGCCAGCTGCCGAGCACACTGCGAGTCGTATACTGACACCCAGAAATCGTCTTGCAATCGACCCTGCACAGCTTCTACTGCGCTGCCCACTCGGCCGCCTCCGGTGAGTGCTCGCTTATATCTACATGACTGCCATGGCCGTCACCAGAGCCACAGAGCCAGTTCTTCGACAGCCGGTGCTCTTCCCAAGGCCACCGCTTACATTCTGCGTTTGGCAATCGTCCAACAGGAAGCGCCCTTCACGGCTCGTGGAGAGCGCAGGTCAAGCGGTCCAAGGATCCGAACGACCTGGACCCCATCGTCGATCCGTTCGATAGCCGCCTTGGCCAGGGCGAAAGCGATGCGCTCTTCCTGGTTACCGCTGCCAGTGTGATTCCGTCCAAGGTCAACCCGAGCCTGAAGCAGCAAGTCCGTGCCCACTATAAGGAAGACGAATATCAGCAGATCGCCTGCATGTCTGCATACATTGGCTGGACGAACGCCATCACGGTAAGGGTATCGGTCCATGGCTGGGTTTGGTCCTGGTCCTGGTCCTGGTCCTGGTCCTGGTCCTGGTCTTGGTCGCGGTCAAGCCCTGAGGCGATATAGCTTGCTACTGACATATCCATATCCATATCCATATCCATATCCATATCCATATCCATATCCATATCCATATCCATATCCATATCCATATCCATATACTTGCTTTCAGGACTCGCTCGGCATGGAGCTGGAAGCCGGTGCCATCCTGTGGGCCGAGGAGCAACTTCGCGACGCCGGATGGGAGAGCAATCGCCATGCCCCCGAGACATACGATCCCCATGCCCCAAATGTCCATCTCAAGCTGCAGGCCCAAGCCGAAGAGTCTGTCCCCAACAAGGGTCTTGGTCGGATCGGCGATTTGATGCGACTCATGAAGGTCATGCAAGGCAGCAACTCTGCCGAGTCCCGCTGGACGCGTGGCTTCCCGTCGAGTAAGTGATCCCTGTGGATGCGTGGTGACTGCCAGCAGCAATGTGGACACGGGTCGGCTCGCTTGGAATGCACATATGCACTGTGATGTGTGCCCAGACCATCGCTGACCGCTCACAATATCGGTCTAGACCACAGCCAGCTCGACAAGTGGCTCAAGTACACGCACGGATTCGTTCCCGAATACATCCGATGCATGGTGAACAAGGAAGCCAAGCGAGCCGTCTGCTTTGCCCTGTGGCAGTTCCTGCTTCGTCCCAAGGGCTTTGCCGATCCTTGCTTGAACGGCGACACCCCCGCCGAGTGGTCGCATGGCGGCAAGGTGCTGCTGTGGTATGTCTACACAGCCAACACCGGCAACCAGCTCCTCCAGGGCCACGCCGCCTTCCTGGCGCATCAGATGAAGGTGCCCCAGCACATTCTTTCCGTTGCTGCTGCAGGAGGATGTGTCGGCGACCGGCGCCTGGACTGTGCCCTCGACTTTATCCGCCGATCGGCCACGCTCAAGCGAGAGTACACCGCCAAGTCCAACCAAGAGCTCTACGCAGCCATGAACTCGCCCGTGGGAGTCATGGAGCTGGTCAGCTCCCTGGGTCTGTTCAACATGCTCCACCGCCTGTCCGCCATGCTTGCACCCGAGCCTCCTCGCTTTGAGCACGAGGTCAAGGCCTTCCTGTCGACCCTCGGCGCCGGACTGGGGCTGGATCCCAACAAGGCTGGCCCTCAACGGGATACCGATGCCTCACCTCTGGAGTTTTTGTTGTAATCCAAGATTCAGAAGGGAACGCCGCTGTCGTTCTCACTTCCCTACCCCCCTCCCCCCGTCACTGGCTCGCCTTGGCTGTTGTCTCCCGCTTCGAAGACGCAGCAAGGCATGCCTCCACCCCCTCCGAACCTCATACTTCCTTGGTAACTGCGCTCTATCCACAAGCAGCCATGTTCCACCCTCCTCCCAGAGCCAGTTGATGGTTCTCGACGACGATCGATCAGCGATCGATGATTGGTGATCGATGTTCAATGATTGATGATCCCCGTTACAGCGTTCCCACCCATCCCCACTAGCCAGTCGCGGCATGTTGAGCCTCCGCTTCCGCCTCTCGCCTCCCAAGCTCTTGCCTCCTCCTCCTCTAACCTGTTTTTGTGCTCTGTGATCTCCTCCCAGCTATTACGAGACCGACCAATCCAACGTCGGAATCCCAAACCAAGTTCTCCTTTCTATGATTTTCTTATTTTCTTATTTTCCATTGCTATTGTGTTCGTACATCGTGCGTCCCCTGTTTGATTTTAGATCCCCCCCCCAGACGATTCCCAATCATCGCAGCTCCCGTCGATCTTTTGCCCCACCTTCATTCCCTCTCGGTATAACCGCTAGTTACACCACCGCTACCAACTAACTGCGATGTCTGTATATCGCTGAATATGAATGCGAATGATCTCTCCTTAGATCCATCTCGGTACTTTTACCTTTCGAATGCTTGTTTCGTTTCGGTCCGTTTGCTTTTTTTGTTCCTTCATTTGGTCGTACCGTGACTGACCTATGATTCTCGTTTTCTCCTATTGTGTGTGAGTGGGGTTGTCTTGTGTGCGTTGAACTAAACGCTACTTCCTCTGGCTTTGGCCAGTCGCCTCAGAATACATATGTATCCGTTCAAGTGACAATGCGCTTCTGCGCACCCCAAGCCGACAGCTAATTTTTTGAGCAGGCACGCTCTCACTCTAGTTTCTGGGCCCTGATATACGCTTCCACTCCTTCCGTCCACCGTCCCCCGCCTCGACTGTACTGTGCCAGTTCTTTCACTGAGATGGGAGTGTATCCGGCCCAACCAAGCAAATAATAGTTGAATACCAAGGAAGAAACAGGGAGTAGATTTCGCTGTGCACGCAACATGTACAGCCGGTCCAGAAAGAAACGGGACAGTTCCTTTCTGGCTTCAGATATCTGAACCCTGCTGGCTGACTGTAGGCCCCAGTGAACAAGCCGTGCGATTGTTTCCCGTCCTGGTTGGCAATCGAGTGGTTTTGGTTGGTTTGGGAAGCATGGTCTTGAATACACCCGGTCGATCTCCTGTGGCGATGATCGACTGGCATACCGAGATCATGTTCCTGGCTGCATTGATGTCTCGATCCCACAGCGTATGGCAGCTTGTACAGCTCCGGACAAAGTGTGGTTTCTCGACATCAAGATACTCGGGTGACTCAAGTCGCTTGAATTCCCGGCAATGTGAGCACACCTGGGACGTGTTGAACTCGTTCACCGAGCACACATGGATCTTGGAGACGGATCGGTCTGGTGGTCGTCTCTGGTGGTGGTGGAACTGCTCAAAGTACTTGGCAAACCTGAGTCTCCTGGGACTGGATGCATATCCCTTCCCCTGTTTCCAGGAAGCATTCCCAAAGGCAATCACCACTTCGGTCTCCTTGGACATACTGAATAGCTATGAATGCGATGATATGGTGGGTGTATTCAGGTTCCAGAAAAATCACTATCCTGGTTAAAAACGGGGGGGGGTGTCCCATTTCATTCTGGAAACGCTGTAAACAACACAGGATTTGGGCCATAACAGATGCCCTGGTGCAAGTAAAAGGGTTGTGGCTTTTGTTGAAGGATATTAAAGCATAGACAAGGCGGGCAGACAAAGAAGGTAACTCCCGCCCTGGTGAATATAAATGAGCAATCAGAAATATCATCCGAGGGATGCCATGATAGGAGGATAGAAGTGGAAATAATAATGTTCCGGCTGGGCAGCACCAGCAAGCTGCATCGAGGGAGATTTGACGGATCCAAGACAACGAGCTGGAGCCAAGGAGTGCGAAAGGCACCAACGACGAGGAGGTCGTGGGTACTCGCTTAAGCCATAGCGGGGGCGGCGTTGCGTGCCTCCTTGGGCAGCGGCGTCTTCTTGATGAACCACGAGGCAATGAACAGGCAGGCGGCAAAGGGGATGACGCAGATGAACATCAGCGACAAGCTCTTGACAAAAGCGTGGATGACGGGGCCCTGGAGAGCAGGAGGCAGCGAGTGGATGCTGCTGGGGTCGCCGCCGAGGAGAGCCGGGTTGAAGTTGGGAGGGAAGTCAGCCGGAGGGATCTGTTGGAGGGCCTCGGCGAGGTTGGTAGAGAGCTTGTTGTTGAAGACCGAGGAAACGACTAAGGGGCGGAAGAAGATGTCGATGGTCAGCCATGCAACACCAGAACGACACGCCATTCGCGACCAATGTCCGAAGAGTGTGATCCAACCGACACAACCAGATTGCAAAATACGCCCCGGGGGAGGAAAGAGCAACGGCGACGAGCAGAGTTGATGCCACGGAGGGACACTCACTGGCGAGGCCGAGGACGGTGCCGATGGTTTGCCAGAAGTTGGTGTTGGCGGTGACGACAGAGACATCTTCGGCATCAACTGCGCTCTGTGCACCGATGAGGAGGGTCTGGACGACCAGACCGCTGCCGGCGCCGGCCAGGAAGAGGTATCCGATCTGCATAGCACGAGTCGAGTTCTCGTCAAGGGTTGAGATCAGTCCAGAGGCAGTCACTGAAAGAAAGACAGGATCCGTTAGGTCCCTATGCTGGCACTGTGGAGGCTTGCAAGCCATCGATGTTGAGGAAAGTCCATGGAGCAAGCCAAGCTAAGGCAAGCCATGCTAAGGCAAGCCAAACACACCAGCGAAAGAGACTTACTGATCAGGATGGAGCCAACAGTCACCAGGGGCATGTAGTGGCCAGTCACGGTGATGAAAACACCACTCAGGACGGCGAGGACAGAGATGCCGAGGACGAGAGGGATGGTGCTGACACCGGATTGGGTGGCGGTTTCTGAAGGCACGGAGACGCAGAGAGACGGTCGGGGTCAGCGCAAATGGCAGGATCGACGCATGTCCTGCATAGACACCAAGCCCAGTCTAGACTACCACTACCACTACCACTACCACTACCACAGCCAGCACGGGTAGTCTGGATACTTACCACCATTGACGACTTGGAAGTACAGAGGCGAGTAGAAGAGCACGATGAAGAACGACATGCCAAAGAAGAAGGCGTTCGCGAAGATGGCGAGCACCCAGCGGTTCTTGAAGAGCGAAAACGGGATGACGGGGTCGCGAGCATACTTGGCTTCCCAGATCACAAAGAGCACGACAAAGATGGCGCCGACGACAAACAGCGAGATGACCAAGGCGCTGTTCCAGGGGAAGTCGGCGGTGCCGCCGTTCTGGATGGGAACCAGGAGGGTGGTGACAGCGCCGATCAGGAGGATGGTTCCGACAAGGTCGAGGTGCTTCAGCTGCTCCTTGATTGAGACGTCGCGGCGGGGGTACTTGAGGAAGAAGGTCACGACGACGATAGTGACGGCGCCGATGGGGAGGTTGATCCAGAAGCACCATCTCCAGCTCAGGTGATCGACAAAGACACCACCCAGGAGCGGACCGGCGACGGAGGCGAGGCCAAAGACAGCACCGATAACGCTGTGACGGCAGAAACGCAGACATGATGAGCGATCGGATTAGGGAGGAAGGCGAGACACTGCCAAGCGGCGTGGGACATACATGCAGGCAAGCGCGCACGCACTGGCGGTGCAAAGGGCGGGAGCAGCATGCAGGCAGACAGTTGAACATACCCTTGATAGGTAGGGCGCTCGCGAACGGTGGTAAGGTCACTGATGATGACAATCACAAGCGAGAAGATACCGGCAGCACCGAGACCGGCGACGGCGCGACTGATAATGAGCATGATCATGCTGTTACTCAGCGCACAGAGCAGCGAGCCGATTTCGAAGGTGACGATGGCGACCAGGAAGACAGACTTGCGGCCAAAGATATCCGCGAGTTTGCCGTAACTGGGAATGAACGCGGTCTGGGGGACAATCACAGAGCAACGATGAGCCAGGAGTGAATTGAATTGCGGCTGATTGGGCCTGCCGTCCGCAACATGGAGACTTACCGCCGTGAGCAGGAAGGCCGTTCCAATCCAGGAGACCTTGTCGAGAGCAGAGAATTCCTTGACGACCTGGCCGAGAGCGACGGCAATGATGGTCTGATCGAGGGCGGCGAGGAAGACAGCAAAGGCCAAGCTGCAGAGGACAACGAAAGGCCAGCGGGGGATGAGTGGATGCCAGTGGTGGTGGTTGAGGGTGGAGAGTGGAAGGGCATGCCGGGCTGGACGGAGGCGAACTGCAGGCGAATTGCAGGCGAATTGCAGGCGAATTGCAGGTGCAGCGTTGGTGCAGTGCAGCCAATGCAAGGGAGTCGTCACGAGCGAGACATTACCTCACGAAAACAAGCAGGAACTCGAGCCGGGTGAGCCGGGAGGCATGGGGCAGTTCATCGCCCTTCTTCTCGTGGTGCTCTTCGTGGTTGTCCAGGTCCTTTTCGGTCACCTCGACGGCGGTGGCTTGTTCGCTGGCCGACATGGCGGTGGTTGGTTCAGGGGGCGGGAGCGGGAGCGGCGATGGCAGGATGGCGGGGAGAGCCGAATAGTAACCCAGGCGATGTCGGATCGACGACAGGGCGGTGCTGATCAAGTCAGAGCAGACCGATGCCCGGGCTCAAATACCCCGCCGGGGACTGTATCGCTGCCAAGCCCGCCGGAAAAGTTTTCCCGGAGAGCCGCCCTCGCACCGCGCGGCACAAGGACAGGCCCTTGGGGCGTGGGACCGCGGGTGTGTGTGTGTCGGTGCCGTGGCTGCGATTGAGCCGGCGGTCTCGGTGCGGCCTCGGTGCGGTCTCGGTGCTGATTTGGTGCTGATTTGGTGCGGTCTCGGTGCCCCCTCTCCTCGCTTGCTGCTCTTGCTCGCTTGATGTCCTTCAGCACCTTATTTCCCCTTCGAACAACAACAACAACAACAACAACTGCAGCCGCAGCCATTTCAAATCGCAGTCGCTGCTGCGGCTGCGCCCGCAGTCTCCGACGTGGCTCGCCGCCATTCCCCAGCGTGCCCGGGCAGTCTCTTCCGCGTCGCTGGGCATGGATGCGGACGCGACCAGCAGAGCGGTTCCCACGGCCGGCCATCACCCCTCAATGTCGCAGCAAGCTGGCCCAGAGCTGTGGCCAGGCGTTAGGACTGCGGCCGAATCGGTGCTATCCCTGGTCCCTGCTGCGACCTGTGACCTGCGACCTGCGACCTGCAACCTGCGCTCGTTGCCTCGCAAGGCCGCTGGCTGTCCTGGGACTCGCCCTGTCCGTCTCTCGTCGTCGCCGTCGTCGTTGCGGCCTCGCTTCGGCACATCTGATCCTCAATGTGTTGCGCCACTGGGCAAGCGGCGATTTGGGGAGAGATCTCTGTTGGCCGCCCGCCCGCTCCGGCAGGGGCAGCGTGGGCGATGGCGCATGGCGTCCGGCCGGCTCACACAAGCATCTTGGACATGTACGGCCCATCCAGTTCGTAGCCAAGCTTCCTGTAGTAATGTCTAGTGCCGACGCCTGGCGCACCATCTGGGTCAGTCTCGGCATATTCAGCAGCGCGGGCCCAATCACGCGCCGTTCATGAGCTTCGGCAGCGCTTCCGCTCCACCCCCACCCCCCCCAAAGGCTGGAAGCCTCCAGAACGCACCTGAAATCACAGAGATCTTGACGCTGCCGTGCTCCTCGCGCGCGATCCGCTCGGCCTCTTCCATCAGCAGCGTTCCAAAACCTTGATGCTGGAATTTGGTCGGGTCGCGGTTGTGGATCGGCACAACCGATCCATAGACATGCAGCTCGCGCACGACAGAGCACTGGCCGCCGTTTGCTCCCTCCTTGAACTCTGGCCGGAACACAGCCTCGCTGCACTTTCGCAGCCGGAGCAGCCCGATCAGGATGTCCTGGTGTGGATCCTCGTATGACAGGAACGTCTCCCAACCTCCGTTGGCCACGTAGTCGCGACGGATCAGCTCGACCTGATCATTTTTTGGGGGGGAGGGGAGGATTTGTTAGGGAACCGGCAATCGATTGCAACCAGTAGAACACATCGTGTGCAATCACGGGGGACGGTGATGATGCCATGTCTTGGCGCACCCATTCATTTGTCATCTGCAGCCGATTATCCCCTCTGTGCGCCCGACTCGACAAACCTGATCGGGCTTGACTTTGTTGTGGATGTCTTGGATGCCCACCTCGCGGGTGCGGACATCGCGGCAATCGGTGCCAAGATCCTTCATCCGCTGCAGAGCCAGCTCGCGAAGATTGCCGTGCTCGATTCCACTCGTAACCAGAGGCATTGGGATATCGCTGGCGGCGGCGGGTGCTCGTTAGCGATCCGCATGGCGGTTTGTGCATGCTTGGCTGACGCATGTTGGCTTGTGCAGGGAGGTATGATTGCCTCCTCCTGGGCCGAAGCCTCGCACCCTTGACATTGATGCTTTCCCCCATGAGAATGCCCACAACGTCCTGCCCCTGTCGCCCACCCCGTCTCCAGCAAGAAGTGCACCTTACCGCTGCACTCGATAGACTCGTGTCCAGGGAGGAACCAGCGCAAGAATGCGCGCCACGAGGTCGACCAAGGCTTCAGGTGCATAGCTCTTGTATCGGCCTGTTCTCCACAGCTCATACAAGCCTGTCGAGGGCACATGGATGTGGCGGGCGAGAATCAATCCGGACCATGACGAGTTAGCCACGTGGCCACAGAAGGCTGGACCGAGCGCCCAGCAGAAGCTCAGCGCAGCTCTGCAGAGCAAATCAGCGCCGACCGATCGCCGTGATATCCGGCAGATGCCAGAGCAACGCACCAGTGCCGCGGATAACCAGCGTGGGATAGAGCTTGAGTCCGTCCGACCGGAAAGCAGGATTTTCGAAATATTCCTGTGTGCAGCGCCGCCCCAACCGTGGAAACGTTTAGCAGCGCAGCACGGCCATAGTCACCCGGCCATCTCGAGCGGTACCGGTCCGGCCAACTTGTCGCAAACTCCCCCCCTATGCGCTGCATACCTTGAATTGCTCAATGTCTCGTTCCATGCCAACATTCGGCAGGTCTGGCATCATGTGGGCCACGACTTTGTATCCAGCGTCCTTAGCGAGCTGGAAGGACTCACAGACAGCCTTGACGGTGTGACCGCGGTTGGTATCTCGGGCCACGTCTTCGTAGACACTTTGGACGCCGACTTCGAGCCGCGTGCAGCCATATCGAAGCATTTGACTATAGCAAATCCAACACCGCCCCAGTCAGCAACAACGCCTAGCGAGGCATCGACTCCGATACTCGAACTCCTCGTCCGATTGGTGTGCCCATGAAACAACATCACCAGCAGCATCGACAGGGACATCGGTCACAACTTTGAATCTTTGTTTGTCCAGGGTGCGCTCATTCTATACTTGCCTCAGATGCGGCTTCAGACAATAGTCCGGCCGAGTCTCGATGGTGATGCCGATGCACTTTGTCTCACTCTGCTCAGAGTATCTGTTCGACCACGGCCAAGTTGGATGTGTCAGTGAGGGAAGACCAGACGTTCCAGTGCTCAGCGCTTCTGGGTGGATGTTGTCGAATCGCACCAAACAGAGCATCGGTTTCAAGCTCGGCTGCGCCCCTCGTCCAGGTTGGGGTTCAAGATGTGAAAGGCACACTCACTTGACGGCCTCGTCGACGTCGCGGCTGGTGTGGCCCGAGAGGGCATCGTGCAGGTTTGCAATAAACCAGTTGCGGTATTCTTCGCTGAGCGACATGAACGTTCCGCCCATGATGATATACTCGACCTGTTGAGCCACCCAGAATCCAAGGAGGATACGCTCGGCGTCAGTCGCCGGACAGGACATCGAGACAGACAAGCACTGGCTTAAAGAGCGTCCCGCAATCGACTGCAGACCTTGTCGACGCTGTGTCCCAGCTGCTTGAGCTGGTCCATCCGGCCCTTGGCCTGCTCGAACGGGTCGTAACGCGCGCGAATCGCTCGCATCGAAGTGGGCTCGTATCCCGTGTAGGACTGCGTCGAATACTCAAAGTCCGAGTCTGGTCCACCAGGACAGTAGCTAGTGGGCCAAAAAGCCACAGTTTGGTGTCGATTTGGTATTGATTCGGTGTCGATACGGCGTCGATTTGGCGTCGATCCAGATCCAGCGTCGATTTGGCATTCATATGAGGTGAGGCGGGTTGCGTTAGCGCCATCCCGAGATTGAGCTTGTCGACACCCTCCAACGCTGCAGTTCAGTGCAGAGCACGGTCGGTTCGTCCTGCGGCAAATCTCGGTGCAAAACATACACGCAAATATTGCCCGTCATGGCGATATGCGGACATCGATGGGGCTTGCACATGACGGCAACGACGGCAATCTGGAGGATGGTCAAAGGAAAGCGAGGAAGCGATGATGATGATGATGATGATCATGCGTCAGGATCTCGACTTGCAAACCGCAGCCAACACCCAGCCCTTGATGATAGCCATATGCAGCCGCAGCTGCAGCCGAGCACGGAGCAGGAAACAAAAATGCATGCAGGACCCTGGTCTGGATGGATGCTACTGGGTCTGGATGGATGCTACATACACCCGAGGCCGTCCGCACAGGCTTGGCCCGGAGCTTTGGGAGCAGCGCTGCCTTGTACTGCTCTGGAATGGCCGCAATGATGTCCACGAGCTTGGGCTGGGACTCGAGCCGGTATTTGCGGGCCACTTTGGCCTTGAGGCCGTTCAGATTGACGTCCTTGCCTGCCTTGTGGGCAGCAATGAGCTCATTGACGATCTGGCGGATTTACCGCAGACGTATCATGACGAAAACAGTGCGTGCGGGCGAGAAGGCAATTTTAGCCGAGATCAATGCGGAGACAGGCAGGACGAATGCTGGTTCAGCCAAAGGAGCCACCCCCCCCCCTCCGCGATTTGACGGACGCTCCCGGATGGCTGAATGCTCTTGGATCGAGAGCCTGCCAGCCCGGTCGACAGGCAGCGATGGAGGATTTACATCAGTGCAGGTCTGCAGCAGAGCAGCGCTCAGATCGGATGTTGCTCCCATGGCGTCGACAGGTATCTCAGGGAGGTGTGGTGGCGGGCGGTAGCGACGGCAGCAGCAATGGCGATGAAGATAGCGATGGCTGTGTCGGTGTCGGATATGGCGTCGGTGATGATGGCAGCGGAGACGGTGTTTCGTCTGGGGCGATCGGCGGTGTATTTCAGTGCCAGGGCAGAAAGAAAAACGCTCACGTGCGACACACCCCACGCCGACCAAGACCAGAACAGCCGAGAGAGTGGGCGGATGGAAGCAGCTCTCCCACGAACGCAGGCAGCAACACTCAGCGGCGCCTGGATCAGCAGATCGCAGCGGACAGGTGAGGCGGGCTCAGATCCTGCTTCGTCTGCTCACTGCCCAAGCTCGACATCAGGAGCGAGAACCAGGTCGGGCTTGCGGTCGTGCGTGTCGCGGGGCACAGTTCCTGTCGCCAGGATCTGGGCCGAGAGCGCAAGGGCCACTGGGAAGACGGATGCAGGAGTGAGACGCTGCGACGGGGGTGGGTAGTGCATACGGGAGTGCGGGAGTGCGGGAGTGCGGGAGTGCGGGAGTGCTCACCGGTGAATGGCTTTTCGATGCTGCGACTGCGGGCAAACGCCTCGCAGGTGTCGAGATAGCGGTCGTAGTAACTGGGTGTGGGAAAGACACAGGCATCGACGATCAATCCACAGACCAAGAAGGACAAGTGCACAGGAATCGGCATGGCTGTGGACGAGCCGGCGCTGAAAGCAGGTCGGAGAGGTCACGGATGATACTGGAAGCATGGTGGAGGTATAAGGGGGGGGGCAGATGCACTTACCCTTTGCCATGACCCAGTCGCCATCCCTCCTTGTCAAAGTAAACCCCTGCAATGTCGACCCAGAGCAGTCCAGCAGTCCAGCAATCCAGCAAGTAGATACTATTAATGCAAGTCGTCCTTCGCAAGAGCACTGGCCAAGCGCTTGGCTCGGCACTCGCCGCAAGCATCCCGGTGACAGCACCTACCCGGCATGATGATCAGATCAAGGCCGTTGGCTTCCAGAGCTACATGATTCCGAGCATGCATTCAGTCAGAGCCGGGTGGGGATTGCTGGAATTCAAGGGCAGATGTGCCTACCGTTCTCCCGAACTTCGCTGTGGTCGGGCTCGGGAATATTCCATCGGTTGAGTGGGAGGCTGCGATAGTCCTCGAGGGATTTGAGCTTGACCATGTCCTGGGTGCCAGAGGGTGAGTGTTGGTCATCTTGTTGCTCGCCGTGCCGATTGCCACCGCATATCGCCAACAGACCGTCCAGTCGCAAATCCGATTCCGCCTAGACAGGCAGACAGGCAGGCTGGCATAGAGCAGCGAGTGTCGATTTTACCATGACGTCGCCGTGCCATCTCGGAATGTAGCAGTTCTTGCCTGCGGTCAGTTCAAAGCCCACATCGCCGGTGAGCATCGTCGCCGTGGTCGGTGCGGGTATTGCCAGCCGAATACATCGACTGAACGCCCGGGCTCGCCTCTCACCTTCAGCAAAGAGCGCCTCGATGATTCCCTGGGTCGAGATCTCGCCCTTCATGCTGATATAGACACACACGTTCTGCGCCCGGCGATACTGCGGGAGCATCCATAGTCGGGCAGCGACCTTGGCGGCTTCACAGACGCCCATTTGCGATCAAGCCCATCCAAAGGACAGGACGACATCGGAGGGTGATATGGTGCGAATGCGGTTAGTCTCCGTTTCTGTCGCCGGAGAGTTGTCTCCAAGCAGCAGCCCGCTCAGCCAGGAGCCAGGGCAACACAATAACGAATCGCCGCTTGCAGATCCAGAGCGGAAGACTCTTACATTCCTCCGCAACGACGGCATCGGAGAGGGTCGGCACGACGTTCTTCCACTCCTTTCTGAGAGCGACCTTCATCTGCTTGAGGGCGGACATGGTGTCGGCGGAACTGGAGCCTAGGTCTGGGTCTGGGTCTGGGCGGAGCGATCGCAGCAAGAGCGGACACAAGTCTCCGTCGCTCGTTGGCCCGGAACATGGCAGCGGCTCCCTTTCTGCCTTGCGCCCCTCGACCTTCCATCCTCCATCCTCCATCTTCCATCCTCCATCTTCCATCCTCCATCTTCCATCTCCCAGCGCCCATCTCCCCCGGCTGCCGTCGACCCACAAGACCACGCGTCCTGCTATTGAACCAGGATTATCTCGATTTTATTGATCGTGAACCCCTGTTCAGAGTTCAGAAACCAGCATGAGGACAAAGACCCCGGGTCGCTACGCAGGCGGTCGGGCAAGGAAAAGATTCAACAGCGTCAACGGCGTCAACAGCAGATGACTGTGGCATGAGGATGCAATGGAAGGAGAAGAGGAGGCGCTTGAGAGAACCGGGTTAAAAGAAAATGGAAAGGAAGAGGAGCGAATGCGCCTATAGCATCCATGCACAGAGTATCCGTATACAGAGCATCCGTGCATATAGCGTATGCACACATTCTAGTCAGCCCCACAAGTGATAGCATCAAACTCCAGGCGACCACTACTGCTGCCGGCCAGGACGAGCAAGAGACCCCAGACCGAACCAAACTAAACCGAGCCGCGCCGAACTAAACCGAACCGGAAGCAGCCGTGCGCACTCACTCGCTCTAGGCTTTGGACGTGGCCTCGCGCCACTGGGCAAACTTGGCGGCGGCTTCGTATCGAAGGGTGTCGATGTGGATGTGGAGAATGTGGCGATAGAGCGTATCGAACTCGTTCTCGGATCCCAGCTGCGGGCCATCCTCGACATCGGACGACACCGCAAACGGAGGCACATGGCTGATGTGGTTCTCTGCACAGAACTGCAGCTCGTCGTCGGTAAAGCCAAAGTTGTACATCTTGATACCCTCCTTCTTCAGCGCGGCCAGGATCGACTTTTTGAGATCAAAGACGGCCTTGCTTGTCAGCGAGTCGGACTTGATCAGCACGGGGACCAGGTTGCAGAGGTGCGCAATGTTCCTCATATAGACCAGGTCGACGTTGGTCAGGCGGTGCAGAATGGCATAGACGGTCACGACAATGTGGCTATGGGCCCCGGTGTTGCCACGAACAAAGCGGATGAGGTTGACTGGAGGGATGTTGTTGGAGAAGATGGCGTCGGTCTTTTTGAACTGGCCAATGTAGTAGTCGTTGATGGCCCGGATGACATGCATGGCATCGGTTTGAACGCCAAAGCCAGGGGTGTCCACGAAGGTGAGGTTCATGGGCAGCTCGTTCAGCAGCAGGTTGTCGGTTGCGACGGTAGATGCCCGGATCTCGCAGATTGACATGGAGGCGTCTGCAGGAGGCAGGGGGTCGCGGATCTTGATGTCCTCTTGAGCCAAGAACTTGGTCATCAGCGAGGTCTGGCGCAAGCAGCGGCAACGGATTAGAGTCGGCCCGAAACGAGCCGAGAGTCAACAAAGATCAGCGAGCAGGCGATGGAGGAGATCGGCTCGGAGCGATGGGTATGGAAGAGATGCGTATGGCAGCGACGCTGTGGTTGTGGCGGCAAGCCATTGACCATCCTCCCAGTGTCCGTGGCTGCTCGCCCTTATCCCTCCCTCTTGCTCAATACGCTTCGACAGCGAGCCGACCCAGCCGGACAGGCTCACCTTGCCAATGCCCGAGTCGCCGACAAAGGCAACCCGGAGCGATCCAATGTTTTCGGGGACCCGCTTGGAGACTGCGTTCTTGAACTCGTCGGCTTTCTGAGCCAGAGCCTCTCGGTTTGGACCGGGCTCTGATACGACTTCAGGGGTGGGCAGAGGCAGGTTGGGGGGCAGCTTGCTGATGCGCTTATCTGCAGCAGAGGTGGCCTCGGCGGAGACGCCTGTCGCTGTGACATCAGGCTTGGAGGAGACATCCGGGGGAGGGGGCGGAGCGGCGCTGCTGGACTGGCCCGAGGGATAGTTCAGCGACGGCGAGGGCTTGGAGGGGGCATCGGGAATCTCCTTGCGCTCGCTCAGGCTGCCTTCGGCCTCGACCGGGACAGGAACACTTTTCTCCTCGACGCCCGGAGGCAGGTTCAGAGACAGGAAAATGCGGGGAAAGAGCCCGACATTTCCTGTGCTGCAGTTGTTTGAAAAGGCCCACCCGTCACCGTAGTCGTGGAGAATGGTGATGCGGTCGCCGACCGATGCAGCGAGCTCGTCGTTGGCTGCCGGGACGTACGGAGCCACGACATAGTACAGGTTTGTGTCCCGGGTGGAGCTGGCCATGATGAAGATGGGAGATCGATTGGATACAGAGGCAAGGGGATGGGAGGGAGGCAGGGCCGGCAGCAGGGCAGAGGAAGGAGGCTCGGGCGAGTCTCGAGGAGAGGGCGAGATGCAGGCGCAAGAACGCAGAGCAGAGCGGCAGTGCACAGCAAGAGCTCCTGCCAAAGACGGCGATCGGCGCGATCGCCAGTGGGGGGGGGGACAGGAGAAAGGGGCGACCGCGACCGAGACGGCCCTGGCTGGCACTGCGAGAGCGAGAGCGATCCGATGCGGGAGAGGCCGATGACCGCCTTGGACGAGACTGGTGTGCCGACGACGTACGTGCGGCGAGCCGATCGAGACAGCCGTCGCGATGGACATTGATGTCCCGCAGCTGACAGCACTGGGAGCGGGTGCCTGAGCCAAATGCAAGCCTGGGCACAACGGACGACAAGACCAAGCCGGGATGGTCTGGTGGGGGCAGGTGACAAAGCACATCCATCGGCCACGAAGAACAAGCAGCGAGTGCACCCTTCGGCCGAGCGGCGGGCCGGGCATGAAACCAAGGCGGAAACTGCCCATCGGTGCTGCTCGGTCGCCCGTGGACAAGGGAAGGGACGGTGTGGGCGCATTGGGATCGTCCAAGTAGATTTGCTGCATTTCGTCAGGGACAACAACAGATCTCTGGCCGAAGCACTCAACACTCTTGCCCGCGTCGATCGCACCGGCCGGCCCAGTGGCCCAGTCTCCATTGCGGCCAGTCCTCGTCGGGCCTAGATCCGGATAACCTCTGCTCGAGCTCGCATGGCGACGCTGCTCTCCACAAATACATCCTCGCCAGCTCCGGCACTGTCGAGCTCCAGGGGATAGATCGTGAGCCGTGTGAACGTTCCTCCCTGCTGGCCGCGACAGGCGAGCGAGGGGTTGATGCACAGGCAGCCGTCGACGACTCTCTGTGTGTGTGTCAGGAAGCTTGACAGAATCATCACGTCCGGTCGGGCCTGCAGTTCCAGCTCCGAGCTTCGAGCATAGTTGATGCCTTCGTTGTGCGAGGGCGGCAGGAGAGGGTACAGGCTTCGCTGCGTCAGCACATGGCCAAAGAGCCGGCTCATACGGTCCGAGATCTGTCCCCTGGCCACCCGCGAGACTTCCTCGGAGGACAAGTGCAAAAGGATGTCGCAGGTCGAGATCGCAAAGGTGATTTCGTTGATCGAGAATTGCACCGGGTTTGGGAAGAGCAGGACCGACTCGGGCAGATCGAGTGCCGCGCGGCGGTAGTGAATCTCGGCTGCACTGACTCCCGAGCCGAGAGGCGGCTGGGGAAACACGCACCACTCGATGTAGGCGTCGTGCGTCGAGGGCACCATCACAACACGAATGCCCTTGCGCGGGGCCTCGACGATGCGGCGAATACGGGTCGACACTTGCGAGGCAAAGATCTCGTCCGGGGTCAGGTCAGTGTTCCCGTTCTCGATCATGGGATGTCGGTCGTCGACAAACGGACCCAGCAGCAGGACCACATCCGGCATCTGCTCCTCGATGGCTTGCACGAGATCCTCCAGGGGCTCGAATTCGAGCGAGTCGTTGAGCGTGTACGGCCCGCTGGCGATCACAATGTTCAGCGGGTACTTGGATGTGGGCTTGTCGGCGGGGTACATGCGCGCCAGATTGGCCAGCGAGCAGGTCGTGGCCGGCAGCGCGGGTGGATTGTGGATTTGGGTGATCGTCAGCTTGCGGCCCGATACGTTCATGCCTTCCAGACCAACGATCTGACCAGGGAAGAACTCATAACCCTTGCCTGTCTTGAGCAGCTCGCTGAAATCAAGCGGGACACGGGCGCCGTTGCCGAGCTCCCGCGAAGCCTCAATGACGATCCCACCGTCCTTGAATCGGGTTTCAATCTGGGAGGCTTCCGAGTCGGGTGCCGACAGCGTGCCCTGGGTCACGACGCCGGCTGCATTCTCGGAACAGATCCGGCCGATGATAAAGACGGGCTCCTGCGAAGGCTGCGTGGGGTGGCTGACCTGGAAGTTCTCCCTGTCGTCGGCACTGAGCTGCTCGAGCCTGCGCTCCTTGATGCGATCGGCCATGTCGTTGATGCGGTCGTTGATGATTCCGCCCTGGTCGACGAGCTTGGAAAACATGAACCGGTACCCGTCTGTTTGTTGGTTGGGTGCAAGTGTGATGCTGCAGAGGACCGGCTGGTCGGGAATGCTGGCTTTGAAGGGGATGTGATCGTTGAATACAGCGCCGTCTCGCTGACCCCGGTTGGTGCGAGTGGCGAAGCGCTGAGCATGGGTCGAAGGCGTGAGCGGGGTCGGGGTCGGGGTCGGGGAACGGGCCCGGTTCAAGTTGCGGGACGGCGAGTGGAGGGATGTGCTGGTGGGAGAGGTGATGCGGATGGGCTTGGTTGGGGAGGTGAAGGAGCCAGAGTATTGCGAAGTGGGCGAGCCGATGGAGGTGGCTCTGCCAGAGTGGTCCCTGAGGGTGATCTTGGCCTTCTTGGGAGTCATCAGCCTATCTGGGCTGATGATGCTGTCAAGATCGTCGCTCATGATGAGCTTGGGGTGGCCAGTGCCGGCTGGAGCCTCAGCCCTGCGGGCAGACATAAAGCTACTGGAGTTGATACTCATTCGCTCGTTCTGCTTGCGTGTCTGGTCTCGCGAGAGGGTGTCTCGGAGCCGATCGAGCAGCTCGATTGTGGGTGATTCAGGAGTATATTGCTCGCCGATCGAGTCGACAAAGGTTCCGTTGATGACAAAGGCCTCCCACTTTGTCCACAGGGTGTCGGCATCCAGATCGTATATGCGGCAGTAGTGGAGCAGACGATCGATCGTCTCGCGGCCTCCGGGGCTGTGGGCCGAGAGGCCGAATTTCTTGGCAATTGTGCCCTCGTCCAAGGTCATGGCGGGTGTCGGGAGGAGCTTGAGCGGATTGTGGCGAGCTGTGACGGCGCTGTGAAGACACGCAGGTCAGTAGAAGCACCCGGCTCGTCAAGGATTGACAACAGATCAAACAGATGGGCCCCAGACGAAGCGACGATCGATCCTGAACTGGGCAAAGCAGCAACGGGCGGGACAGAGGCGGCGATGGGGCAAGTCGATCAAACGGCTTGGATCGGCGCCAGCCAATCGCCGCAGAGCACAGAATTGCCAATTATGGACAAATTGGAAGCCAAGCCGGGGCGGATAGATGTCGCAGCCTTGCCGAGGTCAGCATCCCAGCATCTCCATCAGCATCTCCATCAGCATCTCCATCAGCATCCCCAGCATCTCCATCAGCACCATCCACAGCAACTGCATTGCTGGCCCTCCCGGTGACCGAGACATGTCGCAGTTTGTGCTGCCGACCCTGACCGAGAAGCGGGATATCGACCGGGTCATCCGCGAGACCCGCGATCGGCTCGTCGTTCTGCGGTTTGGCAAGAGCAACGACCCCGAGTGTCTGGCGCAGGATCATATCGTAAGGCCCAAAGCCGCTAGATGGCCCGCACGGTCTGCACGGCCCTGAATGACAGCGAGAAGCACCAGAGTCATCCCAGACAAGTTGGTAGTGCATGTTCAGCGCACTTGCTGACGAGATCCGTATCTGCATCGGCGGGGCAGCTCGAGAAGGCGCACATGGAGCTCCGGAAAATGGCATCGATCTACTTGGTCGAGGCCGAGCGGGTGCCCGACTATGTGCGTTACTTTGATATCACCTGGATCCCGGCAACGCTATTCTTTTTCAACGCACAACACATGAAGGTGGATTATGGGTAAGAGCTGGTCCAACACCGTCGCCTGCGCGGGCATTGATGCTGCGTTGCTCTCTGCCGGCTGTCGGATCTCACCATTGCAACCGCCTCATCGACCAGCACGCCCGATCACACCAAGTGGATCGGGGCTTTTGCCGACAAGCAAGATTTTATCGATCTCGTCGAGACCATTGTCCGAGGCGCCATGCGAGGCAAGCTGATCGTCAGCTGTCCGATCGAAAAGTCGCGGATCCCGAAGTACGACCTGCTCTACAAAGACTTTTGAGTCCACCGAGCAACGAGATTCGGCCGGGCGACGAGATTTGGCCGAGACCAGGGATCTCTCGCCGGTCGATTGGAGTACGGGGAGGATATGAGCCGAGTCGTATGGGGCAGCGGCCACGGAGCCGAGCCATTGCCATCGACTGCATCCGTGTGCGGACTGAGGAAACAGCAACAGTCCATAGGCGACCGAACCGCTCTTGGCTGGCCCTGGGATGGCTGTGGATGTGGTCAATTGTCTTTCTCTGCCATCGCGGCGTCGCATTGCATCATCGCCCGCCCATGTCGGAGCATGCAGCCAATGCTGTTTCGGCTGGTGGGTTTGGCCAACAAAGATCGCTGTTGCTTTCGGATTCCAGTGCTGTTTGGCACCGCACGGCCAGCCGCCTTGGCCCAATATCCGCCCGTCCCCTTCCATCTCGCCGCCTGGTTTCGGTTGTCCCCGATCGCCAAATCCCCCGCTGGGCACTCGTCCATCGTGATATCATGCATGTCCTTGGCCTGATCCGACGAAGCCTCCTGCTGCCACCGACGATGGGTCTGGCTGGTCGAATCGCCGCGGGCTGCCGACCAAGACTGGCTTCTGCATCTGCCCGCCGTCTGCCGGCTGTCGTGCTTGGCCCATCGCACAGCCAGATCCGATCGCTCCATGCCTCAAGGTAGACAATGTGGCTGCTGTGGCCCAACGACGCCATCGCATGTGGGAAGCATGATACATGGCGGAAAGAGAAACCTGCACGTATTCAGCTCTCTTGAATCCCACCCCCCTCGCTGACGACAGGCCGCTGCAGTTGGATGATCGCACCTATCATCGCCACGCCGACGAGTATCTCGATTCGGTTGCGCACCACCTCGAAGAGCTTGGCGACGAGATTGAGCTCGAGGGATTCGATGTGCTGTTCGCGGTAAGATGGACTGTGGATGTCCCAGACTCGCTGGACCATCCATCTATCCATCCAGTGCATCTCGGTCATCAGCGGTGATGCTCTCCGCCTAACACTCTCCTGACAACGCATCTGTCGGCATCATCCCCGCCAGAACGGTGTCATTACCCTCAAGCTTGGATCCAAGGGCACATTCGTCCTCAATAAGCAACCTCCCAACAAGCAGATCTGGCTCTCGTCACCCATCAGGTACGAAGCGCCATCGTCAAAGTGCTATCGGCATTCAAATCCTCTGGCAGCGATCTTGGGTGACCCCTCCACTAGACTCCGCATGCTGTATCCCTCGTCTGACCACACGCACTCACGAATCGATTCCGGTAGCGGCCCGATGCGCTTTGACCTGATCGAAGATAATGGTCGGACCCAATGGATCTATCATCGTGGAAATGTGAAGCTGACAGAGCTGCTGAACAAAGAGCTGACCCAGCTGCTCGACAGGGATGTGGATGTCGAGTCGAATATGGACGACTGATCGCGCAAGCAACCAGCTCCCTTGGGGCGTCCCGACTTCCACACGGCTTCATCGAAAGCGCACAGGGCAGACCGAAGCCAGCCCTTGGAAATCCGGTGGTGAAACATGAGTCCAGGGCTTGGCCTGCTCAGCTATTGTCTTGGATAGAGACAGACTATTTCGTGTATCCAACTGGCTCGGCATTGTCGCGATAGTAAAACGACTCACAGTGCGAGTCCAATACCGGGCGACACCGAATTTGGCCAATTAGTGGTGAGACGGTTGTGCGTAATCTCTTGTATCGCGGCTGTGTGGTGTGTGGAGACAACAGCCGTTTGGTGGAAGTGTAATGCTCGTGAAAGGGCTCTTTCGTCACTCTGGGAGTCAGCACGCCAGTCTCCAGAGCGATTCGACTGCGGGCTGTCCTCAAAGCTGTGGGGCGAGGTCGTATCGGTCGAATCGAGCCGGATCAAAGAATATGGCTTTGACTGTGCGGCCTCCAAAGTATCGCCCGTTCAGATTATTGAGCGCTGAAACGAGGCAGTGGAGCAGAGGGTCAGGGCTTGCCGAGGAAGGTCCGAAGCAACGACACTCGATTTGTGTCGACCCACACCATCCAGCAGCAGTGCAGCTTGGCGCACTTGACTTACCCTGGACAGCAGATGCGACTTGCTTGAACTTGACAAAGATACGCACAGCCTTGTCATCGGGAACTTGCTTATCAGGAACCTGGTGCGCAAGGGCAGTGTCGCCATAGAGACGAGCGGGTATGTGTTGGCGGACTCATGGTCGAAAAAGATAGGCCCAGTACACACGGAGGGCAGAGTGCCTTTCCTCGGCTGCCGCTTACCTCAAAGATCAGACAGCGCTCCACTTGGCCGTACTTGGAACACTCTTCTGCTGTTTCATCCTGCAGCGTGTCATCGACTTCTCCAGGACCGACCATGTTGGTGAGCAGCAGCACTGTAGTTGGCCCGGCAGCTCCTTCTGGCTCTGTTGGCGGTTGAGACGCAGCTCGATGTCAGTCTCGAGCTGGCTGATCAGCGAGGCAGGCGGACTTGCCATCCTGTCGTGGTCCTGTCGTTTACCTTGCTGGGGAATCTGCGGTGCGCCCATCACTTGTGCAGTTGAAGAGGCCAGTGCTGACTCAAACACACCCAGGGATCTTCCGCTGGTGTCCACGTCGTTTTGCTCAGGTGGGGCCGCGGTGCGAATTGACTCGGGCCTAACCAGCGACACGAGCTTGAGTCAGCGATGCGACAGAGGCACGGGCTCCAAGTACATTTTGGCATGCGGAGCATCCATAGGCAGTCGATCCGTTCGAGCTGGCCGAGAGTCCGCAATCGGGTTGCCATGGCGCCCATTCCCGGTTCTCTGTATTTGCATCATCCCACCTTGCCAGCGAGACCGGCTCTGTCGGGGCCGAGTTGCTCATCCTCATTCGGCGCAGATAGGCATCCTCGCCCGAGAGATCCATGTCCATCGGACGCGTGGCTGCTGATGTCGCCACAGGTGTCGGGACTGTGGGCATCGGCCGAGGGGGGATATCCCGCAGAGGCTCGGCTCGAGCTGAATACGGAAACGTTCTGTCGGGACCTGTGTTGATGACCGCCGATATTCAGCATGCGAGCGATGCAGCAAAGCAGGGCTGATCGAACGATGCGCCGAGGCAGCAGCGCCGAGGCAGCAGCGCCAGCCCGAATGGGAGTGCATCCGTGCACGACATACTCGGTGATCGGCGACTGTTCCTTCGCTGATCCTCCTGGAACTTTTTGAATTTCTCTTCCTCCTTCCGCTGCTTGAGTTGCTGCTTAAATGCGTCGTACTCGTTTGGCCGGCTCGGATCTGTGATGCGAGGAAAAGTTGCGTGGCAAATGCCGTTCATGAGCCCGTCGACTTCAGCAGATCACAAGGGTTGGAGTCACTGAGAGAGAGAGAGAGAAAGGGCAAGCCACTGCATTTTTTCATCTGCCAGATGAGCCCAGCGCACTCTGAGGCGGAGTGGATCGAGTACCGTATTCGTCGTCCAGGGACATTGGTGCAGGTCGCTTGCCCTGAGCTTTTTTCTGGGTTCCGTCGGTCAAGAGCGGCGGCGAGAGCAATAGAGGCGAGCGGGTGAGTCTCCATCGCGCCTGGATTGCATTCGAGGTCGTGCTGCTGATTCCAGGAGCCTTGATGGCTTCAGCAGCTGCCGATCATGGCAGCCACACAGACGAATACGATCGATACCTTGGAGTGCCAGTCGCCGACGACGGGTTTGGCCGCTGTTGTCGAGTTGGACAGCGGCTGCGATTTGGGCTCGCCGGCAAGCGACGCTGCTTGAGCAGCGGCCGAGATGGTGGGTCGAAAGACAGGGACCTTGGGCTTGGGAAGGCCGGCCTTTTTGTTGAGAGTTGGCTGCAGCGAACGATCGAGGGCGAGCCAGCCTGACGCAGCCGCCGGCATCCATAGAAGCATAACGGCGTTGGCACGGATTCGGGTGAGGTGCTCGAATATCAGCCCTGCTTCGCCTGCAGGACAATGCGCTGGGTGCAGCTGGGTGCGTTGTTTGATCTCGGACGGAGCTGATACCTGGCATTGCGCTCTTTTTCTTGTCGTCGGCTGCTGTCGACGAAGATGATGCAGACTTTGCGGGCGTGAAGGCATCGTAGAGCCCGGCGGACGAGCCCGACGAGGCCGAGGGGCCGCCGGTTGGCGGAGGCAGATCGCCATAGAGCGACATTGTGGGAGTGAGCGGGAGAGACGGTGCAGGGCGATGGACGATGGACGATGGACGATGGGTGGCAGGAGCGATGGGCGGTGGAAGCCGTGATGAGCGACCGCCATTTGTCCAAGCCTGGCGGCGCGGAGCCAGCAGCCCTCCTCCCCTCATCTCGACTGCCGTCGCCTTCTGCCTGGGTCCGCCTGCATCCCGGCCGCCCGCCTCGGCCCACAGCTGTCTTGGCTCCGACTGATCCAGCCTGCATTCCGTCTGGCTTCCCCGATTCACCGCCAGCCTCTGTCGTTGCCAACAGCCGACCGGCCACGCCAGCCACGAAAAGCCCAGCCTCCCTTCGCCATCAGCGCCCCACAACCCACAACCCACACCCCGCATTCATGATCATCCGAGTCGACCGAGACTACTCTGGCGGCGAAAGCACCATCAAGTTTGTCACAGACATGCCCGCCGCACTCAAGCCGCTTGGAGTCCCGCCGGAGGTGTACCACGGCACCATCAGGTCCATCAACGACATGCTGCAAGAGTCCGGAAGGGTCTCGGGGCATTCGGTGCTCGAGTGCTGCTTCTCGGTCTGGACCTGCTTTATGTTTGACTACTGCATCAAGACCCATTTCGACAAGGTGAGCATCGTATCTGCAGCAGGCGATGGCGGATGGGACGCAGAGACCTGCTCATGGCCGCTGCCGACAAAGGCTGTGCGAATCAGGCGACCCCTCTCGACAACAGAGCTGCCCGCCCTCAGCGCACATTGAAGGAGCAATCGCTATTTCTGAATCTGGGCATTGGGGGATTAGCGGAGTGACAACGACGGCTTTGGCTTTGCTGACTTTGACTTTGCTGACTTTGGATACTCGCTGGTTGCACATTGGCCTCAGACTCGCAAGCGGCTCACCGAGTTCCTCGAGAGAGAGAACAGCGAGAAATACAAAGCCTTCGGCATCAAGTTTGTGGTGCGTACGAGCGATATTGCTGGATGAGTGCGCTGAGACGAATTGCTGGGCAGCTGCCGCAACAAGCCGGCACGGTAGTTGCCTTGGCCGAGTCACCTCAGTGAAGTGCCGGGTCTGTGTATTCGGATGCTAACGCCTTACTCCCCCCCCCCGACAGGATCCCGAGAAGACGGCGTTTCTCGATGTAAGATTATCTATGAGCAAGAGACCGAGCACGGAATATGGGATCTCAGCCCGTTGCAGGGAATTGCTGCATCGCTGAGATAGTGCTGCTGCATCGTTGGGGAGGAGAGGGAGATTTCTCTGTTGACTCTCGCCCTCTCCGCGTCTAACCAGCCATTATTGATACTCTGTTTTGGGCATATAGTTGGTGATCATCGTCGAGTCGTAGTACCTGCCGCCTAAAAATGCTCGGATGGGGAGATCTCTGAAGCACCACTCCGAGCACACACGTTCGCTGCAACGTCGGCCGATCGGTTGGTCATTCCCTATGTACCGCCTGCCCATCTACTGCGTGCACTTGCGCTCGCTTGATTCCCCCCCCATCCCAAAACCACCGGCTGTCTGCCCCATCTCCTGAGCTCTGTTCTGCCCGTGTCTGATTCTCTGTCGACCCACGGATTTGCCCTGCCTGCATCCTCTGTCACATTCAGCTCGCCTTTTCCCCCTTTTGTCCGCTTCCGCCAATATACAGCGTACCCATTTTGAAAACGGACCACCCTGTTGTAGTTACTTTCTGGATCCCGTCCTGGTGGGATTCACTGCCGGGCTCCTTGAGCAACAGCATGCTGCAGTCGATGTGAAGGGATTTCACGGCCACGGCAGGCGGCATATGGCGTTAGGCAATGGAATTCGGTCGAATGGCTCCTGTTTTTGGAGTCTCCTTCGCATCTAACAGCGTTTCCAAAATGAAATGGGACACCCCCCGTTTTGAGCCATGACAGCGGTTTTTTCTGTGGCCTGAATACACCCACCCACTCATCGCATTCATGGCCAAGCACAGCACCCTCGATTTCCGCAGCTTGCGCAAGGTCGCCACCCTGCGATAGCTTCTTCGCAGCCGTCCCCTGGGTTCCAGTCATGCATGTTTTCCATGTCCAATCGACACGTGATTTGCGTTTTTTTCTCAGGCCAGCACAGACACGAGCGATCCGGCTTTCTCTTGCGGTTTCCAAGATCAGCCCGCGCATCGATCAGCAGCACCGACGACAGCCAACCAGCCAGCCCTTCCCGTTGCTGCTGTCCTGCCTGCCACCCATCCTCCCCTTGCACGCGAGCCCTGACACACTGCCTGAGCCATGTTTGGTCCCTTCAAGTCATCGCTGGTCTCTCTTGGAGGCCTCGTCTGGTAATCGTCAGACTCTATTCATCCATCTATCCACCCACCCATCCATCCATCCCTCTCTCGCACCTCTGGACTCGACACGGCACGATGGAATTCGGTGGAGATACGATCTTCAAGGTTGTTGGGGCCGTGGATGATGTGGGTCCGATAAAGCAGCCACACAGACAGGATGGACGCTGCGATTGTGGATGCACTGGACCAAGACATAGGATGCAATCGATTGGAACGCAAGGCAATATTATTGGTGCTGCCGACAAGAGGATGATGCAATCGCTGCAGGAGACTCGATCGACAACAAGCCAGACGAAGGCGACTCGGTTGGATCGGCGGCCGTAGCGACATTGATATGCCCGTTGGCATGCTGTGTTCAAGCGCCCCCTCAGTGATGGTCGTCTGTGGAAGTGGCTCTCCGCGACCGGCGCTTGCTCACCCATATCCTTCCGTACATCCATATATTTATATATATATCCGCCTCGGACTCTGCAGGAAGCGACGATTCCGTCTGACGGACACCCAAAAGTATCGCCAGCGTCTGCGCCTGCGTGCCGTCGATGATGTTGTTGACAAGATTATCGAGTCGGGAGTCCGGCTCCGAGCACTGGTAGGGTTGATCATTGAGCAGGCCTCGAGTGTCTGTGCACACCCGCAAGGGTGCATGTGCATCACGGCCGTTTGCTGCCCATTCTTTCGATGCTCCCGATCAAGGCACACGACGGATACGCTCATACGACTGACATACTCTCTTGGATGCTGCTGCTGCTGCTGCTGCTGCTTCTACTACTACTTCTGCTGCTGCTGCTGCTACTTCTGCTGCTGCAGGATCAAGCCCGTTTGATTCCGCGAGAGTCGGAGCTGACCCCGCAGGAAAAGTACTGGATCTTCTCGAAGCGGTTCCGCGGCGGCCTGAAGCCTGCCCACTGGGTTCCCAAGTGGACCAAGGTGCCCCACGGACGCAAATGGACCAGCGACGTCCTCCACCAGCCCGAGAGCAATCAAAAGTAATAAACCTGCAGGACATGTCTCACCCACATCCAGCGGGCGAGGAGCAGACTCTCACTTGGCCAAGCTATTGTGGTGATCGCGCATCGATTTTATTCGAAACAGCAGCACAAATCAGCGGCACAAATCAGCAGCACAGATCAGCGGCGGCGGTGGTCGTCTCGGGCTCTTCAGGGCGATCGCTGCTGTTGATGGCGATGAGAACAATCTCCTTGACCTTTTGGGCAACCAGGAAGGTCCCGACGGCCAGGCCGGCGACGACAGAGAAGAAGAGGGCCACGTTGTAGGTCATGGTGATGAGCATGAGGATGTAGGCAATCGTGGCGGTGACGAAGCGATAGACGGCCCGGATGAACGACACATGCACACGCCGCCGGTTCGAGAGGGGCGATGGAGTCTTGAACAGGCCCCAGATGGTCTTGAGACCACCCGAGGTGCCCGGGGCCATGGGCGTATAGGCCGTATCGGCAGCCGAGTGCGCCGTTGAAGTGGCCTCGGCGTTGTTGGCTCTCGATGCCGAAGCCTTGGCGCTGACCTTCCTGGCGATTCGCATCTGCTCGGTCCACTGAGCCTCGAGGATCTGGTGGTAGCCCTGCAGGAACTCGAACAAGACGCCGAGGAGGAAGCCAAAGAACCAGTAGCCGACAAACTGGGCGGTGGTGCGGGGCACCCAGGACTCGAAGAGGACATAGTCGAGCAGGCCGGTGTGGAAATACATCTTCATGACCGGGGCGCTGGTCTGTGGAGAAGCGGGACAGTAGGGCGAGGCGCTCAGGGGCGAAGAGTCAGCGCAGTAGGCGGCATAGGTCGAGCATTGGGCCATGTTGGGCATGGCTTGGCCTGGAAACGGCGCATTGATTCGAGTAGCATGTGCGAAGAGAGACAATCACGGCAAACAAAGAGAGACGGTGTCAGAACGGAGAGGCCTCGCAGAAAACGCTCACACGCAGCAGGCGGACGATAGCTCATGCTTGATCGGGTTGATCAAGACTGGAAGCTGGAAGGGGAAGGGGAAGGGGAAGATGGGCGGAACAGGCAGCAGTGCGGGGACCGCTGAGGTCGCAGAGACGAGCTGCTGAAGGAGCCACAGCGGCGATCGGTCAACGTACAGAGCATCGAGTAGACGCTGAGCATGTCGCAGTCGTCGTAGACAGGCTTGGTGGCCGGATTCTGAAGCTTCGGGCATTTTTCGCAGCCGTCCATGGTCATCTGGGTGCAGATGGACTGGATCTGGGTGGCCAGGGTCTTGGAGGTGGGGATGCCAGGCAGCTGGGCACAGTTGCCGGTCTGCGAGGGGCAAATGGAGCTGTATCCCGAGCACGAGGTCATGCCGCTCATGCCATCGACAACGCAAATGTCGGTGAGGAGGGATTGGGGTGTGCAGTACGGCGACGGGATGGTGGCTGACGCCGACTGGCAGGTGGACCGCAGAGAGCAGCCGGGCATGCCGGGCATTTGGGTGCATAGGTCCTGGAGGGCGGCGGTCACATTGGAGTTGGAGTTGGTGGTTTGCTGGTGGGTGAGGATGAAGAGCGAGGCCAGGACGATGGCGAGAAGGAAGATGCGGCGGAGCATGGTTGAGAGACGCACGGGCATATAGCGACGGAGGACAGCGAGGGGCGATGGGCCCAAGGGCAGCGACAAGCGTGGAAGCGCCAGCGGGGGCAGCAGAGGGATGGGATGGTGGGATGGGACAGATGGGACGGATGGATGGGAGTTGAAGTATTCCTTGGCGCAACGGCGAAACGGCGAAACAGCGAAACGACAAACGACGACGGCCACGTGTTTGCCGTTGTGCTGTGGTGCCGCTGTGCTGTGGTGCCGCTGTGGACAGTGGCGGATCTGTGTGTCGAGACGCGCGCCGCGGTCGCTCCTCCGTGACACCCCGTGCGACACCATCCCGCGGTGGCGCATGTCACAAGACTCGCCGCAGCGCTGTCTCTGTGCCTGGCGCCGCCAACGCGTCTGCAGCCACGGTACAGACACTGCACACTCTCTGCACAGTCCCACACACACTGCACACACTGCACACACTGCACACACTGCACACACTGCACACACGCTGCACAGCCGCCCCCACGCGCCCGCCGGTCCGCAGCACAAATAGCGCGCCCGTGTTGCCCATTGCCCCCACAAGGCCCACGCTCTCCCTCCAACTTTTTTCCTCCCGGGTTCTTCTTCCGCACCCGCACGCCTTCCATCCTTCGTTGTCCGCGCTCCGTCTTGCCTCTCTTGCCTCGATCTTCCTTCGTCCATCCTCCGTCGTCGCTTTCCCCCATCGCTCCTTCCTCCATCTCCCATCCCCGTCGCTCTCCCGTCGCCATGGCCAAGTTCTCGTTTGCCGCCCTTGCCCTTGTTGCCCTCTCGGCCCTCTCGGCCAGCGCCCAGAGCTATCCTGCCTCGCAGGCCTCGACCGACCTCACCAGCCTGTGCTCCTCCCTCTCGTACCTCCCCGTCTGCTCCATCCAAAAGCTGACCTGCACCACCATGAGCTCCACCTACCCCAGCCAGTGCAACCCCATCGCTCTCATGCACACCGGCTGCGCCGATCCCGCTGCCTCGTCCAATGCCGCCTGCTCCACCATCAACAAGCTCTGCACCTCGACCCCCACCGCGACCGAGTGCTCGGCCAACATCACTGGTCTGCCCACCGCCAAGGCCGTCTCTATGAATGACTACTCCATTTGCTACCAGATGCCCATGATGAATTCCTGCACCATCTGCCCCGGCTCCCCCTCCAACACCACACTCATCTACCAGTCGTGCGACCCCCTCAACGCCTACGGCCAGCTCTGCCTCGAGATGCCCGGTATGAGCCAGGTAAGACCATCCAGCGTGATATGTTCAATCTCTTGCCCCTCCGTGTGTTGTCTGCTGCACTCTGTCTGCACTCTCTGTCTGCTCCACTCTCTGTCTGCTCCCCCATGGCACACCCACCGGCTCGTCCATGTCTGTACGCACTGATCCCGTCTTGCGCAGAGTCCGTCTTTCTGTCCGAGGCACAAACCCCTCATCCTGGCACTCATGATCTCTTTCCTATCTTTTCGGTACTCGGCTCATGGCCCATGTCCCTGCCGCCTCCCGGTTGCGTTCCGCTCTTCTCCCGGCGGCGTGTCGCATTTGCGTCTTTTGTGCTGGTCCGCCCGACCCAGTGCGCCAACTGGCAGACTTTCTGCAGCGCCAACTCCAAGATCGCTCCCTACTGCTCGGCTGCTGCTGCCGCCGCCTCGCCCTCCTCCTCTCCCTCGCCCAGTGCCAAGAGCGATGCCTCGTTCAACGGCGTGGGCGTCATCCCCGCCGCTGCCGTTGCTATCATGGTGGCTGCCCTCGGCTTTTAAATCACTGCTGTGGCTCGCTGCTTGTCTGCAGTGCACTCCCCTTTTTTTATTTGTATGAGCACGCAGGCTTCTCGCTGGTTCGGGTGGAAGGCACGGCGATCCCGCTCGATCTTGACTGGGATTGCATTCCTCTGTAAAAACGTCACGCTTCGCCCCTGTCTTTCCTCATTCAGTTTACCCCTCCCCTTCAAACAATATAAGCATCTTTCGTCAAAGACAACGACGCTCTCCACGGCCTGTGCATATGCATCAAACCCGGGTGCCTCTGGGCCAGGGGGCTGTCTGCATGCCGCCTGCTCCTCTCGCTGCCTGCCGGCCTGGGGGCCAGATCCCGCCCGCCGATCCGCAGCCACACGGCGGCGAGAGGCACCCGGCGCGAGAGCAGGCCGAGACGCGCCTCGCCTCTCGCCACGTGAGCGCCGCCAGCCACATGCTTGCACATGTGAATCCTGACGGACTTTCCTCCAGGACAAACCCACCACCACCACGAACACCACGAACACCACGAGCATCCGCCCTCTCCCATCTCCCATCTCCCATCTCGCCGCCATCCAACCCGATCCTGCCTCCAATGACCCGTCTGACCAAGCCCGTGTACATTGGTAACATACCCATCCGCTCTCAGCTGCATCGTCTGTATGATACCACCCAGATCATCGCAGCAGCGCCTGCTCGCATCGTGATGAAACTCATGGCCGTCCCGTCGTCGAGCTGACCGATATTCCCACACACGCCCTCTCCGGATATGCGCGAACCAATGCCCAGTTGCTGCCAAGAGAACAGTGAGTTTCAATCACTCGCTTGTCCAGACCGATTCTGCCTCGAGTCACAATCCAGGCAATTCGCGATCCTCTGCGCGTCTCCGTTTCTCATAATGTCGGTCGTCGCTCCCTGACATGGCCCTGCAATCTGCTTCTCCGACAATACAGCCCTTTGGTGCCTTTGGCGGAAAGCTCGCCCATCTGACGGCCACTGAGCTGGGAGGAATCGCCTCTACTGCGGCCCTCAAGCAGCTGCCCGAGGGCGTCCCGATCGACTCAGTCATCTATGGAAACGTCTGCCAAACCTCTCTAGGTACGGTTTCTTGTTGAGCCTCTCGCCAAATTGCTCGCACGTCTGCCTGTTCCGCCGTGTCCGCGTGTTCGACTGTTCTCTCTCGCATAATCCGGCCTCCCGGCCGCGCTATCATGCAACTGTTCGAGGCAATGCCATGCCAGATCCGCGCGTTGCTGGCACGATAAGACTCAAGTCTGGCCATTCTTCGTCGAGCATTCCCGTTGGTACTTGAGCTGACCCGCACGAGCATATCCGACCTATTCCACAGACGGTGCCTATCTTTCCCGCCACGTTGGCCATCGTGCCGGGCTCTCGATCCAGACCCCAGCCCTGACGGTGAACCGCCTCTGTGGCTCCGGGTTCCAGTCGATCATCAATGGCGCTCAGGAGATTCTGCTGGGAGAAGCCAACGTTGTGTTGACGGGCGGCACCGAGAACATGAGCCAAGCTCCCTATGTTCTGCGAAATGCCCGCAACGGAACCCGATATGGTGTTGAGTACGTGTTCGGCCTGTTCAGCATTGGTTTCCATGTTCAACCTGCTCGGCATTGGTCTCCATGTTCGGCATGACCTCCTCAAAGGACCCGCAAAGTATCGGACATTTCCCGTCTGGTGCTGTTTCCTGACTCGCTGTCGCTTTGCCGTCCTATCGGCCCGCCACATTCTCGCACCACTGGGGAATACCATCGCCAACATCGTACTTCGCTGACAACCGCCCAGTCTCAAGATGGAGGACTCTCTGGCGCATGCCCTCGTCGACTCGTATCCCACCAAAGTGCCCATGATGGTCACAGCCGAGAACCTGGCCAAACAGTACCACATCACCCGCAAGGATGCAGACGAGTACAGCTTGCTGACCCAGCAGCGGTGGGCCGCAGGTGCGTCTTTCCTTCGCTTGATGTTCTACAGCTCGAACGGCCACGCCCGATGCACACATATCCTCAGAGGATACTCATGTTCACACGACTGTGGGCTCTTCTGCCACACCACCCGCCGATTCCATCACCATCTCTAGCTCAAGCTGCCGATCGATTTGGCGAAGAGATTGTCAAGATTCAGGTCCCAGGCAAGAAGAGAGGAACCTTTGAAGAGTTTGCCGTGGATGAGCACGCCCGGCCCAACACCACCATCGAGAGCCTCGCTAAGCTGAAGGCCGTCACCACTGACACCGATGTGGTAACTGCTGGGTACGTTTGCGCTGTGCTGGAACAGAATCCGGTGCCTTCCAGTCGCATCTGGCCACTAGTGACTTGATTCACGCGACTTGATATTCCGATCGGACATCTTTTCTGCGTCGGCGAGTGACGGGCGGTGCGTGCAATCACTGCTGACACGGCTCTCCCTGTGCTTGCTCGCGTGGCTCCAAAACAGCAATGCCTCGGGTATCTCGGATGGCGCTGCAAGCTTGGTTGTTGCCAGCGAGGAGGCTGTCAAGAACTACAACCTCAAACCCCTCGCTCGCATCCTGGGATGGCAATACGTCGGTGTTGATCCCACCGTCATGGGCATCGGCCCGGTTCCTGCCATTCGGGGTGCACTCAAGAGGACCGGCCTGGGTCTCAAGGACATGTCTCTGATCGAAGTCAACGAGGCCTTTGCCGTCCAGTACCTTGCCGTCGAGAAGGAGCTGGGTCTCGACCGAACGATCACCAACACCAACGGTGGAGCCATTGCTCTCGGTAAGCAGCGGATTCCGAACAGGGGCGCTGACTGACTTTGATGGTGTCTCAGCCAGTCTGTTTGCTGGGACTGAGGTTCCACTCAGGTTGAGGGGGTACGCTGCCGATCGACTGTCCCTGGTTGGCGGGCTGAACGCTGGGCTGACTTGCTTGATGCGCCTCCGTATCCACAGGTCATCCCCTCGGTGCCAGTGGCGCCCGTATCATGACCCATCTCAGCTACGAGCTTGCTCGGGTCCAGGGCAAGTACGCCGTGGGCGCGGCCTGTATCGGCGGCGGACAGGTGAGTGCAGCGCAATGCAGCCCTCGTTGCGGTTTGTTCTGCAGAATGGGAAGCCAGTCTCACCAGGTCGTATTCTGTCCCTGTTCTGCCCCTGTACTGCCCCTGTTCTGTTCCTATTCTGCCCGTCCTGCTTCAGGGTATCGCCATCGTTATCGAGCGAGCTTAACTCTGTCCTATCTGCGCACGGGGACTGTCGTAACACTGCCTCGGTGCCTGTCACTCATGGTGCATGGGCATCGCTCATCACCGGTGATTGCGATCCACCATCGGATGGCACTGCTTTCCAAATACAACTTTGCATTACCACCAGCATCTCTGTGAATTGTATTCGACCAGCACTGGTGCAAAGTGCTGGAGATATATCGCATGGAGCTGACAGATGCCTGCACTTGTGACTTGACCAACTAGATCCAGCACCCAACCTCACCACCCCAGCACCCCCCCCGGGCTGCAAGGGGCAAGATCGTATATTGCGTTGATGACGAGCGGGCTATGCTCATGAAACTTGTGGCCAAAAGTCGGCCAGCTCCCGAATCGCCCAAGCCCAATCCACCGATGGGAGTGATGGCTGTAAGCGCATGCTGCAATGTGGGATACCGAATCGTCCAGCGCAGCACAGCCATGCGGGTATCCGTGTCCGTGCGGGATCATCCCATTCAACACACCGCAGCTGCTGCGGCACTACTCGCTTCGCTTCAGCTTCTTCTTTGGCGTTGTTGCAATCGGGATGTCACTCGAGTCGCTGTCGAGCTCTTCCGCAATCCGTCGGATTTTTGGATCCTTGGCGACCGATGTCGTCGGTGCTGCCGTCAAAGCTTCCAGCCGCTGTTTGGCCGGCTCGAAATCCTGCGCTGCACTGGAGCGATACCACCGAAGCGCCTCCTTGCGACTCTGGGCGATGCCGATGCCCAGTTCGAGACAGGCACCGAGGTTGAACTGACCCGTGCGACTGCCGTGTTCGGCGCTGCGGCGATACCACTTCAGGGCATTGGCTTGGTTCTTGTCGACTCCGATTCCAAATTCATAGCAGTGCCCCAGCCGACATTCACCATCGGCGTACTTGCCCTTGGCGCTGCGCCGGAGCCACTCAAAGGCAATCGTGTCGTCGGTGTTGACTCCGTGGCCGGAGCGGTAGCAGTCCGCGACGTTGTAGGCTGCCTCGGCGTTCCCGTTGTGGGCACTCTTGCCGTACCAGTGGACGGCCCGCTTGGGCTCGGGCTCGGTGCCGACGCCCTTGTCGAAACAGTAGCCCAGGGCCAGCTGGGCTTCGTCATGGTTGAGCTTGGCGCCCTCGTAGTAGGCCTGCTTGGCTGCCTCGAGGTTGACCTTGCATCCGATCCCGAGCTCGTAGCACTGTCCGAGGTAGTATTGTGAGCCAGGGAGCTTGCCGCGGGCACCCTTTTTGAAGCATTCAAAAGCCTCGCGCTCCTGCTTCTCGACGCCGGTGCCGTTGAGGTAGCAGAGCCCGAGATACTCCTGGCCCAGCGGGTTGCCCAGCTCAGCGCTCTGGCGGTAGTATCGAACGGCCATTTTGAGGTCGGGCGGGCCCATGCGGCCTGTCTGGGCGATGACACCGAGCTCGCAGCAGGCATCCGAGTTGCCCTTGTGGGCACACTTTTCGTAAAGCTTCAGGGCCTGCTCTCGGTTCTGTGGGACGCCATAGCCGCTCTCGAGATACCGGGCGACGACCAGGAGGGCGTCGATGTCGCCGAGGTTGCTGCATTGCTTGAACCATTGGTACGCCTCCTTGGGGTTTGGCTCGACCCCGAGGCCGTCCTGGTAGCATCGCCCCAGCTCGTACATGGCGCTGCGATGGCCCAGCTTGGCTGCCTGCGAGTACATCTCAAAGGCCTGCTTCTCGTCTTTGGGGGACTGCGCGGTCTCTTCGTAGTAGATGGCGATTTGATAGAGAGATTCGGGATCGGACCGCTGGGCAGCACGTTTGTGAGCCGCAAGGAGGGCCTCCCGGGTCTGGTTGAGGGAGGGAAAGGAGACGAGCCACCGACGTCAATGCGATCGAGGGGCGTCGTAATTGGGGACAGGCATCACCATTTGTCGATGCGTTTGTCGATGCGGATGCCGCAATCGCAGGCGCGCAGGGGGAAGGAGACACAGGAGCATCAGTTCTGTCCCTTTGGCTTGGGGAGATATACTTCTCTATCGGCTATGGACCATAGCCGTCAGCAAACAGCGCAACAGAGCAAAGAAGGGTCGAGTCCGTGACTCTTGCAAGCCTGCAATTCGAGGCAGGCTCACCTCCTTGTTGTTGTCGGCATTGGCCGGCTTGCGCTTCTCGGCCTTGAAGCTCATGACAACGGGTGGTGGGCGGCTGATGCAATCGTCGCCAGCGAATGCGTTGGGTGCGTTGGATGCGTTGGATGCGTTGGTGAGATCGCGGCAGAGGGGAAAGAAAGCGCGACTCTGGGGTGTGCTGCCGCATCATCAGCCCAGCGGCTGCCTCTCAACTATTGGGAAGCTCGGCCCCAAAACGCATCTGACCAAGACACATGAGGACGCAGGGCTGGCACTCTCGCTGGACTGTCGTGGTAGTGGTATCGCTGTATTGTTCCGTGGCATAGACGAAGGCGTCGCCAACCAAAGCCCCGACGATTGATGATGGTGAGGAAACCCGCCAGCGCTCGCTCCAACATTCAGGACAGCGCTTCGAGCGCCGTTCCAGCATTCACAGCTGGAATCCCTTCTGCCCCGGCTGGATGGCGATCAGCTCCAAATCGTCGACTCCCGGAGCGTATTCGCAGCTTCGGGTGCCCCAGTTGAAGGCATAATCTGTCACGTTCAGAGCCAAAGCAGAACGAGCCCAGCGGTATGTGAGTTGGCTGGACGCAAATGCACCGTGAGATCGACGCTGGCAGGCAAAATGCATCTGCGACTTACCTTGATTGCACTCGCAGCGACCCAGCGAGCATATCCAGAGAGCTGCAAGAGGGGCACATCCCGTCAAGGCATACAAGCCGAGGAGAAGGAGCAAGACCGACGCCGCGATCAATTGATGAACAACGAGACCTCAGAGTGGACTGCCAGGAACGCCTGGAGTGCGCGGGCACCCTGGACAGACCGTGGCCATCTCGACCGCCAGAGACTCACCATTCTCTTTGCATTCGTACGTCTGGCTGGTTTCGTTTGGCGCACATTGAACCCAGCCAGAGTCGCTTCCGCTCGTTGTCCAATCTGGAATGACATCGCGGGCGACTTTGGTGCCGCTGCTCGGAGAGAGGATGGCGAGGACGCTCAGTGCGACGAATCCGACGCTCCGTTCCGGCCGCATGATGTTGGTTGCGATGTTGGTTGCGATGTTGGTTGCGATGTTGGTTGCGATGTTGGTTGCGATGTTGGTTGTGGTGTCGATTTGGCTGACTGCCTGGCCAGCCACAATGCAGCTGGCCATCCACCATGACTCACGTGACTTCGCCTGGCTCGAGTGCGGATGCAGCCAGTTCGTGTGGCGCAGCGCCTATATCGGGGGCTGTGGCGCAACGCGGGGTGACACAGGCAGCCCCTTGTGTCGCGTCCCTTGTCTGCGCAGCCATTGTGGCACAGGGCGGTGGCGGTTCGCTCACGGCCTTGTGGCTGGATCCCACCCGAGCCGCCGATCGGGGCCTGCCCTGCGATTGGGCAGATCGCCAGCCCGGCACACGGCACGCGTCGCACGGACAGTCTCTGTGCGGCGGACAAAGCGCAAAGCACTCGGCGCTGCACCCGCGGCTTGTTCCTGTGACTCAAAGCGCGTCCGCGTCCCCTTGCTCGGCGCTCCATACAGCGCGCGGCTGTCGCGGGCCATAACGCGCGGCCCAATCGCCAACCGGCCCCGGCCCACGCCCCGCCCCCCTTGACCGCCTTGCTCGGCCTTGCTCGGCCCCATTTGCGACATCCAGCCGCGGTCTGTCCCACCAACGCTGCACCAACGCTGCACCAACTCAACCTGAATCCAAACTCCAGCCCGTCTCCGAAATCCGTCCCATAACCCATCTTGCCGGCCCGTCGCTCGGTTTGCCTTCTTCTCCGTCGTCCTCCCACCGCCGTGGTCCTGCTCGTTCTCCCGCATCCCGACATGGTCTCGTCTCACCCCGCCGTCTGGACACTGGCATCGCTGCTCTCCGTCGCGGCCTCGGCGAATGCCCAGTGGGTCTCTGGCCAGGCCACGCACTACGGCCCTTTCCCGCAGTATCCTGCCTGGTCCGAGCCTGGCTTCCAGCCCGGCGCCGTTGGTGTCGGGTGCGCCAGCTCCAGCGACGATCCCCACTGGAATGCCATCCTGAGCGACGGCGTCCGGGCCAACCCCAACTTGCCCGCCAACAAGAACACGGTCTGGCCGGTCGACTACGTCGTTGCTGTCTCCGAGGCCGTCTACGGCGGTGCCAAGAAGAGCCAGTATTGCTTCCAGAAGATCACCGTCCGCAACAGCAACGACCACAGCAAGCAGATCTCCGCCACGATTGTTGACTTTTGTCCTGCCGGGAGCTGTCTGTGGCAAGGCAATGCCCTCGCCCACAACATCGATGTCTATGGTGGCGCTGCCTGGCAAGCTCTCGGCGGCGCTCCCCTTGATGGCTCCATCAACGTCGACATCATCTGGCCCGGAGGTAACGTTGCGATGCGCTTCGGCGACCTGCTGCCATCCGTGTGTGTGATTTCAGGGACACTGCGGAACTTTTGAAGCCGGCAATCATGGACGGACGGAATCTAGCACTACGAAGCGACACCGCTCGGCGTCATGGCGTCCCGTCTTGCTGTCGTTTGCTCGTTGCCGATCCAGTGCAGTCCTTGAGCCTGCGTCCTCCATGGCCGCTGTCGGCTGTATCCCGCGGACTGCTCAACCAAGACTCTGTCTCCTCGCATCCAGGCGACCAGCCGGCTCCTCCTCCTCCTCCCCCAGTCTCCACGCCCACCTCGACCCCGGAACCCGCCCCGCAACCCCCGGTCAACAGGCCATCGAGCGCCCACACCGTTGCCTCCCATCCCGCTCAAGCCTCGACCACCCAGCGCCCACTGCCAGCTTCGTCCTCGACAACCACAACCACAACCACAACAACGAAAACCACCACGTCGCCGCTGTCGGTCTCAGCCAATGTCGCCGGCGCTTCTGTCTACGCCACACCCTCCACCACCGACCCCGCTCCTGTTCCAACGGCATCTGCGACATCCACTCCGGACGCTAACTGGAAGCAGTGCTCCACTGGCCAGACCAGCCAGACCTACGACTGCAAGCCCAACAGTGAGTATCGCTGCGACAGTGACTCGGACGCTGTCGAATAGCCTCGAGCCAGTCGACCGGCGCATTCTTTCCGAGCAGCTCATGTGGAACCTCGATCGTGTCGGCCCAGCCTGACAGCTCACGACTCTACCGTTTGAGAGCCTACTCGAGGCATCTGTGCCGTTCAGAATACCCTAACCACTGCCTCCTGGGGCAATGTCTCCCGTTGCTCAACCACCAGGCTCCTGGATCTGCGTTCTTGGCCGCTGCGAGTGTACCAAGGGTGAGTACGCTTGGCTCTTTGCCCCTGCAGTTGAGCCGATCTGCAATCTGTCCTGGCTGAGCGATACAGAGTCGCCGAATCTCGACCGCCGGCGTCGCCAACCAAGTTGCAGCGATCTCACCGCGCTGTCTTGTCCAATGCACAGGCTACAAGTTCAATACAGAAACGGGCGAGTGTGTGTCGGCCCCTGGAGTTGATTGTCTGCGCCGGTATCAAGTCCTCGCCGGCCAACGAGGCGGCAACCTCCCCTGTTAAGGAGACCGCCCGCTGCTGCCATGTCCCTGTTCTTCTCACTCGCCCTGTGAACCTGGAACCGCCTCTGCTCGTGCTCATCGCACAAGCCACTCTTGCCGCACATTCTCTCCCGCCAAGCGCATCGCTCTTGGACCTTGCTCCTAATACCTCGGACAACCTTGCCCGTTTGCGGCTGTGCTCAGCCACCGGTTCCCGCGGGGTGTGGCTGCAATCCTCCCCCTCCCCACGACGGACTGAGCACTCTTGATGTTTCCCCTTTCTTCCCACAAATGCATCTCTCCGTGTTTTCCTCATGGTTTCTTACAGCCCCCCCCCGGCGGCAATCAATTATTGTTTTCTCCTTCCCTTGTGCCCACTGAGCCCCCTCTTCGGATGGAAATCGGTGGCTGCCATCTCATTGCTCTCCCAAAGTTCAAGACGCAAATCAAGTCCCAGTGTGTGTGGGTAGACCGGCTCTATCGCCAACAAAAAGACAAATACAAAGCTGCTGTCGATCGAAATCGAAGTGCGCCGTTGATCTGGCCGATGCATCCGTGTCGATCGCCCAAATGCGTTGGCAAAGGGCAATCACTGGGTGGTTGACCATACACTTGGCGATTGGATAGACACGCCTGACACATTGACGGGCCGACGACGGACCAACCGACGGACTGACCGACGAATGCTCGGTCAATGGCGAAAGGCAAAGGCGCCGCCTCGCACGAGCATGAGCAAGCATGATCTCCATCGGGCTTGAGCGTGGACGCGGGGGTGGCATGGGCAGCCGAGCACGCACCAGCCCCATGAACTCGAGCCACTCGGCGTGCTGACTGTGTCCATTCGATGGTGCTGTGTTTGGCTGCTCGTGCGGATCAACCCAACGGAGCAGACCGGGACCACGGCGGCGGCCGGCAGATGGAGACCAGAGAGGCACCTGGTGAGAGGGTGGGTGCAGCGGACAAAGAAGGTTCGCAAGCGAGGTCGATGCGGCTCTGAAGATCATGCTGGCTGGCGGTGATCACCGGTCCCATTTGCATTCTGGTCAGCAGCAGCCATAACAGCAGCCACAGCACCAGCGATGATAATGGTAATGCATGTACGCATGCAGAAAAGAGCGCCGAGCTTGCCATTGCTGCCAAGTGACATCTGCGTGCGATGGATGCCGTCTGCATGGCCTGGATGGTTCTTGGCCCCACGAATCGGACCGGTGCAGGACCAGTGCAGGCCGGTGCAGGGCCAGCAAGTAGCATATTCCACACGGAGGCGGCGGACATGTCTCCTGGGTCGCTTGATCCATCCGGCCGTTTCTTCCTCCGTCGTTGCCATGATCCAGATCGGCGCGGTTGGCTCCACCTCGGCAGATTTCTGTAACGACTGTGGGGCCAGCCCCTGAAACACCGATATGGCTCGGCACCGCCTTGCTCCAACCACGAGCACGGATCATGGACATGCATGGTCGATGGCGCCGCATCAACAACCGACGCAGCCCGGCCGCCACAACCCGAGACGCACAGCAACAATGCTCCTGCAGAACGAGCGAACAGAACAGGCCATCTCGCTTGCTGGGCGAGCATCCCATTCGGCGCTGTGTTGGGCGAGACTGTCTTTCCTTTTCGCTCTTCCCTTTCCCTCTCGGCCCGAGCAAGGGGGCGTCGTCCATCACAGCGCTGCTCTTTCTTTTGACCGCGTCGCCGATGGGGGCGGAGCAAAAGGCAAGAGAAACATGGGCTTGCCGGCACATGATGGCCACACTGCGTTCCCATGCGGGTACTCTTTGCGGCCGGCCTTGGACTCGCTGATCTCGGTGACCGACCATGCCGTCCTGCCAAACTGGCTGCTCCACAGCCCAAGAGCAACGGCTCCAGTGGGGCGGCCTGGGTGCGGCCGCCGCCCGGCCCAGCGCCTCCTCGGCCTGATCGCCGAGAGTGCTCTTTTGGCCTGCACTTGACCCTGAATTGCCTCGGCCTATTCAGTTACCTCCTTCCCCTCCCCACGGCGCCGCTCGTTCCACTCCTGCTTTCCAAGAACCCAGTGCCTTGCCATCCGCTGTATCGCTGTCACCGGTCGCTGCTCGCGCTCTTAAAGCCCAGGAGCACCCTCCTCTGGCCCGGCCTCCGACCTCTTCCCCTTTGCCCTGCCGTGCACTCGTGCCCATGCCAGACTCGCTCTCTATCTGCCCTGCCGAGTCGATGGAGCCCGATCTTCTTCTTCTCTCCAAATCTAACCCGCGCCCGCGAGGCTCCCTGTCGATCATCATCCCGCAGCCGCCCCAGGTCTCCGCCCTTGGCAGCTTTCCCTCTGGTGCGGCCACGGCGTCATCGTCGTCGCAGCGACTCAGTTTGAGCCCAAGCCCTGGATCGAGAACGCAGAGCTCGGCTTCAGGTACATTCCGGTGCAAAAACTGTCGACTGTGCCTGGTGCAAAAAGTGTCGACTGACCGGGCGTAACATTGTCTTGCGATTGTCCAGGGCCGCGCGGATCGCCGGCGTCGTCTCGAGAACTCGCTGCCGAGGTAATCGCCAGCCTTTCTTTGCTGCAGTCCGGGGGTTCAATCTGTGCAGCACCACACCCGTTCGACATTCCCAGCTTCTTCCCATCTTGCTTGGTGCTCGTCCTTGCCGTCGTCCCCCACCCCCACCTGGCTCCATCTTAGTACGCTGATGACCTGCGCTCCCGAGCACCACTAATTTTGCCATAGTGCTGGCGGCGATACCGCCCGACCACTGACCCCCGTTTTGCCATCCTCCTCGGCGCCTCCATGCCCAGGCTGCCTTCCACTTACAGACCGGCATCCAGCTCGGTGATCTTGTGCTGCTCGAAAACAACCCTCCATTCGACGACAGCACCCAGGGCACCATGCAGCCCGGTCTAGTCTCGATGCCCCTCGCGCTCCCAGACCCTGCTGCCTCCAATCTACTCCAGGGCCCATGGACAGCGTCCTTTCCTTCATCCAACTACGATTTTACGCCCTCATCATTGTCAAGCCAGCTCTCATTGTCGCTGGCACCGCCAACCAGTCGTCCGTCCGAGCCGCATACCAGAGAACTGTTCGGTGGTCCCCCAGCCACTCCACAAACCTTCCATGGCTCTGGACTGTTATCCGACGACGACCATAGCGACCGCTTCTTGAGAGACCTGGTCGCCCAAAAGCCCACAGAACCACCAACCATGTCACCCGAGATGGTGCTGCCCTCATCCTTGAACTATGCCGTCCTGAAAATCAGCAACATTCCGTGGGATCTGACCCTCAACGACCTTACCAATCTATTTTCGCCAGTGATGGTCCGTTGTGGGTCTGTCCGGGCAATTTGCCGGGTCATGTGAAATTGTCGAAACGGGTGCAGGATCCAGGGGAGGAGCGGATGTCGAATGGGCACCCTGGGAACTGCTGCATTGTACTGGGAGCTGCTGCGTTGTCCTGGAAACTGCGGCATTGGGAAGTGCTGCCCTGTGTCTCATTGCATATCGCACCACATTTCATCATCCCCATATCACACACCATATCACCATATCACCACACCACACCACACCACACCACACCACACCACACCACACCACACCACACCACACCATATCACACCATATCACCATATCACATCGTACCCTGCCACAGATCCCTGTCGGGCATCATCCACCAACCTACACCCACTGCATCCACATCCTGATGAACCGGGTCACTGGAAAAACACTCTCGGACGCATTTGTCGAGTTCCCCTCTATCGCTGAGGCTCAAGCTGCGATGGAGCTGCACCGCGGCCAGCGCATCGTCGTCAAGGGCCGGTGTCTCGCCCTTCAGCCCAGCTGCCAGGAAGAGTTACTCACCACGCTCTTCCCGACTCGATACGGCATCCCTCTAAGCGCCCGCGCCTCGGTTTATACACCGACGCATGGCGAATCTCCAGAGTAAGCACATCCTGAGGACTGACCGATTGCACTCCCTCGAGCTCGATGCTTCATGGCAGTCGCGTTATTGCTTCATGACAAGGCAGCATGCAGCGTTCAAATCGCACTTGGCCGGGACGGCGTGCTCACCGCTTACAACATCAATTCAGCATCGCGCCGCGCCCGTTCCTGCATCGGGACGAAATCAACGGCATACTGCTGATATGCAGAAATCTCAAGGTAGTTGCATCACTGTCGTCTGCCCTTGTTTGTACTGCACTTGGTCGCTGCGTTGCCGATTGCGAGGATCGACACCAGAATCGCGTCGGCTCCAGCATGGATTCTAACCCCGAATCATGCCGCTCAATGGCTCGATGATCACTCACTTGTTTGCTTCGGACATGCCAATCTACCAGGTTCATTTTGCCCGTCGGTGCAGCGAGCGGCCGTTCGAGAACATCATATCAATCCTTGCAAAGCTGCCCTGGAACGACCCCGAGAGCATCACTGTGATGCAGAGGGACCATATCTTTGAGATGCTCAAATGTAGTGTCGACCAGTGTCCTTCACTATGTGTGCTTGAGACATCGCAGAGTCTGCTGCCGCTCCTGGTCTGATTTGGGCCACACCGCTCGGCCCACGCTCGGCCTACTCCTGACTCATCGACGCTTAGGGGCGCCTGTCGAGGAGCTTGGCAGCATACCCGGCTCACCACTGACATCATACTGCTCCGGTTCTGCCTGTTGCTTGCTTACTCAGTGGCCATGGAGTCTCTCGTCGGATACATTCAAAAGGAAAAGAACCCCAGCCTCAGTGTGTCGCTCAGCACCAGGCTTCTCCGAGCGGGGTTGTGCGTGCCGCTCTTTACGGAGCGACAAAAGTCCGCTCTGTTACATGTCTCGGTAAGCACGCTTCGCTGACTACGGCGCTCTCCATAGCAGTCCGCTGCTCTCGCTCGGATTACTTACAATCGGCTCCGTCCACCGGTCCAGCAACTCGAGTGTCCGGATGATCTGAGGCCGCTCCTTAACGACCCAACTACCAAGCGTAGCCTCAAAGCGAGGACTTCACCTGGAAGCACAAGCCCAGAATCGGCTGGACCACACCTCGATAATGATAACCGCGATGCCGACGCAAGCGACGGCTCGCCCAATGAGCCCCGGGACGATTCCCAGGCTCCCCGCAGCTCTCTCACGCAGCGCGACAACCGAGAGCGCACACACGGCGATGCTGTCGATCGGCTCGCCGAGCGCGGCCCCGCACCGACGACCGGCTTTGACAGCCGGCTCCTCCAGATCGGCGGCCTCGTTGATCGAATCCAAGCCCTGGAGATGCAGCTGCACAAAACGCAGCACGAGTACGACAAGCTCCGGAGGCAGTACGACTACCAGATGCTCCGGCACCAGACCGAGGTCCGCGAGCTGGAGACCCAAAACAGAAGCTACCAGCACCAACTTGCCCGGATGCATGCCTGGATGCGGTCCATGGAGCTTTCGGCCGATCCGTTCAGCTCATCGCCGAGCCCAATTGATCCAAAAGCTCATCAGCAGCAGCACCCCCACCCCCAGCATCAGCCCCAGCTGTCGCATCACCGGCGCCAGAACACCTCCCAAGTGCTTTCCCCCGGGCTTGGCTCGTCGCCGTATGCCTCCTCCAGGGCGCGAGATTCGCCCGTGGGCGTTAATCCGGGGTACGGATTCCCAGTGAGGCCGTTGGTGGGTGGCCAGGACGAGACCCGCATGGGGCTGCTTCGGCCCTCGTTACTCGAGCATCAGCAGCAACAGCAGCAGCAGCGTCGGATGGATCTATGAGGCCTCGAGCGGGCGAGAGGGGCTGCGGTGCGTGATGAATACAGGTCCTCAGTTCGTGCTGGCTCGGCAATGGAGTTGTTCCGGATGGAGGGGGATGCAGCGACCAGGGGGTGCCACGCGAATGGCCTGTCACGATCCAGACGCGTCCGTCGATTTCGAGAACCCGAAAAGGAAGGCTGCACAAGCCACGGCACGCGATTGGCCCGCGCTGGCGTGGCCAGCCACAGCCTGGCCAGCCAGACAATGGGACTGGCCAGCAGCGATCCGTCGACTTCCGGTTCTTGCTCTCGAGCCCCTCTGCGTCAACGCAGGGCTCTCTCTGCGTCTGCGTCTGCACCTGCCCTGCTGCTGCTGCTGCTGCCCGCTGGTATCTCGCCCGCCGGGTCCGATAGAACCGTCTCGTGATTCTCTCCTGGCACCATGTCGACCCGCGAAGAACGGCTCGCCGATAAGGCTCAGAACGAGCGCAATATCAAGATCCTCAAGCAGCTGATGCAGCGCGCCGACAACCGCATCTGCTCCGAGTGCAGGCGAAAGGGTGCGTTGTCTTGCCCGTCGACGGCCGCCATGGCTGCCATGCTCCCAGCCAACTCGCCGTATTGCTCTGTGCGATGCAGTGCAGTGCTGGGCTGATGCCCTGCACTCTTGTCATCATGAGTCGGCGGCTACCTGGATCCATTTGCCACCGACTTGAACTTTCTCCTCGCCAGACCTCTCCGCTTCCGATTCTAACCCATGTGTCCCTCTGGGTGGAATTTTGCATCGCATAGATCCTCGATGGGCCTCCTGGAACCTCGGTGTCTTCTTCTGTCTCCGCTGCAGCGGCATCCATCGGTCCTTGGGAACCCACATCTCGAAAGGTGGGATGATGGCCGATAAGCTCGGATGCGGAGCCGCACAGCCCTGTTGCTCGCTCATGTTGGCAAGACTTTGACTCTGCAAGCGCTGGCTGCATTGCGGCAGGGTCGACTGCCGTCTGCTGGATGGTGCCCGGTCTTTGAGCGCTGCTCTTCTTGGTTCAACCTGGCCCGTCGTCTTGCCTGATCCGTTGTGCACCACTGACCCGTTTCGCTCTGCCCTTTTCATCGGCTCGTCTTTCCCGCCATCTGCTGGACCGCCAACCACATAACCGATACCGCGGCGACTCAATACCCCTCCGATCGCCGACATGCTGCAGTCAAATCCGCCGATCTCGACACCTGGACCGTTCCTCAGATCCAGGTAGCCGCAATCTCCGTCGTGAACCTCCTTGCACCGGCATCCACGCTGTGTCGAGTACAAGTGATGCTGCCCTCTCTCCCAGATCCTGACGCTGTGTTTTCCCACTCGTACCTAGAATATGCAACGATGGGGAAATGGCAAGGCCAGGTTTGTTGCATTCCAAGAAGGGCTGAGGCCTCCGTCCAGCTTTCCTCCGGCGCCCGTCGTGGTCGTCGTGGTCGTCGTCCCTGGTTCTCACCTGCTTTCCATACATCCACCCGTCTCCGCTCTTATTGCTACCGACATGATGCGATGGAACCCCATCGAATTCCAGCCAATATTGGGAAAACGAACTCCCCAGTGGATTTATGCCCGCCGAGAAGTAAGCAGCGCTCTCGCTGCGATGCACAGGATCGTCCCTCGGTGTTCTTGGCGGCCTCTGGTCGCCCCTGGTTGCAGAACTGACGGTATTACGGTATGGAGCACCGTTACTGTCCATGTCTGACCGAGTCTGTCTTCTGTCTCGACAGCAACCTCGAGAACTGGATCCGCGCCAAGTATGAGCGCAAGCAGTTTGCCATGAGCGGGCCGATCCCCGATCCTGATACCCTGCCTCTTCCAAAGGGTGTCGAGCCTGTTGCGGTATGTGCGCCTGAAGCGGTCCAGCAACTGTAGCTGATACTGGGCTGTTCAATCGCGGGAGCTTTGCAGATCCCTGGTTTCAGAGCGGCCGCTTGGACCACGGACGCCATTCATGTCGACGGCATCTGCGGCGTCGACGGATTTCCACAGCTTCTCAATCGGCTCGGCTCAAGTGAGCACGCTGGCAGTACCTCTCACGAGCCTCCAATTCTTATGCCATCCGTCTTTCCTGCCTCCAGGCTTCGTCGCTCGATCCGAACGTCGGCAAGCGATCTGCCACCGCCTCGCCGGCCCCGTCCTTCCAGTCTTCCAAGTCGGCTGTTGCATCCAAACCCCCAACGCCTCCAAACGGATCCAAGCCGTCAACCCCAGCCCCAGAAACACCCCAGCCTGCTCCATCGGCCGCTCAGGATCTCTTTGATATCTTCTCGACCCCTGCAGCCGGATCGGCGGCGTCCCAACCCACTGCATCCTCCCACCAGCAGCAGAAGAGCGATATCCTCTCGCTCTACAACGCTCCCAAGCCCACCCAGCCCTCGCAGCAGGCCTTTGCCAGCTTCGCCAACTTTGCGACCTTTGGCCCCACATCTGTGCAGACAACAAACGCAGCGGCCGTTGCCTCCACCCAGCCTGCGCTTGCCGCAGCTCCATTCTCGCCCACATCGGCATCAGGATTTACTGCGTTCGCAGCCCCGACGCCGATTGCCGTGAATACCACACCGAGCTTTGTGGCCCCTGCCAATGGCCTGGCCAAGGGCAACTCCTTGGATGACGGCTTTGGGGACTTTGTCTCGTCGACCCCGCCTGCATCCACAAACCTCTTGGGCGGCCCGAGCGGCAGCTTTGGCCCCATCATCACCCCCATTCAGCTCACCCAGCCCCTCATGCCGACAAAGCCCCCAACCCCGCCGTCGGCCACCAGCAACCCGTCCTCGGCCGGCACTATCGGCGGCATTCCCAACTTTGCCAGCTTCGGTCCTGGCGGGTTTGGTCAGAACAACAGTGCGACCAACAGTGTTCCGCTGGCTTCTTCGGCTGCTGTTGCGTTTTCACCTACAGCCGCTACTGCTGGATCCGCTCCAGCCCCAGCCAAGAGCGACTCCTGGGAGGACTTTGTGGCGTTTACCAAATGAGCCGGGACACGCTGTGTCCTCACAATGACCATCCAACCCGCGGAGACAGTCCAAAGGCTGTGTATCCGAGCAGTTCGTTCGCTCCCCACTCCCGAGAGGGTCCATGATGACGGATGAAAGTGCACAGGAGACCGATGCCAAAGTCACCGCGAATGCGGTCAGAGTCTATCGTGGGCATAATAAAGCGGCAGTCAAAGGTCGTAATTGCAGCTCTATGTATTTCCGACTGGAGCGGGCGCGACGAAGCGAGTCGCAATTTGGCTTTGCATTTGGTGCTGACGGCGCTGAGCATGAGGGCGCATACTGGTGGCGTGCTTGGTCCGTGCTTGGTCTGCATAGTGCGGCATAGTGCCGATGATGTGTCCGATATATGTCTGGCAACGCAGTGGGTCGTCGATCCAATACGATGCGATCCGGGGGCGTTGATGTCGCTACGGCCGTCCAGCAGCGCCCGTTTCCAAAGTCGCTATATCGCTTGGACAGAAACTATGCACTCAATCTAATCCTCATCTGTGTCTTGGTCCGAGTCGTCGACTGTTGGGCACGACTGCAAATCCAACGGCATCAATGTGAGCCGACGAGCGATGCGACCTCTTGGCGGGGGACTAGGATGCTACTATGCGACACCGCACCGGACACTATCCGCTCTGGGTCAGGACGTACCAGGAAGTCGACAAAGCAGTTGGCCTTCTCTCCGACTGGAATGAGAAACTAGAGGAACGGCCAGGAGATTGCGGCCATCCGGTAAGAAAATGGTGGAAATCACAGCGCTAGGGAGTAGCAACGGTTCCCAGCACCGTATCAATCTGGGCATGCAGTGTAACGTCTTGAACTTGGTACTGGTCCATGGATGCAATCCACCCATCCGCTTGCCCACCTGCAGGAACAAAAATCCCTCCAAGTTGATCTTGACTGATGTCTTTGTCGACAGCGCCAAGGCCTTGAGACAGGGCACAAACAACTTTTGGTTGTAGCTGTCAGAATAGCAGGCAGTTAGCTCAAGCACTCGTAAATGCTCTGAGCACAGAGCCGGACAGAGTCAGTTGAAGCAAGATCCATCGCGAACCGACCTGTATGTCTGCGTCGCCTGCGATGTGAATCCCTCAAGCACATCGGTGTCGTTGGGATAGTCAATGTTGGTTTGGCCAGACAGCCCTGAGGCCGATATCCGAAAGTACGGTGGTCGGGGAGAGATCAAGAGCCGGATCGAAGTGCTTGTTTCGTCCAGCTCGCTGAAGGCGCCCTTGAGCCACTCGGACTGAGGGATGGAGGAGAGGGAGGCAAAGTGGTTTGTCGAGCAAGTTGACGCATTTGACGCCCAGGAGGGTCAGCGAGCCATCAGACATGAGCTGAGCTATAGAATCGATAGTGTGCTGCTGCGTTCAGATGTTTCGAGTTGCTTACGTTGATGATGAGCTTGCTGGTCGTTGGAGAGGCATTGAAGTTGGCTCGAAGCTCTACTGTCGGATCGGCAACGTATGTGCGGAGCTTGCAGACTGTAACGACGCCCTGGTCCTCGAGGCTAGAGCCATCGGACACAGTAGTATTCCGTCAGTCACGGGCTGCAGTATCATAGCCTCGCTCAGGCTCATAGCTCCATGCTCATGCCCGCCAAACCCACCGCGACGTCATCCGATCGACGGCTGCCACTGGGGCTGTCCACCAAGAGCCTCGATCGCCGTTGTTTGCCAATACTCACATCAGCTTTAGGGTCCCTTCGGCCTTGGCGTAGTGCATGCGAAGCGTCGTCTGGACACCCGACTTGAGATCGTGCTGGTTTGAGGTCGTATACGAGGATGATGCCGAGCCGTAAGGCACACTCGACATGCCTCCAAAGATCGACAGACACTCAATCAACTTCTGGAGGTTGACGGAAAACGAGATTTCGGGGCTCGCTTCCTCGCCCGCCTGGTAATCGAGCGAGGGGAAAGCGTATTCACGAAACAGCTCGTGCCGCATATATGCGATCGACTGGGCGCTCTGCGAGTCTTGGACTATGAAGGTGAGGCCGATTCGGGTGATGAAGCAGATCACATGCTGTTATCCGCAGACGAGTTGCCCAGGGTCAGTGCGATGGGCGAGGCGGATGATGCCGACGAGAGCTGCAACGAAGCAACAGCATGCAGCCCTGGTTGGTGTTGGTGCGCAACCTGGCCGTCACAACCGAACTTGCCTCCTTGTAAGAGATGGCTTTGAGCACCGTTACGATTGCCCGGACATTGTCGAGGGCCGCGACAAAGTCGAGAAGGTTAGGCTGCGAACTGATGGTGGGCTGGGAATCCATGGACGGCGGCGGCTGCGGTCGAGATGGCGGGGAAGATTGGGAGCGGATCTGGAGCGGACTGACGGGCACGACTTGGTTTGGCGCGACTTTGCAGCTGCGGAATGGAAACATGTGGCTTGCCTTGGTCGGAAGCTGTCGATTGGCGATCGCACTGTTGCGACGATGTGTTCGACTGTCCATCCGGCACGCTGTGCCCTGCTTCGCACTGAACTGCCACTATCCGGGCTGTTTGCTGCCAACGCTGCCCAGCGTCCGGTCAATCGTCCCGTCCCAGGGACCATTTCCAACAGAAGCTCGGAACGACGGGTCACCTGGGTCGGTATTCGTGGATCTCACACGGTCATGAATCTCCCGAGGTTATGTATCTCATTGGTCCATGGATCTCGTTGATTCATAGATCTCGCGTGGTTATGGAACTCGCCTGCCCATCCCATTAGCCAATCCGCACCAGATAACGACCGGAGGTGTTTTCCTCGCCCTGCTTCCAGAGGTGGCTGCTCATTGCATGTATTCGCACCCGAAAATGAAATCAAGGAAGCTCAGTTCATGTGAATGCTGGAATAAGGTGGCTTCTTCAGTTTGATGGAGGCGAGACCGTCTGAATGATCACGGCAATCAGGTTGATGATCCACATGATGATGCAAAACACAAGGAAAAGGATCGCTGTGATGTGCGGACTCAGCGGCCACCAGTGCGGCAGTGTGCGGAAGAATGCCGATCGGTATCCGACATCACGAGGCAGTGTCGTACGTCGGATGTAGCTGTTTGTGAGCGCAGTGGGTTCTTTGCCTCTCAACGGGGACAGGAAACTTCGACCAATACGCTTGCCAGCTCCCTCGGAGATATCCTGCAGCGTGTCCGGTTCTGGGGCTGTTTCCTGGGGGTCGATCTGGACCATCTCGTGGGCTTCGCTCGGCTCTTCATCCGCTTTCAGCAAGGGCTGACCGTCGTCTTTTGAAGGCTCGGGCGACTTGGGGCCGGTGCTTGACATTTTGCTCTGGCGTTTGGGCCCGGTAAGAGTAAAGTTCCGAGGAATATTCAGGGTTTTGCGCCTGACGTGGGCTTGGAGAGTGGCGGTGGAGGGATCCTCGTTGGCATCCAGGAATGATTCGACGGAAAGGAATTCCATGCTCGCAGGCTTCTTCAAGTCGTCAGGAAGGCCTCGTTGGGGGCGTAGAATCGAGGGAGGTGTTCCCAGCGGCGACGGGGCTCGTCCGGGAGAGGGAGTTCGTGCGGGGGAGGGAGTCCGCATGGGAGATGGTGTTCTGAGGGGAGAGGGCGCTCGCATAGCCGAAGGAGAGTGCAGAGGAGACGGTGTCTTCGCAACCGAATCCACCGGAGAGGCGGGTGCGATTGAGATCGGCGGGATGGCGAGATGCTCATGCTCATGCTGCATGGTTGAGAACTGAGAATCGGACTCAGTGAAGGGTGGCATAAGCCGGTCAGTGGCCTCGGCATTCGACACTCTGGGGCTGTGGTCCGAGAATGTGATCCCTCTTTCGAAGGACTTGAGCATTTCGTCGTCACCCTCAGGTATTTGTTCGGGACCAAAGTCACCGGGCTGGATCATATGGAGCGCCTTTTCGCTATCGTCGAGGTACTTCTGGATCTTGGACGAATGCTGGTGGATCTTGCGCAGAAGCTTGTACTGCGTGGGAGTCAGGCCTGCGCGAGCACGATTGCAGATCCAAGTTGTCAGTGTACGATGAAGGGACTTGTCTGGGTAGGGCTCGATCCTGCATAATATCCCCCAGACAGGCCGGCTTACGCTGCTTATCCGTGGCATCCCTCTGGGAGTCATATTGCTCTCGGAACTTGAGGCATTGCAAGTACACGACGAAGGGCAGGATAAAGTTGGCGGAGCTGACAAACAAGGCCGATGTCCACAGCTGCAGTGTCATGAGCACCGCGCCCGTTTGGAAGGGAATGACCATGAGCCATGGCAGCACAAAGCAAAGGAAGACGGCAATAGCTATGCGAGTGCCAAAGTGGATCGCGCGTTAGCTTCGGAGCAACCAGGATGCCAGCAGTCGGTCGAAATTGACTGTTGATGTACAAATGAAATTGGATCCGGGTCGGTTGGATCACTGCAGATATCCACCTCGCCTCGCATTTGCAATAAGTGAGCTATAAAGAGCGAGCGAAGGGCGTGCCTACCGTTGGAGCAGACTTCGTTTTGGGTCAGGTTCTCGTATGCAACCATGAAGAGCACGGGGATGCCGGGCAGAAGCATCACCAGCGTGTAGGCATACGAAGAAATCTTGCCGAGGATGGGAATGGGTCCAGCAGTGAAACTAGGAAGAATCGTGGCAGCATTCGAGTTTGGGGCATAAGCCAGTGCAGCTGCAGGAGGCAAAATGTTGCGTCAACAGGTAGTACCACGACGAGTTCCGTGCAAGCACGCTTTGCAAGCACCCCTCCTGCGAACGAGCGGGATACGCTAGCACTTACGGAGGATGCCAGAGAGGAGATAGAGCACCACGGCAACGGCCACCGATATCATAACAGTATTTTGAGGAGATACGTTGGCTTTCTGCTCGGGTCGATGCAGTGGCGATGGGTGTTAGCCTCGGCTCCGTCAGCAAGTGCTCAAAGTCGTGCATGAGACACCCGGGGACGGATTGTGCGCTCACCTTCAGGTTGACCCATGAAGGTACCACCTGGGTAAATGCGAGATTGAGCAGAACGGTGCCCATGACGGTGCTGATGGCACTGAAGCGGTTCAAGACTGAGTCTGCCGATTTTGAGGGAGGGAGGTTTTGGGCGAGGACGCTCGGAATGTCCCCTTGAATCCGAGTGATGTTCAAAATACTCAGGCCAACCCACAGAAAGACTATCGCGACTGTGAGGATAAAAAACACTGGAGGACGGATAATGTGCTAGGAGTTAACAATGCAAGGCCTAACATCAACGTATATGGGGCGGGGCGCCGGTACGGTACCAATCTGGGCCTTGATGTTGTTATCGAGATCCACGAACAGGAAGGGGATCATCACAAGGAAGGTCATCTGCGATGTTTGTATAGTTGACAGAATCAGCGACATAGCCTTGCCGACGCCCCCCTCCTAATCGTTCGCCTCCTCCATTCATCCATTCATCCAATCGTGCGATCTCGACTCGATATACCGAATCACACCACGCGGAAGCGTCGTGCCGAAGGGTCGAGCCGAAACGCCCCATCCGGCATCAAGTTTGAGACAGCGTGTCGACTGGCGACGCTGGGTCTCGGCCGAAGCCAGAGAGAAGCACGGACACAGCTGGCGGTGGGTCTGCTTCAACGTACCAACAAGCCAGCGGTGAGAAGCATGGTACCGTCAAAGGGAGAGGCAGCGCCTACGTCGGCGATATGCGTGGTTGCGGACGTCATGACATTGGTGCCGTTGAGGACTCTCAGGTCCGACTGGAAGCCGATCGTCAAGCCCCAGGTCGAGTGGAAAATATCCACAAACATCTGGTCGAACGACTACATGGTGAAGCAAGGACAAGAGAGCGGCCATTCCGACATGAGCAGGGAGGTATTGTCGACAGCTTGCTGCGGATGCATATCTCGTGGCTCTCAGCTGCTTGTGGGCCCACTGCGGCAATGGTGATCACAGGCGGAGCCACTTGTATCCGAACGCCTGCGATCGACATGCTCGCCGAGGTTCTGACGCCTACCTGCGCAACGAGCACAATGGACTGCACGGCGTTTGAAATCAGAGCTCCGTAGAGAAGGAACTGACTGAAAATGTGCATCTTTGGGTCGAAATAAAAGTTGAACAGCGTGGCATATTCGACGCATCCCTGGATGCATGCAAGGTCTGTCAGCCATAGCGATGGATGCAAGGGTGCCCGGTACAGCGGATATCGAATTCTTGCCCCATCCAGGTGATTACAAGTGCACGGCACACATGTGCTGCTCACCTGGAAGTGCTTGTTGCCAGGGATTTTCTGCATTGCCTCCATGATGAACAGCACCGAGAGGCCCGAAACAATCGAAAAGATGCCAAAGCAGATCATCGGGAGGATCCAGCCAGCGACCTGGAAAGTCAGCGGAATCTGCGGGAGACCGGGGCCGGTCATACCGTTGATCAGAAAACATATTCCAGCCGCAAAGCCGATGTTTTTGGTGGTTTGAAGCTGCGGTGGGAGGGATCGTTCAACGGGTTAGTTCGACTTGGCTGGTCGACAGTCTTCGGCTGCAGCCGTGGCGGCGGCCTGCGTATCCCGGGGTGCGCCGTGCGATGGACCGAGAGCGAGGGAAGGGCATACGATTTTGAGCGTCTGCGTCCTGTTGACCGTCATGGCTGGAGGTCGAGGAGGAGGGGGAGGCGAGCTGGAGGATGGGCGAGATCAGGCTAGAGCTGGCCGGGTCCGACAAACGCCGGAGGGCGGCCGGTGGAGCGGGGCTGGCTGTCACAGGCCTGGTGGCGATGCACAGGACTTTCGATGGGGCGCGATGGGACATGCACATTCAACTACACTTTATTCAGAAAAAAACGGGACAATATAGCCGTTTCCATGAACATGTAGTATGTGCTGTGCTTGCATCTAGCAAAGCCACAAGAAATAGATCAGATCACTTTGGCAGCCTCCGAGTGAAGACCGCCGGTCGCTCTCCGGTCTCCACAATCGACTTGCACACTGTGATCATGTTGCGCGCCGCATTGACGTCGCGATTCCACACTGTCCGGCAGCTGGGATTCTTGCAGCTCCTGACAAAGTGGGAATTCGCAACACTGGGCGCATCGAGTCCTTCCAACCGAACTGGCTCCAGGCACTTGGAGCACACTTGCGAGGTGTTGAACTCGTTCGTCGAGGCCACCTTGACGCTTCCATGAGGGTGATTGGGACGGCGGCGGTGGTGCTCGAATTGCTCAAAGTACCGAGCAAACCGCTGCCTCTGAGGGCTGGATGCATAGCCCTTGCCTTGACGCCATGATGCATTGCCAAAGGCGATCACCACATCGGTCCGTATCGGGGCGTGCTTCAGGACGGCCTTGCACATCTTGTCGACGGCCACTTGGCGTCTCCTGTGGCCCGTGAAGCGATGGTGACGGGCCTTCTTGCCAAGGTGGAAGTCGAGCTGCACTCGCAGCTCCGGTCGCAGGACATGGGTGAGATGGACCTTGAAAGCCTCCGAGGACGACACCTTGGGCGAGGGAGTGGTCGACATCCAGGTCTCGATATCGAGTCGATACTTCATGGTGTTGTGCCACTCAGTATTGGACTTGTGGCCACACATGTGCTGATAGTGACCATTGGAGAACGAGACCACCTCGTCTTGGTGACCCGGTGCTTGGATGACCGCCGTGAAGATGGAGCCGACTCCAGGATCGATGCCAATCCAAGTGGTGCGATCGGGGTCTGGGTCGCCGATGTGGGCCTGGATACGCTGCTCGGCAGTCGGAGGAGGCTCGATGGTCTCGGAGCGATCGGTTCGACGCACAAACTTGACGAGACCGATGGTGCATCCAATGCCATCGGTGCTGATCTCGTAGTTGAACAGCTTCTTGTTCACGTCTCGCTCTTGGAAGAGGGAACTACGCAGCTTGAAGCAACTGCGCCAGAGACGATCCTGGTTGTTGACACCGTCCTCACCTTCTTCCTTGAGCTTGTCCCAGGTGAGTCCAAGGCGCTTCTTTGGACCCAGGAGTTGCCAAAGAGTGACCGTGTCAATCTTGACATACTTGGCCTTGGCTGTGCATAGAGGAACTATCGTGCACACGGCCGGAGGAGTGTCGACGGCGAGCTACTTGAGAGCCCACTTGAGCCTGGATGCCAGCTTGTTGATCTTGGCCTTGGTGGTGCCGAGCTCAGACTTGGCCGTGGTGAACCTCTTGTCGTCGGAGGGAATGCCTTGGGTAGTGAGCTCGTCCAGCTTGGCCTGGCGCTGCAGCTCGGTGACTCGGAGGGCGGGCATGTCACAGTCGATCCACTTGTGGACATTGTCGACCATCTTGTCTCGGGCGAGGATTCTCACATGGTGTGAGAGGCGATGGAGGGCCCGGAAGCGGTCCTGGTCGTTGCTGTACCGAAACTCGTCCAGGATGTGGCCAAAGTCTGGATAGAGGAACTCGAGATCGGCCTTGGGTGGTGTTTGCCCTGGTTTCTCGAAGAGCTCGAGACAGGCCTCGATGGCTTCGTGCTTGTGCTTGTTGGCTGGGAAGACAGCAGCACAGAAGCGGCGAAGGAGTCGCCAGTAGGCCAGGTTGAGGTGGGTGGTGCAGTTGGTAGCATAGGCATTGACAGCCAGGGTGAGAAGCTGACTGTGAGCACCATCAGGCAGACGAGGGGCCGGAGGCAGGTCTGCGTGCCGAGTGGTCTGGTAGATGCCAAAGGAAGCGACCAGATGCTCGTTGTATTTCTCATTGTCCCCGGTCGGGGAGAGGGCACCGGCCTGGACGATCTTAAAGCACTGGCGGATGAAAGCAGGGGTGGACTTGGAGATGACGGGGACGGGAAGATCCTGCTCGATGCACCGGAGGATGTGCAGGTTGAGCAGCCTGGATGCCTCGAACTGGATCTGGGTCATGGCCTCGACGGTGGCCTGGATCTTGTCGCGGAGAGCGGGATTGAGACAACAGCCATCTATCGTCTGCTTGAAGCAGCTGAACTGAGGGGCGGATGACCTTCCATCCACGAGTGGGACGACAGAACTCTTGAGGGGCCGGTATTTGGGACACTTGCTAGTGTTGCAGCGTTCGTGATCGGTGCCATCGCACTGGCGACATCGCTTGCCGGTACTCGAGGAAGTAGATGGACCAGGCTCGGTGGGATCGACATCCATTGGATCTGCAGAAGCAGTGGTGGTGAGCGACGGAGCAACAGATGAACAAGCATGCGTGAGATCAGAATACGAACCAGAGACAGGCTCCGACTGTGACTTGGCTTTCTTGGGCCTGGGTGGCCGAGGCTGGCCATCACCGGCACCCTTGCGCTTCGGAGGCATGGGGGCAGAGAATGCTGGGTGCCTGCCAGTGGTACTGGTCAGAGCAGAGACTTTTTTATCGTACAATGGCGCGAATGATCAGATCAAGGCGAGATGAGGGAAGAAAGCAGCAGGACGAAGGTGGGACATTTATACCCGAGAGCAGGAGCCCGTCTGCGCGGGCTGGTTGGGGAAGCGACCTGTTCAAAAATCGCCGAGAGGTTCAAGCCAGGGATGTGAACGCGAAAATGGCGGCTTGATTGGGGGACTAAACCCCAAAATGATGGGGACTCAACCCCAAATCGGTGGGGACTCAACCCCAAAGAAGTTCTCGATGGGATTGAAGTCGGGCGAGGCAGGTGGGGTGAAGATCACTGACCATCCTCGGCGCTCGATGCAGTCCAGGACAGCCCTTGTCTTATGCATGCTGACATTGTCCATCACAATCACAGAGTCGTCTGGGAAGCTCGCTCGCTCAAAGAACTCGACCATCGAGTGTGTCTTGAATGATGTGGGGATGTACATGCGATGCAGCACACCAGAGTGGTTGATGGCAAATGCAGCCGAGACAGACTTGTGCTTCATGTGATTGCGCTGGCGAAGCGGAGCACCCCTCGGTGAGTATCCGTAGAGAGGGAAAATGGATCTCCTGATCCCTGTCTCGTCGACAAAAACGAATCGCCGCGGGTCAATGGAGCGGACCTGGTCCCTGAACTGTGCCACTCGCTCATCCAGTCGCTTGGACTTGTAGAGGTGTGTTGCCCTCTTGTGTGAGAGACCTGCTCGGTGGATGGCAGTGTGGCAGAGTGAGAGTGAAACTTTCCTCTGGAGGATGGACTCGAGCTTGCATCGCAGCACAGGACCAGTCTGGAACGGGTCCTGTTCAATCAGGGTGCGAATGACTGGACATGCCTGCTCGAAGAAAGTGGATCTGCGAGCTGGGACTCGGGATGGGTCATCCAGCTTGCATCCTCGGTGCCATCGATGGATGGTGCTCTTGGATACACTGAATATGGAGGCGACCTTACGCAGGCTATGGATGAGGGCGTAGCATCGCAATGCGGCGGTGCGAAAGTCGGATGTGTGGCGAATGGTCATGGCCAGCGCGCGATAACATTGGGTAACAAAATATTCGATCAATGGTCAAAACCTGGGTGTCCCGTTTTTTATTGGATCGCCCGTAATGGATACGCACCGCTTTGTTCGTGTCGTTATGCAGAACGATGCAACGTTGGAACAGAACGGACATGCAGCCCGACGCAGCAACACCGGCCTCATAGCACGACGGACTGAGCAAATATACGAAAGGACGGCGACCAGGCTGTACTTGAGGAATGAAACAACCGAGGCACAACAAGTGAACGCTTCGAAAACAGGACCAAATGAGACGGGCACGACGACGACAAGTGGCAACAAGCAACAAACCAAAGACGGGTTCTAGATATGACAGAGCAATAGACAGAGGGAAAGAGAAAGAGAGAAAGAGCAGTATAGCCAGTGACAACATCAGGGACAAGTAACAGGTGCGGGCAATCACCCTCGCAGGGCCGAGTGAATCAATTGGACGGCCGAGGCGAGGTAAAAGTCTGGATGGTCTGCTGAATGACAAAGCAGAGATTGGCGAGCGAAACCAGGATCGAAAAGACCATGAACCCGATCGCAACACGGTCGGACTGTATGTACTTGTGTTCGGGAACAGCGCGGAAGAATGGGGAGCGGAACTCTGGGTGGCGGCCCAGGGTAATGTTCTTGATATCTTGTGGTCTTGAACTATTGAGGGCAGACTGACCCTGGGCAGTTATCTCCGGACGGAACAGCGACTTTCCGCCGCTGGTTTCGTTGAGGGCTTCGCCGTCTTCGAACTGAATCTTGTCCGTCTCAACAGCGTTGGCGGTCAATGTGGCATCGGTGTTGCCTGCCTCCGCGGGCTGCTGCTCGATGGACTCGACGGACACGAGCGCGACAGGTTCCGGCTCGTCAGGCTGTTCCTCGTCACGGCCCCTGCCAGTCGATCGTCTGGCCGGGTTTTTGCTGGAGCGCTTCACCGTGAGACGTTTTCGGGTCACATAAGTGGTGTTGACGTTGCCGGCCACCTCGTCGAGATTGAGGTCAAGGAGGCTGCGCAGAGTGCCGGCATCAACAGAGTAGGATTGCTGTGGGCGCTTGTAGGACGAGGCGATAGCAAGCGACGACGAAAGATTTCGAGCGGGGACGTCGGTGCTGCTTGTTGCAGCATCGCGAACAGGCTCACTGAAGCGCAGGGATGTCAACACGGGGCTCTCCGACGCACTGGCATTGGACCGAGTATCGGTATGCTCGAAGCGAGGTCCAGGACTGGGTGTGCGACTCAGGATCGACCGAGGCGCCGTCAGGGCAGCAGAGGGGCCCAGGGTCGACGGGAGGTGAGGATCTGAGCCGTGGGCATGGCCCCACTCTTTGAATGGGATCGCAGGCGCATGGCTATCGTCGGCTCGCTGGTATGTGCCTTGAATGGAGCTGTCGTCGCCAAAGGTCATTGTTCGTTCCACAAACCTGGGCAAGCCAGGGACCGAGGGCTTGTGTGGCGAGGTCTCAACAGGCTTGGGCTCCTCGGACTCAACTTGAGTCTTATCATCGTCGGGGTGGTCACCTCGCGGGGCTGTGCCAAACTGGCCGGGTTGGAGCAAATGATCGATTTGGTCAAGACGGTCGGTAATGACCTTTGAGTTTTGATGAACGACTCGGAGCAATGCCCTCTGGTTCGGGGTCAGCTCTAGGTTGCAGAGAAGCAACGCCATTGGTATACCAGAAAGTTAGATCGATTCGCATTCAAGTCAGTGTTTTCTCTCCAAGGCTGGTGGGTATCAACCGATTCGGAGGACGCGCGCAGATAACATCCCAGTCAGATGCTTCAGATGATCGTTCGCGCCAGATGACCCCACGCATCACGGCTAAAACTACCTCGAGACTCTTCGTATTTCTTGCGGAACTGATGGCATCGGAGATACACAAGAAACGGAAGGATAAAGTTTGCTGCACTGACGAAAATGGCCGAAGTCCAGTTCAGGAACAGCCCGAAGATCACGCCGCTTGTCTGGAGCGGGATTGCAGCGACAGCGATCCACGGAAGCACAAAGCACATGAATCCAGAGAGTGCTGCATGAGTCAAGGTGGGTGTTAGTCCAAGGATGAGATCGGACTGAAATAGGACTGCGTCGGGCTGCGCTGATCTGGATCGGATGCTGTGCACGGCAGGTATCTGTGCCCACGAGCTACTTACTCTTTCCCATGATTTGATTCTGGCAAAAATTATCGTACTGCACAACCATGAACACGGGGATACCCGGCAAGAGCATAATCAAGGTGTATGCATATGCGCTGATCTTGGCGATCACAGCCGAGGCCGGAAATCCAGGCTGAGGAGTCGTCAGCGGCGGGATAATCGAGTCGGAGACATTGCTGAAGGCGACCGCGGCTGCGGGATACGGAGAAAAAAGAGCACCGATGTTAGCTCCGACTGATATGTAGGATCGGCGGCCAGCTGCCGCAGATCGCTTGATAGCGTGGGTAGGTCGAGCGTGTGGTTCGCGCGTGGCTGTAGGGGATATGATATCAGGCTGCCAAACAAGCGAGGCGCGATCTTGACTAGCTTACGGAAAAATCCAACCAAGATATACAGGGCCGTGGCGATGTACAGTGACGTGGTGATGGTCGTGTGGGGCTTGACATCGGCGCGCTGTGTGGCAGTCCGAGAATTGGTCGTCAGAACAAATCAAGGAACCGAGCAGTAATCGATTGGATTGCCCCACTTTGCTACAGAGGCCATGCATACCTTCAGATTCACCCAGGAGGGCACGACTTGCGTGAAAGCCAGATTGAGCAGCACAGGACCCATCACATTTCCGACGCCAGACAAGCTGAAGAGAGGCACGTTTTGCTCGAGTTGCTGCTCGAAGCCCCGGAGTACAATCATCCTGGCACTGAGTCCAAGCCAGACCAGGACGATCACGCCACTGAGGATGGCAAAGACTGACACACGTGGATACGGATGGTGGTTAGCGGCGGGCTGCGATGGGATCAGCCCGGACAAGGCTCTAGGATAGATGCATCGCGTGTCCCAGGCCGTACCAAATTGCAGATTGATGTTGTCTCCGAGGGACAAGAAAAGAAAGGGAATCGTGAATGCCAAGACAACCTGCGGACGAGTTCAAAGTAAGCGGGTGTCGTCCGGCCGGCTCGGCCCTAGGAGGTGACCTTGGTTGGGCATACTCCCCGCAAACCGTCCACAGCACCTCATGCTGCATCGCATGGCAAGGCATTCAGTCCGCTGCTCGTGGGATAGCGACCGTGAGGACACCCACCAGCAACCCCAGAGTAAGGATCATATAGTCATTGAACGGAGATGGGCCCTGTCCGCTCTGGTGAACCACGATGGACTTGAGGGACCAAGAGACGCCCCAAGAAAACTTGAAAATGTCGACGAGCATGTTGTCGATGCTCTGCCAAGAGGATGTCGGAAACCAGAGGATCCAACAACTCATGATTAGATCTGGCTATTCGAACCAAATGGCAGGTACATGTCATACAGCATGGCTCTGCCGCTGCAGCAAACTGAACCGGTGGGCCAATGGGGCCGCAGCGCCGTGGACTGGCTTTACCTGAGCAACAAGGACAATACATTGGACGGCGTTCGACATGAGGGCGCCGTAGAGCAGGAACTGGCTCGTTATGTGTAGAGGTTTGTCAAAGTAGAAGTTGAAGAGCGTGGCGTACTCGACAACGCCCTGGAAGTGCTTGTTGCCGGGGATTTTCTGCATCGCCTCCATGATGAACAGCACCGACATGCCCGAGACAACAGCAAACAGGATGTAGCAGAACGTGGGCAGGATCCACCCGGCGCTCTGGTACATGGCTGTGGTCTGAACCAAGCCGGGGCCAGTCATTCCGTTGATGAGAAAGCATATTCCAGCTGCAAAGCCGATATTTTTGGTCGATTGGAGCTGTGTCGGCAAGCAGGATCAGCGGATCAGCGGATCAGCGGATCGGTAGGGGCAAGCGGGAGGGAAGCAGAGCGACGTCAAAGAGCCAGAGAGCCAGATGGCAGGGCGAAAGCCCCTGGCTTCCAGCAAATGCACGGCCGAACGAGCCGAGAGCCGGCGCACCCAGGCGGGCTCATCCAGGGGCCGACGCACTCACGATTTTGAGTGTGGTGTTTCGCCTGACGGGGCCGCTGCTGGCGTTGGTGGCCATCTCGGCGACAGCGGTGGGCGCAGACGACGATGGCCTTGGGCGAGATGCAGGCAGAGGCCGCCGTGGGTGCAACCAGCGCAGAAGACCAGGATGCGCCCGTGGGCTCGCGCGCCTGGAAGACACGTTGCGCGGGGTGTGCAGACACAGCGTCGCACGGTACCACGGTGCCGCGTCGCAGCAAAACACGGCGCCGGTCCGTGGGAACAGGCGGAACTGGCAGTACTGGGCGAGACCACCAGCAACGATATCGAGCGGGGCTGAGTGCATGACACAGCGCTGCTTGGGCGGGCCAAAGGCAAGTGATGTCTGCAACCGCCGCCAGCCGAATACCGGAGTACCGGCGTGGGAATATACCAGAAGCGCGGGCGACATTCGCGGGACATACCGAGGGTATCAGCTCCAATCGCTGCCGGGCACTGTTGCGTGTGCCATGCTTGGTCCGCACCATTTGCACCATTTGCACCACTCGCATACCCTGGTGGTGCGGTATCATCGCTGTCGTGCAGGCCGTCCTTGGTGGCGCGGTCGTTGTCCGGGACGAATGGCGGGGCCGTCCACGTGACCGGCTTCTTTCGTGCGCCAAGCGTCTTCTGGCCGGGTTGGGCTGGGCTGGGCTGGGCGGCTGCTCTTTCGATCAGCCCGATTCAAGCAGACGCCCGATCCGAGCAGACATCCATCCTCAGCAGCGCCGCTTGTCTTTCGCCGAGCCCCAAACCCAGAACACAGAAATCCACTGCTCACTCAGGCCCGTGCCCGGGTGTGCTTGACTGTACCCAGCAATGAATCCTCTGGTGGCCAGCATCCTCCTCGGCCAGGTGGGGAATCTGTCGCCGTCCGCTCCCCCCCTACGGCAACCCTGCGAGCCTCTCTTTTCCTCGAGCCTGGTGCTCTTGCCGAATGCCGACGCTGTCGTGTCCACTGCAGACACAGCTCTGTTCGGAGAGTCCCCTGTAGATATGCGATCATTCAGGACGTGTTATTCACAATTGCTCGCTGCCTTGACCTTTGGTTCCTCGTCACAGTTGCAACAGCAGCAGCAACAGCAGCAGCAACAGCAACAGCAGCAGCAGCAGCAACAGCAGCAGCAGCAACAGCAGCAACAAAACTCGCCTCTCCAGCTAGGGCTGCAGGGCCAGGCCACAAATGGCTCGGTTTTGTCCCAACTTACCAGCCAGCAGCTGGCGCAGCTCAGCTCTAGTGTTATGCTCGGCTCACTGCCTATCGCACAGCAAGGCCATCAGATCATCGGCCAAGCTCCAGCAAATCAGGCGCTTGGACAATTCAACTCGCCTGTTGCTAATTCAAATGAAAATATCATGAGAGTCTTGCAACGCCAGCAGCAGCAACAACAGCAACAGCAACAGCAACAGCAACAGCAGCAGCAACAGCAGCAGCAACAACAACAACAGCAGCAGCAGCTCACCAAAGCCCATATTGAGACCCTTCTCCGCCTGCAAGCCCAACAGAGCCAAACCCAGCAGAATCAGCAGAATCAGCAGATCCAGCTTGCCCTGCAGCAGCAGCAGCTGCAACTGACCCAAGCGCAGCAAACGCAACAGACATTGCAACTCCTTCAGCAACAACAACAACAACAACAGCAGCAGCAGCAGCAGCAGCAGCAGCAGCAGCAGCAACAGCAACAGCAACAGCAGCAGCAGCAGCAACAACTCTCCAGCCAGTCCAAGAAACTGGATCCTCAGCGCGCCTTTCCCCAGATTTCGCCTCAGCAGTCATCGCAAGCATTTGCTCAGTTGCAGAAGCTCCAGCAAATTCAAAAAATCCAGCAACAACAGCAGCAACAACAGCAGCAACAACAGCAGCAACAACAGCAGCAGCAACAGCAACAACAGCAGCTACAGATTCAGCAAAGCGCACAGAAATTGCAACATCAACAACAACAAGCGCTGCAGCTCCTCCAGCAGCAGCAGCAGCAGCAACTTCAGCAGCATCAACAACAGCAGCAACAAAAGCAACAGTTGCAGCCTCAGCAGCTCCAACAACAAGCGCTGCAGCTGCTTCAGCAGCAACAGCAGCAACTTCAGCAACAGCAGCAGCTCAACAAGGCCAATCCGACCCAAATAACAGATGACGATCGTCGTCAAGCAGTAATGTTGCTGTGAGTCGCATGCCACCACTCTCGAATGGATTTGCGATTTCATGAATTGTGTACGCTTCCGAGACTGACCCGCCAACTGTTTCTTTCGTTCTCTTTTTGCTTTCTTGCTCAACAGCATGGAAGTCCTCAAATCACTGAGCAACGACCCCAAAAACACTCAGGAGCGACTCCAGGACGCTGCAAAGGTCTACGAAGCCGATATCTTTTCCAACGCCAAGCAGCAAAAGGTAAATTTACCAACAACATCTCGTAGATGCAAAAGGGAATGGGCTTCAACTCGATATGGTGTTGATCCGCAACTGACTGTGCCTCCCCCCCTCCGAAGAATCTATACCACGACGCACTTGTCGAGAGAGTCAATAAGCTGAAGGAAGCGATTTGTGAGTATCTTGCCGCTTACGTGCTATGTCCGATGGCCACTTCATGCTAAAGCTCGTATTTATGCGTAAAACAGTAGTCCCGAAGCAGGAAATCTCACCGGGTCTCAGAGCATTACAACTTCCGAAGCAATTATCGGCCGATATTCTGTCCCAACAGCCGTCGCAGCAGTCACAAGGCTTGACCCATGTCCCGAGTTCGAATACCGCAGGGCCTGCGCTGGGGCTGAACTGGTCGTCCCAAAGCATCCCAGTAGTACAGCCGGCAAAGTCAGTTCCGTCTCCTGCCCCGTCCCTAGCACGTAAGTAGCCGCCTTGATACCTAGAGTCTCGTCTCCCTCCGTCTATTATCCAGTGTACGCCTCGTCCCGAGCCCCCACCTGGCACAGGTGTATTGGATTGCAGTACAATTACCGAGGGCGGATAACCGTTTCAAGCGCTAACAGAGTTGCCTGTTTGTGCAGAGAATCAAACCCCTCCTAATGCATTGAAGGTAAATGTTCCTGCAGATACTCGCGCCTTTTAAGCGTGTCAAATCCAACCTGAGAGCCGATGACCGCATGCCAGTCTCCAGATCGGCTTGATTACCCAATTTCTGGCTCATTATGACTAAAGCATCACCTTCCTCTCACTCCGCGAATAGCTCGCCATAACTCCGCAGTAAGTCCAGCGTGTTGGGACCCAAAGCCGCTGCCAGACACACTCCAGTCGCATGCTCCAGCTAACCTCCTTGGGCTTTGTCCTTCTTTGGGTGCAGATTGAAGTACATTCTGACTCAATCGCCAAACTTCACCGCGTCGTGTAAGATCTTCTGCGCGCGATTCGGCGGGATTTGCAGCGACCAACAGTGCCGCGACTAATCCTTCCAGCTGACCTCCCTCGATCTACACTTGCTGACGGGCGTCCTTTTGCTTTGCTAGTGTCCGCCGTCCAGCAGCAGCTTTCGACCCCTCTTAACTTGAGTGCAGCAGACCAGGCTACCGTCCGAGGAATGGTAATGTGATGGCCATGTCTCGTGCTGCTTTGTGGACCAAAGTGTTTCGATCGAACCGGCGTCGCCACGTATCTGACGATGATATATATATTCACGGTGCTCCAGTGGCAGGAGATGCAGAAGATGTATGATCGCTTGGATACCCTGTTTGAGGCCTTCCGGACATTTGGCACGTCGACACGAACCGATGAGCCCAATCGCGAAATTGCGCAGATCGAGAAGGTTTACATCTGCGTAAGTGGTTCTAGGGTCTATTTGAAAGCAGCGCCACCGTAACTTCCTGCCGGCTGGCTGGCTGGCTGGCTGGCTGCAGGAGGCTCCGTAGTCGTCCTCTTTGTACAACTTCTCGGTTGTTCGGCTCCTTCAGCCATGAGTAACCAAGTGCATTCATCGTTTTTCTGAACCCTGCCGCAACACTCGCCTCCCAGCGGATCATGTACGAGATGCAAAAGCGTGCTCTCGATGCGGGCATCTTCATCGTTGACGTTGAAAGAGCCAAGCAGCTGCGAAGCCTGTTGATGACGCTGTTTCAGATGGCGCACCAGCATAACACTGAGCGCAAAAGGCAGCAGGAGCACCTTCTCCAGCAACAGCAACAGCAACAGCAACAGCAGCAACAGCAACAGCAGCAACAGCAGCAACTGCAACAGCAACTTCAACAGCAATTGCTTCTCCAACAACAGCAACAAAAACAGCAGCAACAGCAGCAACAGAAACAGCAGCAGCAACAACAACAACAACAACAACAACAACAACAACAACAACAACAGCAGCAGCAGCAGCAGCAGCAGCAGCAGCAGCAGCAGCAGCAGCAGCAGCAACAGCAACAGCCGCCACAGCAAAAGCAACAAATCCCGATACCAGCCTTGGATACTCCAACGAAGCTGACCGCTTCGAATCGTCAACTGCCGGGAACAATCAAAGCAGTAGCAAAGCAACTCAAATTAAATCCTCCTGTTCCAGGCAAGACCGAGGACCCTCTGCCCAATGTGAACCGAACAGAGGATTCTTCCACACTCACGGCTTCAAAGCTTACAAGTGCCCTACCGCACGCAAAAAACCTGGGTCAGCTGATACAGAGACAATATCCATCCAAGCAAGCTAAGGTTAAAAAGGTGGAGGAGCCCAAGCCTCTACCCCGCCTCCCAAAACCTTTGTCCGACCTAAAGCATGAAAAACCAAGCGATCATTGCTCGCCAATCGCTCCCAAGGAACAAAGCCAGACGACCGCATCCGCAGTGCTGCCCTCGTCCACCCCTTCGCCAGTCAACTTCAATGACACCACATCTGGACAGCCTGCGCCCTCTCCCAAGCCCGCCCTTTTGATACATCCTCAGCCGAACAACGGGTCCAGTCGAACACTCGAGCAGTTTGTGAACGTCATACTCGATTCGTTGATTGACGACAAGAGCATCCGGACAACAGCCGTGATCTCTGAGTTTGCGCACCTGCTCTCTCCGCCGCCTGATCCAGAGGTGGAGATACCCCTCGTGGCGAAGCCTCGCGACGAGGATCAGGAGCTCTTTGAAATGTTTGGGCTGGACTACCGTCCGCTAGACTACCACGAGCGGTTCAAGGCAATGTTGGAAGAACGGCCCGGCGCTCTCGCTGTGGAGACCGCGGCGGCAGCACTGCCACGCAACAAGCGCAAACGCGAGGACTCGGACGATGACGACGAGATGCCCAATGATGATGTGGCCTTTGGCGGCCTTGACACCAAGGCCCGCAAACTCACACACCACGAGCCCCAGCCCAAGTCCGTGGCTGGGGGCGAACGACTGCAGCATCGGGACAACGGCAGTCTTGGAGGCGACCCGGACCTGTCGTTTGTACGTGAGCTGTCGATTCTACAACAGCGGCCGGACGTCGAAGTCCAGGTGATTGAGATGGACGACCAGGATCTGCAGGACCCGACCCTGGTTTACGGCAAAAACGATCTCGACAGCTCACCCATCGTGAGCTGCAAGTTCAAGGAGCTGGGCGCCATGGCAGTGTTCCGCATCTCAAGTCTGCGCGACTATGATGGCGGCAAGGTTGGCGCCGATGATTTTGATATGGTCTGGCTGCACGGAGCCGAGGCCGCCAGCACGGCGCTCAGCCGGAAATCGATCCTGGCCAGGCTTAACAACAGCACCCCCGTACGCATTGGCGATGTCGTCGATGCCGTTTTGACAGTCCAGCCGTAATGTCCGACCAGCTGTAGTGGCTGGCCAGCGAACCCCTCCCCCATACTTGCCTTTGCATCCTTCTATCCCTTCTCTTTTGCAGAGACGGATACCTGAGATCGCTCTCGGCGACAACGATGACGATGACAACAATGGCGATAACGGCGCGAATGGGGCACTGATTGCGGTGCAAATCGTGGAAGGGCTTGGCCACCAAGACGACGCTGTTTCTTATCTTTCGTGGTGCGAATGGAGGGAATCTGGAACACGCTTCTATTCGCATGACCGATGGGCAGCATCGACCATGGTTTTCGCAAGGACATGGCGCGGGCCGGCTTGGCACCAACAGCGGCGCACTGGAACCGTGTCCGCTTGGCTCGAATGGCCGCCGCCCTCTCATTTGTCCTTTTCGGTCTCCGTAGCGGTTTTTCGATCGGCAATCTCGCTCTTGTTCCTTCCTGTCGCCAGAGACTGCCTTTCGGCTCCCACTCCCGCCTCCTCCTCCTCCTCCTCCTCCTCCTCCAAAGGCCCGCGCCTGCATCCTTCCGAATCTCTCCGCCTCGAACCGCATCGGATTTACCCCCCCCAGCCGGATCCCCTGCATCTTACATCCCGCCCTCAGCAACCAGACAGAACACACAAATCATCACGCTTTGGCATCATGACGATTCCGGGAGGAGCAGGCCAGCACCAATCACAAGGCGATCAGGCCAAAGCCCGGCAAGAACAGCAAAAGAAGCTGCTAAAATACCAGCGACAGAAGGAAGCCGATGTGAACGAATATGTAAGCCCTTGCGCGGATCGCTGTGTCCCTTGGGACTGTTGGCTCCCCGCCTTCTCTCCCTCTCCTCGCTATCTGCGATGCAGATCCAGCAGCATCCAGCAAGCGGCGATCGGGGCGGCGTCATCTCTTCGTTGTGACGGACATGTGCAGGATATTGGAGTCGCAGGTGCACTGACTGACACCCAACTTCTGGCTTCTGGCTGCAGGAGAAGGAGATCATCTACAGCGACAAATATAGCGACGACATCTACGAGTATCGCCACGTAATGTATGACTCGCTCCAGCTCAAGTATTCTTGACCTCCCCCCCCCACTTGCGCGAAACATCTGCGGAGTGCAGCAGCAGAGTCGCGATGGCAGGCGATCTGGGGATCATCGTCGGCGATGACTGACGCCTCTCTGCTTGATCCGACAGGCTCCCTCAAAAGCTCGGTGTGTATTTGACTCCACACGACTGGCAGCACCGATCCACTCTGCTGAGTGAGCTCGAGACAACGCTTGCTGAGCCGATAACTGGTGGATGTGCACGGCGTTCGATGGAAGGAGATGTGGGAATCGCTGGATAGTTAACTGATCGAATGGCGTCACTGGCTCTGGATCCGATTGTATTGGTCTGATTTGAATGACTCAGCTCAATATGTTCCCCAAGGTAAGACGCCGAGACAACCGCAAGAGACGGCATGCACTGTTGTGACCGACTCCGAGACCGCACTGTTGTGACCGACTCCGAGACCGCACTGACATGGTCTCCAAACTTATGTCCTCGTCTCTCTTCACTGCACGCCGACGCCTCTGCTTTTGAACCGCGGCCGGGTTATGCTGGAAATCAGGACGTCTGATGCCGGAGGATGAATGGCGATCACTTGGAGTAATGCAAAGCCGCGGATGGATCCACTACATGGTTCACAGTGAGTCGACGTCGCCGCTGCATATATTGCCACATCTGCGCGATAGAGGATGCAGCCATCCTGCAATATGGCCCAATGATCCGACCCAATCTCGGGCTGTTTGTCCTTCTACCTGTGTCCAGACCCAGAGCCACATATCCTGCTGTTCCGAAGAGAGCTGAATTACGGCCAAAACTGATCCAGAGAAAAGAGTTGGTGTCGACCGAAGGGCGAAATGGGACTCGTGTGATGATAAAAGCAGCATGATGCAACCAAACCGGAAGGAATCGTTCTCGTCACGATCTGCCACGCTGACGAAGCTTGCTGCAGATCGGCAGTGGCCCAGTCCCTGAGAGAGGGGAAGAAGACAAAAGAAACAAAGAAAGAGATATTCGGAGGACTATTTGCGGCAGATTGTGGATCTCTTCTCCCTTTGTACCCTTTGATCAATTCATGGCACATGCACATGGTGACTGCGATGGCCTGAGTGTGGCTGATCACTGCCGGACTCGGAACCTCGCTCCTCTCTCCTCTCGATTCCTTTACACAGTCTTATTTCTCTGCATACTTGCAATCTGTGCGCCAGACCGAAAACCGAAAACCGGAAGCCAAAGCTGGGGAGTTGTTGCATTAGAGCACTCATTTGTGAATGGAGGGCGCCTCAGCTTTGCGGTGGCCTCTCTGTTTTGAATACATGCGAGTTTACCCAGGATTCAAAATGGCCATCTGCAATAGCGACTTCGACTGGGGAGGGCGGAGCTCCGCAACATCCATCCGACAATGCCGTTCACACCCGCCCGTTCTCACGTCCATGCTCTCGCATGGGTTGAGATTGAAGCTCCGGCATGCCCCAAGCCATGATCTCACCACCAATCCATTCGAGCAACAAACGCGGCGATATCCAGAGTCCTGGTATCGTTGGTATTTTTTTTGTTGGAGGGGAGGTCGAATTCCCCTCCGAGATGTATTCAACTTAGTATGAGTTCTTCGTCAATCGTTTTTTCTTTTTTTGGGGTTTGCGTTTTTCTGAAGGGGGTTTCGATTTTCCGTTTTCCTCACAGGTGAAACAGTCGGAAACAGAAGCGAACATGATGCGGGGTTAGTTTCCCTTTCTCCTTCCTTCCTTTCTTCCTCCACCACTTCTAAATATCAGCAATGGATACACCCCTGTGCCCTATCTTCCCCAGGTCAGCTGTTGGCATCGTTCATGAAGTAATAGATGGAATGAGAAGAAGAGGAGGAAAAAAGGGGGGGTAGAAGAGGCTGGCGTGCATACGTGTGGATAACATAAAGAAAGAAAATCAGCGAACAAATAGAGTATTTAACCAGTGGGGGAAGGTTTTAAGAGAGAGAGAGAGAGAGAGAGAGAGAGAGAAAAGGGGGGGATGAGTGGCAAGAAGGCACAACAAAAGCGGAACGAGAGCGAGCCAACAACGATCAGAGCCAAGAATCCATCGGAGGAGCGGTGGTGCGCTTCCGAGAAAGTCAGGTTGAATAAAGGTCGTGCCCACAGCCAGTGCCGATCGGCTGGGAGGTGGGATCCCGTCGAAGGAAGCGCTCCGGTGATGGGCTTGTGCAGTCAAGCGTCAGGGCAGAGGGTGGAGGAGCGGAAGGGTGGGCCGGGTGGAGGAGAGCGATGGACGGGAAGAACCAGGGCGGGCGGGCGAGCAGGCAATGGAGCAGCAAACAGGGCGTGGGCGATTGAGATGCAAGCAGCCGACAGAGACGCCGGCAAGACGGTTGGATGGATGGATGGATCGGCAGTTCGCAGCGGTCCTCCGACAAGATATGCCGGTGGGCCGGGTACCCCACAGGGGTCGTCATTGTCAGTGCTGAGCAGGCTTCTCCATCGTCAGCGTCTGGATCAGCTCGTCCAGTGGGGCCAGCTCCTTCTTGTCGATCAGCTGGAACTCTTGAACAAAGAAGATAAAGTGCTTGAAGGAGGTGTTGAGATGGGCCTCCTCTCCGAGAGCGACGATTCGCGGGAAGTGGGCGTGGTAGATGTGGGCATACACGCGGAAGAGCCGCTTGAAGATGGTCTTGACGATCGACTGGAACGTCTTTGGAAACGGGACGCCGATCTTGGACGGGAAGATGGCCTCGTCATCGAGCTGCGACTGCACCCAGGTCATCAGATAGTCGACGTACTCGGGCGCCGAGACCTTGACGGGCTTCTTGAACTGCACGCCATCACACCAGTGGTATTCGTACTTTGGGCCGGCCGACATGACAACGCAGTCCTGGGCGGTGCAAAAGTCGGTGATGGTGCCGTACAGCATGTTGATCTGGTTGAAAAAGTCGACGGTGTTGACGGCCAGCCATTCGTTCAAGTCTTCGCCCTCGGGCAGCAGCACGGCGGCCTTGAGGTTCCCTGATCCCAGCGTCGCTTCGGCATATTTCTTGAGCTGGTACTGCTTTGTGCCCTCGGGTAAGTTCTTTTTGGGCTTGAAGGTCTTGTTCTGCCGGACGCAAGCGGCCACGACGGCAGCAGATAGACATGCAGCGGTGGCAAGGGACGCCGAATCGGCCGCGGTGCATCGGCGCGATGACGATACGCCGGCAGTCGTTGGCCAAACGGGTGGATGGACGAGCAAAACATATACGGGTCAGCCGGTATTCCGCACCTCGAGGACCACCAAGGTCATCCGCGAGGCTCGTCCTCCCCCCCAGGCGGTAGCCACAGACGCAGCCATGGTCAGGACCCCTGCAAGGGCTCCGAACAGAGTCTGCACAGATCCGCCCAAGAAATCGACGCCATAAGGGATGCAGATGGAGGCAGGCTCGAAGGAGCGAGGCCGGATGCGACGGCGAGGCCAGGGCAGCATCGAGGGCACTGGCCGGCAGCGAGCCCAGGCGGGATATTATCCAACCCCAGATGGCGTATCTGCAGCACTTTCAACAGACGAGGCCACGGACAAAAGACGGTGGCCGCATCCGAGAGCAGCAGCAAAGGACAGCCGGCGCCAGACGACATGGAAGGAAGCAGCTCGCAGAGCTGGGAGCGCGAAAGCCCGCAGCGACGGGCACTGGCCGACGACGGCATCCGGGCTCGACGGGCTGAGCGATCGCGCTGCAGCGGCGCTTACCGCTTTGAAGAAACTCATGGCGGGAGGCAAGATGGGTGGATGCGAGAGCCTGTCTGTGCAGGTGGGGACGGTATGAGGCCCGATCGTTGCAAAGGAGCGTCGGGTCGGTTCTCGGGCGCGGCTGGTCTTTGAGCGGTTTGAGTCCGGCGGGGGGGAGGAGGAGAAGCGCGCAAAACCCGCCGTCCCAGGGTGCTCATGGCCGCCCGCCTGTCTGTCGATCGACCAGTCGACTGATCAAGCGATCGGCCCAGCGACCGTTCGTCGGTTATATCTGTCGAGTGCCAAGCGCATACTTGTCGACTCTGTACAGGCTCGGGTTGATCTCTCGTCACATCCCCCGACCTGCTTCGGCGACCACCGTCCGTCTAACTACTCTGTCGCAATCTGCCATCAATGCTGTCGTTTACTCGCCGTCCCGCTGCCGCTGGGCTCAAGCTCGATCCGCCGTCGTCGAATATCCATACAGGGTCGGCTCACTCCCGCTCGTCGTCCGTATCGATGGCGCCGTGTGCTCCTCTCAGTCCAGGTTATCTTCCACCCTGGGTCGGTGATCCAGCCGCTCTTGGCCACGAGGCTGTGGCTCAACGACGACCAGCTCTGCGGGTCAGGGTGGCCACCAGCTTTGGAACGGCAGTGATCCCCTGCCCCGAGGGCGCCACTATCGCCTGGGCACTGGCCGAGGTCTACAGCCGCATCATGAAGATCGACGAGAGCATGGGACGGGGCGACGCAACGGACCGACTCGACAATGAGCGGACGATGCCGCCGCTGACGTTTGCCCGGACCCTCCATGGCGACATTCTCGACATTGACGATCTCGTATCCGACGTTTGCGATCCTGGCGAGGTATGTGCGTGTGGGTGCGCTGTGTCGGTGTCTGTGGATGTTGAATCTATGTAACTATGGCAATCGGCATCTCGCGATGTCGGATGGCCCAAACGCTGCCGGTGGGAATCAGAGGGGAACGCTGAACCTGGACCGGGGTGCGGCGTCCTCAGCAGCGATGCCACCACGGCCGTCCAACTCGAACTCTCTCTTCTCCGACTGCAATCCAGACGATCATTGCCCTGTCATTGGCCGAGGCCGCGCGGCTGCCGCTGGCCCTACACCCGATCTTCCATTCCAGCCCGCTTCAACCCGAAACCGACAGTTCCCGAGTCGCTGCTCGCTCCGAGATGCCAAGCCCGACTTCCCATGCAGCCTCGCGCGCACCCGATAGAGGCTCCGCTCCATCGGCCAGGGATGCGTCTGGAAGAGCTCGATCCGAACCCGCTCAAACGGGCGGCTCCAAGCACCAGGGCCCTGTCGACGGTCGCTGGCTATCGTCGATCCCCGAAGGCTCTTCGCCCACCCGAGGGTGTTGAGCTGGATCTTGGCATCGTTCAGCAGATCGCTTCCTACGCTCTCTCTCTTGGCCATTTCTGTGTAAGCGTATGGAATACATGACCTTGCCTCTGTGAGTGCCGATCAACGGATACAGCGAGATGCCATGATGCCCTATCAATGTCAGGATCAGCAAATAGCTTGATCCTCTTGTTGAGTTTGCCGGGAAGGAGCAAGACTCACTGCGTGCGATGGATATTGCTGGCTGTTGCTATGGAGTGGATGGTTGTCATGATTTCCATGAGTGCCATGCGGGAATCCAAGGTCGAATGCAGCAGCGACAGACTCTATTGACTGGGTGTTTGCTTGACGCCGTGAGCAGAACTACGACAGATGCACTGGACTGACTGGACTGGTGCTCACCCGCTGAAGCAGACACAAAAGATGCTTGCCAAGCAGCCCTGCCTTGCTCATGACTCATTCCCTTGGACCGGCTGTCTCGGACCGGCTGTCTTGGACCGGCTGTCTTGGATCGATGGTCTCGGATCGGCTGTCTTGAGCTATTCTCTTTCCCCCCCCCCAACCACAGTCACAGTGTCGCTGTCGCTATCCCACCGCCATTCCTTCCCATAACAACAGCACTGACTCGCTCATGTCTCCCAGGCCGTCTCCGCACCCGCAGACCACCACTCTCCTCTCCCCCCGCCAGCGATCCCCGAATGACCCCCAGCTCCGTCTTGCGTTCCCACGGCACCAAAGCCTGCCGGCGGAGATGCTGCTCCGCTGCCTCGCCGCGCCGACGCCGGCCAGCGCTGCCCAAAGCCATCCCCTCCAGGGTTGCTAATGATGCATCGGCGGACCGCCGACTCGGGGCGAGTCGGGACATGGATACCCAACCGCAGCCTAGAATATCCTCGGATCATGTTTGATCTTGTCCTTGATCAACTCCAGGCTGCGGGATCACGCCGAACCTCGGTCCTTGCTCAGCTCTCGTTTATCGCCTCCCCCTGATCTTGGTCGCGCCTACATCTCACACCTCTTACAACCGCTGAAGCCTCGATCGTTTCTATCCAGCGCCTCTCCAAAAGCCGCATACTCACCTCTCCCCATCGTCGTGCCGCATGTCATTCTCCATGGAGCTTAAGCCGCCGCCCTCCAAATCACGCTGCTCCAAGCTTCCGCCCGTCCTCGACGTCAAAGTCTCGCTCGGACAGACGGTCTTTGTCGCCGGCGACGTTATCAACGGCCAGCTGGAGATTTCCGTCAAACACTGTTCCCAGAGCGATCTCCTGCTCGGAGAGATATCCGTGAGCCTCGGAGGACTGGAAGGTATCCTTGCCCTTGTCTTGTCTCGCTCCGTTCCGCCGTTTCTTCATCGTTATCGCCCCCCCTCCCTCTCCCTTCCTAGCTACTACGCCGTCCCTGGGCAACTAGCTACAGCTCCAACTGCCCAGCTTGTCTCTTGGTTTTCCACCCGCACTCGTCAGTCGCTTCAACTGACCTTGCCGTTCTTGCTCTTCCGGTCTGCTACCTGCATGCTCCGGTCTGCTCCTTGAACCTGACGCCCACGGACTCATCGTACCCATTGACCATGCCACCCCAGAGCTCAACCACAGAGCATATGTCGGCTCCCAGACGTTCCTGAGCTCGATCATCATCTTTCAGGATAGAAACCGGTGTCCCTCTCATGCCGTCGGCTTCCGGGCTGGTGACGGCATGTGGTTTGCCAAGACCGGCACAACCATCTTTACATTTGCCTTCCAACTGCCGGTGGATGCGCCTTCATCCTTTGGGTTCCCGTATCCGTCCAACAATTTGCTTCACATCATGGAGTCTAACTTCCTGGCGAGCCTGCAATATGTCGTCGAGGCGTGAGTGTGCTTGTTCTTGAGCGAGGGTGCCTAATTCCCACGCACTCGCTGTTTTACTCGCCTGCTCTTCTGCGCTTGGAGCTACATATCTCTGGATCGACTGGGAGATTGACACACCCGGTCCTGGGCCCAATCTCTCTCCTGCACTAGGCACGTTGAATACTGTTGGAATGGTCATACCGAGTCCTTTTACCAGTCCAAGCCCGCTGCCGTTGTACAGTGCAGCCCAAGGCTCTATCCACAGCTCGCATGCCCGCCTGACCCGACTCCAAGAACCGCCATGGTTGAGGAGCAAGGGATTGTCTTTGAGGCATCCATCCACGACGAAATCGTATCCTCGGGCAAATCTGTGAACATCCATGTCACTGTCCACAACAAATCCAGCAGAGTTGTACGTTTCGTTGAGCGATCTGATATATCGAGTTGCAGCAGCGACGTGCAGCAGCGAGTTACAGCGGGCTGCGGCGGGGTGGCGTGCATAGCAATTTGCCTTGTCATGATCATCTGTAGCTGCCAGTTTGTCCTGGTCCGGGTGTCCCAGCAAACTCTTCCGTTGATCGTATGGCCATCCTATGGCTCGATTGCCCCTGTTCGACCCGTGTTGATCTCCACAATCAGATGCCCATACCTGGCAACACATGTGTGCATCAGAGCAGCCGGATGCATTCGGTAGAGTCTGTGCGTCAGCTCCCTGAAATAACCAAGCAAACTTCTCCCCCTGTCTTTACATCCAGATCTCTGATTTGCATGTCTGTCTGAAGCGCACCCTGACCATATCGAAGCCCCTGATTGACACCGATAAGCCGACGCGCATCACTGATCTGGTTTGTTCTCGAGCACCTGCTGTGAACGAGTTCACGGTCGTGCCGGGAGAGATCCGCAGTCGAATTATCAGTCTCGAGATACCGGTGAGTACGGGTGTGTTCGACGCAAATGCGGGGGCAAGTACAGACGTGCTACGGCGGATGGGTTGGGAAAGCAGCCCAGTCAGGTGCTAGTCGTTGGCCACGATGACGACAACATAGACTCACTGCATGAGCTCGCGGTTTGCTGCTGTCAATAATCGGTAGGTGCATATCCATACGGTCGAACATCGCGATCTGGCCAATGTTACTTGCCATCTGGAGCTGTCGATCAAGGTCCAGAAGTAGGTGAACTGCAGCTGGGTGGATGATCCACTCGAGGAGGAGGGAGATGGCAGCGCTATCGATCGCTGGTGCGGGTATTGCACAGGTATTGCACAGGTACTGGACAGGTATTGCACAGGTACTGGACAGTCTGGCCACGGGTATTTGACCCACAACTAATCCGTGGCCGTTTGCTGTCTCCTGACCCAAGGGGATATTGGATGATGGGCCGCAAGATCATGCTTTCTCTTCCTTTGCGCATCGTCCACCGCGAGTCGGTGCATCCCCCTCCGCCCTGCAATGTCGAGTCGCTCTTTCACGAGGCCTCTCACTTTCGAACGATCCAAGCACCTCGACACCTCCGCCTCGTGCCTAAGGACAACGAGACCCGCAAGCGACTCGGCTGCCTCCGGCCGGCCGAACAAGACCGTGGCCGAGAGCGCCTTGTGCCCTGGCAAAACGACAATCCCGGCGTTGTCATGGAAGACGAAGCCATCGATCTGTTTGGACAATTGACGGACCTTTGTGGGCAGCTCGAGAAAATGAAGTTCCGCATCGAAGGTGAGCGAGCGACAGCCAGACCGGTCGGGAGACGGGTCGATGGGTAGATGGATTTGGAGTACCCGCTTGGGCAGATTGTGATGGCGTGGGAATTCAGCGGGACGAGCGCTGATCTGGGCCGTTCCTCCATCTCCATTCATCAGGAGTGACGGCGCCACAGTGTTATCGGGGCCCGGTCGGGATCGGCATCCGGGGCCACCCTAATGCAAACCCGGGTGCTCCAGCAGCGGCCACGGCGCCCAGCACAACTCCCGAGCCGCTGAGCGACCAACCAGCGAGCCCCACTCATACAACTCCTCATGGGCAGCCGCCTGAGACCCGTGCGGCAAGTGCTCCACGCAAGACGCCAGGCCGGCGCCACAACCCCCATCGTTTTGTCGGAACGGGCCACCTGAACGGGCCACGGAGTTCTGCGATCGCCACTTGCATCCGGCAAGATCGCCATGACGTCAGCGAGGCTGTTGAGGGAGCATTGGCGGAGCGTCGACTGCCATCGCTGCCTGGCAGCAGGGCAGCGGCAGCGGCAGCAGAGGATCCGGGCAAGGAGAGGCAGCCGACCAGCGACCAGACAGGCGCCGGTTCAGCAAGCCAGGTCGTGGCGGCCCTGTCGGCCAGTCTCAGCCATCTGTGCATCCCCGGCGCCAGGGGAGTCAAGTCCAAGCAGCGACTCTTTGGCCTGGGATTCCGTCGGTCGCCATCGGTTGCCTCGACAGCCTCACGCAACGGAGGCAGTCCCGCGCGAGTCGAGCCCAACTGCAACAGCGGCAGCAGCGGTGGCGGCGAGCGGCTGTCACTTTACGTCCCAAGCACGAACTACTCCCGCACCGAGTCGAGCGAAGATCAGGATGAAGTCCAAGAAGGTGAATGGGCGGAGACTGTGAGGGCACGCCAGGGCCGCAGTCGCCGATCCATTCCCTTCTTTTGAGAAATGGCGGCGCGAGATGGAGGCATGGGATTGTTGTCAGAGGACGGACGAGGGAAATGGGCTCTCTCCATGAATTGGGGAACGTGTGCTTCCCAGCATCAGAAAGAAAGAAATATAGTCAATGCCGTGAGGAGGAAAGCAAGGCAAGTGGATGAGCAAGTCGTGGGGAGATGCTGTCCGACAGGTAAGCGGCAAAGAAAGATATGGAAGGGACAAGACGGGCACACCCAGGAACGGCGCAGCGAGAAGGGACAAGTCCAAAGGCGAAAGGATAGTGGGAGCGTGGGGAACTGGAAAGTCGTGCGAGGGCCAAAGGACCAACGCGCAAGACGAAAGACCATGCAAGGTGACGGCCGAGCGCGGGTGCGGCTCAGGGAGCCAGCAAACACTGAGCGAGATACCGCCTGAGACAGACAAGGGCGCAGGTCATGGAGAGCAGAAAACGAGGGAGCCACCCGGCGGCCCCAGCACTCACAGACCGAGTGGACAGCAACGCACTTGCTCCTCCCAATACCCCGTAGCAGAGTTGAGCAGCGGAGCTCAACGGTGGGTGATGGACGCTGGGTCGCTATGACAGATGCGGTGGTGTGCGCACAGCCGTGGGGAGGAACCGCGGGATTGCTTGGACAGTGGGTTGCAGGGGGGGGTTGTGATGCTGTGGAGTTGTCATTGGCGGCGTCCATGATGCCGTTTGTGTTGTTACCGAGCATATCTCTGCTGTCCATGCGAGCTGCTTGTCGATATCGATGTGAACTGGTTCAATCACCCCTTGCGCTGGCGTGGGCCGCCCGCCCCCCTTGTTGCCCAGATAGAGCGTGCCCGAGAAGGTTGTGCGCCGGGGGCCTTTGCTGACAGCCATGCGGCCGTGCGCGCACAATCGCGCAACAGCCGGTGCAACCGCGCCGCCCTTGTGACCATCTGGGCTGCCGGGTGCGGTGGGTGGCTGTGGCCCGTGGGCGGGGGCCGTCCCTTGCGCCGATTGGCGAGAGACGTCGCGCAGCAGTGCGGTGCGACACTCGTGCGACCACAGCCCACAAGGCCCCTGGCGCCAGCCAGCCGGTGCCTGCAAGGGAATGCGGGAAGGCAAGAAGAAAGAGGCGAGGCAATGGGCCAGGATGCGATGCAACTTTTGGAGAGCGAACCGGGGGAATGCGAAACATACCGCGCGAATAACACCGTGCGAATAACACCGTGCGAATAACACCGTGCGAATAGCGTGATATTGATTCCGTGGTATGCCACTCCGCGCCGTGATGTGCATTTCCGCGTCCGCATGTGCGATTCTCATCCCCGCCATGCGATTGCAGATCCCGATGCGCCAGAGGTCGCCGGTCAGATGCCCCTCGATGCAGCGCCGGCGTCGCGACAGCATGGCAAGCACATGCAGAGACAGCAGGGGGACCTCGCCACGCATGTCGCCGGGGCTGCCCGCACTGGCCCTCCCGGATGCCTCCGCATGCTCCTCGTCGCTCCGAATGTTTTCCGCAGAATCGCCTCGCTGCTGCCTCATCAACGCCCACACGCTCCGGCCCACAGCAGCCACCTGCCTGCACCACACGGGGCGGTCAGCCGGCCGGCCCCGGCCACCAGACCAGGTTGGTGCGCCCGGCTGCCCCTCGGTGCTGTGTTTATGGTTGCGCGCGTCGGCCTTGGATTTGTGCCGGCCGACAAGGCCCGCCGCCTAATTATAGTCCCACAACAGCAGCAGCAGAACGAGTGCTTTCGAGGCTTCAGGCCACCCACCCCCGCTCGCCGAGACCTATATCATCGGTGCTGCGGCCTTTGCCGCCGAGCTTTTTCATCCGCGGACCCGTTTCTGTCCTGCGTCGCAAGCGTATCTCCCGGACTTCGCCATCTCCCCGCCTTGTGGGTGGAATCCGCACAGTCTTCTCACCAGGACCGATCGAGCACGGCATCACTCCCACAGCTCCTTCCGGATCCACTACTCGATCCTATCCAGAGATCGATATCCAAGCCTCCAGTGCTTTGCCTCTCCCCCCCCTGTTCTTTTCCTCTCCCTGAACCAGATACCTCTTCGTCTGCATCGTCGCTATGGCTCTGTCCAAGTTGCATCTCGCCGCCGTGGCATCACTGGCACTTTTCGCCCTCGAGGCACAGGCCCAAGGTTGGTGTCGGTCCTGGGTGGTGTCACTTTCCTCTCGATCGGCCGATCGTGTCCACCGTCTCGATCGGCCAACCATGACTCGCAGTGCATGGCTTCGTCCTCATGCTGGCACCAGATACTGGAGCATCTCGGAAGCGTCCCCCCGTCTCGGCGTGCTCCTATCTACCGGACCCGGCCCATCAAGGCATGCCATCAAGGCACACCGGCCTGCTCTCACGTTCTCACATGCATCTCCGCACCTTCCTCCCCCCACCTTCCAGCGTGCAGCCCTTACAACGGCACTGTATGCGCAAGCGTCCTCGCTCCCAATGCCACATACGCTACCCTGGCTCCCGTCCCCGCCGTCGAGGCTGCCCTCAGCCAGAACTTTACCTCACCGTTGGCCACGACGCTCCAGACTCTGAATCCCACCTGCGCCAAAACCATCCTTGCCAGCACTTGCCACCAGGCTTTCCTCACCTGCGGCACCACCCAAGGTCCGCCATCTGCTCGTGTTCTCGGTCTCGTTCGTGTCCTTGGCGCTGCTCCGATTCTTCCCCCGATGCCGATGCTTTACCGCCTTGATGCTGCCCTGTGGTTGCTGATCGTGCTTTCCTCCGCCTCGATCCAGTTTACCTGCCATGCAAGAGCTCCTGCGATGCTGTCGTGGGCGCCTGCCAGTCCACCTTCAGCTCGGCCGGCATGCTACAGATGCTGCCCAACTGCTCGTCATCCGACTACGGCACCACCAATTGCATCAGTCTGCAGGGCAATCTTTTGGCTGTCGATGTTCCTGCTACCAGCCCGCCGTCCACACCTTCAGCAGGAACCACCCTTCCGATCTGTCCTCCGCCGCTGATCGCTGACCCGAATCCCTCCAGCAACAACTCCAACTGCATGAGCGGATGCTGTCTGCCCTGCCCCAAGGAGCGCTTCTTTTATCAGCCTGGGTCAGTTGCATTGCTTCTTCCGGCAGGGTCCTCGAAATGCGGCATTCGAAGCACCACTGACCTTGCTTACGTTGGTCCCACAGCCTGATCGACAAGCTCGAGCTGGGCTTCAAGGTCATCTTCCTGATCTCGTTCGTGTGCTTCCTGCTTGTGGCTGTGTCGACCTTTTCCACACGCCGGGGCCGCGCCTTCCCACGCATCTTCACGGGCTTCTTCTCGGCCTGCGGTGCAGCCATGATGCTGGTCACCTTTGGAACCTACCCATGTAAGCTGCCTCATATACTATCACGGCCGCCTCAGCTTGTTTCAGCCAACACTATCCGATCACATCCAGCTCCATTCACCCGAGCTGGCTGCTTACCACCGTCTGGCTACTCCCTAAAACCCACGGACTCTTGCATCTCCCGTTCCTTCGTGGTCCCTGCGATCACATACCTCCAGCTTACTCGACGATGCAATGTGCAAGCGATGGTATCTCCGATGCCACCCAAGCAAACAACATCGTGTGTCTGGCAACTGGCATTGTCTTTGTCTACATGCTCTGGACCCTGATTTTCTGGGTCATGGCCATCATCTTTGCTATGCACATGGTATGTGCCATCTGCCACTCCCTTTCGCTCGAGGATGCAGCATCTCGGTCGGATGACAGCCACATGGATTGTTTGTCGCAGCGCTAATCAAGTGCGATGCTTCTTCTCCGTGCGCCGCTGCTTTGGCTCCAGATGATTGTCTGGGGAGTCGAGGGGCGTGTGCTCGTGCCCTACTCCAAGTACTTCCACATCGTTGCCTGGATCGTCCCGGTCGCTATGACTGTCGCCGTAGTGCTCAAGAACGAGCTCCGTGCCTATCCCGGCAACATTTGTCTGTACGTATGCGATATGGCATCGTTTGGCCGACCTCGAAAGAAGCCCGGCCAGAGCCGTGTACGCAGTCTCTCTGCCGCCTGCATCCACAATCCTAACTCTGCCTCGACCTGGTTGCTTCAACAGCCCCGGCAACAGCCTTGCGATCCCGCTGTTTTATGGCCCCCAGGTCATCATCGCCGGCCTCTGCGTTCTCCTCCATCTTGGAACGGCCATCAAGATTCTATGGGTAAGCGCAGGCTCCTTTGTCTTTGTCCTGATGGGGCCACTCCTCTCGCAGTGCCCTCTGCCGATTTGCCTTGCTCATCGACACAACCGCATTGGTCTTTGCGGCTGACCTCTCTGGCTTACGGTGGCTGTCGCAATCACAGGTCGGCATCAAGGCCTCCAGGAGTAGCTCCGAAAGCTGGCTCCGCAAGCAGATCCGTCTGCAGTGGCGCTCGGGCATGCTGGTCGTCGTTTTTTCCATCTCGTACATTGGCTTCATCCTCACCAACGTCGTCTATCTGATGCCGATGCTGTCGCTGACTGCCCAGGAGCCCTGGATCCAGAAGTGGGTCCTGTGTCTGATCCAAAACTCGCCTAACGGCGTCCAGACCTGTCTCCCGCTCGTGGTCGACCACGTCCCGCCCATCATTCCTCTGGCAACGTGGCTCGTCGTCACTCTGGCGATCGGTGTCTGGGTGGCTCTGGTGATGCTTCCTGGCCAGCCGCTTTTCAAGGACCAGTCCAAGAACAGTGTCTCGGACATTTCGCAAAAGTGAGCCGACGGAAGGCGATCTCGCTGATCGAGCCTTGGCGATGGCAGCTCGGCACGAACTGACCCTCCTTGACGCACCACGCTGTCTATAATGTGTTTTCCTCGCTCCCGATCCGATCCGATCCCATCCCATCCGATCCCATCCCATCCCATCCGATCCCATCCCATCCCATCCGATCCCATCCCTCAGTTCCCGTCTATCCCCGTACTTTGGTTTTGGCTCTTGTTGCTCGTTACTCTCGACACCTCGCCGCCCTTCCTTCTCTTGTTGCTACTTGTCTTGTCGCTCCTCCCCCACCCGTCTATGTGCCTCTCCTCTTCCCTTCTGGCTACCGGATGATGTGCCTGCCCCCCTCCTCCTCCATCGGTTTTGCTTTGTCTTGTCTTTTCTCGAGGACACTTTCCTCCGTCTTTGTCTTGGCTGGGGGTGGACGGCTCTCGCTCGTTCCTCAGTCCCACGTGAAAAATAGTAATCCATTTCTCCCTGCAAGCCCTCGCCGACCAGCCATGTCCGCAATGCTGTCCTCTCCTCTTCTCATGGTCGCCGATGGGGTGGTGCGGACGACCACCAGTCCCGCCTTTGACATGATCGAGGGAAATCAAAGCTGAAACCTCCCACACGAGACCATGCGATCCGTGAGGGACACAGATCCCGCGAAGCCCCACAGCCCTCGTCTGTCCACATATCCCGCTCACTTGCTGTCGAGGACACCGAAACACCCTCGATGCTGGTCCGTCGATCTGCATCGGGTCGTCTGAGCAAGGTTGGGTGGCTCTGGGCCGTTGTGCATCCCGTGGCGGGAGGCAGAGGAGCTGGGATCCTGGCCTCTTGTGGTGTGGGAATATTGATTTGCACATGGCTCCGGTAACGGCGCTTGATCCGTTTCCTCATCCTTCGTCCTACCCCCCCCCTTCCTCCTTGGCATCCGCCAATCTTCCAGGCCCAGCGGTTCGTCGCCCGAGTCCATGGCGGCCGCGGCTTGACTCCATGAGTGCCACCGGCTTCCGTGGCGAGCTGCAGCCACCGGCAGACCCGCTGAAGAGATGAGATCTCGCCGCATACAGGGCCGCCACCCCGTCCGCGTGAGCACCAGGCCAGACCGACTGAGCAAAAACCCCTGGGCGAGCATGTGAAGACTGAGCCATGGCCGCGAGCGAGACCATCGCTCCGGGCTGGCGCCCGTTTGATTCATTGCTTCAATCGCTTTCATTCACTCATCAGTCCATTTTATCCATCAAGATCGAAAAACGAGGCCACGGGGGCCACGGGCGCAGGGCTCCTGGAGAGCTCGAGCGAGCCCTTGAACATCGCAACGTCTTCGGGCTGCAGAATCACGTTCTTGGCCAAGATGCTCTCAGCCTCGGCCTCGAGGACCGCCTTGGCTGCCTTCTTGCTGGTGACGTGGACGCTGAGCTTGCGTCGGCAGGGCGAGTCGGGATGCACGTATTGGTCGTAGAAGGCAAGCAGGTCGTCCTTCTGGATGGCCTTGACCTGCTCGGCGTCGAGCTCGCTCTGTCGGAAGTTGTAGTAATGCGAAGACACATGTGTCCACACACGGCTGGATTCTTGGCCCAGGTTCTTGTCCTTCTCAAGCAGGCGGGATACCACCGCCTGGACATGGGTTGCATACGCCGTCTCCGAGAGGTCGCTTAGGATAGTCTGGGTATCACGATAGGCAAGCCGACGAGTCAGCGCGCGAGTTAGACGCATCGTTCGTGCATTGCAGAGGGTGATATGCGGCGGATCGATACACACACTTCGCCATGACAAAGGAAGGTGGATCGAGCCGCTGCCAAGTCGCTTCAAAGCACAGACTCCAGAGAGCCAGGCTCATACAGGCCGGGAACATTGCGGCCACCTCTGCTCATCCGCACGCCCACCCCACCCCATCCCCGCGGACTCACCCTCATCTTGGTCAAAAAGTCCTCGATGCGCGACTCGAGGTAGGCGGGGTGCTTTTCGCTCTGGATGATGAGTCGCAGTCCTGTCATGCTCGTCTGGTTGCGCAGGCCGCTGAAGACCATGTATCCCAGCTGCTCCTTGGTTCGCAGCTGGTCAAAGCACGGCTCGTTGATGATGTGCGAGAGCAGCGTGGCCTTGGTCCGCGTGGCGGTGTTGGCGTAGTCTCCAAACTGCAGGTAGTACTCGATGGCCGAGTTTGGGTTATCGGCATTGGGTACCTCGCGCACTTGGATGTGGAGAGTGCCTTGTGGGTTCAGAGACGGCGGCGGCGTTCAAAGCGTGTGATCGGGAGAGAGGAAGCTGTCAGATTTAGAACGGATCGGGAGCGAACTGCAGGTGGCCAAGCATTCGTCGCTCGCAATCTTGATTCTGATCGTGGTCCCAGATGACCGTTGCTAGGCTCGAGTCGCTGTCGTACATGTACATCGCCCGCCATATGATGAATCCACACTCCGTGAGACCCACCTTCGGGAAGGATGTGCGTGCGCATAGCCTTCATTTGGTACGCCACGGGCAGAGGCTTTGGCTGGAAAGCCTGCAGCACTGTGTCCACAAACCTCAAGGCATCCTGTCCAGCACAGTGCAGCGATCACGGTCAGCCCAAGATGCCACCAAAGGAGAAGTAGATGATATCGACAGCTTCGTGCGACCCCGTCCTCACCTGGCGCTTGATATTGCCGTGCGAGAGGCCCTCGATAAACACTTCGCTCAGCAGGTTGGGGAAGAAGCTCTGAACGTCGTCAGGGGTGACATCTGCATATCGGAGAGAGAGTGGTGGAGTCGGATGCAATGGTGCGAGGCAAGACTTTAGCAATCGTTCACTAGCAGCCCAGCGATGGACGGTGTGAACCAACCGGCCAGAGATATCACCGGCGATAGCAATGAACGTGATTGAGACCCTGGGGCACGTTGGAGCCACGAGCGCCTCTCGTCAAACAGTATCCGTCGTTACCTTCAAGCGCCGCGAGCTTCTCGGCGCTGGTCCACAGGCATTCCTGGGTGACGTACGACAAATAGTAGACCGAGTGCTGATAGGGAGCCTCGAGGTCCCAGTTTTTGTACTGCCGAGTCAGCTGCTCCTTCACCGACTTGAATCGAGTCGGGTTGATCTTCAAATTGGACATCTTCTCGACGATCTTTTCAAGGAGCTTGCCGATTTTGTCGTTATAACCACCAATGACGAGCTAGATGAAGCGATCGTGTCGTCAGCGACCGGGCGGACAGAAATGACGGACACACTCGAACACTTTGCCAGCTCTCGACCACGCTCCACCCACTCACGTACCCACTCACGCACTCACTCGCGCACTCACGCACTCACCACCAAGCCGTCGGTGTTGTTGTCCAGATCGTAGCTGAGTCCGGCCACCTCCGCGTAGTACGACAGCTCGTTCAGCGAATCCCGCAGCATGTCCGTATACAGTCGGGTGAGCACGCACATTCGCGGAGTGACATAGCTCAGCGGACTGGTGCATTGGCAGCGTCGAGGCAGACGAAGTCAGTGCGCTTGTTACGGATATAGATTTCGGGCGTGCAATCAAACGGATGCATGCCTTGGAGACTTACGCGCGCAGGTGAAACCACACGTTGCCCTTGGGCACCCAGAAGGTGTCATCCTTTTTGTGCCAGAATCGGATCAATGGGGTTTCCAGGATGATCTGGGCACCTTTGAGGACCTGTGGGGTTGTTGGTTAAAGGAAACCAATGGTTGAGCAGCGAGTCCAATGGTATCAGCATCGTCGGCAGTGAGGCCCCGGGACCAGCCCCAGCAGACTTGACCGCTGGGGTCAATCTTACCGTTACATTTTCGAGCTTGTCGACATCGAAGGATTCAGGAATAAACTCGTTCATCCTCGGCAGATGCAGATCGGGGTTGGGCTCCAGCTTTGTCAGATCGGTCCTCAGCTTCTCGCTCAGGGGCTCGACAAGGTACTCAGTGCCGTACCACTTGGCCTTCGCGAATGTCGTAGTGTCGAAATCGGGAGAAACCAGCGTGACTCTGTCGGCAAGAACGTGGAGCATGAGATTGGACCTGACAGCGCCGGTCGGCTTGATCGGACGCTGTGGAGTTGGAAGGCCGAGCGCTGGCTTCCAGTGTCGCAGTCCGGTTGAGTCCGATCGAGTCCGACCTCGTCCTTCCGTCGATAGCAACAGTTGACATATCTCGCCGAACACGGGAATACTCTACCGAAAGTTGTCAGGCCGCAAGTGCGACAGACATTGCTGCATCATCTCTGGCTCGTATCTCGTCAGCAGGTACGGTCCCGACAGAATGTCTTCTTTGGCATACTGATGCATCTGTTGAGCAACATTCGAAGCGTAGCTGGCAGGCGACTTTTTCTCCTTGAAGCGGAAGTGCATCATGTACAGCGACTTGCACTCGTTGAAGATCCACTTCTGGATGCCGGCCTTCTTGATCATGTCGATATACTGGAATATGATCACGATCACTTCGTTGTAGTGGGCTGGATGGAGACGGCAGTACGTGCAACGCCATAACCAGAGGGGCGAGCAAATGGAAGGGTGAGTAGAACCGGTCGACAGGCTCATTGGCCGGATGTCCTCTTTGGGTTGTTAGTTTGCGTGTGGCATTGAATCGTCAGTCGCGCTAACCTTGCCCCTCGGCAGTCAGATCCACAGTGATCTTGAAGAAGCCAAAGTTGATGCCACCTGAAGAGTACCCGGCCGACAGCGCGTTCGCCCAACCTGTACAGACGTCAGGCACGTTGGTGAGGAAGAGCCTGAACAAGAGCATTGCGATGCACGGATAGGGCATTCGGTCGACATACCTTTCTGTTTCAGCAGAGACAGAATCGACCCCTCGGCCTCGTGTCCAATCAAATGAGATCCGTAGCCACTCGGCTGTGATTCGGCATGATAAATAGGTGTGGTTGGCAGCCAGTGTTAGCGAGAGCTGGCTCAGTCGAGGGCACCTGTGTGTTGAACGGAGGGACGCTCGGACATCTACCTGCGACTCGTAGTGGGCCGATAGATCCGGGAAGGGGAAGACGAGCTCCAGGTGACGGATCTCCTTCACGGGCTTGATGAGCACTTGTTTCTGGAATCGCACCAGGAGGAATGCTTAGCAAAGGCGACGACGATTTCAGATGCCTCGATGTCCAGCCTCCACGATGGCGGCTTGCGTGGCCATAGCAAGTCTCACCATGAGCTCGTTTTCGGTCAGGGGATGTCCCTGGAACGCGGGCGGCTTGATGCCCAGACTCGGGACGTCCGAGAACATGCGAACAACCCACTCGGTAAGCGTGTCAAGGGGCTCTGCGTGTGGCAACAGGGTCAGGATCGTTATGGTTTCGATTTTGATTTCGATACAGTGCTGTCAGCAGTCGGCTCAGCTCAGCAGCAGCGGTGCTGGTCCAGCGAGACACCTGCCTTTGCCCAGCACAACGAGCTTCATAATGTTTGCCGAGTAGTATTTGCTGTGAAAGTCAAGCAGCAGCTTTCGGACATCCAGGCCCTTGTTCTCGGGGATATCCTTGAGAGTCTCCAGGCTGCCGGTTCCAAACTTGCAGTACGGGTGATTGGGGTTGGACAGGTCCTTCTCGAGCTGGTACGTGCGCCAGGTATCGCTCTGCAAGTTCTTCTTGTGTTCTAGGAAGAGCAAGATCAACATATCGAGCGGGTCAAGAGGAATCGAAGATGCCAAGAGCCAAAGCGAGGGCATCATGGCGCTGCTTCCGAAGCCGACTGCTTCCGAGGCCGGCTGCTTACCCGAGTCGACGGCCTTGAGCTCGCGGTCTGTGCATGACTCTGTGAAAAGCGGGCAGATGAAGAACTGGGCAAAGCTGTGTCCAGCCATGACGGCCCAGTCGCAGTGAGTCTCTGAATCATATGCTCCGTTTCCTGGTGGTCTTTGCTCGCGTGGCCTCGCCTGACTGGCTCGCCTGACCGGCCTGCATCAGGGACATCATCGGCCGCCGGCCCACATACCGATCGAGGGCGCCCTCGAGATGGTCCGAGGCGACCTCAAAGTAGTAATTGGTGTTCTCGACGCCGGTGAAGGCATTGGAATAGCCCCCGTGCTCGGAAAGGTACTGCAGCAGGCGCAGGGGTTAGGAAGGCAGCAGGAGCAGCAGCAGCAGCAGCAGCAGCGAGGCAACCGGAATAGCTCCAAACCCAGGATATGGGGCGCTCGGCTCAGCCGATTGAATGGCGCTCTTTGCCGCACCTGGCTGTAATCATTCTCAGAGGGATACTGTGGTGTACATGCCAGGTTCTGTCGGTTAGTGCAAGAAGATCGGGGACTTCAAGCCGACCAGCGCCGGCCTCGACAGATGCACCAGCCAACAGCCCACAGGGACACCGACACAGCGAGCACCAGACTTTGCTAATCGCACTCGAGTGTATATCCTCGGATTTCAGCCCAAGTATGCCCTACCTTTGTGGTGCCCTTCAGATCCAGATCCAGATCCAGACGACCGATTTCAATCGCGGTTGCCGACCGACATTGATAGCAGATCTGCGTCAGACTTGGCCCGAGCAGCCTCGACATGCATCGGACACAACAAAACACTTGCTCCGCTGCACCTACGGGCTTACCATAAACACTACAGACGGCATGGACGGGATGGCAGTGTGAGTAATCGCATGTCGGCAAGGGAGTCAAGCCTTGATAGCGATCCCAAGCACAGAGAGCCGCACAGCCGAGCGGGGACATGCTGCCGCAGACAGCCACATACACAAATGCTCGCAAAAATGGGCCAGTCCGGCGGCCTCGTCGGGATCGCAGAGGTGCCCGACGTGAACGTCGAGTGCTGCCGACGACTTGTCCGTCGACGGGTCCGAGATCACCAGACAGTCCATCGAGTTGTCCTCGAGGGTGATCAGGCGGTAGCCGCGATCATCTTGGTCAGGCTTGCGGACGGCAGTGAACGCGGCATGGTGGCCGCCTATGGTTGTGTCCGAGACAGCGGTCTCTCTATTCATCGGTAGAGAGGGGGGGGGCAGGTGTTGGAGGGTTGGTGCGGTGGATGGGGTTGCAGGACAGGAAGCCAACGACAGTCGACCAAAGGGCGCCTCGCTTTGGGGCTGGGCGAGAGCGGTGGCGAGGGCGGCAGCGACCTGAAACGGCCACCGGCTCTGCGAGAACGGTGGGACCAGCCCCGATTGGGGTGCCGTCTGGACCCGCGCAGATTGCCGTGGACTGCCCAGCACGCAAGCAGCAGCGGCAGAGCCATGTATTCGCCTGGAAGAGATATGAGAATACCCGTCGATACGGGATTAGTCGATTCTCAGATCCCCGCGTTGATTTCGTCCAATAAATCAGACGATGTGTTCATCCGAGCATAGGAGCAAACTCGGAGGTGCCAGGCCACAGAGGCGGGTCTGCAAAACGCAGACCACACCCCACTTCTCGTCGAGCCTCAGAGGCTCTTGAGAAGAATGTTGCGTGCTCCATTCACGTCTCGATCGATGACGGTGGAGCACTGGTTGCAGTTGAATGTCTTGGCTGCCCCAAGGTCTCTCTTGATGAACCCGCAGTGGGTGCAGGTCTTGCTGGTGTACTCTTCGCCGACCACCCTGACAATGGTGCCATACTCCTGTGCCTTGCATTGCACTCTGTCCACGAATCGACAGTGGGACAGCTGGACCATGCGCTCTCGGTTGCGCTTGCTGATGTGTCTGAAACCATGGTAGTTGAGCTTCGGGATGAAGATGATGTCGTAGTTGGAACAGAGCCACTTGGCTGCCTTGCGATGGAGATCGTCCACCAGGTCTCGGATCCGCTCGTTCAGCCGGGCAATGGCCCGTCGCATCAACTTCTTCTTTCTCCGCTGCTTCTTGGTCAACTTGGCCATCTTGGACTGGACCTTGCCAACACTTCGCTTGAGGTCATTGATCTTGGAGTATCCACTGACATTGGGACTCCAGGCTGTGACCAGCCCAGAGGGGTCGAAGGTGGTGATGAAATCGCGCACACCAGGATCGACAGAGACAACCCTGAGATCACCCTGAGGAGCTTGGCTTTCGCTCCTCTTGGGTAGTGGCTCGGCGATGACAATGTAGACCTTGTTGGTGCGTGTCTTGATCAGGCGGGTGTCATGGGCCAGGGGGAGAGTGAGTTGCTTGCCTCGCTCGACTCGGTCCTCGGCATTGAGCTTGAAGGGATTGAGTCTGTTCCAGAAGCTGTCACCCTTGACGATCTTGCCCCAGTGCTTCTTGAGCAGGACACAGGACTCTTGGCTGACCCGTTTCTTGCTCGAGAAGTGCATGTCGAATGGACTGGGGTTGTTGCCTTGGGCTTGCTGGGACAGGTATCGCTGCTGGTTCGAGAACCAGTTCTTGACAAAGTCTCGGACCGAATCGTCGATGAAATCGGCAGCGACACCCGTCTGGCGGATCCAGTGGTCCTTGTCGTAGCAAGACAGGACACCGACTCGCTGTCTCAGGTGTTCCAGGAGGACTGTCTTCTTCTTCTTGGGTGGATGGGGCTTGGGTGGCTCTGGAATCAAGATCTCACCAAGGCGATTCTTCCACTGTTTGTTGGGATACTGCTTCTGGAGAGCCTTGCGGGCAGCCATGTATGGCTCTCGCTCTCGTTTCCAGACTTGGAGTCGCTCGAGGTCTGCTTGCTGGTGGGATGAACTGACTCTGGCGTAACAAACTATGGACCTGGTTGTGATGGGCTGGGTGAGGCAGAAGACTCGCTCAATGTCCCGCACATTGTAGAGTCTGTGTCCGTTCTCGTTGGGGCGGATGTATCGCACTTTCCCAGCATCGGCCCATTTGGACAGAGTGGATGGGACGAGGCCGAATTGCTTGGGTGAGTTTATGGATGGAGATGTATTTTTCATCGCTCATGGCAGACAGGGATGTTTTTGATTCTGGCCCGTTCTTACCCTTGCCCAAGAAACAATATCAGCCAGAATCGACGCACGTTTTGAACGGACACCGACCTGGACGACGAGGATACTCTGCCCCAATTCAGGCTGGGCTCATCCTCATCGTTTCGTAGTTAGCGGCATTCCCGCAAAATAACCCGGGACAATGGTCAATCATAACGGACGCAGCCTTGCCTCTCCGTGCTCAATCAATGTATGTGGCTGATTGGTCAACAAGTATGACACGTATCCTGGTGAGACTGCCCGAGCAAGGGTGGACCAAAAGCGACAGCGACGTCGTCCAAAAGAATACGGCTCAAGCCTTATGCATCGTGTCCGGCGTCGGTCCTGTGGGTGTAGTTACGATGAGCCAAGCGAAATGGAACAGATAGTGTGTGCGAGTTGCCACGGTGCCACCTCCTGGTGTGGAGAAACGATTTTTTGAAGCAGCCCTGCGACATTTGGCCCTCGATACGACCAACTTGGCCCGCCGCTGAGCCTGTGATTGAAGAGGTACTCGGTGAACCACAACTTTCTGGCGAGCCCGCAGACCAAAAACGCCAGCCGAAGCAAGCCTTGAGCCCGACAATCTCTGCTTAGCAGCACAGACTCCTATCCAGAGACCATGAGCTTCTGCGACAACACCACTATAGCTCAGTTGAACCAGTCCTGCATCGCCTCGACAGCTGCTGCTGTCGCTGCCTTGCGAGAAGCTGGAACGCAATACAACACCGACGAAACAGCCCGAGTCAGCTACTGCGTGTACGCGGCATTCGGTGGGTATCGCATTTGTGGATGGCGGCAAGCTGATGTCGCCAGAGTGGCGACAGGCTTTGACTTGCAGATCTGACGGTATGCCCTCATGAAAATCAGTGCGACGGTTTAACTCTCTGGCCCCATTGCTCTGCATTTCGGTGATTGTTCCGCATAGCGCTCGGTAACCTGCTTCTCATCCTGGTGATGTTTGACGTACGTGCCACGAATATCTGCTCGCACTGAACTGTGGGGATGCAGCTGCGATTGCTGCATCGATCCTGTTGAATTGTCTGCGGCCATGTTCACACACCTCTCTCTCGCCGATACGTCCGCTGGGACGACCCGCCGATTGCTCCCACATCAGAAACTCGTCACCGGGCACGATCGACGCATTCTCACCATACTCTACGGCGCGATCGGGTTCTTCACGGTGAGCGATTTCTCACAGCAATCGCGGCTCGTTGTTCTCATCGACTAACGCAGCCTGAACATGGCATCTGCTCTGTCTGCTCTGTCTGCTCTGTCTGCTATCCAATAGGTGTTTTGCGTGTCCAAGGCTGCCAGCTTCGCGCCGAGCCTGTATGCAAGCCCATACTATGGCCTCCAGATTCTCGGTGTCATTCAGGCGGCTGCTTTCTCATCTGCCAAGGTTGGTTTCTCCATGTTATGCGTCCTCCTCACTTGTCGAAGACGCACCCAATACCACAGCGCTATATTTGCTACACGATCGAAAGCACAGGGCCGAGTTATTGGTTGTCTCTGCCGCTTACCCGTCGCGATTACTACCGATAGATCCTGGCAACGTTCTTCATTTATCTTCCCCTCAAGCAGCGCACCATCGCAAGCAAGGCAGCCGACGGCGTCTTCAAGGCGCTGATCTTGTTGCAAGGCCTTTACTCCATGGTTATTGATATCTACTGGGTGCTGGTCGAGACTCCGGTACTTTCCTTCCTGGATCCTACCTATGCCTGGGCAGGCTACTTTGTTATCCATGCCGGGCTTGATGTTGGCTTGCTGCTCTGGCAGACGACTCTGTAAGTGCTCCACGCAAGCGATCCCGTCGCGCCTCCTCATGCATTTGTATCGACTCGGCGGGTGCTTGGTTCATTTGCTGATTGAGTTGCTTGCATTGATAGGGTGCTGGGCCGAGAACAGCAGCGCAATACGATCACCCCAGCCAGGGCACTGAAATCCAGGGCGCGACTGGCATACTACGCCGGTGTCTTGATGCTCTTCGGCATCGCAGACTGCATGGCGGCCACCTATGCCATGAGGCCGTCTAAAGGCATCGGCATCTTGCGAGACATTCTCTACTTGGTCAAGCCCTTCCTTGCGCTGCCTGCAGTGCTTGATTCTCACGCGGCGTCCAGAGGCGAGCATCCAAAGTCCTTCAAGGGCTCGTCGGACCATCAACGGTCCGTGGTTGCCACGGGACAGGCATAGTCGACAAACGAGTCGGTCGTATGCATCTCCGTTCCCCTGTCGCCACGAGGTGGATGGCGGCTATGCCGCTAACTACGAAACGATGAGGATGAGCCCAGCCTGAATTGGGGCAGAGTATCCTCGTCGTCCAGGTCGGTGTCCGTTCAAAACGTGCGTCGATTCTGGCTGATATTGTTTCTTGGGCAAGGGTAAGAACGGGCCAGAATCAAAAACATCCCTGTCTGCCATGAGCGATGAAAAATACATCTCCATCCATAAACTCACCCAAGCAATTCGGCCTCGTCCCATCCACTCTGTCCAAATGGGCCGATGCTGGGAAAGTGCGATACATCCGCCCCAACGAGAACGGACACAGACTCTACAATGTGCGGGACATTGAGCGAGTCTTCTGCCTCACCCAGCCCATCACAACCAGGTCCATAGTTTGTTACGCCAGAGTCAGTTCATCCCACCAGCAAGCAGACCTCGAGCGACTCCAAGTCTGGAAACGAGAGCGAGAGCCATACATGGCTGCCCGCAAGGCTCTCCAGAAGCAGTATCCCAACAAACAGTGGAAGAATCGCCTTGGTGAGATCTTGATTCCAGAGCCACCCAAGCCCCATCCACCCAAGAAGAAGAAGACAGTCCTCCTGGAACACCTGAGACAGCGAGTCGGTGTCCTGTCTTGCTACGACAAGGACCACTGGATCCGCCAGACGGGTGTCGCTGCCGATTTCATCGACGATTCGGTCCGAGACTTTGTCAAGAACTGGTTCTCGAACCAGCAGCGATACCTGTCCCAGCAAGCCCAAGGCAACAACCCCAGTCCATTCGACATGCACTTCTCGAGCAAGAAACGGGTCAGCCAAGAGTCCTGTGTCCTGCTCAAGAAGCACTGGGGCAAGATCGTCAAGGGTGACAGCTTCTGGAACAGACTCAATCCCTTCAAGCTCAATGCCGAGGACCGAGTCGAGCGAGGCAAGCAACTCACTCTCCCCCTGGCCCATGACACCCGCCTGATCAAGACACGCACCAACAAGGTCTACATTGTCATCGCCGAGCCACTACCCAAGAGGAGCGAAAGCCAAGCTCCTCAGGGTGATCTCAGGGTTGTCTCTGTCGATCCTGGTGTGCGCGATTTCATCACCACCTTCGACCCCTCTGGGCTGGTCACAGCCTGGAGTCCCAATGTCAGTGGATACTCCAAGATCAATGACCTCAAGCGAAGTGTTGGCAAGGTCCAGTCCAAGATGGCCAAGTTGACCAAGAAGCAGCGGAGAAAGAAGAAGTTGATGCGACGGGCCATTGCCCGGCTGAACGAGCGGATCCGAGACCTGGTGGACGATCTCCATCGCAAGGCAGCCAAGTGGCTCTGTTCCAACTACGACATCATCTTCATCCCGAAGCTCAACTACCATGGTTTCAGACACATCAGCAAGCGCAACCGAGAGCGCATGGTCCAGCTGTCCCACTGTCGATTCGTGGACAGAGTGCAATGCAAGGCACAGGAGTATGGCACCATTGTCAGGGTGGTCGGCGAAGAGTACACCAGCAAGACCTGCACCCACTGCGGGTTCATCAAGAGAGACCTTGGGGCAGCCAAGACATTCAACTGCAACCAGTGCTCCACCGTCATCGATCGAGACGTGAATGGAGCACGCAACATTCTTCTCAAGAGCCTCTGAGGCTCGACGAGAAGTGGGGTGTGGTCTGCGTTTTGCAGACCCGCCTCTGTGGCCTGGCACCTCCGAGTTTGCTCCTATGCTCGGATGAACACATCGTCTGATTTATTGGACGAAATCAACGCGGGGATCTGAGAATCGACTAATCCCGTATCGACGGGTATTCTCATATCTCTTCCAGGCGTCTATCGCAACGAGTGAACGCACATGTCTATTTATGTTCGGAATAGTTTCATTCACCTGGTCCTTGGCCAGTACAGTCTGAGTTACTAAACTTGCACATTTGTTTGGCTTCGTTGATCAGCGCCAGTAGTTCGGTCTCCAAATGGTGCAAGAATGGTTGCCCCCGACACTGCCTTCGGTGTCATCGTCGAGATGTTTCGGTCCGTGCGCACACTGGCCGAGTCCCCGTCTTTACTGCCTAGGACTTCAATACCCCGGGCCACTCGAGACACCTCGGTGATGATCAAAAACGGCTTGATGATCAGGATAAAGTCTCTGATAACACTGACGCCCAGTTCGTTGTTGAGTAGGCTGTAGACCCCGAGAATATCTGCGGTCATGAAAATTGCAAGTCTCATGACGCCCGAGATGAAGTGCAGGAATATCATGCGCTGTCGCTTCTGCCTTTCCACTTCCGATTGGGCGACTTTATCGGCATCCTTTAGGCTAGCAGAGTGGCAATGCAAAGTTAGATTGTGTGCTTATCCACCAGAGTGTTTGTCACCAACCGCAACCCTGGGAGCTGCTTGCTGAGTGGAAGCACTGACGTACATGTAGATAGTATAAGATAAGATGCCAAAATCCAGCACCATCTGAAGGATCAAGCCCGTCCAGCTGACGGGCGGGATTGTGGCATATGGGACGTTGCTGAGGTGCAGAGTGAACAAGAGCGAGTTCGTGATGGTGTACTGGCCCCCGATCGCAGACAGCAGTCCTTGAACAAATATCATGACTTGGATGGCAACGTTGAAGGGGTTGCTCGCTTGCTTCACCAGCGGTTGGACGCGAATGTAGATCAAGTAGGTCGATGCCACCTGGAAAGACCACCGAGCTCAGAGCAGGATTGGAGAGTGATGCTCTGGAAACTCTCGGCTGCGATCAACTTACCTTGGCCAAGGAAATTGACACATTCGCCAACGTTTGCCACATCTGAAGAGCCCCCCAGGCTGCCACATCCACCGAAATGTTCGACAACAGGAACTTGGGAACGAACGTCGAGCCCTTGGCGACGCAGTATATCTTGAGAGCGGGATGTCTCTGTGAGCGACCAAATGCTGCAACGACGACGAGGTCCAGACAGTCGCCGGTCCCCCAGCCTGCCATCGGTTGGCTCGTACCGTGTTGAATCCGACGCATGTCCACAGCGACACAACCGCTGGTCGGTGAGTGAGTTGAACAATTCTCTGTTCAGAGTCAGGGCCGTTAGTCACCACTCTCGTTGCCCAGACGCAGTTTTGCTCGGAGCCGCAAAGCTGGCGAGAGTGTCATGGAGCTCCCAAGCGGAGCACACCGCAAAGATTGCAGCATGGGCCAAGTGGCGAAAGTCAAGCAGAGAGGATCAAGTGGCAGGGTCAACTGCCACACACCGGGAAGCATCGCTGCCTGAGATGAGCTTTGTGAAAGGGCAAGGGCCGCAGGAATCACGGTATCCACAGGGATATCGGATGAACCATACCTCCAGGAAAATAACAACCAGCGACAGGTTCAGAATAGCTGCGCGAACGAAATGCATTCACAGTTGCGCGATGGGAGACGATGCAGGGTGGTCAGCGACCGGACGGCCAACGCGAATTACAACGACAAATGTGCCGATGGCGCCGCTAACTACGAAACGACGAGTATTCTCATATCTCTTCCAGGCGTACCGATCCCATAAAGGCTGAAGGTTATGGGCTCATTGTACATCTGGTAGAGCATATACGTGTTGTAGTTTCCCTGCATGGTCAGGGCTGCCGCCGCCGACCGCTGGCACGTCGCATTGAACTGCGCGATGAAGCTCTGGCTGCAATTCATCGTTTGCGAGGACAGGGTAGATGATGGAGATACCTCTCGGAACCCCAGATGGACACGCACAAATATATGAAGGAAATTGCCATTCTCACGGTGAAGCAAGGAATCCGGGCTGAGCCCCAATCCGGCGGTGGTGGTCGGCCGAGGCAACGTCAGCTTCACAACTCCAGCGCCTTGTACAAGCCCGTCACCCCGCATCTATAGCAAAGCAAAAGCAGATTCGCCTGGCCAGGTCCGGTGTGTCAACGGCATGTAAACATATGGAGCTGGCGCCACAGGGCCATCTGACTGCGACAGACATGATTGATGGGGCTGGCCCATTTCGGCGCCAATTGCGCAGATTTCGGATGCCAACAGAGAGGGTTTGCTCACCTTTGTCGAGAAACATATGGACGAGCTCCAGACAGGCCCGTGCGTCTTCGTACGAATCATGACCGCCAACACCGTTTTGGATGACCTGACCCAACAGTTTGTCACTGAGGTATCGGAGCGAGTACTTTCGCTGCGGATCGCGGTGGCGAAAGAGGACCGATGTGTCGACTACCTTTGTGTGGACGAGCTGTGGAGGCCATTGATGAGGGTGCTTGTTCGCGAGCAATGCCTGCACCGAAAAGAGGCACTCTAGCTGATCACGCCTTACCCTCAAAGCATTGAGGTCATTTTCGAGTCTATGCCACCAGAGAATCACGACAGCGTCAGCGCAGAGGACAGATGAGGTGACATTCGTGGCCCTCATTTGATGCAACCAACGTGTTCGAACAAAGGGCAGGCTAAACCCAATGGTCTCTCCGGCGTTGGCCGCACCAGACAAATGCAGATTGCCAGCTCGAATTGAGCTGGCGGCGGAGTCTAACTGACCCATGTCCAATAATGATCGTGTCCTTGCCGATGAAGCCTTCCAACAACTCGTGGAGTTGACCCAGATTGTACTTTGCGTCATCGAGACTCTTGATTCCTGAGAAGCGTGTGTTGAGATCCACAACTGGAAACTGTGTCTTGCACAACTCGTCCACCAACACCTTGCCGTCCTTGTCGACCACCGTCAACCGTGTCAGTTCCATTCCGGCTTCTGTGTAGGACTGGGAGACTTCAATGTGAACCAGCTATCGATTCCGGCGATACAATGCGTGGCTGCTGTTTGCATGCTCCATACCATTTCGCAGTCCAGGGCGACGAGCTGGTGTTGGGTCTGCGTGTCGTTACCGATAGATCGGAAGGGAATCTAGACACCGGCTGGTAGCCATCAGTATCCATGGCGCCTCTTCGGCGGGCATTTCAGACGCATTCCCCTTCCTGACAATCAGCGGCTTACGTATGCATCGAGGTCGCGGAAGCCCTCCAGCTTGTAGACGTGGTGCCCAGTTGAGCAACCTGTTTTGACCAAGATACACACAAGCAACGATCACTATCGACCGTAGCGGAGTCGAAAATAACGACGTTGAGGAAGTTGTGTCGTACCTGCAGAGCTTGATGGCATCGAGCAGCAGCTGTACACTCGTTCTCGACTGCCTGCAATGGCCAACGGCGAGCACAGGTTGGGTAGAGTTCCTTGAATCGGAGCGGGACACCGTCGCTCAGCCACTCACCATGTGTCCGCTCGGTTTGTATCCGCCCTGTGTGATACTGGCAGCTCTGCGCTTGGCGTGCGTCGCTGGTATCGAAGTCGATTCCACATCTCTCGCACTTTTGTACTCGTGAATTGGGTTGTCCCAGGGTCTCGGTACTGTTCTCGGTCTCGTTGTCTTCTGGAAAGAGCGGGTAGCCATGTTGCTTCATATCCTCAGTGCTCAGCACAATGGCGTTGACAGCCGCGATGTTCCAGGATTTAGCTGATATTCGAGAGCATCAGTCATCGCCAGAAGGACGAATTGGCGCTCTTGACCTTGCCCCCCCCCAAAGCAGAACACAAGTTGCGATCTTGAGTTCCACCTGAAGCTCATGACTCACCCTGCTTTTTCTTGGGGTCGTACTCTCCGTCGGTGCCGATGTCGGTTTCCGAGCTGGCCGCTGGCCGCTTCTTGAGTCGCGAAAGGATGCCGCCGGCGTAAGTAATGTAGATGTCCTTGGCCTTGGAGGTGTTGGGGCACTTTGAGAGACACTCCAGCTCCTGTCTTTGCTCACACAAAGATGACACTGAGTGAGCTATTGGGCCGCTGGAAAAGGGCCAAGATCGCCTATCGGCATTTCTCTCCACATCCGGACTGAGTGATGCTCCCACTACTGACTTGAGAGCATGCTCCTGGGCAAGCTGGGGCAGCTTCGTCGAAATCGGCTGATATATTCGCTGGAACTGCTCCAGAAACTTTTCTGCGATCTTTTGGCGGCTTGCGTGTGGGACTTTGAAGTGCATGTTCATTGGAACCTGGAATCTCTGTGCTGCTACCAGGCTTCTTGGTCCTGACGACGCCTGCTGGTGGACGGATCGGTTACCGACGAGGCTCAGCCGCGGGATAGCGCTATGTCGCATCAACATATCTGAAGCCGGCGATGCCGCCGCTCTGTCGCTATACCTGGGCGGTTAGACGGCTGTGGTCGACCTTGGGTACAATATCTTTGATAACTCGAGTTCCGGGCTGCTTAGCGTCGTGTTTAGCGGTGCTCGTCTTCTCTGTCGCCGGGGTAAGGCTCGGCCGAGGATGGGATATGGGTTGGGACGGCACTTCCTTGGTCAAACTGATGCTCATACTTGCATCAGATCGGGCTGCACGCTTGGTGGGAGGATCGACATTCCGCGAGCTGCGATCGCCCTCGGCACGGCTGGGGGCTGGTCGTTTGCTCGCTGTTGTATTTTTGCACTCATGATGAGAGCCTGGCCCGGCAGCGTCTACGCACCCAAACATCATCACAATGCCTGCATCGGGTCATGGGCCATGGGGTCAGCCAGCGGCACTCACGGACTCGGGTCGATGGGGCCGAGGAAGCGGACTGGGATTTGTGGGTGAACAGGCAGAGGCCCGGGAACGCAGCGTAGATGCAGGCGCTGCCGTTGGGGCAGGGGACTTCTTTGAATCGAGTTGTCGGGAACATGGGTCCAGATACGACGGCGTAAGCGAGGCAGATCGGGACAAACCACGGCCCTGGGGTTCGGCTTCTCAGGAGCCAAGACGGTTCAGGCCAGAGCCAGATCCGTTGCTTGGATGCAAACGAGCGAGCCCGGCTGTGAGCGGCAGCAGCGGGGATGATGAACAGGCGGGACGGCGATGGAGCCGGTCGCAGGGTGGTGCTGGTCTCGTTCCGTCTTGGGCCTCACCCTTGTCGTTGGCCGTTGATCACCAAGCATCTCCCCGCCGACGACTCCCTCTCTGGTTGTTGCGCTCGGCCAAGGCGGAACAAGCCCTGATCAAATCTGTTCCAGCAGCAGCCCTCCCATCTGCCCTCGCTGCGCCTATCCATCCGTTTTGCCAAGAAACGTCGCCGTCTGCACCTTTCTGCCTGTTCTTGGCTCGCCCTATCGTCCATTCCGGCACTCGCAGACCTTCCTGGCGACCCTCGGCTGCCTCGCTGCCTTGCGCCGAGCCAAGGCATCTCGTAGCAAGCCGTATCATGACCGCCTCGCTGGTGCACAGCGCCGCCATTGTTCTCTCAACCTTTGCCGTCTCGCTGCTCTTTCTCTGGCTGCTGGCTCGCTATGTTGCCGACAGCTACGGCTTCCGAATCGGCCTGAGCCCAACTTCGATTCAGGTCTCCAACCTCCGCTTCGCTGCGTCCAGCATCCAGGTCTCGCTTGGCTCCATCCGCATCGAATGGTTTCGGTGCTCCGATGCACTCATCCGCATAGTATTGGAATCGCCACACATCGTCTCGACTCTGCCCGCAGCAACCCACCAGCGCCAGGAGCGGCCTCCCACAAAGTCTATCGAGGCTGTCGCTCGACTCCTGAAGACGGCTGCTCTGGTTGCGCGCAATGCATACATCCTCAAGTTTATTCTTGGTTGCTGGTGGACGAGCATCCTCATCCATGATCTGCAGCTCGAGCTCCACACTCACGCGGGCATCGGGCCCTTGCGCTTTGAACAGTCTCTGATATCGTTTGGATCGCTGCGGAAACAGAGTCAAGATAGCAGCCTCGACGACTGGCTGCATGTCTTTGGCTATGTCATTGAGTTCTCGACCTTCAGACTCGCAAGCGGCTCGCAAGACAAATCGGTCACCTTGGTCTCGACTGGTGCCGATCGGACCCAGAGGCTAGTTCTCCGAATCGGCGAAAAGAGGACTGCCCCCGGCGAAATGGTCGACGTTCAAGTCATCTCTGACGGCCTGGGCATCTCTGTAACCGGGCTACGAGAGCTCATTGCAGGCCCCAGCGCCTGCGACATACCAACGACCCCATATCCCCCGGGCACGGCTTCCGAGCTGCCGGCAAGCAGTCTCCATCATGGACCCAATTCCGGCAGCATTCTTGCACAAATCAACAAGCTTCTGGGCTCTCTCGAGAATCTGAATGTCGCCGTCGGTGTGGTCCTCAAGGACCTCTGCATCACAGCGTCAGAGAGCGCCAGCACAACAGACGAAGCCGGCGTCCCACCGGCAGTCGTCAGCCTCAAACTCAACGAGATGCAGCTCACAGTTACGGCCATATGCTCCAAAGACAGGCCAGCCATCCAGGCCTCTGCCTCAGTGAAGCTCAAGGGCGCTCATGCCGAAACGTCCGGCGCATACGCTGCAAGCTATCGAAAGAGCACTCTGGTAGACCTGGATGAACTCGGAGTGGTGCTCGACATGACGGTCGAAAACACAGAGGCTTATCTCGTGAGCTCCAGCCTCGATGTCTCTGTCGTCCGCCCGACGCTGCATGTGTCGAACGTTGCTCTTGAGCACATCCTTGCGATTGTGTCCAAATCTCTTCCGCCGCGGGCGTCACCGCCGAGCAACCCGCCGCCATCCACTCCGGTCCCTGGGCCAACCGAATTGCCGGGCTTGCGAGACCTCGTGCCGCTCCTGCGATTCAAGTCAAATATCAAGATCAGCCACGTCGTGCTTGGCGCCAGCTGTGTCTCGAATCGGCCGGGTGGACTGGAGTCCCTCGTCACCTTTGGCATTCGAAACATCGTCGTAAAGGCGGAGAAGCTGGTGGGGGATGCCTCCAGCAACTCCAGCACCGAGATCAACACCATCGATCAATTCTCAGTGATAGTGAGCGTGAGCCAAGCCGAGCTTGCATACGGTCTCGCGCGACCATCATATCACGAGGCTGTTGTCGCCCAGCGCATCGCAACGGTGCCGTCATTGAACGTGGGATCGGTTCTGTCGCTGGATGCCAACTTTGGCATTGACGTCAAGACTGGGATCGAGATCCCCGAGGTCTGTCTCGCTGTGTCAAGACTGGACTCGTCGGACACATTCGAGCGACACCACATGGGCGCCTTTGACCCATGGGAGAGACTCGAGGCCCACGAGCTGTTCGTTTCGAATCTGGATGCTGCAGTGACCGCCCTACTTCCCAAGTTGCGCGACGTGATGGGCAGCTCTGCGAACAGGCCCGCTCGTCCGTCCAGCGACGCCGATGGGAGCGCATATCCGGCTTTCTTCCAGACCCAGGCGATGATATCCAAGCTCAGCATCACCGCCACAACAGGCCGGAAAGACTTTGGAGTGGTATTGCAAGTGACTGACTGTGTTGCCGAGTCGACGAGCGACTGTATCCTCCATTGCTCGCTCGAGACGTGCTCGGTACAGTCTCTGTTTATGACTGACGACAAATCGCTGACACAAGATGTACTCGGCAATCCCCTGACGATCGCCAAGCTGGACGCAACTGTTTCACGTTCGAGTCCCGGGGACGTGATTGTTGACGTTGAAGTGAACAGCGTCGACATTGATTTCAACATCGGCATTGCCTACACCATCCTGCATACGTTTGCAGATCTCCGGGTGATGGCAAAGTCTTTCCAAGCTGTTGCGGCACGGATGCCTCTTAAAGGCACCAAAGGAAACCACTCTCCATCAGGTCCATTGATTTTGATCCAAAGCACACTGTCGCATCTGCGCATACATGCAGAGCTTCCAGGAAAACTGGAGGCGCGAATCCAGGCCAGCCCCGTCAGCATCCACGCTGTCAATCAAGGCAAAGTCAAGGTGCTGGTCGAGCGCATTGGAGTCCATATCGATGATCCTTCGGACGAAAAAGTGTCTTTTGACCTAGTGACCGGCACAGAGCTTGAGGTGAACCTTTCGAAGCAGCAAAGCACGTCCGAGGCACGCCGCTCAACCGTCAAGATCGAGGTTCGGGGAGGGGAGTACGAGCTGGTCGTGCCCCACAACTTTGAGTTCTCCAACCTGCTGGAAGACACGGTAAACACTGGAAAGGCGCTCAAGATTCTCGCCAAGCGCCTGTTCAGCGATAGCGAGGAAGAGCTAGGTGAGGCGGCCAGCTACCCGACCCGAATCCAAAACGACCGACTTCCTATCATTGTGGTAGAGGTCCGTCGATTGCATCTCAAGCTCATGGACGATCCATTCGAAGTGCAGCTGCGCCAGAGCTATATCGCCGGCATGCAGGAGCAAATTGGACGGATTGCTCGTGACGCAGCGTTCCGAAAGAAGGCAAATGCGATGCGAAGCAAACGAGAGACCGATGCGGAAGCAGGCGGACCGTAAGTGGAGTGGCAGTCGGGGCGGCTGTAGTGTCGTGGTGGTCGTGGCGGCGGGTGACTTGAATGGCGCTCGACACATCCGCACCAGTCATCTATCGCTGTGTACGAGAGGCTCATACGGTTTCCTTCCAAAAGTCGGGTCCGTATCGACAAAAGCACTCATCTGGTTGCCCGTGTTTCTCCATCGCCCACGGTAGATCGACGCTCGAAGAGATCGAGAAGGCATGGTGGCTGTTACAGACATTCAATTCTGACTCGTGGATCAGCCGCATCAAGGCCTTCAAGTCCAAGGAAGGCCCCGGTCAATGTCCGCTTGTCTGGTGTACCATTGAGGGGATTTCCATCTTGGTTGAGCCGCCAACGTTGCCGGCCGAGACTGTTGAGGAGTCTCTACACATCCTGGACGCACAAACGCCTGCCGATCTTGTCTACGACGAAGTGATTCCTCGAAACGTAACGCTGACGCTGGCATCGCTGACGCTCCGGCTACGAGACTACCCGTTCCCACTCGTGAATGTCCCGGCTGAAGGTCTGCGCATGTTCAAAACCCAGGGGCTTCTGATCATCTCAGAGCAATGCGCCTCGATCGAGTCCAAGCGCATCGTCAGTCTGCCTGTCCATCCACTCCTCCATGTCGATCCCCTGGTGGTTACACGCACGATCAACCCAACCAAGGTCTACGCCCGAATGCAGACCAACGTGATCACATCGTCGACAATCTTCTTCTGCTGGGGAGCGTGCTTTGAAGCGCCGCTGGCAGATATGGTCCGTGTACTCGATACCTTCACCAAGGCTAATGTCGATCCGAGTCCCCCGGTTGGCTGGTGGGACAAGCTCCGCCTGATTATGCATGGTAGCCATATCCTCAAGTTCTCTGGCGGCGGCGACTTGCGTCTCCGGGTTCCTAGCACCGCGTCGCCCTATCTCGACTCCAAAAAGTTCTCAGATCATGCTGGCGTGGAGCTGGTCATGTCCAAGGGCATCACGATCCTCAGTGGTGGAGCAACCCATGCAGCCACCGGTATGACCGAAGACACAGTCATTGAGTGTGGCGAGTTCTGCTGCGTCGCCCCAAAGGTTCTGGTTGAAGGACGGCGGGGCCATGGATGCGATGTCGTCGTCGCCAGGCTCCGCGGTGGCATCCGAGTCGGCGTAGGTGTCGACTACTTCACATCCTCCAACCCAGAGATGGGTCAACACAGCGAGGCGCCGGTGTATCGCGACCACAGCCAAATTGTGCTGAGGCATCCGATGTACGCCCTCGCCGACTCTGGGGATAATTTGGCGCCGCTACCGAACTCGACAGACTCCCAGATCTCCCCACCTGAATACGACGCCTTCCGGGGATTCCGGGCCACGAGTCTGCAAATCACCATCAACATCCAGTCTCCAAGACCCCTATATTACTCAATCAACACGCCACTCAATGGCCTGTATCTGAATCCAGAGATCCTATTCCGACTGAAGAAACTGTCGGAAGTGTACCAGTCGCCCCTAACCAATCTGCCGATCCGAAGTGGATCGCTGTGGTCCAAAGTCAGCCTTCAGCCGCGCAAACCCAAGTTCAGCCGAGCCATCGGCTCTGTGCGCATTGCAGCAACTCTCCACCCACTCGTAGCCAGCTTGATCAACCAGACGGAGGATGCCAAGGGAGGAGTCGGTATCCGCTGCCGCACCGCAGAGATGGCCGTAGACATGACTCTGTACCAGCAGTTTGTGACCCAGAGAAGTCGCGATGATCTGCGCATCCGCAAGGATGTTTCAAAGTGGAAGCTCGAAGACTCGGAGATTATCTTCACGGACTTTGAAGCGCGCACTCTCAGCTTTGGTAGCTGTGTCGGCGATCTTGAGAACGAGGGTCTACCGTCAGCGCCCTCTCAGACAAACTGCAACTTCAACAACAATATGGACGCTGATATGGACGAGTCGCTCGAGTGGTCCATGAAGGAAGACCTGATTTACGTCGATCGCATTGAGGATATCACGATGAACTCGTTCCTGTGGACGCCAAAGCTGTTCTACTATCGACGGAGCAAGAAAAAGCGACACATCGCCAAGCGGGACAAGGTTCTTCCGGAGCAAGGTGGGTGCTGTCAAGCGCTTGCGCACAAACGCATGAATCCACTCTGGATGCCATGGGTGATACAGCGACATGCAGCTGATTGTCGTTCAACGTGTGGGCCATGCCGCCAACAGAGACATGGAGCACGCAGATCGTCCTGTTCAAGCAACGGCTGCAGGAGATCGAGGCATCGATCCACCGCTATCTCTCTGAGCAGAGCGACCTTGAGCAGCGCGGAGAATTCTATGACAACTCACTGTACCAGCAGGTCAGTCGCCGCACCTTACCCAGCCACAGCCTCGTACGATGCCCAAGCGGTTTTGCCCAAGTCCACTGACACACACTCTACTTCATGTCTGGATGATAACACGGTTGCGTGATCCCCGCAGAAAAGCAACATTATCCGCGAGAAACTCGCGGTACTGGGAGAAAAGAAGACAGTCGTCGAGAAGTACATGAAAAAGTGCACCGAGAATCTCAGTACGTTGCCGATGAAAACAGCAGTCGCGGTTGCGGCAGATGATATGTGGGTGGACGATATGTGGACGAACAGAGGGGGCAGAGTTCGTGCGCTAACTACGCGAGGGATTGCAACAGAGCGGTCCAAGAACGCAGCCCTCTCGGGCCTGCTCCAGCAGCAGCACACACACTTTTCGCACTACTATATCCTGCACAACATCAATCTGTACTGGAAGAAGAGCATCCGCAATACCCTGCTCCGGCTCATCGATCTGCAACAAAAGAGAATTGCCATCCACTACTTTCTGTCAATGACAAGTCTCAAGAATGTACAGGACTGGCTGACGTCGGTGTACGAGCGAGCACCCAGCAACGCCGGGGCAGATTCGGTGCCGCCCGTGCCGGGAGTGCTTGCCAAGACCGCCAAGGCTGTGCCGTCGGAAAGCCTGTCGGTCAAGATGCTCGACGACAAGGACGCCCTTGAGCTTCTGCAAACACTCTTGGATGAACGCAGCACCCGGTTCGTTGTCCACGACCAAGCCGGCGACGAGGGCGTGTCATGGAGCTCGACACAGGGATACCAAGAGGACGACGAGTACGCCTCTCGGGCCGGCGTCAACGACAAGTACATCCGCTCGGACAACGTTGACTCGCCCGACTATGTTTCCGAAATGCATCGCCCATCGGAAAACTACATCATCCACTTCATCAACCCACAAATCAACTTTGAGTCGTATCCGAAGAACGCCCCTGGCCAACTCGAGGCGGTCGTGGTTGCGGCTCAGACAATGCAGCTGCGGCAAATTGACATCATCGACGCCTCGATCAATATTGACGAAGAGCTGGACTTGCAGGAGAACATTGTGAAGAAGCGGACGATTCTCAACGTCCACAACGCTCAGCTGTTTGCCCTTCGCAAGTTCGACATCGAGGGCGCAGCCGAGACGGATCTCGAAAACATATCCATGACTCGCCAGAGCTGGCCGGCATGGGTGCCCCTCGAATGCCTCATCGACCACTCGTCGCACACAGGCCATCTCAACCGGATCGTCGAACAGACTTCGGCCAGCTTCCACCGCGACCAACTCAACCCTTTGTATCTCAAGAAGGTGGGCTCGCAGCAAGACCATCCTCTGGACCTGTGCGATACCGTGCATGTCAACTTCCCCAACTTTGCTCTCACGGCCAACGCGAGCCACTACCTCGTGCTGTTCAACGTCATCACCGAGCTGCTGGTCTACGATGATCCGCATGTACGTGAGCGGAGCCAGCAGGTCCGCAAAATGATGCTGGCGATCGATCAGATGGAGGACGTCCAGAAGATGATGGCCACGGTGGTCTCCCTCAGCCAAAAGATCGAGAGTGCATCGACAATGCTGCGATCTGTTGTTGGCACCCTGAATTTGGGCGTGCCCGATCTCGAATATTCGGGAAACAGCAGGGCCGAGATTTACAAGCACCTGAGTCGCTACAGGGACGAGCTCTACGTTGTTATGCAAGCCATCAGCAAGTTCCACAGCACCGAAAGCAAGCGGAGAGACATCACGCCATCCAACAAACTCTTTGTGCACATTGGCACGGTCGCCTGGATCATGCTGCTCGATTCGGGCGACCGGCTGTGCGAATGGAAGCTGACACATGCCAGTTTTGGCTGGACACACAACCAAGATCAGTCCAACGTCTTTCAGTTCGACATCGATCACGTCCTCGTCGAAAATCTCAGCAAAGCGCCCGGTGGCTTCCGAGAGGTCGTCTCGCCGTACTGTTCGGACAAGAAGAAGATAGATTTTCGGCGGCAGAAGATGCTCCGCGTCTACTGGAGCGAGATGGCGCCGGTCGGCGGCATCGCCGTGATCGATCACCTGGAGATCAACTTTTTCCCACTCCTGATCCAGATGACCTATGATCTGGGCAAGCAGCTGCAGCTCTACATCTTTCCGGAGAAGAAGCTGCGATCCGCTGAGAAGGATGCGCGGACTGGTGGGATGCGAACGGCTGTTGCCACCGTCACTGGAGGTGAGGCGACGCAGAGGCCAAAGAAGGGCACTGGCTCGGGTCTGAGCGAGTTCAAAGTGATGCAGGCCAGGGCATCGGAGAACCGATCCTTTATCTACATCAAGGTACCGGGTGTGCAACACTGCTTGAGCTACAAGGTAAGTGAATGTGCCATGTGACATGTGCGATGGGTGCCATGGATGCCATGTGCGAATATACAAGTTGCGCTGTTGCTATGATCCACAGTTTCGGGTCGCAATCGGACCCTGGCTGACCGCTGTCGTCGACAGGGTCCACGGGAGAAGAATCTGGAGGACTTGAATCTATTCGCCTTCCGCATGCCGACCCTGGAGTACCGGAACAAGACCTGGTCCTGGCTTGATATTCTGGATTCGATCAAGCGAGGTGAGTATCGGCCATCGTGGCTGATGCCGAGCATGGATGCTGCTATCCCAGTACCGCCATCCCAGTGCTGCCATCCCAGTGCCGCCATCCCAATGCTGTCCGCTCAACCATGTCTTCTCGGTTGCGTCCTCGGCGATCGCTTCTTTCACTCAAACTTTGCTGCCCAGACGCTGCCCGAGCTGTATTCAACAACACCGCATCCCTCATCAAGGAGAAGCTCATGAAGTCGCGGAAGCCCGTCGACGGCGAGGGCAACACCACAGACTCGTCCGTGCAGACCAAGCCTGCCTCAATCCCATCCGAGGACGACGCCATTGGCGCCGTGAGCGGGACAGAGTCCGGGGTCAAGAAGAAAGCGGCGATCCTCAAGGCACTTCTGAACCGAAATACAAGTTAGAATCCCGTCGTGAACGAGAGCGGGTCGACGGCGCCCACAGATGAGATGATCCAGGCCAGCGTTGGCCAACTGAGCGTGTGCTCGCTGGCTCGGATGATAATGCATTACGACAGCATATATTGCCGGTTGCTCATACGACCGTCGCATGGCGTCAGCCTCAGGCCCAGATCAACGACCAGGCGAGTCCAGCCCGTATCTGCCAAAGACTATCTAGCCCCGAGTGTTTAGCAGGGCGTTATCGGGCGACACCCACTTGGGGGAGGTCAGATACTTCCAGTTGTGCCTGTACCAAGGCGGGCGGGTGATGGCGGCAGCCTTGCGCTGCGACAGCGGCGTCCACAGTTTGTTCTTCTTGAAGATGTACGCAAGCTTCTCGAGATGGCCAGGCTTCTTGTGAACATTGGCCTTTTCGGTAACAAGGATGCGCAAATGCGCCGTCGGGTGGTGCATGATGCCAAAGCGGCCTCGGCCGTGGATTTTGATGCGCTTCATGTACGGGCCCTTTCCGACCCAGGCGCGCCGGATATAGAGCAAGTCCTTGTTTCCGCCATAGTTATGCTCCCAGGAGGCAGCGGCACGTCGCAGCAGTCCCTCGACTCGCACAGAGGGCTTTTTCAGACACATCTGCATCTGCTTCAAGCCCTCCTGCAGCGAGATGCCGTTGAGGATGCGGGCGAGATGGTTGAGCTTCTGGGGACTGACGCGGAAGTGGCCCGTCGAAAAGGTCTTTTCGAATCCGGCCGACGCCGACGACGCCGATGTGCCTTTGATGATCTCGGCCTTTTGGGTGTTCTGTGCCTCGGTCAGGGCAGCGTCGATCAGGGACGTGCGATTCAGGGCCGACGAGGCAAACCATCGCGATGCCGGCGAGGCGAGGCGAGATGGCCATGCCGATACACAGGCCGATGGCTGTGCAGCAGGCCGGAAGAGCAGTCTCTGAGGAAGCTTGAACAGCATCGTGGGGTGCAACTGCTGGATTGTATCGGAGTCAGATCGTGCTGGGTGATCGGGAGATGCGTCGCAGCCGGCAGATGGGCTGTGGTTTCCTGGGCGGCCGATCAAAAAATGCAAATGGCGCCAGGCAGCCGGAAGAAAAAGCGGTTCCAGCCGGCGGCCGCGGTCACGCGCCGTCCCCGTGCGCACGGCACAGACACGTGGACGCATGGCTCCACGCGTCCCGGTTTCGGCAGCCCGCCCTTTTCGCGGGTCTGCTCCTGACGGCTCTTCGCCACCATCTCGACAACCCACTGGCCACCCGGCATCCACCCGACATCCACCAGGATCTGCAGCACCGACAAGCACTCTGGACAGCGTCGCTCCCTGCTACCAAGACCCAGACTGACTGCACGTTGCTTCTGGCCTGTTTCGCACGTCTGGAGCCTGACCGTCAAACAAACAAACATCCATCCAACACATTCATCCGCCCGCTCCGTGGCCGTCGCCATCGCCGCAAGTGATGCTGTCGATGACGCACAATCAGTTCGACGAGTCTGGCTCAGCCCGCCGGCGATCAACACGTCTGCGATCGATCAACGAGCTGTCCGCCAAAGTCAAGGACGCCGAGCAGCCCCGCCGGGCTTCCCCTTCGTCGCCGTCGGCGTATCCTGCCGTCGCCGGCATGGGCGTGACATCGTCCAACATTGGCGATGCCATACGGGCCTACTCCCAAGCCGCCAACTCACCGGCAGCACTGCTCTCTGGTCCCAAAACCCGATCCCGCCGCACCAAAGCTGTGGCTGAGGATCGGCCTCTCCACAAGGTAACGGCGATGCCGGGCGCTGCTCTTTCCTCAGTGCGAGCACGCATTCCTTGAAACAGCGCAAGATCACGCCGGCATTTGCCAGCGACTTCTCGTTGACTCTGGTGGCCCACCGCACCATTCGTATGCTACACAATCGGGAAGTCAACTCCACCGCCCTCGTGGTGATCGACACGTTTGGTTTGATACATGCTGTGGGACTAATGCTCGCCTCTGCTTGCCACCTCCAGACCCACCAAATCGATCCGACGACGGGGCAGAGGAGAGCGAACGGCGATCTCCACCCAGGTGTGCAGCCAGACCAAGCTCCACGAGCGGCCGAATTCGATCCCTCGCCGTGGGGATACGCTTCGAAGCGCCAGGTAGGTGTCTGGTCTGTCCAATACGATGGCGTTGCGGTCGCTGCCGGCGGCCTCTGTGTGCGGTGGCTAGCACCGATCTTTTCTCGTTGCATTGCGGTCACTCGATCGCTGTGATGGACCATCTCCAGCGGACCAAGCACTGATCGCTTTCTGTGCCTCCTTTGCTTATCCTGTCGCCTGTCGCCTGTGGTCTGTCGCCTGTCACCCGTTGCCTGTCGCCTGTCGACAATCCCAGGATCCAAACTCAAGTGAGCGGCCTCGATATCAGATGGTCGAGGATGCACACGAAAACCCTTTCATTGCCACCCACGAAGAGACGCGCCGTGTTCTGGGATCTGCCTATTCGCTTCCAAAGTCCTCTCCATCCAACTTTGTCTCGGACATCATCGAGCAGGAAGACGAGTATTACGGTGCGTGATTACATCATCGTCTCTCTTTGGCCGCTGCACACCAGGAAGTGAATGGGACACGCAAGTCATGCGACTGTCTCTCCCATTGCCCGAGCTATACCGAGGATTGTTCCAAACTCACACTGACTGTCAATATTTGCCGCACATTGGGATTCATGGGGCCTCTGCGCATGGCATTCCTACTGCTCAGATGAGGCCGAAGAAACATATGAAGCCGATGACGTTGGAGACTATGTCGAGGAGGAGGCTGACGAAGGCAAGTATTCAGAGATCGGCGCATCGGTCAGGACTATCTTCGGCGACCTCGACTTCTGGATCTCGGTGGCAGAGACTGACTTGCGCCGCCCTTGCACGATGACTTCGTGTCTGCTCGAAACCATCGGCGCCCATATCTCGATCGTCTTTGCGCAGGCTTCATCAACCTAGACCACCCGTTCTGGTCCAATCCAATTGTCGCCACAGTCCGGCCCGCCATTTTGGTGGTGCTGTCGTGCGTTGTCCTGATATGGCGATACGCCTCACTGCCGGCTTGGGCCGTCTTTGAGTTCGGGGTGGTGCGGCCCAGCATCATCCTGGGCAGCTTGGCTCGGCTGGCTCAGCACCAGACTCGAGCAGTGCTGAGGAAAATCCTCACGTCTCAGAACTGGATTGTGGGGCTGCTTGCCTTTTTTGTGGCTTTTGCCTTCCTCGTCGTCAAGCCGCCCACTACCTGGGACTCGGGACTCGAACGCAATATCCTCCAGCCCGCGCTTTATCGCCTGAGCCAAAGCTTCCATGTGACTGACGTCCTCTTTCGGAGCGAACCCTCTACTTCCGGTGACGCAGATGCCGTAGAGCCAGCGATTGACCAACGAGTAGTGTCCGCCACCGAGGCGCATCCAGAATCTGACGAGGAATCTCAAGCACCTGGCATCCAAGAGCCTGATCCTGCCGTGTCCCCAACTCCTTCCCCATCGTCCATCGACGTGCCCGAGACCGTCGCTGCTGTGGATCGATCCGAGTTTGTCCCAGATACAAGCGCGTCCAAGGATAGCGCTGAGCTCCCCACCCACGACAGTCCGCGCGACGGTGCCGCCGCCATGGCGTCGGATACGGTGATTCAAGTACTTCCTGCCGCCTACCAAGGCATTGTCACTCGCGTGTCTGAGCTCGAAGTCAAGCTCAAGGACCACCAGTCTGCCACTGCAGGCAGCTCAGAACGTATTCAAGCCCTGAGCCAGACGCTGGAGAAGCTCAGGCAGGATATCGTCGACGCAGTTAATGCTGACAGGGATCATCTCTCGTGGATCACAAAGCTCCAGGAGCGGCTTGACGCCCTGCCTGCCGATCTTGAGAATAGGCTCAAGGCCGTAGAGAAGCAACTCGAATCGCAAATCGCACAGGCGCTCACGGACGTCGTGAGCGACATGCGCAATCTAAAGGCCATCGTCAGCCACATCGAGTCCGAGAGCCGCGAAAAGAAACACGGCACCATCACCGGCAGCCTTCAAGAACTTGTCAAGGCTGCAGCTGAGAATGAGGAGCCGCATCTTGTCTCAAAAGCTGTCGAGCTGCTGCTGCAGGATCCAAGACTGGAGGAACATGTAAAGCAGCAGATCCTCAGCGCTTCTGCCCCAGCTCACGATGCTGCCAAGGCCTTTGGTGGCTATCCCGATGATCTGGATACGCTGTTGGATGAGCTGAGGCAAGCCCGCGATAGACCTGCGTCCTCGGGGATTCAGCGCGACGAGCTTATGCAGCTGGTTCAAGAAGTCGTCGCCCAGCATATGGATCGATATGAGCGCAGCTCACCCCCCGGGCGCGAGCCCCTGGTCGCCAACCTGGGTGCCTTGGACCACGATCTCGAGGCTCTTGTTGTTCAAACAGTCGAGAAGCTCTCCGCGGACCGTCTTGGCCAGCCCGACTATGCCCTCAGCAGCGGCGGCGGACGAGTCATGGCGCTCCTGACCTCGCCTACCTTCGACCTTGGCATTGCTCCTGCATTCGTTCAGAATGCGCTCGCCAAGCTCTTCCACCGCGACCCCATTGAGCGACACCCGCCTTCGATGGCTCTCAACCCGGATGTGAACGTCGGTAACTGCTGGCCCATGAGTGGTAAGGAATCGTGTGCCAACGAGGGCTCGTCAGGGGAGCTGCATGGCGAAAGCACGCACGGCTGGATCTGCGAACGCTGTGAGGGTGTGTGTGGGCATGGCAGGCGCAGGGGCAATTTGCTGCTGTTCTCCATCTGGGCTGTCGCGCGCGCTGTACTTAAACTTCATACGACTTGTTGGTGCGGGTTGTATGCATGCCACAGGCGACAAAGGTACCCTCGGCATCAGACTGGCCAAGCCGATTGTGCCAAAGTCCTTCACTATCGAGCACGCAAACCCGGCAAATCTGCCAGAGGCAGCGAAGAGCCTGCGATCGGCTCCGCGCCAGATCGAAGCCTGGGCTGTTTTTGATCCAGAGCTGTTTGCGGTGCGAATCATCCCGCAGATGTGGTCAAGCAGTGCTCCAGCCGACGATCTTCTCGACCAAGAGCCCGAGATCGCAGAGGCCGGCATCCTTCTGGCTGAGGCCGTCTTTGTTCCGGAAACCCAGCACGTTCACACGTTTGCGGTGTCTCCTCAAGCACAACAGGCGCTGCGGAAACGAAAGCTGGCGCACGGCAGCGAAGAGTCGCTGGTGTCCAAGGTTGTGCTTCGGGTTCGCGGCAACTGGGGCGCCGACGGATTTACTTGCATCTACCGATTCCGTGTTCATGCCGACGAGTGAGCCTTTCGGCGCCTGGAGCTAGTCTTGCTTTATGGCCATTTTTGCAGCTGCTGTGTTTGAATGGTTGCATGCTTGACATCCCAGCGTCACTTTTGTTGGTTTTGTTGTTGTTGGCGTTGACGTTGTTGAAATGCATATCGTCGCAATATGATCCCTCCCACTCAGCGAGTTAGGGCGACTTGAGGAGCCCCTGTGTATCCGGGACTCGTCATTAAGGACTCGCGGAATCACAGAGTGGCATGAAACGTGCTGACTTTGCTATATTCAAGGATGCTGGAAGTTCGGGGTGGCTGGAAAGACACACCCCCACGGCCAAATGAACGAATTGACACTGTTTGCAAAGTGAAACGGGCAGACTCCGCTCTTCGAACGGAATGCATCCACATTTGCCATTCACAAGTGACCCGTTTACTTTTGGAAGATAGTCGTGGAGAAAGAGTAGAGGGAAAGAGGAAGGCGAGAGCAGAGCCAGAGCAGCGCAGGGCTGTACTTCGAGGCTCGCCGATGTGCTTGGCGACTGGCCGAGCCCGTCTCGGACAAGCTGGCCGATGGTTGGATGATCTATGGACTATGGACTATGGACTATGGACGGGGGAGGAGCAGCGTGTCGCTTCGAACGAGCGCACGATGACCATTGGCCTCTCAGCTAGCAACGTCATTGGTCGGAACGTACCAGAAGGCAGCGATCATGACCACATAAGCCAAGCTAAGCATGGTCCCCTTGAAGTAGTTGCTCTTGCCCTCGATGTAGATGTACGTCAGCATAAAGACACTCAGGACAACAGAGATGACATCCCAGCGCGGGAAGATGAGCGTAAACGTCTCTCCGGGAGTCGTCGTGTCGCTGGAGCTTGGCGAGGCCGCGCCGACCGCTGCCGCAGCGCTGATCCCCGTCGAGCTGACTGCTGCTGCAACATCCCCGATCCAGACCATGGTGCGATAGAAAGCGATGGCAAGCAGCCGAAGCGAGGAGAGCGCCGCAGTCTGGGTGGAAGGTGTCGAAGTTGCGGAAGTCGACGCGGTTGCGGCCAGCGAAAGCGTGCCGGAACCAAAGTTTCTCCACCATGTGCTGAAGACAATCAGGGCAGGAAGCTGAACCAGGGCGATTTGGATGGCATACGCCGAGCCAACCTCGAAGGAAAGCGCCAAGTTGCCCTGCTGGGCGAAGGCAATGCCATTGTCTGTCCAACAAGCGATACACTGAGTTAGTCTAACCAACGCCTTGTAGAGCCACAGCAGCACACACCGATGATCGCAGTGGGATAGGCATCTGTGCGTTCGGCTGACCGGGGAATCAAGACGCACATCCGGGAGTACAGATGCATGGTGGCGATGCCAGTTGCGGCGGCGATGTCACCTACATATCTCGGTCATGCTCGGAACGATGGCAAAGAGGGTGATGCCCAGGAACTTCTCGTCGATGGACTTGTTGTTCTCCAGCACCACCGACACACACGACACCAGCACCTCGGCAATCATCGAGAAGAGCACCGTCGCGGTCAGCAGCAGCATGACGCTCTTGAAGGGGCCCCAGTTGGAGGAGCCGTGTCCGCCGGCCATCTCGTCGTCTGACTCGTCGTCCGAGTCCAGGCCCGAGCCAACAGAAGAAGCAACATCGGCGATTTCCTGGACCACCTCCGATAATCTCGGACGGAGCCTCGGGCTCTGGTACGTGTGGAAGGTGGCGCTGGGCGGAAGCGGCGAGAAGGTAGTCGGGGTGGCAGCGTCGCTTGCGCTGCCTTCGCCCGTGGTCATGCCCAAGTTGCCAGAACGCTCATGGGGCTTCAGTGAGGTTCCCGTGTGACTTGCCGAGCTCCTGAGTTCGTTCTTCACTTGCTTCTTCAGCCAGGCGTTTATGGCCTTTTTGGTTGCCCGGCCAGACGACTTTTTCTTGGGATAGATGCGCGAGGAGTGTGTTCGGAGGGTAAACCACAGGCCGATGACGTACGTCAGAAACAGCACGCTGGCACAAATATACGTCAAAGGACGGGTTGCCGTGGCGTAGATCGGCTCCAGGGTCGGATGTGGCTGGAAGTATCGGCATTCGCGACACTTGAGCGGCGAGGTGTGATCCGAGGAGGGCGGACAGACGCCACACTTGAGCTCGAATGTGCCATAGAGCTCCTGGAAGAAAGTCGGCGCAAAAGCAGCAACGAGCATCATGATGAGCATGGTCGAAGTGACGCCGGCCGATTTGGCGTTGAAGCGCTGCTCCTTTCGTTTGATGCCGGCCGCGATCATGGAGAAGCCCGGCAGCATCAGCAGAGCGCACAGAATCGAGCCGATGACCGAGCCCTCGACAAGTCGGCCTTTGCCCTGGATCAGCGCCATGACGTAGAGGATGATTTCGATGACACTGCCAAAGGTGGCGTTGATGACGGCACCCAGGGCGAGACCGGTTTGCGCTGTGATCGAGGAGACGCCCATGCCGACATAGTAGGCCAGGGGCACGGTCGAGATGAGAGCGCTGAACAGGATGGTCGTGTGGCTGGCAAACCCAGTGTATCCGAAGCGCGGGCCGGTGAAATAGTACTGCAGAAGCGAGAACAGCACAAAGCCGAGCAGATCGACAATGATGATGTTGACGCCGTCAAAGGTGTACTTGTAGTACTTGAGTCCGACCGCATGTCGGGTGCACAGGATGAGGGTGTCATCGTCACCGGCATGCCGACCGCCGAGGGTGATGGAGGACTCGAGTCGACTCGATCCGCCAAGCAAGGGGGCAGCGCCTTCGGCCAAATCGGTCTCTGGAGTCTTGAACTTGGCCGTTAGTACAAGTGGGTGTCGCAGCAGATGCTTGAGTAGCGAGTAGTTGAGCCGGGCCATGGGAATGGGGAAGACCAAGAGGAAGCCAGTGAGTGAGACCACCAGGTGGATCGGGGCGAGCACCAGCAGCGTGATGAAGTGGAACACAATGCCGGTGAGACCCGAGTCAAAGAGGAAGGTTAGCCATCGCTTGAGGTTGGCCCACAGGCCAGTGGGACGGCGCGAGACGCTGGTGCGGCGGTGGTTTGCGGCATCTTCGTGGGATTCGGCCTCTGGGGAGCTGACGCTCTTCTTTCTCAGGGACGATGGTCGGCGCAGGCTGGCATGGGAGCTGGGAAGTAGCATCTGCGACGAGCACGAGGCAGCGAGGTGCTGCTGCTGCTGCTGCTGCTGCTGCTGCGAGGAGCGATTTGAGAGCGGCGCCGAGGATGGGACAACAAAGATCTCGGGAGTAGAGTCGAGCTGATCAAAGTCGGAGAGCAGGCCAGTGGACTCGCCCGTGGGTGCGCGGACCGGCTTGAGCCGCTTCTTGGCGATGTACTTGCCAAAGGGCCACAGGATATAGCCAGAGAGGTTTGCAAGGACCTGGGTGCGTGGGCAAGGACAGAGATCATGGAAAACGGGACGCCCGAGTCAGTGCTGGATCGGGACCAGGTGCGCCAAGAGCAAGGGTGTGGCTCACCAGCACATCCCCAGCACATCCCCAGCACATCCCCAGCACATCCCCAGCACATCCCAGCCCAAACGCCATTGATGTCGATCCATGCGAATGAGCCGGCGCGTCGAAGGCAATAGTGAAAGGGTGCATCGCCCTTGCTCGAGCGGTTCGGATATGGACTTGCCTTTGCATAGGACCATGCTCGAGCGAGCTCGTCAAAGAGCCAGTACCACACGCCTCCGAGACCGTGCTGGCGGAAGGCGTCCGGGAGACTGACAGACTTCCAGCTGGACCCGAAGGAGAGCAGAAGGACGAGCTTGCCAAGGAGGCCCACCGGGAAGAAGACAGCCAGGGCCAGGGCCAGATACACCAGCGCGATCCACCAGCCAAAGAGAATCGTCCAGAGCCAGTTGAAGGGGGACAGGAACAGCTCGAGCTCGTAGGAAGCGCCGGGGAGCGAATGCAGAGCAGAGTAGCTGACGTGATCGATGCTTCGATGTTTCTTGTAGAGAGCGGGCTTCCAGATCTTGATACCAAAGGGGTGCTCGTAGTTGATGGCCTGTGAGCAGATGCGGTGCGAGAAGCAGCATAGTTGAAGCAAGCGATCTGATCGAGACCGAGGAAGCCGCGGCAGCAGCAGGGGCAGTAACAGGGGCAGGGGGCTGTAGCGATCGAAATGGAGGTGCAACCGGAAGCCACCCGCTGCACTGCATTCGTTCAACAGTGACAAGCACCACATCTGCCGAGCCAGCAGCACATACCTCCTGGACCTGCTGGACAGTGACTTCCTCGGCCTCTTGCGGCAGGTCGAAATTCCCCGGGGCTGTGAGCTCGTCCTCGGTCGCATCGCACACGCTGGAGCCGGCCTCGGGTCCCTCGACAGAGGGCCGATTTTCCTGCAGCTCGTCGGTGTCGACAGCGATAATGTCGCCATCGGTGTTCTGGTAGACCATAGGACGCTTGCCCTCGCGCTTGGCGTGGCGGTGGCTGCGGCTCGGACGCTCATCATGATCATTGTTCGGATCGGAATCCTCCGAGTCCAGGTCGGCATCGACATCCTGGGCGACGATGGACTGCCGCAAGAGACTGGATGCACGGGGATATGCCGAAGGCGAGGCGGAGCGCGAGCGCGAGCGAGACCCATTGGTGCGGGAGAGCGATCTGCGAGACATGCTGATGGAAGCGCAGAGCTCGGAGGAATCACGGGGCAAAGGCGGGTGTTGGGAGGATGCGAGTGTTCTGGAGATGAAAGACAGGGAAGCTGGCGAGGGATGCGAGATGCAGGAGGGCGGATGGAGGAAAGAGCAGACCGCCGGCTGGATCCCAGAAGGCAGGTGGATGGCAGAAGCGAGCGCAGGGCCGAATGACAGACAATGAGAGTTGACCGACGGCGCCCGGCAGAACCACAGGCGCTCTTGTCCGGAAGCAGGGCGTCTCTGAGCAAGAGCCGAAACAGGCAGAGACAGAAGCAGAAACAGAGGCCGGGCCAGAAGAAGCAAGAGGCCAGGCCCGAGCCAGTGCGGGATTGGGTCGGCGCAGTGCGCGTGGCGATCGGCAGCATCGATCCGGGATTGCTGAGAAGTGTTATGGTGGGTGCACCGGAAGCAAGCGGCTTGGTCCAGCGACGGGGATGGTCATCCGGGGCAGCAGACGTCTCGGGTGGTGCCGACGGACAACCGGACAGCGGCGCAGGACGGGTAATCTGGTGTATTGTATAGCTCGACAAGCGGAACAAAAAAAAAGAAAATAGGATAGCACAGAATAGGACAACCGAATCGCAGCGGATGCAGGGCCGAGCGAGCAAGAGAGCGAGAGAACAAGAGAGCAAGAAAGTGAGGAGCCGACCACTCCATCGGGGGGGGGTCGTTCTTGCGCACTCCCCGGCACTCAGGGATACCGATTTCCGTATCGATCCTGATCCTTGATGATATGCTTGATGCGGTGAGCGCGGATCAGGAGAACGGCGGTGATGAGCCCAAAGAAGCTCGCCACAATCATGAGATAGAAGGCGGTGCCGAAGCGCCATGAGACGCCAGGCAGCGAGCCCGACAGCGAGTTGGCAATAGTCCGGTACGACAGAATGATGATGATCAGGCTCGAGAGCGAGGTGCCAAAGGTGAGGAAGCCAAAGAGCGACCCCAGGGTCGAGCCGCAGATCCACAGCGAGATGCTGACGATGCCGCCCAAGACGACAATGACGGCGAGGAGCAGCAGACCGGCGGTGATGATGAGCAGCAGGAAGAGCAGCGGGGACGGGACCGAGGCCGACTTTAGAATCTCGTCCAGGCCAAGAGTCTTCATGGTGTCGACCACAGCGACGCCATCGGGCAAGGAAAAGCTGAGGTCTGGACATCAACAGCAGACCGAGAACCAGCATGAGTTTCATGACGAAAACAGCCGCTGCCATCGACAGGTGTGTGGAGGATGATTGCGAGACATCCACACTTACGGAAGATGCCGCTGGGATCGACGCCGTTGCAGAGCAGCAAACGGCCGCTCGAGAACGCACAAAAGCCCTGCGGCAGACAAATGCGGGAGTGGAAGTGGTGGGAGAGGGATTACTATCGATCCAAGCGACAAGATGCAGAACGATCAAATGGGTGGATGGCCAAGCCAGGACAGCGGGACATGTCGACCACGGCTGCAGCGATTATGAGCCTGAGCCGGCAACGACGGTTACCCAGATGCCCAAGGTCGCGGTATCGGTCTGGAGGGCCCCCTGCGGCGAGCTATCGAAGATGGTGACGAGCGACAGGGTGCTGAAGAAGCCCTGCAACCACGGAGCCGAGGCGAGAAGGACAAAGACATGCAGGACCAGGGCGATGGTGGCCGCAACGGCACCGAGCGCGGCCGAGGACGTTGAGTTTAGAGAGGGCATGCGGGCACAGATGTGGTTACAGAGTGGATACGGCGGTGGTAGGTATTGATCGACGGCGATGTCGATGGAGGTGTCGATGTCGATGTCGATGTCGATGGAGGTGTCGATGGGTGGTGATGATGGATGATGGATGACGGAGGTTTGGGACGGCCCAGCAAGAGAGCCAAGGACCAAAGGCTGGGCGGAGAGGCGCGCACACGCAACGCGTTCTGGGGCGCGTCGGGGCGGGTGGGCTGTGCCGCCACACACACAAGACCGCTTACTGTCGACAGCACAAGGCAACGCACAGCACAGCGACCCTTATCGTGGGGCGGACAAGCACGCACACACACGCACACGCACAGCACACGCACAGCCCTCCGCGCTGTTGCTGTCGGCGTCCGTCCCGGCAAGCACCAAACTCCGACCAGGTGCACACACACACGGGGCGGAGGATTTGCCCGATTCGGCAACATCAGACAAATTTCATCGTTCACCCGCCGCATGCTGCCGACCCCGCAGCACAGCGCAACACAGCACGGAGGGAACCGGCGATGGTCGTCTCCATCGCTTCACGGGCCCCAGGAGGCAGCGGCTTGCTCGGTACTTTGAGCAGTGCGGGTCGATTGTGGAGACCAGAGAGCGACCCAGTGTCTTCTCGGAGGCTGCCAAAGTGATCTGTGTTTTATTGTATATGGCTGAGTTGGACGCAAGCCATCGAATACTACGCTGACATACGGGATAGGGAGGGTTGTCCCGAGAATATAGTGTAGCGGGCGCGATTAGATGACAATAAAATAATGTCATGGGAAGCTGTTTGGTTGGTTGTTGTTTGGTTGGTTGGTTGGCTTGACGGGCCGCACTAGGCCAGACGGGCCACAATTGGTTGGATGAGCCAGGAGGGAGGCGGCGCCTATGCATCAATGGCTGTCAAGTGGAGCAGAGGCACGGATCGGCCGACAACCAAAAGCTGCAACCGAGTGGAGACGAGAAAGGGGCAAGTGTAGCCGCATCGGTGGGGTGATCCCGGGGCTCGTCAACATACACCAGACAGATGAGAGTACAGGACAGAGGAGCAAGAGCAGATAGTTTAAGCAAAGCAAAGCGAAGCGAAGCAAGGGAGGAGGGAGGGGAGAATGCAGTGTGCTTTTTTTTACATTACAGGAGGGGTTTTCTCCATCGCAGTGCAGCGGGACGGGAAAGGAGGGAATGTAAGGAGGGAAGAGGGAGGGGGGGCAGCAGAAACCTAACGTAGCTTGAGGCGGCAGAGAGCATGAGGATGCGCACCACCTGGTCTGTCGATGCGGTGCAGCGCATTGTCCGGACCACGCAGAGGCTGTCTAGTCGACCACAACCTCGCCTTCGACTTCGCGTTCGTAGCCGGTGCTGGACTGCACATCGACATCCTCTTCCCAGTAGGCGACGCCCGAGGAGGTCGGGGTCTGTGCCGGAAGGGCCTTGGGCTCGCCCTCGACGGGTGTAACAGCTTCATCGTTATGGTACATAAGCGTGCGGCCTTCAGGGGTAAGGATCAGCCCATGCTCGACAATCAGCGACAGCCGGGCGTAGCGCATGGCGTTGCGGGACATAATGCCCCTCTGGCTGCGGTCATCGCTTTCGTCGCCATCGGTCGGGTCATCGTGTCTGGATTGTTCGGTGGAGGACTTGGACTTGCTGCCTCCCTCGTTGCTGGACTGGGTTCCCTCGAAGGCACTATCGTTGCTGTCGACGCTGGGCCGGGTATCGATGCTGGCATGAGTGACAGGCTCGATGGCGCTGGAGTTGTCGATAAGACTGGACGCTCCGGCGTCGGCCGAGGACTGCGTCAGGAACTCTTCGAGGATACTGGCGTATCGCGAGAACTTGGTGTACTCGTTCTGCAGATAGGCAGCCTTGCGTTCCCAATTGGCGATGGCCTTTTGGCGCTGCATCTGGAAATTAGAGAACAGTACAGAGATGGCATCGCGGTATTGCATGTGTTCTCCGAGCTCGCGGCTGAGGCTCTCGGCATGCTTGCGCATGGCTTCGAGTTGCCGCTCCTGAAGGAGAAGACAGGCGCGGGACGAGGTACGGGATCAGAGGAGCTGTTAGAATGGCGTAGGATTCCGGGGGGGGAAATAGGCCGTCACCTGGATCGCACAATCTGCCGGCAGCACCGTGTCCCGCAAGCGCTTGAGCACAACATACCTCGGACAGAGAGCTGGACATCAGACCAAGGGCACTCGGCACGGTCCATTCGGTCACCCGGATTCTGCGCGCGGCATCCTCGGCCACGAGGCCCTCGACAATCGCTTGGAGCTGCTTCGGGTTGGACTGATACGGCGCGCTATGCGAGTTGAGTCGGCGCTGCTCGTTCTGGATTGCAGACCAGCCAAAATCCATACTGCCGACGCCTCCCAACAACGGCTCCTTGGACTTGCGCGCGGCCCAGGTGTTGATGTGGCCGACCCAGCGCTGCTTTTGCTCCGCAGAGGGGCACTGGAAGACCCACTCCGAATAGTCGGCAAGGGTCAGCATGAAGATATCGCCATGCCGCGCGCCATGGATGTTGGGCACAGAGATCACGGACGACAGCGATCGGAGCATGTTCAGCTCTTCAAAGTTGGTGGTGAGCTGTGAATCGATACAAGCAAAGATCCGGTCAGCCGTAGGATAGCGCAAGGGCCGAGCCAGTTAGTGCGGATGGCCAGAGCGGCACACAACGCCGCCGACGACCCAACTGGAGGCCACACATACCTTGAGCGACCTTTTCTGCAGCTCGGCGTTGTTTCCAAAGTCTTGCAGCTCGCGCTGCTCAAACACGTCGTCCTTGAGGATGTTCTCCACCCGGAACATGCCGAGGGTCATGCCCTTCTCGTCATCAAACGTCAAGACTGCCCAGACCTTGCCCCACTTGCGGTACTTGAGCTTGCTGGAGACCTCGCTGTTGCTGCGAACCTGCTTGCGGATCAGCAGACCTTGATATACGAGGACCTCGTTGGGATTGCTCTGGCTGTTGCTTCCAGACGCGGCGCCGAACCACGGGGACTCGATGGCGTCATTGCCGCTGTTGTTGTTCTTCTTGCGGAAAAAGCTCAGACCCTTGCCACCAAAGACACTTCCACCCGTCGAGGCGCCAAGAGATGGCGGGATCAGTGGCTCGATAGGTGGGCGCTGGTCCATGACGGGTGAGCCCGCCGAGGTCTCAAGGTTCCGGGGCCGCGGGCTCTCCAGGCTTGGACGATCATTGTCGTAGCGCTGAATGATACGCTTGCGGTGCACGGACGTGTAGAGATCCTGTTGATCAAAGAGGACGCATTAGAGCCAGAGACCACCATGGGCCACGATAGGTCGACTGCAGAGGATGCTAGTCGTGGAATAGCAGCCGAGGAGATGCACGATCTACAGCGCCATGAAATACAAGGCGATGCGGCAGGTACGGGTCCACGCAACATGACATCCAGTGACGCACCTTGAGCAGGCTATCCATGTTCTGCTTCCAGTGACGGTAGCTCTCACTGGCGGTGTCGACGACAGGTTCGTGGCCATCGTTGTCAAGGACCATGCGCTCCACAAGGGCCATGGTTGTCTTGCGGTAGTCGTCCCTCTTCATCTTGCGGTTGCTGTACTGGCCAACGTTGGCAATGTGCAAGTCGGTGTTGAGCAGCACCAGCGAGAAGATTATGCCATAGATGGTATCTGAGGCAACGACAATAGGAGAAGCACAGTCAGTCGCAGGGAATGTGGCAAGGTACAGTCGCAGCTACTTCGGTGGACGCATGGCGGGTGGCAAAGACCACGAAAATGCCGCCAGGACAGGACGGCCAGTGGCATGGGGCGACACACACCGATTTTCCTGAACAGAGGCTGCTTGTCGGGGTTGCAGTCCCAGTATCGTCTGGAGAACTGATAGAGAATACGATCAACGAGCTGAGTCTCGCCCGTGAGGAAGTGGTGGGAGCAGAAACGTCTGCAAGGGCAAGAATGGGATGTGTGTGCTTGTGGTGAGTTCCAAGATCGTTGCAAACAGAGCGCTGCATCCAAACAAGACACCAGGCTCCGACTATCGAGCCAGCTTGCTCGGGTAGCGTAGCGTACTCGAGGGGCTCACCTAAAGGCCTCATCCAGAGGAGTGCCATAAAAGTCAAAGGAGTTCATGTACGCCACAAGGATGCTGGAGTGGAATTCGTCGCTGAGGGTAGGCAAGGTGAATATGTGGGTGAGTCCGGATGCACGGATGTGCTGAGTGATACAGGAGATGAGCACTCGGGGGGCGCTCTTGGGTGGCGACGGACGAATCCGTGAACAAACCCGAGAACGAGTCCCAAGGGCCGCAGCAGCGGGACGGCGCTTCGCATACCTTTTGCCAATGATGCCAGAGATCTCCTTGTGTGAGACGCCGGGCAGGGTCTCATGGAAGAGCAACTTGCCGACAGTGATCGGATCCATCTCGGTGTAGTTGGTGTCCTTTTCACTCTCGGTGAGGGACCGCAAGGAGGGCGACGAGCCCGAAGACGGGCTGTGGATCATGATGGGGGCCGGCGGCAGGGGGACCAGCAGGCTGGTGGACCGGGCCTCGGTCGCCAGACCACCGGAGATGGCGTAGCTCGAGCTGGTGCCTCTAGGCGGGAGCTCAGGTTTCTGGTTGCTGCTGGTGCGAGGAGGCAGGTCGTCCGCGCCAGCCGCGGTGGTCGGCAGACTGTTGAGGTTGGGGCTGACCATGTTGGCCAGGGCCAGGTTTCGTAGCAGGTCGATCTCACGCTGGCTGACGTAGGAGGAGGAGCGGCTGGGGATCTGAAGCGAGCCACGCAGCATCTCGACTTCCTTACTCTCACGGATGAGCTGGGCCATGCGTTCTATGTGGTGGTTGTTGGTGTAGATGGAGGTCTGGCGATCGGCGAGTGGAATGGACGAGCCTGAGGGCACCCGGAGGGCTTCGGGCGACTGCGTCAGCTGCGGCGAATGCTGGCCATCTTGAGGATACGGCGAGGGCACGGAGGAGTGGCGAGGCAGGAAGCTGCTAGTGCCTCGCGGGGGTGGAATGATGGCTTGGGCATCCAGGGGCGAGGCAGACTGAGGCGAGCGATAGTCACGAGCGCCGTTCATGTTGAGAGACTCGAGCTTTGGGAAAGATCCCTGCAAGGGAGCAGGAATGGGGTTTGAGAAGAGGGGTTTTGGGGAGGGTCGCAGGGTTTTTGGGAGAGAGGGAGGGAGGAAGGAGGAAGATCAGCAGACCGGCGAGACGACCACGATGGGAGAATGGTCGGCGAAACGGGGATAAGCGGGGCCGAGCGGGGACGAACGGGCGAGCACACCAGGCAAACAGACTGTGTGGGATGAATGCCAGCAGCGTGACCACCGAGGCGACATCCCAGCCATCGGGCCGCAGGAGGAGTGCGACCACAGCGGGTTCAGTCGGAGCCAGCCCGTCTCGAGCACGGGGTATTGGGAAGGACGCAGAGGAAGGACGGAGGGACGGAGGGACGGAGGGACGGAGGGATGGTGCGGGAGACGGCGCCGAGGACGAGTGTGAGCGACAGGAGAGACCAGCCGAGTCGCCTTACCGGCTTTCCTAAAGACTTTCTTCGATTGCTGAGGAGAGAGTGTTGGCGCACCAAAGGGATCTGAGGGCCGAGTGATCGCAGATGGAATTGGAGGCGGCGTTGCCAAGGTTTCGGGAGAGCAGAGCAGCCGGGGAGGAGAGTTGGATGAGGGGACAAGCCGGTGGAGCGGCGGATGGGCGGACGGGTGGCCGAGAAACGGAGAGGCGGGCGGCAGGCCAATGGAGACGGGAGGGCTGGTTAGTGGACTTTGAGCGGGCGGGTCCAAGGAGAACGACAGACGCCGATGCAGGACGACGGGGACCCAGAGCGAGCTGGGGGGATGCAGGCTGGTGCAGGCTGGTGCAGGCTGGTGCAGACTGGTGCAGACTGGTGCAGGCTGGTGCCGATAGATGCAGACAGGTGTTGGAGCGACCGAAACCTTGTCGAGTCCGGACGCAAAGTAAAGCGGTGTGGAGTCGCTGCGAGAGCCGTCGAAGGAGGACCGCGAGGAGGAGCCCGAAGAGCTTTGCAGGAACGACAGCGGCGGAGACGATCCAGAGGAGGACGACCGCTGGGTCAAGGTCTTCCGGCGTACGGGGACGTCGTGGGAGACAGCGCTTGGGGGAGGAGGAGCGTCGGCCATCGGTCCAGGATGTATGAGCCGTTTATTTGGCGAGGGGACAAAAGCCAAATGGAGGGGTCGCAGCAGACGAGGCCGAAATCAGGCGAGTGCCCACACCCACTCGAGTGGTAAAGAGCGGGCTGCGGAGGAGCGACGACGGGAGCGCAAGCCAAATGGGCCGCGCGAGCGACTGGGGAGCGACGTGGCGGCGATCAAGGCGCAATAAACGCCGCGGGCGATCGGGCGAGCACCAACGCGGGCCTTTGTGGGTGCGCTTGTGGTTGTGGCGGGGTGTGGTTGTGGGTGTAGGTGTGGGTGTGGGTGCAGGTGTGGTTGTGATGTCTTTGGATGTGTCGACAATCTGCCTGCATCTGCAAAGTGTCTGGCGTCGTATCTGATGTCGGCGACACACTGCTCGAGCATCGCTGCTGTCTGGCTGTTCAGCCACACTGCACGCATCACTGCCCATCGCACGGATCAGAGCACACTGCACGCATCACTGCCTATCGCAGTGTGCAGTCCCGGCTGTCTGTGTTCCTGTCGCCCTTGGCCTCTCACGCGACGCTGGCGACACTGTGCTGTGCTGTTTGCCCCAGTGCTCCAAAGGACCTTATGCGAGCACCCACACCGCCGCCGCCGCCACCCGTGCGCAACTCTGTTGCGCACCCGCCACCACAGTGACGCCGCTCGCACAGACACTGCTCCTCCCTTGCACCAACCGTCGCCCTTGCGCCGCGCAGCACCGCGCTCTCGGCTGCACAGCCGCTGTTTCCCCGCCCACAAGAGGCGCGTGGCCACGCGTCCGCCGCCTTCCTGCTGCGTCACACACCGTCAAAAATAGCCCGGCGCCGTGACACACGCAAGCTCCGCGCCTTGCCACCACACCCACGTGTCGCTTGTGCGACATTGGCGGCGCACTGGGCCAATGCACCCCGCACCGTGGCAGACAGCACACCGCCATGCTGTTGGCAACTTGGAGCCGCATTGTTGGTTGGACGGGCTTCGGCCTGTCGGGACTGGGACGGTGTCGCTGCCGATGGCCATGCCGTCGCCGATGATCGCGTCATTGCCTGCATCGGCATCAGCGGCATCGCTGCCAGTGTCCCTTTGCCCGACAGCTTGCTTTTGGCAGCAGACGCTCCGCCGTGCAACATGGCTGCTGTCGGCTCCCCCTCTGTGTGCCAGCCACCTTGCTGGCCTCTTGGGCGTGGCGCCGTTTCCGTTGCCGGCCCTGGGGAGGCTGTGCGCTCAGCTGTCCTCCTTGTGCCCTCGCCATTCTCGGCTCTGTGCTGCGCGGCCCAATCTGCTGACCGATCTGTCCCGGACCCTGCACGGCCCACGTCGCACAGCGCCCCACGCGGCTGCGCTGGCTCCTTGGCCTTGTCCGGCCCTGGCATTTGTTGGGCTGAGATCTGGCCGATCTGCATTCACCGCGAACCTTGGTCTGTCCTGCGCAAGACGACCCTGCATGCTGGCTGTGGGCTCGGTCGCATGTTCGTGCGGTGCTGAGGTTGACGGTGCAGTTGGCATCGCCGTCCCTGTCCAGGCAGGGATCAGTAAGCCGTCTTTCCCGCCTGTCCGTCCGTCCGTTGTGGCCCGCTCCGTCCTTTCTGCTGCTCGGCCCTCCTTTGCCATCTTTCCCGTCTATCCTGTCGCAGCACAGACGTCTGCATCTGCAGTTCCGCAAGACAGCCCGCCCAGCCGCTGTCCGGGCTCCCGGATCATGTGGACTGCTGGCGCCATCCGACTGCTCCGGCCTGGATCCCTTTGCCCAACCGGGCCTGGTCATGGGTCCCCGTCCCGGCCACGCGTGCCTGCTCGTCGTCCATCCCAGAATGCACCATGTCCGCCGCGAGTGCTGGTCAATCTGCACCAGCAGAGCGGCAACGCTGGCGTGGGTCGGGTCTGGATGCTCGCTCGTCCGCGCCTGGACCACCCGACCATGTCTCTCCATGGAGAGACACTGCGTCACCCGGTCTCCATCATCTGCGTCGCTGGCGCAAACAGCATCTGCGTATGTCGTCGCATCAACCCAGCCACCCGACCGACTGGTGATCGATCCGTTGCAGCAGCAGCCTGGCCCACTCCCGACCAGACCAGCATCGTTAATGGGTGGGAAGACCGGCGCTGCCGCATGATAGCCGGCCTTCCCACCCAACTCTGACGTCGATCCTGACGGCGTGAACCCCATCCAGCACCGCTTTCTCCATGAATACGTCGTCAACCGTAATCCTGGTGCTGGCCAGTGCTGGCCGGTGCTGATCAGTGCGGACCAGTGCTGCCGACGATTGCATTCGTCTTCAATGCGGCATCTGCCGCTGCCCAAGCGACGCCCAACCAGGCTCCGAATCCGACCAAACGACACTGCGCCCGCTCGTCCTGCCTTGGTGTCTCCCGCTGCCGTGCTCCGGCCTATCCTTGCATCGCCCTTCCCATCTTGCGTCTCTTGCGTCTCTCCTTTGCTCTTCCCGTCGTCTCTCATCGTCCTTCGTCCTTCGCCCTTCGCTCCTTGCCTTTCGGGCCAGCCGCCACCCCCGCTGCGCCCAATCAGATTTCGGCGTGTCTTTTCCTCGAATTGGCAATCCCCTCTGCTTTCCCTGCCCCTTCGCTCTCCGCCTTCCTCGTTGGACCACGTTCTGCCGGCTGTCTCGGCGTCCTTTCCTTCACCCAACCACCCCCCCGGCATCCTGCCTTCGTCCAACCACCCTGCCCTTCGCATCCGCGCATCGCCCAGATGGCTTCTCTCACCAAAAAGCTTGGTCAACTCCGCCAGGTGCGTCTCGCTCGGCGCTCGCTTATCCCTGCATCGATACTCGCGCTCGTTGTCTCGGTTACGCCCTTCCAACATCGAGAAGAGCTCTGCGTCCCGCTGCAGCGACGCCGGGATACCCTGTCCATCCTCCAGCGCTCACGCCATTTCTTTTGCCTGACTCTGAATCCAGTGGACAGGTACACCACGATGCATTCTCGATACGAGCTCGGCTCAGCATCGGCGTCTCTGCCATCGCTGTGCCGGGAGACTCTGCCATCTCAGCGGCTGTGTGTCCCTCTGCTGCCTGTCCCTCTGCTGTCTGCTGAGGGCCCTTTGCCGATGCACCACAGCGGATCGACGGCAACTGGCTGCATGCATCCACTGTTGTCGTTCCAGAGTGGTTCCGCACAAGAAGCGCAAACTCACATCACCTCGGGTCCTGCTGCATTCCTTACCAAACCAGGCGAAAAGATATGGCGTGCCCAGAAGACAGGTAAGCCTGTATCTGGTCCAACCAAGCGAGGCATGGGCACTATTCCAGGCAACCGGAACGGCCGCTCATCATATCGGCCATCCACGGCAACCCCCTACTTTCAGATACCGGTGACGATTTCAAGCGCCTCGAGCAGGAGACCGAGGTCCGACGAGAATGCATCGAGAAAATAGCCGACTCATACCACCTGTACTGGACGACCCTGGGTGAGTTACTTACCGATCCTGAGCAGGGCCTGTTCTCCCTGGCCTCTCTCAACGCCGATGTCTCCAGAGCCCCGGAGCAGTGACTGTCGCTCACTCTGCCCCCCCCCCACTCGCCGCCGCTTTCGCATGCAGAGAAGCGAAAGGAATCACCTTTGGACAAGCAAAAGCGGCTTCCGATCGAGAGCGTGGCTGGATCGATGATCTCGTTTGGCTCCATGCTGCACGAAGAATCGAGCTACGGTGAGTCAGTGAACCTTGTCGGGGGCTGGATTTGTTTTCGTATGACTGCCATCGACGCACTTTCATCGGTCGGGCTTTTGAATCTCTGCCGTCGATATCCCCTGCTAACCCTGCGGCATACTTTGGCTTCTGTGCGGCTCCGAAACCAATATCATATGGTGTGCTCTCTCAGGCAATGTCCTCATCCGTGTTGGCGAGGCGTACGAGCAGCTTGCTGGAACCCAGATGGACTTTGTGCGTATCGTTGCCTGGCTCCTGGAGTGACCCATATCGAGATGCAGCATATTGCCGCATCGGGGAGGAGCAGGCCGTGCTTTCGTGTATCGGGGCATCCCCACGGGATTCCCCCAAACCTAACCGATGCGATGCTCCTGCACGACGGCGATTGCAGATGAACCGGGTGCACGAGTCCTACCGCTATCACCTCCAAAATGTGCTCGAGGACATCAAAGAATACCAGAACCAGAAGCGCAAGCTGGAGAATCGGCGGCTCGACTTTGATGCCAAGCTCAACAAGCTGCAGCGCAGCAAAAAGGACATCCCGCACCTTGAGGAGGAAGTTCGCCTGGCCCAGGCCAAGTACGAGGAGTCGCTGGAGAATACCAGCGAGCGCATGATTTCGCTCAACTCGAACGAAGACGAGCACATGCAACAGCTTTTGAACTACGTCGACATCGAAGTGGGCTATTACAAGAAGAGTCTGCAGATCATGGAGGATCTCCAGCGATCCCTCCAATCGTGAGTACTGCCTGTGTGGTAGTGCGCCTGTGGCTCCACAAAATCTGATCGTCCGTGGTTGGCTGGTCGCACTCCGTGTGTTGCTGTATCGGAGCGGGCTGTCGCTGGGACGCGGGCAGTCGGTAGACTTGAATCTCAGCCGACGGTGCTCGGGCCTCGCTGCGGATGCCGTGCGCATGGACAACTGGAACCGAGCCTCCCGAGAGAGCTTGTCTCCAATGTAGGACCTCGATGACCATTGTTTATTTCGCCTGGTTGTTCATCATGCTTGGGTTGTTTGCTCTCCAGCGTCCCTCGGTCTGCAAACCCATCTCAAGGAACAGACTCGGCACGCTACCGTCGCCACTCAACCCAGTCCGACCTCTCCACACACGGCCAAGATAGCTACAGTCGCAAGCAGAACCAGACCGGCTCGAGCTTGGCGGACACACGCAAGTTCGGGTCTTCGGGCTCGCGTCTCATGCAAGATTCCCGACAGGGCTCGCAGGCTGGCAGCCCGCGCGGCAGTGGTAAGCCCGCCAAGACTCATTCTGCACATCTCGCAGTCACTGCCTCACTACAGGAGCTCAGTGCGGCGTCGCATCGTTCGACAGCCAGCTCGAGTTTGGCAGCACGTCCTCGTTGCTGATGGATACGGGTTGCTAAAATCATGTTTGTCTCTTTGGCGGCGCTTTGATCAGTAGTGGCGTCAGCCCCCAAGGTCTTGAAGCGCGTCAAGTGCCTGTATTCGTTTGAGGGAGAAAACTCGAACGAGCTGACAAGTGAGTATCCGGTGCTGGAAGCCCTCGTGGCGCTCTGGGTTGTGTGCCATGTCCGGCGCGGCGCTGAGAATACACCGACAGTGCGCTTCGGTGCCGCTCTCTGTTGGTTGGTTCTGCCTTGCCTAATGACTCTGTCAACTAGTGAAAAAGGGAGACCTGATCGACGTGACGGGCGAGATCGACGAGGGTTGGTGGGAGGGCAACATCCAGGACGGCTCAGGTCGCTTTGGCATGTTCCCATCCAACTACGTCGAGGTCGTCGAGGACGCACCCTCTGATCGCCGACTGCCTCCCCGGCCAAGTACGACCGTCTCGGTTGCCGAGAGTGACTCTGGATCCAAGAGCGGATACCAGGCCGAGCCAAGGACGCCCACCCGCTTGCCCCACCAAGATTCAGAGATTGCGGCACCGACAGCAAGCCAGAATGGCCCCAACATGCAACGGCTCTATTCATCAACCTCCATCAACAACGCCAGCACATCGAGCCTCGGCAAGGCCTCGGTCGCATCCGAGCGCCCCTTCCAGCTCCCAAGGTCAACGTCCAATGTCGATGTCACCAAGGGCGCCTGCGCGACCTGTGGCTGCGATGAGTTCGTGCCCCACGCTTTCAAGACAGGGCAATGCACCAACTGCTTCCATGGCCACTGAGGCTGCCGCCGGGGATCTGTCCCACCCTCCACGCCGTCCTTTCTTCCCCTGTCTCGCCTCCAGGCCTTCCCACTTGCGCCTGTGTCCAGCCCTTCCAGCTATTCCAGTCCTCTTGTCCCCGTCGACTTGTGCACCGCCCTCTACTCTGTGTTCTCCTTTCCCACAAAGCCGCAAAGCCGGCCATCGAGCAAACAGAGTGCGTCTTAAAGGAGAGACCAGACAACTCGATCCATTCAGTTTTGAAAGCCAGAGGGGCGGAATACAGCGCGACGCTTCTCATTTCTCGGTACATTCCTGTGGAAGATCGTCTTCCCGCATTCTCACCGCACACCCCCCGGCCGTCCATGTCCATATCTGGCTTTGCCACACACAGCGACCCTCGGAACTCCAACAACAGCCATCTACACACTTGCCCTTCGCCAAGGGACACGCAGACCGCCAAGGCGCTCAGAGCTTGGGAGGACGTGCGTAGCGGACAACAGCACCAAACTCGCCGCCATCGACCAAGATGGCAAACTGGCTGGCGCTCTTGGTCAGTTCTGTGTCGCTCAGGCTCGTGTAGTCGAAGCGGCCGAGAATGTCGGTGTATCTGTACATGTCATGACGTGACGACAGTCAGTCAAAGTTGCGACCGGCACGCACCGCCTGCTTGCTTCAATCAGCTGGATCAATCGCCCGGCTTCGAGCCATCACCAGTGCCAGCACCCGCGTCGCTGCAAAATCGTCGCTCTGGAACTTACCCGTCCTTGTAGTATTTTTCAGTGCCATCGGTGGTCTGCACATAGACCTTGACATAGGCCGAGGGAATGGGCACATACTCGTTGACCTCGACCTCGGCCGAATCGTCGTTCTGTGCATCAACCAGCCCCCAGGACTTGTTGCTGCTCTCAGACACAGGGTTTCTCGGCATCAGTGCTTGCAGAATGCCAACGTTCTCCATAAGGTTGATCGTCATCCGGTCGTCGCGGACAGTGCTTTGTCTCAGGATCTCGCCTCCGTTGGCGATAACGACCACATAGACATTGCCGCTGATCTCGGGCACGGGAACAAGAATGTCGCCCTTGTTTCCCGGCAGCTGCACCGTCTTGGAGATCTTGGGGCTCACCACAGTGCCTACGCTGTTCCTTTGACCGCCATAGCTGGCCGTCGCCCTGGCATCGTTTTCGAAGGGGGCGAACGAAAAGGCAACCTCCGAGTTGATGGGCCGCACCGTTATGGTGCAGCTCGAGACACCCGAGTACTGTATGGCGACTGCCCCGCGTCGAGCCTTGAACTCAAGCTGCACCTGGCCGCGGGCCTTCTTGAGAATGCGCACTTCGCGTCCGTCGGCGTCGGTGCCTTCTGGATCGTTGTCGATGGGGCGCTTCATAAAGCCGTGTGATTGAATCTCGTCGTACTCGCTGATGGTTTGGTCGACGGCCGTGAACAGGTCGCGCCAGAACTTGATCGCGTAGTTTGTGTACTTTTTGGCAAGGACTCTTGCTTGGGCAAAGTTGCTGGACGAGGTCGAGCAGTCCAGCCATCTGGGGGAGGCCACATATCCGCCGCAGGAACAGGATATAGTTGTGGAATGTCAGTAGCAAATCGATCGCTAATCGGCCACCCTGCGTGCTCTGGCTGGCTGACTGTTGGTGCCGTCCCGATCACCCCCGTGGATAGATCATGCCAATATGATGACTGGGGGGGGGGTTTGCGCGGACGGCCGGGGGGGGGGCAAATGCGACTGCCACTCCAACATTAACTTACGCCTTGCAGTAGTCAAACTGAATCTGCGACTCGAGCTTGATCTTGCCGAGCTGGATGCCACTTTCCAGATACGCAAGTCTCTGAGCAAACTCAGAAACACGGTCCTGGGCAGCAAGCATGCTCAGCAGATTGAGATGGTCGGTGGCCGAGCAAATCTCCACGGGCTTCCGGGCAAGGTAGAGCAAAAACTGGTGGTACGTCTTGGTGAAATCGACGTTGTCGACTCGTGGCCCCTTCCCAAGGGCCTGGACGCGAGCGTTGATCAAAGGCCAGTACTCGACCACAGGGAGCGTAGAGCGCAGCCGATCGCTCTCCTTGCCGTACCAAATCCACTGATCGGGGCTGGCCTGGGATATGGTGGCCTCGAGATACTCGGCCGCATCTTGCCAAACGCCATGCTTGATGCCGTAGCCCCAGACCGGGAGATGGAACTCGCCTCGCGATCGAAGCGTATCGACGATCGCCGTGTACTCGTCCTTGCGTCGCAGTCGCCACAAGATCCAGTCGAGATCGGATTCTTCGATCGCATTGCGTGTGTTGGCCAAGTAGTCGATTGCCTGCTTGAGAGTGCCCTCGGTGGCGATCCATTTCCACGGCTTGCCTGCGGCCGACTGGGACTCAACCGACTCAATCACAGAAACAGAGACCGGAGCCCCGTGAGCGATGATCTGGTTGCGCTGGTTGGCGGCCTCGATCGGGAACTGTGTGAACTGGCCGGGTCGTGGGAAGTAAAATTGAGTTTGGATGATCTCGGTCTTGTACGGCTGGATGGAGATCTGGTGGGTCTTTGAGCGGCTCGACCCTCCAACAGCCAAGGCGCCGTTGGGAATCTGGACGAGAACCGACAGCAAGAGTGAGGTGGAGGATGTGTCTGTTGATCAAAACGAAAGGTCGGCCCGTCAGTCAGAGGCTTCGATGCTTAGCAATCTGTTTCTCGCTCGAATACATGCAGCATCAATATCATGCCGCGCTGTAGAGAGTCAGCAGAGGCGCGATACGCACTTGTGATGGTGGCCTGGAGAGTATAGATGCGGCGTGTCACAAAAGCGCTGGCATCAACAAATTTGTCCATCAGTTCGCCTGTCTCTTCGTTCAGGACCTGGGTGTCATTGGGATCGACATAGTTCTGGGAGACGAGAACCGATGGGTTGATGTGCACAACGCCGCTCTGGATAAAGCCAGGTCGAGAGAGTGGTATGTGTCAGCCAAGAACACGGCCCTCGAAGCTCAAGCTAGCCAAGGAGTCATGTCTGAGGCGGTGGTTGCAGGCGATGGTTACACATGTGCAGTTAAACATGAGAGTGAGGGCCAAGTACCTTTAGTTCTTTGTGGAAGACCAATGCCGGCTGGGAGGTTCGGATCTTTAGATTGTTCTCCACACGAGCTACGGACGAGGTCGATTCAAATGGAATGCCAATCAAAGACAGTGCCAGGATTGCCTCTGTGAAGGAGCCTCTCAGGGCAGTGTCAAAGTTCTGCGGCGGAGCGGAGCGGGCCCAGGAGATCAACGGCTATCGGGTTAGTGCACAGTTGCAGGGACTCTTGCAGGCGATCTCCATTCAAAGACGAATCCAACTGCTGGCGTAGCGTACCGCGCTTGTGAAATCGGCAAAGCCGCTGCCGGTCCAATCCAGAACATCCTTCCAGAATTCGGACATGTCTTGGACCGTTTCGTGGCTGTTCTGCGGCTCGACATTCCAGTAGTTCTGCTCGACAAACTGCTGCGTCTTGGGTGTGGGCTCGTGCATCATTTTGCTCTTGAGGATCGCTAGTTGACGTGTGGCTTTGAGCTTCTTTTTATTTTCGTTGAGTCTCGTATCAGGCTGGGACATTTCAGGAGCAGAGCGGAAGGCTGAGAATCCCATGCTCTGGGCGACAGGCTGGCCGAAGCTGATCGCATCGGACTCGGCGCTATATCCTGGGGAGTCGGACAGGGAGTTGGACGATGTGGGAGAATACGACGGCGACGTAGGTGAATACGATGGCGATGTGGGCGAATACGACGGCGACGTAGGTGAATACGATGGCGATGTGGGCGAATACGACGGCGATGTGGGCGAGTGCGAGTGCTGACCAGTGGGCGGCGGCGGTGGTGGCAGAACAGATTCATCCACGGGAGATTCACCGATGCCCAATATCATGTCGAAGAGCTCGTCTCGTTGTCGAGCACGGCTTGCACCGCTGCCTTTCTGCATCGTCAGCTTGTAGTACTCGGACTCAAGTCGAGCTCTGGAGCGAGGATCGTTGGCGAGCTTGGAGAAGAGCACCCTCTCGGCAACGCTGGCGGGAGCGCCTATCAGCCAGCTCTGTCCAAGCAAAGCACATCCCTCGCAATCATCAAGGACCCAATAGTCTATGAATGTTTTGACAGCCTTATTGCGGACAAACGGGCGAACGACAGCTTCAAAGAATGCGGGATCCTTCAACTTGATGAAGACGTTGAGCTCGTGGCAAGCAAACTCGGTGTATTTGCCGATCTTGTCGCCTTGCGAAAGTCGATGCCATGTCTTCAGGAACGAAAACTGGCTGAACAGCTTGGTGTGTCGGCGACCAAGGGACTCTGCCAAGCGGTACAAATCGGCCCAGCTGTCAACGAGCGCAAACGACGACGACACGCTGATCGCAATGTCTTGATCCTTGCCCAGGTTGGTGGCGGTCTTGTGCTCGATAAGGTGATCGAGGACATTGTGTTTGGGCTGGTGTCGGACATCGGCGACTTTGAGGGCTCGGGACAGAGGCCAGGATGGCGATCTTCGGCTGACTGACGACAGGGTCGTGTCCTGCGCAATGATGGTGATTTCGTATCCCTCAAGATCGACCGGGAAGGATACCTGGAACGAGCCATCGACGCCAACGGGGTTGTTGAAGGACACCTGTCCAGGAAGGTCGAGAAAGTCTGGCGTGTTTCACTGCGTCAGTATCCATCCCAATCTCGGCTATGCCGATGCCAAGCATCGCTAGCACTTACCCAGGCATCTGTCGGCGACGCCACCAGCAAAGCCGGGAGCGGAGCCGTAGGTATAACCGCTTCCAATTTTTGCACATCGGGCAAAGCAGTGTGAACTCATCGGTGCTGGACATCCTGCCATCACAGATTCTAGGCCAAAGTCATGCGACTGTAGTTCATCCTATAAACCAACGAAAGAGAACGATCAGTTGTTGGCAGGCTCGAATCGACAATGCTGTTTGGATTTTGGCCAACGACGAGCCCCAATCGATTCACATTCAGCAGTGACCCGCTGGTCCTACCGCAGTTTTGGCAGCGCGAGGATTGAGCAGGACTCCGGGCTTGCGGAAGAGCGATCCGATCCCACGAGGGGCAGCCTGTCGCGCCAGAATGTACCCGAGCTCGGTGGGAAGATTGTGAGGCGAGCCGTACGAATTTGCCTTATCGGTCCAGGTAAGGAAGGCCGATGGAGAACCCGGTAAGACAGACTCAGTCTGTGAGGTGGGACTGAAGTACTGCAGCAACACATGAATCCGGGTCGTAGGGCTGTGATTGGACACTTTCCCAACAAGCGTGCCATTCTGGACATCAACATCCGAGAAGCGGAGGGCAGCCTTCTTTGGGAGCTCGCAAATGGAGTGATCCAGAAGCACGGCCCCATTTTTGTCCCAGTGCTCGGCGGCTGCACTGTTGCTGGAGGCCCCGAGGACCGAGATTCGAGCACGGAGCACGTTTCCCGAGGCAACCAAGGACAGGGAATATTCACCCTTGGGCAGGCCTTGGATGCGGGCAAAGTTGGTTCCAGTTTCGGAGGTGACAATATGGACCTTGTCAGACAAATCGCGAGTGTTCCATGAGGAGACGCTAAAGGGAGATTAAGCAGTTTGTACAAGTATTTGTCAGCACGCTATACCTTGAGTCATTCACGATGACTGAAATGCCCGAGCGGCGGCCATCGTACACACGACGAGAAGGACGCAAACCCCAGCTCAAATCAGGCGTGCGGAGGGCCTGTAGTGGTGTGGCACCGCAGCATCATATTCTATAGGAGGGCGATCAAACTAACAGATGATACTTACTCGCTTGCCCCGAGTTCCATCAAAGACCAATGGTAGGGAACGTCCGTGACATTCTTGGGGATCGGCAGATCAGTTATCTCCATTTCTTTAGCGATGATGTCGGGAATGAACACATTGGCGGCGTCGAACGACCAGCTGCCGAGCAGATTGTTGCTTTCAACCTCAACTACAGAGACCAGGCGCACACCCTGAATCTCTCTGAGCGGCGCAAGTTGGTTGCATCAGCATGTTAGCAAAGTGTCGCTGCGGGTTTACATACTCTGGTACAAGCCCACGATCGACACGATGCAGAGCAGTGTTAATTTACCCAAGAACAACTTTTCCTTCACTGTCGGTCTTTAGATGAGTCTCTATGGGCTCGCTATCGTAAATCGATTGGATGGCGACCTCCAGCGCACGATTGGGGACGGGCTCGCCTGCAAGGGGGGAGGTTCAAGTCCAATCAGGGCCGATTCACCGCGCGGCATTAGTACCTGTAGCAGTGTCCGAAAGCCGCCAAGCGCTGACAGCCCTGGGCACTGTGCCATTACCCGCGATCCCCAGAACGTAGACGACAAGCTTGTTTTCTTCGCGGCGCAGGAACGCGCACGCCAGATTCTGTGACATGACTCTGTGGATGGATGCAGGGATGTATGAGAATCGGTATACCCAGGGCTGCTTGCAGTGTGAGCCGTCTGCTGCATCAGCACTGACCCAGCAAAGTCCTCGCTATGAGTCAACTCGATCTTCTGGGCCGACTGAGACGGATCGATTTTCGTGATCTTGCCGCTGAATCGAAACTCGACATTGATCACTGAGGAGCAGTGCTATGTCAGTATTCACGGGAAGCATTGCCGCAAGAAAGGCAGCCCGATGCGGCACTTACAATCTTCGGGCACGACAAATTCGATGACGGGATCGCTTCCTTCGGAGAGCTGCAGGTCGAAGCTCTTGGTCCGCTTGACACCCAGAAGATCGAGAAGAGTGACCTCGACTTTGGCATCGCTGATAAGCTCCAAACTAGCAGGCTCATTGTGGAGCAGGTTGGTGATGTTGAGCGCAACCTTGGCTGTGGCCCCGCGCACAAAAGACTCCTTGTTGAGGATATAGGTGACATTCACATCGTATGTCTCAGTGACGCGACTGAGAGTACACTTCCTGGTAAGACCTTTGTGGGTTACGAGTGCACTGACGGTCTCGGCGGATGCCGCGAACGGAACCACAATCTCGCCGTTGGCTTCGGGCTGGTACAGCAGCAGCACAGAGTCGGATGTTAGTGGAGACGCGGCAGAGGTATCAGGTGGCTGAGAAATGCACGGTGCAGCCAACGTACAGCAAAACTTCGTCCTGATATCCATAGAGTCGACTCGCTCGTAACATCGTTGCCATCGTGATCAACCACGAGAATCTGCTGGCCAGCCACACCGACGGTAGCCTTGATGTTGAGGTCGCCCTGAGCTCAAGCCAATGGGAGAGTGTTGATTTAGGTTTGTAGAGCCCAGCACGAGTATTGAACCCCAAGAACGCCCACGCCATCTACGAGGGTGTGCTCTGTGCTTATCGACAAAGGCAGCGGCGAGAGCAGCGGCAAGAGCCGTCGGGATCCAGAGCTCTCCGAACATGAGACTAACCTTGTTGAGGACCGCTCTGCATCGCTGGCCGCTGCCAATGACCTCCACCATCCACGTGCCGTTGCCGTCGAGCCCTTAAGCTCGATCTGGCGCGCCTCGGCTCTGAGGGGATTCTGAATCGAGTATTCGAAAGTCAAGGACTGGGTCGGCACGATGACCGATAGGTCTCTGTTCAAGAGATTGCTTTCGTCTTCGTTTTGGTTGGCAACAAAATAGTCAAAGGTGCTGATTGAGTAAACGTTGACATGGATACTTGGGATATTCTTCACGGTCAAGCTCAAGTGGGCAGTGCTTTCGTGACTCTGGAGGACGCGGGGATTGGCGTTATGGGTAAACTCGAGCTGAGCGCGTTCAATTAGGGCATTCAGCTTGTTGGCGGGGAGCATTGCCGACCTAGCGGGAAGAAGAAACCCAAACTGAATATCAGATGATGGAAAGTGTGGGCCCTCGTGAGACAGAAGACACCAAAGGGCAACTCAAGAAGACTCAGGCCGCGAACATGGCGCCAACCATTTTTTGGTTTCGTCGGTGTAGAGAAGCTTGGTTTCGACGAGAAGATCGGTGAGGAACTCCTTGTCAAAGTAGGCTTCAAAGTCGCTGAGCGAAGCCTTTGGGTCCAAGAAGAGCTTGCGGAGATACGCGGGGACGACAAAGGCCTCCTCCTGCGGGGCGACCACGGGGAAGTAGCCCGAGTCCTTTGGCACATCAAAGACCACACACCGCAAGTAAGCGCACTGCCGACGCAAACCGATCGTGGACGATATTGGTGCGCTCAAGAGGCTCCTCTCATTCGGCCTTAGCACATAAACCTACCAGAAAATTCTGAGCGGACTGGTGGCTCAACTGATTGTACTTGCCGACCAAGTCCAAATACCTACAGCAGTGCCGTAGAATGGATTAGAGAAGGTAAGGCACAAGAGTGTATCGACTGTCGGTGGGATACGACTGGCTGCAGTGGGTCGGGGACTTACTTGAGAAGAATCTCCTTGTTATAATGCCCCTCAAGCAGTGAGGCATTGAGGTGAGCAAAGGCGACTCGAATTTTGAAGGAATCAAAGTTCTTGGGCAGAGTGCTGAGCCACTCCTGGATCTTGTCAAAATGGCTTTGGCCAAGCGGCTTGCGGCGGAGAAGAATCGGATCGACATGCTTGAGCGGCAGGGCCGTCGCGACTTTCTTGGGCAGGAGCTGCTGGATGTATGCAGCGGCGTACTCGTACTTGAAGTCGCTTTCGGTGGCCAAGATGTCTGGGTACTCCTGCTTGAGCTCAGCGAGTTGATCTTTGGTGAAACTTCCCAGAAGGTTCTGGGTTTGCATGTGCGGCAAATTTCTCCGTTAAATGCAATCCAAGCTCTCAGAACAGCGCCCTCTCTATCGCCACCAGCACCCTACGCCAGGTAACACGCGCACCTTGAAAAAGGAGATGTAGTATGCCCTCCCATCCTGCTCAGGCTCCTGCTCGACGAGACGAATGACATTGGCTAGGAGCTTGGGGGCGTGATCGTGCTTCCCATCGTAAAAGCTCCTGGAGTGCAGATCGAACGCTGGGCGCAAGCTGGAGAGGAGCTGGGGAAACTGCTCCGGATCTCGGATGTAGAGCTTAAAGATCGTCTCGGGCTGCAAAGACCGCGCTTCGGGGCGCTCAATAGACTCCTCGACGATCTTATCAATAATAGTCTCGACAGAGACGAGCGATGGATCAAGGACAGAGGGGATGGTCGCGGCCGTGGTGTCGCCGACCTGATCGGCGACGGTGCCGGTGCCCGGATGTGGGTGGTCAAGAACGAGACCAAAGAACTGCTTACAGTCCGCGACGAGTGACTCGGGGATCTCTGGCTTGCCGGCGACAAGCTGGGCGGCAATGAGTTGGTTGCGCAGAGCTTCGATTTTCGAGGACTGGCCTGTGCCAGAGTCAAGCTGCTTGAGGCGCCCGATGGCTTCGGTTGCGAGCGCAAGTTGGTGATGAAACTCGCTGGAAGGGTCGACGACATTGTCACCCGGGCGCCTTTGGGACTCGTAGGCGACGATGGCCTCTCTGAGATGGTGGAGGGCGGTCAAGAGAGCATGGTTTGGGGTATGGTCGGGCCAATGGGCGGCAATGGCCGCAAGGCGGTCCTGGCTGGAGACGGCCAAGACGTACTGCTCCAAGAAGGGAACAGACACAGAGTCCATGCTGGTGGTGCTGGTGGTGCTGGTGGTGCTGGTGGTGCTGGTGGTGCTGGTGGTGCTGGTGGTGCTGGTGGTGCTGGTGTGCTGGTGGTGCTGGAAGAGGATGGGTGGAGATGGTGGTGCTGGTGCTGCTGGAAGAGGATGGGTCCTTTTATATCCCTGTCGGGATCGCCTCCGAGGTGGCCATGCCACCATCTCGCTCCCCATCTCGCTCTGCGTCTCGCTCCGCATCTCGCTGTGCGTCTCGCTCTGCGTCTCGCTCCGCATCTCGCTGTGCGTCTCGCTGTCGCCCGAAACTCCGACAAATATGGCCAAAAGCGGAAGGAGCGTCAGGCTTTGTCGTTGCCATCGGTTGTGGCCGAGGCGGTGCGAACGGCTCCCTCGCCCTTCCTCCCGACTCTTCTTTTGCTGGTTGAGACAGACACCACACTGCTGCCGCACAACATGGGGCCGCTTGGACACTCGCTGCACGCATCACACGACGCTCATGCCGCCAGCTCATCTCCGGATAGACTGGACGACCAGCACTCCGAGTCCAACTGGAGCCGGAAGCGGCTGGCGCGCGAGCATCAAGAACGCTGCCCGCTGCTCAAGGTCGCCCACCAGAACATCGAGACCGTCCTGGGCTGGCTGCAAGACATTTACTACTCGGACCGCTATACCGCTGGCGAATACGAGTACCGGTAAGCCATGTCTCTGCCCCCGTACCTGTTGGGCTTGCCATTTGGCTAGAGCATCGATCAGCGGCAAAACGACGTCCCTGCTTCTGGGGCTCCGGCTGACCATCCCGAGGAACGGCATCTTGCTTTGCTGACCCAGCAACGTTCCAAGGGCCTGTCATGCGGCTCGTATCCATCGCAATGCTGGCAAGCACCGCACCTCCGCACACCGCACTAACCCCCTCGTGGCGTCACGATGACCATCAGACATGTTATAATCACAAAGGCGCATCTAGCCGCTGTTCCAAAGGAGTTTGTCGGCAAGATGCTCGCCGAAGAGCAGTGGCGAGGTATTGGTATCCAGCAATCGCCAGGATGGGAGCATTACATGGTGCATTTGCCCGAGCCAGTAAGTAGCCATGCCCGCGCAATCGCCGATCTGCGGCTGGTGGCTCGCAACGACACAGTGGTTGATGCCCCTGCGGTGTGGGCTTGACATGGCTCTTGGATTCGAGCAGATCCAGTGGCTGTGGGCACCATTTGATGCACTGACAGCATGTTGGGCTGGATATTAGAAGCGCGCGGGGCCGTTAACTTGTATTTGGTGCTCAAAACTTACTCAATTGTTACTACCCTGGGGTAACGCCAGTGGGTATTTGCTTTCAGACGCAAGCTCCCAGGCGCAAAGGAAAACTCCCCGGATGGCGGCACGGCCAAACATCCGATTTCCTACCAGCCATCCAAGATTGGACAGAACCAGCTGCCTCAGCCGGACTTTGGCATGGTCAAGGCACGCCAGGAGCAGCGCAAGCAACGTCAGCGCGACGTCCAGCAAGCAAATGATGAGCCCGAAAGCACCGGCCCTATCAGCAAGGGCTCAGACAAGGGCTCGAGCAAGCGCGAGCGACCAGCTCCGGCCGAAACTCTCCAGAGCAGCTTGGACTCTGAAGAGCCCATAGATCTCGACGATGATAGCGGGGTGTCCGTCCAGGATGAAACTCCCCAAGACCAAATCCAGGACATCAGAGATGGTCATAGCATTCTCGATGACGTGCAGGATGACCGGAAGACAGGCGAGGACTCAAGACATGCCGTCCTGGACAGCAGGGCCTCTAATGACCTTGCGCTCAGCGTCCAAGATAACAGCTTCCAGAGCAGTAGTGCCCAAGTGATCAACATTGATGGCGATGATGAGGATGATATCAGCGACAACAACGGTCCAGCCGATCCTCAGGCTCTCGACGCGCAAGGCGATCTGATCCTGCAAAACGATGCGCCGGCAGACGTCCAGAACGAGGGTACCCACGAATACAGAGTCACAAACTCTGTCGAGGAAGATAGTATCCTGGAAGACAGACCGAGCACGTGCGAAACCCAAGACGACGGCATCCAAGCCGACATTCAGGAGCACAGTGCACCAGAGGAAGGCGGTGCGGTCATTGATTGCGATGGTCCAGTTGCCATCGACTGTGACGATGCCGACATCCGGGATGGGGCCGAGTCCGATCGCATGGTCGTTCAGTACACTGTCGAAGCCAAGAACACCGAGCCTTTCGATGCCGACAACACAGACGATCCGTCTGAGGATGTGCAGGTTCTTGACGTGGAGGATGTATACAATCACAAGAGCGAGCAAGTACTTCGAGACCGCTCATCCGAGGAGCATGCTCGTCCATCGAGGGACTCTGCCTCGTCACCATCGGCCAACTCAGCAAATGGACACAACCAGCAGTACGGATCGGCCCAAATATCCCCCCGGAGCGTCAGTGACCTATCCGACGCTGTGATCGAGATACCAAGCATGAGCGAAACTGGCCTGGCATCGATGGCCCAGCCACACCAGACCACAAAGTCATCACGTAAGCGAGCTGCAGACACAGAGAGCCCACACGTTGGAAATCGGAGCCACACCTCGAGGCCAAAGCTGTCGCACGAATCACCCAGTCCTGCAAAGAGCGGAGTACTCAGGGATGCTCCAAAGCCAGGCAGCGACAAAAACAGTCGGAGGATCGCGCAACCAAAGTCTAAAATCCACCTGCCGCAACTGAGCATCCAAGCACTGGAAGATCGATCGACGGCCGTGCTGCGTCCCGGTCTTGGTGAGCGCGACCTGGCCGTTGTCGACGACGACATCGATCCGAATCTCCATTTGCGAAAGCGAGAACGTGACAAGCCCAGCAGCGGTCCCGAGGCCAGAGACGACGAGTTTCCGGACTCGACAGAGAGCAGCGAGCACGAGGCTCGGCGAATCAAGTCCAAGGTGACGGTCGATCTGGTCAGCCCGCTCAAGCTCGGCCACTCGCCCGAGCTGCTGTACTCCCCCTTCGTCGCCGGCTGTGCCCAATCGGCCGCGGCACCGAAGCCCACAGTGGTACATGCGAGCCGAATGTCCTTGCCGCCGGTGATTTCGGATGCCGCAGACCAGGCCGTCGAAGATCATCGGCCCGGTAGCCTCTCGGACTGAAATACCCGAATGCAGAACGCGAGAAAGGCTGTCCGTCCTCCTGCTTCCCAGCCGCACGGGTGGATCTCGACCGCGCGCAACTCTTGTCCGTCCTGTTTTTGGTCGCCTGGTGAGAAGAATCGCCGTTTGTGGACGCACGATTCCGAATACAATCCGATCCGGAGACCGCGAGGGGCCGCAGATGCTGTCGGGGGGGGGTGTTTCGAACTCGGCTCCTGCATGGCTGCTTGGGCAGCGGCTCTGGGGTCGCCCCGACACAGATTCCCCGTTCAGCATGATCTCGAACAAGGCCCTCCAGCCTCCGCGTGGGGGCGCCTTCAGGGGAGGGCAGGCAGACCCGCCATTTGCAGCCTTGCGCCCCGGGTGGTGCTGATCCCCGTCGTCGACCGGCGCTCAGCCCACGCATCCGCACGCAGGACAGACGAGGCCGTGCCGAGGCTGCTTCTTCAGCCCGCAACCACGGCCCTCACGGTCCGGGCAGCATGTCGCCGCGATCCAGGACAGGACAGAGACCGCGCTCGACCCATCCGTCATCCACGGTTGCCATTTGCCATTCGCCATTTGCCATTCGCCATCCGTTCGCCATCCGTTCGCTCGTCGTCCATATGCCAGGCGACCCACGCCACCCAATTTCAAATGGCATCCGCAAGCCGTTGTGACGCGTCCGCCTTGCTGGCATCATCGGAACGTTCCGTCCACGTGACACGGGGGTATATCACGGCATCGCTGCCCACCGCCATCCTGCCCACCTCCATCCTGTCCGCAAGTCGTTCCTGTCCGCAAGTCGTTCCTCCACCATCACCACCGCCGCCGTTTCAGCATGTCTGCCACCACTGCCGTTGCTCCCTCTGTCCACGAAGAGCTCCTCGACCACTCCGCCGACGAGCACGCCTCCCGCCGCGTCGTTGTTGTCGCTATCGATGGCTCTGGTAAGTTTGGAACTGAACTCGAAATCTAGTGCTGTTTGGCAGTCCGGTTGCCGTTCCATCACCGGCCTGTCGCCTAACAGCTCCGTGCGCTGCTTCCCCCCACAAATCTTGCGTCGATAGACCGGTCGCAGCAGGCCGTCGACTGGGCCATTGACAACATCCTCCGCGCCGCCCAAGACTCTGTCGTTCTGATCAACGTCCGCCCCTTGGCCGTCCAGCTCGGATATCGTAAGTTTGTTGGCGCCTCGATCTGGCTACACCCAACCGTGCCGAGGCATGGAGCATAGGCAGCAAGTCAAATGCGCCCACGCAGCACCACTAACGCCGTCATTGGTATCCGCAGCCACTGCCCTTGGAGACTTTGGTGCCGAGTACCAGAGCATCGAGGACGCCAATCGCGAGGCCTCGCACGAGTTGATCCGCAAGACCGCCAAGAAGTTTGTCGAGAAGGACGTATGTACACGCTTGATGCATGTAGCTGATGGTGGATCGCTTGCGAGCCGGGACAGTCGTTGGCAGCCCAAAAGTCGCCCGGGACCCGTCTGACCGTGCATCCATTTGCGACTCGCAGATTCCCATCCGAGGCATTGCCCTGCGCGGCGACGCCCGCGAAGAACTCGTCGCCAAGATCGATGAGCTCAAGGCCCAGCTGGTCATCATCGGCTCGCGGGGACTGAACACCGTCTCCCGGGCGCTCATCGGCTCTGTCTCGGACTACGTCGTCCACCACTCCTCCGCCCCTGTCATCGTCACCAAGTTCTAATGCATATGGTAGCTAACACGCTCCTGTGCTGCAGCTCAGATCCCGATTCGGCAATGAGCCGAGCAAACCACCGTCAGACGAGTGCGAACGAGTCGAGCATGTGTATGAGCGAAACGCAAGCACCCTTGCCAGCGGCATTGTGCTGACGGCTGTATGATAACCACCCGCGTCTAATGAAGTTGCATAAGCGGACAGTCGCTGGCCCTGCAGGTGGCTGCGGTCTGGTGGAGACGGTGTTTCATGGACGAGCGATATCCGTTGATAGGCGTGGATCATATCCAGGTTGATACTTGTGGATTTGGGTACGCAGTGGCAATTTCCCACCGCCAGAATTCTTCTATTCAGGGTGGCATCGCCGCACTGGATCTCTGGAGAGGGCACAGCTTGCGAACTCGGGCACCTCGAGGTTCCTGGACAAACGCCCAGTCAGCCACGATGCTCCATGGCGGTCCCAGGAGCCAAGACTTGGCTGTCTAGGCGTTTGTCCAGGAACCTCTGGCCGTGGATACACTTTATTCAGAAAAAAACGGGACAATATAGCCGTTTCCATGAACATGTAGTATGTGCTGTGCTTGCGTCAAGCAAAGCCACAAGAAATAGATCAGATCACTTTGGCAGCCTCCGAGTGAAGACCGCCGGTCGCTCTCCGGTCTCCACAATCGACTTGCACACTGTGATCATGTTGCGCGCCGCATTGACGTCGCGATTCCACACTGTCCGGCGAATGGTCATGGCCAGCGCGCGATAACATTGGGTAACAAAATATTCGATGAATGGTCAAAATCCCGGGTGTCCCGTTTTTTATTGGATCGCCTGTAACCCCTCCCCTCGTCGCTGCGATGCCCGGGTGTCATGTTGCATCCGCTTCCATCCGTACCGCCACACACTGCCACCGGCAATCCCGACACGGGCCGGCCCGTGATTGCATCCCGCTCGGCGACAATGCATGCAGCCGGAATGACATCCGCTCCCACAGCCCGGCTGCGTCGCATCGGCGTCGCATCGACGTCCGTCATCGCACCGCCAGCAGCCTTTGTCTCATCTCGTCCATCTCGTCCACCTCGTCCTCCTCGTCCACCTCGTCCATTGCCTTCGACACAACTTTGTCATCCCCAGGCCACTCCTCCTCTCACATGCCGCCTTTGCCCGAGACGCCCATATCGGACGCGGCCCGTACGTATCTGCACCCGTTCTGCGGGTGCTTTGAAGCTATGGTGTCTCGCCTGGAATCGAAGCATCTGGACCAAAGCGTCTGACTCGCTCTCATCCCGTCATGCACCCTCATCTCTGGCAGCGCGGGCCAGCATCCAGGACCTGCCGAACGAGGTGCTCCAGTCCATCTTTGTGTTGTGTCCCCCATACCAATTCTATCGCCAGCTACCGACGGTGTGCCGACTATGGAGATGCCTCGTCAGCAACCGCAGGCCTGTGGGTGCTCTGGCGCTTCGCATCCTCGTCGATGAGCTCGAAACAACGGTGCAATCTCAGCAAGGGCAGCTGATCCAGGTCCAGCGAATGCATTCGGGTGCCTCGCACTCGCCAATTGTCTTTACCTCGATCCTGCACGAGTTCATGGCCTCGCCCAACATCGACCTCAAGGGTTTAGTCTGCTCAACACCGAGCCTGTCCTCGAGCGACAGATTCGTCGCTCTCCGCTGCTCAATCACGGTCCCGTCGTCTTGGATACGCAAATGTGGTCCCGACCTGCTGGCCTGTCTCCACGAGGAGATCACCGTCAAGGCGCAAATTCCAAACCTGCGACTGATTCCGCATACGATATATCTGCCGCCGGTCTCGCCGCTGTCAACTTGCAGCTATGCTCCGCTGCTCTTTGAGGCTCTGCCGCCCGCGACGCTGTTTGCTACATTCATGCCATCCGATCCGCTTCCGTCCGTCCAGTCGCTTGTCCTCGTTACTTCCGGAGCAACCTTCAGCACGCAGCTCCAGCAGCTATCGCACATATTCCCCAACATGACGATGCTCTCGATCGAGACCCAGCACACCAGCCAGACTGTTCTTCCAGCCGCCGAGTTGTCGCACCTCGGATGCTCAGGGCTCGTCGCTCTCCAGATCGAGGAGCGCATCGAGTTCTCTGATCTCTCTGTGGTGCTTGCCCATCTCAAGTCGCACTGTTCGCGGCTCCGGCTGCTCAAGTACCCATTCCCACGGCTTGATGGCCAGCCGCCGCGGGTGCAATGCGAGATCGCAGCGCTCATCTCCGAGACGGCTCTGGTTTCGCTCTCAGCCCTCAGCAACCCGACTGCGTTTTTCTGGACGGCCCTGGCGAGCTTGGACAGGCCATGTCTGGCGATGCGCAACCTGACCCTGTCGTACACATGCCCCTCTGTCGAAGATCTCCGTGCCCTGGTTGAATACTTTGTGGTGTGCTTTCCCAAGCTGACCCATCTCAAGCTCATCATCACCAACCTCTTGAACAAGGAGCACGAAATCCAGACCCGCAAGGTCCTCAAGGGTCTTCGAGCTTTTGGAGCCAAGCGCAGATCGGCGGCTGGTCTGCAGAATTCCCCTGCGTCGTTGCAGGGCAGCCTGCGAGTCTTGGATCTGCGACTGGACTGGCGGAGTCTGGCCATGGGCGAGAAGCTCGAGTGGAGCCGCGAGTTTTTGGGCTCGAGTATGAAGGTCACCGTCGGTATGATATGACCGAACGGCATTGGATGCACCGCAGGCGAGCTGTCTGTCTGTCTGTCTGGAGGGGTCACCCACATCGCCGCCAGACAAAACGAAGCAAAGCCCGCTGTTTCAAGACAAGTAGCATTGTTTTCTGGATCACGAATACACATGAGCTGTATCGAGAGTGTTGCACTGGTTCTATTCTGCCAACAGATACACCGCCATTGCTTTATCCCGTCTGAGGAGCCACCAAGTCGTCTGCTGTCTTGCACTTGACGCAGGTACGGGTTCACCGCCTCATGGCGATCCTGGAGCCAGGGCCGCCTCATCCAGGGAGGAATCCCATGTCGCAGAGGATGCAGGGCAGTCCGCAGCAAACAGAGTCCGGTTAGTCGAGACGGGAGCCTCGATCCTCGATCTGGACGTTGCCAAGAGCCGGTGTCGGGCGTGGTTCGGTCGAAAGGCCGCGCAGCCCGACAACGTGGTTTAGATCTCCTTTCTATTCTCATGGCCGCATTCTGTTGATGCGCTTGGAATTTCGTTACAACACTGGCGGAGCCTGTCTCCAGTCGTCCGGTGAAGCCCCTTCCATTCCAAGTACTTCCAGAAATGCACATTGCGCTCCCAACACTGAAATCCCACAACTGTAGTCCAGCGAATGTGCATCTGCAATGACCCGATGCAGCATAGCACACAAGACTTCGTGCATGCATTTGAACGAATTTCCCAGCGCCATACAGCCACGGCTCGACTCCGCAGATAGTCCATCGGGTGGGCAACTGCCTATCCTCAAGGAGCAGCAATACAAAGAGGAACGAAACGAAATGAAACGAGCGAAATAAAGCAAAAGAGCACGGACGAGGGCAAACAAAGGACTGCAGTCCCGCGAGCGTCCCCAATCCAGGAGCTGAGGAGATAATCCCGATCCTTGGCCGTGAGTTGAAAGGCAGTCCAGTCCAGTCCAGAGTCTGACGCCGAACAAAGCCACCGACGCCACCAGCTTGTCTTTACCATTGTCCAGGAGGTCCCGGAGGCATTGCGCCCATGGGTGCTCTGTTGCGAGGGAGGTCGAGCGTTACAATCCGTTGTCATCCAATCCAATCCAAGTCAATCCAAGTCAATTCAATCCAATCTAGTCCAATCTCATCGAAGCTAATTGAATCTAATCGAGGCTAACTGAATCTCGTCCGATTCAATCCACGGCTCGCGTCGTCCGAGCCAGCCACATCCGGGACATCCAGCTGAGGCGCATTGGTGATGTCGAGCCAGGTCGTATCCGATGCAGTCCACGAACTCACCTGGAGCCGTAGGGCTCAGGCATACCGCGGTAGTCATCCCGTCGAGGGGAACGGCTCCGATCCCGGTACATCGGCGGGGCCGAGGGAGGGGGCGGGGGCGGGGGACCTTGATCGTATCCACGGTATGGGCTTCGGGGGGCGCCACCCATCCTCCTGGCATCATAGTCCAGGTAGTCGCCACGGCGGTCATCCGGGGGAGGGGGAGGGGGAGGGTAGTCCCTTCGGTAGTCGTCTCTTCGGTCACGGTCGTATCCCGGGAAGCCGCGATCCTCATAGCGCCGGGGCGGCGATCGGTAGTCATCATACTCTCGTCGGTCTCTGCGGTCGCGGAACTCATCGTACTCGGGCCGAGCTCGATAGTCGTATCTGCGGTCGTCATAACTACGCGCGCGCTCTCGATACTCATATTCACCGCCTCGTCGGTAGCGATCGTCAACTCCGCTACGAGGACGCTCCTTTGCTTGTCTAGGTAGCGATGCAGCCGGGCCACACGGATACAACGCAGTTGCATCATCGGAAAGAGAGGAGCATGGTCGTCAGGCACTGCTGCAGAGGATGGCGAGGGCCGCGCCTGTTCCGAATACGCCCGCCTCACTCAGGGCAGCCGAACAACACGGCATGGCACTCACTTGCAATAGCGGGCAATGTGGCCATATTCGCCACATCGGAAGCACATTCCGGACTTGACATCAGCACCCTTATGGTGGTTATCGGGGCATTCCCTGGACACAGTAGCGACGGAGATCCAGACGATCAATCACAAACGACCACCAAATCCAAGCGATCACCCAAGTGGCCAGCTCCCGCCCCGGGATTGCCCTTTGCCAGATCGGCATGCCAAGTCCGGGCAGCTGGACGCAGACAACCCTGCAGGATGCCGGAAAGGGGAGGATTGGCCGATCGATGCTTACCTCGCCCAGTGTCCCGGCTCTTTGCAAATATAGCAAGTCGACTCCCGGGCTCCCGATCTCCGGGACCACTGCACCGAAATGCGGTTTCCGTTGAAGATGTAGCCATCCAAGGTCGCCACAGCCTCATCGGCACCTCGTTGGTCCTCTGACGATGTGTATGGCAGGTTCGTGGGTTCATCCACAGGTCAGCCCAGCGAGGGATCGTTATCGTCACCGGCGCCCCGCTCGAGACATTCAATCGGCCCCCGTCCCATCGAGCACTCTCCTTGCCGCGCCTCGCTTCGCCGCTATCGGCATAAGCGGCTCCGGCCCCCATCAACGGCCAAAGTACGGCATGCTCGAGCTTCAGCTGATCGGCACCCACAAGCTGCGGGAAAACACCTACCGAACTCGATAAAGGCAAAGCCGCCGGGCTTGACCTGGCACAGAGTGACCTTGCCGTACTTTGCGAACAGCTCCTCGAGCTCCCTCGAATGGGTTTGATCGGAGAGGCCGCCGACGTACAGTTTGCCAACGGCATTGTATGGTGCCTGAGGAGCCGGCGGAGGAGGAACCATGGCCGAGGCGGCCTGTGGCGGCAGCGACGCAGACTCGGGCAGCTGGCTCATGGCGACAGGTGCAGATCCAGACAGAGCCTCCTCGATGTGCAGCCGAGGCCACAACGGCAAAAGGGGCGGCGCCGCGGACAAGACGGCGGCGCAAACACAGGGGCGCACGACGGCAGCCCCAGCCCTTGCCCCAGCCCCAGCCCTTGCCCCAGCCACGACAAATGAATTTCATCAGCCAGCAATCCAGTCACGTGCTCTGTGTGCGACGGCGGCGCACGGGCTGCCCATCCGGCCGCGTCGCCACACATCTGCGTGCTCTTGCGCTCTGATCTGCCATGCCATTCCTTCGACCAGCGCAAGCGAGGACGGCGCTCTTCGTGCGGGGACCCAGGCACGCAGCTCTCCCGCGGCTGCCACTGCATGCCCCGTCGGGAGTTGGTGCCACTCCGCTGTCGCTTTTTTCTGGCTGCGCAACTCGCCTGTTCAGCAGCACTCCAGTGCCATGCTCTGCGCCCTCGATCGTGTCGACTCAGTGGCTCAAGGACAATCTCTCGAACGTGGTGGTTGTTGACGGATCGTGGTATCCGAAAAGGAGACTTGTCGACGCCCTCGCCGAAGATGCGCTTGTCAAGACCCGGGATCCGCTGAGCGAGTATCTCTCCATTCACATCCAGGCAAGCAGTCGGCAGTCTCGTGTATCTCCGAAGCCATGTCGCTAAAGATTGGCTTCGACAGTTGCGTTCTTGGGCAGAGAGGCCAGAATCAAGACCCGGCGCTCCGTTTTTCGTCTTCGCACCCATCGGCTCCTCTGACCAGCCCACCGACTCCTTCAATATCCTCAGGACGCTCGGTTCTTCGACATTGACACCATCGCCGATCCGCTGGCATCCAGGCCCCGTCAGCTGCCCAGCGCCTCGGAGTTCGCCGCCAAGATAGGTGTGTGGTTTTGCGTAGCTCAATATCGCTTTTTCGGCCGATATTGTCTATCGATCTTGTCGATGAATCTCCCCGAGCATCGCTTTTGGACATGCAGCCGGCAAATACTTCGCGATTGTGCTTTCGGAATCGCATGTGCACAGACGATGGTCCTCCAGCCGCACCAGCCCTTCGATCGCCTTTTGACGCCCTTTGTGCCGAAACTCGACCATAGGTGAGCTTGGAATCAAACCCACCGACCACGTCGTTGTCTACGATACGCATGGCATCTACTCGTCTCCAAGGGTATGGTGGACATTCAAGGTCTTTGGCCACGAAAATGTCTCCGTCCTGGACGGTGGTCTGTTCAAGTGGGTCAGCGAAGGCAACAGTGTGACCCATGGCCATGAAACTTTTGAGGTGCGTCCGGGCCAGTCCCGATTGTGTCCTCACACTTGTGGTGGTTGTTTGTACAAGGCTGACAAGAGTCCCGCCAGTAGTACTCTGAAAGCCAAGACATTGTGATGCATCATCGGTGGGCTCGTGGCACTGACTTTTGTTGCTTCCAGCCAGCGACCTACAAAGCAACGTACAACCCCGAAATGGTCATCGACCACCAAATGCTGCTGATGTACATCACCGATTTCATGTTCCATAATCAATCGACGATCCTGGATGCACGATTGCCCACAGAGTAAGCCCCCTGGACCAGAGGCGCTCGGTCATATCCACACAGCTGATGGAGTGAATGCAACCGGTGGAGCAAATGCCAGGCGGCCGCGGCTGTTCGAACAAACTGTCGCTGGTGAAGCAGTTGTCAGCACAGATCTTGGTCCCAGCTTATGATAATCGTGCATTTGCTGCCTCCATCTGTCAGGTTCTCGGGCCGCCCGTACCACATCCCAGGCACCAACATACGGAACGGCCATGTGCCATCCGCCGTTAATTTGCCGTACGGTAGCCTGGTTCAGCGCGAATCTCGGACTCTCATATCCCGCGAGCAGCTTCAAGATCTGTTCACGGCCAAGGGCATCGACACTCGACGTCCGTTCGTCGCGATGTGTGGTAAGTGCGGCACGGTGTTCACAGGCCAAGATTCAGTGGATAGCACTCTCATGGGTCCTGCTCCAGAAGCGGTGCTTGTCTGCCATCGCTCTCCAGTGTGTTGACATTGTCGCTTGCTTGGCTGTACTCTGTGCGGGCAATCATGGACAGGCAACGGCATCGTGGGAGCGACGCTGATGCTGGTGCTGGATATCCTGGGAGCCAAAGATGCTCGATTCTACCCTGGCGGTTGGGAGGAGTGGGCATCCAACAAGTCCAGCCCTATCAAGACGTACGCATAGAGGGACAAGGCCGATATCTAGACGGCGGTCCCAGACGCAGGACGGTCCAGGCTCTGTAGTTACGGCGGCATGTGCTACACTTTATTCAGAAAAAAACGGGACAATATAGCCGTTTCCATGAACATGTAGTATGTGCTGTGCTTGCATCTAGCAAAGCCACAAGAAATAAAACAGATCACTTTGGCAGCCTCCGAGTGAAGACCGCCGGTCGCTCTCCGGTCTCCACAATCGACCTGCATACTGTGATCATGTTGCGCGCCGCATTGACGTCGCGATTCCACACTGTCCGGCAGCTGGGATTCTTGCAGCTCCTGACAAAGTGGGAATTCGCAACACTGGGCGCATCGAGTCCTTCCAACCGAACTGGCTCCAGGCACTTGGAGCACACTTGCGAGGTGTTGAACTCGTTCGTCGAGACTACCTTGACGCTTCCATGATGGTGATTGGGACGGCGGCGGTGGTGCTCGAATTGCTCAAAGTACCGAGCAAACCGCTGCCTCCGAGGGCTGGATGCATAGCCCTTGCCTTGTCGCCATGATGCATTGCCAAAGGCGATCACCACATCATTCTCCCTCGGGGCGTGCTTCAGGACGGCCTTGCACATCCTGTCGACGGCCACTTGGCGTCTCCTGTGGCCTGTGAATCGATGGTGACGGGCCTTCTTGCCAAGGTGGAAGTCGAGCTGCACTCGCAGCTCCGGTCGCAGGACATGGGTGAGATGGACCTTGAAAGCCTCCGAGGACGACACCTTGGGCGAGGGGGTGGTCGACATCCAGGTCTCGATGCTGAGTCGATACTTCATGATATTGTGCCACTTGGTGTTGGACGTATGGCCACACATGTGCTGGTAGTGGCCATTGGAGAACGAGACCACCTCGTCTTGGTGGCCCGGTGCTTGGATGACCGCCGTGAAGATGGAGCCGACTCCAGGATCGATGCCAATCCAAGTGGTGCGTTCGGGGTCTGAGCTGCCGATGTGGGCCTGGATACGCTGCTCGGCAGTCGGAGGAGGCTCGATGGTCTCGGAGCGATCGGTTCGACGCACAAACTTGACGAGACCGATGGTGCATCCAATGCCATCGGTGCTGATCTCGTAGTTGAACAGCTTCTTGTCCCTGACCCGCTCTTGGAAGAGGGAACTACGCAGCTTGAAGCAACTGCGCCAGAGACGATCCTGGTTGTTGATGCCGTCCTCACCTTCTTCCTTGAGCTTGTCCCAGGTGAGTCCAGGCGCTTCTTTGGACCAAGGAGTTCCCAGAGAGTGACGGTGTCGATCTTGACATACTTGGCCTTGGCTGTGCACAGAGGGACCATCGTGCACACGGACGGAGGAGTGTCGAGAGCGAGCTGCTTGAGTGCCCAGTTGATCCTGGCGGCCAGCTTGTTGATCTTGGCCTTGGTGGTGCCGAGCTCAGACTTGGCCGTGGTGAACCTCTTGTCGTCGGAGGGAATGCCTTGGGTAGTGAGCCTGTCCAGCTTGGCCTGGCGCTGCAGCTCGGTGACTCGGAGGGCGGGCATGTCACAGTCGATCCACTTGTGGACATCGTCGACCATCTTGTCTCGGGCGAGGATTCCCACATGGTGTGAGAGGCGGTGGAGGGCCCGGAAGCGGTCCTGGTCGTTGCTGTACCGAAACTCGTCCAGGATGTGGCCAAAGTCGGGATATAGGAACTCGAGATCGGCCTTGGGTGGAGTCTGCCCTGGTTTCTCGAAGAGCTCGAGACAGGCCTCGATGGCTTCGTGCTTATGCTTGTTGGCTGGGAAGACGGCAGCGCAGAAGCGGCGAAGGAGTCGCCAGTAGGCCAGGTCGAGGTGGGTGGTGCAGTTGGTGGCATAGGCATTGACAGCCAGTGTGAGAAGCTGACTGTGAGCACCATCAGGCAGACGAGGGGCCGGAGGCAGGTCTGCGTGTCGAGTGGTCTGATAGTCGCGAAAGGAAGCGACCAGATGCTCGTTGTATTTCTCATTGTCCCCGGTCGGCGAGAGGGCACCGTCCTGGACGATCTTGAAGCATTGGCGGATGAAAGCAGGGGTGGACTTGGAGATGACGGGGACGGGAAGATCCTGCTCGATGCACCGGAGGATGTGCAGGTTGAGCAGCCTGGATGCCTCGAACTGGATCTGGGTCATGGCCTCGACGGTGGCCTGGATCTTGTCGCGGAGAGCGGGATTGAGACAACAGCCATCCATGGTCTGCTTGAAGCAGCTGAACTGAGGGGCGGATGACCTTCCATCCACGAGTGGGACGACAGAACTCTTGAGGGGCCGGTATTTGGGACACTTGTTGGTGTTGCAGCGTTCGTGATCGGTGCCATCGCACTTGGGACATCGCTTGCCGGTACTCGAGGAAGTAGATGGACCAGGCTCGGTGGGATCGACATCCATTGGATCTGCAGAAGCAGTGGTGGTGAGCGACGGAGCAACAGACGAACAAGCATGCGTGGGATCAGAATACGAACCAGAGACAGGCTCCGACTGTGACTTGGCTTTCTTGGGCCTGGGTGGCCGAGGCTGGCCATCACCGGTACCCTTGCGCTTCGGAGGCATGGGGACAGAGGATGCTGGATGCCTGCCAGTGGTACTGGTCAGAGCAGAGACGTTTCTTTATCGTACAATGGCGCGATGATCCGATCAAGGCGAGATGAGGGAAGAAAGCAGCAGGACGAAGATGGGACATTTATACCCGAGAGCAGGAACCCGTCTGCGCGGGCTGGTTGGGAAGTGACCCTGTTCAAAAATCGCCGAGAGGTTCAAGCCAGGGATGTGAACGTGAGAACGGCGGCTTGATTGGAGGGACAACCCCAAATTGGAGGAACTCAACCCCAAATCGGTGGGGACTCAACCCCAAAGAAGTTCTCGATGGGATTGAAGTCGGGCGAGGCAGGTGGGGTGAAGATCACTGACCATCCTCGGCGCTCGATGCAGTCCAGGACAGCCCTTGTCTTGTGCATGCTGACATTGTCCATCACAACCACAGAGTCGTCTGGGAAGGTCGCTCGCTCAAAGAACTCGACCATCGAGTGTGTCTTGAATGATGTGGGGATGTACATGCGATGCAGCACACCAGAGTGGTTGATGGCAAATGCAGCCGAGACAGACTTGTGTTTCATGTGATTGCGCTGGCGAAGCGGAGCACCCTTCGGTGAGTATCCGTAGAGAGGGAAAATGGATCTCCTGATCCCCGTCTCATCGACAAAAACGAATCGTCGTGGGTCGATGGAGCGGACCTGGTTCCTGAACTGTGCCACTCGCTCATCCAGTCGCTTGGACTTGTAGAGGTGTGTTGCCCTCTTGTGTGAGAGACCTGCTCGGTGGATGGCAGTGTGGCAGAGTGAGAGTGAAACTTTCCTCTGGAGAGTGGTTGTGTGGCGAATGGTCATGGCCAGCGCGCGATGGTTTTGGGTAACAAAATATTCGATCAATGGTCAAAACCTGGGTGTCCCGTTTTTTATTGGATCGCCCGTAATCCGACAAGAATATCTGGGCCTCTCCTGCACCGACCAGGCCGATCGTCGCTCTCATCAATAGAATCCATGCTTTGACTTGTGGTCGCCTTGGATATCCATGACCACGGGTGCGTCTGCCTCGGCTGCTGCTGCCCTGTTGAGTCCGCGGCATCTGGGCAGCGGCCCTCGTTCTGGGAATGTTGAGACCCGGGAGGTGGCCGGCCATCCTGGCCATCCCGATTGGACCATCGCCAGCAACGGCCTCTTTGGGTCTTGTGCTTTCGAGCCCATCGCGCTGGTCTGCCCTCGTCACCCCGGCATTGGACCCAGCATCAGTCTTGCCTCGACCCTCCGTCGCTGATTTGGGTGCGTGCACACCGATTCCTCCTTATCCGCTGTCGCAGCTCTTCCAGACAGCAGTGCCATCGATCAGCTCTCTTTCCCAAGGTGAATCTCTGATATCTCGTTTGTCGCCTGCAAGCCGGCGCTGACCCTGGCTGAAACTCTCCCCCCCCCCAAGCACTCTCCCTTCGGCCTCCCTCTCTCGGGCACCCTATCCTTGACCCTCTCTGCATCTGCATCGGACCGAGCAACATCGACGCCTGGCACCGATCGCATCGCCATGGACTCACCAGGTGCCGCTGCGTCCGCCGACAATATCCGCAGCCGCCTGTGCCACAACCATGCTGGTAAGCCGCTGCATCGTCCAGTAAACCAGAGCCCCAGCGCGGATATCTGTGGTGATGCGAGCCCGACGCCGAGAGAGACAGCGGCAGCCAGATTCACGCCCGCATTTACCTCTGCAATCCTCAAATACGCTGGCTGACTGGCGGCTTGCTGTCGCTCGACCATAGTTTTCTGCGCCTATCTGGCCCAGGCAGCCATCGCCAACGAGTTTCGCAAAGGTCTCCATGATGCCCGATACTCCTCCAAGCTCTCGACCCACCAGCCGCTGCCTTACCTGGCGATCAATCCCTCGACCCAGGGCCCTGCTCTGCTGCCGCCCATCATCCGGTCCATGTACTGGCGATTCATACGCGGCATGCCCATGTTCTCCCAACGCGGAGAGGAGTATCTGGAGCAGCTGGATCTGTTTGTCGGCACGCACTTGCTGCCGCTCGGTATTCAGTGGATGGTCGCAACAAAGTTCGATATGCTAGTAAGTCGATCGGCATGACTGCTTCTCTGTGGGCCTTGGGGCAGCTCCTGGGTCCTTTCCAGTTGGCGTGGCTCCGTTTACCGGCCGTGTTGGCCCTGCTCCCGCCCGATGCAGCAGCCTTGCTTGGCTTGGACGGCTTGGACGACTTGGACGACTGGGCCATCAAACGATGTCATCACCATGGCCTTGCCAACAAACTGGATTCAAAGGCGGACAGCAGATGCACGAGTTTCGCTCACGCCCTCACTCTCCTGCCGCTCGGTACCCAGGCATTCTTGCAGCACTACCTGGCCCTGTTCGGCCATCTCAAATCCCAGAGCTGGACACGATGCCAGCTCCCCAAGAGCGAGATTGTCCCGATCGCAGGCATCTTTGCCGAGTATGACTACAAGCTCGAGCGGTTCTTCATTGAGCAGCGAGTTCTTCGCCCGCACCAGACTGGCTTCCGAGTGGCGCCCCAGCTTGATTATCACAACGACAGCGATACCGATGATGAAGAGGATGATCAAGAAGATGATGATGAAGCCGAAGCCTTACCTTGCGAACCGATGCATCCGACTCGAGATAGCGACAAGTTTGTGCCGAACGACGAGACAAACAGCGTCCGGTGCAATTATGACAACGAGAAAGCCGATCCGTCCACCTCAGGCTCTGCTGCCCCAGACGAAGACAGCGAAATCCATGGCAACCACCTACTCACTTTATCGATCCCAAGCACACAAGCGACCGAAGAGCCTCGCGCTCTCGGAAACAAACTGCTCGTGAACTTGTCGGCCCAAAGCATCGAGGTATTCGAGCGCGAGCTAAGCAAAGCAGATGAGCGCTCAAAGGACGATCCCAGCGCCGTCGACGATGAGGGGCCCACAGCCCAGTCCGCCAATGCAGACCAGCCCAAGACCCGTACCAAGCGCCGAAGGGACACTGTACAATTGAGCCCAGAGGCCTTGGCGGAGATCCACCGGGACCGCCGCGCTAAGGTAACCGAGTTTGTCCAAGTCTGGGATGAGTTCTTCGGAGCGACGGCTGTGTGCTGCCTTGCACTTCGGAAGGATTCGGCCGAATGGCGAGATGGTGCCGGGAAAGGGGCCTCCAAGAGCTATGGCGACGCACTCTTTGAAAAATTCGAGACGGCCGAAACCATCGAGGATCTTGACGAGATATACAAGACATGGGTAGACTGCGCCGTCAAGGCCTTTGCTCACACCCTGGACAATATGCTGGTAAGACAGCACAACAGCACCATTTACAGCATGCATGATATGCTGTTTCGGGCTATCACGACTATCGCCAATCACACCGCATTGCATTGTCTATGGACACTGCCGCATTTTATCGTGCGGGGCGATGAGCTTGACTCCTGAGGCACCGTCGCCTGCCGTCGCTTCTGATTCCCATGCCATTTCTTTGTCCCAACTCGTTCCAGGATAATGGCGACTGGCGGCGGATGATCACCACCATCTTTGAGAAGATGCCGTGGTCATTCGTGCTGACTTCCCTCAAGCTATTCAATCCGTAAGCAGCCTCTCTCGCGAGCATGTCCACCCACATTGGCTCTATGCGCACCATACCGCCCGGGTCCAGAAACATATCCCGGGCTAGTAGAGCCTTGAGCTGATATCGATTATACCTCTGTGTCCTGATTTCCGTCAGGATCCCGTTTGTCGAGCGGATCCTGCGCTTCTTTCTGTGGCGTCCAGCCGGTTTCTATTCGCTGTTCATGAAGTTTGGTGCGATCGTGTGCGCCCTCGAGAGAACAAATGTGCTGATTCGAAAGGTCAAGCGAGAGCTCCAGATGACCGTGCCCGATCACCACAAGCGGCTGGTGTCGATCGAAAAGGTTGCCCAGGCAGCCCACAAAGCGAGCATCGTGTCCTTTGAGGGCGCCGATGTCTTGATTCAACTCCTCCGCAAGCAGTATGAGGACGACAGCAAGTCAACGACGACCTTCCAGGCAGTGCGGAACTGGCTATTTGGCGCGCCCGCCGACGAACCCAAGGATGGCTTGCACCTCAAAGTCAACGGCAGCGAGGTCTCCCTCAAACCCTCGACCAACATCTCCAATATTTCGGTCGCGTCCTTCCACACCTCCGCTTCCGCAAGCAAGCCCGGCATTGAAGTGCCTGAGTTGGATGTCGTGTATTGCCGATTGCTCATCCGCAAGCTGGAGAAAGAGTCCTTCGTCAGAGCTCTCGGCAGTGCAGAAGTTACCAAGTTTATCATCCACTTTTCGCACATCATTCCCCCTATTCTGTCGGAACTGTATGAGGCAAGGATTGCTCAGCATGTCAGCAACGCGATGATCGATCGATGTGTGCGCACGACGTATGCATTCGTGCGGTTGGCTCAATCGAGTCGCGCCGTGGTTCGGATCTGGCCGTTGAGCCAATCCAATATCTGGAACTAACCTGTCGGGCTGTGCTGCATTGCAGTGCTGCAATTTCCACGACCTGTTTGCCGAGTTTATTGCCGTGATGGGCAAAATCTTGGATGCGCTCAAGAGGTACGACAGCGATCCCAGCAGCTCTGACAGTCCCAGCGAACCGTACAATCAGGCAGGCCCGGATGGTCCTGAAGTCGCTGCCGACGGAGACGAGGAATCAAGCAACGCAAGCAAGACACGAATTGCCGATCCAACCAAAGCCCCGATTTATCAGCAGTGCATCGGGGATATCAAGATCGCCGCGCGACTGTTTGTCGATTCGATCTTTGGTGTCTTGAAGAACCTGGCGAAGCGCCCCGCGACCGACCTCGGACAAATCCGCATCTTCGTCGCCTGGCTCATCCAGCAGTGGGCCGGCGATGCTCAGGAAGACCTTGGTGGAAACACCAACGTGTTTGAGCTGATGAATGCGCGCAGCACGAACGAAATTATAGAGTTTTTCGACCACAACGAGCAGCAAGTGATCAGCCAGCAGCTTGACAAGATCATCGAGTTGATGAGCCGCGGGGCCGAGTTCCAGCCCTGGGCTGGGAGTAATGCCGTGCCAACCTCAGCCAAATGCAGCCCGAGCCCCGATAGCGCCAAGGCAGAGGAGATTGACGAGCAAACTCGGATCCTGTTTGATATTGCCCTCGGCCAGTTTTACGAGCGCTGCTGTAAGGAGGTGTCCGGGTGGGATGCGATCCACTATGGATACGACGAAAACGACGCTCCGGAGGAGGAAGATACTGTGACACTCGAAGCCCCGTCACTCGCCAAGCTGCTGATACGCAAGAAGAGCATGACAACATCGTCGTATGCATCGTCTCTGGCAAGCACCAGCAAAGGCGACTCTCGCGCTCGGCCAAAGAAGCCCATCAGCTTGCGGAGTCTGAAGAGCGAACGGCTCGGCAAGCTCGGAGACAAGCAGCATGCGCCCGAACCGGCGGAGACCGAGCCGACGGATGCTGCAGAGCCAAAGCCAGAGAAGCCCAGCACATGGGGTTGGTGGTAGCCGCGGTAGATGCGAAGAAAGTGCAGCAGCCAGAGCCAGAGCCAGAGCCAGAGCCAGAGCCAGAGCCAGAGCCAGAGCCAGAGCCAGAGCCAGAGCCAGAGCCAGAGCCAGAGCCAGAGCCAAGCAAACATCCCGAATAGACGCGGAATCGATGAAGACTGCGGGAGTTTGATGCGATGAACATGGATTGTGCTGCATGATGCCGTGCGGTGCTATGGCGTGAGAATACAGCGACAGCCAGACCTATCCAAACAACCGGTCGACTGCGCTGCACTGGATGGGGGACCGGTCTCATTGTCGAGCCCCGAACAGCCAACCGGGCGCAGGCAAGTGCAGTTCCGGCGTGCAGGGCACAGTCGGTGGCGGTCCAAGACACTGGACAGCCATCATGATGACAGCACGCCCCAGACACGGAGCCAGTCAATGTCCAGGGGGCGAAGCGGGATGTCCGGTCGGTCACAACACGGATGGTGTCGAGACCCTTGCCGAAATGCCCATGCAGCTCCCGATGACATTTGCGAGCCGGCGATCGCTCCCCCGTCGCTGTGGATACCTGGGCAGCGCAACCGAATCCCCGTCGCTCCGGCAGATACGACGAGGCTTTGTCGATGGAGGTGAATGTCTGTGGCTAGCGAGCAAGTACTCAACGAGCCGGTGCAGACAAGAGGTGCATCATGCGGGGATCTGCTGCAAGCGGGAACATGCTGCAGGTCGCTCAGCCCAAAGGGTCAAGGCGCAGGGTGTCGCTGAGAATCGCAAGGAGACTCGGCTGGGGGACAAAGAGGCCCAACAAAGACGGGGTGCGGCTCTGCCATCGCCGCAACACCGCCCTGCGGCTTGGGTTTGGCCGTCGTTCGTCCATCGCTCTGGTCGTCGCCATCGCCCAGGCCATCACCCACTGCTCTTGCCATCGTTCGCCGTCGTCGCCCACTCCGAGCTATCGCTGATTGCCGCATCAACCGCTCACCCGTGTCATTGCAGCGGTCGTCTCAGCATCCACACCTCGGCGTCCTTTGCTCCACCCCATCTCCGCATCCCACTCCTCGCCCTCTTCTCCCCATCGACCGATAACGATATGGCACCCACCCTCGACCCTGTCACAGCATGCATCCATAACCCGCATCTCTTGCTGCTCATCTGCTCGTCCCTCGACGCCAGCGATGCCGCTACGCTGCTTCGCTGCACCTCCGGGACCCGGGCAGTCTCCAAGACATCGAGCTTTCGCAGTCGCTGCCTCCAGATCCTCACCAAGCAACTCTATCGATTCAGCTGGCCGAAGCGGTTGTCGGTGTCCAGCACCAAGGGAAGCGCCGCTTTGCCTCCGATTCAGCTGATGTTATTACTGCGGGGTCTCCAGCTGAGGGTTCTGGATATGGACGTCGTGCTGGAGCTGGAGCAGCAGGGCAGCATCTTCCCGGCCAGATCATTTGTTCCCGACCCAGTGAATTCCAAGCACGGCTCGCTCTACATGGATATCCAGCTCGCACTGACCCTCTGGGATCGAGCGCCACTTGAACTGATCGACTGGTAAGCTGTCGTGTCGCCCATGCGGTTGCTGTGTCCGGCAATCGGATATGGGGGGGGGACAGCCGATGCTTGTGAAGCCATCGCTTCTCACGCCAATCCAGAGGTCCAGCGCAGATAATCCAGTGAATACCCGTGCGGGCATCCCGACCACAGCCAAAGCGACTGGCTCGACCGGCGTCTCTGGCTCGATATCGACACCATCGCTAATCGCTCGCTGCCTCGGTTGGTTTTGTCTCCCGCTCCAGGTTTGTTGCCCGGAATCTGCTCCCTCAAGTCGGCCTGTTTGTCCGACAAACCTATATCAAGGGACGCAAGGAAGCCGCTCTACTCGCATTGCAGCGATCCCAGACCGCCAACCCGGCGCATCGCCGCCTTTCGGTCGGAGATGTTGTTTACGGAGATCCACATCTGAACCAATGGCTGTTTGATGAAGTACTTCCCAGCGACGATCTAACTGCGCTGACCTTTCTGTCGGGAGCGCTCGGCATGCGCAACTTGGATCCGATCCTACCCCATGTCGTGCTCTGCAACGCTCGTCAGTGCCTACACTGGCTTCTGGAGACCAACAAATGGAGCCTCAAGTACGGCGTTAGCGGCGTGATCGTCGAGGCTCTGGTGGACGCGCCAAATGGGCTCTCGATTCTCCAGGAGCTGGTCGCCTGGGGCCTTGATATCCATGCCAATGCCGAGCACCTGCTACGAGAGGCCAGTCGATGTGGCCGGGTTCATATGGTCGAGCTGCTTATCAATCTGGGGTGCAATCCCGAAGCCGCTCCAGCCGATGCCGGCGATACCGACAGCGCCGACCTACTCGATGCGGACGACGACAGCCTCGATGGCATCACGACTGACGACGAAAGTCACTGGGACGAGCATGACTGCCCAGTGCTGCATATCGAAACAACGGACTCGGACTGCGAAACAGAAATATCCGATACTCTCGGTAGCCCGCCAACGCCAAGGTTCCTTGGCTCTCGCAGAGCCTCTCGATCGCTCTCGGCAAAGACAAGTCACTCGTCGATGCCCTCGGACGCCATATCGCAGATGGCCGCAACCTTTGGGCTCGCTTTCCAGTTCTCGTATCTGGGGCCGCGGTGGCCACGCGGCTGTGCCCTGGACATTGCGGCAACCGACGAGATCAGACTGGTGTTAGAGGCCTCTCGCCGCAACCACTCCCGCCGCCGGAGCTCGATTACCTCCGTCGCAAGCTGGGGAGAAGTCTTTGGATTTTCGTGAGCGACGGGGCAGTTTGGCGACGGGGCAGCAACTATGCGAACCGAGCGTCGCCGAGTTAGAGTGTCTCCCAGCGACACTCGAGCGTGCCGGGGAAGCATGAAGACCCGCACTCTCGCATCCTATCTATTTGCAATGCTTGCACGGCCAGTTTTGTCCGCGTGAAATCCCGGTCCACAGTGGGTCGCTGCCGAGCGAGTCTTCAAGCAGCTTGGCCCATGCTCCACTTCCCCACCCCATCCGCCCTCGCACCTAATCTTGTTATTTATTTTTGAATCAATACGAATCGCCGTAGCACCGCATATGAGCAGCTCATCGAGAGCGCATTTCTCCTCCTCACGAAAGGAAAGAGGCCATGTGAACTGGTCGGGGGCGGTCTTCCCACGGCGGCATCTCACCTCTTCGCTGCCGATATGGGCGCTGAGGTGGCTGGCTCGGGTCTGTTTCTCCGTGCGGCACCAGATCATGCGTTTGTCCTCAGCGGATATGGGGCTTGGTCAGCTCAAAGCCACCATGCTACTGGGCCCGAGCACACGATGGGGTGGATAGGCAAATGGGATGTGCTGGATGGACAGGTGATGAGGATCACGATGGTGGCTTGGCCAGAGCATGACCTCAATGACCCGACTCTTGCCTCCGCCAGTACAGCTTCTACCGGCCTGGTGCTGGCCGATACACGCCTTTCCCCACCCGAGTCCACCGGAGATTCCGCCAACCGAATGCGAGACGAAAAAGCAAGGCGCGATCAGAAAAGGAAGACGTGATCACCTGGCAAGAATATCGCATGGAATGGGCCGCCAGGCTCATGGATGTGTTCTCACGTCGCTTCCCCGACGACCCGGAACACGGTCTGTTGTGCTGCCGCCCATCCTCAGCCGCAATATACCCCGATTCCCAGAAGTGTACGCGTTCAATACACGGCATGCTCTCTGAGCAACATGGAACATGCGATCAGCGGACAGGTCATTCGCTCCCGCTGGTTGATCTCTCAATGGCTCATGTCTCCGTTCTCTGCAATGGAACCTGTCAGCAGCACACTTCCACCCCATTTCGCCCACTCCCACGCACGGCATCCCCACACTTGCTCTGGCTGTCTCTCACTTCCGGCTCGGAAGCATCGCCAACCTGCTGATGCCATCCGACCGATCTCTGGAATATAAAAGGGCCTCGTATCTCGCTACTTCTGGGCCTCACCACCGGCACACCCGACTCCCGCTCAGAACCAGCCTTCTAGCCTCCGACCTCTTCTCCCTCCTCTCCTTCTCTCGCTCATCTTGTTCAGTTCTACCACCATGCTCTTCAACGCTGGCTTTGCTCTCACCGCCCTCCTCGCCCTCTCTGGAGCCATCGAGGCTGCTTCCGTCTCCAAGGGCGGCAAGTGGGACAAGTACCGCAAGTCGCTCGACAAGGTCATCGGCTCTGCCGAGAACACGGCCAGCATGTCCAAGGACGCCAAGACCATGGTCCAGGCCCATGTCACCCAGCGCAAGGACCCCGCCTTCAAGAAGCTCGTCAAGAAGGTCAAGAACCATCCCAAGGCCAAGAAGAACAAGGCCGGCTTCACCATGACCGATGACAACATCGAGTCCCTGGCCACCGATGTCTTTGTGAGTGTCAAACAGTGTGCTGATCCGATCTGTCTGCATCCGGCAGCCGATGGCAGCTTGTAGTCGTTGCGGCTGGATTGCAGATCGTGCATCAAGGTACTCTGCACAAACGCCATCCATGTTCATCACACTCTGGTCATTGCCGGCACTGACTCTGATGCTTCTTGGCATACAGGGCAGCAACGCCTCTGATGTCCACACCGCTGCCGTCCGAGCTGCCATGCTCCCCGACTCGTGGGATTCCCGCGACAAGAACTGGGTCTCCTCAGTCAAGGACCAGGGCCAGTGCGGCAGCTGCGTTGCCTTCTCCTCGGCTGCCACCGTCGAGAGCACCTTCCTCAGCCAGACCGGCAACAGCATCGAGGTCTCGACCGCCGATCTCTTCTTCTGTCTTGGCTCCAAGGATGGTGCCTCCTGCAGCACTGGCTGGCAGACCGGCCAGGCGGCCAGCGACATTGCCCAGAACGGCGTCGTTGGAGCCGACTGCTTCCCTTACACCGCCGGCGACGGTCAGGATCAGCAGTGCGACGACAGCAGCTGCCAGCGCACCAGCGGGCTCTCGGTGGCCTCGTTCGGCAGCGTCGACGAGATCAAACAGCACATCATGACCTACGGCGCCGTGGTGACTGCCTTCACTGTCTGTAAGTACCTGCACATGCAACAGTGCATCTGGGTGGACATGGCACCGACTCACCACACTCTCCCTTGCTCCCAACAGACCAAGACTTTATGAACTGCTGCACCAACAACCAGATCTACATGCAGCAGTCCGACCAGCAGGAGGGCGGCCACGCCGTCTCGATTGTTGGCTGGGATGAGAGCAAGCAGGCCTGGCTCTGCAAGAACTCCTGGACCACCACCTGGGGCACTGACGGCTTCTTCTGGATCGGCTACGGCCAGGCCGGCATTGGCTCGACCGACCAGACCTATGGCTTCACCACCTCTGGCGGCAACTAAGCATCTTTGCGAGATCCGCCTTGCCCTCCCCTCCCCGATCCGTATGCTCTCTTCCACCCTTCCCCCCGCCAACGGTCGGTCTGTCGCCGGTCACTCGACAACTTGACTCGTACAGCCCTTGATCCCTTCGACCACACTAAATTTCCGATCCCTTCCTCACCGCCATAACTTCCCCACTCCCGATCCCGCCCAAACGACCCTTATCTTGAGCTCTACTTTCCAATGAACTTTGGTGCCTTTCTAATCTGCTATGAACGAATTTAAGTAGAATAAAGCTATACTATACCGTTGACTCGCCAGGTGCAGTTTACCTATAGTCGTGTACAGAGGTCAAGCATCGCGACTCATGACAGCGCAGAATCGATGTGGCAAGCTCGCGATCCTTTGGGCGATTGCCATGACAGCCACGCGCGAATCCGTGGAGAGCAAGATACGACAGTCTTTCGTATGTCCGGGATGTCATGGTTTTGGTGCTTGTGTGTTGCTGATCCATTTCCTTTCGAGACAGTTCCTGTATTGCTTTGGTGTCGCCCCAGCCAATCACTGGATGCGAGCATATGTTTCGCTCGGGGGAGGAATGGCACAATGCTGCTTTGGAGCCTGGCGCACTCATTCTCCCGCAGACTCGCAAGGCAGTCAGATCGCTGACTGTTGGCTTGGCTGAGGGCTGTAGACTGCAAACTGTGACCCGCACACTGTGGGCTGTGATCTGCGATAGAGAGCTGTGACTTGATGCTTCGGCTGCACAGCCGTGATTGTGTCGCTGGGGTCGCTGACATCATCTCGATGGCGAAAACAACGATCCCCAGAGACAACACAAGCGCACAGCCAAGGGGGCTGCGGGCTGCATCTCGATCGCTGCTCTTCTGCCTTCGACCTACCAAGCCGCCGAATGCGATTTCTTTCGTGCGGAAGCGAGTGCAGGCATCAAATCCATATTTCGCCAACCCTCCTCCTCCTCCTCCTCCCCCCCCCGCATAATCGGGGTACTCCTGCAAGTTAGTTTCACGACGACCAAGAGCAGTTTTCCCGAACTGACCCTTTGACAGGACCGCCAAGCCATCCTGTCTGTCACGGAAACAACAGGTACAAAGCCCTGGTGCGCAGATCTCCCTTTCGCAAGTTCCCACGTCCTGATGTCGCCCATTTTCAAGAGGCCTGTGTCGCCTGGGACCTTGCATCCGAGTTCGATCTCGCCCATATTCTGGCCATGGCACGCCTGCAACGATCGGCTTTCTCACGATGCGCCATTCATTCAGCAACTAGGCTCGCACCCATCCAGCTCGCCTGTGGACTGAAGCCAATCGAACAACATATCACAGAGTGTCGACCCGAGCTTTATATCGGATATAGATCACTAGAGGCAGTCCAAACCGATTCCAAAACCCAGCCGTCCAACGATTCAGGCCATCCAAGCGAACCATTCAACTTGGTTACAACGACAGTGGCGGCAGAGTAGTAGAGACAACGCAAACAACCGCAGCGAAAGACTGCTAGCACCCACAGACCACCACGCCGCCTCGTTTCTCGGTAGCCGTCGCTGCTAGAGAAGGAGTGCACACCACTACACAGCTGTTCCCACCGACAGGATGAAGGATAAGCCTGCATCGTCTGCATCTCCAGCACCTTCAGCGCCTCAGCCGCCTGCGTCTCCGTCTGGGTGTGCACGCAAGAGTAACCAGGCCTTGGCGGCACCGGAAAGCTCTGGCTCGACTGGAAGCCTTCAGCTGACGTCGCCATACTCTGTGGTGCAAGAAATCCTTGCCCAAACACCGACTCAAGAGCCTCTGCCTGAGCTTAGCTCAGCCACACGGTCACCCGGCACATCGCCCCACCAACAGCGGAAGCAGCCCTCGCTGACGCTGGACACAAAGTCAAACCGAGCCTCAGGGTCGTCAAACACAAACCTCGCCCACCCAAACCTCACCGGACCAACTTCAGCTCCTCCAGGCGCAGCCCCGGCGATGCAGAACCGGTTTCCGCTTCCTCCGAGTGCGCCAGGACCCCAGCCAATGTCGCGACAGGGGCCGGCGCCTGGGACGGTGTCGAGCACAAAGAGCTCGGTGGCAAGTAACCAGCAGCGACTGCCCAATACAGGGATCACCAGCCAAGGGAGGCTGTCTCCATTCTCGAGCCTGGGAACGGGAAGTGTCTCCGCACCAAACCCAAGTGTGAGCTCGCGAGTATACGGCGCCACGAACCTGCTCCAGGCGCAGTACCAGCACTCCTTCCGGAGCACCCTGATGATGGCGACCGAGGCGGATGAGCGCCGTCGACTGATCCGGCGACGGAGCGCCCTCAACATTGTGGTGATGTTGATCTTGAGCCTCGTGGCGTTAGTTGCGCAAATCACCGTGCGAGTGATGATGATCAACAACGACAACCAACTGGGCCTCAAAGATATGATCTGGAGTCAGCAAGTGCTCGTCCAGAGTGCTCTCTCGCAAGCGTTAGCGATAGCGCTTGGATTGAACTCGACAGCAATCTATCCGACGGCGGACTATCAGCGACAGATGAACCAGTCTGTCTCGGCGCTAAACGGGACGCTTCTGCAATGGAGCAGCAGCTACGTTGTCATGGTCGAGTTCATCCAGCTCAAGACTGGCAACACCACCGTCAACTCTCTCCAGTCCACATTTGCTCTCGGCTACCAGTCACTTCAGAATACCACCGCGGGCTGCCAGAGCCTGATGGCTCTAGTGCTCCCCCAGACCAACTCAACGACCAACCTTACTGCCATCGTCTACAATCACAGCTACAACAACACCCCGTTCTCGACGATCGACAGCCGGATCTACACTTCGGTCGCCACAATCCAAAGCGGTGCCGCCAACTTCAGCGCCCAGATCGGGGCGATCGATGCAACGCTCGGGATTAGCATCCAGAGCAACACCTCAGAGTTGGAGACGGTGCAGACGGCATTCATGGCGGTATGCGCGGCCCTCTTCCTGTTCTCGGTGGTGTACTTTTTGATCCCGAGGATCTCGCTACTATTCTCGGGCGAGCTTGACGAGGAGGCCGAGCCTGCCGTCAGCGAGTCCGCGAGTAGTAGCGACAAACCCAAGGTGGAGCGCGGAATGTCGGAACTTACGACGGCGTACCGGGTCGACGACCGGCTGGGATCGATAGCGAACGCATACTACCACGGCCAGAATCCGTCGCTTGTGGCGAACCAGCCCGGCGATGCGTGACGGAACGGAGAGATAGCCCGAACAACCCCATCCGCGAGGAGAGCAGTCGGGCTGCGCTGGACTGCGCCAGATTGGGCTGGACTCGGCGATGAGACAGCCTGGATATCCTACTGATGCCGCGAGGTGTCGGGAAGGGGGCAGTTCCGGATACTCTTGGAATACAACGCCTCGATTACAGCGTTTCCACAATGAAATGGGACATCCCCGTTTTGAGCCATGACAGTGGTTTTTTCTGTAACCTGAATACACGCACCCACCCACTCATCGCATTCATGGCCAAACACAGCACCATCGATTTCCGCATCGCTGCAGTGCGACCGGTGGTCTTCACTCGGAGGGTGGTCTTCACTCGGAGGGTGGTCTTCACTCGGAGGGTGGTCTTCACTCGGAGGCTGCCAAAGTGATCTGTTATATTTCTTATGGCATAGTTAGACGCATGCCATCGCATACTCCGCTGACAAATGAGTTGTGGGCAGGTGTCCCATTTCCCCCTGAGTACAATATACAAACAGATATCTCTGTCTGAGCCAGGCATGCCACTCTCTTCTGGATCCTGAATACTGGACGAAATCACACGGCGTGCCCACCGAAGCCCACGGATCAATGCGCTGAATGCAGCGGCTGATGCGAGGAACACTCACGGAGGCCGCTGTCCGATTTATTATGAGCATTCTGCACAAAACGGATGCGGTCGATTTCAGCACACACCCGGGGGATCTGGGGTTGGGGAAGCCGGGGGGGTTGGAGAAAACAGCGCCGAGACGGGGAACCTGGAAGATGGGTGGGTGTTTCAGCGGCCCACTCCAGCACCAGGATCGATCGGGGTAGATCGATGGATGGGATTCGCTGACGAACGCGGCGCAGAGCAATCCCCCTGAAGGGAGCCACAGCCGCGGCAAAGGGGTTGCGGGGGGGAAGTTGCCAAAACGGGGGAGACGATGGACACTGGACGCGCCAAGCCGCGCCTGGTTGCAGAGGCGCACACGAGGCACAGCGCTGCACAAGACGAGCGCTCTCGGAAACAGATTCCTCCAGGAAAGCGCGCGGGAGAGCAAGGAGGGTGGAAGAAGATGCAAGTGGCGAAGACAGTGCAAACACAGTGCGAAACAGCGCCAGCACAAACACGATCCAGCGCGTCGCGTCCAGGATCGTGCGACAGAGCCGAATGCGCGTGTTTTTGTTGCTTGTGTGGAGCTCGGGCGTATCACCAATGCGCATCTGTATCACAGCACACATCAGTCACACACCCACAAGCAGCAAAAGCAACACCAGTAACACCCGCACCGCGCACAGGACCCCGCAGGCGACCCACAGGCGGATCCACAAGGCGGTGCGACGGCGCTCCGCCATACACAGTCCTTGCTCGTCCCACAACAGGCGCTCTCTGCCCGCCTCGCCGCAGACGCTGTCGACACAGACAGTGTAGTGCCCGCGCTTGCCTCCTGCCCCCGGCAACAAACACGCGCGCGACTGTCTCCCGCGGCGCCGCCCATTTCCATGGCCCGCATTTCCCCCGCTTGTCGGCCGCGGCTCGCTCGGAATTCCAGACCTGCAATGCCGGCCGCCGTCTGCATTTCCAAGCTCTCGCCCGTCGGTCTGTCTGTCGTCCACCCTTCCCCCACGCCATGTCGTTCCACTCCACCTGGAGCGACGCTACCTCGGCCTATGCCGAAGGCGAGTACGCCGAGGCGCTGCATCTCTTCCAGGTGAGCCTGCCGTCTGCGCCGCCGCAGCTCCGTCGTCGTCGTGCCCGTTGTTCCAGTTCCTCTGGCTCCGCTGGTGCTGCTGGCGTTTCTGGCTCCTGGCTCCTCTTGCCTTGGTCTCGTCGGGACTGGATTTTGGAGGGGGCGCTCTGGCGGTTACTGACGCCCTTGGATCTCCATGCCGCCGCTAGAACGTCCATGAGCCCAAAAACAAGTTCCTGCTCTTCAACATGGGCGTCGTCGAGCTCAAGCTGCAGCACTACGACGCCTCGATCAACTATTTCACCCGTGCCTTGGCCATCGATCCCATGCTGGCCGTGGCTCGCTTTATGCTCGGCGAAGCTTACTTCCGCCAAGCCTACTATTCCTACGCCGAGGAGGGATTCTCCCGCATCCTGATGGTTCGTCTGGTTGCATCTGGATGCATCTTCCCTCCTGAGTCGGCCGAGCGCCGTTGGTTGCCCCCCCCCATGTCATCCGTCGTTCGACCATCCTGCATGCGTTCTCCCCCGCCGCAGCTTGTCTGGCCCCCACTCTTATTCCCTCATCGGCCCCCCAATGCTACACCACACAGGATATGAAGGACAAGGAATATGTTCCCTACGCCGACTACGGGATGAACTGGAATCTCTATCGATGCGAGGTCCACTTCAACCGGGCTGTCTGTCACTGGAGAATGAATCTATACGAGTCGGCATACTTTCAGCTGGAGCTCGCCCGGAAGTTTGTCGTCACGGCTGTCCATCGCGCCGTGATCATCCGGGCCGGCAAGCGAGGCCTCGAGGTACGAGCGCCGTCCTCCGCTCCGGCAGATCGGACATGGCGGGATTGTTGCATCAGCCAGATCCTGCCACTCTGCAGCTCGACCGGCTTGCCAAGCTGAATATGCGTCTTTGCAACCGCATACCGGCGTTCATTAGCTAAGCCACCGCTCTGCTCATCTCTATCACCACTGACTCGCTTTTTCTACCACCTGCGCTTCGTCTCTTTCGCCACCGCCGCCGCGCATTTGCGATCTGTCCCTCCAGGGCACGGCGCTGTTCAATATTCCGCAAGAGATGCTCTTTTCCCCCGGCGACTACGATCAGGTTTCCTTCGAAATGGCTCTCAATCGATCTCCGTCGATCCTCGATCGGTTCCAGCTCAATGGCGTTAGCTTACCCAAGCGGCTATCCGACGAGGCGTCGGTGTCTCCTGGGGATTCTGCCAGTACCCCCAGTCCACCTCAGAATCCTGCTCAGGTGCCGGCTGCCACCCGCACCCTCTCGGAGAAGCTTGCCGGTATGTCGCTGCAGAATACCCCGATAGTGCCCCGGCCGCGCTCCCCGGAAATGGGCATCAGCCCCAGGCCCCAGCAATTCCAGGTAAGCACATAGATCCGTGCACACCCCCGCGCTCGTTCTCACTCTCCGTGGATCGACAACGGGACCCAAGTTCGTCATATAAGCTGGGCTGCACCCGATGGGTCTGGTTTCTCGCCGGCATTCTCGACGGAAACAGCCATGCGCCCCTGTTTCGATTCGTAAAGCGAGTATAGCGACCCGTTCTCGCACGCCATTCACCTCTGACCTGGACGACCGGATCCCCCTCCATCCCCGCCCCAGACACCCAAATTCAAATACGGCTCCTTCTTCGATGCACTTGAACAGTCGCTGGACTCGCCCGTGACCGACGACTCCGAGTCCACAGAGCAACGAAATTCGTTCGAAGCCTCTCCAAAAGTTACCGACGACATGCCCTCTCCGCTCCCGAGTGCCCCGCAATCTCCAATCGTCAATGTGTGGCCGTAAGTAGCATCGCTTCTTGGTGTCATTGCGCAGCCGATATGTCGCAAGCGCCATCTCGCTCCTGCCCCATGTCAAGTGTCCCGTATCAGGATCGTTGTCCTCCCTCTTATCCACGGTGGCGGCGGCGACCCCTTCCTTCGGCCCGGCCTTATCTGACATTGGCTCTGCACTCAGGTCACCCGACAAGCCCTCAAAGTTCAGCACAATCCTGAGGAGTATCAAGAGAACGCGAAGCGCAAAAGAGCTGCCAGACTATGTCGACTGCCACAGAGCCATCCTGGTCGGCACCCTGCAGGTCCGGTACAGCCACAGCGGTGGCTGGAGCAGTCGATATTGTGCTCTGATCGACAACACCCTCTATATCCTCAAGTCAAAGAGCGACCCCTTTGTGCTGAGCGCCATGCCCGTCAACTCGTCGCTCGAACTCACGCCTGGAACAAATCGTCCGAACTCGTGGAAGGCGCGGCTGGGCGATGAATGGTGGCAGTTCTCGGCCATGGATCAGATTGCGTTCATGAACTGGATCGGCACGCTGATAAAGGAGATCAGTGGCCAGAAATGTGAGTACACGCCTGTGTTTTAGCCCGTCAGTGACGGCAATCCGCTCGCGATCTGGGTGCTGCTGTCCAAGCTATTGAGAGCCTTTGCTGGCTGCCATTCGTGCCCCTGCTCACCATCCCTTCTTTCAAAACGGACCGACGACTGCTCTGCTTGGACCCGGTACTCAAATCACACAGCGGTGCCAACAAGGACGCTCGTTCCTATTCGTAATCCAGAACCCAACCAAGGCCGTGGTCCAATCGTTCTGAGGAACGCCTAACCCAACACTCGCGCATCCTTCGCTTGGCCAAGCCATCGAATACCTGGATCCTAGCTCCTCTGTCACGATCGAGTCCTTCATTCGAAGAACTTCGTCGCCTTCTCCCCCTCCCTCTTTTCTTCTCCCTCCCCCCCCCCAAAAAAAAAGGCAAACCCCCCAGTCGCACAACGAGCATTTCCAACCGCCTCGTATTTGTACCGTTTACGCTCATACCATTCGCTGCTCTTTGATGGCGTCTCTGTGGAAGCAGAGCAACTTCAAACGACGGCCCTCACTTCCTTTGTCGCTCCTGGCATTTCTTTCTTGGCCATGTCTCGCCTCGCTTCGCCTCACTTTCCAATACTGCCATTCATCACCGTCACTCTTGGCACTATTCTTTCAACTTGTTTCGCTCTTGGCTCTGACTCCCCGTCTCTCAACTGCATTGTGACCTCCATCAGCTGCTTGTTCCCTGTACCCGCCCCTTCGTCTTTCCCTCTCCTCCCTCTCCTCCCTTCGCGTCGGAAGGAAAAATACGAGCCCACCGATCCGGCTTGCCGGAAGATTGGTATCGCTTCATCCTTAACTGCGTTTCTTTTGTTAGTCCGTTGTATTGCTGCACGAAATTTGACCATTCAACATTTGCTGCCTCATCCATTCAGCCGCTTCCATAGTCAATAAAGCGTATTCCCGAGTCACGCAAGTGAATGCCAGCAACGGCTTTGCGCATACAGACTCTAGATTCACAAGGCGGGGGGCTGCTCTCGATGTTGATCGTATCTTTGAACGGGCTGCCGATGCCATCGTAGTTGGTGTTGCTGCTCCTCTGGGTGCGGGTGTGAGAGCGGGTGCAGGTCCGCAGTTCACGTTGACGAACCAGACTTGCGTGCCGTTATGGCAATAAACTTGAGCATCTCGTCGCGGGAGACCCATCGCAGCAGCCACGAGACAATGCGATAGGGCCGCCACTTCATCGGCCGCATAAAGGTGCCGAAGCGGTTCTCCTGGCAGTCAAAGAACCGAGCCAGACCCGGGAACACATGCTCGCTAACGTCCAAGACATCGATATCCACGAAGCCCGCGTCCTCGAGCATCGCAACAACATCCGAGGCCGATGCCTGGCGATTGCTCTCAGGCACCGAGCTGCCAACATAGAACATATTCAGCAACAATCGCTCGATGAACGAGCGTGGTCGATGAGCTGCTCGCACAATGTCTGTGCAAGAGAATGCCCCTCCTGGCTTGAGAAGAGAGTGAACGAGACTGAAGAACCGCTTGCGATCATCAAAGTGATACTGGGCATCCAGCGACAGAGCCACGTCGAAGGCTTCGCGAGCAATGTCCGCTTGGGCAGACCGGGGCCGCATCGACTTGACAGGAAAGAACAGCGAGTCGACTGCCTGCCACGACTGTGGATCGGTGGCATCGCCTACCAGCACCTGAACCCGGGTCTTGATCTCGGCCGACCGAGCCAGGAACTCATGAATGCGGTTCTTGGCAAAGCGGCCCTGTGTGGCCTCCAGCGTCACGGTCGTCATTGCAAGGATGTCGTACTGCTTGAGAAAAAAGAGCGTCTGGTCGCCGCACCCAGCACCAAAATCTAGAGCGAGGCGAACGACAGAATAGCGGCCATCGCCAGACATCAATAGCAAGATCAAAGGACGCCTGCTTCATGGCGTGGCACGTCACTGAACAGAGAGTGAAAGGATATAAGAGCGGTCCGCCACCGTCTGATGCAATAAGCGACACCGCGGTGCACCGATTGCAAAGAAGGAGAAAGGCAGCGTCCGTGAGATCAAATGATATGCAGACATACCGATGACAGACGCATTTGCGGGGATCTGGGCCCGTTCGGCAACGAGCTTGGCAAGTGCTGCTCAACCAGACCGAAATAATGAACCATATTTACGGTGAGCCAAGATACTGCCCTTCTCTTGAGTCCCAGCCCCCAGCATCAGATTCAAGAGGGCTGTGGGCGACGCCCAGTGGCCGCATCGCAAAGCTGTATCAGGGTCAGGCCGTACCTTCGCAGGCCTTGACAAAGTCGACGGTGTCCTGTCGATCGAATGCAAAGATAGCGGGTGTGAGGTGCTGCCCGAGAGAACTTCATGGTCTGATTTTGGCTGGAGAGCCGCTGCATCGGATACGAGCATTCGCCAAAACAAAAGGCGCTTGCGATCGAGGGGCCGGGATCTGCGAACCTTCCAATAGCCCATGTTGAGCCAGAACTCGTCGCAATGCATGTTGAGCATGATATGGTCCATCTTGTAGTCGCGGATGCCGCTTTGGAGCGTCAGGACATATCGCAGACCGTCCCACAGGAAGCTGTCGGTCAGGTAGGCGGAAACCACGATACCCAGCAGGAAGCTTGAGATCTGGATCGGAATGACCCTGAGCAGCCATAGGACAGCCACAGCAAGCGGAACGGTCACTGGAAGGATATTTCGAAGCAGAGATCCGATCGAACGTGTCTGCGTCTGCGTCTGCGTCTGCATTTGTGGCTGGAGTTGTGGCTGGAGTTGTGGTTGTGGTTGTGGTTGTGGTTGTGAATACGAATCCATTTCCGGCGAGAAAGCTTGCAGAATATGCGTTGGCAGGGCCGCCCCCAGATCGAGATCGACAATCCCCTGTTCCGAAACCGGAGGAAGGCGGCTCAGCCTGAAAACCGGGCATGCATGATTGAGTGATCGGAGCAAGCGCAAGACATCAAGGCCAGCGACTCCCTTGGAGGACGTAGCCGGCACCAAGGCTCGTCGAATGCCCGGCCCAAGCAAACCTACCCAGCAGCGACGGAGAACGCGAAGGCAATCGACATGGACGCTTGGGCGGGGCTGGTCTTTTCCGTCATGTGAGCGTCGGTGTACTGCGCCACAGTCAATCCAACCAGAAGCGGTGATGGCGATGGTGATGGTGATGGTGATGGTGATGGTGATGGTGATGGTGATGGTGATGGTGATGGTGATGGTGATGGTGATGGTGATGGTGATGGTGATGGTGATGGTGATGGTGATGGTGATGGTGACGGTGACGGTGATGGTGATGGTGATGGTGATGGTGATGGTGATGGTGATGGTGACGGTGACGGTGATGGTGATGGTGATGGTGATGGTGATGGTGATGGTGATGGTGATGGTGATGGTGATGGTGATGGTGATGGTGATGGTGATTCGCTGCAGGACTCCCGCTCTCATCCGTTGGACATCGACACAGCCTGCAGTCGCTCTCGTGCGCGTGGATGGTACTTCCGTTTGCCTCTTCCTTTTGACCCCTTGCGTCCTGGCCAAGGTGTAGCGGTCACTGTTCTACCAGACCCCAATCAGTGCCAGGCCCGGCCTGACCAGACCAGTCCGCCAATCGCCCCCTCCCTCGCTCCCGACCGCAGCGGGCCAATGGTAATTTTCCCCTAAACGGCATGAAACTCCGCATCCAACAAACTCAACTTTGATTTTACATCCTCTGCCAGCCACTTTTCCCAAAGTACATCGAGCGACACCCACTGACTCATCCGCCTGACTACGAACACTGCTGCCAATCGCAGGTCAACAATACTGATGGGAAAGTGTCCACCTGCGCCTCGCCCCATCGCACTCTGTCCGCAATCGCCCCAGCCGCCGTCCCGACCGGCCTCTATTCCGTATTCATCCATCACCCCGCTTCCATTCAGGCCCAAATGCGCGTCCCCCACGACCAGCTCGAGCCTCCCCTGGCGAACCCCTGCCTTGTTCATGGCCACTGCCACGACTACTTCTTGGTTCATTGGGCCGACTCCGATTCCGAGACGGCCGCCGACCTCAGGCGGCTCTTGTCTGAGATCTCGCTGCGGCGGTCTCAAGAGTCTCTTTCGATTTTTAACGACGCAATTTGTCTCGAGGGTGCCCGCTTCCCCGAGGAGCTGGTGCTGAATGCCTTGGCCACTAGTCAAGTTCTTGTCCTATTGATCAGCAGTGCCTCCATCGATGCATTTCGCCGGAGATTCAGATGCAAGTCTACCCAGCTCGCGACAACCCGAATGTGGCCCGAGTGCTGGGTTGCATCGGCATTGCAGCCTGCGGCCAAGAGCTCTACACCGAAGCCCTCACGGCCCTCAAGGGAGCCCTTCATATCTACGCCAGCGCCTACCACACCATCCAGCACCCAGACATTGTCTGTGTACTCGGAAACATTGGCGCGACGCTGCGCTGAAGCACTCAAGTACCTGAATCGGTCGCTGGAGATCAGCCAGCAGCTGGTTCCTGTTCCGCATGCACACATTAGCCAGGTCGATGCGAGAGCTGCCAGAACTTAGTGCGATGGACGAGTGCAGAGACCGCAAGCATTCCCAGAAGCAGCGTTGTGCGGTTCTGTGAGCCGCATCGGTGGACAGGCATCGGCAGATCATCATGCACGCAGCTGTGTATTTCTCCAGAGGATACAGGGTGCTCCGTTTCAAAATGAGAATGCTGTATGCCACATCAACCCAGGAGGACCATAATCTGTCGAGGAGATGAACTTCTTCGCACACCAGGGACGGATACTCGAGCGCCGTCAAGATATCGTCGAGTCGAGTCGAGTCGGATGCAGAGCCTAGAGTCCAGAGTCCGATGCTCGGGTTTGTCGCCCACGGGGACATTGGTGCTCGTATCGATCTCGGGTCAAACCGTGCCCCACCACGAACTGCATTCGATCCTCTCGGGATTCCATCGTGACCCCGGTTGGCTCACGGCCAACGAAGCTTCGGAGAACGCAGAGTATGCGGTTGCCACTGATGACCGCGGGCTGTAGGCCGACGAACCCGATCGTGCGTCGATGCACACATCCGAGCAATCAGGCTCGGTCGTGCCGGCAGATGTATCCACGAGAAGAAGGGTGCTGCGGCGTGGCATTATTTCGAAGCCGGCCTGGTCGTTCAGCGAACCAAAGGATTCGCTGCGGATGCCGCTAGTGTAGAGCTTGGGTGAGAACGGACTTGTGGGAGAAGCCAGATCGCCTCCAGCCGAGACTGGGGCGCTGGGATGCAGACCCATCCGACTCGTCATCAGCGACCCGGAGGCACACCAGATGTCTGTGATCTGGAGGAAAATCGGGCTGCAGCCGTTCACCGACGGCGATGAAGCCAATGTGGTGGTGGTGGCGACGGGCTTTGATGTCAGGCGGTAGCCGATGGTGATGCCGTTGGCCGAAATCTCGGCTGGCCGATTGCTCGCATAGACCTTGCCGAGCGGCAGCCAGAAGAGCTTGGCCTGGACGGCAGGATCGATGACGGCGACGGAGCCCTCGTTGTGAGTGGGATAGTGCGTCAGGCAAGTCGAGGTGGCCGAGTTTCGACAGCGGTCCAGAGCAGTCCAGTCGACAGAGCCAACCCGGACGGCCAGGATGTTATCCGAGTGTGGTTCGATCGACAAACCCATGGGCTCGGGTGCGGCGATGGGCCGGAGATAGGTGACCCGTTGTCGGCGGTGTTGTTGAGGCCGGCGGGGCGAACTGGCTGGGCCGGCATCGTGGTCGTCAGGTTGAGAGACGGGGACGAACCGAACCATCTCCTCCAAGACGGGCTCGAATCTCCAGCGCTGGCGGCGATCGTCCCATCCCTTGAACACGCACTGGATTCTCTTGATGGGCGAGCCGAGGTTCGAGAGCAGGCCCTCGAGCAGGCTCTGGCCGTGCGGCGAGGCGAGCTTTTGGGACGAATAGGAGTCGGACTGGCCAAGGCGGGCAACCAGCGAGGCGGTCGAAGGATGGAGCAGCTCGATCTGAGAGCGCTTCAGTTTGGCAGAGAGGAAGAGCAAAGCCAGTCGGCGAATACGTCGGCAGCTGGCCAGCAGCGGGAGGAAGTGCGGCGGCAGCGGCAGAAACCCAAAGATGTAGAGCCACAGATCATTTGGGAGATCGTGACTGTGGCTGTGGCTGTGGTTGTGGTGGTTGTGGTGGTGCTGCGAGACGACAGAATCCTGGGACAACATCGATGGCGACTGGGACGGGGGGTGGTGCAGCAGCGCGCAGACGATGACGGCGGTGGAGGGGATCGGACGATGGGGTGATGAGGTGATGGGGTGATGGGGTGATGGGGTGATGGGGTGATGGGGTGATGGGGTGATGGGGTGATGAAGCGTTGGTTGTCAGGATGCGACGCTATTTCGGGTCATGTGCGCAGCAGGTTGGAGGGGTCATGCGACAAACCAGACTCACTCGACAGTTGCTCGGGCGGATGATGCGGTGGGCTGTCCGCGTTGTGCTGGGGGGGGGCCAGTGGGAGTGGGTGGGCAAAGGGAAGTGACCAGTGTCAGCCATCAGCGCTGGTTGTCGGCGCTGGTTATGGTCGGAAACAGACAGCGAAAGCAAAGTGTGCAAGTTGCCAACGATAACTACCACGGATGGCGGTGGCCAATGTTCTCTGGCCAGACTGGCGTCACTGGGCCGGACGGGAAGCCAGGTTCGCATCTCCAGGCGGGCTGCATGTGATTGCGGGCCGATTGCCACTGGCTGACTGGATTTGTCGCATGTGCAGCCGGGTGACCACCAGGATGTGGAGTGGTTTCAGAGCATCCACCCGAGCGGACATTGACTTGCCTGTCCCGCCAGACAGGCAGAACGATGGACAGGGTGGCGGATAGATTGGATCGGCCAATGGCGATATCGCCTGTCTGCACATACACCCAGACACCGGGAGAGCCACCAAGGGGCCACCGTGTCGGGCGTGTCTGTCCGGGAGCCTTGTCCGAAAGGAGAGGGGTCCGTCCGGCTGTCATTTGAGTGGTGCTCGGCGCTGGTTGGTGTGCGCAAAGGACAATGGATCAGGCTGCGTCAGGCACGGGAAGTGGTGGCCCGCGGACATGGATCGCCGGTGGACACTGTGCGAGTGTGGCCAGTCTCTGTCGGCCACAGCAAGTCGGGAGCACAGGCAGGAGGACAGCAGAAGGCGGGCAGGCAAGCAGCGCTGGGCGGAACGGTGTCTGAGCCGGCCGAATCTCTCTGACCGATATCCCCCCGGCCGGACACCCCGACTGGACCACTGCACACCCCGGAAATGGCCACCCGAAGCAAAGGCACTGCCAAGCACAAGGCCCGGCTCGCCTTGAAGCCAAAGCGGAAAGAGATCGTGTGCTCATTACGTATATTCGGTGTCGCATGGGTGCGAGGGGGGCGGGGAGGGGCAGAGGAAAAGCGGAAAGATATGACGAAAGCGGAAGGAGGGGGGGGCAGGCAGGAGAGGCCCGGGACCGAATGAGCAGCGGACCCGAGCCAACGCGGAAGTGGGTCGGGGGATTGGATCGGATTGGATCGGATTGGAATGGAATGGATCGGATTGGAGTGGATTCGACGATCGAGAGAGATGGTTATTATTAGGTGATATGGGTGGAGTGCAGTGTAGATGCAACAATACAGAAATTAGAAGCCAAAATGAAAGCAGATAGAGCGAATAGAGAGCAACAAGAGCGAATAGAGAGCAACAAGAGCAAAATACAAATGACGATCATGGCAGAGCAGATGAGGGACGCAAGCGCGGGACGACTGCCGTTCAGCAGTGCCAGCGATAAGAAGTGCAAGCATGAACACGAAGGAAAAGCAGAGTTTGACGACGACAACAAGAACGAGATTGAACAGGAGGAACGCAACGCAGTGCAGAGCAGATTGGGTTCGTGCCATGGCAGTACGTGAGGGGGGGGGTAAAGTGTTGTACTGGCCAGAGACGATGGCCAGCGTGCAAATGTGCATGAGAATAAAGAGTACAAACGGCAGGGGAGCCGGGAGGGGAAAATCACAATCACAGACGGACTTCGCGAGGCCCAGGCATATTGTTGTTCAGCGAGCTGGTTCGCAAACGGCTGACCATGACAGGACGGTTGCCGCTCTTGGGGCCCGTCACTTGCTTGATGAGGACGCTGACCCAGTGCATGAACGAGCTGTTGTTCGGGGCAATGAGCTCCCACTGGCGCTTGCCGAGCTTGGCCACAAAGGCATCCTTCTTGCCCTGCAGAGGCAGCAGCTCCAGAATCGAGATCACGGGAATGACATCGATCAGGACCGGGTCGCTCTCAGACTTGAGGATGTACAGGGTCGAGCCCCGCAGGAGACAGAATCGCGAGCGGAAGTGGCTGGAGGTATCCGAGCGGACTTCCAGAGGGCCGCGGGCGGCGTACTCGCCGCTAATGTCGATGACCTCGCCGTCTTCTTGGCCAAGGTGGAGGGTCTCCTGGAAGTTGCGAAGGAAGGTGGAGAACTTTTCGGCGACAGGCCTGGAGCCGAGCAGCAACGAGACAAGAGAAAGATATCAGTACCAGTTCGGCGGAAGTGTCAAAAGAACGCAACCGCAGTGGCGGGGAATGGCGCCCGATTACTTACGACGACTTTGACGGGATCACAGGCTCGTGGTGCTGGAGGAGGCTTGTCTCGGGTGTGAATGGGCGGATGGTTTCGGGAGACCAGATGGGGGCAGCCGAGATCTGGGGCGCCTGCGACGGGGTAGCAGTGGAGGGGGTTGAGCAGCGGCTTGAGGATGATGTGCCGAAGACGCTGCTTTCCTCGGGCAGGCCGATGATGCTGGAAGGAGCCGAGGTGGTGGTAGCCGAGCAAGCACTGCTGACAACAGAGGCAGCGGACGAGGCGACGGAGCGCGCCGGGTTGTTGCTTTGGCCCAGCAGCGAGTAGATGAAGTCGAATTCTGCACTCAGGCAAGATTCCTGCGGAGCAACACGTGGGAATGCCGGGGGATTAGTTGATCTGGCGGAGTGGAGCAAGCACGACAAAGATGGCGGGGTGGCTGGCACAGCATTGGAGGAGGCAGGAGGAATGACTAATCGCTGGACGAAGGATGACATGACGGAGAGATGACATGGCAGAGACCCAGACTGCGGAGACGCCGAGTAAAGTGGTCGTGGGGGTTGGGTTGGGCCAGGCAGGCCCACCATGGCAGTGGCCAAAACAAGCACGGCGTTGTTGGACAGAGAGAACGGAAGCATCATCATCGAGACTCACATCACGGGGGACGCTGGCAGAGTACAGGGCGCTCGAGCTTGCCGAAGGCAGGGCACTGGAGGGAGGAGACTGGGCAGAGCACGGCGTATCGGGGCTGAGAGGCTGCTTGGTGACCAGGTCGTCCTCCTCGGCCGCGAGCTCGCGAAGGTACTGTTCCCAGGCGGCCTGCTCGATTGCCTTGGAGATGCTGCTGCGGCTGGTGGGAGAAGGCGGCGGGGAGTTTGATGGGCTGGTGCCTGTGGACTTGACAGAGTTCAGGTAGCTGAGATAGGCAGAGTAGTGGGTCGACGACATGGCGGCTGGAGAAGCTTGGGCAGCGGTGCAGTTGTAAGATGGAGCGAGCGACGAGATGCGCGAGAGCAGCGGGATATGGAAGTTGGAGACAAAGTTGAAGACAAAGACTGCTGGACGGGGGTATGCGCGGCAGACAAGAGCGCTGATGGTCGATGCACACCAGAGACGAGAGCAAGACGGACTTGCAGGCCAACCGGGGGGGGGAAGCAGACCGGGGTTTATATCGCAGGTTCGCGGGGCTGGGCTCGCCATGCCAGCAGCCAACACCCGAAAAAAAGCGCTCACCCACCCAGGAGCACAACAAGAGCCCCATCGGGCCCTGTCCGCGACTGGGTCGGTCCGCGTCGGCAGCACGGGCTTGTTGCGCGCGAGCACGGCCTTGCGTCATGCACGGGCGGGATGTCTCGCTGCTGATTGGGCAGCGGGGGCCGGCCCGTGATTGGACAGCGCACCGAGGCAGACACGGACATGCCGATGTCGGGCGAGTGGATTGCGTTATTTTGGATGGACCGACCAGTCCCGGACGAGGACAGGATTGCATCACCCGCGCCGGCGTGGGTTACCTGGGCCTCGTCGATGCTGATACTCGCGGATGTAATGCGCCATCGATAGTGCGCGGGGTACCGGAGAGCAGTGCCGTTGCAGCATCGGCTTTTGCAGCATCGGCTTTGCGGTATCGGCTTTGCAGGACCAATCTTCTTGGACTGCTGCAGCACCGGATACACCCGCCAAAGTCCATCGGCCGGATGTGCTCGTCTCGCTGTGGCTGTTTCGCAGCGCAGTGGCCGGTCGGTGGCGAATGACCCCCACACTCCCCGCGCTTATCAATTTGATTGAAGGGGTCGCAGCATCCACCCAAAACGGGACTGGCACCCGCCTCTCCCTGCAGCAAGGCTGCTCCTCCCTGCATCCGTGCCTCCACCAGAGCAACAACACGAGCCGGGGACCAAGAGAGGGGAATGTCCCGACACCAAGGCGGGCCACCACTGGCCACCACTGGCCACCACTGGCCACCACTGGCCACCACTGGCCAGCAGCTGCCACTCTCCATCCCTCCCCCGACAGCCGCGATGGCATTGCTCTCGGACGCCTCCCCGGCTGCCCTGTGAAAGTTGCTTCCGTCGGGCAGGTGGCCACCCGCACGAGAGGAGGCGAGCTATGCCCGTGCTGCCTTGGACGGAACTGGGCCTGGCCACGCCTGGTCGCCGCGTTTCGCACTATCGTCGTCGTCGCCCTGGTGCGAGACCTGGCCACTCCTCGCCAGCAGTTGGATGGACCAAGGCGCCGGCCAAGAAAGATGCCCTTGCTTGTGGCCTTGCCTGTGGCCCGGCCAATGCCCATGCGCGACCGGACCCACGTTTTTTCTGGCCAACGAAGGCGGGAGCCGACGAGCCAGCTGCCTGCCCATTGGGCGGATTGGCCACATTGCCCAGCCATCGCGAACAGGATGTGGGCTGAATTCGGTATCGCGGCGCTGCGGGGCGACTGGAAAGTCTTTCAAAGGCGGGTGGGCTGGCGCTATCTGCCAGAATGCACGGCCGGAGCCGGATTGCGGGCTGCTGAGATATCCGGGGCTGCCAAGGTTGCATGTGGGTGCCAAAGGCGAGTCGGTGCAGTGGCCCCATCGACGAGCTCTTTGCGACGGAGGTGGAGCATCCGCCATGTTGATGGACCTGCCGGCATGGCAGCCGGCCAGCTGAAAGCAACGTCCCCATCCGCGCATCTGCCAGTCCCATCTGCCCGTCCCTCTGCACAACCACATGGACCCATCCTCTCACCCGCATCTCGCCGGCCCAGACATGGCCAGCCCAGACATGACCGGCCCAGCCCAGCACAGAGTCGCAAAGGCCGCCATCTCGTTCACGGGCGGAAAGGACAGCGTCCTCGCCCTTCATCTCGTCCATGCACATCCCGAGCAGCACGACAGCGCCGCGGCTCTCAGTGTTGTCGGCCTGGTGACCTTCTCCCCCGCCGAATCGACCAAGCCGTTCCTATCGCACCCGATCCCATTCATCCAGCTGCAAGCCGACTCCTTGGCCCTCCCCCACTCGGTCTCGCTGATCTCGGACCCGTTCCTGGAATCGTACTCGGAGCAGATCAGGGCCCTCAACACCCGGCTCTCGATCGAGCACCTCGTCACCGGCGATATCGAAGATGTCTGCAACGGATTCATGGTGAGCCAGCGACCAAGCAGAGCCACGAACTGCGCTGCGACTGCTGTAATCACATCGCGGCAGTGTTAGATCAGATTGCCCCCTCTGACCAAAGCCCCCGTCGTCATTGGTTTCGCAGACCCGGGCCGTCGAGCCCACGCCGGTCAAGCTCGTTACTCCGCTGTGGCAACGGCCCCGATCGGCCCTCATCCAGCAATTCCGAGACTTTGATATGCGCATCCTCGTCACCTGTGCCAACCTCCGGTTGATGCGCGAGCCCTTGGCCCGCCGTCTGGTCGGCGCCGTGCTCACCGACGATCTGTGGGACGAACTGCTCCGCGAAGAAGGCGTGGATGCCTGTGGCGAGGGTGGTGAGTACCATACCATGGTCTTGGATGCGACGCTCTTCCGCAAGCGCCTGGAGATTGCCGATGGTGAGCAGTGTGTGTCGGATTGCGGGAACTATCTGTACTTCCAACCGGGAACCATCACTGCCGTCGAGAAGACTTAGTAGCAAGCAATATATCGGACAGACGCCCTCGGGATTATATGGCATGTCGTGGATCCACCAGGCGGTCGAGCGAGGCGACATTGCTCATGCGAACGAGACACGGACCTCGACGACATGCTCATGGGTGTGGCTCCAGCCGGGACAGCACCTTGGACACGTGGGATGGCGCGTGTGGCGTGGGCGGTTCGAGCCGCGATCAGCATGTGGCGTTTTCTCGCCTATTTGTTCGGGCGATCCTTCGGCCGTCATCTTTCTCCACAACTCCACAACTCCACAACCTGTCCTCGCCGCCGTCGCCTCTTGCTGCGTCGCTTCCCAGAGGGCCGCTGCATCCCGCAGCAACAGGTAACACTAGAAACCGAGCACACCGTGCGTTCCAGACCCACAGCTGGTCATCCTGCCAACACTCCTGCCAGCACTCTTTGCTAGCCGCATTCGGCCAGCAAACGGCGGCACGGCAGTGTCGGCCTCCACACGCTCGTTGGTTCTCTGGCTGCCGGAAATCCCCCTTGAGGGGTACCCCTTGGTTCTGTGCTATGGCTACGACCTCTGAGCAAAAACAATCCAACCATCATCTCCACGCTTACTCAAACATGCGGCGCCTCGCTTTGCCCCTCGCGGGTTTGAGGCGCCCAGTTCCACTTTGAGGACGAGCACTAGTTGTTGATGTGACAGATTTCACTCCCTCTTTCCCCTCCCTCCTCTGGGGCAATGTGCAAACCTTGAGCTGAAACGAGCAAAGGCAAGAGAGGTCTCGGCGGGGAGTGGCCAGAGATGGCGCCGGTTCAGGGATGGGATGGATGGCCAGAGAGAGGCAGAGGCGAACCCTGCGGATATCCGATCCGACGATTCATCGGCTCCAACAACCTCGCCGTGTCGATCCTGTGCGGCTCCGAGGCTGGTCTTGGGTGGATGGAGTTGAGATGAGTTTCGAGATGATTGTGTGGGCGCATGGTTGCCTCGACCTATCGCTCTCGGGACTGATGCGCCAGCAGTCACCACCACACCGAGAGACCCACCATCAGATATCCACCGCATTCAGATACACCATCACAGATACACCATCACAGATACACCATCACAGATATGTCATCACGCCGAGTCTGCTCAGGCGCCTGCCCCATGTCCATGCGCGACCGCGGCTGCGCCGTGTTCTGCTTGGTTCTCGCTCCCTCCCCTGGCTGCGATCACATCCCCATCGTCCTCCACGCCGCTTTCATCCTCCCGCATCGCTCGATCGCATCCCCGGCGCAATGGACTACCCTGGCCCTCCCCCGGGACTGTCCGCGGCCTCTATCGGCCATGAGGCTAACGGCTCCCTCAAGCATATGACCCACACGACTCAACTTGCCGAAGACATTGTCAACGTCAGGGACCAAGCCAAGTCAATCGGTATCCATTCTCCTGCGCAAACACCCCCCCGCCTGGCTGTTGGGCATTTCTCGTCCACTATTTCCCTGCATTTCTCGTCCACTATTTCCCTGCATTTCTCGTCCAGTATTTCCCTGCATTTCTCGTCCAGTGTTCCCCTGCATCAATCCTTTGCTCATCTCGCAGTCCCGCCCCCTTCCATCCTCTCCCTTTTTGCTCACACACGTGCATCCACAGAAGCAGGGCCATCTCTGCTATCGCCAACGTCGCCATGACTAACAGCCCATGCCTCCTTGCCGTTCGGTCGCCAGGTCGGGTTTTGTTCAAGTTGGAGAAGCCCAAGGCCATCATGATCGTGGCCAAGGCAACTGAGCCGCGTATCGTCGAATTCACTCGAAACCTCACGACATTTCTGATCGATACGCCGCGACAATGTTCCTCGACGGGGCTCACCCTGTAGGTCCAACCCATACGCCATCGCGGCGTGTGCCTGCCCTGGGCATGAGCTTGGGACGTCGATTTGGCATGTGAAGTCGAGGCATCTGGTTCCCTCCCGTCCCGCCCAGGGCGGCAGAGGACGTCTGTTGCCGGCTCGTGTCCAGCTTGGAATCGGGAGCCCAGTATGCTGCATCCCGGTCGACTCACAGTTCTCTCTGCCGACCCTCCATCGCAGATACGTGGACCAGCAGCTTCGCAACCATCCCTCCTTTGACTACGACGACCTGATTCGCCGATATCCCCACTACGAGTCCAAGTTGTACTTTTGGACGCCCGAGTTCTGCGCCTCTCCCAAGACCCACGAGATCATCGACGTCATCATCACTCTCGGCGGCGACGGAACGGTTCTGTATGCCTCGTGGCTCTTCCAGCACAGCCAGGTTCCGCCGGTGATCCCCTTCCATCTCGGCAGCCTAGGATTCCTCACAAACTTCCACATCTCAAACATCAAGGGGGTGCTCGAGCGCATGATTGGCGCCTCCGGTGACGGCGTGCGGGTCAATATGAGGATGCGACTGACATGCACGCTCTGGCGAGCCAAGGGCCGATCAAAGTACACCAATACCCTGCAGTTCCGTGACTACGGCCAAGCGCCGCCGAGGATGGACGGACAAGACTCGGATGTCGTCGTGACGCTCGAGCCTGCCTTGGATGATCCGGAAACAAGTGTGCCGGCGCGGCTGTCCAAGAGCAGTGCCTACACCTCCAGCTCGCCGTCGCTCTTTCCCGAGACCTGCAAGACCAAGCCCGAGCTGTTTCTCGGCACCCAACTCAAAGAAAAATGCCCCATCCGGCCTCCGCCGGGGGGTGACTCGACTCCAGCTCTGACCCGAGTTCGCGCTCAGGGCCATGCTCTGCATCCAGCCCAAGCTCCAACCCGGGATCGCCCGCCTGTCTTGGACTCGGCGGGCCTATCCGATACCGCTGCCCAAGGATCGACAGCCCTAGCGCCGGCTCTGCTCTCTAATGCTCGGCTTACTGACTCGAGTCTCTCTGTGGGCTCCGCCGACGGCCCGGGTCGCAAGTACTCGGGTCGGCACCCTGTGTCGAGTGCCAAACCAGTCCCCACCGAGACCTTCCACATCCTCAACGACCTGGTCGTCGACCGAGGACCCAGCGCCTATATGAGTCAGCTCGAGCTCTACGTGGACGAACGACACTTGACGACAGTGCAAGCCGACGGACTCGTGATCTCGACGCCCACAGGCAGCACGGCCTATTCGGTGAGCATCGCCCTGGTTTGATGCGGCTGCAGGTCGGGAGTGAGCGATGCGGCAAGTAGTGCGGCAAGTGGTGCGGCAAGTGGTGCGGCAAGTGATGTGGCAAGTGATGCGGCAAGTGATGTGGCAAGCAGCCATGCCCTGGCTTCTAACAACTGCCATTCCATGCTCCTCTGCCAGCTGAGCGCCGGTGGATCGTTGGTTCACCCAGAAGTGCCGTCGATTTTGGTTTCACCCATCTGTCCGCACACACTATCGTTCCGGCCGATGCTCCTGCCCGACAGCATCGATCTCAAAATCCAGGTCCCTCAAGACTCTCGGAACACGGCTTGGGCTTCCTTTGACGGCCGACATCGGATCGAGCTGCGCCAGGGCGACTTTATCCGGGTGACGATGAGCCGGTGGCCGATGCCCACCATCTGCTCGGCGGACCAGACCACCGACTGGTTCGAGAGTCTGCGACGGTGTCTGCATTGGAACGAGCGTACGCGGCAGAAGCCCTTTGGCGACCCCAATGACGGCCCACCCATGCCTGATCTGTCGCCATAGCAATACAGGACTCGTAATGATGAACCGGGGCACTGGAGGCAGACGGATGGGGCCTGGGTCGATAGTGCGATACTGAGGATGATTAGCCCCTCGCCCTTGGTTTCAGGGTTGTGAATCAGACGGCCTGCGCTGGGAAAACGGGTCTTTGGCTTGGTGGTGCGCTTGGGGCCAGTGTCCCATCGGCTCTCCCCAGCCCTTGGCCGCCGTCTCGACCTCACCAAAGCAGGCACCAAACATCAAGCACCAAGCATACACCGGCATGGCCCTTCCCAGCGCCGAGTCGCTCGCCCCATACCGATTCGTCGTCGTTCCCGCAGCGGTTTTGGTCGTCTCGGCCTTGCTCCTGTTCACTCGCAGTAGCAGACGCCGCCGCCGCCGCTCGCAGCCTTACCCTCCGTCGCCCGCATCGCTGCCCATCATTGGCCATGCCCATCTCCTCATGAGTGCCGAGAGTCCATACGTAGGGCTCACGGAGATAGGCGAGCAGCTGCAAGGGGACATCTTCAGGATCGTTCTTGGAGCGACGACGAACGTTGTAGTCAGCGATCCCTTGTGGGTGCAGAAGGCCTTTCTGGGCGAGGGTCTCAACTACGCATGTCGACCAGAGGACCAGGTATGTTGGCCACGGCAGTCGGGGAGAAGATGAGACAGCTGCACATGAGTGGATGTGCCGTGCTGCATTTGAGCGAGAGGTTGGTGCGCTTTGACGGCCGTGCTATTTGACTCCTGGCCGGCCGTTTGTGTGGGATGCGACTGCAGCCGCAGTATCTAACCAACCGCATATCCAGACACTCGATATCTTCCCAGAGTCCTTGATCTTTTCAAAGTTTGGTGGGTTGTGTGCATTGACGACAGCGGCGCTGGCGCATCGGGCAGATCGGTCGTTGCTCCCCCCCCCCGGATGCCTGACATATCTACATCGGTGGCTTCCTCATGTCCCGGTGATAATAGGACCTCGAGTCATCAGAACCAGAAAGATGCTGCACAACTTCGTCAGCGCCCCCGTTGCCCTCAAGGCTCTCGAAGACAGCATCATACGGCAAGAACGCCTGGAGACGCTTCGGGCGCTCCTGAGCTGGCCCTCTTCACAGCAGGTTCGGCAATTCGGTGGCCTCTCGACACCCCTGGTAGCAGCGGCCGCCTGCTGGCCCTTTGACTGCAGCTGAAATGGCCCATTCCAATGCCTCATTGCAATGCCTCGTTCCGATGCTCTCGTCTCTCTTCCATGCGATACGAATCTTAAATGCGCCAGTGCATCGCCAAGGAGCTCATGACCCGGTGTACGCTGAATGTGATTGCACAACTGACTCTGGGCCGCCGATGGGACGATCCTAGCGACCCAGAGCTGCTGCGGCTCCGCAATCTCCTCGACAGCGACTACAAGACATTTGCCGAGTTCAATCTGGCCAATATGTATCCGATGCTCAAGCCGCTTCCCCTCCAGGCCAAGCGCAACTTGCAGAAGCTGCGACAAAAGGCCATTCCGATCTTCAGCGATCTCATTGGCAAAGTTCGCCAGCAGAGAGCCGAGGGCAATGCAGCGGCAGAGGAAAGCTTTGTGGGATCGCTCTTGAAGATACAGGAAGCAGGCGGGGACGACAGCATGACTGACACCGAGATGGTGATGCTCCTCTCGGACATGCTCACAGCTGGCTCGGATACTACCGCCATCACGCTGACCTGCCTCATCGGAGCCGTCATCTGCGACCCCGAGGTAATGAGTGCGGTTTGTCGTGCCATGGACCCATGTCTCCTTCGGATCGGTCGAAATGGGCGATCCAGCGCAATGTGCCGGTGGCTAACGCTGTGCCGGGCCGGCCTTGCGGATTGCACTGGTCATTAGATCCAAAGGAAGGCCCAAGAGGAGCTCGACGCTGTCCTCGGGAACTCACGACTGCCGTCCATGGAGGACTTGCCGAACCTGCCATATCTGAACGCACTGGTGTTGGAGGTGAGATGCTCTGATCCACACGATGACATGGCTGGCTGGGAGTGAGTGCTCTGGAAATACCCTGGCGGTGTCCTCGGTTTGCATCAGCTTCCCGGGGTTGTCCATGATGCCGACCGCTGAAACTGACCCTCTCACATCTCTTCCCACACAGACACTGCGCAAATACCCTGTGATCCCGCTTGTTGCCAGAAGATCAGCCAAAGACACCGAGATTGCTGGTTATGCGATCGACGAAGGAGTAAGTTGCCATTGATCATCATCCATTTGCTCATCTGGACGCGTCCTTTGTGATGGTGTCGGGATACTGTTGCGCTCGGACCATACTAATCGACAAGGGAATGTCTCCTGGTCCTGGTGCCGATTTCGATTTCGATTTCGATTTCGATTTCGATTTCGATTTCGATTTCGATTTCGATTTCGATTTCGATTTCGCGCACGCTCTCACCATGACCGCAATTCGACTCAGGATGTCGTCATTGCCAACATCTGGTCCATCCACCACAACCCCAAGCTCTGGACGAGCCCCAACACCTATGATCCATCTCGCTTCCTGCATTCGGATGAGTCGTCGCGGATCAACCAGCCGTCCAATATGTTTGCTTTTGGTGAAGGCCGCAGGGTGTGTCCTGGAATGAAGCTCGCAAAGCAGGAGGTATTCCTGGTCGCTGGGGCGTTGCTCCAGTGCTTTGAATTTTCTTCTGGAAGGGAAGATGGCGCACTGCCAGATCTGAAGTTGCATTTTGGCATTTCATGCTGCCCAAGTCCGTTTCCGATCGCCTTCAAGCTCCGGCCCGACAGAGAGCACCTGATCCGGGAAGAATGAGCAGCGGCACTGCATGGATCATGGACGGTTGGCGTGCCCGGCCGTGTTGAGAGCCACCGGCAATCGATCGAGATAACACAATCGATCGAGATAATACAATCGGTCGAGACGAGCTCAGTAACGCAGGGTGTGATACAGAGTATTCGAGGGGGGGGGATTGGTGGCCGGACGACCGCAGTGCTGAACAGGTTGAGCTAGGGTCGTCAGCGCATCCACTCAAAGTTGGGCCAGACCTTGCAAAGGACTTTGCCGGTGAGCAGCCCCATCGGAACTGGGCCGTAGCACCTCGAGTCGGTCGAGTTGGTAAAGTTGTCACCCTGGAGCCAGACATGGCCCTGGGGGACCTGGATGTACTCGCGGTAAGGATGCGTCGGATCAACACAGACAATGTCGCCGGGCTGGGAGATGCCAACGGCCACGATCGGATCATGACAGACGAAAGATATCACGGTTAGTGGCGAACCAATGCGAAAGATACAGGGAGGGAAGGAGGCAGATCTACACAGATGTTGTGGATGGGCGGAACGACCCATCAAAAGCATCGGGATCGGTCGATGAGCAAACGCCTTGCACAGCGACTAGGGAGAGTGTGTGCACTTACGAGGCCGAGGATCCGCTTGCACACGGCTCGCTTAGGGTCTAGCGGCGAAACGGCAACGACGACATCGCCAAACTTGTAGTCTCGCTTCAGCGACGATAGGAATTCGACAACGACCCAGTCGCCGACAAAGTTGAATGTGGGCAGCATGCTGGGGCCGATGCACTGGGATCACAGAAACAGGGACGCCAGCGGCTGGAAGCGTGAGCTGCGGGCAGGTTTGTCGTTGGCTTTGCCTATTCCGAGTCCACGAGGAGAGGGAATCCTGGGCCCAGCCAGTTGCAGTGGCGACGACAGCGGAATCGAGACGGGCTTACCATTGTGACGGTGCCGACATAGTTGCCAAAGAGGAGGGCGACAACGGCCCCGCGGACGGCGAAAGAGCTGAAGCGGTAAGCCGAGGCCAGACGCTCGGGCGAGAGGCGAGCCGAGAGCCGCGCGAACATGGCCGACAGGGTGGCCTGGTGGACATGGACATGGTGCAGGGGGACCGAGCAGGACCGGCGCTGAGGCAAGGGCCGGGCAGGCGGGGGCGGCGCAGGCATGTGGCGGAGTGGCTGCGCACAGTGATCGGCTGCGCAGTGGCGCCGGCTGCGCGCTGATCGGTGTGGCTTGGGCGCGCCAGGGGTATAAATACGGGGCCGTGCCCTGCTCCCTCCTCTTTTCCTCATACTTACCTGGGCGGAGGTCGCCGTGATCAAGAAGGCGGTGGCCTGGGTCGGGGCTCTCTCCATTGCACAACCGCGAGGGAGGCCCGGCTTTGCACATCCTTCGGGGTGTCGCAACGTCACAATTTTTTGATAGTGAGGTTGAGCGCACGTCGCCGCCTCGCCCCTAAAGAACACGATCAAAACGAAATGTGCGCGTGCGATAGATGTGGTTGAGAGCGACCTTTCGATATTGGGATGACGATTGAGCGACGATCCAAACGTCTTTTGGCCATCGAAGAGAGGGTGATGATTCTCCCTTCGTTCACACTGCGTTGTCATTGCGTCGTCTCGCTTGGCCTTGGTCTCTCTTGGTCTCTGAAGGGCTGCACACACCATCATCATCCCACTGCCGCTGTGGCGATCATTGCCGGCCAGATCCTTCGCTCGGCAAAGTGTATTTGTCAACGCTGCCAACAGAGAATAGACACGGATGAGACCAGTTGGGATTGGGGACGGGACGGCCGTTGTCCACACAGACAGACTCTATTGCACCGTCGGCTGAGTGTGGGTGGCCCGAAGGGAGAGAGGAGTGAAACGAAAGGCTTTTTATCGCTTTGACGAGCATGTTGTCTAGGCAGTTGGGCATCTGCTCTGCGGGTGGCAGGGTGCGATTGCAGCAATCGGGGAGAACATTCGCCTCGTTCTGGTCTGGTCTTCACAGATTGAGATTGCTGGGGCCAGCGCCCATGCGGATGCGATCGTCAGCCGCCGCCCGGGATGATGAGGACGAGGCCGAGGCCGAGGCTGAGGATGCGGCGGCTGCGTCGTTCGCGAGGCTCGTCAGATATGTGTTGACCAGCTGGGTCGAGATGGTCTGGGTGAGCTGCGGCAGCATCGAGCTGAGGTCAAAGCCCATAACCGAGCCTTGACCATCGCTGCCGCCCGCTCCCTCGGTGACAATCTCATCGTCAACGTCGTCGTTTGCCGAGGCTCGCTGCTTGCCCTTGCCCTTGCGATCGGGCTTGCTGTTCAATGAGGCCTTGCGTCGCTGCTGAATCCAGTCGTACCAGGAATGGCCAAACTTCCACACCCAGTCCAGAATCGGCTCGCCGTCGGATCGTCGCATATCCATGATCTTGGTGACGATCAGAGCCGCCGCGAATCCTTTGACCAGAGGCTTGATGCCGGAGAATCCCCCCATGGCGCACAACAGGATCGGCAGGTAGATCGGCTTGATGGGCAGAACGCCAAACAAGAGGATGTTCTGGTCCTGCTCCGTGAATGCCCAAATCCATCGCATCGAGTACTCGAGTTGGGGGAACAGCGCAACCGGGAAGATGATCACGGGCGTGCGGCCATCGAACCTGCAACGACACAAGCTTTAGCCATTCGTCCCAGCGTCCATCTGCGGTGCCATCGAGGCATTGGTCCGATTCGCCTGAACCCACTGCCTGCTCGGCAGCTCGACAAACAAGCTCGAATGCATAGGCGACCGGATTCTCCACCTGCCCACCGCGGCTGCTCAGCACAGGCCCTGCTCTATTCCTCACCTTGGTTGTCGGTAGAGTATGCACTCGATGCCAACGATGACCGCCGCCGACGCCAGCTGCACATGCAGGAAGCGGTTATCCAGAATCAGCCACTGAAATAGCCCCTTTCGCTTGCCGCTGCGAGCCTTTCGCTGCAGGCCCTCGGTCCGGACGACGCCGTTTTCATCAACGACGTCGCCCGCCCCGTTGAAGCGCTTCTCCAAGGCGGCGCCCCAATAGACCATGCCTGCAGACTTGTTGACGACGTCCATGATGGAGTGGCCCGTGATCAGGAACGAGGTCGCCACTCGGTAGGTCTGCCAGTGCGGGGCAAAGGCAAAGTACGGATGGAAGCCCAGCGTCCGATACGGCAGAATGTGGAACAAGTCCAGGACCGACAGCACCGAGCCTGTCGCGATCTGGAAGGTGGTTATCGGCGAGGTGTGCGCAAAGTTGAGGGCCTGCGTCTTGATGGTGGTGCCGGACGACGGGTCGCTGAGCGACAGAAACGGGTTGCCGCCTTTCAGCGGCAGGGCCTGGCGAGACGGCCCGTGGCTCCACAACGGATCGTCGCAGGCAACCAGCAGGCCGACCCGAGACGAGGACAGGGAGGCCATTGTGTCTGCCTTGCGCTTGGGGCAGGCGGGGTTGGGGGTTGAGATGGGGGCAGAGATGGACGGCCAAGAGGCGTGCGGTTTTCTTGGCGTGCAGCTGGTTTTGAGCCCATCCACGAACGCCGGGAATCGCTGATCGTGCTGGGTGTAACCTGCTGCTGCTGCTGCCACCGGGCCAGGGCCTAAATAGAATCATCGATGTATTTCATATCTGGATCGCATCGGGCCGTGGGGAGGTCAAGGCCAACGGGCCAGCCTATCGACATTGCCCTGCGTTCTATTTGGACCCATGCCCAGATCAGCAATAGGCAGAGGCGCTCCAGTCACCGCCGGCCTGCATTTGCTCATTGGGCGAACTTGACGTTGTCTTCGATCCCGAAGGACTGTGTGTTTTGTCCGGGCTTGTTGAACTTGGAGCCGCCGAATCCACAAAACCGACTGAGACCGGGGATCTGGAGTCGCCCACGAACTCGGCGATCCTTGCGGTATTGTCACAGCGACTACGGCGACGATCCTAGCCCTGGTTGGCTTGGCGCTCGTATCGTCGCAGGGCTTTGACCCGCTCGCGCACGATGGCTTCAAAGTCGAGATCCAGGAGGCTCAGTGCATTCCATCGACCGAGGGTTCGTGCCAGTGCATCGCTTTGCTCGTCGTTCGACAGGATATCGAGTCCGCTTGGGCCGACGCTCTGCTTTAGCGCAAACGACTCGCGGTCATACGACGAAGCCATCGTCTGGATCCAGTCGGCCATCTCCACCAGGCTGATCTGCAGTGGACCGGCCGCCGAGTCTTCGGGCCCCAAGAGCGGGGTCGACGATCGAATCCGGTCCAGTGCGCCCTGCTTGAGCCTGTTCATTTCTCGAACGACCTGGCCGATCTCCTCGAGGTCGGCTTGCAACGTCTTGACAGACCTTTCGATCGCGGCCGTTTGCTTCAGTCCAAGCCGCTGGACCAGATCCGGGATCTGGGACAGTATCAATGGGGTATCGGCTCCGAATATTGGGTGGGCGGCGTTCCGGTGAGGATCGTTGAGTTCCGGGAGATACGACAGCGTCATCTGGCGCTGCTCCACGAGGTTCTGGATATTCTGGAGAACCGAGACCGAGTGCGAATGTGCCTGATGCCACTGGAGCGACAGCTTGTCGAAGCGATCATGCCACTGCAGGACCAGCGCCGACGCACTCATCTCCACTGGGTCAGAGAAAACAGAGCGGCAACTGCGGAGCGGGGTGTTGAGAGCGGTTGGGTGCTCTTGACGGCGACGATGCCGTGCAGATCGAGCGAGAAGTGCGGTCGCCTGTGGGTCCGTTCACACGAGTGTCTTGATTGTGGATGTGCTGGCCGCGCCGAGGATTGAGGCAGAAATCGAGGATGTGATGGATATGTGCATGTTCCCACGCATATCAAGCAATGGAAGCAGGGTATACTGTTTCATTTTGCAAACTCTGCAGACTCTCTGACCGCTTGGTCGGTACACTCGACCCTGCTTGCCTGCCGCCGACCCACAGGCCGATGTCGCCCCCACCCTCTTCCCATCTCCCGGGCTCGTGGGTGAATCGAGACAATCAAGACACCACCCTGAGCTCCTCCAAGTACTGCCGCGCCTTGTGGAAGGTCTTGTCGACCTTGGTTTTTTGGCCCCCTGCTCGCCAGATCGCTGCCTTGGAGGACTTCACACGGATGCCTGGCGCCGTTTCGGTAACGAGGTTAAAGGGCGTCGGCGAAGCCACCACCGGCATCTGGATCTTGAACCGACCCTTTTTGCGGCTGAGGTGCAGGCCATCGAGACTGTCGAGCACCTGCTGGGGAAGCACAGCCTGCGGAAGCTCATCCGGTCTCTCGGCAGAGGCTGCAGGACTCGGCACCGCCTTTAGATCTGATGCCACGAGTCCGACAGGCGAGATGCCAAAGAGTGTCGGTGGGGCCGTCGATGCTCTCGGTGCTTGGTGAGAAACGTCTTTCCACTCGTCGATCTCATCCGTGTGGTCGTTTGCAGGTGTCGACGAGCGCAAGGACACACTCACTCGCTTCGGGCGATGCTTGGTGGTCGGGGCCGATGCTGAAACATGCGACATTGCGACAGAGAATCCGCTGACAGCATCTGGAGCGTTGTCTGAGACCCGAATGGCGATCGGGGGCACGCTGGGAGGCGGTGGGCACTGTGGGAACGGATCCGGTGATAGTGGGGGCTGCAACGAAGACAGTGCGATTGGAACTGTCATGGGCCGAGCCGCAATGTTGGGTGGGGGTGATGGCGAAGTTGGAGGCGGCTGCCGGGCCGAGGTGCTTCTGGCCCGACGCTTCTGCGTGATGGGAGCCAGAGCATTGAGAAGGTACTGTCGTTTGTAGGACTCCAGTCCACGCTCCCTTTGATCCTCCAGCCGCTTTCGTTCGATCCGCTCGATCTTGTGGAGGATCTTTTCAAACTTCCATCGCCACCGCTCCGATGCGCGCTGCTCCTCGGCCAGAACATCCAGGCATTCGTAGAAGGCGCTGGTCATCTCGGTGAACTGATTGTGGATCACCCGGATGTACTCCTCCGTCGTGGTTGTCGCCAGGAGCTCCTGCGTTTGCTTGGCAATGACCAAAGCAAGATGGTGTGTCTGGTCCGAGGTGCTCTGGATGAGCTGCAGGAACCTTGTAGACCGATAGCCCGGGGCCTCTTGCTGGTATGGCGACCTCGAGACGCCGTGATAGGGGTTGCTGCAGATGGATGATGGAGGCGATGGCGGTGAGCGCATTGTGACAAGCGACCTCGATCAGGCCTCCAAGACCTTGGAACAGCGCTCTGCCGACGGCATCTACACACTCAATGGTCATGTTTGCACTGGCAGGGGAGCACCTCCCGCATTCCAACCGATGACGAGCTTCGGCAAGCTTGGCCGACCCGCTCCTGTCGGGCTTACCCCATCTGGCTTATATCCTTCGCCACTTGATGAACAAAGCCGACGCCCAGAGTCGTCGGGTGGTCGTACTGCTTCTTGGTCGAGATCATCCGGGCTGCCTCGACGAGCATCTCGCGGGTTATCTTTGTGGGCGTCTCGCCGTCATCTGCGCAAGAGTACCCGTGGTATTTGTGACGATAGCTCGATCAGTAAACCGGATATCGCCCTGAATCACCAGGCTCAGGCATACCTGTTCGCGCAAATGGATCTGGCACAGAGATCTCGGGCTCTGTGGAATCGGCCGCCTGTTTCTCTTTCTCGATCTTTTGCTGCAGTCTTGCGGTATGCTCCTGCTTCTGTGCCAGGGCTCGTTGCTTGAGCTCCAGCTCCAGCTCCTCCTTGGTGACGTCGAGCTCCAGCTCATCCAGGAGGCCCGAGAGTCCAGTTTCCTGGTCGTTGCCTTTGCCCTCGAGCGCTGCCGCCGATGGTGTCGACAGCCGGCCTGGTCGCCGCAGACCAAGCAGTCCGTTTGTGACGTCGCCCAGAACCGCACTGACTCCAACGGGGCCGTTCTTGCGCAGGTTCTCACATTCGCTGGCCAGCTGCTCCTTCTCCTTCGAGAGCTGGCCAACCTTGCCGGTGAGGTCCTCGATTGACTTTTTAAATCGGTCGATGCGACGGCCCAGCTCCGTGATGATGTGGTTCTGGGTCCGGATCTTGACCTGGAGGATCTTGAAATCGGCCGCCGTCGGGCTGCTGCCGTCGGTCGGCACAAAGTCGGTCTCGGGCGAGAGCGGCGTGTGCGAGGTCGGAAAGACTTCGAGCTTCTCCAGGACTCGGTCCAGCAGGTCAACTAGATCTAGCATCTCGAAGCTCGGCAGTGCCTCTGCCGATGCCCTCTGCGGGATGACGTTTCGCTCGGCCATGGCGCTGAGGGTACGCTGGACGACCTCCTTGACTGGAGGTTTGTTTTCGTCTTTGCGCTGGTCCGCCATGGACCGAAACGACGACTGGTCGGAATTCGATGGGAGTCGGCCGAATGCATTGTTGCGGGAGGGCCGTGAGATCACCGCAGGCGAAACAGGCCGCTCCTCCTTGGGCGGGGCTGGCTCTGTCGGCGACGGCGTCTCTTTCCTTTCCGCATAGGGAGTCATGGTCAGGAAGGTCTCCGTAGGCCGCCTCCGGTACCGCCCGGGAGCAGATGCCGGTGTGCCCAGGCGTGGGACGCCGCTGGGCTCCTCGACAATAGGCTCGTTGTCGGAGCGAATGTGCTCAAGATCTCCTGGGCCTTCGCTTTGCCGCCGGGCCGCTATCGAGGAGCGAGAGCCCTCCTTGGAGTCGTTCCGGTGGACGCCCCACTCGGAGCCTGACTCGCTGTCGTCGTCATCGAAATCGAGAATGTCCTTGACAGATTCGGCCATGGGAGAAATACGAGCCACACCTGAGTGATGCTAAGCAGGGCTTGAAAGAATGACACCGACAGGTGTGTGTGTGCTGCTATGTAATGTCGACGAGATGCTGTTGGCACTTGGAGATATATTCGTGGCCAAGGACAGGAAGGCTGCGCCGAAGGGATGTCAGGTTGCGACGCCTAACGCAGATACGGTTCTGTTTGTGCGCCATCGTAAGTACAATTGATCACTCCGAGTGCATGGTTGTGCATGGGTGTGTGTCGGCATGCATCGCTGTGCGTTGCGATGAGTGCCACTGTCTCGTTCGAAGCCATCACACATCGCACGGCGTTGCACTCACCGTGGGAACAGAGTGCGGGTGAGCGAGCAGAGCCGGGCGGCTGAGAAATGAGGGTTGTGCTCCGCTGGCCTTGATGTATGTGTGTGTTTGTGACGAGCGGCGCTGTTCGCTCCTGGGTTGCCCAAGACAATGCCGGTATTTGGTTTGTTTACGGACGGAGGGGGCTGGCCGGGTGGTTGCTATCGACTAGGGCTGGGTGGAGAGGGAGGGAAGGGATGGGGAGGTGGGAACGGCAATGACGAACTCGCCTCGCTGCAACGCCGGTGTGGATGTCATATCTGGGTGCCACAGCCGAATCAGCGAAGTTTCCTGTGTCCCGTGCTTGCTTGCGGCCCTGTCGACGGCTTCCAGAGAGAGACTCTGATTCACATGGCTGGCTTCCGGCAACGAAGATGGATTTCCGTCGGCTGCAACAGCAACGTGTCGCTGTCTGCGAGATGAGTGCGGGGGAGTGTATGTTCCATTGATTTGTCGAGCGCCGATACAGCGCATTGAACTGACAATGGGACACATCATCTCGTGTGCAAGGGGGGAGGTACTCTGTGCAGCCAGCGTATCATATTTCAAAGTAGCAGGCCAAAGCCCAAAGCAGGATACAGGGGAGGAATGATCGATGTCGATGAGACCGCCGACCGCAGACAGGCCCACGCGGTTGTCAGTAGCCAGGGTAATGCAGCAGCGGCCACAGCTCCGAGATAGATGCAGGCAGATTGGCAAAGGACGCCGGATCCGATGTCTGGGTGGCCCGTTGGGCTACGCAAAGGTTTCGACTACAATTGTGCTGGAATGGTCAGACATCACGCGGCGGTGGCTCGCCGGGAGTGCCTTGGGTCTCGATCAGACAACAGCGGGAGGTTGCGACTTGATGGTCCGGCCGACTGAATCTATGACAGCGGCTGGGGACGCGGAGACGGCGTACGGGGAACCGAGATGTCGACGGGTTGATCGCCTTGGGGGCGTGAGAGCTGGGCAAAGATCTCGTCGAGATCGACATCCTTGCCTTCGTGAGCGTCCTCTCGCTTGAGGGTGTTCTTTGCCGACTGGCGCTTTCCGCGCGGCCGAGCCGGCACCGGGGCATCGCTCGAAGGGGCACTGGCCTCAGAGCTGACGAGATCCTGGTCCTTTTGGCTCGGGTCTTGTGTCTTTTGGACTTTGCCCCGCCAGTTCTGTCTCTGGTTCTGGAACCACACCTGCACCGCCTTGGGCTCCATATCGAGCTTGGCCGCCAGTGCCTCACGAGTAGCCGCGCTTGGATAGAAGGCCCTCTCGAAGACCATGTTGAGGACGTCCAGCTGAAACTTGTTGAGCCGGTGACGCTTGGGTTTGCTATCGTGATGGTGCGAGTGGAACACAATGTTCTGGAGGGCACGGGAAGCAGGCCCCCGCTGCGACGTCGGGTTGGCGTTCTTGTCTGGAGAGAATTTCGGCGAGATGGACTCGTTGACAAACTTGAAGGACTCTCGCTGGAAGGGCTCGCGCATCGGCCGTGGCAGCGGCAGGGGCATGCCGAGGCCTTCGTGCCGGATAGATGGGCTTACCAACGATCCAGGGTCGGCACTCGTGGGCTGAGGCGAGACGGAAAGGGCGGCAGGAGCTTGATGGGTATGGTGCGTTTCGTGGTGAGGGCGGCTCGGCGGCTCGCTCGCTTGGGACGAGACCTGGCGCACATGGCCGGGGGAGACAGGCGTAAGCATCAGCATCGGATTCTGTTGCCGCTTCCGGGTAGGCGTGTGGAAAGGGTCGGGAACTTGGCTCTGGTTATGGTTTGGGCTGGAGCGAAGGTGATGGTTCGGCGAGATGGCTTGGCTTGCTGACCGTCTGGGCGACACATCGCCCGACGAGCGAGGTGTCAGCGGCCGCTGAGCGCATTGCGGGGGCGGGAGAGTGGCTATTTGAATGAGTGCGGTTGCTGCGATGGCCTCGGAGGCCGAGTGTTTTGTATTTGGCGCATCCGTAGCGTTCATGACCGGCTTGACAAGGGTGTGGGTCTCTGGAAAGTTGCGGATGGTCGGGGTCGATGAGAGTCAGCAGCCGCGGGTACAAGTCGAGATGCGCAAAATGACATCAGATAAGGAGCAGCAATCTGGAAATGTGTTGGTTCGGCGACGACGAATGCTTCAGAGCACAGAGCATTATCGAGCCGTTGCCGAGCGCAATTCCAAGACATCGAGAGATGGGGACGGTGCCGCAGCGGCGAATTGCGGAGGAAACCAAACTCGTTGGGCAAGCCCTCCCGACCACCAGCCGCCAGGACCTGTGGCATTGATTCCATTCCAGCTGTTGTCGCCGGCTCCCACGGTCTGCACAGACGGCATCGGGTGCGAATCCCTGCCGCTCTCCTCCCGCCTCGCATTCGTGCCTGCTGGACTACACATTACCATGGCCGAGGTCAGTCTTTTGTTTCTTTGGGATCCTCGACAGGTCGGATGCCGGTGCAGCCAGAGGCGGCGATGAATGCGAAGCCCAGCTCCGTTCGTCGTGGTCTGATATGATGGTGTGCTTCAGGACGGGGCTGCTGTGACGCATATTGGAATGCCTTTTGGAATCCTGCTCGTCTCGAGAGCGACACAGCGTGTCATAGAACGGATTCACAGACCGCTCGTGCCGATGATGCCGAGCCGAGGAGCCGTCCAGGAAGGGATTTGTGTTGTCCATCGCTGGGAAGGGGCAAAGAAGTCGCAGGACCTTGCCTCAGAGAATCTGGGGAGGCAGGGAGCAACGCAGACACAGACCCAAGGTGGGCGAGGAGCGGCACGACAGGATTGGGGTTAGCCTCGGACCACTGTTTTGCTGCATGTACGTTGGGGGAAATGCGTCTGCGACTGCTATCTTGGACGAACGGAATAGCGGATGGGTGATTTGGGTTCGGGCTTTCGCAAAGCGGCTGCTGAGTGGGGCCACACCCCGCCAGCGACACCAAGCCCGCACCAGAACCCAGTGCAAGCAGGTGTGTGATGCTTACCGAGCCTGCGTCGATGCAGCCAACAGAGCGGTTTCGCTGCCTCGCTTGCCTGCCCGGTGTTGATAAGTTTTGCGCTGAGCAGATGGAAAGCGGTGCTTGGAAATCAATCGGCAGCGCGGCGAATCGATTTGGGAGCGTGCGTCTCGTGATTTTTTTTTTTTGGGCGAATGCCAGCCTGGGAGTGGCCAATCGCCGGCCCAGTCCGGTGCGACGGATGCATCGCTGGGATTCGATTGATTCTTGACTGTCGATGCCATCGGTTGATGTGGCAAGCCTGGCTCTCGAAGACGGGCCGCCGCAAGGGCAGAGGAGGTTGGCCAGGCTCAGTGCTGCTGCCGCAGACTCGCAGGTCGCTGAGGGACACTCGGGGGCACACACCATCTCGCTTCGTTCCGAACAAGCTGTACAGTATATGTATGTGTCTATCAGATACATGCAGGCGGACCACGGAGACGCAGCGACAAAATTGGCATAACGACAGACGGCTCGTTTTGTGGATGGTGCCTCGATGATCGAATGTGCCGCCTGGCCCTCGGACGACAATGGCCGGTGCGTTGCAGCGGCATGTGGGCCAAGCGGCGACATCAAGGGATCCATCGCTGAGATGGTGGGCGGTAGGGACGACAAGAATGATGGTGGGAATATAGACAGAGTACTGTCTCGGAGCCAAAAAAAAAAGGAAATACAAAGCAGTCCAATCCGGTCCAGTCCAGTCCAGTCTACAACCCCGCGAGCAAGGGTTCGCTGTTGGTCCCGATACTCGAAGCTACGCACGGGCTGTTGGTGAACACGGCTGTATCGTTTGGTTTGGCTACCAGCCTATTGGGATGTTGATGGCGATTGCATCGGCGATTGTGCCGTATCGGTTGCGCTGGGTCAGGTACAGCGTTATCCAGACCAGGAGAATGACCAGCCAGACGATCGAGCCCGCGAGCGACATCCATACATCTGACAGCAGACAGCAGGGAGGAGAATGGTGGGGGTTGGTCGGTCAGCGCCGGAGCATGCATCTCGATCCACTCTGGGTGGGAGAGAGGGCAAGGACAAGACGGTCGACAATGGAGGGAATTGCGTCGCAGGCAAGCAGCCAGGCAAGCAGCCTGACCAGGCAAGAAATCAGGCAACGAGCGACACAGCCAGGACGAGGCGTCTGGATAGAGTGAAATGCCGCCCTTCTGCGACGAATGCCGGGTCTGCCAGAGGACACCGATTCGCCGACGATGAGTATGGGTGGTCGCTGCTCAGTCCCGTTCCTTCGACTTACATCGGACGATTTGCCGATCGAGCGAGGGCCGCTTTCGGATGATGGGAAAGATGTACAGGAAGTTGATCAGCCAGAGCCACGGCAGAAAGGCCAGGCCGACAAAGAAATAGGTCCGGGCGATCTTGAGGATCTCGGGATCCTTCATTTTGTCGATTTTGACCATGGCCGCTTGAACGGAACTGGGCTGGATTGCGGGATTGGCAGTGGATTGGGCTGGATTGGTGGTGGGCGTGAGGGGCGACGAGACAGCAGGAGCGGCTGGAAAGAGCGGGCAAAGGAGAGCAGGCCGGGCAGCCAGAGTGCGGCAGCAGACGAGGGCCAGAGTGTGGGTGTGCGGTGGCCGGCCACAGACAGCCAGAGCGCGGCTGGCCACTGCGCATTGGGCTTGGACGACTGTGCGCGGCGACAGGCGCCACCGGACTCGGTCGCAAGGCCGGCTGTGTCCTTTGGGCCAAAGTACATCCGGCCAGTTCATTACTGCCAAATGAGCCGCCCCACTCTGGAAATCGAACGCTCCAGCACCTTGCTGCCGAGTGCGGCACGCAGTGACTGTTGCGGACGTGGTATGAGCGTTGTGGGTATGTTTGCTGACGAGAGCAGCGCTGCAAAGCGACGCCAAACAACGAAGCGATAATGGCCAAGCTCCAACAACAACGACAACAACAACTCCAACAACAACAACAACTCCAACAACAACATCAACAACGACAACAACATCAACAACGACAACAACATCAACATCATCATCAACAACGATAGAGTTCGCACGCACCCCCGGTGTGCCTGCCGGGCAATCTGCGGCCCGGCAGGGCGACGGCCATGCCATCCCATGCGCTCTGCATCGTGGTTGTTCTTGCGTTGTTGCTCTCGCCTGTCCCAGCCAGCCCGTCTCCCTGTCCCTGTCCCATCGCCGTCCCATCGCCGTCCCATCGCCATCGCCCACTAACCACCGCAACCGGGGCAAGTGCGGCCACAGCACCGGTCTTGTGAGCAGATGTTGCAATCGCCCGGCGCAAATGGCCCCCCGCCAGGCGCACAAAAGCCCCTTTCGTGCCGGCCACAAGACCACTTTCCTCTCCACCAACAAGGCCGATGGTCTCTCCACCCACCGCCTGGCCCTTCAGCGCCGTTGCTCTCCTGCTGCCATCAAATTTGTAACCACTTGGATCGGCTCGGACAGCCGCCTCGCTCCAACTGCGACCGCCCCCCCGAGTCTTCTTTGCCTGCTCGATCTCGACCCCCGACCTTCCTCGCGCCCGCATCCCGACGCAGGCCGTCCTGCTCCTCGTCCCGTCGCTGTTGTGTAAACATTGTGCCTGTGCCGGGGCCCTCGATCGCCAGCACCAGCATCAGCTCCAGCCACAGCCCAGTGCTCCTTGCACACCAATCATAACCTTGTCGGGCGTCGCTGCTCCTCGCCTCCCCGAAACGTCCTTGCCTTTCCTTCTGCCAGCTACAGCCCAGCTCCAGCTCCAGCTCCAGCACCGACATCGCCCTCAAGCATCGCCTTTGGCATTATCCGCTCGCCGGAGGTCGCTCCGCTGCCTCGGCCCTGATTCCTTGCCCTCTCCTTTTGCCCATTCAGGACTTTCCCTCGACGGCTCCATCAAGGTCGCCTGCACAGGCTCCTGATTCCGATCCCGTCCCCGAACCCGCACTCCCGAGCCGAAATAGCACCGGTCGGCTGCTCGCTCCCGGCCTGTTCGGCACCGCCCTGTCCGCTCTCGACGCTGTTCTGCTGTTCTTTCGGCATCCGCAACGCTAGTTCACTGGCTGCTCCTATCCGGCTGCTTCTCTCCAGCCTCTGACCAACTCGGCCGTCGTTCCCGCCACCTGCTCCAGCGACCTGGTCCTGCATCGACCACCCGTCTCCACAATCTGGACAGACAGCGAAACCAACTGCCGATCTCGCGAGTAATCCCGAGTGTCCCTCGCCTCCCCAGCTTCGGCTCTTGTGCCTTCAGTCCCCGGCCCTCCCCCTCTCCTCCCCGACGCCAGCGGCGATCCTCATCATGGGCTCCCGCGCACGACTGCCGTCCTTTGCCGACCTCGACTCGAGCATCTCCTTTCACCGTCGCCAGCGACTGCACAGCGCATCGGCTTCTGAATCCTCGTCGCCCTACCACTATCCCCTTGTCAGCTCAGCGCCACGGCTATCGAGTGCACCTCGCTCCTATGATCGCTCCTACGACATTGCCTCGAGGCGTCCGCTCGTCATGACCGCCCCGCTGTATCCGCATTCAGCCTCGGATCGATCCTCGCAATCGCTGGGTGGCCGGCTCTCGACCCCGGGCACCAGCGAAGGCCGATACAACCCATCACCACCCGGCTCGATCCGAAACTTTGAATACGCCTCTGGGGCTTCTCACCAACCGCTTGCACCATCTATGCCGGTTGAACCTCCCCGTGCTCCTGCATCCTCGTTGTCGGCCTACGGCGAGGCAGCTACGCCGTCCAAAAAGTCTCATCCCTCAGATCCAGCATCGTACCCGCCGTCGCTGTCGGCGCCATCGCCTGCTCCGCAACCGCAACCACAATCCTATCCAACGCCTTCGCCTGTATCGCAACCAGGCCGCCCGGGCTACCACATCTCGTCCCAGTCCAACCCACGCACCGAGGCTGGCCCTGCGTCTGCTTGGTCTCACGGCGACCTACTGCCCTCGGGCCGACCGCTCTCGGACCCGGGGGTTGGGCCATCGTCGCTGAGCCAAGCCATGTCGATCCGCCAACAGCCCGAACTGCTGCCGCATCAGGCTTACTCCTTGGATCGCTCTGTGTCCAGCCACAGCCGCCAACCGAATATACATTCCGCAGACCCAAAAGACTTGTCTTGGACTGATGCTCGGTATGTTGTCACTGAACCCGTGCCGCAAGAGTATGCAGCAGCGTTGTGCAGCATGCGTGGGCTGTGCAGATCCTTCCCGCGGATGCGCACGCCGAGCTGATTAGGACGAGCGGATTCGGCCGAGTACTGCATGTCTGAGCGCTCTCGACGGTCTTGCACCAATGCAGTCTTGCTCGTGTATGGGCCGCATATAAGCTAATTTCCCTTTTCTTGTTACCCCTGTTCACCAAACTCGCCGCTGGTGCATCGATTCGCACGGCAATCTGGACCTGACCGACAGGCTCCATCCAAATCGACATCAGGCGGACGACCATCGGCCAATGATGGGCCAGCCCGCTCACCACTCCGGCGCTCCCGATCAACCCATGGCTCACCACCATCCGATTCACCATCCGGTTCACCATCCGCTTCCGCACCACCTTGCACCGCAGCACCACCCACATCATCACCCACAGCAGCCGCAGCAACTGCAGCAACCGCAGCCATCCTATCCTCCTCCGCAGCAACATTCTCTGGTGCATCACCGAGCGGCGCTGCACTATCCACAGCACAACCCCCAGTTGAGCTCAGCCGCACCATCCCATCCAGACGTCTACCCCGGTGGCTACGATGCCCACTTGGCATATCCACCGCTGGTGGCCGACGAACCGAGCCAGCACGCTGCTGACTATCCCAGCCTGGACAATCGCAAGAAGCGGCGTCGTGTCAATCCCGAGCAACTCGCTATTCTGAGTGCCACCTTCGAGCGGACACACTTCCCATCCACCAACGAGCGGCTCGAGCTTGCTCGGCGATGCGACATGACCCCACGGGCTGTCCAGATTTGGTTCCAGAACCGGCGCCAGGGATGGAAGGCCCGCAACCGCAATGCCGCACAGGAGAATGCGTCCAAACCCACCGACAGCAAGGATCCGGCGGCCAGTACTACGATCTATCCGGAAACATCGTCGCCTCATTCGACAGACTGCATCAATTCGAACGCCTCGGACTCACCACAGCCGGTGCCGTAGAAGTGCACCTAGTGCAACCTGTGCCGATGAGACTGACGAGCGACACACACTGGTGTGCCTCGACCAAGCTTGCCTCGGCGTGGCCGACGATGGCTTCACACCAAGAGTTACCCTCCTCCCTCAGCTACTCACAGTGACTCCTGCACACGTATCCCGCCCACAGCTGTGATTTAGCCCAGCATGGCGTCTCTGCTCTCTGATTCTTTGCTCCTTGCTATTCCCCGCAGCCCCCGTCTGCTCAGCTCAGCTCAGCTCTGGCTTAGCTCTGCTGCTTGCGTGCTGCATTATTCGTCCTGCCGCGATTCCCGAGTCCCCGTCTCGTGCGATGTCCAAGTTTTCCTGCCCAGCTTCATCGCCTCCCCCCCTCTCGCACAACTTTTACTTCTTTTTTCTTTTTTTTTTCTTTTTTGTCTGTTTGACTGATTGCGGACCGCCGACCCTGCTCGGAAAGGACCGACTATTTATCCGCGCTCTATGACCGATCCTGCCCAATGGCCCCTGGCTCGGCTTCGATCGACCGGAATGACCTTACTTTATAGTTCCCGCTCAAGAAAAGAAACATTTGCTACTAATGAACAGATTACTAATATATCGTCTATGAATAGAGTACTTTGAAAGCAAAGACCGAAAGGTGGAAAAGAAAAGGAAAGAGAAAAGACAATAACCCAGAACAAAAAATGAAGGATGGATCCAAGTTTTACGGTCCGAGCTGGTTCGGCACGACTGTTTCCGAATCGAGGCGTCGGACTGCTGGACATGAGCACGGTTTCCTGGGATTGCCGTGGTGCCGGCGGATATATTACGGCAACCAGAGCAAGTACATGCAGATCGCAGATGTGAGCGAGGCTGGGTGATCCGGAGGTCCAGGAGAGGACGAGGCGCCGCCGGCTTGGTTTCTGTTACTGGCGATCTCGCCTGGATCAGCGCCGTCGTCGTCGTCGTCGTTGTCGATAAAGTCGTGGACCAGCAGCGGATGGACCAGCCGGACCATCCGAAACCCAATCTCCAGAATGGACTTGACAAAGAGCTGGTGGACCAGGTCCGATCGCAGCTCCTGCGCGACTATGGCGATTGTTCTCGAGCGGTCGGTGGGCGGAAAGCTCGAGTCTGGAGCCGGGGCAGATGTCGACGCCGGGTTGAGGTTCGCCTTCGAGTCCGGGCTGCGACGACCAAGAGTGTCCCGGATCCGGTCCGATAGCATGCAGGCCTGATGCAGCGTGAACACCAACTTGGGGACAACGAATTCGTTGTAGACGCAGTCGGTCGCAATGATGTAGTCGAGACCAAAGATACTCTCGGATTCGGTGTGTCGGGGCGGGTTCAGGGCCGAAATCGATCTGAATCCATCGGGCTCGCCCCAAGCCCACTCCACAATCTCGAGACGGCTGCTCTCCGCGGACACGATGGAGGGATGGTTCATGGCGACGTTCTTTTGGAGGAGGCGGAGCAGATGGGACTGGTCGGTCAGGGTCAGATGCCCGATGGGCTGGTGCAGTAGGAAGGATCCGAGCAGCCCGGCCCCGGAGCCGAGTTCGAGGATCCTGGCAGGCGAGGCCGCATTGCGGGAACGAGTGCGTAAACGAATAAACGCATGAATGACGAGATGGATGGTGGAAAGAGCATAGAACGAGACAAAGTGAGCGATGGATGCCAATGCGAAGTGTGCAATCGCACGTTGATCCAGTCGATGCTCTGGCAGCGAGGGTGGTCAGGACGAATCGATCGTCGATTGCAGCCGGGGATACGATCGAGCTAAAGTACCCAAGCAATAGTACCCAAGCCCGCAACCCTTACCTCGCGCCCGACAGCGAGATGGCGGGGACTTGCTTGCTCTGAAGCAGCTCAACCAGCACCACCGAGGCATCCCACACCACCGACCCAGTCACGCCCTTGGTCGAGAGCAGCGACAGGTCCTGACGGACCGAGATCGAGCCGAGATCAAAGACCGAGCTGCGCTGGTCGACGTGCGCATTGTGGGACCAGCTGTTCATGTGCGTGTAGAGACAAAATATTTCTTCGTCTGGATCGGTGACGGCGACCATCTGGGCCGTGCACGGCCGCTGGTGTGCTGTGGCAGCCAGCGACGACGACAGCGATGCAGACAGGGGCGGAGACGATGGGTGGGCCAGAGCGTTGCGGGCGGCTCTGTCGTCGTGAGAGGTGTCTGATGGCCCATCTCGCTTGCGATGCGAGCCCGTCTTTTTCTTCCCTGTCATGGTACGGTTGCTGCGATGAAGTGGTGGGGTCTCATGGGCGAGGGAGTGTGGTGGCAAGCAGAGGAACAAGTCGCCGTGAGAACCGGTGGCTTGCTTGTGCTTTCTTCGTTTCGCTTTCTTCGTTTCGCCTTCCTCTTTCCCCTTGCCTCTGTTCTCTTGCCTCTGTTCTCTTGCCACCTGCCTTTTCGGGCTTCCGCCCCTTTGGCTTTGTCGCCCTGACTCACCCAAAAGCGCTGCTGTCTCCTGTCGCCAGGCTTTTGCGTGCATCTCTCTGGTCGCCCAGTCCAGCTCAGCTCAGCCCGGCCCAGCCCAGCCCCTGCTCGCCTTCTGCAGTCCAATCTCGTACCCTCGCTCACCATGTCTGACCTTATCAGGATCGCTGGAGTCGTCGCTGTTGCTACCGCCGTCTGCATCGGCGTACAGGCCCGAACTGAGGTGACCTTCACCGTCGCTGGTGTTGCCCTCGGTCTCGGCGTCCTGATCTCGATGCTCAAGGACATTGGCGGTAAGGATCGTTCGACGGTATCGCCTGTGGCGACTGCAATTCGAGTCCGCTGTCGCTCGTGTCGATCGCACGATACCGCAGTGGCCGGTCTCGCCCTCGGGAGCTGTGTATGGTTGGATCTTGCCCTGCCCGCCTCGACCATCGAATCGGATACGGGTCTCCCAGTGCATTGATCCGAATCCCATGCCAAACTCGTCCCTCCTCCCTCATGCCCGATTGCCTCGACCTGGTCGCTGCTTTCACCAGATGTCCCTGTTAAGAAGGCGCTGACCTCTATCAAGGAATTCAAGAAGTTCCCCTTGATCGAGCGGCTCGATGTCTCGCCCAACACCGCCATGTAAGGAGCAGCATTTGCGATTGACGGCGCTGCCCATGCGGCGGTCGCTTGATCGCCACCCAAAGGAGGTTGCGCCGTGTCCTGTCGATGCTCTGGTCATGGTAGCATCTCTAGCCATCTCGGCCAACTCGCTAATATCAGTGATCCTGCTTTCGGCATCCCTCCTCTGGAATGAATCTGGTGCGCTCCCAGCTACCGCTTCAAACTGCCCACCCCTACCCACTGCCTGGGTCTGCCCATTGGCCAGGTATGCCGGGTACCAACCCGTTCGCTCTCGGTCTGCAGAGAATTGTTAATCATCAAATCGCAGCCGTGCAAGTGCTGATTCGATTGTCCACCGTCGTCCCGCAGCACATCTCCATCCGTGCCGATATCGATGGCAAGACGGTCACCCGCAGCTACACCCCCATTTCTTCTGACAGCGATCTCGGCCACTTTGACCTGCTCATCAAGGTATGTGCCTCCCTCTGTGTCCGCCGTCACGATTGACGTCACTGCTTGGGCAAATGTCAGAGGCAATACTCGTCCGCATTGGACTCTCCCTATCTCAAAGCCGAGCTGAGAGCCACCCCGCTCGCGATCTTGGCCACATTGACGACCACTCACACGAGCCTCGCACGCCCTCCTATCTCCAGACCTACCCCAACGGCAATATCTCCAAGTACGTCTCCGAGCTCGAGATTGGCGACTCGATCGAGGTTGCTGGCCCCAAGGGTTTCTTCAACTACACCCCCAACATGGTCAAGTCCTTTGGCATGGTAAGCTTCCACCATGGATTGGCGTCATTGTCCTGTTTGTCGCTGCATTGATCAATAACTAACACAACCCTTCTTCGGGGCTGCTTTGTCGCTCCCCGCCTTGCCTCCGTCCAGATCGCTGGTGGAACCGGTTAGTTGAGCAGATCTTGCCCCGTCCTTGAGCGGCTCCATTTTGTCCGGGATCGGCACATCCTCGAACGCTGGCTTATCGTTTTCGTCTCTATCAAGGCATCACTCCCATGTACCAGATCATCAAGGCCATCTTCGCCAACCCCAAGGACAAGACCGACGTCTATCTGATCTACGCCAACGTCAGCGTCGAGGACATCCTTCTCAAGCAGGAGCTTGATGAGCTGGCCGAGAAGCACGCAAACTTCCATCTCCACTATGTCCTCAACAACGTGAGTGGTGTACTGTTGACGACTCACACCCTGTCAATGTCTGCAGCGCTGCGTGCCCAGCGGGCGTACTGATGGGGGTATGTATTTCTGCTCTCGCTTCGATTCCAGCCTCCTGCCAACTGGACTGGCTCGACTGGATTCGTGACCAAGGATATCATCGCCAAGCACTGCCCCAAGTACGCCGACGACGTGAAGGTTCTCCTCTGCGGCCCTCCTCCCATGGTAAGAATCACTGGATCGGCTTTGGCTCTGCGCTTGCACGGCTGGCCGGTGTTGTCCATCGCGGCACACGTTGGCGATGCGTGCTGGCAAAGACCTGCTGGTCATGATACCATGTTCGCTCCTTTTGTTTTCAGATCAAGGCTCTGCAGACTGCCACCGAGGAGTTGGGCTTCCCCGCCGTGAGTAAACTTGCTATGCAGACCGATGGATGTCGAGAGCCCTCGCCGATGCAGCTGGGGAGCAATGCCGGCAGCTCTATGATGCCCGCGCCGACCGCTTATCTATATGACGTCTTGTCCGTCCCGTCAATGACAGGCCAACGCCATCTCCAAGACCCCGGATGCCGTCTTCAAGTTCTAAGGCCCCGTCGTGAATTGTGCCTCATTGTGCATTCGCACTCACTACCTCCCCTCGCTCCCTTGGGAGCCAATTGTTCACTCGATATTTGTCGAGTCGCGCGGTAATGCCAATACAGTCATTCCAAAGATTAAAATCCCGGGACGGCGACTCTTTTCTCTAGCATCAGAGGCCCCCCGGTGGGCAGGCCGTGCGATGGTTTCCAGCGCTTGGAAGGTTGTGTCATCCTCCAGTCGACGACACAGCCGCTCCCACGACGGATCCGAGCATCCGTTCTCTCACAAACCATGCATTGCACCCATCAGTCGTGCCCCACAAACACAGCCAGGCTTCCAGGCGTCTCTTATGTATTGACAGGAGAGTTCACAGGGAGTGCGGATGAAATAACTTAAGCCTCCCATCCAGAGTTGGCGGGAGCAGAGGCACCCCACTCAGCGGGCTCATCGGCAGCCCACTCACCCTCAACGGCGCCGTAGGCGGGCTCGGTGGCGGTGGCCTCGAGCTCAGGGGCAGCCTCAGTAGCCTCCTTGAGCTCCTTGGCAGCCTCGGCCTCCTTCTCGGCCTCATCAGCCTCGCGGAAGAAGAACATATCGACCATGACAGACCAGGCCGAGTCGCGGGGGAGGGCACCGCGGATGCGGAGGACCTCACGGGCGAGGAGCCAGTAGGCAAGACCGATGGCGTGCTTGCCCTTGTTGTTGGTGGGGATGGCAACGTCGACGTGCTTGAGGGGAGAGTCAGAGTCGCAGAGGGCAATGACGGGGATGTTGACGTAGGAGGCTTCCTTGACGGCTTGCTGATCGGTGCGGGGGTCGGTGACGATGATCAGGCGAGGCTCACGGAAGGAGCGGGTGATGTAGTTGGTGAAGGTACCGGGGGTGAAGCGGCCGGCGATGGCCTGGGCACCAGTGTACTGGGCGAACTTCAGAGCGGCACGCTGACCGTAGGGACGAGCAGAGATGACACAAACATCGGCGGGGTTCTCGATGGCGGCGATGATGCGGGCGGCGAAGACAATCTTCTCCCAGGTCTTGCCGATGTTGAGGATGTGGATGCCATCATCACGGCGCTTGAAGACGTAGGGGAGCATGCGCTTCTCGACGTTCTGCGAGTGGGACGATGCGAGTCAGCCACAACAGCTGGCAGGGTTCCTCTGACTGTAGCCAATCGCAGCACAACTGCAGCACAACACTACACACCTTGGTGCCCAGGTGGGACTGTCACGAGCATCGATTCGATTCGATCGGGGTGGGATGTGGTGTCCAAGGGTTAGTTGCGATCGTGTTGGCTCTGACGGAGCTGAGTCGTTCTGACGGGATCTATTCATAGCCACGGCCAGGTCGGTGGGGACTGCGTACCTGAGCGGCAAGGAGCGAGGTGATGTCCTCCTCGGTGGGGGCGAGAGCAGCGGGAACCTTGGACATTTTTATGGAGTGTGTCTCAGACGAATGACCTGTCGGAAGTAAAGGTGACAAACTGGAGTGCCGCCATAATCGAGACCCATGTCAGTGGATCGGGCCAGTGATCGCCATCCGGTCGCCGCCAAGCCCAAGCCCAAGCCCAAGCCCAAGCTCCGATCCGATCGAAGCCGACATCGTGTCCAGCATCCGTCCGTTTCATCCGTTTCATCCGTTTCATCCGTGAACCAGGTCGGATTGCGGCATTGTCGAAACGATCGTGAATGCGGAGCTGCCATTGAAGTGTGCCTCTGGACTGCCGAAGTCGCGAGGTTCGATCGTCAGATGCTCGTACAAAGCAGACGAGATGCATGGAGCTTCCTGGTCGCTGTCTTGGTCGCGGTCTTGGGGGTGCATCGGGCTGGCTCTGTTGAAATCCTCCTGGAATCGCCGTGGTTGGCTCCGCGACACCGTCGATAACAGCTGCCAAGATTATGGAGCTGCGTCGCATGGATGGATAGTCGCATGGATGGACGGACGGACGGACGGATGGACGGATGGATGGATGGATGGATGGATGGACGCATCGGCCGACGCCCCCCTCGATCGCCCAGGCCCTGCCAGTCATGTCGATATTTACTCTGCGGTGTCCAAATTGACAAGAGGAAGGCCAAAGAAGCGCCCAGCCCGCCAGACCCAAATCGACCAGCAAACGCGGGCTGCTAGGGCTAGGGCTGGCCCCGATCGCGTAGGGCTGCGGCGCCCTTGTGTCTGTGAGGCACCGTGAATCAGGAAACCGGGCGGGCTGCCTCTGAAAAATCAAAACCCCCCCACTCGGCAGCCAGCACTCAATCCGCAACTGCATCAAGCACACGCAGACATGGATGCCTCGAAAGCAGACTCTCGGCTGCCAGAGTACTTCCCGCTCAAGCTGAAAAAGTGCACCGAAGTGTCGGAGCAGTTCTTCAGCTGCTACGAAAAGGTGCGGATCTATCTGCGGCAGATGCATCGCCGATCCGATTCGATTGCACACCGCCGATCCGAGTGCGCATGGTCTGATCTCCATACGCCGCAGGCATGCTCACCCGCCGCACCGTCTCCATGCCAACCCGCAGGAGTCCTTCCCGAATGGCGTATGTGTCGCTGTGGATTTGCATTGGCGGCTGTTGATCACATCTTGAGCGCAGCGCCGATTCACGATTGCACTTGAGCCAGGCCATCCACGATCTGCAGGCCGCACATACCCTGACAGCTTGCTCTGCATTTGGCCAACGCTCCTCGCTGTCTCTCCATCCGACAGGATCCTTCTGTGGCCAAGGCGGCGCTGCTCACCTGCCACGAGCAGCTTATTGCCTACAAAGCGTGCATGGACAAGTTCGTCGGACCCAAAGCCCAGTTCAAGCGCTGAGGGCCTGCATACTACCGATAGCCGAATATACGAGGGTTGAAAGCACATCACGCCTCAAGACGTCGCTTGGGGCTCGAGGCTTAGCGTAAAGCTGGCCCCACTTGCTCGGCCAGAGCCGGGTCGCCCAGCCAGTGTGTGATTTGAGATTTGAGCCAGAGCCCTTGACAGCATCGACGCAGCTATTACACCGACATTCGACTCGCAGGACCGGGGTCACAGGCTTGGTCTGGGTATCCTTCGTTGTATTTGGGCTGCTGTAGTCCAAGCGCCAATGCAACACCGGCCACCATCGTGATGCATTTGCTATGATGGCTGGCCGTCGCCAATGTCGATTGTGGTGTTCTGGTTGTCAGGATGCACGGGCGTGCGCTGGGATGGTGTGCATGTCCAATGGATGATACGATCCGTGGTGAGTCGCAATCATCCATCTCCTCGTGTGCGAGTGCCGCTTGGGTCTTCTGCAGTTCGCCGCCCGTGGCGAATGGAGAATGCGTCCGGGAACGACCGCAGATAATCGGCACCATGTCATCGGTTGGTGGTAGGCAGCTCCTCACCTTCTTTCGGTACATGTAGCTAAACGGCCTGCACCTCTCGCGGGCTTCCCTGGAGGGCTCGTTTGGAGCTTCTTGAAGCCACCGAGCGTACTCGAGCGTTGTCATGCCCTTGTAGTCTGCAGAGCGACAGAGTCGGATCATTATGTTCCGGCTCGCCCATCTCATCTGTCGAGTGCGGATTTGTTCCCAGGAACACATACACAAGACACAGTGCAGTCCAAGAAGATTGAGCCCATATCCACCAACAAGGAATCCAACGAGGGCAACGACTCCGTTGAATGTCTGGACTGCTATCTCGGAGGTTGTTTGAAGGACGGTTTCTGTCCGGGCATGAGAGCGATTTGCAGGGCGTCAACTTCCCGGATCGCTGCGAGTGCACTGGATCAAGCGATGCCCTTACCTTCTGCACGTCGATAGTCAGGGTCGCTGTACCAGGAAGCGATGGATATGATCGCAACGATAAAGTTGGATACAAATAGAAGGGATATGGTCGCCAGCGACGCGATGTAGAGCCTGCGAACGAGTCACTCGGCATTAATGCATCATCTCGTTCGGTGGACAAAGGGGCCAGACTTCCCACGCACACCTGGAGCCTGCTGTGTTCGATCCGAGTCGAGGCTGGTAAGGGCGTACCTGTAATTTTTCTTCCCGACGCAGTTGTTGACATAGAAGCAATGGTGGTCCATCCGCAGCACGCATTTATCGCAGTACCGGCAATGTAGCGATGATTCGTTCCTGGAAAGTCGCTTCGGGGTCAAGCCGCCGCTGGATCGAGCACGAAAGCGGGCGACGCGTGGATGACTTGTGAACTTACACTGAGCACTGGCACCGTTGGCAATATTTGAGTTGGGCCGCCTCATCTTCTGGTATATCGCCCAGGGTTCGTGGATCAGCCGGATTGCTGAGCATCAGTCTTGCTCCAAGAATCGTCCCTACGACGCCGACAAGCGATATCCAGTACAGCCAGCGCGCGATCCAGAGTCAAGGAAAAAACAATCATCTTTGCACCGAATACACAGCACTCAAAAACAGAGTCACTGCTGATGAGCGGGGCATCGACAGGGACCCGTCGATTGACGATGCTTCACATCTGTTTGCTGCGTCTCGTACAGCAGCACCACGGACCCTAGATGTGCGCCGTGTGCCCAACCGTGCTACTTCGGTATATGACGCAATCTGTCCGGTCTCCAGGATTCCCACCGGGCCTGTTCTCCAAAGGATATGGCCAAGAAGGCAGCTTGGGCGTATGGCTCGCTCAGGAGCCGAGAGTACACTGCGTAGTCGCACACAATGCAGCCGAGCGAGACGGCGCAGAGCACCAGCTGTCGGGGATGAAGCGGGCACGTGCAGCCATGCACTCTGGGTGGCATCGGGTGGGTCGGATAGGATTGTTGGGCGAGATCAGAGCACCCCCCCCCTGATAGCGCTGTCCTCCTCGCTGGCATCGACGCAGCCCACAGGCCCCGGCATCTGGTCATGGCGGCGCGTGGATCTCCGCTTTCGTGGCCAGCCTGGCTGTGGCTCGCGGCTGTGTCGCGAAATTAAGGCCAAATGAAATTCATCTATCCAGGGCCTGGTTCGATCCACCCGCTCGTCGCCGCCGCCAATTTTCGCCCCAGACAGATTTCGTCGGCCACCCGTGCTGTCTCCAGAGCAAGACCCGCCTGTCGCCTCAAACACAGCTCCACCAAAATGATCTCCGTCCGCAAGACTGCCCTGTCGGCCGGCGCGGCTGCCAAGCGCATCAACCTGAGATTCATCTCCTCGGTTCCGGAGGTCCCCGCCCAGTCCTCCAACCGAACCACCACCTGGAGCAAGACCCAGCAGCCCAAGAAGGTTGCTGCTGTCGGCCCTCGGTACGTCTGAGGCAGGATATCACCGGCGGAATAGGTGGCATATCGCCGCGGCTGCTGGTGCCCGGCGAGCATCGAAAGCATTGAGCATATATCGAAAAATAGTCGATGGCCAATATCACCATGCGGCCACAGACCAAAGCGCACTATCGGGCTCGTTGGCCGATTTGATACCTCGAAGCTGACCATCCCATCACTTTCGCCGTGGATGCCTGCTGGCGATACCATGCTGATTCTCCTTGGGAAATTTCGGCGACGCCCGTGCGAACTCAACTCTCATGCACGCACTGTGCAAATCGGTGAATCGGCAACCAGATTCGAGCAGACCCACTGGGACTACCAGGTATGTTGGCCGACGAGTAATGCAGCTCGCCCTGATTATATTTTTTGAGCAGCCTGCGTCGATCCAGAGTGCTGGTCTCGTTCAAAATGGTGTGGCCTGGACTCGCGTCTTGTGCATGGGGTGAAGCGCTCTCGATTCAAGAGCTCTGCCAAGCCCATGAGAATGCGCATCTAATGGTCGTTCCTGCTCCAGCCCAACCCCCCATCAGCCATGGAACTCATTCACGAAGAGCCCATCCGATTTGTTGAGGGCCGTGTCACTCACTGCGATGGAGGTCAGTCAAATGCAGCTGCCCGTCCCTTGTCTATAGCCGGGCGGCTCGGACGCAACATCAGGTGTTCTAACCCGCCTCGCTTACTCACGGCGATCAAGACGGAGGCGCCCTGGGACATCCCCGCGTCTACATCAACCTGGTTCGTAACTTCGCCGACAGCTTGCATGGTCGGAGTATCTCGCATGTCCTATCCGTGTCCGCGCATATGTGTTTCTGGTTCCCCTCTGACCTCGTCATTCGACCTCTGCGCTGCAGGATAAGGGTGTTCCCGTTGGCTGTGGTAAGAGACGTTCCAATACGACGACCTCAATTTAGGTCCAGAGGCCTTGGGCCATCACCCCTTTGCGCCCTCAGGCCGACGAACGGGCGCTCACCCTCGGGCCCACGGATGCAATTGGCCACTGCTGGCCGTGTCGCTGTCGATGCTGCTTCTTACATTTCTGTTTTTCTTCGCATTCAGGATACTGCGGTATCAAGTACCAGCAAAAGCCTCATCACCACTGAGTTACCCCCAGATCGATACAAGCCGACAAGCGTGGATCTAGATGTGGCATTGGCGGCATTGCATCCAAACATGGGCTCGACATGAATAAATAAGCATCGCTGGATTCAGCCCAGCTCCTCGAACGCAAGCTGCTGGTGATTCTGGCTCACTTTGCTTTGGGCTGACTTGTCTCGGAAGTGCGATGCGGGATCCGATTCACTCTGCCACAATTCGGGACTGCCTCCGTCGATCGATCACTGGCTAGGATACAAGTATCAGACCGACGCTATATTTCAGATGGCCGCCGCAACTCGCGCACAGGCTGGCTGTACTTGTTCCATGCTGGAGAGGCAGTCGATGGCTGCGTAACTCCGCAGCACGACAGCAGCTCGGGCTTGGAGCGGAGCATGAATGCCACCAGCGCCTGCTCTGTGATTGAAGCCAGTACCATTTTGAGTCTCGCTCGAAGTTTTTGGCTCTTCAAAATGACCCTCGAGTCGACCTGGATCATGGAATGCTCGTCAGGATACAAGAGCCATGCGCACGGACTGAAGCCCGAGTCGACCAATCTTACCTTGGCAAGGATCTTCAGGGCACTCCTTTCATACCCGCCTCTGCTCAGCGCCATGGCCTCCATCAAGTCCAGCTCGGTTTCGCGCCGTTTGTCGACGAGAGCGGCAATGTGTGGCATCGCCAGGGTTTGTTTGCGGCGTATCTCACTGACAATCCGCCGGGCTTGGCCAAAGTCGCCGATTTCCATGTGGTATTGCCAAGTCATATCCTGCGGAACGAAGCAACTCAGAGTCAGGCTGCGCTGAGTCGATGCCGCCTTGTGGTAACAGGGCCAAGTTACCTTGACAAACCGCCAGGACACGTTGGCATCATGGCCTTGAGTCAGATGTTCGTCCAAGAAGGCTGCCAGCTTGAGCGCCGGGGCCATGCCGAACTGTAGCGCCCCCTTTTGCAAGCAGGCCTGGGCAATGTCGAGCTCGAGCCGATGCGTTGCGTCGCTCTCCGGGCCAAAGCGGCTGCTGGTCAGCGCCAGCGCCGTCTGGAAATGCGTCTCTGCCGCCGCTCGGCCCTCGACATCGGTCCTATCGAGGTAGATCTGGCGGCGCAAACGGTTCGGACGGCACAGACGACTCAGGCCCTGACCAGCATTCCGACAGCAGCACACTACCACAGGTGGCTCGCAAGCTTGTATTTACCACGCCGAGCATCTTGTGGATGCGTATTTCCTCCCGGATGTTTCCATCTCGACTTTCTTTCTCGAGAACCTGGCGTTGGGGAGTAATCGAGTCAGGGAATGCATAAACCGGTCTGCCCCCACACGGTTTCGCCGCCGAGACAAGGACTACCTTGGTATACCAGCGTATGGACTCCCACGGATCGCCCGAGGATGTGCAGAACGATCGGGCATAGAGCTCCCATGACCTTGGACTTGGATAAAGCTGCTCTGCTCGATCCAGACATTTGCGGGCTGCCTCGATACTGTGATGGGAAACCAGCCGGCAGCCGATTGGATCAGAAGCGATTCGTCACTGGACGACAGGCGACCCAAGATCTCGCCGGCACTGCCGCGATGGACTCACTTGCGCTTCGAGAGTTCCAGCTCGGCCTCTATCCGCAGTAGTGTTGCAGTCAGGGACACAGAGGGACAACTTCCCGATGACGTGCCGTCCTGCCATCCGTGGGCATATCTGAATCGGATCTGTCGCCAGGTCCCCTTGATCTGAGACAGGTGGCTGGCGGCTTGCTCGACAAGCCCCTGGTCCAAATAGAGCTGGGCAAGCGCAAGACCCTCCTTGGTTGTCTGGGTAGCATCGATTCCATAGAGTAGCTTGCAAAGCGCACAGCACTTGACCTGGTTATGAATCATACGGGCCTTGATGGGCCCCACCGCCCGCTCGTATGCTGCAGGATAGGCGAGCTCCAGGACCCGGCTCGACAGCGTCTGGGTCTGGGTATCGAGGAGCTCGCTGTCATCCTGCAGCTGCTCCTTGATGCTCGAGATCTGGGCAAAGATATCTTGCTCGACGCGGTCCATGCTTCTCGCATCCGAACGCATATCCGAGCTGTGACAAGGAAGGGTAAGAATGTTGGGCAACGACCGAAACAAGTCCAATCTGCAAACCACAAGCTGAAGCCATCTCACGGAGAGCCGAGTTTGCAGTCGCCGCCGCCAGGGTGCCGCTAATACCCTACCCTTCTTCATCTGACGCAGCTGTCGGAGCACCATTGATTTGCGCCACGATGGGCTTGTTTGGGACGATGGAGGTTTGCAGTGTGCTGGTTGATGGTGCGATTCCATCCTCCGAGTCATCCAAGCGATCCTCGCAGGACACCGCCGATGGCTCTGGACAACCTTGCTCGGTCCATTTCCAAGTGCCGACGGCGAGCTCCGCTCGACTTGGAGGAGCACTAGCGCTGGTCTTGATGCATATGTCTTCGCCGCTGCCATCGGAATGCTCTGGTGGCTTTTGGTCTGGCGATTGTTCGGTCGTGGGAACGGATGGCTCGTGGCGCTCGCTCCCGACTCTCGAGAGTTGACTTTGTCGCAGCACAATATCGCCCGAATACTCCGAGAGGCGGTCGGGCACGTAGGATATATCTCCGTTGTCGGTTGGCTCTGGGTCTTCATCATGGCAAGCCATCGCTACAGCGGTGTTGAGTTGGGCACGAGTCAACACGTAATCTCCAGCACCATCCCAGCCAGCCGGAACCGCTGGCGTAGCGGTGGCCGGGGGCTGCCCATCTCCGGCATCGACATCGACTCCAAGACCATGGAGTATTGTCATGTGGGTACTCTCGATGACAGATGTTTGCAGGTTGGCCTCGCATGGCGCTCCGGATTCAATGCCGAGGCCTTGCAGAATTGTCAGCTGCTCGTGGGTGGGCTGGAGCAGCTCGGATGGCTGGCGGGTGTGGCCGCCACCAACTTCATCCTCGGTATCGCTCATCGGGACCGGCGGTGGCGAGCCATGCGCTATCGGTGTGAGATGGGACATTTGGCCCGAGGCCGAAGCCATGATTTGGTCGATCTCGGCAAACAGGTCATCGGTAAACATGGCGGCGAGGGGATGGGTGCAATCTGCGCGATAGGTATGCCGTCAGGTCCCGGCCGATCGTTCAAGCTGCCGCCCAACGCCCCAAGACGAGATGGGAGCAGATTGCCGGTCTTGTTCCTGTGTGAGAGACGGTGGCTTGATTGATTGCTGGCCGAGGATGCCATCTTGCTCTGATTGCGTGCTGCTCTCATCCAGAGTATGCGTTCCTGCTTTCGACCCAGGCCGCCGGCGTTTGCAACGACTCGGTGCTGTTTGTCATGTCCGTGCCCTCCGGATCCTGAGCGGCGATCGGCAGGCTCGCTATGGCCATGCTCCAGCCGGATCTGCAGTCGACGGCTGGTGGTCTGCATTGTCCGTGGGCACATTGACGCGGCGAGTCGAGCCGCCGGCTGCGCAGGGTCCCTTCTGTTGTTCCCCCCACAATCCGGTGTCGAGCACAAGCCGTCGCAAACCAATCCGGCCGCGAGTTTGGTCTCGGCTCTCATCTGCCATCGACCGCTGCCGACCAGCGACGTCCCGCATTCCGCCATCCAAGCGCAATTCGGTCTCGAGCATCTGCCCCGTATCGACCTCCAAAGCCTCGCTTTCCCCTCTGTCGAACCCCGTAGTCAAGGCCACCGAAGCACTGCCAACCCATGGTCCGGGAGGAGCGACCATCTCACATCCGTCCCCCGATCGACAACCAGCCCTCTGAATCCACCTTTGCGTCGTCGCACACCCTCAACCAAGAAGAGCACGATGACGTCTTAGGCTGCAAACGAGGTACCGTACCGTCGCGGGTTGGTGTGCACGGACGTCGGTCCTCCGCTTCCGCTCGCTTCTCCACGGTCGCTGTTCAATCCCCGTGCATCGGCCATCGTCGCCAACGGTACTCGCCGAGCGCTGATACAACGTCTGACCGGACCTCAATCGTCTACACCAGCCGAATTGTCTCCGACTCGGAAAGAGTCGACTCGATCCGTCGCCGACGACGGCGTCGCCCACATCTTCATCACCGATGAAGGCGAGACAATCCCAGCCGAAGCGGCCCTGCGCAAGGGACGAGACCGACAGTCGTCTTTCTTTTCGGAGCCGCTGGAGGAGTCGGCCGCAGATCTCATGCACCTCTCTGAAGATAGCCTGGGCTTGTCGGTCGAATCGGAGAGCGGGTACAGCGAAAGCCGGACGTCGTTCTTTGAGGATCTGGAGAGGCAAAACGAGCTGGAGCGTGAGCGGCTGCTCGAAGCAGAGCGATCCCGAGATTCGAGCGACAGCCAGCCCATTGCTTTCCACGCCGAGAGCATCTTCGACCCCGAAAACTTCTCTGGTACGCACTGCTGCGGTGTGGAGCCCGTCGGCGTCGAGAAGCAGCCATCAGGAGCTCAATTCTGGTCCTCTGTTCTGCACACCCACATGCTCCACAAACAACAGCGGTCGTGGGATCCGTCATCAACCTGATCAACACGATCATGGGCACAGGCATGCTGAGGTGAGTCTGGTGATGCGGCGGGCCGGGGATCATGGCGTCGGTGATCCGTGCGCTTCCGCTGGCTGCTGCCTTGATCAACCACTCACTGGCCATTCGTTTGACATCGCGGCGCCATCCCAGTATGGCCTATGCCTTTGCCGCCGTCGGATTGCTCGGCGGAACTCTGCTGGTAGTGATATCGGCAGCGGCAACCTGGTTCTCTCTCCGTCTGCTCATCTCGTCAGCACGCCTTGCGCACGGACCGCATCCTCTCCAGGAGCCCAGCTACGGCTCCCTCGCCGCGCTCACCATCCGATCCAAGTTTGGTCGCATCGTCGTCGATCTGATTGTGGCTGTCAGCTGCATGGGCATGGCGAGTAGTTACATTGTTGCCATCGGCGATGTCATGCCTCGATTTATCGCCGATATCCTGGGGATTGACTCTGTCGACCCGAGCATGGGCATGCTGTCTCTGTCCATGGGCGAGCCCCATGCGTTCTGGATCCGGATTCTGCTGAGCCGTCAATTCTGGATGATTGGTAGGTGTCCGCATGCCGAACGAGCGTCTTCGTCAAAAGTATTGCTGCGTCGGCTGTGGCCAAACAGACTTGGGGGGGGGGATTCTGCCCAGACACCAAAGATTCTTCTGAGCCGGACAGCAATACCGACTGTGGCATCGAAGCTCACTCGTTCTTTTCCTTTCCTGTATTCAACTGCGGCCTGCCGATTCAACGACGTCGGCGATGTTGAAAATCATTCATAGCATTCCTGTTTGTCCTCGTTCCGCTCTCGATGCAATTCACAATCGACGATATCTCCTGGTTCTCGACAACTTGTCTGGGCTTTGCCCTGTACCTCGCCGCGGTGGTGCTATGGGCCTCGTTCACGATAGGAAGAAAGCCCGACGACGACACACCCACGTCCGACCATACAGCCCGCGAGCCCCTGCCGCTGTTTCTGTTTTCAGAACGGTGGCTCGAGGTTCTGCCCATCTTTGTTTTTGCCTTTACTTGCCAGCAAAACGTAAGTAGCCGTGGGCGGCGGCCGGCACAAACGAATCGTCCGCGTCTCTGGTGTTTTCTGCGACTCAGCAGAGGTGGGTCCTTGACAGCAGCATGCCCGTGTGTCTGCTAACGCCTTCCGGCGATGATCAGCTGTTTTCGATCTTTGGCGAGCTCAAAGAGTCCAAAGCAAAGTACATTGGTCGTGTTATCGACTCGGCCGTTATCGCCACAGCCGCAATTTATCTGATTGTCGGTCTGGCGGGGTACTATACCTTTGGCGCGGCTTGTGACGGCAACATCATCAACAAGTGAGTGTCGCAGTGTGCGCGAACATGTCTTGCTGCAATCTGACAAGTGGTCGCGCGGCAAGAGGCCGCTCCCTCTGATAGCCTTGGTGCAGTGATATTGTCCACTTATGCTCTGTCCATTGATCCGTGTTTGCGTCGCACACTATTTGGAATCCATGGCAGTTGTAAGTACGGTTCCAGCTGCCGCCGCGGTCGCCTAAAGTCACGGAGATTCCACGGATCGATCGGTCCGAGTCGGGTCTTGGGTCCTTCCATGTGCGAGGCGAGTGGGTAGACAGTCTATTCTGGCTGTATTCTCCATGGTGCTTACTCGCTTCTCTGACGCTGCTTTGCTTCTCATGCCTCCATTGGGCTCTGCAAATCGAACCACAACACTCGGTCGTCTGGAACCGGGACGGCAACCACTAAAAACTAACACATGCGATCCGGGCATCGGCTTCCCGATTGATCCTCGCACTGATTTGAATCATCTGGTGCCGAAATGGCGGCATCCTTTGATGCTCTGCATTCCATTTCAACTTCCTCCTGCCTCCGTCCAACCATCAAGTCCCGCCAAGCTGGCCGATGTCCGTGGCACGCTTGGCGTTTGCCGGATTGGCTGCCCTGTCATACCCGATTCAGGTGCATCCATGCCGTCTGTCGCTCCTGAACATCTACAAGATCGTGTGCCGCTACTACATCGGGCCGGGCGACTTTCTGCGACGCGAGCCCTCCATCTCGGAGGGATACACGCAGTCGCTCCTGATTGCGCCGCAGTTGGTGAGCTCGAGGACCAGCATCGACTCACCGGCACCATCCATGACCCCAGTCGCTGTGGCTCCACCCACCCTGGCCGCGGCTCTACTTGAAGTCGACCCGTACACGCGCACATATCTGACCGTGCGTTGGTACCTGCGCTACATGATCGGCCTGGGCCCCTGGAACCGCAGTGACGACCGGTCCGTGGTCCTGACGACGATCATTGTCTGCACGACCTACATCATGGTCATGTCGGTGATTTACCTGGACGAAGTCCTCGCCTTTGTTGGCGCCACGGGCGGAACGCTGGTCTGCTACATCATTCCCGCGCTATTCTATCACCGCATCATCTTCCAAAGCTCGCGCAACAAGATTGGCGCATGGAAGCATGTCGGTGCCCTCACCATGGCCACAACGGGGTGCGTCTGTGGCATCCTGGGCCTCCTCTACAGCTGGCTCTAGGCGACGTGAGTCCTCGGGCCTCGCCTTGCCCTGCGAGCGTTTCGACGATACAACCCCTTGCCGCCCGCCTTTGCTTTGCTACTGCTGCCCTGTTCTCATTTTGTGCCTTCAAGAAAAGAATGGACGACTGTGTGGATTTTGAATCAATCCAGTGTGCGTTGTGCGGCCGTTGCGTCGGGCATCAGCGGTGCTGCATATTCAAACCGGGTCGCGAGCAGCAGAATCAGACACGGGGTTTCACTATGGATGCTATGCAAGTACTGCGCTGCACTTTTTATATTGAGAAATGAAGGGTTGTTGTGTGGAGATGATGGTCAGGAGCATCCTTCAAGAGTGCTCTCTTTGGGTCAAGCACAAGAAAATAGAACGACCTTCTATAAGAATAAGTGGCAATGGGGATGATGGCGCTGATGTTGCCGGTGGTGCCGATGGCGATGATGCGCTGCTGATGGTGAGTGGTGCTAAATATGATGATGGTGATAATGGTATGGGCGTTGTGAGCGAACATGGATGTGGGATGAGGGGAGCAGAGAAGGGCCCAGCTACGTTTACTCGCGGACAGGCGGCTCGTAGTATGAAATGATCCGCGAGCGTCGACTGCAGACCGAGCGACGGTGATCGGCATATCGTCGGAACGAAGTGCTATCGACGCGGAAGTCGCCCTCGGCAAAGGCCGAGACGCGGGAGCCGGGTGTTCTCCAGGCTTGCGAGGGAGGAGCCAGATGGTGGCGGCCGCCTTCGACACTGGTTTCGACATCAGTCTCGACATCGGTCTCGACATCGATCTCGACGCTGACATCGCTTTCGACCTTGATCGTCACGGTGGGCTCCTTGTCGCTCGGCTGGGTCGGCTCGACATAGGGCGAAGCCGGCCATCCCTGCCACAGGGTGTGCTCTTCGACAATCTCGCCGCTCACAACAAGTGTGTGCTCCAGCAGCGTCACATCGTTTTCCATCTCGGCGCCGGAGAGCAGACGGGTCTCGGTTCGCAGGACGCTACCGCTTCCGATCACCAGTGGGTTGAGGGAGAACCGTCCGCGGCTGTTGATGTGGCAGACGACACTGGCAATGTCGATACAGACGTCGTCGCCGATGCGCACCAGGTCGGGCTCGGTCATCATGGGATCGCCGCCGGTGGGGTACAGGCATACCCGTCGACCAATCTTGCATCCCATGGCCCGGAAGTAGGCAACAATGTACCAAGAGCCGCGGATGTACTCGACAATGTCGTCGCCGATGGCGTGGACTGCGATGGCCACTTGCCACCGCTGGCAGTAGGATGAGGTGTCCCAGTCGTATCGTCCGGGCTTGCGGCGGCCAAAGACGATCCATTTGGCTGCCACTTCGATGCACAGAGCCCCAAAGGACAGGACGCTGAAGATGCCAAGGACAAGCGCGGCCACGAGCAGGATTGCATAGGCATCGCTGTAGTATCCGAGTTGCTCGGCAGCCAGCGTACTGATCCAGCTCGACAGCACGATGGAGCCGGTAACCACACATGCCCAATACGTTGTGGCGATGGCCTTGAAGACGAAAATGTACAGCACGCAGAACCAGAGCGGGAGGACATTGAACTCGGCTTCCTTGTAGTAAAAGGCCTTGCCGAAGGGGGTCAGGGTGCTCGAGTCGGGGTTGTAGCTCTGCGAGCTGCTGTCCCACAGAACAGCTCGGCCGCCCTGCGAGCCGATCCACACTGAGCCGGGGGGATACTCAAAGCCGGCCTCGGTGAGTGCGCCCGAGCCGAGCACGCACTCACGGCCGACTTGGGTGCCAGGCAGCAGCACGCAGCGGTCTGCCACCATGGCACCATCGTCGATCGAGATGGGCTGCGACTCGTGCGCATTGGTGATCAAGATGTGGCTTCTGGATCCAAAGACGACATCATGCCCGACATGGAAGAGGTCAAACTCGTACAGCAGGAGCGGCGTTCCGGGCCAGTAGATGCGATAGCCGATTTTGGCGCCGAGTGCACGATAGATCATGCTGGTGAGCTCGTAGTGGCGTCCGATGAGCTGGTAGACGCCGCAGAGCGATCCGTCGCCAAAGACCTTCTTCATAAACCAGTGGCGGAAGAGATTGTAGGACGTGCTGTCGATGCGGCCGGGGCGGAACTTGCCGATGATGAGCCTCTTGACCAATATGCTCATAAAGAGCCGCACAAACGGCGAGATCTGATTCCGGGTGATCAAAACCAAGAAATGGTAGCCGATCCGGACGGGGTTCGAAAAGTAGTGCAGCAGCTGGCTCAGGCGCGTGGTGTTGGGCCCGCTCTGGGCAAAGAAGGGCTGCTGGATCAGCAAGTAGAGCACACAGAGCCACGGAACCATCGAGATCAGCTCGATGATTAGCAGTAGAGGCCAGCCGAGGAGCATCTTCCACAGGATGTCGGGCGTGTGGTTGGAGCGGGTCCGGCAGAGCCCTTCGTAGGAGGCGGATGCGTCGCCGAGCTCGTATGAGGAGCTGAGCGGGGGCATGACGTGGTTCTTGGGGATAATGTGTCCAGGGGCAACCACGGTTTTGATGTTGATGACGCAATCGCTCCCTAATCGACGGAGCGGATTCGTTAGCATAATCTCACCAGCCATGATAATGCGCTCTTGTATCGCATGGCATCCCAAACACAATGGTTGGCAACAACGGCAGTCCCCACCCCAAGAACAAGGCAGACGACGACAAACTGAGCACCTACCAATCTTGATCGAGTTGAGAACCATTCTTCCCGTCTCCATGGTGAAGGGGCGAACGATGGAATGGTCAAAGGCGCAGTTGTTGCCGATCTCAATCAAGTCGAACTCGCCCAGGCGCGTGGCCGGGTCGATGCAAACGTTCTGGCCAATCTTGGCTCCCATCCAACGGTAGTAGCGCACAAGTCCGGCCGAGCTCGCTCCAAAGAAACCACGGCCACAGATGCGGGTGAATTGGTCGACAAGCCACCAGCGGAGATAGTATGAGCTCCAGAGAGGATATCTGTGGGAGAGACAGACAGAGACAGAGAGAGAGAATGGTGAGAAAGCCGCGGATGGCTGGAAGCGGCGGGAAGCCCAATGCGGCTAAGCCAAGGATTGAAGTGGCGGCGAGAGCATACTTACTTTCCAGGCTGGTACTTTCCAATGACAATCCACTTGAATGCAATGGCCGCAAAGGGAGAAATGATCCACCAAACAGCGTGGGAAGTGGCTACCGCTATGACCAAGATGGTCATCCGCGAGTAGGGTTTCCATGCGGGCTCGCTGACAAACAGCTGGCCAGATGGATCCGTCATCACACTTGACTGAGTATTGACGCCGTACTGGCCCAGGACCGTATCGAGGATCAGGTCCAGCAGCATCAGGAAGTATGCAAAGGTGATCCAGATGGAAGCCTTCTGCAAGGGCCGGAAGACAGTGAGGGGAAGGAGCTGGAGAGCCAGTGCTGCGAAGGAGGTCGAGGGCCGGCCTTGAGGACGCTTTTCTTCGCCGCCCTTGCGCTTCTTCTTGCCGCCAGGCTGATCCGCTTGGCCAGAGGACTTTTGGCGCACGACTTCGGCAAGACTTGCGATGGTTCGATGCTGGAAGAGCAGCATCGCCGGGATGCTGACATCAAAGTGTTTCCTGCAAAAGGAGTCATACAACAAGCGTCAGACATCAGTCACTGATCAGCCCGAGATCAGAGAATACCGAGGTTCGCCGATAGTAGGGCGGTGCAAAGTATGGTGCAGTCCCTGTCCATACCACGGGGCTAAGGCACAGAGTCAGCGAGCACTAACCTGATCAGTCCGACGACTCGGCCAGCCTTCAGAGACGACCCGCCCAGCTCGAAAAAGTCGTCGTCGACGCTCGAGATGGCGTCAATCTCCAACACCTCCTTGAAGATCTCGCAAACCTCTCTCTGGAAGCGATCGAGCGAGTCCATATCGATGCCTTCGAGCTTTTCCTGGGAGACCAAAATGTCCGTGTCGATCTCCCATCCTCTCTCGGTCCGCCGCTTCTGGAACTCTGCAACCTCACGAATCTTCTTGGGGACATCGTAGGCGTGGACGCGCGGATGCGACTTGAGGTACGACTGGAGCTCGTCGAGCAGGGCCAGCTTTTGCGGATCTCCATCGCGCAGAGTGTAGTGGTACTTGACATAGCTGACGAGATCGCCACGGGCGTTGACGATTGTGGTTGCCTCGGCAACAAACGGGTGGGCAAGCAGCTCGCGCACGGAGGTATCAGGAGACGAATGAACCGCGGTGCACTCGATCGGATCCTTGATGGACGACGATGTGGGCGGTGCGATGGCAGAAAACAGTCGCTGAGAGGGAGGAATTGAGTCACTAATCTCCTTGAGATCAAAGCGGGTGGCGAGGTTGATGCGGAGCGGCTTGTTGTTTTGGTTTTTGGGTAGCTGATTCATATACACAAGTAGCTGCGGCCATTTGGATGGATGCAGAGACTTGGAGACAAAGCTGTGAGCAGGACGGAGTGTGTCAGTCTGGTGGCCACTTCATGGCAAAGTTGTACCCGTGCACTGCAGAAACCCGATCCCAATCTTACTTCTGTAGCTCGGGAAGGTCGACTCTCGAGTTGGGGTTGGCAGAAACAATGACCATGCCGATGGTTTCCTGGAGAGTGTCATGCGGCACTGAAAATGCGATGGTCTCGGCGATCTTGGGGTGCTTGATGACGGCGTCCTCGACTTCGGCAGGAGAGACAATTTCGCCTCCACGGTTGATGACCTCTTTGGAGCGTCCGGTCACGTCTGCAGACGAGGCAAAGCACACCGGCGTGAGCCAACCGCGAGAAACACAGTTCCTGATACAATCCGCAACTCTGTCCAGAGTACACTCCAATGCAATAAGGGGCAGCCGAACAAGCCAAAGAGAAAGGGCTCTAGAGGATACTTACAAAGGTATCCGTCGGCATCAAGATAACCGAGGTCGCCCGTGTTGAAGAAACCGTCTTTTGTGAACGACGACGAATTGGCCTTTTCATCTCCCTCGTAGCCTTTGAACAGCGGAGGGCCACGGACCATGATATTTCCGATGACTCCGGTCAGACAGGCTCGGTGGCTGTCGTCCATGATGCAAATCTCGGGACCTGCAGGAGCGGGAGAGGACAGAGGATTGGATCGGCGACGTGAACATCAAGACCTGGATGGTCATGCAGACGTCGGACGTGGAGTCATCGAGCCAAGTCGCAGGCACTTACCCACGGATATGCCGGAGGTACCGGGTCTGTTCAGGGTGTAGTCTTGCGGTGGAGTGGCAATCGGCATGCACTCGGTCATGCCGTATGAGGGAAGAACGATTGCACCTTTGAAAAAGTCACGCAGCTCCACAGCAAGAGACGGCAGTAAGCCACCACCAGCATTGGCGATCATGCGGATGCCAATGGCCTCCTGATCGACGCCGCGGCTGCGTCCTTCTTGCAGGATGGCCTGGTGCATCGTCGGCACGGCATAGTACCAAGTCGGGTGGACGCTGCTCGTCTGGATCAGATCCCAGAACACGACAGTGTCGAAGCCCTTGGTCAACACAACTGCTCCGCCGCTGAGGACCGGAGCGAGGAGGTTGCGGACGATGCCACCGACATGGTAGAGAGGCATCATGTTGAGGTTGACATCGAATTTCTATTGCGGGGGAATGTGCAGCAGTCGGATTAGTCGCTAGAAACACCGCCGCCATCAGAACAATGAGGGGCAACAGCCGCAGCCGGAGAGAATGTGCATGGGTGGTGCATTGCTGGGGGGAGGAGCCGATGGGGCGATAAACCTCGTCCGGTAAATGAAGACGGAGGAGCACATACCGTCAAGCCCCAGGATTTCGCCACGCAAATGGCGCCGATTACGAGGGTCTTGAGGGTGTACGGGACCGTCTTTTTCTTGCCGCTGGTACCAGATGTGGCCAGAATCATGGCACAGTCGTTGGGATGGGTGCGGTGGACTTTGCGCTTGGGAGCAGACTGGGGGTAGTGTTCAGAAATGTCGATGCGCTGCGGATGCCGAGATCGAGCGCCAGGCGTTAGCAGGAGCGATGAATTTGTGGTAGCCGAAAGACACATTCGATGCGCAGGATGGTGGTGACCAAACAGGCACTTACTACGGGGGTTTCCGCTTCGTCTGAACTATCGGCATCGAATTTGGCCAGAGAGAACAGCCCGCAGCGCACACGGTCTGGTCGGAGGATGAGGATGCTGATTCTGTTCCAGTAGAGCTGGTCTGTGAATTTTGTCTGGGAGCGGAACAAGCCGTAGCCAGAAGGGGGGGCTGTTAGTGCATGGCTACGAGCAAGTGGGATCCGTGCAAGCCAGTCCGAAAGGACGGCAAGCGATCACACAGAGGGGGCGCCATCGACATCAATGTCGCTGCCAATATCGATGCCAATGTCGATGCTGATATCTGAAGAACTGCCCACCCCCGCGCAGCCAGGCGATGATGGGGATCGGGCTTGAGCCGGATTGGATTGGATTGGATTGGACTGGATTGAACAGATACGTACATCTTCTGCGCGTGCGGCAGTCATGATCACAGATTTGGCGCCGAGACGCACCAGCTCGGCGCAGATCTCCTCGTTGGTCAGATGGAAGTTGATGGGCACCACGGCGCAGCTGGCCATGACGGTAACAAGACAGACACCCAGAGTGGGGCCGTCCGGCAGGATGACGGCAACCCGATCGTTGGGATGCAGGCCAAATGACTCGGCAAAGTCCCACGACTCGACAAAGGCTTTGAGGGACGCATGGGATAGCGTGGAGACAGTACTCTCGTTCAGCGTTTCGTCCGAGTCGGCACCAGGCGACGGCGAGACAAAGACCGGGGTGGGATCGTCGGAGAGTAGATCGAGCATGGTGTGAAAGCTTAGATCACCAAGAGAGGCTTCGACAAACTCGCCGAGGGACTTGGAGTTGGGAGGCGGAGGGGTGGTGAGAATGGTTTGAAGGGTGGTGAAGCCAGGGACTGCAAAGCTGCTGAAGACAGAGAAGCGCTTGCGATGGACCGATGGTGCCATCGACCTGCGCTTGGCAGCCAAAGTAGACTCGGGCATCGTCAAACAAGGTCAGGACAGGTGGAGAGGGGACGCTGGACGGACAAAATAGATCCAGCAGAGTGGTAGGTGCCAGCAGGCAACCAGGGGAGGGGGGTGAGAACGGGAGTGACAAAGTACTCTGCGGCAAAGCCGGAGGGAAGTCAGGACGAAGACAATGGGGCCGAGCTTGGGGGAGAGGATAGGATGGGCCGCAAGGTCGAGGCAAGAATGAGCCGGGGTGAAGACGACGGCTGGGAACCGGAGAAGATATATGGCAGGGAGGGGAGGGGCGGGACAGGAAGGAGCAAGACCGAGCGGGGAGGAACAAGTGGAGCGGGTGGTATCGCGGTTGCGGACGAGACGATCGGTGCAATGAGTGGTTTGATCAGTGATATGAACCGGTGCTGCGGTTGACATTGCAAGAGCGGGGCGTTTGGCCGCGAGGAATGGCAGAGCTATTGAAAGAGCAGCGCAATGTAAGAGTTATTGAAAGAGCGGCGCAGTGGCAGAGTGTCGATCGTCTGGACCGGCAGCTCCGAAAGGTTCGCACCCTGGCGGCAGGCGGACGAACGGACTGACCGCAATCGCCGGCGGCAACGCCCGCAGGGACGGGGCAGACGGCGCACCGTCCGTCAGCGGAGTGCTGAAGGCCGGCGGCCGATGTGGTTGCGGGTGCATGGCAGAGCACGGCAGGGCATGCGAGTGCACGACAGAGCACAGCATGGTATGGGATGCGATATCGACGTTTGGAGCCATTGGAGGGGGTCTGGTGCATGGGATATCCGCGCTGGGAGACGGTTTGTGGTCCCGTCGGCACCGCGGGCGCAGGGCAGAGCGATTTCGAGAGGGGCCTGGGTCGTCCGAGAGGGACCGGATCGTTGCAGCGGAAACGGGCGTGGCAGATAGGCAATGTGATAAGGGCGAGGCGGTGTGATCAGTACGAAGCGGTGTGATCAGTACGAAGCGATACTACCACCAGACGCTTGCAGAAACCGAACCAATCCACAAGAATACAGCCCCGGCCGACGGGTCCGCGAGGGCGATGCGGGATCAGATCCCGGTGCAGGGGGATTGGGCAGAGAGCCAAGTATATGCTGAGATATCAAGTGTAGAGGATATATTGAGATATCAAGTGTAGAGTATATATTGAGATATCAAGCAAGTACATACCAATCAACCATCAAGCAAGTACATACCAATCAACCATCAAGCAAGTACATACCAATGATCCATCAAGTCGTCATCATGGAATCGAACGTGCTTGTCCGGCCATGCACAATCCCGTCCGGCGATGCCATTCCCGACCGCACATCGTCTCCAACAACCGCTGCCCATCGCATTTCGTCTGCAACGGCTGTGCCGCAGTCCGATAGTGCTCTTGATTGTGCTCTTGATTGTGCCCTTGCTGCTCAGCCGGGCCTCGCTCGGCGCAAACCTCTCGGCCGGTGATCCCTCTGTCGTCCTGGTCCAGCCTTGCCGCTGCATCCGAACCGCATCAGCGCCGATCCCGTATTGAACCCCCCCCCACTCTTCAGCCAGCCCCGCTTCCTCATCTCCAGCCGGCGCCTTTCCTCGCCCAATCTCCCTCGTTGCGCTGGACTCTCCGGTGGCCATCCAAATACCATCGTCCCTTCGTATCCATCATAAAGGAGCCCCGCTCAAACCCACACCTTCCCTCTTTCGCCTGTCTCTGGTCAGTCCATATTCTCCTCTGCACGTCCCTCTGCCATCCAAAGACTCGGAGACATCCGCTGAGCGGACCTCGCGGCGGGACATGCTGACAGATCAGTCTCAACCCGATCGGGTTCATGGATACCGACGACCTGATCCTCCAGAGCAGTCCCTGCTGCCCTGGAAATCCCTCGAGAGCACAGCAATCCTCATCCAGCGTGTCTCCACCATCGCCTCACACTCACACCGATATCCAAGACCGAGTCATATTGGCGTGCTGGACAGAGACGCATGTTTTATTTGACCATTCTGCGTGTCCGACTTTCCAGTCTACTCCTGCGACTCGTCAAAATACGCCAAATCCATGATCGGAGGCCGGCCGCCCAAGGCTGTCACGGCGGCAGAGATCTGGCCCCGATGGTGGGTCGCATGGTTGACGACGTGCAGCAGGGTTTTGCCCAGGGGGCGCTGTCGAAGAATCCCATGCGAGTCGTGGTGACTGAAGGTGTCCGAAAAGTCGGTCGAGGCATCAAGAGCGGCAATGAACTCGTCGTACTCCTTGGCCTGTATCGGCACCATGGGCGGCACATGCGTCAGTACCGGTTGCTGCTTGTCGCAAGGCGAGCCCTCCCAGTCTCGCCCCCATGATCGTCCAGGAAATGGCCCTGCCGCTCGAACGGCCAGGACAAGATTGCACTCCTACCTGGGTCAAGATCGACGCTGCCAACACCTTGCGGTCGGTGATATACTTTTCCCAGTAGCACTCAGCATCGCCCGGCTTGGAGTAGACCTCGGCCTCGGTCCAGAAGCTCGAGATGGACGCGATGCCGTTGGTGTCGTTTTTGAAGCGCTTGATCCAGAGCTGATCGCCCAGATACAAATGGTTGAGTGTGCCGTGGATGGACCGGAAGGCCAGGCCCGTATTGGAGTGGTATGCCTGGTCAGAGAGCTGCTCGACGGCCACCAGCAGGCGGCGATACGCCCAGACGTTGTACTTGCTGTAGATACGCAGTAAATCCTTGGTCGACGACATGGCGGCGCGGGAGGCGGTCCTGCAGCGAAGGGGGATGCCAATGGTGATGCCAATGGCGATGGCGATGGTGATGGCGATGGTGATGGTGATGGTGGCGACGATGACGGCAATGTTGCAGCTTTATATGGGCCGCCCTGGCCCCAAGCCACGCCCGCATCGGCTCTCCGGCTCCCATGGCCGCTCCATCGGAACAGGAGGCTCCCATGCCGAGCGCGACGGGATGTCAAACGAGGCCCCAGACGGAAGCTGGTCAGGCGGCGAGCAACCTCGCAGCCTGCGCCCTGCGCTATCGTCCGCACCATCGCACCAGACCGCTGGGCAGATCGCTCGATAACGGCTGCTATCGAGATTGTGTATTGCTGCGGCTGGGGGGAGGGTGGACAGAAATCCGATTTGTCAACATCCCACGAGGAACAGATGGCCCAGGACGGCCATCGCAATCGCTACCAGACCTGTTGGTATCTTGGCACCCCCGCTCTTGGCCGTCGTCGAAGCTCCCTTGGAGGACCCACTGCTGCTGCTGCTGCCCGATCCCGGGGCACTGCTGCTGTTGCCCGATCCCGGAGAGGTGCTGACGGCAGCCCGGACGATGATGGGCCGAGCGAGGCTGACGCACTGGCCCGCAACAGGATCCCAGGTTCCTGCGTTGGGACAGCCGGCATCGGGGATCGGGAAACGAGTGCTGCTGGTCGCAGGATTGGCGTCCGAGACGTTCGGGGCCTTTGACGGGCAGCCAAAGCACGACGAAAAGTATGCATTCTGATCCGGATACTGGCACGACTCGACCAGGCCTACGTCGATATTGCCGTCGCCTTTGTTGTCGATGCCATCACATATTTCGACATTGGAAGGGTCACGGGCCGGGAACAAGCAGCCAAGAGCGGGGTTCTTGAGCGACCCCGCAATGTCGGATGGGCTCTGCATCCAGGCCAGAAGCTGCTGGTTGTTGATCCAGTAGACATCTGGGTAGTTCTGGAGCGTCCACTGGATGAAGGCGACGTAGGCAACCAGCCGCTGGGGCTCGATCGCAGGCAGGGCTGGAGTCGCATGGATGAACAGCCCCATCGGCGTGCGCTGGCCGTTGTAGTGGCTCAGGAAGTTGTACTGCAGCAGAGCCAGGATCTCGTCGCTGGTGAGCGGGGAGGTACTGTTGGCCATCGGGTCCATCGAGGTGTTGATGGAGCCGTCCTGGTTGTTCAGGTTGGCCATCGGAAGCGACCAGAGCCCCGGGAACTTGAAGTTGCCGCTGCAGTCGCCGGTGACGCACGAGATGGCCGGGCCGTTGTCGAGAGTGTACCTATCGAGGGCCAAGTGTGCGAGCAAGCAAACGAAGCCCCCCAGAATGGCGACAAGCAGGTGAGATGGGCGGACAATGGAGAGGCTGTTCCAAGTGGAGGGCGATGACGGCCGAATCGAAGCAGGATCCGCAATGAGAATAGGTCGATGCCGATCTCGCAAGACGCTCCCGAGCGATAGTCACTCACGGCCAGAGATTGATGCTTCCATCCATGGACATGGACGACTCGTAAAGGAAGGTCCCGGCCGAGGCCAGGTTCTGGAACGACTGCGTCGAATAGAGGAGATATGGATGGCGGAACCCCAGGAGCTTGGACTTTGGAACTCCCGCATATCGATTTAGAGCCGTCTGTGCCCCGACAATCTCCTCGATGGGCGGGCTGCCTGTTGTCGGCACGAAATGCCGTCGTCAGCATCCCATGCGGGTCGTGGACTGAGGCTCTGGCACTCTGGCACTCTGGCACTCTGGCACTCTGGCACTCTGGCACTCTGGCACTTGATGGTACAGCACAGGACAACTCAGAAACCGATCGCAGCCCTACCGATGTGGTTCATGGTGTGGGTGGCAATCTCATGTCCCTTGCTGTAGAGACGCTGAACGGCCCAGTAGTCGTTCCATTGGGTTGAAACAAAGAACGTGGAGGAGATTGGGCAGCCGTTGGGGTTGAGGGGGCCGTCGATCATGCTTTGGATTACAGGCTCCAAGACCGAGTCCACCGCATCGTCAAAGGCTTGTTGGACCACAAACCGGTTGGGTTGTGGATGCGGTACAGAGAGGCAAGTGTTGAAGAATGAGATACCCACGGTTGCTATAAACTGAGCAATACCCAAGAGCGATCAGCGCAAGCACACGCCGCCATCGGTGGCATCGTCGGCGACCTTACTCAGTGTTATGAACTGGGGGATTGACCTGGGACTGAGACCGCCTGGGGGGCTGCCGTTGGCACAATAGCACTTTGGTAGGACACAGACAGTCGGATCGCACGAATAGTTCGGGTTGGTGCCTGCGACAGCCGTGCCCTGGGGTGGACGTTTCAAGACCGTCAGTGTTCAGAATCGGTTGGCCCTGGGCGGATTAGCGTCATCTACATCGGCAGATGGTCACTTACTGTTCCTTCCTGGGCCAGGACAGACTCGAGCGCCAGTGCCCATGCTATGGCCAAGGAGACAGGGTACTTGCGCATCGAAGATGCAAATAGAACCATCGTGAGTGGATGTAAGCGTGGGAACCGAGACAGGCAGGCAAATCGATGTCGGGTATGTAGTGTGCAGGCGCTGGTGTCCTTGGCTGTGGGGTTGACGACGGTCGGTAGTGCCGGCTGGGTCTTTGCCGGCCTGCAATATGTACCCCAGCAATCGCCATCAACCTTGTGGGCTGCCGATTCCGTTACACCCGGAAGGTCGGCAGGACGAATCACCCTGTGCCAAACAACTAGGGCCTGGAACAAACACGCCGAGGGCTCCCTCTGCCGTATATTGGAGACACAGGCAGCAGTGTCCTGTGGTGGGCCATGGCCATCGAAGGAGCAGCAGAAGGCATCCGCAGAAAGGATCGGCGCATGTGTGGGGACGGCATAGATCTACTCTCCAGCATGGAACGGTGGTGTTTGCCGAAACCTTGTGAATGTTTATAGTCAATCCAATAAAAAACGGGACACCCGGGTTTTTGACCATTCATCGAATATTCTGTTACCCAATGTTATCGCGCGCTGGCCATGACCATTCGCCACACATCCGACTTTCGCACCGCCGCATTGCGATGCTACGCCCTCATCCATAGCCTGCGTAAGGTCGCCTCCATATTCAGTGTATCCAAGAGCACCATCCATCGATGGCACCGAGGATGCAAGCTGGATGACCCATCCCGGGTCCCAGCTCGCAGATCCACTTTCTTCGAGCAGGCATGTCCAGTCATTCGCACCCTGATTGAACAGGACCCGTTCCAGACTGGTCCTGTGTTGCGATGCAAGCTCGAGTCCATCCTCCAGAGGAAAGTATCACTCTCACTCTGCCACACTGCCATCCAGCGAGCAGGTCTCTCTCACAAGAGAGCAACACACCTCAACAAGTCCAAGCGACTGGATGAGCGAGTGGCACAGTTCAGGGACCAGGTCCGCTCCATCGACCCGCGGTGATTCGTTTTTGTCGATGAGACGGGGATCAGGAAATCCATTTTCCCTCTTTACGGGTACTCACCGAAGGGTGCTCCGCTTCGCCAGCGCAATCACATGAAACACAAGTCTGTCTCGGCTGCATTTGCCATCAACCACTCTGGTGTGCTGCATCGCATGTACATCCCCACATCATTCAAGACACACTCGATGGTCGAGTTCTTTGAGCGAGCGAGCTTCCCAGACGACTCTGTGATTGTGATGGACAATGTCAGCATGCACAAGACAATGCCTGTCCTGGACTGCATCGAGCGCCGAGGATGGTCAGTGATCTTCACCCCACCTGCCTCGCCCGACTTCAATCCCATCGAGAACTTCTTTGGGGTTGAGTCCCCACCGATTTGGGGTTTAGTCCCCCAATCAAGCCGCCATTTTCGCGTTCACATCCCTGGCTTGAACCTCTCGGCGATTTTTGAACAGGGTCACTTCCCCAACCAGCCCGCGCAGACGGGTTCCTGCTCTCGGGTATAAATGCCACACCTTCGTCCTGCTGCTTTCTTCCCTCATCTCGCCTTGATCTGATCATCGCGCTATTGTACGATAAAAAAAAGTCTCTGCTCTGACCAGTACCACTGGCAGGCATCCAGCATCCTCTGCCCCCATGCCTCCGAAGCGCAAGGGTGCCGGTGATGGCCAGCCTCGGCCACCCAGGCCCAAGAAAGCCAAGTCACAGTCGGAGCCTGTCTCTGGTTCGTATTCTGATCCCACGCATGCTTGTTCGTCTGTTGCTCCGTCGCTCACCACCACTGCTTCTGCAGATCCAATGGATGTCGATCCCACCGAGCCTGGTCCCTCATCTGGTCCTGTCAAGCGATGTCCCAAGTGCGACGGTACCGACCACGAGCGAAGCAACACCAACAGGTGTCCCGAATACCGGCCCCTCAAGAGTTCTGTCGTCCCTCTCGTGGATGGAAGGTCATCCGCCCCTCAGTTCAGCTGCTTCAAGCAGACGATGGATGGCTGTTGTCTCAATCCCGCTCTCCGCGACAAGATCCAGGCCACCGTCGAGGCCATGACCCAGATCCAGTTCGAGGCATCCAGGCTGCTCAACCTGCACATCCTCCGGTGCATCGAGCAGGATCTTCCCGTCCCCGTCATCTCCAGGGCCACCCCTGCATTCATCCGCCTATGCTTCAAGATTGTCGAGGCCGATGCCCTCTCGCCGACCGGGGACAATGAGAAATACAACAAGCATCTGGTCGCTTCCTTTCGCGACTACCAGACCACTCGGCACGCAGACCTGCCTCCGGCCCCTCGTCTGCCTGATGGCGCTCACAGTCAGCTTCTCACACTGGCTGTCAATGCCTATGCCACCAACTGCACCACCCACCTCGACCTGGCCTACTGGCGACTCCTTCGCCGCTTCTGTGCTGCCGTCTTCCCAGCCAACAAGCATAAGCACGAAGCCATCGAGGCCTGTCTCGAGCTCTTCGAGAAACCAGGGCAGACTCCACCCAAGGCCGATCTCGAGTTCCTCTACCCGGACTTTGGCCACGTCCTGGACGAGTTTCGGTACAGCAGCGACCAGGACCGCTTCCGGGCCCTCCATCGCCTCTCACACCATGTGGGAATCCTCGCCCGAGACAAGATGGTCGACAATGTCCACAAGTGGATCGACTGTGACATGCCCGCCCTCCGAGTCACCGAGCTGCAGCGCCAGGCCAAGCTGGACAAGCTCACTACCCAAGGCATTCCCTCCGACGACAAGAGGTTCACCACGGCCAAGTCTGAGCTCGGCACCACCAAGTCCAAGATCAACAAGCTGGCATCCAGGATCAACTGGGCACTCAAGCAACTCGCCGTCGACACTCCTCCGGCCGTGTGCACGATGGTTCCTCCATGCACTGCAAGGGCCAAGTATGTCAAGATTGACACGGTCACTCTCTGGGAGCTCCTGGGTCCAAAGAAGCGCCTTGGACTCACCAGGGACAAGCTCAAGGAAGAAGGCGAGGACGGCATCAACAACCAGGATCGTCTCTGGCGCAGTTGCTTCAAGCTGCGTAGTTCCCTCTTCCAAGAGCGAGACGTGAACAAGAAGCTGTTCAACTACGAGATCAGCACCGATGGCATTGGATGCACCATCGGTCTCGCCAAGTTTCTGCCTCGAACCGATCACACCGAGACCATCGAGCCTCCTCCGACTGCCGAGCAGCGTATCCAGGCCCACATTAGCAACCCAGACCCCGACAAGACCACTTGGATTGGCATCGATCCTGGAGTCGGCTCCATCTTCACGGCGGTCATCCAAGCACCGGGCCACCAAGACGAGGTGGTCTCATTCTCCAATGGCCACTACCAGCAAATGTGTGGCCACAAGTCCAATACTGAGTGGCACAACACCATGAAGTATCGACTCGATATCGAGACCTGGATGTCGACCACTCCTTCACCCAAGGTGTCGTCCTCGGAGGCTTTCAAAGTCCATCTCACCCATGTCCTGCGACCGGAGCTGCGAGTGCAGCTCGACTTCCACCTTGGCAAGAAGGCCCGTCACCATCGCTTCACGGGCCACAGGAGACGCCAAGTGGCCGTCGACAGGATGTGCAAGGCCCTCCTGAGGCACGCCCCGAAACGGACCGATGTGGTGATCGCCTTTGGCAATGCGTCATGGCGTCAAGGCAAGGGCTATGCATCCAGCCCTCGGAGGCAGCGGTTTGCTCGGTACTTTGAGCAATTCGAGCACCACCGACGCCGTCCCAATCACCATCACGGAAGCGTCAAGGTGGCCTCGACGAACGAGTTCAACACCTCGCAGGTGTGCTCCAACTGCCTGGAGCCAGTTCGGTTGGAAGGACTCGATGCGCCCAGTGTTGCGAATTCCCACTTTGTCAGGAGCTGCAAGAATCCCAGCTGCCGGACAGTGTGGAATCGCGATGTCAATGCGGCGCGCAACATGATCATAGTGTGCAGGTCGATTGTGGAGATCGGAGAGCGACCGGCGGTCTTCACTCGGAGGCTGCCAAAGTGATCGGTTTTATTTCTTGTGGCTTTGCTTGACGCAAGCACAGCACATACTACCTGTTCATGGAAACGGCTATATTGTCCCGTTTTTTTCTGAATAAAGTGTATAGTCAATCGGGACGCACTTGACTGACCGTCTGGCCCAACGCTGCCGATCTGTTCTCTCACGGTTGTGATGGACTCGACCGATGAGATCGACCGCAGAGGTATCGGAGTCTTGGACTGTCTCTGCGGGCCGGACGCCCAAGGAAGCGATGGACACACTTGGTGGTTCTCAGCCGAGTGCATGATACGGAACAGCTACGCCGCGAACTTGTCCGAAGTGCAATGCTTCGCCGTCTCGATTCAACGCACCGTCCTTTCAGGGCCGGTTTCGGTGCTATTTGCCATTCATCCAGTGCCCACAAGTCATGCACGATCGGCTCCAGATCGGCCCACAGGCCGATGAAGGCATATCTCACGGTAAGCTTCTCGTGTTTCTAGTATATCCAACAGTTTACCGAATGCACTCCTCCAAGCCCACTTTGATTGACAACCAAGACTGGAGACAATCTCACGACGGAGACAATGCAGCACGCAAGTCCTCGGGCTTCAGGTCTGCGATTGTTGCAGCAGATGGCTGTGATGCAAGCAGAGCTCGCAACGATGTGACCTGCCTGGTCGAGTGGTATTGCAAATCTGCCAGGCACAGCGATTGCCACGGACAAGCTGGGCTCGACGGCTGCTTCCGGTCTAGTGAAGGCGTTGTCAAGCAGTCAAACTCGTCAGACAGTATGCGTTGCCCCACTAGAGCGTCGTGAAGTGCATCGTCTGGCCAACAGATCGCCAGCCGTCCGGGGCAACGTAGAGAACAGACTGCTTGCAGGCACCGATATCTCTGGGAAGGTCCGCGACAGGAATCGAAAAGCGCTCGCAAACGTCGAGTGCTGAGCTTCGCCGGATGAGTATGCCAATGTCGGCAGCGACTGTGACGGGATTGGTGTGGATGCGGCGAGCGTTAACGGAGCGATTCCGAGCACACGATCGTTGATCATGGCATTTGCTCGGACCATCATGGTTCGGGCGGTCCTGTTGCTCTGGATATGGCTGCGCCGATTGACTTACTAGCACATGGAAGGTCTGATGAACTGAGGCCAAGAAACGCACTGGGATAAGTCAAGTGCAACACACACACCGCAACATCAACGGCATCGATCCGGCATCGGCGAGCACACTCGCATACCTATCGCCGATATAGACGACTGTGGTCCCAAGGCCCTTTGCAGCAATGAGCTCCTTCAGCTTGCGTGCCTTGTCGACGCCGTTGTGGATGTCTCCGACGATGGTCCCAGTCGAGATCTGCGATGCTGGGCCTTCGAGGGGCGAGGTGAACTCCAGGTCATTTGATAGGATCCGGTCCGATGCAACGCTGATGCCGCACTGGGACAATGTGGCCTGGATCAGGTCCTTGCTCCAGTTCAGGGAGAGCACATAGATGGACTCGGGAAAGTGCCGATCGAACGCCTGCACGAACGATGAGAACCCCGGCTGCACGAACGAATGTCTGCCGTCGCCATCGCTGTCGCCGTCGGCACCGGACCGGTCCCTGGTGGACGCTGCGAGACACTCGACCTTGGACCGAATGAGCGAGCGATTGATACCCGCCAGCACCCGGGAGGCAGATACCCGCAGGATCGACCGCTGGTCGACCTCCCGGGTTGCGCCGATGTAGTCGTCGAGGGTGACATGGGTTCCGAAATGCTGCTGCTGCTGCTGTCGAGCCTTGCAGCCAGCGAGATCGGCAAGATAAGCATCGACGACGGCATGCCAGCCGCTCAGATCCGGATGGTTCGAGACCGCCTCGGGAGGAATGGCCAGCGAGTCGGCGCGGGCCCATCTGGCCAGCAGGGCAAGGGTGTCCCGAGAGGTTACTGTTTCGTCATAGTCCAGGACCAGGACGAGCGGCTTGCTGGGCTTGCGGGCCATTCGGGCAGTGTGCAGACAGGTTGCGTTGGGAGATGATGGGCAGCACAAGGCGAAACCCGAGCAGCGCTGGCGGGAGAAACGAGCCAAAGCGAGCATGGAGTGTCCGGCGAAGCGATTGCAGAGCGACAGGGCCACTGGGCGATCAACGGCGGCGACCCAGAGCAGCGCCAGGACCGGCCCCAACCAACGGAGCTGCCTCCTCTCGACGGCGATGCTCCCGATTCGATACGTGGGCCATTGAGGGCGGGTCTGGTCGGGCTGATGGTGTGAGCATTTGGGCCTGTCGCTCTGTTCTGGGGGGAGTTCACGTGGATGCGAGCATCGGGCGATTCTTGAGCAGCGATCGGCGGCCGGGCGGATCGATCGCTGCTCACGACCGATCTGGGATGAAATGTCGGACTACGGCAACTTCACAGGCGGCGGCCTGAAGCTCAAAGGATCCAGCGGTATCAAAAAGTAGCCCATCTCGCCTCGCTCCGCACCTGTGTGTCCTGCTGCTGAGCCGAGATGGCCCAGACAACGAATCCCAGATGCTGCAATATCCTTGGATGCTGCAATATCCTTGGATGCTGCAGATGCCATGGATGCTGCAGATGCCATGGATGCTCGGTGTCAATCTCCTTATGCCGGACTCTGCCCGTGCTGATCGATTCCTGCATACTTGGCTCGCAGGAAGAAGAAGGACAAGAAAGAATCTAAGAAGCGGCTCGAGCATGTCTTGAAAGAGGACGTCCATAGCGATCGCGACAGCACCCAGGACGACTCGGCTCCATCGAGCGTCCTGCAGACCCTGCCTCCCAGCCGGAAAACCAAGGCCGAGCTCAAGTTCGAAGAGGCACAGATGAAGCGGGTGAGAAGGAATGCCGACCAGGCAGAGTGTGGCAAAGAGACTGGATTGCAGGCGGCAAGATGGATCGCAGGATCGATCCATCGACTCTGGGCCAGGGCCGTGGAGCAGTGCGCTCATCCTGAAACATTCTCCTGACCTGGTTGCGACCTGTGCCTCGGCCCCCAGCAATCCGAAAAGATCGAAAAGATCGTCAGCAAATCACACAAGGAACGAGTCTCGGTAAGCACAAGCAGGCACGCGCAGGACAAGTGCGGGCAGACGGATGGATGGATGCTGACTGCTCCGAATCTGTTGTTGCGCATCCCAAGGAATTCAACAACTATCTCAGCTCCCTGTCCGAGCACCACGACATTCCCAAGGTCGGACCTGGCTAAGGCCGGCCTGCGTCGGTGGCAGACAATGCCACGGCATCACAGCCAGCAACGATACAGAGACCGACAGATCAAGACGCACAGCGGTGCCGGGATCGGCAACGATCGGAAGGCCATCCATGACATCGCGACCAATAAAATACAGACATGGTGCTCGAGTGATGCTGTTCAGCGAGAAAGCTGAGCGCTGCGATGCGCAGATAGCCATCCATCCGGACCCGGCCAACGGTCAGCGGGCCGGTTCTCGCTGGCGAACCGTGGCAGTTGAAACGGATCTCCGCGCTGGGGACAACTGGCTGCACAGGAGACTGGTGTATGAGCGACGCAGCAATGTTGCGGGTCCCATATTTATTTCCGCGTCCGCAACTCGACTATACACAAGATTCCGATTGTAGTATACTGCTTTGCTTAAGCGGTGGCCTTCTTGGGCTTGGCGGAGGTGCCTGTGACGAAAGGCAGTGCGGCTTAGAGTCGACACTCTCAACCCAGACCAGTCGCAGCAGACTCACAGCACTGATCGCGCCTGGAACTGCGAGGGATGTCGCAGGCCGCTGCGATACTTACCCTCACGGAAGCCGTTCTTGAAGCGGCGGGGGAGGTCCTTCAGGTGAGCCATGCGGCCGGTGCCGGTGGTCTTTCTTCTCTTGCCCTTGACGCTCCACTCGACTGCAGTAACGCAAAAGAGACATCAGCATCCCGCACCGCCGCGAGTCGTCCAAGCCGAGCCACGCAGGACAAGACCTCGGCGAGATGCTTGGCAATCGACACGCCAACTTACAGCTTCTGATCTTAGCAGAGGGGTAGCCACACTGAGCGCAGGTCTTCTTCTGGTTGTGGAAGGCGCGACGACCACATCTGCGGCACAGAGTGTGGGTCTTGGTGTGGCGTTTACCGAAACTTTGAGTACCCTTGGTCTATATGTCCAGCAACCGCAGAGAGGTCATAGATCAATACGGGATCTTCCTGTTTGTCGGCACATGCCACAGTCGCATATCGACGCTCGGGGGCTACACAGGGCACTGTCGCGCATGATCGACGAGCCGCTGCGGCCATTCGGCGACCGGTTGGAGGATGGATACAGCCTCGGCGGGAAAGTGCGTGGCGGTCGTCGACGTCGGTACTGCAGGCGGACTGATAAAGCGGTCTCCACAGCGAGCGAGCACTGGTCGAGGGAACTTGATGAATATGCCCCGGTGCCGCGATCCGAAGCCGGCGGCCGGCCACGGCATCGTGAACAGAGAGCACCAACGGTCGGAAAGAGTCTTGGGCCAGCCAGCAGGGCATCCGCATCGAGATTCCGGCAAGATCCAGGGGCGATGGTTCGGGCGTGGTAGTTCGAGTTGGAGGTTGGAGGCTGGGGTACTGGAATTCGAATGCCTCGGGGTGTCCAATCCGTCCATTCCATCGGTCGATCGATCGATCCGTCCATCCATCCATCCATCCATCCATCCATCCATCCGAGGGTTCGTTCGTGTATCCATCCATCCATCCATCCATCCGTGCCGTCGTCGAGTCTGCCCTTCGCCCGTGGCCGCAAAGCCCGTATTTACCATTGTTGTAGACGGCGAAAATTACCAGAACCGAGAGGACGGCCAAGACTGGTGCTATGGAGAGGAGGGAAATCGAAACATTGCAGACACGCCGCTTGCCAATACCGCTGTGTGTCGAGGTGCCGATCACGTGTGGATTATGTAATGCACACACACACACGGCCGTGGCGGTGCGGTGGCGGCGCACGCGGGCACAGAACCTTCTGACACAGCTCTGGCTGGCTTTGGCTGGCTTTGGGTCCTCCAGGGCGCACTCTTGTTCACCGCCGCTCTTCCTCGATCCTCGTCCGCCTGTCTGCTCCGTCCTTTTCCAGAGGCTCGTCGGCACCCCTGCTCTCGCTCGGCTCACTCCCCCCACACAAACCCTACCAACAGCTCACAATGGCCCCTGTCGGAGGCAGCTCTATCGGCGACGACATTCTGCAGCGGCTCCAGCCGTCTCAGGAGCAGTGGACAACCATCTACTTCATCATCGGATACGCCGTCGGGATCCTGTTCCTCTGGAACATCCCTTATCTCAACTACATCCTGTATCCGTTCAAGGTGAGCATCCCCGGTCTCGTACTGTCGAGAGGCAGACTGCTGCAAATCGACCTGGACAGTCTGGCACAGTTGGACTTGCAGACCACCGTGCTGCCCAAGGGCTGCCGCCGCTCATGAGTCCTCTCGCCGAGCCCTTGCCTGGCTGGTCGCTACGCTCCTGTGATGATGTCCATCGATCACATTGCTGACAGCGCTACTTTGTTTTGATCTTTGCCAGATCATCACCGTGGCCCTTCACGAGTTTGGACATGCTTCAGCCGGCTGGTGCACCGGCGCCAAAATCGAGTACATCAACGTCAACCCCGACGAAGGCGGCGTGACTGGAATGCGAGGCGGGAATCCTTACATCACCTTGCCAGCAGGTGAGCCCACTGACTGTGCTTCTGAGCGGCCGTCCAACGTTGCATATGCGTGCTATGTTGCTGACCACGGTGGCTGCATGTCGCAACCAGGCTACATCGGCTCCTGTGTTTGGGGCTCCCTCATGATCTTTGCCGGCTTCAACCTTCTGGCATCCAAGATCGGCACGGGCCTGCTGGGAGTGGCGCTGCTGCTCGTTCTCGTTTATGCCCGGAACATGATGACCCGCGGCATCACCGTGGTCTTCATCGGCTTCCTGGCATTCTTGTGGTGGTTTGACAATGCCGTGGCTCTCCGCTACGTCATCCTGTTCATGGGGTGAGTGTGTGCTTGCAGAGTCGTGGCCGCGAGCCATTTCTGGAGGAAAGAGATCTCGGCTCAGGGCGGGGCCCCTGGATGGCGCCGATGTTGGGTGCGACTGTGGCTCTAACGTATGCATTATCCACCTCGCCGCATTATCCAGAGTCATGAGCGCACTGTACTCGCTCTGGGATATTGTCGAGGACCTGATCACCCGCAAGGTCAACGAATCGGACGCCTCAAAGTTCTCGCAGCTGTGCTGTGGAGGCTGCCTGGGACCCCGCTTCTGGGGTCTGATTTGGTTCGTCATCTCGATCATCTTTGTGGCCATTGCGGTCATCGGAGGTATCCTGGCATTCAAGAACGACCAGACCATCCAAATCGGCGGATAGGTGCGCAACAGCTTCCCGAGCGACGGCACCAGCATCAGCATCAGCAGCAACAGCAGCGACAGCAGCAATAACAACGGCACCCAGCCAGACCCAGGCTCCGACCAGTCTATTTGGCTGCCGCCGCTCCAATCCCACAGCGTGATCCGGGCGGCACCAACTCCAACCCACACCGGTTCTCATTCGTGCTGGCGACGCTCCTGTAATTTTTGTTTCCTTTCCTCAACATGGCTTTGTCATATCAGTACCTATATGATCTCCAATGCATGCCAGTCAGGCTGTGCCATCGGCGACTTCTTCCCGGGCATCTTTTGCTCGGACCGCGCGCATGTCAGCGAAGGGGGTGCTGCGGTGTATTGGTACATTCGCTTCCGAGGACACATTCTAGCAACGATGCTCTCCTTTCTCCTCAACACCGGCGATGCGCTGTGACAAGAGTGCCCTTCCAACGTAAGCCGGCGGCAGATATCCAGCCCTCGTTCGCATCGACGCCTCTACCGCCGATGGCCGTGGCTGAGATCCTGGTATGCTTTCAGGGCAATCGCAAACGGATCGCTCTCATCAGTGTCCTCGTTCTTTGTCGAGGCTCTTGCATCGTCGTCGTCTTCAATGTTCTGGGCATCGTCTTGGTATGGTTCCTCGGGCACGCGGCCACTATAGACAGCATCGACATCGTACCAGGGCTGGTTACCCAGGCCGTTTCGGTTTCGCTCGGGAATCTTTGCCCGTCCCACCCGTATCGGGTTGGTTTCAGGTCCGGCGATGGATGTGTTGTCAAACTCTCGAATGGCATCGATGACCGACTGTCCTGTCTCGTACGTGACGAAACCATAGCTGAGTGGATGGAGGCAGGGACATGGGTTTCGTCAGAAAAGCGCAATATAAACGCCAAGACTGTCATGGAATGCGAGCAAAACCAGCAGAAACAACGGCGCTCGGTCAACATATTCGCCGCACCTCTTGCCCGTAAACAGGCGAACCTCCTTGACGATCCCAACTTTGGAAAATATCGTTCGGACTTGTTCCTCGTCGGTGTTTGCTGGTAGATCGCCGAGGTAAATGGTGTTCTGATAAAACTCGGTCTCGAGATAGGTCGAGGCCTCCCAGTATTTCTGGAACCCAGGAAGAGCACCAACAGACGCCAAGGCAGGTCAGCGAGCCAGCCATGGGGGATGAAGCAGTTGTTCAGAGTGGAAGGTGCAGTCGATCGGAGTGGGTGGGTACTCCTCCTCAAGGTACAGCCAGAGTCAGCAGGGTCAGTTTTTGCTGCTGGGCAGTGCCAGCATATCCGTACCTTGCCCTCACGATCTCCTCGATAGGATGGAGCCGGGTCGTTTCTGTATCGATATCCGCCAGGGCGCCTGTAGCGATAGGAGCAAAGGCAGAGATAGACCGCAATGAGAATCTTGGTGCGTCGGCATGGCTGCGAGATCATGGCCGTGCGGACGGAGCGCCTCGGAGCACCTACGATGACGACGACGAGTAGGACGACCGGTATCGATCGTTGCGGTTCGAGCTCGACTTGTATGACGATAGCGAGCCGCTGCTCCTCGGTAAGCGATAGCTCGGGCTCCGCGAACGGCGGTCGCTCGACCGGTATCCCGAGCGAGACGAGCCCGGGCTGCGACTCCGACGTCGCGAGTACGAGCCGTCGTCCTCTTGGCGATGGTTGCGGAACCGGGAGTGCGACCGGGACTCGTCCGAGCTGTTCTCGGAGTCCGAGTGGGGCGGGCGGCGGGCCGATTCGCCCGCACCGGCGTCTTCGCTGCGCCGCGGGCCGCCCGACGACTTTCTTTTGGCTCTGCCAAACTCGTCAACGCTGGCGTTGGAATCAACAGAGTCTGAGCGTGGTCTCGACATGGTGGCGATGGTGTTGTGCGGATGTGTTGTCGACCAGGGCGGTGCTGGTGTAGTGGGGCCGAGCAGCTAGTCTTGGCTTGGCGTGCGGGTCGGGGTCTGTGCGGGACAGAGACGGCGTGGGAGATGATGGACAGACTGCAGCCAGACTCGATCGGCACCCGCAAGCGTCTTGGGCAGCCCGAGGACAGAAAAAAATTGGCGATCGGCAAGACAATGGGTTGCTTTTGGGCGGAGCCAGAGACACATTCACGATCAATTTTTTCCGGACCCCTCGCAGCTGCTCATCTCGGTCACCTGAGAGTCACGTTGTATGTGGCGCAGCAAAGTTGGAATCCGGCCATGGTCGGTTGACGGCATTTGGTATCGCCTTGAGCCGATTGACAGTGGTGGTGGGCGATTGGTGTGGAGGAATGACCAATTGTATCATTGTTGGAAGCTCCACTCCGATTGCGGACAAGAACCACCACCATCTGAATCTCTCTGGTTGGAAACCTAGTCAAGCGTGGCTGTGTGTCAGCGAGATGACATGATCGTTTGGCTATCAGGCAAGACTCACCTTGACAAGATGTCTTCCCACGACTGATTGAGCGAGCGATGCGTTTCTGGATCTGAATCAAGGACGCCACTGTGAGCATCTCTGCCATGCCCAAAATGCGCTGGTTTTGAGGAGATTCTTTCTTCCCCAAGGGCAGAACCAGCCATCGTCTGCTATTTTCTCGCCAGATGGCTCCCAAGAGAAAGACACCCCCCGATCCCGACCCAGGATCACCCAATGACTCTCATGTGGCCAAGAAGCCCGCCATCAAATCGTGTCCCTCCTGTGGCCTGACCAACCATGTTAGACCCTTCACCAAGAAGTGCACAGCCAGAGTCGACAGCAGCCCTGCCTCTGGCTCTGCCTCGGTCGCTGAAATGGTCAGCCAAGCACCCCTTCCAGACGAGCCCAGTGACGACACTGCCTTCCCAGCCCTCGTGGTCGAGATTCCCGCACCCAAGGTCCCTGTATGTGCCACGTGCAAGCAAGAGGGTCATGCCAGAAGCAACACCCCAAAGTGCCGTTTCTATAAGCCACTCTGGAGCTCTACCTTGCCTGACTGTGGCCCAAACGAGCAAGTCAAGGCCGAGTACTCGATCGTCAAGTGCACCCTCGATGCCATCATCAAGAACGATGCCTTGCACGACAAGATCGAGGAGACTGTCCGGGCCATGACCCAAGTCCAGTACGAAGCATCTCGTCTCCTGGAGCTGCATCTCAGGCGGTGCTTGGACGAGGGCATCACCCTCCCCACCGTGTCATCAACTACACCTTCGTTTGTTCGAAAGTGCTTCAATATGGTGCAGACAGGAACAGTGAGTGCCAAGAAAGGCACGACTCAAGAAGACAGGCACATCCTCGACACCTATGAGATGTATCGAAGTGCATGGAGTGAGTCGTGTATCCTGCCTCCAGTGTCCCTCCCAAAGGGTACTGGTTCACAGGTCCTTGGTTTGGCTGTCAAGGCCTATGCCGTCAACTGCGAGACACACATTCTCGATCGGTATTGGTCCCTTCTACGCCGATACTGCAATCTGGTCCTGGTTGCTCCCAAGGATGTGAAACGGCACACACACGTCGACGATTGTATGAAGCTGATGGAGAACCCCCTCTCCAAGACACTCCTCGTTGATCTGAGAAAATCCTTCGCCCACCATGCCGACCAGCTCTACAACTTTCGGTACGAAAGCCACCAGGACCTGTATCGAGTTGTATCGAAACTGGCCAGTGAAGTCTCTCGGCTGACCCACCTGAAGGAGGCCCTCTTCATGGTGGTCTTTCAGAAGATGATCATTCCCAGGCTCGCGAGGGTGACCGATGTTCTGAAAGGAGAGCGTGGGACGACTGAACGAGGAGATGTGTCAACCCATCCACCACATCGGGGCTGACAGACTCAAAGATCTCCAGACCCAGCACGAGGAGGTGTGCAAGCAGATCGCTGTGAACATGAAACGGATCAAGCGCCTCACCGACCGGCTTGCCCAGACCAAGAAGCGCCTCAACATCCCTCGAGCACAGTGCACATTGGTCCCGCTCTGCGATGCCCGAGCCAAGTATGTCAAGCTCGACACCAAAGCACTGTGGGAGATCCTTGGATACCAGACTGGCACTGGTCTCAAGTGGGATGACATGAAGACCAAGGTCAATGACACCACAAAGCAAGAGACCTTCTGGCAGACCAACTTCAAGCTGGAGTCGAGACTCTTTGGTGCCAGGGAGAAGGGGAAGCAGCTCTTTGGCTGCGAGATCACCACCGATGGGGTCGGGTGCTCGATCACCACACTCAAGTACAAGATCCTGAAGAAGAAAGATCCTAATGTCAAACCAGAAACCGTGGACAAGACACCCGAGCTCACCCCCGAGAAGAAGATCCAGGCCAGAGTCGGTCCCATTGACGACTCTCGGACCACATGGATCGGGATCGACCCTGGTGTGGGATCGATCTTCACCGCTGTCATTCGGGCACCCGGTCAACCATCCATCCAGGAGCAAGACGGTGTCAAGGTGACCAAGGCACATCGTGCAAGCGAGAAGATTGTGTCGTTCTCCAACAAGGAGTACCAGCATCGAACTGGCACCAGTCCAAGGCGACCAGGTGGATCCAGAGCACCCACAAGATCCTTGGTCTGCAGGAATGGATGAGCACCACACCAAGTCCCAAGATCCCTGGGTTGGCTTCCTTCCTGCAATACATTCGCCATGTGTTCGATGGAGACATGCTGGACAAGCAGCTTGTACTTCAGCCTGACCCGGCGACGGCGATTCAAGCGACTCGATCTCCACAGCAAGCGACAGCGCACCGTCCACGAGATGTGCAAGCAAGTCATCGACCAGGCACCACCGGAGACCGAAGTGGCGATTGCCTTTGGGGATGCCTCCTGGAAGCAGGGGAAGGGATATGCATCCAGTCCCAGGAGACTCAGGTTTGCCAAGTACTTTGAGCAGTTCCACCACCACCAGAGACGACCACCAGACCCGATCCGTCTCCAAGATCCATGTGTGCTCGGTGAACGAGTTCAACACCTCCCAGGTGTGCTCACATTGTCGGGAAGCCAAGCGACTCGAGAAGGTCGAGCATCTTGATATCGAGAAACCACACTTTGTCCGGAGCTGTACAAGCTGCCATACGCTGTGGGATCGAGACATCAATGCAGCCAGGAATATGATCTCGGTATGCCAGTCGATCATCGCCACAGGAGATCGACCGGGTGTATTCAAGACTTGTGCTTCCCTAAACCAACCAAAACAAAGAGATTGCCAACGAAGACAGGAGTGCAATACCATGGCCTACCCGCTGGGCCTACAAGTCAGTCAGCGGGCTTCAGATATCTGAAGCCAGAAAGTGACTGTCCCGTTTCTTTCTGGATAGACTGTAAGTATCTCGCACTGTTGTGCATTTCGACAGTGGATGCCGGGTCGCCCATATTCTGGGCAGTCCACTTCGGGGTTGCCATCCCTCTTGGGATGGTCGATGGGAGGTGGTTGACTCCCTTGTGCAAAGTGTGTGTGTGTGTGCACAGTGTGTGTGTGTGACGGCGAGAGGCTTCTCGCCTTCCCTCGGGGGTCTCTCGCCAGAGACTGCTCTTCTCGCCGACCGAGGTGGCTCCGAGAGCGCGTTTTTTCGTTCTCGCTCATTTTATTAACATGAAATTTTTTCAGCGTTGGGCTGAATGGAAACGGCATCACGTGAGATCGCTGTTTGCGCCGCCACTGGTCCAGCTGCGCCACGGCCTGGCTCTCTGATGCCCAAGCATCAAATTCCAAGCACCAAGCACCAAGCACTAAGCACCAAGGCAGCGACCAGATGCAGGCTCGGCCAAGATGTCGGCGGCGCCCGTGGCTGTCGTGTGGTCGACTGCAGATCCTCCTGTATTCATGAAATGATATGAAGAGAGACCACGTCTCAATCACAGCGATGGTCATGGCGACAGTGGCGGGGTCCGTGGTGCTGGCAGCAAGAGATTCGGTATAGAACAGATATTCTAAGCGAAGGGAGGATCCGACGAAGAGCAGCGGCAGCTGGTTCGACAGAAACAGTGCCGTTTTGGACGAAAGCGAGAAAAAAAACGAACGGGGAATCCAGGCAATGTGCGTGCAGAAGACACTGGGGCCTTGCGAGTCCAAGCACAGCGGCTCAAGCCACATGCTGGATGGGAAAAGCATTGATGGATGCGTGGCGTTGCTGTCGGCAGATGCTGCACCAATTCGACAATCGGCACAGTATCATCGGTACGAGAGTCCAAGAGGGCGAGGAGCGAGTTTCCAAGACCTGACGCCAACAAAACGCAGACGCAAAGTCGCTCACGACTTCACGGCGCTCTGAATGCTTTTGATGTCGGTCTCGGTCAGGATCTCAATCCGCGCCGGCGATGCACTGGATGCCTCGGCCTTGGCAGACACGGCCAAATCTCCTCCAGCCTTGAGATGAGCCGCCAGGATCTTGTTCATCGTGAACATGTGGACGCGCTTGACTCCCAGGACGTTCTCGAGGACTTGGTCGCAGTTGATGAAGCGACGGTCGCTCGAGTCTTGCAGGTTGTGGGCACGGACGTGCTCCCAGATCTTGCGGACGACGTCGGTTCGGGCCGCAGCCGGCGTGCCCATGAAGTTGGCCAGGACCGGCGAGCAAAGCAGCGGCTTGGTGAAGGCAGTCTCTTTCTTGGGCTTAGAGCCATCCTTATCCTTGGAGCCAGCTTTGCTGCTGGAGGAGCGTTTGCTCTGGCGGGAAGATTTGGAGGATCTGGGCGAAGGCTCGTCGTCGGACTCGGGTTTGCGCTTCTTGCCGGCCGCCTTCTTGGATTCTTTTTTTGAGGTGCCGGATCGACGGGCTTTGGTTTCAGTTCTGCGGTTGCGGCCACCTTCGTCATCATCATCATCATCATCATCATCACTGCCATTGTTATCGCCATCATCATCGTCGTCGCTGTGATCATCGTTGTGGGCATCATCGCCTCCCAGGTTCTCGTCCTCGGTGTTTTCTTCCTCCAGCTCCTCCATGACGGAGAGCACGATGCGGTCAAACTCTTTCCTCTGGCTCTCGAGCGACACGCCAAATTCCGACTCGATTTGGAGCCGGACCTTCTTGGAGGTGGTGGTGGTCAGGTCGCTCGACTCGAGAATCGCGCGAACCCGATCTCGATATTGCGATGTGTCCAGGGCCATGTGTGCGATAGAGGTAGCGGCGAACTGGGCGGAGGGGTCCGACGGGGATATTGATGGTCGATGCTCGTCACAGCGACGGTGAATCGCAGACTGTTTGCCGGGGGAGGTGGTTCCAGAGCAAGAATTGGAAAGACGGCGCTGTAAGTGCGAATCGGCTCAGGCCAGGGTGTCTTGGCAGACGCTTCTCGCTCGGTCTCGCCGAGACCCGCTCCCAGCCAGCGCAATCACCGCCACCGGCCGTGGGAACACTCGCACTCGACCATCGGCCAGTCGGCACGGTGTTTGGAGGAGGAATTCTTTCCGCTGGCGAAGGCAGAGGAGTGTTCTGGTTTCGAAGTCACCCCTCAACCGGTGCTCCGGACTCTGACGATGCACATCACCCACAATGATTTCATCCATGGCGACGCAACGACTTGATCTCCAGCTTATCCAAACCGTTGCCCCAGTCATCGTCGACTTTCGTGATCAGTGTGCAGTCTCCTTTTATTGTTTTTCATTCATGGGGCTATATTTAAGTTTTACATGGAGTAAGTCGTGTTCCTGTGGACGTATTCAGGGTGTTCAAACACAAGGAAATCAAACGGTGAAGAAGCATGAACAGGACAAGGACCGTGGGTACATATCTGAGAGGAGGAGGGAGGAAGAGAGACATGTACGGCAGACGGCGCGACAAAGAAAGCAGTAGTTTGTAGTTGGTGCTTGAACGAGACAGCGGATCTACCGGGAGGAAAAACAGAAAAAGGCAATCAAACAGGCAAAGTTGAAAAAGGAAGAGCCGGGGCAAGCAGCTCGATGTCATCCGACAAGCCTTTGGTCAGCCAGCTATACGGCGGCTCGGCCCACCGGTCGGTCTACTTGCGTGCTCATGAAGCTCGAGACTCAGCATTAAGGGCACCTGGTTGAGGGACTCTAAAACAAACAACCAGGATGTCATATGGAAGGGGCAGGGCAGGGCAGGGCAGGGGACAGGGATTTGGATCTCATCAACAGAGCCCCACGACAGAGCCACCGACAACGGGGCGCCGGCTGGAGCGTCAGCGGTGATCCTCATTGGAGATGATGGAGGATGCATCGCCAAAGGGGTCGGCTGAATTGCACTGCGGCGTCGTTATCAGCGGCGCCGTGCTATGGGTGCCTTGGCGTGGGGAGATGTCGGAGCGGAGGCCGTCGCAGGTGTCAGTTACAGCAGATACGGGGGAGACAGGAGAGTCGTGTGTCGATCCAGAATCCTTCAGTAGCTCCTGGACAATATGGAGCTCTTTGGCGCTGCTCTGGCCCGAGCTGGGCGATCCGTTCTTGGGGTTCGGAGGCTGGAGCATCGAGGAGGCAGCGCCCTTGGGAGCATCGTCGTCCTCGTCGTCGATGGTGAATGTCGCACCCTGGCTGTAGACATTCGAAGACGGCGTGGCTGAGGTGGAGTGTGGAGCGCCTTGCACGGCCGGGTTAGCGGCTCGGGTTGGAGCGATCACTGGGTCGGCAAAGTACTCTTGGCTCGGCAGAATGATGGCGACGGCATTTGGATCGAGATGGCTTCCACGCCACGACCGCCGGCTGCCCTTGGACTGGAGGGACGACGACGACATGTTCTGGTTCGGGTTGTACGCAAAGTTGGGCCAGTTGTCGGATACGATGGGCATGCTGTCAGGAGGCGGGCCAGGAACCAAGGAAGAGGGCCTTGGTATGGCCGGATACAGCGGATCGCCGGTAAGCGCAGGGAGGTCCGAAGTGCTGCCGAATCGAGATGGGCTGATGAAGGCCGGGGAAGGGCCAGGCAGAGTCGAAGGTGGGCGTTCCGAGAAGCCAAAGACATCGATGCCGCTGATGCGATTGGCGCTGTTGCGTCGGGAAGGCTTTGAGTAGATGCTTTCTCGGTTCGAGACATCGCCGGGGATGAATTCGTCGGGCATGCCTGGAAGCAGCGAGTCATTGAGATTGGCATAAGACCCGGGGCGGGTGATATGAACAGAGACGGGTCGCGAGGGCGGAACGAACGGGGACATGCGGTAGCCGAAAGGATGCATGGCGGCGTCGCTCGGCGGATTCTGGAGACTGACTCGGGATTCCAGGCCATCGGGAGGCGACAGCACGGTCATTACGGGTGTGTTTTCTCGGGAGCCCGCCCGCAAGCTGCGTTCCTTTTCTCGCTCGTCGTCGTTGGCGTTCTTGTCCCATCCCATGTACACAATCACCAGGAGGATGGCGAGACAGAGCACACCGCCGATACCGGAGAGGTAAAACAGGATGTAGGTCTTTGTCGGGTCATTGAAAACCTGGACGATGACGGGGTTCTGAGGCGGGGACAGGGTTGGCACGACCTGGAGAGTGGTCGTCGAGGTCGGGCGATGAGAGCTGGAGCTGGACGAGAGCGCGGTCAAGGTGTCCACCAAGGAGCTAGTCGGGGCATCAGTCGTGGATGGCGGCAAGATCGACGAGGAGGTGGCCAGGGAGATCGAGGACGAGATGGTGGTCGAGGCCGACGAAGTGGGCTGGACCGAAGACGAGGAGGTCGCCGAGAGAGAGCCGCTCGAGCCGGCGGACGGGGAGCTCGTCGAGGCCGGCGGAGGGCCTGTTGGAGGCGGCGGGACGGTTGTGGAGGAGGTCGCCGACATGCAGACCGAGGCAGAGCCAGAAGCAGTCGACAGACACGGATAGCGTTGTTGGTGAGTTTAGGCCGGAGACAGGAGCTGGCGATGGACGCTTAGCTGGCGATGGACCGCTTAGCAACAACCCTGCTCGGCGCTGCACCGGCACTTGGGGAGACAGGCGACGAGGGCGGAGATCAGAGGGCCAGAGGAGCCAGAGGAACCAGAGGAACCAGAGGGGCCAGAGGGGCCAAGAGAGCCAGGGAATCCGGCAAAGAAGCGATAGCGGGTGCCTCTGGAGACAGACCGGCTTGGGAGGCCCAGATGCAGCCGAGACGGCGTTTTTTTCGGCCAGGAGCAAGCGAGCGAGGACGAAAGACGACGGCGAGCAGCAGCCCCAACAGCGACGAGGCCATGTGTGCGGTGTGAGCAGCGCAGAAACGCAGAGGCGTGCCTGTTTGGCTGCCGCGGATGCGCGACGCGGCACCGGGGACCGGGGCTGCGGTGTGCTGCTGCGCGCCGCTGTTTCTGTGTGTGGCGCACTGGGCCACAGCGCTCTGTGTCCCGCCACAGCACCACAGCAGATTGCCCCTGGTCGCGTCTCCGTCGCGTGCCGCGTGTCGCTCGACGCGCAACGCGCGCGTCTGGCTCAATCGTCCTCACTCAGACTGCACCAGCCAACCAGAACGCCCCGCCCAGCCACATCGACAGGAGGCGCAGTCGGCAAATGTACCGGCCTCTGGTCGTCGACCTGTCCTGGATCCGGTTTTCCACCCATTCACGCACCAACCCATCCATCAGTCCATCCACACATCCTCCCTGAACCTCGTCTGGCCATGAGCATCGACGCCGACCCCTCTTCCGGCCAAAGCGCCGTTCCCCCTGCGACGCCAGTCAAGTGTCCCCTCGGCTACGACCAGCATCCGGTCTTCATCTCCTACCGCGTCTCCAGCGACAGCAGCTTTGTCGAGAAGCTCGCACCGTATCTGCAGTCCGTCTGGTTCCTGAAGAAACTGGGGCTCGGGCCGGAGCACATTTCCCTGCTGCCGCACATCTTCTTCGACAAGTATTGTCTCGTTGGCGGCACTCTCTGGGAAGACAGCTTCCTGGCGGCCCTCAAGACCTCCAAGCTCATCATCCTGGTCATCAGTCCCGATGCCCTCGTCGGGATCAACTCGACCCGCGACAACATGTTCCTGGAGGTGGGTTTGCTGGATGGCCTCCAGCAGCACTGGCCAGGCTCGTCTTTCCTGCTGCTCACCCTCACTCCCATGCTAATCTTCATGCCCTTGCCGTCGGCCGGCCGTGCTAGTGGGAGTGGGCCGTCGAGCTCCAGCAGCAGGGCCAGGCTCGGATCATGCCCCTGCTCCTCGCCACCGAAGACCCGAGCTCAGGCTCTATCCAGCCGTTTTCGTTGTTCCAGCTGGATCGCTTTCCAGACGAATTGCACCAGCACCCAGAGAGCCCCAAACAGCGCACCATTCGCGAAACCATGCGCATGATCTTTGCCATTCAGGGGCTCCAAGTCAACTCCTCCAACACCGAGCAGTATCGCAGCGCCATCGCAGACGCATATATGCAGGTCTTCGACCTGGCTCACCTTGTCAAGTCTCGGCCGCTTCCTTCTCTTATCGCAAAAGACCAACGGGTGGCAAGAACAAGTGTCAGCAAAACCGTAAGTACTGTAGCTATTGCAGCACATGGTTGGGCTGCACGAACGTCCCCGCCGGTACTCTTTGGTGCTGCTGCATCAAACTCACCCCACAGTTGCATCGTTCTCACTGGCACCGGGCGGCCACAGATCTCCAGAACGGACGAAGACGGCACAACAATCGAAGTGTCAACCAAGCTCTCCTGCAACGTGATGTGATGCGGTGTGAGCAGCGGCTGCTGCTGTTCCATCCGCGAGCACCGTTCTCCAAAGCCGATGGACATGAGAGCTTTGCTTGCAAGTCGGACCAAGCGAGCCACTGGGCCCCCGGGCAGCGTGAGACGCTTGGTCACGATGGATGTGTATTCGCGACCCAGACAGAGTGGCAATCCTGGCATCAAACCAGATGCCCCATTTCGGATAAGCATGTAGTCTGTGATGCGAATGAGTCCAACAGAGCGATATGCAATTCATCTCGGAGTGATGACCGTGGGTGGGTCGCTCTCCGGTCCCACAATCGACCTGCACGCTGTGATCGTGTTGCGCGCCGCATTGACATTGCAATTTCACCCTTTCCGGCAGCTGGGTTTCGTACGGCTCGCCCCTGGCAAAGTGGAAATGAGCAACGCTGGGTGCATCCAGATCCCTCAGTCGAGAGAGCCCCCAGACACTTGGAGCACACCTGCGAGGTACTGGTTGGTCAGGGTGCGAATGACTGGGCACGCCTGTCCAACGAAAGTTGTCTGGCATCCCCTGATCCAGCGACACATGGCGCTCTTGGACATACTGAAGATAGAGGCAAATCACCTTGCTTTCGCTTTATCTTTACAACATAGAAGAGATATTACTGAGATATCGAGGTGAATCGCCAATCAAACCTCCCTCAATACACAGGCGGCGAGGATAGAAGCGGACACATCAAGAAATACACAACAGGGCGAGAGGCACAAGAAGCAGTGTGGCAGGTGCGGCGAGTCCGGGAGGCCCCCCACAAATGCGTCGACTGCATTGCACCGTGCATGGTCTGGAACTTGGGACAGAGACACTGATCAAAAGGACAGAGCTCGATAGACTCGCCCGCGGCATGCTCCGGCACGCCAAGAGCAGAGTGCACGGTCTCTAGTTCTCGAGCTTGGTGACGGTGGTTGCGGCTTCCTTGTGGGCGTGCTCGTGGGCATGCTCCGGACGGTCGGCCTTGTAGACATAGTTGCGGGAGACGAGCCACTGGAGGAACGAGCAGACGATGCAGAGAGCACCGATAAAAATGAAGAAGGCCGTGCGAGACCACGAGGCGAGGGCTCTGAAGAGGATACTGGTGAGCACGTTGCCGATGGCGACGGTGAGCAGCCAGAGGGCACCGCAGGAGGACTTTGTGCGCTTGCCGACTTCGACGTAGGTCAGGTTGAGGCCGCTGATGGAGAAAAGGACTTCGCCGGCGGTGATGACCAGGTAGGGCACGAACTGCCAGAAGATGGAGAAAGTCGGGGAGATACAGACGATGGTTCCGTCGTCGAGCGTGGTGGTGACGCAATCACGTTCGATGACGGATTGGAAGATGGCGCAGATGAAGAACGAGATACCGGCCAGGAACTGACCGACGGTCATGCGCGCCAAGAGACCAAACTTGCCAGGGAATCGCTTCTCGATGGCAGGGTAGAGGTAGTTGGAGAAGATAGGGGCCAAGACAACAATCCAAAGGGGGTTGATGACGGCCGAGGCCGTGTTATAGTCGAACCATCCGGGGTACTGCATTTGCTGACCCTGCTGCAACCAGGAGGAGCCGTTCTGGTCAAAGGCGGTCCAGAAGATGGGCGACGGCAGGAGGACGTAGATAACCTTGAGGAGGTCAAACAGTTCGACAACCATGGCCTTGCCGACACGCTCCTCGGTCTTGACACGAGCCTCGGCCCAGCCGAACTTGAAGCCATTGTGGACATAGATGCCAGCAATCTTGGCAAGCTCCCAGGGGATGAAGGAGCCGGCAGGAGGGACAGTTCTGTAGAGGCGGTGGCCAGCGACGAAGACGATAAGAGAGCACGCCATCATGATGGTACAAGTACCCCAGGCCCAGGCGTAACAGTCTTTTGCGGCACCGAAGCAGTTCATAAGCTGGATCGCAGGGGTGACGAAACCAGCAATCAGGGCGCCGACGTTGATGGCGATGTAGAAGTAGTTGTAGAAGACGTTGAGCTGGGTGGTCTGGATGGACAGGAACTGGTCACCAGCGTGGGCAGAGACACAGGGCTTGATGCCACCGGTACCAAGGGCGATGAGGACCAGACTGATGAGGGGCCAAGTCCAGGGGATCTGGCCGGGAATGCCGAGGACGCCTGGCTTGGAAAAGATGGAGAGCATGGCCATGCCGATGGTGTAGACGACCGAGAGCGACACAATGGTGTTGTACTTGTTCATGAACGAGTCCGAGAGGGCAGCGCCAACCAGAGGGAGGAAGTACGCAAGGGATTTGAACAGGTGATACCAGACATCGGCGGTGATGAGATCCATGCCAAGGAACTTTGAAAAGAAGTCGTTGAGCAAGGGGGTCAGGCCGTAGAAACAGAAGCGCTCGGCAAACTCGTTGGGGATGATGGTATAGATGGCGGGAGGGAAGCGCTTGGGATTGGCCATGATCTTGGCGTCACGCTCCTTGTTGATCTCGGCCTCAAGAGCGGCATGGGCCTGGACCTGGGCATCAAACTCAGCATCGCCGGCCTCGAGATCCTGCAGGGTGAAGCGATGAGATGGGTCAGTGCAGGGCCAAGGCAGGAGCAGTGCAGGAGCAGTGCAGGGAGACCTGCAAGAGGACGAAGCAGGGCCGGACGAAGCAGGGGGCTCGCGCAACGACACGCCAAGAAACCGCTGGCGTGGTGGGCCAAGTGCAGGCCCGCGTTGAGATGACGGTAGTTGGGTGGGAGAGGTGTCATGGGAGAACGGCCGGCGGTAGACGGCACTCGTCGATGATGAAGCAAAGGGTCGAAGCACACCAGCAACACCGCCAGGATCCACTACCAGCGCAGAGCACTACTCACATTGATCGCCGAGGCGTGCTGGTGGATCTTCTGGTCGACTTCGTAGGTCTCTTCGGCGGACATGGTTGGTTCACACGGAGGGAGAGGTACAGCAGGACGCGGGCAGAGCGAGGCCGGTCGAGCGCCGATGAGGAAGTGGGTGGAGGGCAGCCCGAGGCAGCGCGGGTCCCAGCGGTCTTTATATGCATCTGCTGCTTCTGCTTCCCACCCCTCGGCGATGGGATTTGTTTCGACGGCAGGCTCCCACAGCGAGAGCGTCGCTCGCGTTGGAGAATGGCCGCGCCAGATGACCAACAAGAGCCACCAACCAACGGCAGCGCGGCCGGGCCTTGTGCGTCCGCTGTCCTCGCACCAGAAGGAGGCTCGTTGAGGCGCAAGGCGACCAAGGAGCATCACTGGCGCACTGAGTGTATGCGTGCCAGCCGGCAAGGCGGGTGGCTGCTGTTTTGCAATGGGGGGCGCACGCGACCGTCGCACACGGCTCGCCAGCCCAGCACTCCTGGATGGGCCGGCGTTCATTGGATGTGGTCATGATGGACGGCGTGTTTGGGTTGGGCGGCGGGGACCATAAGCAACACGGCAAGCAAGGATAGAGTTTACTGGGGAGGAGCCCTGCCAAAGCCCAGACACAGTGCTTGTCGTCAAGGCTCTGGACATATCCAGCTGCCCTGATGGAAGCGGTCCAGCGCGGGAGCGGGCGCCGGCCTTGTGGTGGTTGCGTCTGTTTCGTTGGCCGTGGGCAGAGCGCCGGTCCTTTGCCGGCTGCGAGTGGCTCGCCATGGCGAAATGGTCCGTGGCGGCCAGCGCTGGAGCGGCGTGATCAGTTTGTTTTTGCGGGGGGGGGGGCGGCTGCAGACGGCGAGCAGAGGGCGCGAGTGGAAAGCAAGAGCAGAAAGCAAGAGCAGAAAGTGAGGGCCGCGCGAGGAAGAAAAAAGTGAACAGTCGCGTGCTGCGACGATGTTGTCTGGGCTGTGGATTGAGACACTGGAATCAACGCTGCCGTAGGAGCAGGTCGACGGGGTGACGGCGAGACCGGTCGCATCGGCGTCGTTTCCCACAAGCATAAGCCATCTGTGTTGAAAGAGTCGACATCCCACGCCACACAGCAGCAGCAGGATCGACAGCAGTGCAAAAGTAACAACAAAACAACAACAAAAACAGCAACAAAACAGCGATATCTGTGTACTCATCCAGATCCTCAGCAAATGCGGCAACAACAACAACCCACGGCAAAACACTGTGGCCCGGCCCGGCTCGGCTGGCCTGTGGGGGCTCCTGGTCTTTCTGCACATCAAGGCCCATTCCGCGCATGTCCATGAACAAGCACCGCCCCGGGCGCCACTGGCCTCCTGTTCAGCAGGCCCCCCCCCGACAGCCTTGCTGCTCGGGTGCCGGTTGGATGCCGAGCTGCAGCGCACCCAGACACCAGGCAAGGGGCGGGTGTGGCTCTCGAGTCCAGCAAGCCCGCCATGGCGCTATCGGCAGCCTATAGCAGCGCTCGGTCTCGGCCACCCGAAACACTAGGAGGCATGTCGGGCGTACGTTGGGGACATGTCGCCAGAGAACAACATGTCTCAGCGACAGGCCCAGCCCGCGACCTCTTTCTCGTCCGTTGGTGACTGAGCTGAGTGAGCGGGCTGGTGCATTGCTCGGCGGCCGAGTGTCCAACGTCCGAGGCATGATCTTCCCCATCCGATCACCACAGCTGCCCAGCCCACCCTCCGGCATCGTCGCTGGACCAATGTGCGAGCAAGCGCCGGGGAGCACAAGGCCACCGGCACCAGCGGCGCCGGCCCATTTGGCCCCGAGGGGCAGCCACCCACGCGCCGTCCTGGTCTGCTGATGTCTCTCTCGGATGGACCCTCGGAGACAATCCTATTCCTCCCGCCTTCACACGGATCAGCCCGATCTGGCTGGCCCTCGAAACAGCGAGGTCCTTCCCGGGCTGCCCAGGCTCGCCTCAGTCGAGCCATTGCTCGTTGCTCCGACCGCTCGTCTGCATCGTCTGTGGCTTTCAGTATCGACAGCAACTCCGTCGAGCCAGCCGACGCCTTCGCCGCAATCTTTGCTGGCATGGATCTGGTAGCCAGGGACTCGACGCCAACCCAGGAACCCACCGAGCCCCCATTCGCTGCCGTCCGTTGTCAACGCTCGTTGCCCCGCTCCTTTCCACGACAGTTCAGTGCAGGAAGGCACTTCGTCGCATCGCTTTCCTGCACAGGCAGCGGCGTCGTGCAGGCCGGCCGCATAAACACTGCCTTGTTGGTCCCTGTTCTTTGGAATGACCCGGTGCTGGCGCCGTCGGGCGTACGCTGCGGGTATCACATCTATGTATTCGAGAGCCAGCTCGTCTCGGAAAGATCCAAACCTCCCGCGGCAGTCTCCAGGAGCAACGCCGTCCCCGTCGATCCTTTGAACGGCTCCGTACAACATGCGATTCCTCATCTATTTGAAAGCGCGGCGCAATCGCATGACTCACACCTCCAGCATGCCAATTACTTCCGACTCGAGAAACTCGGTCGCAATGTCAATGATGCGCTTGTTCATCGTCATTTCGATCGCTCCCAGATCGGCCAACACCGAGACATCCAGTAGCTCCTTCAACCGAGCCCGGCCGGCCGTTGATTGCACAGCCTCGCTTGAGGGAGGCACTTGTAAGAGCAGGTGCGGGCAGCATCAGTGTCGAGTGACGCCAGCCCCGAGGAGCATCAATCTCGGATCCAGACAGTCAGGGATTCAAGTAGCGAGTCGCGCCCGTCTCCAAAGCAACAAGAACAGCAGAGCGAGTAACAACATACCATGATCGAGTCGGGCTCGGCTGGATGCTTGCTGTCCGGCTCGCTCCACACGCTTACGGTCAGACCTTCCTCGCTGCTTGGGCTGCACACGGGTATCAGCAACCGATGCTTGTGAGGGACCAGCCCTGTCTTCATGGGAAATCCATGTCGATGTCCAAGCCGAGCTGGTGGCCCTATCCTGGCCCGGCGCCGATGGTTCTTTTGCATCGCCCGTGTCTGAAGCGCCGTCCACAGAGCGGCGGCGAGACGTCGACTCCAACGGTTCAGATCCTGACTTCAGTAGCCCAGATCCCGACTTCAGTAGCCCAGATCCCGGCTTCAGTAGTCCTACTGCTGGTGGTTGAGCGCCTGACCCGCGCAGCGACGGACTCGCTTCCGCTTCGATCCCAGCCGATGCGTAGGTTTGGGTGCACTCGTCGATCATGCGCTTTGGACCTGCTGGAGACAAAGGCAAGAGAAGCGTCCCCCGTCGTCAGAGAAAAGAGGTTCGCACAACGACGATCTGGCGACGGCCCCATCGATAGTTTCGAGTGCTCTCCGAGTTCTGCTCACTGACATGAAAAGCCCGAGACAACCACCACAGGCTGTGCAGGAGCTTGACGATCCCGGCTGCTGCTGCGGACGCTGGGGTCTGTAAGGATCTGGAACGGGACGGCTTTATCTTGACATGGTGTTTCGTCGCTGAGGTCGTCAGCGGCCTGCCCTGCGCTGGTGGTTGTGCCGGTGCTCTTGCGGTATCCATGGAGCCGCCGTCGAGACTTGTGCGAAGGTTGATGCTCCTCATGGCCCCACCAGATCGGATAGATGGAGTAGACCAGCTCTTTTGTGGGCTGAGAGCTCTGTCGATACAAACGCAGGCGATTGGCCCAGGTGTCGATAAGCCACGGGCAAACCCACCACAGCGGTTGGCAGCAAGCATTACTAGCAACAGCGCCGTCGCCGCAACCGATTCGACTTCTGTCCTCCCATTCCAGAGCCAACTCACATTGTCACGAGCCATCGTTGGTCGGCCCAAGTCCGCTGTTCCGGCAGTGTCCTTCTGCGACAGCCCCAAAGCCTTGGCATCCTTCTGATCGCCTGGTTGTGGGCCAGGCAAAGCACGCAGCGTCGCCGCTGTATGCGCTTCTCCCGTGCCAGCGAGCCTGAGGGCAATATCCTTGCGAGCGAGGGGTTGCTCTTGGATGTATTTGGATATGACGTTCGATCCGAGATAGACGGCATGGAGGAGCGCCAGATAGGCCTCGCGCACAGCATCCGAGTCTTCCTGAGCCGCGAGACGGCGGGTTTCTCCAACAGCAGCTTCAGCAACAGCATCGGTAGCAGCGGCGGCGGTAGTAGCAGCAGGCTCGCCCGCAATGGCTGTATTGACTGGGGCAGACAGCTGCTTCTTCTCCATCGTCAGCAAGCGCGAGGCAGCGGGTTGGTTGTGGGTCGTCAGGGTCTGATCCGATGGAAAGCAAGACAGCCGAGTCCAGGACAGCGATCGGCCGCGCGCATTTGGCTTGCCCTGGAACTTTCGGCCGCCCTGCCTTGCTTTTTTGCTCGGCTGCTGCTGCTGCTGCTGCTGCTGGACGGGACCGTCGCAATGCATGTAACATGGACAGCGCACACCTGGCTCAGCCAGAAGCCCCAGATACAAAATTGAAAGTATATATTATTCTCTGGATGAAAGCGATCAATATACAATAGTCGTTGAGATTCTGCCGAGTGGGCCCCGGCAAGCAAATTGGTGATCGGAAAAAGAACAGGGATGGACAGGCGGGCCAGTCGCTCCATCGGAGTCGGTCACGCCGCTTAGATTTTGGAGCGGGCAAAGTCAATGCCCTTCTGGATGCTGCCGCGGAGCTCGACAACGCAGGCCGCATAGAGCGCCTGCTCGTGGCTGTCCAGGGCAGGGAGAGGGTGGACCTTCTCGACACCGTCGGGCTGTGTGGGAAGCATGGAAAGCAATGTCAGCATCTGTGTCCATTCGGATGACCAGCATCCCCACCACTACCTCCACCTCCATCAGAGACATTGTAGATTGTTCGACGGGATCGCAGGGCCTCCTCCTCCATCCGGCAGCAACACAAGCAGATACATACGCCAAAGACAACACGGGTCGAGAAGAACTCCAGCTCGTCCTTCTCGGCAACATCGGTCTTGAGGAAGGTGCACTCGCTGATGCCGGCCTTCTTGGCCACAGTGGCATCGAGGATGGCGTTGGCGAAGCGGGCTCCGGCATAGGCCATCGACAGGGTGGCAGAGCCGGCACCATTCTTGGCAGCCACGACCTCATCGCCGCCGTACTGGATGCGCTTGACGAGAGCCTCGCGCTCAGCGTCGCTGAAGGTGCCGAACTAGTTGGGTTGACGATGAGCGATGGACGATGAGCGATGGACGATGGACGATGGACGATGGACGATGGACGATGGACGATGGACGATGGACGATGGACGATGGACGATGAACAAAAAATCAACAGGTTAGATGGTCTCGACATGTCTACGGCAGCGCCGTTGATTCCTGCGAGGGCTGGGGCTGGAGCACACACTCGTATCGGTCGGCGAACCAGTCGGTAGATGCATGCCAGACTTACAGCAGAGAGAACGGGGACGATGGTGGCGCCAGAGTGGCCACCGATCACATCGATAGTGACATCCTTGGGGTCCTTGCCTCGCAGCTCAGCGACGAAGGAGCTGGCGCGAACAAGATCGAGGGTGGTAACGCCAAAGACACTGTGCATGCAATCGACGCAGCAAGAGGAGACATGTTAGCCGACTGGACCGAGCGAGCGCGTGTGTCCGACCTGTCTCCGTTTAGATCAAAGCGACCCAACGCTGGTCTCGAGGGAGAGAGAGAGAGATCTGTGGCGACGTTGTTGGCCAATGTGCAGCTGGATCAACAAGCCGGACTCGGAACCGACAGCAACGCAACGCTTACCGGTGAGGGTTGAAGACACCGTGCTGCTTGAGGACCTCAGCAAAGATGGGAACAGTCGAGTTGACGGGGTTCGAGATGATGCAAACGTAGGCGTTGGGGGCAAACCTGTGCGGATGGATGGCGCAGTGGGGGGTCAGATGAGAGGGATCGTGTGGCTTGCTTGGGGGTCTGGCAGCCAGCTCAACGAAGGAGGAGCGGGGATTGCGCTTACTTGGCGGTGGCCTTGGCGATGCCGGCGACGATGCCGGCGTTGATGTTGAAAAGATCGTCGCGGGTCATGCCAGGCTTGCGGGGAACACCGGCGGGGATGATGATGATGTAGGCACCGGTGAGGGCAGCCTCGAGCTGGCTGTCGCCAATGTACCCAGTCACCTGGAAGAGACAACCCAGAGCACGGTCAGGGACAGCAGGCGCAGATCAGATCGGACTTGGCCGATCGTTCGCAGAGTGCCGGACAAATCGGCGGCGCAACCAAGCCACCAGCGCGCAGGAACAGAAACGACCCCACCCCACCCCCAGGCGACGCGCGGGATGTGCACGCAGAGCTAGGACGAGACGACAACGGCGACGATTACCTTGGCAGGAGTGTTGATGTGGGAGATGTCGGCAGCAACACCGGGGGTGTTGACGACATCGTACAAAGCCAGCTCGGTAATGAGGGGATTGGCCTTGATCAGGAGCGAGAGAGGCTGGCCAATACCACCGGCAGCACCGACGACGACGGCTTTAACCTGGCGGGTCGCGCAGGCGGCGGGTGGAGCGATAGAAGCGACCAGGGTGAGCAGAGGGAAGGCGAGGGTAGGCGAGACCAGCGCATCTCGGCTGCTTGAGATACAGATGGCAACAACAGCAGCACGACGGCAGCGGCAGTGCCCGACCGATCCCTGCAGGCAGCAGGTCAACCCACCATTTTGCGAGTGTTTGAAAGAAGGAGACGGGATGTTGGGGGCGAAGGATGCGCGGGGAAGAGGTGCGGGCTGGCGAGCCGGGTTTTATACCGCGGGGCGTGCGTCAGATTGACAGCGCCGCGCATCAGGCTTGCGCAGCCACCGCGGATGGAGCGGCCGAGGGTGGGCCAGGGCGGTGCGTTCCGGGACGAGGCCGGCAGCCGGGAGAACGACGGGAGAACGACGGGAGAACGACGGGAGCAACGGGAGAGCAACGGGAGAGCGACGGGCCGACGCCGACCGATGGGGGGGGGCGATAGAGTCGATCGCTGCGCGAAGGATCATCGAGCAACGGGCATGTCGTTACGCGACGGATCGATGGTCGATCAGGGATGCGATGGGATCGATGGTCGACCATGGGCGTCGAACTCGTATCGCTGTCGACGGCATTCCGACTGCCGAGCAGCGGTATGGAGTGTGTCGTCAACAATCGACACCAACAATCGACACCAACAATCGATATCAACAGTCGTTATCAACAGTCGTTATCAACAGTCGTTATCAACAAACCAACACCACTATCGAGACCACTATCAACACCACTATCCTGCCCTGATCCGCGGTGCATCCCGCCCTTTCCTTCCCTCGAACCTGCCCCCCAACTCACCCTTTCGTCTCGATCCTCTGCCCACAGCGTCGATCGAACACATCCTCGCCATGAAGTCCAAGACTCTCTCGCCGCAAGTGCGTGGCATTCCTCTGGCCAAACTCTCCATCTCCGACTTTGTGGGAATGCCAAAGGACAAGGCGCATTCGCTCAACATCGGCGGTGGGTTTTGGAATCCCACGCTCCTGCCAAATGTCGTCTGTGTCGATGTTGGCCTGCATCCTTTACTCACTTTCGGCCTGTCTCATGGCGTGCTCGTTCTGCCGCACCCGGTCTCGTTGCATCGCATCTTGGCATGTGCTCGCGAGCAGTCGTGGAAATCATGGTAGGTCGCCGGAGAGGAGTCGCCTGCGCTGCAAGAGGCTGCATCGCTCTGTATCGCTCTGCATCGTGCCTTCTTCGCGACAAAAGACTCATCAACGCCGGTGATGCATGGGCAATCGTTCCCACCCTAGATCCTCAATCTATGCGACAAGTGTGCCGAAACAAAGCTCAAGTATGTTGGTCTCGGGACCTGCACAGCTTCTCGCCTCACGAGCCGATAACATGTGATACTGCTGCTGTACCGTTTCGGCAGATGGATCCTCTCTGAAGCCATGGCGGCCGGCAAGTGCTCGCGGACCGGCGAAGCTCCACAGCGCATCGTCTTGGAGACCGAGTCGGGCACGGACTATCAGTTGGTGTCGCCGGTGCACGACGGCGAAGACGGTTGGTGTCGTAGACTGACGGAGGGGTCATGGGCCGAGGGTCTGCGACTCGTTCGGTGTATCGGCGAGCTGTGTCGTCCGGGCTGTGGTCTGCCCCAGGCCTGTGGACTGGCCATGACTCTTCGTTGCAACAGATGGATGCATGCCAACCCAAATGCCTCTCGATATGCGTGCGAGCCATACCAGCCACCGGCCTGAAGCCCACATCTCTCTCTGTCCCATCGGCACGGCTCTGTGGTCGCAGGTGCTTCTCTCGACGAAATCGAAAAACTCCTCATATGGCAATCCACCCTCTTTGCAAGCACGCTGCGCCGATACAACCTGCTGCAGGGTATGTCACCGCGCATCATCCCCCGTCGCGAAATTGGCCATGTCGGGCTTGCCGCACTCACTCTCTCGTTCCCACCGGGATCCAGCGCTCCTCGATCGCGATGCTCTGGTTGAGCCGCTGGACTGGAGGGCGTGCTCGTTTACATTCATCCGCAAGGTGCTCGTCGGCGTCTTCTGGAAATCGCCGGGCACACTCAAGCTCGAGCCGCCCGCTCCGCCGTCCTCCAACTCTGTCCTGACGCCCATTGCGGGCGTTTCTCGCGCTGCCCTGCCGCTCTCGGCCCGGATCATCAACTCCAAACCCCAGCCGCCGCATCTCTCCATTGACTTGGCCGAGGCTACCGACAGAGCGTCGTCAGTCCTACGAGGCGGGCTGAGCCCGCTCTCGCCCTTCAGCCCACTCTGCCACCAGTACTACTACACCCTGGCCTCCGTGGCGCTTTCGCCCTCCAAGACTGCCTTTGGGCATGCCGAGGACTGGACGGCGTCGCGCAAGGAGAGCTTTGCAGTAACTCCGGGCGCAGGACCTGACCGGGAGCGGCTGCACCCGCACGGCGCATCCAAGTCGCTTGAGAAGGAGCACATCAGCGTCCCCCAGGTACAGCACAACGCTATCCAGCGATACTGAAGCATTCGCAAATCGAGACATCAGAGATTTTGTTGAGACCAACGGCCATCGTCTGGATCCTCAACATTCGCGCCCTTCTCCACTCGGACAGCTCAAAGTACCGAGCCAGCCGCTGTGACCTCGGGCAGGATTGCAGCCCATTCGAAACCGGACAGTGGCGCACCTGAATGCTCTCCACATCAACCACTGCTTGTGGGTTCTGGAAGCACAGAGTTGAATACATCTGGTCAATCCCCTGTGGCGACGATCGACTGATATTGATGTGTCGATGTGGGAGTGTGGTGCATCCCCTCGATGTGAATGTGGTGCATCCGCTCAACTCTCTGGACAGCTCCATGGTGTATCGATATCAAGATACACGACCTTCTCGAGTCGCTTGACTCGCCGTTGCCGAGTCAGGCTGAAGTACAGCTGTTTGTCCAGCATGTCTCCATCGAACACATGGCGAATGTATTGCAGGAAGGAAACCACCCCAGGGTTCTTGGGACTTGGTGTGGTGCTCATCCATTTCTGCAGACCAAGGATCTTGTGGGTGCTCTGGATCCACTTGGTCGCCTGACTGGTGCCAGTTCGATGCTGGTACTCCTTGTTGGAGAACGACACGATCTTCTCGTTGGCGCGCTGTGCCTTGGTCACCTTGACACCGTCTTGCCCCTGGATGGATGGTTGACCGGGTGCCCGAATGACAGCGGTGAAGATCGATCCCACACCAGGGTCGATCCCGATCCAGGTTGTCCGAGAGTCGTCAATGGGACCGACCCTGGTCTGGATCTTCTTCTCGGGGGTGAGCTTGGGTGTCTTGTCGTCCTTGTCCACGGTTTCTGGTTTGACATTAGGATCTTTCTTCTTCAGGATCTTGTATCTGAGCGTGGTGATCGAGCACCCGACCCCATCGGTGGTGATCTCGCAACCAAAGAGCTGCTTTCCCTTCTCCCTGGCTCCAAAGAGTCTCGGATCCAGCTTGAAGTTGGTCTGCCAGAAGGTCTCTTGCTTTGTGGTGCCATTGACCTTGGTCTTCAGGTCGTCCCACTTGAGTCCAGTGCCAGTCTGGTATCCAAGGATCTCCCACAGTGCTTTGGTGTCGAGCTTGACATACTTGGCTCGGGCATCGCAGAGCGGGACCAATGTGCACTGTGCTCGAGGGATGTTGAGGCGCTTCTTGGTCTGGGCAAGCCGGTCGGTGAGGCGCTTGATCCGTTTCATGTTCACAGCGATCTGCTTGCACACCTCCTCGTGCTGGGTCTGGAGATCTTTGAGTCTGTCAGCCCCGATGTGGTGGATGGGTTGACACATTTCCTCGTTCAGTCGTCCACGCTCTCCTTTCAGAACATCGGTCACCCTCGCGAGCCTGGGAATGATCATCTTCTGAAAGACCACCATGAAGAGGGCCTCCTTCAGGTGGGTCAGGCGAAAGACCTCACTGGCCAGAATTGGTACGACTTTGTACAGGTCCTGGTGGCTTTCGTACCGAAGCTCATACAACTGGTCGGCATGGTGGGCGAAGGATTTCCTCAGATCCACGAGGAGTGTATCGGAGAGGGGATTCTCCATCAACTTTATACAATCGTCGACGTGTGTGTGCCGTTTCACATCCTTGGGAGCAACCAGGACCAGATTGCAGTATCGACGGAGGAGAGACCAATATCGATCGAGAACGTGGGTCTCGCAGTTGACAGCATAGGTCTTGACAGCCAAACCAAGGACCTGTGAACCAGTACCCTTTGGGAGGGCCACTGGAGGCAGGATACACGTCTCACTCCATGCACGTCGATACAGCTCATATGTGTCGAGGAGGTGCCTGTCATCTTCTGGGGTGTTCGTCCTGGCACCCACTGTTCCTGTCTGCACCATATTGAAGCACTTTCGAACAAACGCGGGTTCACTCGACGACACGGTGGGGAGAGTGATACCCTCGTCCAAGCACCGCCTGAGATGCAGCTCCAGGAGACGAGATGCTTCGAACTGGACTTGGGTCATGGCTCGGACAGTCTCCTCGATCTTGTCGTGCAAGGCATCGTTCTTGATGATGGCATCGAGGGTGCACTTGACGGTGGAGTAGTCGGCCTTGACTTGCTCGTTTGGGCCACAGTCAGGCAAGGTAGAGCTCCAGAGTGGCTTATAGAAACGGCACTTTGGGGTGTTGCTTCTGGCATGACCCTCTTGCTTGCACGTGGCACATACAGGGACCTTGGGTGCTTGGCTGACCATTTCAGCGACCGAGGCAGAGCCAGAGGCAGGGCTGCTGTCGACTCTGGCTGTGCACTTCTTGGTGAAGGGTCTGACATGGTTGGTCAGGCCACAGGAGGGACACGATTTGATGGTGGGCTTTTTGGCCACAGGAGAGTCATTGGGTGATCCTGGATCGGGATCGGGGGATGTCTTTCGCTTGGGAGCCATCTGGCGAGAAAATAGCGACGATGGCTGGTTCTGCCCTTGGGGAAGAAAGAATCTCCTCAAAACCAGCGCATTTTGGGCAGGGAGTGATGCTCACAGTGGCGTCCTTGATTCAGATCCAGAAACGCATCGCTCGCTCAATCAGTCGTGGGAAGACATCTTGTCAAGGTGAGTCTTGCCTGATAGCCAAACGATCATGTCATCTCGCTGACACACAGCCACGCTTGACTAGGTTTCCAACCAGAGAGATTCAGATGGTGGTGGTTCTTGTCCGCAATCGGAGTGGAGCTTCCAACAATGATACAATTGGTCATTCCTCCACACCAATTGCCCACCACCACCGTCAATCGGCTCAAGACGATACCAAATGCCGTCAACCGACCATGGCCGGATTCCAACTTTTGCTGCATCTTGGTCTACAGCGTGTATTCACATTCGAGATGAGCAGCCGCGAGGGGCCGGAAAAAAATTGATATGGTGCAATGCAGCTTGTCCTTGACCAACCCAAATATCACTCAATTTTCCTTCAGCCACCAGTGAGTCATGATGCATCACGATGAGTCATAAATTCGAACCAATTCGAGCCGATTTAGACCTCCTGGTTTATTCAATCGCCTCCCTTCCCAGCCCGTCCCCTGCCACCGAGGCATTGCCACTCTGGTGAGACTTGTAAATCTTCCTGGTCGACTCGATGATGTCAATCGGAATATTATGGCGATAAAGCTTCATGTACTCCCATGATACTCTGGCGTATTTCCTGATGGTCACCAGCGGGATCTCATAGAGGGCTTCTTGGACCGTGTGTTGTAGTCCCTGGAAGGTGTAGTCGCATCGAGCACGAGTCCTCTGTTTCAATGCACCCCAAAATCTTTCAATAAAGTTGAGTTCCGGATGAAATTTCGGGAGGTAGATGAGTTTGTGCCCGTGTCTCTCGATTATGCCTTGAAGAATCGGTGTCTGCGCTCGGAAATCTGGCTGTGCATCCAAGAGATGGACGGCGCAACATGCTATGCCTGTTGCGTCGATACTTTTGATTGCAGCCTCGGAGGCTGCGCTGCATTTCCTCACAAGACCTGCTGGAGGCCAAAGATGGCGCTCTCTGAGTATCAATTCGAGTCCTTTCTGCTGTCCAGCTTTGGCCTTCACGCCTAGGAACTGCAAAATCAGTTGGTACAGAGTGTTAGCTCGAGCATGTCATTCTATCATCACAAGTGATTCCTACCTCGAATCCATTTTCTTCATCATCTTTGGTAAACTGCATCTCCTGAGGAGTGTCAAAGGGGCCATAAGTCGTCTTCCGTAGTTTCGGATTCGCTTTGCCTGGTTTCTTGGACATATTTGAGGCCCGAAGCGCGTCGGGTGCAAATGACTTGTGATTTGAGGCGTTGTCAAACTGAAATAATGCCACACACCCAGGATGGAGCTTTTCAAATATAGGGATGGCCTTGCTCTCCAGCTGCGTTGCCATATCATTGCTTCTCCACCAATTTCCTCTTCCAGGATAAATTATCGTTGTTGAATCTCCCAAGTCAGGGTGCTTCAACAGCCCATGACACTCGCAGAGGAAGGTGCTGACCATAAGGCTCCTTCCAAGTCCTTACAGAGGGAAGCGTCGCTGTTGATTTGTCCTTCACTCTTGGCTTGGAGATAACTCAGGATACATCTGTGTCGCTTTACGTCGTGGGCTGAGAGGTCTCCGTCTCTCTCGCTTGTGATTTTGGGCTTGAGGATGGCTTGAAGAGAGGAAATGGCGGCGTTCATATGTTCTTGGGTAAACAGCGCTTCGTCGTCATCATCATCATCGCTCTGAGCGGTTGGGGCCTCATCCAGTGCCGTCTCGGTTTCTGGTTGATTGTCGGCTGGGCGGTACATGTAGCTGTCGATCAACGGCGATTCGTGGACCTGGAGGGCTTTCCGGGCCAGGTTCAGTTTGCGGCCCCTGTTTGGTACGAGAGACCGGTATAGGCTGACTTTTTTGGGTGCTTCGTCCCTGCCGTCCACTTGATCGCCCAAGAAACTGCGGGGACAGAGGGCGGTGGTTCCGAGCCACTTGTGCTTTCGCCTTCGATCTCCAATAGATCGGTGCCAACAACTTCACTATCGGTGGCTGGGCAGTCGATAGCATCGCAAGGGCTATCGCCCGGCCCCTTTGGCTCTGGGGGGTCGGCTGAAACGAGGGCCGCTGCGGCTTCTGCAAGCTTGCGACGTTTGGCAGCATTCGCTTGGTGCGCCTCGATGGCCTTCCTGACCTTGGCTTTATTCTTCGTTCGGCCCATGATTCAGGACAAGCAGTTGTAAAATACCCAATATGAGCCCTGTGGTTCAACAGCAGAGTGGTTGAGAAGCAACTGGAGGCGACCGGGGGAAGGCTTGGGGATGCTGAGAGAGCAAAACGGCGGCCTGGAGGCCAAGCCAAAAGAAAACCGGGGAGGATGGGTCGCCTTCCTAAAAAGGAAATTGTATACCGCCCGGGTTCTCAATTTGGGGGCGGCCATAATAATAGGACCCACTTTGGGGCAGCATTCCTCCCCCAAAAACCATCCGATGGCGATAAAAAAAATGTGAGGTTGTAGCCACACCAATTCTGCGTAAATGTACAGTGAGCTTGAAGAAATATATTGAATGCATGTGGCAGGATGTCGATCCTCGCAAGCGCGAGAAAAGTCAAGGACAAGACGCGTTGCACTATAGCGTCTAAGCCACACTGCGCCAGCGCTCCCGGCTTTGACGTGCCCAAAGGTCCACACCGGCCAGAGCAGCCCCTCGTGTCCATCGATCGGCGCTCCAGATCGCCAGGTGAGCTCCCTGGACAGTAAGCAGGCTCTTGCTGCGGCCTGCATCGGGCGCGGACGCTCTGTGCAGCTTCGCCGACGACTGATCTTCACATCCGCATCTGTGTCTGGGCCCGTGCCTGCTGCACCTCGTCGCTGCATGCAGTACCTGAGACTGTGCTTCGACAATGGCAATCAAGAAATCCATGAGCAACGACGACGTTGCGATGGCCGACCCTCACCCGCCCGAAACCAGCGACACTCCTGATCAAGGTGCAAACGCTGACGAAGATGAAGCCGTGGAAAGTCCGCAGGAACTGGCGCAGCTCCGGGTTAGTATCGCCCTGTGTTGCAGGTGTCTGAGCATCACCCCGATCCTCCCTCCTCGTGCTCGATGTGCTAACGCCGGCCCACGACGCTTGCTCCTGCATCGGCACACCGCGGATCGCTGCAGAAAAAGGGCATAGAAAAGGACATTAGTGCACTGAACGAAAAGAAGGTAGGAGTGATCAAGCCCGCCGGCGGTCTGACGAGCCGTGGATGCGCTCGCTGGCCGATCTGGTTATGCTCCAGCCAACGCCCAACTCGTTCCTCGGCTCCGCTGCGCAAGTGTATCGATCGCTTACAGCGCCTTCCTGTCGCCGCTGACTCGCAGAAAAACGACACCCTCAAGCGCTATGCATACCTGCTGGGACAAACCGATATCTTTGGTACCTTTCGCACTGTCTGGGGCTTTTGGCCTGGCATGGCGTCCTCTGCTGCTGGAACCACATCAGACACTTGCGCCAAATATCTCATCACCGTCGCTGGCCTAATCACGCACATGCGATCCGCCGTCCCAGCGCACTTTATCAACATCAAGAACATGAAGTCCGGCGACGCCAAGGCTCTGCTCGAGCTGCAGGCCAAGCCCGACGAGACCCAGACGAGCAAGGGACGGAGGTAGGATCCCGGAGCCCTGACCGCCGCATGCCATTGATGCGGACTGTGTCCTCGTTGACTCGCTCGCTTGATGGATCCTGTTCACTTCATGCATGTGCATGGCTTGGTGGACTGACTATCAGCCAAAACACTTTCCTATCAGCACCCGACGAGGCCGAAAGACCGAGCAAGAGGAAGATGCCGAGCTGCTACGAGATGAGCTCCAGGAGGACGAAGAAGGCACAACCACCATCACGGAAACGCCTGCATGTGAGCCGCCGATCTCCGTCGCGATGAGTCCTCCGCTCGTCACTATCCACTCCGATGCTCGTGCTTCCATCGATGCTGCATCTTGCTCTTGGTGATATCCCTAACTCACGGCCTGGTTTGCCCTTCAATCCCTCAGACGTCAAGGGTGGGACGATGCGCGATTATCAGATGCAGGGCCTGACATGGCTGGTTTCGCTGTTCGATAACGGCATCAACGGCATTCTTGCGGACGAAATGGTACTGTTAGCGCCGGTGCAGACACAACACCCGTGTCATCGAGTTCCACGACATCAATCGACGTGATGTCAGTCGGCGTCATATGGATCGGGAGGCAACCGCCCAGCCCAACCCGCCTGCCCGCCTGCCTGCGTGCGTGCACGCGAACGAGTCAGTCGGTGTGGTCGCGGAACTTACGCATACCCACTCTCAATATCCCGCAGGGTCTCGGAAAGACGCTCCAGTCGATCTCGTTCCTAGGATACCTGAAGCACTTCAAGGGCATTGCCGGGCCCCACCTTGTTATTGTGCCAAAGTCGACTCTCCATAACTGGGTCAGCGAGTTCCGCAAGTGGGTCCCGGATTTGAAGGTGTTCATGTTCCATGGCAACAAGGATGAACGAGTACGTATCTTTGCCGAGAGATCTTATGGGACACCAAGCAATGTCAATGCGTTGCCGAGACCAACTGGCATGATTCGCTTTCCAGAGCAAGATCATCGAGACTCAGCTGCTTGGGGGTAGCTTTGAAGTCTGCGTCACATCATACGAGATTGTGATGCTCGAAAAGTCCAGCTTCAAGAAGATCTCGTGGGCGTACATTGTAATCGACGAGGCTCATCGCATCAAGAACGAAAACTCGAGTCTCTCGGTGATCGTGCGGACGATCCAGTGCCGCAACCGCCTGCTTCTGACCGGCACGCCGCTGCAGGTATTGTATCCGCGCGACCCAGGCTGCACCAGTGCGGGCGTCGCTCATGAGAATTTACTGACGCTGCAATGACTTTGGCTCTCAAAGAACAATCTGCACGAGCTGTGGTCGCTGCTGAACTTCCTGTTGCCGGACGTGTTCAGCTCCTCTGAAGACTTTGACAAATGGTTCGAGACACAGGGCGGTGACCAAGACAAGGTCGTCTCCCAGCTCCACAAGGTGGGTTCTACTACCGCAGCGATCTTTTGTGCTATTGATCGAGGAACTAAAGGCCAATCTTGCTCTGTGTCTGCGCTCCGTCGCCAAAGGTTCTCCAACCATTCCTGCTGAGACGAATCAAAGCCGATGTGGAAAAATCGCTTCTGCCCAAGAAGCGCATTAACCTCTACGTTGGACTGAGTGCCATGCAGCGTCAGTGGTATCAGAAGATTCTCGAGAAGGACATTGATGCCGTCAATGGTGCGCTCGACGTCTCCTAAATTGGCTGCATGAGATGCCCCGGGGGAGCAGAGACAGAGCCAAACTGATGTTTCGTCGAATCGCTCCCAGGTCTCGCCGCTGGAGGAAAGCGCGAGGGCAAGACCCGCCTTCAGAACGTGGTCATGCAGCTCCGCAAGTGCTGCAACCACCCGTACCTGTTTGATGGAGCCGAGCCTGGCCCGCCTTACACGACCGACGTCCACCTGCTCGAGAACTCGGGCAAGATGGCGATCTTGGACAAACTCCTGGATCGCCTCAAGGCGTCAGGCTCGCGCGTCCTGCTTTTCAGCCAGATGAGCCGCATGCTTGATATCCGTATGTGGAGTGTACTCGAGGGAGATCGATGGCGTCGCTGGAGCAAGGATTGGTTCCGCAACGTGTGCGATGGATCGCTGGTCTGCTGATAACACTTTGATCGCTGCTACGGCCCTTGACGACACCATGATAGTGGAGGACTACTGCTGCTGGAAGGGATACAGTAAGTGCAATCTGCCGCGATGGGTGCTCTTCCGAGGCATCCCCAGGGCAATTGATCTCGCAGGGTTCTTGATCACCTCCCTTGCCTTTCGTCTCCTGACGCTCGCTGCACAAACCCACACAGACTACTGCCGCATCGATGGCAACACCTCGCATGAAGACCGTGTCAACAGCATCGATGCATACAACAAGCCCGATAGCGAAAAGTTCATTTTCCTGCTGACGACTCGTGCCGGTGGACTTGGCATCAACCTGGCCACGGCAGACATTGTCATTATGTACGACAGCGACTGGAACCCCCAAGTGGTAAGTCCAGCAGCCGGTGTGTTTGGTCCTGTGGTTGCCCTATAGGCAGAGTCGTGCCCTTACTCGAAAATAACCAGAGTCTCCATGTCGCCGTACATTGACAACAGGATTTGCAAGGTAGACACAACACCAGGCTCGCAACCAGGCAGAGCACCGAGATTCGTAACGAGATTCGTAACGAGGCAAAAGCGCCGAGATCCTGGACACCCGACTGATGCCGATTATACTGTTTGTCTCTTTTTCTCCCCGCTCCGGTCGCCGTGTTGCCGCTTGGTTTGCACTCCTTTGAATTGTTTTGCTTCCAGCCGAGGATCGTGCCCATCGTATCGGCCAAAAGAAGCAAGTCGTTGTGTTCAGGTTCATCACCGAGGTATGCGATGATCTCGGCGATGAAGGGTGCCGAGCCTGTCCGTCGGGGTGTCTGCGCTGACCAACGTCGGTGCGTCCGCGCTTACTTATCTCTGTGTTTCCGAAAATACTTGCCCGGCGCGACAGAATGCGGTCGAGGAGAAGATCATTGAGCGAGCCACACAAAAGCTCCGGCTCGACCAGCTTGTTATCCAGCAGGGACGAAACGTGCAGCAGTCTAAAGGTAGTCCCTGATTGCTCCGAGGGCACCAGCGGACGGCAGATCCACTCTCGCGCGACTGACGCCGCTCGATTGCAAGGGCGCAGAGGCGTGTATGGGCGAAGGGCCACAGCAGCGGCGAAACTGCTCTCCGTGGCGGACGCACACAATATGCTGATGCCCTTTGTCGTATCTCCCAGCTGCGTCCAAGGATGAGCTGCTTACCATGATCCAGCACGGCGCGCACAGCATCTTTGCGTCGACTGATAGGTGAGTGTTCTGTGACCCGCATGACGGCATGTTGCGCTGTATGCTGGACTGATAACCGCGAATCCTTGGCCTTGTATGCAGCACCGTGAGCAACGACGACATCGAGGATATCTTGCTTCGCAGCGAGGAAAAGACGGCTGAGCTCGAAGCCAAGTACAAGGACGCCGGTCTGGACGACCTCCAAAAGTTTACCAGCGACGGCAGCGTCTACCAGTGGGAAGGCTCTGATTTCCGCTCGAACGTAAGTGGCTGGCAGGCGACAGCGCACCGGTCTCCCATTCCTCTGGGTGGAGCTCCGTGGGACTCTCACTAACGTGCCTGTATTGCACCATCCCATCTCGGATCCACAGCAAAAGGGCGCTCTTGGCTTTGGATGGATTGGTCCCTCGCAGCGCGCCAAAAAGAGTAAGCCTCGCCGGAGGAGATCCATGGCGATGAAGCTGCATATCTGGCTCGGCCGAAGAGCAAGCTGACCACCCAACTCTCTCCGCGCTCCTTCACGCAGCATCGGGCTATGGTGTTGATGCCTACTACAAAGAAGCCCTGCGAATCGGCAACAAGCCTGCTGGCACCAAAGCTCCAAAGCCCCCGCGAACAGCCCTTGCGTGAGTGTAGCTCGGTGGACCTCGCCATACCCAAATGGACACCTGCCGTTCTGACATCTCGCTCCTCCGTCCAGGAGCGACTTTCAATTCTATCCCACTCGGCTTTTGGAGCTGCAGGAGAAGGAAACCCTTGCCTACCGGGTAAGCCAGAGGCCCAGTAACAAGCAGGATCAGCATGAGTAAGCCGCGACAACTGGGCTATACTTATTCGGCACGACCTCCCCCCCTCCAGAAACAAATTGGATACAAAGTTCCAAAGGACAGCGACACGACCGACCCCGAACAGGAGAAGCAGAAGCGGCTGCGAGAGCAGGAGCGAATCGACAATGGTAAGGCGGGACAGGGGAGGAGCATATCAGCAGACGGCTGAGCAAACTGCATGAGGTGACTTATCATGCTCGAACGTTTCCTCGCCTGCAGCCGAGCCACTCACAGAGGACGAAATCCAAGAGAAAGAGTCGTTTGCCAACCAGGTATGGCCAAGTTCCCGCGGTAGCGTGAGCGAGGGCTGGGCCGTGGGTTGGCTGGCTCGTCGGTTTCGATGGCCGCGCAATCACCCGCCTTTGGGCCGAATCGTGCTTACATGTTGCGAGTGTTGACTCTATCTCATACGTTGCCTTTTTGCTGCTCCATCGCCAACTAGGGATTCGACTGGTCGAAGCGCGACTTTAGCAGCTTCATCAAGGGCAACGAGAAGTGGGGCCGGTGAGTTGTGTGATTGCGTGGCATCGATCTCTCGTTGCCCGACCTCGCACCTGGGCTCGTATTTACTCATCCTCTCGTTTTTAGTCATAACATCGAGGCCATCGCCAAGGAAATGGAGGGCAAGGATCCCGAGGAAGTCCGTCGATACTCGCAGGTGTTCTGGTCTCGCTACAAGGAGCTTGCCGGTGGGTATCGACTGAAATGCAAGCAATGACTATGGTGCTGTGCCAAGCACTCCCGGACAGCCAGCGACACCGCACTGACCCGGCCACGAAACGTTGTCTCTTGGCTCCCAGACTGGGAGAAGCTCGTTGCTAGAATTGAAGAAGGAGAGGCCAAGCTCCAGAAGCAGCAAGAGATCCAAGATATGCTGACGGCACGGATTGGCAAGCTTCGCCTTCCGCTGCAGCAGCTCAAGATCGTCTATGGCACCAGCAAGGGTAAAAACTACACCGAAGAGGAGGATCGTTTCTTGGTATGTGGACAGCGCCAGGATGCGTCGCCGTGGTACATGCATCTGCGAATCACGTTGGTTTGAGCACGGCCGGACTGAGAAGATTGCCAGGCACGGGCCTTTGACTCTGGAGCGCTAATCCAAGCGCTGCACCCCTGTCGTCATCGGACGCGTTTGTTCGAGGATAGCTCGTGGCCCTCGAGAAGCTGGGCTACGGAAGCGAGGAGGTTTACGAAAAGATCCGCGAAGAGATCAAGCGGTCGACCCTATTCCGGTTCGACTGGTTCTTGAAGTCCCGCACGGCAGTGGTGAGTCCGACCCCCCGAGCGAGGTGGCGTGTGGGAGTTTGGCCGGATGCAGGCAGAGAATGGCTTTGACAGGGCCACTGACAGAAAGCGTGTTTCTGTCCAGGAAATCGGTCGCAGATGCACATCGCTCATCTCGCTGATGATGAAAGAGTCGGACCACAACGACGACAAGGAGGACGGACAGGACGAGCCGCCCAAGAAGAGAAAGTACACCAAGAGAGAGCCCAAGGAGAAGGAAGCTGTCGGCCCGTCCTCCAAGCGCAAGAAGAACTGATCTGGGCTTGCGATCGCAGCTGATGTACTTTCGTGAGACTGGCGGATGTTCCTGGCCGAATACACATTGCTTGATACGATCGCCTCAGCCGCTGGATCGCCGCATGCTACGTCGACACTATGAAAAAATTTCTTATTAATAAAATGAGCGAGAACGAAAAAACGCGCTCTCGGAGCCACCTCGGTCGGCGAGAAGAACAGTCTCTGGCGAGAGACCCCCGAGGGAAGGCGAGAAGCCTCTCGCCGTCACACACACACACTGTGCACACACACACACACTTTGCACAAGGGAGTCAACCACCTCCCATCGACCATCCCAAGAGGGATGGCAACCCCGAAGTGGACTGCCCAGAATATGGGCGACCCGGCATCCACTGTCGAAATGCACAACAGTGCGAGATACTTACAGTCTATCCAGAAAGAAACGGGACAGTCACTTTCTGGCTTCAGATATCTGAAGCCCGCTGACTGACTTGTAGGCCCAGCGGGTAGGCCATGGTATTGCACTCCTGTCTTCGTTGGCAATCTCTTTGTTTTGGTTGGTTTAGGAAGCACAGTCTTGAATACACCCGGTCGATCTCCTGTGGCGATGATCGACTGGCATACCGAGATCATATTCCTGGCTGCATTGATGTCTCGATCCCACAGCGTATGGCAGCTTGTACAGCTCCGGACAAAGTGTGGTTTCTCGATATCAAGATGCTCGACCTTCTCGAGTCGCTTGGCTTCCCGACAATGTGAGCACACCTGGGATGTGTTGAACTCGTTCACCGAGCACACATGGATCTTGGAGACGGGTCGGTCTGGTGGTCGTCTCTGGTGGTGGTGGAACTGCTCAAAGTACTTGGCAAACCTGAGTCTCCTGGGACTGGAGGCATATCCCTTCCCTTGCTTCCAGGATGCATTCCCAAAGGCAATCACCACTTCGGTCTCCTTTGGTGCCTGGTCGATGACTTGCTTGCACATCTCGTGGACGGTGCGCTGTCGCTTGCTGTGGAGATCGAGTCGCTTGAATCGCCGTCGCCGGGTCAGGCTGAAGTACAGCTGTTTGTCCAGCATGTCTCCATCGAACACATGGCGAATGTATTGCAGGAAGGGATCCAACCCGGGGATCTTGGGACTTGGTGTGGCACTCATCCAGTCCTGCAGACCAAGGATCTTGTGGGTGCTCTGGATCCACTTGGTCGCCTGGGTGGTGTCTTTCTCTTGCGGGGAGCCATCTGGCGAGAAAATAGCAGCGATGGCTGGTTCTGCCCTTGGGGAAGAAAGAATCTCTTCAAAACCAGCGCATTTTGGGCTGGCAGAGATACTGCGCAGTGGCGTCCTTGATTCAGATCCAGAAACGCATCGCTCGCTCAATCAGTCGTGGGAAGACATCTTGTCAAGGTGAGTCTTGCCTGATAGCCAAACGATCATGTCATCTCGCTGACACACAGCCACGCTTGACTAGGTTTCCAACCAGAGAGATTCAGATGGTGGTGGTTCTTGTCCGCAATCGGAGTGGAGCTTCCAACAATGATACAATTGGTCATTCCTCCACACCAATTGCCCACCACCACCGTCAATCGGCTCAAGACGATACCAAATGCCGTCAACCGACCATGGCCGGATTCCAACTTTTGCTGCATCTTGGTCTACAGCGTGTATTCACATTCGAGATGAGCAGCCGCGAGGGGCCGGAAAAAATTGATAGTGCGATTCTCGATGTTGGCGGAACAGAAACCGGGACGGCCGGCGAGTCATGTGACATGCGGCGTGACGAGACGCGAGCGAGGAGCGAGGAGCGAGCATGGCCGTCTCGGTTCTCCAGATGCCATTGCGAGCCGCGGCTGCAGAAGGCCAATGCACAATCTGATCATCCCGCCCGATCCAGCACAGCAATGTCGTAGGTGGCCAGTCTTGCCGAGCGAGAGCATCGCCATATGGGACCAGAGCCGTCCGTACTTGCGATATGCTCTATTAACAGTCAGCCCTTGATCGGCCGCATTCGCGCACGGCCATTGCGCTGTCCCCATCACACACATGCGGCTCGCATCGGCCCCCCCATCGCCCCCATCGCCGGATGCATGGTCGTTGGTGTCTTTGGAAGATCCCAGGACCGAAACATGAAGCAGGTCATTGACCAGAAGCTGATCAAAACAGGCGAGAAGGACAGACTCAAGGAGCTTCTGAAGCAACGGCTCGTCGACTGTGGATGGAGAGACGAGCTCAGGACATATTGCCGAGGTAGTCTTCGCCGTGGTGCAAACGACAGACTTGCTTTCGGTGAAAATATCGCTCGACTCGGATTATGGAGACAGTCGTCTGATCCGTGGCGTCGGGCAGGCCGGGGGATGCTGCCCGTCCTCCATGTGCACTGCATGTCTGCGAGCACCCAATCCCACAAGGCTATGGCTGAACCGACGTTTGGCATTCGTGTCCACAGAGGTCATCAAGGCAAAGGGCTTGGAGAAAGTGGGCGTCGACGACCTCATTGCCGAGATCACCCCTGTTGGTCGAGGTGAGTAGATCCTGTGTCGTAGAACAGGACAATCGGATGGCGGTCCAGCAGGTGGAATGCCGATGGCGTCGTATGCCTGAACTGCACTGACGGTTCAATCGTCTTGCGATCCAGAAAAGGTCCCTGAGAGCGTCAAGGCCGAGCTACTTCAAAAGATTCGCAAGTTCCTCGTCGACGCGGACAACTAAGGGCCAGCGATGCTTCTCGCCTCATTCGTGGGGAATTCCTGTGCCCTTCCATCGCGCCTCTTGGCTCTTGATACTTCAGGATTGATGGCCGAGCCATTGGGTGGATGATTCAACGCACGACGGCCTGTAGCTGGGCGCTTTGACTGGTCTGGGCGAAAGAGGCCTGCTCCGAGCCCTTGACAGCGTCTCACCGACGAGCCAACCCGCCTCTCCAAATAGACCGGCGTATCCAATGTGCCATTGCCGAAGAAAGTGGAGCTGTATCATACGATCTGTATTCGACCGGCTCTGATGACGGAGATCAGAGCAACCAGGCCAGGAAAGGTGCAAGGATGGGAGGGATGGATATGGCGCCAAACAGGCTGCCACCATAGTCTGGGAGTCTGAGGAATTATGAAAAGGGATCTAGAAATTAGGAGCGCGCGCTTATTGTTCGTGGACGTTGAAGAGTCCGGCCAGACCCTCGATGTCCTCAAAGGTCTTGCCCTGGGAAATGATCTTGCGGGCAACGGGGGCCTTGCCAAAGATGTTCCACATCAAGATGCCGACTGGCGGTGGCAGCAGAGGACAGGGTGTTGGTGAGAACGTGCGGCTGTATGGCTGTCGTTTGTGCGAACGTCTGTGCTCGCGATGCAACTCACCGATCTTCTTCTCCTTGGAGATGTAAAAGACAACGCCCTTTCCGTAATCCTCCTTCGAGGGATCCTGCTCGGCAGGTCCCCGACCGTTATCGTCGCCCTTGGCCCAGATGCCAATGGTCGAGAGGGACGACTCGGTGATACCCACAGCCTCCTGCAGAAGCAAACCCCGCCGCCAACCCGAGTGGTCAGCGAATACTCGCATCCAATCGAGCACCACGCAGGTTCATTCAAGAAACTATGATGTGCCGCGCGACAAAGCCACTCACATAACCGATCTTGGGTCCCAGATCGCTCCAGAACATGGGCTGGTGTACATACGGGCGCTGCAGTAGCGGATAGATGTGGCCGGTGTGAATATAGCAGAGCACGAGCGCGCAGCCACAGAAGCCAAATGGCCTTGTGTGAACGGGACATTTGCGCTCGCTTCGAGAGCAGAGACTCTCTTACCTTGGTTTTGGTCATGTTCTCGCCGACCTGACGACCGCTGTTGATCGCGTGGTCATAGTGCTCAACACGGCGACGGCCAAGGGCAATGTCGTGGAAACTGCTGGCATCTCCAGCAACAAAGACGTTGTGGCGAGCCTCCAGCTCGGCATTGACTGTAAACGAGCCGCGGGTCAGATACAATCCAGCCCACCCCTCCTCTCCTAAGCTTGGAGCCGCACAGGCGACCACACTCAATAACGACGCAGGAGTTGCATCACAGTCGCTACTACCCACCAACAATGCCACCACGGGCAGAATCGATTTCCAGTCCAGAGGCCTTGGCGATTTCCTTTACGACGTTGGGCGGTGTTTAGAGGCGAGTCCCGTGAGGCAGCTGCGGAGCGCAAGTCGGATCAGCCGCACTTACCACATTGGGCGAAACGCCGGCAGCAACGACGACATAGTCCTGCAGATCGAATCATGGCGAGTCAACACTAGCAAAGCGCATCGGTGCGATCGCAAGAGCTGCCAATTGGAAGGCCAGCCTACCGCTTCAACGGTATCTTGGTCCGAAACACCAATAACGATCTTGTTGCCCTTCTCCTTGACTGAAGTGATGCTGGCACTGTTCTTGATCTGGACCCCCTCTGCTCACATTCAAATGTATCGTTAGGTTTCGCTGTAGTGTCGGAGTTGAGCGAGCAGTGCAAACGGTGGTGCGGTTGCCTCACCATCGATGATTCTCTGGGTGGTCCAACGAGTGAGGTAGCGTGGGAACACTTGGCTCATGTTTCCTGGCAAACACACGGGCATTAGTGGATCACCCAGATGTCACAGAGGCCCAGATCACAGCAGCATGCATGTCAGCAGAAGGGCTGTGCACTCGATCTTGGCACTGACTTACCTTCTTCAGGGAAGATCTGGACCACGTTGATCTTCGCGCCCTTCTTGGCTGTCAGATCAAGTCAACTGCGCAGTAAGCATCCCACCATGGATCGAGAGCATCCTGCTGCTACAACTAGCTGCAGGCAGCCTACCTTTTTGTGCTGCAATCAGAACCACGAGAGTGTTGTTAGCCCAAGATTGTGCAGCTCGATTCATGGCCAAACAGATGCGATTACTCACCAAGCGCAACGGCGAGCTCACTGCCGAGGAAGCCACCGCCGACGATGGCGATGGTCTTGCCCGAGTTGGCCACGGAGAGAAGGTGCTCATAGTCATCGAGCTGTTAAGCGAAAGTTTGATAGAAGACGAAGCAGTCAAGTGTTAGACACCACAAGATATGACCTCGACTGGCGGTAAGAAATGCGATCAACACTGCGCCCTCCACGGACGATGGGGGCAGATACCCTGAATTGCGACTGGCTGCTGCTCAGAGGATGCGGCTCGGCAACTACTAACCGTTCTGAAGGTCAGCACTCTCTCCTTGGCCTGTGTAGAGAGCTTCTCAAACACAGGCAGCTTGTTGGGGGTGGCACCTGTCGCCAGCCTAATTCAGGTGGAGAGGAGCAAGAACGCTTGTAAGAACAGCAATCGTTGTCGCTGCTCGGATGTATATCCATGCAGTTGCAAGCCCTCTCTTGTGACACGAACGGAATACATACAAAACTTTTCCGTATTTGATCTTGTCGCCGTTGCCAAGGACCACGTACTGGCCATCGAGGTCGAGCTTGCTGACCTTGCTCTTCAGCCATCGAACCTTGGTCTTTGCAGGCTGAAGAAGCTCCTCGGCGTCGGGCACGCGCTCGTAGTTGCCTGACCGCATATGTGGGTGAGCCGACAAGCGGTGTGCCCGGAAACAAAGTGTCGGATGCATATGGGTCGATGTGTGTCGCTCGCAAGTACTTACTCTCCTCCTGGTAGAACAGGCTGATGGCGGATGATGGAGGTATCAGACACATGGAAGGGTGGATCCCGAACTGGTGAACACCGCTTGAAGGTGAACTTTCCAGCTCACCATGCCTCGGTCACGAAGCGCTGGTTGCTCTTCGATCTCACGACTGCGGGTCTGGATGGACGTACCTTCGCTCGGCGCCATGCCAGTCATTGAAGGCCAGTGGCTTGGAGCTCGGGCTGAACCAAAGCTCCTTGGAAAGCGGCGGGCGCATGTACGGCACATGGTCTTCATCTCCGATGATCAGAATGTCGGCATTGGGCTCGGCTTCCCGGATCGCCTGGTGGTGAATGTCGTCAGATCGCGAGATACGGATATCTCACTACCATTTGACAGGGCATGCACTGCGGATGGCAACCACATACCTCAATGGCACTGTACGAGGCAGTTCCGGCACCAACCAAGACATAGGTCACTGTCGATTCCAAAGCATGGATACAAGATGGCAAGTCAGTAGGCGGCGGAGGCAGTCGCGGCCGGGTGGCTTGGCTGCACTCGCAGGCAGTCGCTCGCGATCGCCGGTGTTCGCCGATCAAACCGATCCGATACCGACCCTTGGGGATGGCCGTCTGCTTGCGGGGAACAGGGTCGGTTTTCTTGACGGGAGCTGCGGATACGGTCGACACAGACTTGCTGACGAGGCTGTTGGCCACCGATTTGGACTTGGGCTGCTCGACAACGCCGCTCTTGATGTGATCCTCGGTGAGCTTCCAAAACTGATCCACATCAATACGGAGGGGATAATGTCAGATCGGTACAGCACACATCACTCGAACACGACGGGTGGCTTCGGAGCGCCTTTGATACACGGCTGAGGGCAGCGGTCATGATGCGAGATCGAAACCACATTCGGGAAGCCATGAGCTGTATCGATGACATACGAGCGGTCCGAAGATGGCGGCCGAGGCAAGCATCAGCAGACGAGTGCTGTTCTGGCCCTCTTCCGCATCGCCGTGGTTGTCATGGGCGTTGTTGTTGTTGTTGTTGTTGTTGTTGTTGTTGTTGTTGTTGTTGTTGTTGTTGTTGTTGTTGTTGTTGTTGTTGTTGCGGTGAGGCTGGTTGCCAGCGGGCGAGGCGAACAGGCGAGCCGAGGGACGAAGCAGAGCACCAGTCTGGGACAGACCGAGCGAGCGCACCGATGGCACGCGACTATTGGCGATTCGGACGGCAGCAGATCGGAGCATGGCTGGCGAGTGGCTGGAGAAGGGCTGGGTGCAGATACAGGGCAAGCTGGCTGGCTGCGAAGATCGGTCGACGGAGCAGACACGAGAGCCAGATCGATCGATCAGCGTTTTGAGACTGCGTTTGGGTGCCGGGGCGGATCTTTTTTTTTCGTATGGCCATTGACATGGTGAGGTTACGTAATCCAGGCGGAGCGCGGCTCTGGCGCTGACAGGAGTGAATCCATGGCCGCTCCCACACCTCAAGCGGGAACCTCGGCAGGAACCAAGATCCGATAACCGGACGCACGCATTCCGCCAAAAGCGATACACCAAGAACTGTATTCTGGGTGGCTGCCATCCTTGGGATGCTTGGGACGGCAGGGACGGCGAGGACGGCGGGTAGAGGACCAGTATCTCCCCCTTCACGGCAGGAAGCGTCCAGCAGCCGTTCACTCCATCTCATCGGCTTCGGCGCCCTCAGGCCGCGCTGTCGGAATGGACGCCTCTGCCGAAACCCTGGGGGCTTCTCCTGGCAGAGGCTTGCGGAACTTGCCCTGGATCCAGATACGGTACATTTTGAGCTTCTTGTGTCGGTTGACGATCAGTCGTCGATCAAGTGCATTCTGGTCGATGTGGAACTTGGAAAACATATTCGCGATTTCATCTGGTGGTAGGATAGTGGTCATCGTTTAGATGTCGTTCTTGAGTATCGATGGCGCCCCGCCACTTGTATCGGTTCGACGCCATCACTCCGTGGCTGTGCAGTCAGACGTTTGCCGACCGCATCGAAGCTTAGGGTGGCTGTCTCCTGGCCTATCTGCCTCACCTTGAGTGAAAAAATACACTCGAGTACCGTCTCCACGGACATAAAAGTTCTCGTCCAGGAAGCGGCCGCCTTTGAACCGCAGCTGGGCAAGGTCGTAGCGTGCATAATCTGTCGGTGCACAAGACGTGTGAGGCCGCAGTCAGAGCAAAATCAAGGGAGGCCCGGACCAGTGCTTGGCGGCAGCAGGATCTCACCTCTCAGCAGAACAAGGCCGCCGGGCTTGAGCATCTACACGGGCCGCAGAGTCTGGGATGTAAGTCGATCGCGCCGAGCCACAAGCGTCCTCACGATGCCAATCCATATCGCCGACATGTCAGAGTGCCATGCCCACCTTGTAAATGTTGTCAACGGCACGGGCCCATGTGTCTGGGTGCACAGCAGACAGCACGAAGATGCAAATGCAAACATCGAGCGATTCGGGTTCGATGTATTCCGGAATATCCGGCGCTGTAATATCTATGGTGAAGCAGAGAAATCAGCTCGTCGCCCACCTGGCCAGCCGATTGTGCGAGCAAAGAGCATACCATATACAAAAGCCTTGCACTTGTCCTCGTTATACTCTGGGTTACTCTGATATCATGAGCGCACGTTCGTGGCCCAAGCAGTCGCAGAAAGAATAAACCCAGGATTCAATGTCGTGTCCGTCATTGTGGCATGCTCGGCTGGGAGACCGTTACCCAGCGATGGAGAGGGCTGGCTGGACATGCCGGTCTGGTATGCAAAAACTCGTGCGTTGCGCTTGCGTTCGCCTGTGTCGGGTGGTCGTACCTTGACGACATCAATCGCCGTCCAGGCAAAATCGCCTGCGTACACAAATACGTTGGCATCACGAGCCTCGTTCAAGAGCGGGAAAACGGTGTTGCCTGCCAAAGGGTTTCCAATCAGTCGACGATATCCGTCGAAGGTGCCATCAATATACTTCGGCGCTGTGCTGTGGGCTGACGACAGGGTCCTGACTCAACGCACGGCAGACAAACTGCATACCAGCTCCACATCCGATTTCGAATACTCTGAATGGCATCTAGGCATGCGTGATCGTTAGTATGTCCGCTGCGTGCCGGCGATATAGCCACCACAGATCCTGCTTGGGCACCTACGAGATTGTCCTTGGGGAGCTTGGCAAAGAGCTCTGCACAAGCACAGGGCGAGAATGATCAGAGCCTGTCTCAAATAGGCCGAGGACCGGCTGGCGACAATCACATCCACGAACCTGGAAACTCGATCCTCAGCCTGGTTGTGGGTCCGGTCGGATGAGTTAGCATGCCCGCCAGCGCATCAGTTCGCCACACCCACATCAACGAGGCGCTCCTGTTTCCACGCGCACCAGTCGACCTTCCAGCGTTACCAATGACGATCCTTGAAGAATTTGTTCTGATTCTTGCTGTAAAACAAGCTCCAGAATCGATCGGGATCTCGGTGATATATGTCTGTCCACGAGCGCCAGCAGATGTCGAGCCGAGTCAGTAATCGCCTCGATTGCGCCTGCATCCACGATCGTGCTTGTAGTACGGACGATGGCACAACCTTTGTCCTCGTCAGAGACGGGCTTTTCTTGCTGCTTCTGGATGATCTCGAGTGCATCTTTCTCCTGCTCGTCTCCCCATTGGAAGTTGTCCCTGGCAAGATAGCCACAGTCCAAAAACAAGGCGATCGCTGGTTAGGCTCGCTACAGGATCGCTACGGCGCATGCACGGCCTCGTTTAAGCCATATCGGTGTTGGTGCTGGTGCTGTTGGCCGGCCAATACGAGACGCCGGGCATCGCACTTTGGGAATCGCTCGGCTACCATGCATTATGGCTGAACACATCGGCTTCGTTCTGCAGCTGTCGAGTTCCAAAGCTGCTGAGACTTGACACCTTCTTCTTGTCGCTGGACTGGGCCGGCTCGAGGGACGCTTCTGGGCTGCTCATTTTTCTCTGCCGCTGTCGGGAGTCTGGCGATCAGGAGACACACTTCCGATCCAGAGCGGATGCGATCGGTGTCAAGCGGTGCCGATTTGGGTGCTGGCTCTGGGAACAGAGCGCAGCCTTCTTGGTCATGTGAGCACCGCTGCTGTGGCACAACCAGCGCCACAGCCAGTCCAGCCCAGCAACTCATCACCGACTCTGTGCGCAGGGAAGTGAGAGCAGGCTCCGTTTGCTCGGGTTCTCCGACGCATGTGCATCGACAAGAATGCGGGTAACCATTGCATATAGAATCGGCGCGGACGACCCGGCGTGCATCAATGGACACCGTGTTGCGCTGTGGCCGAGTCTCGGGCCGGTCTCGGGCCAAACGACCAACTAGTTATAGGCAATCCAATAAAAAACGGGACACCCGGGTTTTTGACCATTCATCGAATATTTTGTTACCCAATGTTATCGCGCGCTGGCCATGACCATTCGCCACACATCCGACTTTCGCACCGCCGCATTGCGATGCTACGCCCTCATCCATAGCCTGCGTAAGGTCGCCTCCATATTCAGTGTATCCAAGAGCACCATCCATCGATGGCACCGAGGATGCAAGCTGGATGACCCATCCCGGGTCCCAGCTCGCAGATCCACTTTCTTCGAGCAGGCATGTCCAGTCATTCGCACCCTGATTGAACAGGACCCGTTCCAGACTGGTCCTGTGTTGCGATGCAAGCTCGAGTCCATCCTCCAGAGGAAAGTATCACTCTCACTCTGCCACACTGCCATCCACCGAGCAGGTCTCTCTCACAAGAGGGCAACACACCTCAACAAGTCCAAGCGACTGGATGAGCGAGTGGCACAGTTCAGGGACCAGGTCCGCTCCATCGACCCGCGGTGATTCGTTTTTGTCGATGAGACAGGGATCAGGAGATCCATTTTCCCTCTTTACGGATACTCACCGAAGGGTGCTCCGCTTCGCCAGCGCAATCACATGAAACACAAGTCTGTCTCGGCTGCATTTGCCATCAACCACTCTGGTGTGCTGCATCGCATGTACTAAGGGCTATGCATCCAGCCCTCGGAGGCAGCGGTTTGCTCGGTACTTTGAGCAATTCGAGCACCACCGACGCCGTCCCAATCACCATCATGGAAGCGTCAAGGTAGTCTCGACGAACGAGTTCAACACCTCGCAAGTGTGCTCCAAGTGCCGGGAGCCAGTTCGGTTGGAAGGACTCGATGCGCCCAGTGTTGCGAATTCCCACTTTGTCAGGAGCTGCAAGAATCCCAGCTGCCGGACAGTGTGGAATCGCGACGTCAATGCGGCGCGCAACATGATCACAGTATGCAGGTCGATTGTGGAGATCGGAGAGCGACCGGCGGTCTTCACTCGGAGGCTGCCAAAGTGATCTGTTTTATTTCTTGTGGCTTTGCTTGACGCAAGCACAGCACATACTACATGTTCATGGAAACGGCTATATTGTCCCGTTTTTTTCTGAATAAAGTGTATAGCCATACATTGCATTCTGCTTCTTGACGTCGTCTGCATTAAGCTGTTCGCCAGGAGCCACCCACTCGGAGCCAGGCTCATCTGCACCATCGGTACTCCACTGATACTTGGAATAGTCACCGTCGTGGCTGTCATCGTCGCCATCGTAACGTGGCTGCTTGGATCGGGGCTGCTTCTCGGGACGTGCTGGCAGAGCCTCTGCCTCACGCTTCTTGTTACGGACAATCAGACCAAACTGATTGTGGACAGAGCCTGAGGATTCAGGTGCCGTTTCTTGTTTCTGTGCGGACGCAGGCAGGGCACTCGTTGCTGATGAGGCCGGCGGTGCTACTGACGGACCAGGGTGCTGGGTCGTGGCTGTTTCTGCAGGCTCGCTGAGCACAATATTATCTTCCATTTTCAAAGCGCCAGGCTGGGCTTGGACTTGGGCTTTAGGCTGAGGGGTCTGAGAACATTTTGGTGCGGATGCAGGTGCCGTAGATTCGGGTGCGGCCTGCTGTGATGATGCAGGTGCAGCACTATCCTTGGGCTGATCCGGCTTCCTGGGCTTGGATAAATCGAACCTGGGCAAGGAACCATCCACACCATGTCGCATCAAACGGTTCAATGTCAGTACTTTTCACACAGCCATGCGGCATCCCATGTTAGACCCTTGGTCCGTCGGTGACACCGACCCTTTGAAAGCTTCGCTAGGAGCCACAATCTTTGAAGTTGCCAAGCCAGGCGAAAACGAGGGAGTAGTGGTTAGCTCAAGAATATCAGCGAGCTGCAGAGCAGGATTCTGGCTCAAAGTATACCGATATGAGCTTCTCCAGACGCTTGACTTCCTGTTGGAACAAACGGGAGCGTTGTCAGCGACATCTCGCGAGGACTTGGCATGCTTGAGCATGCAGCGGCTGTATTGCCCTCGCGTTACCTTGCTGTGTTGGTCGATTTGCTGCTGAATCTTGGCACGCTCCATGTGCTCGGCCTTTGCCTGGATTTGCGCCATGTAGTCATCCAAAGCATCCTCGCTCTGTACAATCGCATCTAGCAGACCACCCAGACATAGCCAAGCATAGTAAACAGTAATCTGTCAGCTTAGTTTGATTAATTGTGGTGGTGGTGGTATCCCAGTGTCCAACACCAATCTCAATCGTTGGATGAGGATATCCGGGAATGCATGACAGCGCGTGCAAGCATCTTACTCTGTTCGTGGGCCTGCAGCTGCGTCTCAAGATTGCTAATCTTTGCGAGCACATCCAGCCGCTTCTCTGACAGCGACTGGAGTGTCTCAACTGCAGTCTTGTTCTTGCGCTGAGCCTTGCGGTCCGCTGGGAACAGGTCGATGATGGACTGTCAGCCTCATTCGGGCCGACGGTATGCTCGACCGCTAGCAACCCTGCTCTCGACTGCGCTCATGGTTGGAGGGGTTCGGTACACACCTGTTCCTGTTCGGTCGTAAAATGAATCTTGGTCGTCGTCGTCGTTTCCAAGCAGCTCCTTGAGGCGCTTCTTCTCTGTCAGGTCATCCGAGCGGCAACGACCGGTATTCGTCAGTGCCATCGGATCACCACATTCAGCTGCTTGATCGCTGTCCAAGACGACACTTGACTGGATCACCCCCTCCTTCTCGCCAGCGACTGGTACAAGCTCTTGTCTTTGTGTGTCTCGGTGTGTAAACTCACCTTGCTCACGCTGGTTGTTCGGCGAGGATCGCAGATGGCCGATCCGATCGAGTTTGATGCAGGCATCCAGGGCCGCCTCGCGCTCGGCGTCCTTTTTCTTGGATGCTCGTCCGATGCCAACAACCCGTTTTGCGCCGTGGTCCAGCGGCAGCTCGACGCGGGCGACATAGCATCGATTGTGTCCATGGCCCTCCTCATCGATCTCAAAATCGGCATCCAGACCACGATTGTCGGCCCAGTTTTTGAGGGCCTTGCGCGAGTCACGGACGTAAAAGAGGCTTTCGTCGAGTCCTGTTCGGTCGGCCTCCCGCTCGTTGTCGATCTCGTCTTCGTCGTCTTCCTCGACAGCGTCCTCCGGGAAGCCCCAGGTGACGCCTCTGTCTTCTGGCTCAGAAGCTGTCGGCTTGCGCATCATAGGCGCCGAAGAAGGCTCTGGCTCTGGTTCCGGAGGTCCTTGGAAGAAGAAGGCCCGGCTGCTCTGACCAAAACGCACCATATCTATGGAGCGGAGAGAGAGTCAGGCATTCGGGCAGTTGCCGCTCGCGTAAACTGGGATGAGCGCCTGCTCGCCAGCCAAGCAGTTTGCTGCGACTTGCCTCCGACTTTGAGGCGCCAGAACTCGCGGGTTGGGACCTCGATCTTATTGACAAAGGTCTTGTGTGCGCTGCCGAGATCATAGATATAGGCGGCGTCTGTTTGCAGAAAGTTGAAGTCGATGAGCCTGGGACAGCGAGCGGAGCGATCGAGGTAGACCTTCGAGTCCGACCAGGAGCCGTGTGCATCCAGGGAGATACATACCGTCCTTCCTGAACTGGATTATAGCATGGTATCTGGAAACGCTCTTCCAGAGCCGATGCGTGGCGACACAGGTAAGAATCCCATCGCATCGATCTGGATCTGGATCTGGATCTGGTCAGAGGGCATCGCATTCACAGGTCGACTTACGGGATGCTCCAGCTCGATATCGCAGATCGGAAGGCGGCCTTGCGGGCGCGGAATGCAAGAAAACCATTAGAGGAGCTCATGCATCGGATCTTTGGCCGCCATTTGGAGCGACGGACCAGAGGGTCGGGAATACATTTCTCGATCGCTGGCGCTGGCACTCTCCAGCATGCATCCAACATGCATCCAGCTTCCTACCGATCGTGTAGAATGCCTTGGTGTTGAGATGCGTAACCCCAACGATGGTGCCATTCTTGAGGATCTCAAAGTAATAATCCGACCGGGGAGTCGCCGACCACGATGGCTCGGTATAGTTGAGCGGCGGTGCGCTTGGCGGTGCGCTTGGCGGTGCTGACGGCTTGTCGCTGTCGCTGTGGTTGTCGGATGCGGTTTGAGCTTCCTGCTTTCTCGCAGCGCCCGGGAGCGCAGGGACGGCAAAGACCTGCGCCGCGCTCGAATGTGTGTCGGCCTGGCTATGCATTGCTCCTGGATTGCTGGGAAGTGGATCTGGTGCGGGTGAGAGGTGCTTGGGGCCAGGTCACCGCCTCGGTCAGCGTGCTGAGTCATGATGACTCACGAAATCGGGTCGAGCCACGTGTGTGGCGCATAGCTCCCCGCTTCCGAAAAAATTGTCGTGCACAACAAACGCAGGCTCGCATCAGGAAGCATCCCGTCCAGATCGGCTGTCGATCAAGCATCCGCTGCCGCTGCTGTTGCTGCTGCCCAGAACCAAGGCCACCGACACCACCGACACCACCGTCGCCGCTGCACCACGAGCCCCAGAGACAATGAGCCTGTCTGCTATCCCGCGAGCCCTCGGGGCGCTGAAGCTGCGATCACCATGGGCTGCCGTCCAGTCCTGCAGCATGTCGTCCTTCCGCAGCGACATCGACCAGTTCCGACAGCCGCGCTACGAAGAGTCGAGCGGTAGATGGCGCATTCCCCTCCGTCGCCTGCGAGGATGTATATTCTGCTCATACTTGTGGCTGGTCTGGTGATGCTGATTGCACTCCCTCTCCCGCGGCATTTTGGCTGCATCTAGGCCAGGATCAGGATGCCAGCAACCGACGATCACGCTCTCGAGTCTTCAAGCCGTATCAGGTAGCGGGCGATTCATTGTCCATAGCTCACTTCCCATGTGATCTGCACCCTTCAACCGACTGGGCAGCGGCTGAACGACAGCCACATTGGCGTGAGTGCCGGGCTTCTGCCATGAACGCATGCTCACAATCACTGGACTGCCGCACCGGATCGATGCAATCTGTGTCCATCGAACGGCCTCTAGACCTATAAGCCCACCGACCTCAACGACGAGATCTACTGGCAGGAGAAACAGACCAGCGAGAAGCGCAAAGCTCCGGAGAAGAAGGAGGACTTTTTCGCCGTGAGGAACTGGAACCCCATCAAGGTCTACAAGGTACGTCCACCTCGTCTCGGCCCACGCGCTGATCGGGCCTGACCAGCAGAAGCCTGGGATGTGTGTTGCTGATGCCCAGCTCCGATCGATGCCACACAGAATACCGTCATCTTCCCGCAATTCCTGGACGACAACGGCGCTATTCTGTCACGAAAAGCCACTGGTGAGTGCGAGGCATGGGCCTTGCAACTTTCACCCATCGGCGTATCGTTTGCAGACGGCGTGAACATGCGTACAGCTTTGGATCGTGTGGTTCCGACTCGCTCGATGACGCCTAAATCCCTCCTCGTTGCCTCCTCGATATCACTATCACTCCAGGGCTCACCAGGCTCAACCAGCAGAGAATGGCCAAGGCCGTTCGCCGTGCGCGGGCAATGGGTATGTCATCGTTATAGAACCATCAGCTGGATCCGGCAGACAGACCCGTTTTCAGTTCACCCAGCACTGTTCAGCCGTTTGGCGTTACACGTTTGGTTCAGAGGTCTCATCTGCTTTGTTTGCATTGGCAGGGCTCATCCCCTTCACCGGCAACGTTCGGCAATATCTCAACCGAAGCATCATGTTTTCTCGCGACTATGACGATTCCAAGTAGCACCGCTCAACCTCTGTGCGAGTGCAGATTGCGATGAGTACATTGTGCAAGCCCACACCTCGACAGCGACTCTGCACATACGCCCAGACCGACACCGCAGGCAACGATGGAAACCTTATGAATTCAGCACACAAATATAGCATGGGGCGCACCGATCATCCCAAGAGTGGGTGGTGTCGCAAGTCTCCATGGCGATATGGACCGCTTTTTCGATATGGATGTGTGCTTGAGTCAGCCATCCACGGCCAGCTTGAGCAACCGAGAGGAAACTGCTCCACTACTGCAGATCCGAGACATATATTCGCCTAAACCCCCATGTGGCATGTGGTAAATCGCTGCTGCTGCGGTTGGCCACGACTGGATGCTCGTCTCCATACAGGAACCGCCCTCGTTCGGCCTTGTAGATCTCCATGAATCTGCCCGTCATGCAACTCTGGAGATACACCTTCTCGCTCGAGGGCACCGGAAGGAGGTTGACGGCCATCGGAAACCGGATGAACGGGCTGCCCACTTTCCTGCAGGCCGTACGCATGCCCCGAGGTCGTGTCAGCGACAGCGCCTGCGTTCGGCAGCAGCCCGGAGCTCCAGAGGCAGCGACCTGCGTCGATTGAGAACATATGCCAGCACGAAACTCACCAGAGAGTATCCCGGGCATTGATGTCGTCCGAGAGTGTCACAGACTGATGCCCGCCATAGATCGAAAAGTTGGAGACGGTGGTGGGAGATGTCTTGACAGCGTACTTGATGATGCAGAATACGGTGAATGGGCTGTGAGAATCGACGCTGTATGACCCGAGCCATTCGTTGCGACCGCGAGTGGCGTGGTTGCTGGTCGCAGCAGAATCAACGCAGCGTCGCCAGAGATGCCAGTCAAGTCAAACTCGTGGCAGTCGCGAGACCATACCTGCCGCTCAAACCTTCCAGGGAGGGTGAGCAGCCGAAAGGGTTGGCCAAAGTACAAAACATCATCGCCAAGACATTCGTCACGGTCGTTGTGGGGTCTAGACAGCAACGGGAAGTACTCGTGAGCATCGAGCGAACGCTCGGTGGCAAGCAGAAAGTCCGATACACATGGGTGCTGAGCAATGTCGGATATGCAGGGTATCAAGCGCACGGGATGGGCGCTTTCAAGAGTCGCAGAATTTGACTCTCGTCTCCAAACAGACCTTGTGATCTGAAAGACCGTCCTGGATATACTGCCGAGGGACTCGGCTCCGGCAAAGGCCACAAACTCAAACTTGCCGTAAGTGTCCATCAACCGCTGTCGTTCGACAGTGGGAAACACTCCCGAAGGAGCAAAGATCTTTGTCCAAACATCAAAAGTCAGGATGCCTGTGTCGAGGTTTTGCAACTGGATACAGTCTCCAAACCGAAGCGGACGACCGTCATGCAGAGTAGAGTCCGCGGCATAGCTGTCACATCTCGGCCGCTCCTGGCGCTTGGATGGCGAGTGAGTGGTGGCCTGCTCCGCCACGGCCGAACCTGCAGAGACGTTGCCCGGACTCGGTTTGGACAAACTGCTCTGTCCTGCGCTCGCACCGGCTGGTCCGGGTGGAGTGCTTTGTGTGAACGCCAGTTTCTCGCGGCCAGCGTCGATGAAAGACGGCGCGGGCTCATAGTAGAGATGGTGCATGCACTTGGACCGAGCCGGAGGAGGCTGATGGGCTGTCGCTGCAGCCGTGGCCTCGGCTGCATAGGGCAGCTTGATCCCACGACGGACCCAGATGCGCTGTGGGGCTGAGGTTGCAGATGGGGCACCCACTGGCTCGGTCTCGGGCCCAGGAGATACCGCGATGGGCTGTGGACTCTGGAGCTTGTCCCGCTCCTTCGCAACCCACTTTTTGAACTTTGGGTACTGGTCGTAGTGCTTGAGATTGCGCATGAATAGCCGCCGCTCTTGCTCTTGCAGATACTGTCTCTGTTGTTGGAGCTGGGCCTCCTTCTGCTTCAGAAGCTCCAGGGGCGGGATGTCAATGGGTCGGTTGGCTTGCTCAGAGTGAGTCCACAGCGCCGTCCAGGCCATGGGAAGACCCTGGCCAGTTTTTCTCTGGTACTGTTCTCGCGTTGCCTCTCGCTTCTCTGTAAACTCGACCATCTTGTCCTGTGGATACATGTGGATGCCATAGCGCAAGAGCCGAGTCAACTGTCACTGTGGGACCTTGTGCAGGTTCCGGACCATCGCTTCAGCTCCGGATGAGGGCACAGACTTGGTCATCATGTTGTGGTCGATGGCAACACACCTGCAAGGGCAACGTCTCTTCAAACCAGTTGGCCAACAGGGTTGGTGGCTTGAGAGTGAAGGCATTGACTGGTGTTCCATACATGTTGCGTGCGAGCAGATATCCGGTCTCGAGATGGGAATGTGAGCATACCGGGGCTCCCGTCTTCACGGAGACCACCCGCAGGACACAAGAGTCGGGCCAGAGGCTCGGGGAAACAGAACCAAGTGCGCCCATGCACGCTGGGCCATTGTCCCTCGGTGATTGGGCACCGCTCTCGACAATATGGACGCCGCACTGCCGCCGTGGGAAAGAGGGCGATTCAGCCAGTATGGGAAGCCCTGCAGTGAAGAACTCACAGCGCTTCCCATCCCCACCAGCGGCCCGCACACAGGGGCGATATTGCGTTGCATTGGTGCTGCGGTACGGGAGCAAGGTGCACTCTGCAATGCGGTGTTGCATCTGTTTTGCATCTGTTTCGCATCTGTTTCGCACCCTGGCGCTTCGGTTGAGCGCGTTGATGCTGTGTCCTGGCTCGATCCCGTTCGAGCCGGCTGCTTCTCGCACCCAGCAAGGCGAAGCTTTTGAGATCTCGACGAGCATCGCCGATTGCGTCCTTGGGTCTCCAGCAACAGCCCAGCAAGACCGGGCCTGTCTCCTAGCGTGCACGCATTCGGCCCTCCATCGCCAGCCAGCCAGTCAGTCAGCAATACAGCGTCCAGGCAGTATATCCGCATACGCACACCCGACTGGCACTGCAACACCACCAAGCCGCCCGATCAAGCCCCACATCGGCCATGTACTTTACCGCAGACGAAGAGAGGCAGCTCAAGAGCTTCCTGATGGAGAAGCTGGAGCCCATGTATTGTTTCGTTCTGCTCCTGTGTCCCAGCAAATATTCCTGGGGCCGTTTCCAAGGCCTCGGCTGCTGGATTTCCAGCGGCTCCAAGTGACTAGAGAGCCGCCCGATTGCTCTGTTTGTCGGGCACGATCTTCGGACTTTTAGCGGCGAGCAGAGCAGACCGGACGAGGGAGGCGATCTGAGTCTGCCCGAACATCGAATATCTGACTCCAATCGAACTGATTGACTGACTGACTGTGCTTTCTTCTTCTGTATCCCCTCTGTCTATATCGGGGCTCCACGATGCGAACGAATCTCGCCTCGAACCTGTTGGATTTCTCGGCCGATTGATCGGCGGATGCGGGCTTTTCTTGTGGCGGCTGCGGCGCCGTGCTTTAAAACTGTGACTCGACATATATCGGTGCTGCGACGGTACTGTCGTGGGGCATACTGTCGTCGCATGTGCCTCGGAATATTCTACTCCAAATGCCCATGGCTCGGGCTGGCATTCCGGACTCAACAGCTGCGACGCCGACCCAGATGTGCTTGCGGACTATGTCATTGCTCTTCTGAAACACGAAAAGTCCACGGCAGAGCTGCGCTCGCTACTGTCTGCCTCGCTGAGCGAGTTCCTTCGAAACGGTAGGTCTCGTTGGATGTGTCTCGGGGGTCTTGTAGCTCTGAAAGGATCCGTCTAGTCCACCGAGTATGCTTGGCTGACTCAATTTTGAGAGTGATGCGCCCACGACCAGCTAACAGTTTGTGGCTCTTGTTTCTTAAAAACGAACAACCATCTGGGCATGAACGCCAACCGTGGATGTAGACACCGACGGCTTCACCGACACTGTGCTGGAACATCTCTCGCACAAGTCGAGCAGCGCCCGGGGACCCTCGAGCTCGTCTAGGGAAGACCCGGAGCCCCAGCAAATCCCAACGCACTCGGACGACCGGAGAGACGTCGATCTGATCGACCATTCCGACGACGAAGACAACTCGGATCGCAACTTCAAGCACCGCAAGCATAGCTCCAGCCAGTCCGAGAGCCGAAAGCACGGCCGCTCAGACGACGCCGGAAGCTCGCACGGCGACGCATCGACCGGGCACAAGATTCCGAGGGTCGAGGAAGGAAGCATCAGCGTCCATACATCCAAGGCGCACGACCAGAAGCGATCCTACAAGGATGACGGCGGGTTCGCCGACGGGATGGATAGTGGCCGGCCTTCGCGACGCGGTGGATACGACAGCTCGTCTCAACGGCGGGACTACGACTCGGGTCGACCGCGGAACTATGGAAACAGCGGTCCTGGATTCCTCGGAAACAACCCTGGCGCACGCGGCCCCTGGGATGGCTCGAATCCTGGACAGTGGGGTGTGGCGCCGATGCAGGGATATCCGATTCCTGTCGCAGAGGCCCGGTTTGCAGCGGGTGGCATGATGAAGAATCCACGAGGAGGCTCTCGGTCCGCCGCGGGAGGACGAAACGGGAACTTTTCAGAACGCCGGCGTGGGCGATGCCACGACTATGACGGTGGGTGCCCGTGGTTTGCTATGTGCTGTCGGCTATCTGAACCGGACTGCCCAGGGCGCTTGCTTGGCACTGCCTGCTACCGCCAGCAATGCCGACACTTGGCGGTGTCACTCACTAGCCTCTCCTCCCACCAACAGAAAAGGGATACTGCCTCCGAGGCGACCTGTGTCCGTATGACCACGGCGCCGACAGAATTGTTGTCGATGACTCTGCCGCTATGGTGCGACCACAGTTCAACATGTACCAGTCGCATCCTATGGGCCCGGTCATGAATGCGCCTGTGCCAATGGCCGGAGGGCCGATGTACGGCAACGTTATGTTTGCGCCGGCTAGACCCATGGATATGTATGGTGAGTATCGGCGCCACCTGTGGCTGAATCAGTGCTCACAGCCGACGTGTTGCATCTGACTTGATATCGGGGGATCTCTGGGCAGCCACGCCTGGTTCTGACGCCGATGCATCGGAATCTCTCAGGTGCACAGGGCCATCCAATGGCCATGCCCGAAGGCTACGATCCCGAACGAGCTGCGCTCAATGCAGAGCCATCGAGCGCCATGGTTGTTTCAGGCGGGGAAGGGCCGCTGCGTGAGGATAGCCGAGGTCCTTCCCAGCGCGGCCGCGGCCGCGGTGGGGCCCGCATGGGTCGTGGCGGGGCCAAAGGCAGCGGCTATCGAGCCGGAGGAACATCGCTGACGGTTGAAAACATCCCGCGAGAGTTTTGCAACATGGACAAGATCAACAGCTACTTCAAGCAGTTCGGCTCCATCGTCAACATCAACGTGATGGCACACTACCACAAGGCGGTTGTGCAGTTCAGCCAGCACTCGGAAGCAAACGCGGCCTACAACTCGCCCGAGCCCATCTTCTCGAATCGGTTCGTCAAGGTTTATTGGTCGCGCGAGGAGCGGGACGATGGTGGGGCCGAGGGCAGCAAGTTTGGCGCCGGCCCGTCGTCCGGCCAGCCCCAGGAGCCCCAAGAGCTGACTGAGGAACAGAAGCAGCAGCAAGAACGCATCAAGGCCATCGCAAAGCTGCAGCAGCAAAAGCAAGAGCTGATTCAGCGACAGCTGGACCAGCAGAAAGCGCTCATGGAGAAGCTGGACAAGGACAAGACGCTCACCCCTGCGGCTCGCGTGGAGATCATGAAGACCGTCAAGCTGCTGGCCGAGTCGATCAAGTCCATGATGAACATGTCGGTGGCGGCCCCACCCCGAGCGGCGCCGACCCCTGCTGCCAACAAGGCTCTGATGGATGAGAAGGAACGTGAGCGACTGGACCGCGAGCTGGATCTGCTCGCACAGAACAAGACGCCCGATGCCAGCGAACCGGCGTCGACCAGCGGCGAAGCTACCAAGCCCAGCACGGTATGTGAATGCAGCGACAGCGGGCTTGTACATCGTTTGAATAGGCAGCGATCATGGACGTTTGAGAGCTCCGATATTGTGCATTTCATCGGGCGAGCCAGACACGGGCTCGGGATCTTGATGCTCTGGGCGACCGGTGCTGGCTCTGGTGGCATCCACTGACTCGTTCCTGTTCTGATGTCGTGGCAACGTCGCTTGTCATGCGACTGCTTGTCTGTGATGCCCATGTTGAACGAATGCCTCCAGACACCTGGTGTCGAGGTTCCGCCCGCACAAAGCCCGACCGCTGCGGCTGCTGCCTCGGCTCCAATCGCCGTCTATTCAGGACGAGGACGTGGCGCCTCGTTCGGCTGGGGTGGACGAGGGCAGAGCTGGATGCGTGGCGGAGGGCCCGGACACGCCCCTGTTCGGCACTTCAACCTCGACAACCGGCCAACGACGCTGCTCGTGAAGGGCATTCCTGCTGGCGAGCACGACGGCTTCAAGGAACTGTACGAGGTAAGCGCCGCGGTGATCCGGATGCATAGTGGCGGCTGGGAAGGGCAGTCCCTGCGAGAAAGTGAGCCTGGGCTGACTCTGGTCTTTGCGTGGCAAGCATGGCGAGAGAAAGCGACGATGTGGTTGTTAACACCATGGCTCCTCCAGTCGTTTGGCCCCATCGAAAGCCTGTCGTTCCTGGACGAAGAAAAGGCGACGGCGCTTGTCCGATACAAAGCGCGCAAGTTTGCCGAGATTGTGAGTGCATCTGGCTGGGGCAGAGAGCCTTGTGTTGGAGCAATGATGCTGTGGAGCGCTGCGGATTCGTGTGCGGGGACAATACGCAGCCGTGCTGACGCTTTCCTTGCTGCCTGTCCAGGCTTATGCATACGGCTCGAAGCTGCCATCGGGCGGCGCCGTCGAGCTTGCGTGGCAGAGCAACGCCGCCAACAGCGCTGCGACGTCCCCAACGACCACGACCGACCCGCTGACCGAGCCGGCGGATCAGCCTCCGGAGCAAGACACACCAGCGCCGGCAGAGACCGAGGCAGAAACGGGCGTCCCGGCCGAGTCGACCCTCGAGACGCACTGGAACGATGAGGACGAGGACGAGGACGACCACCAGGACCGGTCATGGAAGCGATAAGAGGGACAGTGCTTGAATACACACGCAGTATGCCCGGAGCAGTCCCAGTCGCGGCTGGCAACAGGACCAGCGACAGTCGCACACAGCAGCAATCGGTGGCAGCCCGCAGCGCTCCGGAGCCCCAACAATACACGATGAAAAAATAGGCACGATGAAAAAATAGGACGTGACCCCTGTGCGTCCTGCGCGCTCACAAGGCCGTGCCTTGTCGCCGGGAGGGGTCGTGGCCAGTGCCAAAGCAGTCCACCCGGAACCAGCGATGCCCCAGCATGAAGGCCATTCTTTTGTGTCTGGGCGCTGCGGCAGGGTTGCGGGGCAGAGTTGCGGGGCAGAGTCGAGCGGGTGGGGAGGGCCGCTCTTGGCCGTTTCTGCGCTCTGGGTCGTCGTCGTCGTCTTTGCACGCTGCTCGTCAAGATCTTCTCAGCTTGCTCGCTTTGGATTCCCACCGTGGATTCCCATCTTGGATACCCACCTTGGATACCCACCTTGGATTCTCGCTCAGATTCCCACCGCTTCGGCCCGCCCACACCGCCCCCAAGCCCTTCCGCTCGAGATCGCCTGTGATCCGCCCGCCCGCCTGTCGTCTTCGTCTCTGTTCTGAAGACCCAGCTTCCGCCCACTCCATCTGCCCGGCTTTCCGTTCGGCTCGCAGCCCCCGACTTCCCCCGTTTCCATCCTCTCTGTCCAGCACCACCATCATGACCGTGAACACTGCCGTTAGACGACCCTTCCTGATCATCCTGGACATCAATGGAGTCCTGATCGATCGCATCACCGACAGCCCTGCCCGGCGTTTATCGGAAACAAACCCATTCCGTCCACACGGGCTCTATGCAACCATCTCAAAGCGCAAAGGGCCAGAGTGAGTTTGATTTGTATGCCCATTGTGATCGACGACTGCTTCCCGTCCCTGCCTCGTCCAGCCGCCCGCTGTGTGCAGTGTGCTCTCGGCGTCTCTGTCGCTCTGCGCTTCTGGCACCTGTCGATTGATCAGCACTCTACTCTGGGCCGTCCACACGCATGTTGCTGATCCATTTGTTCTCGCTGCCTCCTCGACGGGCAGACGCATCCACATCCGTCCGCACGTTGACGTCTTCCTCAAGGTCCTGCTCGAAAACTTTTCCGTTGCTACCTGGACCTCGGCCATGGCCAAAAATGCCGAGCCCTTGGTAGATCTCATCATGCAGGACCGCAGCGAAGATCTGGCCTTCCAGTGGTCTCAGGATAAGTGCACCCTCACAGGTCGACAGGTGCGCAAGTCGAACGGCAGCGGCAACAAACCCGAGATCATCAAGGAACTGCAGACCGTCTGGGAGAGCCCAGAGGTAAACAGCGACAACCGCTGGTCGGAGGTGAGCCATTGCGTTTGTGCATGGTTCGCGTCAGGCGGTTCGCTGGACACGGCAGAATATGTTGCGATGCTTCGGTGAGCCAAACATCATGGCGGCGTCTGCCCAGGCTCACCGAGGACGATGCAAGTGTTTCAGGGACCAGAGGCTCTATGCGCCTGTATATAGATATATGGGAGAGCCAATCTAACCCGGTCTGCTGCTGCTGCTCGCTCCAGAAAAACACCATCATCATCGACGACAGCCTGTTCAAGGCTCGAATGAATCCCAAGAACATCCTCCATATTCCGGCCTTTACGACCCAGGACCACACCGTGGACTCAAAGAAGGACATGGTGCTCCCCAGTCTCCTGAAGTACCTGCTTCAAGTATCCTCCGACGAGACCAAGACCGACGTTCGCGACTGGCCCACTTTCTGCGAGGAGGTTTCCGCTCCCCTCCAGGAGCCTCCGAATCTGTCGATTGCATCGTTTGAGCGGTATGTCGTCAAGGAGGAATACCGGATTGATCCCTTGGACGAAGCCGACAGAGAGCGCTTCATCAAGCCCTCCGAGTTTCCACCCATCCGAGCACCACTCAGCAACCAACAGCGAGACGATGTCCTGCTGGCTGGCGTCACTCGTCGACTCGAGGCGATTGGTATTTAACGCAGCTCGCTGCTTTGGCACCAAAGGGGCTCTGCTCCAACACCAAGAGCGAGGGCCTGGCGGAGGAGTGGCCGGTGCGCATAGCCACATCTGCCGATGCACTGGCCGCCTTTCTTCGGGTCCGATGCCTCTTCGTCCAAGATGGCTTTTCTTGCAAGCCGCATTTTTGTCTCGATCGATTGTGGGCCTGGCCAAGTTGCTGCCTGCTCCTACTTTCAGACTCGTATCCGTTGTTATTTTTTTGGTATTGACGACCGACTGCCAGAGTGCTCCAGCAACGACTCTTCTGGCACCCGCCCATTGTATTCGAACCGACGCTGGACTGCTTTGCTTGGCTGATTTGCCTGGATCGTACGCTCTATTCAGAAAAAAAAACGGGACACCACACCCGCTTCCATGAACATGTGGTATGTGATGGGCTTGCGTCGACTGAGCCATAAGAAATAGAGCAGATCACTTTGGCAGCCTCCGGGTGAAGACATTGGGCCGCTGCCGGTCTCCACAATCGACCTGCACACTGGTCTCGGAGTGCCAGCGGTGAATGGTGCTCTTGGACACACTGGCGAATGGCCATGGCCAGCGTGCGATGGTATCCGGTAACAAAATACTCGGTCAATGACCAACAACCAAGGTGTCCCATTTCTTTCTGGAGCTCCTCGTTCGCATCCTCGTCTCTCGCTCGCGCCTCTCGCTCGCGCCAACCCCACGCCGCCTGTGCCGCGCCGTCGACCAATCACCGACGCACCCCCACACGCCGCTGCGCACGGCTGCTCCAGCCGCGTGATTGGCTGCGGGCAGGGCGCGCTCCGATTGGTGCGCGGGGGCGGAGGCGACGCGCCGCCCGGGGTATAAATACGGCGGTTGTCGCCGCCTCCTTCGTCCCGACCGTGGAAATTGCGCCGCACGGACCGTTCCCGCCTTCTGCCTGCTGCTGTCCTGCCGCTGTCCTGCTGCTGTCCTGCCCTTCGCCGTCGTCATCCACAAACAGCACCAGCCCTGCCGGCCCCTGTATAAATAGCCCTTGCTGCTTCTATTTTCCCTCGCCGGCGCTGCACCACTGTCTGCCACACCGTCCCGTTTTGGCCAGCGTCTCTGTATCTCGGATCGGCCGCGCCTGGAACATAAAAGCCATTGCTTTCCCACACTCCTTCCCCGCATCATCCTCGAGCCCCGTCCCTCTGCCAAGGACGATAGCATCGAGTCCAAGTCTGTAGCTCCCTTCAAGCAAGACACCTGTCTCTGTATTCGCCTGTACCGACAGCCCATCTGCCACTCGCCAACATGAAGCGTCTCCTCGACCACGAGCTCTACTCGGTGAGAATCACAGCTGCCACTGCCATGGTTTGTGTGTGCTTATCACCGGTCAGCCAGTTACTCTGCGGTGGTTGCTGGGCTTCTCGCTGCAGTTATATGTTCAACGCATTGTGAACGGTACCTCGGTGCGAATGCGTGTGGCATCCAGTGGCTGCCGATGTGGTAGTGTGCCCAAGGCACCCCGGACCTGTCTTGTCTCGCCCTGATGTCTGGTCATTTGGATGCTCATGTGCCGGCTGCCTCAACTTGGCTGCTTACTGACCCATTCCCATCACCCGATCTTCCCAAACAGAACCAGGCTCTATTTGAGCAGGACACCACCTCCCTCAAGCGGCGCCGTCCCGAACCCTGCCAAGGTCACTGGGCCAGCGTTCCTGCTCCTGCAGAGCCCTTCCACGCCGTCGGCCTCGCATATGGCTCGATCCCGGCCTATCCCAAGTCGCAGGACGGCCATCCGTGTGTCGGATCGGGTTTTGCCTCAGGGCTCTCGCACTATCGCTCGTTTGACTCGCTGCGCTCCCAAGACAGCCTCGAGCCGATACAGCCGTATGCGCCAGGATTCGCCTGCCTGCCCTCGTCGGCGAACATCGTCACAAGCGCGGCCGGATACCATCATCCGCATGGCGCACCCTCCGCCTCGTCGGGATACTCGCTATCCGGCCCACTCACGCCGTCATCACCCGATGCCATGGACATTGAGATGGAGACCTCGCCGGTCGTCCCTCAGCCTCAGCCCCAGCCTCAGCCCCGGGCTGCCCAGCCTGTCGCCCACCATCCAAGCGTCTACCAGCCGCCCAAGATACTGAGCACCCATGACTTGCACCCCCTGTCCTGGCGACAGCGCATGAACTCGTGAGCGCCCTTCCCGTCCGTCGTCCATCTGTTGTCCATACAAACTGCCTTCCAAGCGGGGCGGCCTTCTGCCAAAAGTCTGTGCCTTGGGTCAAGATCCTTCCTCTGCCGGCAAAGCGGAGTGATTCTGTTACCGCAAGGGCCCTCCCCACCTTGACAGTGCACCTCTCTGCAAGCTAATGATTTCTCCCTCGTCCTTTCCTCCTCTGCCTTTCTGTCAATATTCCTCCGCCCCCCCCCATTATCACCCACCCGCCTGTGTTCGTCCCTCGAGTCTGCTCGACCACCCGTCCCCTCTCGCGATGGGCGGTGATGTGCTCGCCACTCCACTCTCTCCATCTGTGTGCGAGAGCCACATTCCTTATATTATTACCCTTCTCGTCTTCGTAGATAGCCAGAATCAGTGTTGTAATCTTGCCCAAAATACAATACCATCGCAAGCAAGCTTCTCGCCTCGCCGCGACTGTCCTGCGAACGACAGAGCGAGTTTGTTTGGGGGGGGGAATCCATCCGCCCGTCCGATTGCCAGCTCGACTGTCGGCTCGGTTGTTGGTGGGTGCGATGGCAGGCAGACCAGCGCAAGCGAGGGATGTGGCTCATGGCAGGGCACCATGTCGGAGTTGTTTTGCGAAAGGGGACGGGCGGCATGAGGCTATTACGGACTGCACGAGTTGTTTGTTGGTTGTTCAAAGGCTGGTGGTCTTACAGCGACAACGGTGGCATGTCTGCCTGGCTTGAGATGGCAGCCGTCACCGGCCGATCGCTGCCTGTCTGACTTTCGTCCGGCTCTGCCGCTGCCAGGCTCCCCCGCGAGTACATGTGCAGATGTTGGTGGTCGAGGCCGAGCTGGAACTCGCTCAGAATGGATGAGACAATCAGCCGGCCGGGATAGATCTGACTCGGATGGGACTGGGCAAGGGCCCGCTTGTGCTCGAGCGCCAGCTCGTTCATCAGGTCGACGAGGTCGTCGTCGCGATACAGTCGGCGCGCGGTCATCTGGGAGATGAAGCGGATGCGGAACTCGCTCAACAGTTGGTACTCTGAGACAGGATCATTGGCAGGAGCAGTTCTCGGGCGTCGCCCCGGCTCCTGCTTCTGCTCCGGTCCGAGGCCCAGCTCCAGCCCAAGCCCGAGGTCGTCCAGGGCGAAATCGAGGGTGCGGTCGAGGCTGTCTGCCCGGCTTGGGTCGAGTGGCCGGTGTATGTGCATGGCATCATCCGACGGCGTCGGCGGCAAGAATGACGCCAGAGGAGCAGCCCCCGAGTGGTAAATGCCTGCGGCGACGACCTTGGCGGGGAAGGGGGCATGGTTTTGGGTGTGCAGGATGCGCTCCAATCCCAGCTGCAGCCCGGCAGCTGTGTCCGGGCGAGAGCGTTTGTCGAGGGATGCATTTCCAGCGATACTGTCGGCCCATGATCCCGTCGATCGGCGCCGGCTCGACGGAGGCATGCTGGCCCGGTCGACAAAGACCGAGGCCGGTACAAACGACCGGCGCCGGCGAGCAATGAGGGTGGTGTTCCAGAGATGCTCGAGCGCCGAGCTCTTTGAGAGCTCCTTCCACTTTGCCAGATCCAGCGTCCGTCTCCACAGATGCAGTCGGTTGAGGACATGTTCGGCGGCCTCCACACGGTCGAGGCTCTCAAAGTCGGTGAGATGGAAGATGCGGGTCGCCGGCGAGAAGCGGATCCACACGGCATCCCAGCAGTCCTTGAGCAGCCGCAGGATCTTGAGCGAGAGAAAGTACCTCTGCTGCCGGCTGAGTCGGATGGACTTGGGATTGCGCCCGGGGCTGCTGCCGACGACATGGCTGGGACGAGGATCGTTCACACGGACATCGCCTGTGTCGATACCGGCTGAGTCTCGCTGGTGCGCATGCATTCGATTGTTGTGGCCAGGAGTGCTTCCGGGGTCGTTGCGTCCGGAGCAATTGCTGCTGCTGCTGCTGCTTGCTCTTCCTGCGTCAACAGGATCGTCTTCCATCTCCATCTGGTCGGCGTAGTAACTGTCGAGTGCGTCGACCTTATCGTCCTTGCCCGGCTGGGCACCTGGGGTATACATGGGTCTGTCAAGGTCGGCGTCCGTCTCGTGGCCAAAGATCAGAGTCTGCATGCTCTCGACTTGGCCGACGGCATCGTGGATGCGCCTGGAGAGGACCGAGTTGTACTTGACATAGCGCTGTGGCAGTGTGGCCAGGAGCTGGAGCATGGCCTGGATGCTGGCTTGAAGCTCCTCGTTCGACAACTGGAGCGGGTTTGGGCTTGGCACACCAGACGAGGATTTGCCAGTGGCATTGGCGAGACGACTGCTGCACTTGCTCTGGCGGTCCTGCGTTTGAGTCGGACTTGATGACGGGCGCGACGTCAATGGCCGATGTGCCCGAGGCAGCTCTGGCAGGGGCTGCTGATACACATCGCCATCGCTGTTGTTGCGGGTTCCGACGTTGGTGTGCTGGTTGTGGATGTGCCGGTCTGGTTGCCTCGCCTGGACCATGGGTCGACCCGCCAGCATGCCGGGCCTGGCGGGAACGACGCCGGGACCGCCTGTATCTGAGATGATCGTGAGCTCGGACAGGTTCTTCTCGAGACGACGAGTGCTTGGCGATGCAGAGCCTTGGCCGGTGCGTGAAAAGTCATTGGTGCTGGACGAACGACGGCCCGTGGGAAGAGGGGCATGTTTGGATGAGGGATCGAGACCAGGGACAGCAGATATGCCTGCTGCACAACCGACCACTTCGTAGACCCCGGCCTCGACAAGCATCGGGCCTGAGACAAACTCGCGAGTTTCAGCATCCTGGCCCGCATCTCGGTCGGGTCGGGCGTCTGCTGCCTTGACCGCCGAATGCACTGTCTGGACGATCCGATAGACCGCGGGCTTGGGGGTCGAAGCAACCCCGAGTGCCCGAAAGACCCTGGCAAGCTCGACGGGCGTCGACAACGGGCCGTAGCAGCATCCCGCAAAGAAAACTCTGCAGTATGTCTTGGAAGCCGAGGGATTCTGCATGGGGACCCGTATTCGAGAGCATCCGCTCGTTGGATCCGTTGGACATGTGTGAGCTTGGCAGCGAGAGGGATTGCGAGCAGACCCTCGGAGAACCCCCGAGCAAGAATGAGGTGCTTGGGCATTGTCGACGCAGAGCCAATCTCGATTTTACGAGCACCAATACCGATGCTGAGAAGGCGGTGCATCATCCTCGATCGATGGCCTCCGATGAGATCGGAGCAGCTCGCCCAACAATGCATCCTCCCTTCCCACCACCAATCATGATCGCGCAACATATGGCCATGGTCGTCGTCCTGAGTCACAGCCGCCAAAAATACTCCACCGCTCGACGATCCGAGCTCAGCAGTGGCATCCAGTGGCTACCCACATTGTCCAGTCCAGGAACATGTCCGGTGAGTAGGATCGGGGTAATCAATCCTCAGCAACAACTGTATTCATGACCATGTGCAACAAAATCCACACGCACGCTTAGTTGGCCTTGCCAGACTGAGCAACACGGCTGAGGCGGGCGAGGGCAGCCTGGAGAAGCAGAAGCAGAAGCAGGGCCGAGGCGTCAGCGAGGGCATTGAGAGTGCATTGGAAACCAGAGACGGTCGCAGGATCTGAACAGCAGCAGCAGCAGCAACAGGGCTGGCGCACATTGAGAGCAAAGGGCCGTGCCGGAGACAGATACGTACAGACTGGAGATCAGGGCGGTAGGTGTTGGTGATCTTCTTGACAGTCTTGGCAGCACCGCGGACACCGGTCTTGAAGACGACCTCGGTGGTGGCCTTGATGGGGTGGTTGGCCTTCTTGGTCTTGGTCAGAGTAAGGGTGACACCCTTGGCACCCTGGGCAATGCCGATGGTCTGCAGACCCAGCCAGCATCACAGATGGGATGAGTTCACAAGACATGGATGGCGGCAACAGCATCCAGACCCACGGCCAGCACGCCGACTCGCAACATACCTGGGCGCTGGCGATGCCAGAGAACTTGTACGAGTTCTTGTTGAGGAGGTTGCCCTTCTCGCGAGAGAACTCAGCACCGTTTCTCTTGACGAGGAAGGAGTTGGACTTCTTGGTCAAAAGCCAGACAAGATCAGAGGACATCTGCGAACACCAGGGGGCGGATACGGTCAGCGTCGTGAGGTGGCACTCGTAGTCAGGATTGCCGCCGGGGGGGGTAAACGAATCGAAATTGAAAGAGCGACAGTGAATCCGCGGTGCAGCTGTGGCATGGATCGGTACGACTTGTTCGAGCAGGTCATGGGTGGGCGTTGCTGATGGCTGGAGCCGTCAATGCACAGAGAGCTTTGCCGTCCAAAGTCCATGTCCTATGGCAGCACCGGCTGCAGGGTCCGGGAGGCAATCGTCTGCCGTGGATCCATCCGAGAGTGGCTTCTCTGTGTTGATGCCGAGACAGTGTTGATCCCACGGACAGATCCATTTGTTAAAGAGCAACGGACCGATCCTGGCGTTCGGGCCGTCCCACCGCCATCCGGCACAGCGTCCCATGCTGGATCGTCGTCCAAAGCCGCTGATTCACTGAGCACACGAGTCCGTATCGATCGGATTGATACCGATGAATGCTTGCGTCCGTTGCATCCTTGGTCCCGCATTCGACAGGAGCCACAGCCGCACTCCGCGAGCGAATCATCCAGCTGTCGTGTGTCGCAGACGACAGCATCCCGATGTGACAGGGCCTGTCTGTACATGCACACAAGCACGCCGTGCGCGAACGCAGCAGCTTGCCGATGCAGGGGGCGCAGGTGTACCTTTGCGAGTTGTGAGGAGATATTCCGACCGCGGGGAGCAATAGGCCAAATGGAAACCGGAGGAGGAAGGAAGAAAGAGAAGAAGCGCAAGAACGGAGGCAGAAAAGACAGGCCGCCGAGACACAGCGCCGACAGCGAGACGGCGGCGAGAGCGTGCGAGGTGGTCCTCGCTGCACCCCGCTCTCGCTGTGCACTGTGTGCTGCTGCTCTCGGCTGCTCTCGACAGACTCTCGTCTCGCCTCGTCTCGCCATCGCCTCGGCTGCTCTCGCCCCGTCCTCGCTGCCGCTCTCGCACGGCGATCTTTTTTTTTTCGTGCGACAGGCCAAGCCACGCCCCACGTGAGGGCACCCAGCCGGCTCCAGCCAGTTCCGTGCCCACAGAACATCTGTGGCGGTGCTGTGGCGGTGCAATGGCGATTTCGGTCGATCTGTGTCGGCAGTCAGCAGTAAATGTGCATCGACACAGACACCTTCCGTTCCCTGTGTGCTGCTTGGTTGCCCGTTGGTTACTTGTTGATTACTTGCTGGTTGCCCGTTGGTTACTTGTTGATTACTTGCTGGTTGCCCGTTAATTACTTGCTGGCTGTCCGTCGATTTCCTCCTGGTCGCTCTCATCGCCCACACAGCCAGCCGCTCAGCCAATCGCCGCCCGCACAGACGCACAGAACGCATCACGCTTTTTTTCTTCCTGGCCTCTTCAGCCCTTCATGACCCGCTCTGGCCTGGTCGTCGTCCGCAGCCGCCCTGTCTCCTTGCTGCCTTGGCCTGCGTCCCAGACCACCGTCTCGGTCCTGCATCTCAGCCCTCGTCTCGGCCCTGCGACTGCTGTTTGGACCTTCGTCTGCGACTCTCCTCGGCACCCAAGCATACCGCCAGCAACAGCTCGCCATGGCCGCCGTCTCTGAACCCCCATCCTCCAGCGTCATCCCGTCGGTACGCCCGATAAAGGTCGCTCCTCCCAAGCACAAGAAACAGCCGTCCTTTTGGCTCCACTTTGCGGCCGGAGGGTATGTGGCTGTCTGTGGGCATGTCTTTTGCCAGTCCGTGGTGATGGCTCATGGCCTAATATCCTCGTCCATTCCATGCCTGCACATCGACGATCTGGAACTATCATGACCACAACGACCACAACGACCACACCTCGCGCTGGCATATCAATCGGCGTCTCACACGGATCCCATCGATCACATACACATCAAATACCTTCAAACCAGAACTGCCGGTGCCAGTGAGTTGCAGCCAGCTGTCCCCGAAGCCATCCATGTGTGGGCTGGGGTGCATCACCCATCTCTCGAAAGCACCGGTTCGTTCTAACCAGCAGCCCATATTCACCCAATCTCAATCCAAATCGTCTGCCATCACCGCAGTCGGCGCAACAATTCTCTGCCCACTGGAAGTCGTCAAGACCCGCTTGCAGGTACGCCGCGGCTTCGCCTGCTCGTCCTATCGACAAAGCAGAAACGGCCGCTCGCAGGCAGCAGCTTGCCTGGGCGGACGGACACATCATGCCTGTGCATGGACTTATCATCAGCCCCTCCCGTCCCTCGTGTAGTCTTCGCTGTACCAGCCGATGGAAACCCGGGCCAAATCGCTGAACCCGTTTCGTGCCGCCCTCCTCAGCATGACCGGTGTGGTCGATATCCTGAGGTACGGGATGGCTGCGTGAGTCACATCGGATCACTTTCGCCACCGGGCTCGCCCGCTCAGTTCAGTCCCGTTGCTCGATCCGCCCTCTGCGTCCACTCGCTCAATGCTCGACTCTTCTCCAGGTCCATTCGCCAGCAAGAAGGCATCCGCGCTCTGTGGAAGGGTCTCGGTCCCAACTTGATCGGCATCATCCCGGCGCGGTCGATCTACTTCTCTGCATACAGCCAGGGCAAGCATCTCTACACACACCTGAACGATGGCAAGGAGACGTCGATCGTCCACATGGCCTCGGCTGCGACAGCAGGTATCTGCACAGCTGTTGGCACCAACCCCATCTGGCTCATCAAGACGAGAATGGTGAGTTGCTGCTGCATACATGCCCCCCCCCAAGTCGGAGGCAGCCGGCCGCCTTTCGATCAAGTCCGTCGCCTCGATGCCGCGTGAGCGAATTGACTCCACATCCTTTGGTTGCTCTGCGAGCCTCCGCTTCTGCCGCGTCGATCGTGCTTGTATCTGCCCTCGTGGCGTTCGCCTCCCCTTCCCATGAGCTGATTCTCATATAACGCGGTGCATCATCGCAGCAACTACAATCTGAAAGCAAGAGCCTCGGCAACGCTCTTCCCTACAAAAACAGCTTCCACTGCGCCTACATGATCGTCAAGAACGAGGGAATCGGCGCGCTCTACACCGGCCTCTCGGCCAGCTTCCTCGGTAAGCGCAAGCGAAAGCCTCTGCGCGATCGGCCAATGTTGATCATGCTCTCCACTGCTGGCATTCGGGATGGTTGCGACAAGCAGCCAGCTTGACTATGTGGCAACGGGACTTTGAGTCCAAGTGGGTCGACTTTCCAACCGAGTCGAGGATGTCGAGCTGGACCCTTGCCTGTGTCGCTGACTCTCCCAATGACGGGGACAATCACCGCCCATCCATCACTCCAGGTCTTGCCGAGTCGACATTCCAGTTTGTCATCTACGAGAAGATGAAGAGCTACATGAAGCAGATCCGAAAGGAGCAACGTTCCAAGCAGTCGGGCGCAGAAAGCACGGGCTTTTCGCTTTCTCACGAGACACAAGGTTGGCGCTCTGCACTCTGCATCCGTTGGCCTGCGGACCATCGTCATCGGCCGCATCTGTCCTGATACTCACGGCGCCTCTTCTGTGCTGATTGCCTATGCTAGATGCCGTCGACACCTTGGCCACAGCCAGTATCGCCAAGCTTGTTGCTGCCATCATCGCCTACCCGCATGAGGTTTGTTACTGCTGCGCTGCCCTTGGGCTGCTGCGGGCTGGACTCGATATCTGACGCCTGCACACCGCCTCCTCAAATACTCCGCCTCGTAGGTACTACGAACGCGCATGAGACAGCCACCCATCAACGGCGTCCAAAAGTACACGGGATTGTGGAAGACCGCCGCCCTGGTTTATCGTGAGGAGGGCGTCCGGGCTCTCTACGGCGGCATGACAGCGCATCTTATGCGTGTCGTTCCGAACGCCGCCATCATGTTCTTCTGCTACGAAGGCATCGTGAAGCTGTTTGCGTGATTCCACATCCTCGCTGATATTGATTCTGTGACTGTCGACTGAGCTGGCTGAGCCGAATGGCATATCCTCCCCTTCTGCCTGGTCAATCTCGAGCCTCACTTATCCGCCTGCGAAATGTCGCATTGCCATCTCTCCGTCTCGACCAGCGGCGTGCCTGAACATCATATCGGCACGACGCTGTCTTTGCCGCTGGATCGGAGCGGATGCGACAGCCCTTATGAGCTTTTCTCGTCTCCCCTTCTCCGTCACCATGTACAGTTATCCAACCCACTCCGTTTTGCTTCTCTGCACTCTTGTACCATCCCCCCCCTCTCTCTCGTCCTTTGGATTCTGTGTTGGCATTTGCCACTCTCCCTCGTTTAGTCGCCGCATGGCATTCCTGGATCGTCGACGACTGCGTTGGTGACTTCGGCCCTGGGCACCCTCGCCCACATAGAAGCCAAGAAAGCGTCATCGCGCACTTGAACTTTTATTTCTCGTCATACCGAGGGGCGGCGCTCATGCGAGCGAGAGAGTCGAGTCCTTTGGCGGGAACGTTGACGACAGCCCTGGCAGAACCGACCGACGCCGCATATCAGCCGTGTGGCACACCGGAGGGCGTGGTGAGCAAGAGTGAGATCAAGAACATGCGCCGAGCCAGACGAAGAGCGGGGGGATAGCAAAAAGACGGGTCAAGACACCCATATGCGCGCAAATGGCCGAGTCCTTACCAAACAGATAGCCCATGAACTTGCTGTCATCGATCCTGTCGTCAAAATACATCTGCTTCATCTTGAAGAACGTTTTCGAAGTGAGCAGACTATCGCTGCCGGCTTGGTGTTGCGGTCCGATACGGGGAATCTGAGAGAGACACGGAACGACATCAGCGGCGATGGGGGCCTGGGCTCTGAACTGGAATCGCCGCCAACCGCAGGCTCGGTGGGCATCCGTGGTCTGAGGCTCTGCGTTACCTGGAGATCGTCGGCAACGTCCTGCAGCCCACCCTTCAAGTTTTTACAGCTCTTCATCAGATATTTGATATCGTAGAAATTCGGGAAATACAGCTTCAGGAGCTCGAAAAAGTCGGCCTCCTCCGCGGGAAGGAGCTGGCAGGTCAGAATCTTCAATAAATATCCAAAATCGTAGCCACTGTTGCGGGAATGAGAGTCGATTGTTTCGTGATTTAGTGTCGGCCGCAGGAGCCAAAGATGGTCATCACCGTCACCATGCGGGTCATTCCTTCCTGTCGGTGGCTTGGCTTCATGGATCGCGGTCATCCTTGCAGGCCCATACCTATGAAATGATATCCATCGCACATCGCTGAAGAGCACGAATCCCGAGCTGATCAGCACTTCGCCAAAGTGCTCCACCGTGATCCCCAGTTCTTCGTGTTTCTTGAAGTCGATTCCGGATTTTTGAAGCAGCTCGATCGATTCTGGGGCGTACATGTCCTCGCTGCCATCGAAGAGACCGGATCGAGTCAGCGAACATGCTTGAACATGCTTGAATCCAGCAGCCCAAGGAGTCCCGTCCTTCCAGCGACCCGTCCTCGCCTCGGTGCCGAACCAAGACAGAGACCGTCCATCTCGGCTCGTCCGGTCTTTCCTGGTGGTTGATGACACTCATGGTGCAGTCAAGTCGGCGCCCAATCAGACGACCACTCGGTCATCAGGAGCACACGATACGTATTTCCAGCAAATGGCCCTGGTCGGAGATGTGTTCGATCCAACGACTTGCACGGAGATCCAGCGACTTGCATGGAGATCCAGCGGCTTGCATGGAGACTCACCTCAAACTGAACTTGAAGTTGAACTGCCATGTGCAGACTCCTGGCGGAGGCTCGCCCCGTTCGTTGACAAAGGTGATGCCTAGATGCCATCGAAGCCAGCGAGAGTTCGGATGGGAAGCGGTCAGCCGCGGAAGGAGAGCGCTGGCTTCTCGGTGCCGGCTCCACTCCCATCGTCATCTCGTTCGATGACGATGGGTCCACTGATCGATGCAAGTAGCAGGCTGGCATCACGGGACAATGCAGTACCGAGTTGGATGATCTTGAGCAGGTCGACGTTGCATCTCAGCGTTTGGTAGTGATAGTCCGTCGATGTCTTGAAGTTGCCTATCGGCCGAGCCACCACTCCGGGAAACTCGGTGTCCTTTGAAGGCCAAGGAAGTGACACGACAGTACGGCATCCAACGGGATTGCAGCGGGGGATGAGAGAAAGCGCCAGTCGCCGAATCCGCGAGAGAACCAACAGAGATGACGGTTAGCGCAAACGAAAAACACTTGCACGAGGTTGCTGCTGCGGATCGGTGACGGATCGTGTATGGAGACATGGGCCAAGAGGATCCCGAAGGATTTGATATGGGACCATCTCGCACATCTCGTCCCTCTTGGACAATCGCCCAGGAGCAGGGGGGACGCAAGCGCGGTCCAGGCAGCCACGCCGGATGCAGATGCAGGCCCGAGACAAATCAGCACCAGTGTCGCTGACAATACAGGCAAGTAGTCTGATATGGACACGGGAAGATGTCCGACGACGATGGGCGATGGGCGATGGGCGATGGGCGGTATCGGCAGGGCCCGTGGCCGCCTGCGACGCAGCGAAGGAGACAGAAGGAACGGAGGGGACTCGCACCATCGACAGAAAGGGATACTCCTCGACGAGATCCCGCAGATACTTCAGCTCGGTCTCGAGGTTGTCCTCCCAGACGTCGCGTACAGGCGAGTGGATGTTGTCGGAGGCCATGATCGGTATCGATTGCATGCAAGCAGCAGCAGCAGTGGCTCCATCGGCCGTTTCTCGCAACAGCCAGAGTCAGCCCGCAGCGCAGAACGGCGGCGGCCGAGAAAAACGGGCCAGGCGGGTGGACGAGCCGGGGGCTCGATCCGGGTCGATCCGGGTCGACCCGTGTGGCGCTATCCCTCCCGGCTGTGAGCATCGGCCGTCCCCGTTTTTCTTCTGGCCAACACGGGTTGGACACTGGCGTGCATCTCCCTGCCCGATCGACACAAGCGCCAACGGTCCATCTCTCTGCCGGTCCGTCCATCTGCCCTGCCGCTCCTCCGGACTGCTTCCCCCCCCTCCCACGCACTCATAAGAACACCGCAGCACACATGTCGTCCCAGGCCGCCATCAACTCCCTTGTCGATCTGCTTGCATCCAAGCTCAAGCGTCTCCAGGTCCGCGGCTCCTACAACGTCGCCATCGAAACCGCAGGACTGTTGCGCAAGGTCACCTCGGCGTCCCGATGGAATTCGCTGCAGAGCCTGATCTCGACCATCAAGGACGTCGGAAGGCGGCTCATTGCCGCCCGGCCCATCGAAATCGCCGTCGCCAACATCGTCCGACGAGTGCTCTATCTGGCCCGCGAGGAATACGAGGCCCTGGTGGAGCAGCACATCAATACCCACGGCTCGGCCGACACATTCGATCTCAACGATCGAGACACCATGTCAAATATCCTTTTTCATAGTGCCAGCATCTACGTCGCTGACGCCGGAGCGGAGGCACGGCAGACCGAGATCTGCCCAGATCATGGCCACCATTGCTCCTCGGGTGCTTCGGCGCTGGCGATAGTAAGCAGCCACAGCCAAGATGCTGTCCGAGCAGCGAACCGCGGGCTGTAAGAGCGCCGGCATACCCTCTGCTGCATCGATCAAAGACGGATTCTGCCACGCGGTTTGCTGGCTCGCCAGATCTGGATCGGTGGCAACTGCATCCAGCACTCGTTCATCGATGTGGTGTCCTTAACTCGAGCATCCTGCGCATCATTTTCTCTTGGGCTTCATGCCCGTCTCCGCCATCGCCATTGCCATCGTCATCGCCATCCCGTCCTGTCCATCTGCCCTCCCTCCTGTGCTCATCTTCTAACCTTCTCCTGGTCGCTGATGCATCCGTAAGCACATTTCCGTGGTATCCTTGCCGAGAGTATTGCCGAATTGGTCGACGAACTCACCAGCGCCAGCGCCAACATCTCCGGACAGGCCCTGGAGCATATCCATTCCAAGTAAGGCGTACTCCCGCCATGTTCGCTGCGATGCTGTGTGTGCATGCCAAAAGCAGCACACCCGCATGCGACAGCGGCCCAGCGTCTGCGCAGATGTAGTCATCGGCAAACAGCGCCACATCCGATCTGCGCCTCCGCTGCATTCTCTTCAGGCGGGCTGACAGTGCTGCCGTATCATTAATATTTCTTTTTTTGAAACCCCGACAGCGAAATCATCATGACCATCGGATACTCGCAGACAGTCGAGGCGTTCTTGAAGGAGGCCGCCAAGGTTCGCAAGTTCCAAGTGATCGTTGCCGAGACAGCGCCTCAGTAAGTCGTCTCTACAACCAAGGTGCTGCAAGAAATCTGCCCGCAGCGACGGTTGCTTGCTGATCGATCAGCGCCGAGGGAATGGGATCGGCACGCTATGCTGACGGGGCTGTTGGACGTCGCCTCTACACTGCTCAGTTTTGAGGGCCACCAAATGGCTCTGGCACTGTCGACTGCGGGCATCGACACGACCGTGATCTCGGACTCTGCCATCTTTGCAGTTATGGCCAGAGTCAACAAGGTTCTTTTGGGCACACATGCTGGTGAGTGCAGCTGCCTCGTGCGGTGCTTTGGCAGCTTTAATCCGGCAGCCGGCTCGTAACTTGGGCACAGCTCCTGATCTGAGCATCAAAGGGTGTGTAAATGAGATGCTTGGAGTTCTATCTGCTCACGCCTTTGCGGGATCTCTTGCTCTCAAGTCACGGCCAACGGCGGCTTGGTTACTGTCGGCGGAAGCTTGATCATGGCTTCGGCTGCGAAGCATCACTCCACCCCCGTCGTTGTCTGTGCGGGACTATACAAACTCTCCCCGCTGTACCCCTACGACACCGACATCTTCAATCTCTGCGTGAGCCCCGATCCCGTCTACAACTTCCAAGAAGGTATGGCCTAGAACATCGATCCTGCGCGCCAGTCTGGGGTATTGGACGAGCAGGATGAATAGCGAGATCCAAGACCATACTGACTAGCGACACCTGTATTCTCTGCGACGCTGCTGACTCGTCTACAAGGTGATATGATCGACAAGATTGATGTCATCAACCCCTTCTTTGACTACGTCTCGCCCGAGCTCGTCAACTTGTTCATCACCAACGTGTAAGTGGAATGTCATTTGCGATCGCATCGAAAAGGGCGTGTCAACAGTGGAGAGAGAGGTACCTTCTATATCGGATACTGACATGCACCTCGGCTCATCATCGCCGCTTTGACACTTTACCATCGCTACTTCGGCCTTGCACCGCAACACAATCAACCAACAATGGACTTGGAACCATCATCGTGATGTCCTATTGCTGCCACAGCGGTTCACACCCGCCGTCGTACATCTACCGACTTTTGACAGAGTCGTACAGCTCGGACGACAACGAGCTCTGATCGTCGCGGACTGCTTGTTGCGCTTGTGCTCGGCAGTCGACAGTAACTGCGACCTCAAACCTCACCCCTTTCGTTCGGGATTCATCTCTCCCACCTGCACTCACTTGCTGGGCAGTTTGTTGTATATCACCTTCCTCCCGACTGCAGCCCTCTCAGGATCAAATATAGTTCAGACCAGAGAGCACGGGACACCCCAGATCATTTCTCGTTCACGACTGTGGTGCTTGCAGTGGCGCTCATCGAGTGTGGGGAGCAGGAAGCATTCATCGATTCACCACCTCCGCTGCTGATATTGCTGCTGCCGGTGGTCGATAGCGCTGTTTTGCGGACCCGCTGAGATCAAGGGAGTGCATGAGACCGAGGGGTTGCATGAGACCGAGTGGATGCATCGATGCATGGATGTATGTATTCACGGATCCCAAAGTAAACAGAAACGAGGTGCGATGAAATGAAAATGAAAATGAAAATGGAAGCAAAGAATGGAGTAAAGAATGGAGTAAAGAATGAAAGCAAGCAATGAAAAGTCCAAGTACGAAGCGTATGTCGATTTTTTCTGAATGCCATGTTACTATTTTTTCTTTCGTCCCTGTTTGGCTTGCTTGTAAGAGGAAGGGGAGGAGGCGATGGTGTTGACAATTATGGTGGTGGTGGTGGTGATGGTGGTTTCTTGGGTCTGGAGGAGGGAGGGAGGGAGGAATGTTCTATCATTCCACCACTTGGCGTTGGGTTTGAGCAATTACATCTGGAAGACATGCATGGCTGGCAGGAAAGGAAGACATGTCAACTTGGAGCACATGATCGACACATCAGGTCCGGCGAGAAGATGGAGAGAGCGACTACGAGGAAAGGGAATCGAGCGGACAGGAGGCTGGGCTCCATGGCATATAGTGATGATATCGATGCGTTACAAACACAAACGACAAAAGGAAGGGGTACCCTCGGCACAGCTGGCCAAAACGACAGTCGTACGGCAGTGAGGGCCAGGTAGTCGGGACGGGCCAAGGGCGACGGCTCCCTTCATCCCAAAACAAGACGAACAGGCATCCCGATTCGCGCACACAACATCAAACTTCTATGAACAGGCACACACATACACATACACATACACCCAGCAAAGGGGCAACGGGAGCGACGGGGTAGGGGGAAAAGAATCAAGAGCACAGCGATGCAAGCGCTGGAAGTCGCATTACTGGTTTTGCGTGAACTTGATGGAGGCCAGGTTGTTGACCATGTACTGGCAGAGATACGACGACATCTCCAGAGACGGAGGATCGATGATGCGGAACCGCACGGGTTCGTTTCGGCCTGTGAGCGCAAACTCAACCTCGGTCCAGAGATCCAGGGTGATCCACGGGCCCAGGGCAATGTCCCAGATGGGCGATGCCACGGCACGGTGTCGCTTGACGCACTCGCGCACGATCTGGCTTTCCAGAGGTGTCAGCATCGAGTGGACATGAATCCGCACCATGCGCTTCTGGAACAAATCGGCGAGCATCTCAAGCGGACTGCGTGAGAGCTTGGGCCGAGGCCTGTAGATCCAGTCCTTGTGCATGTGAAACCACAGCATCAGCACCTCCTCGATGGACTCTTGGGGGTTGAGCCGGAGCGTGATCAGATTCACCTGCAAATGCATTGTTCGATGTGCTGGTCAGCCGGCGAGAACAGCGGAGCCACACCATGCACGGACCCGGACCCGGACCCGGACCCGGCCAGGTCTAGCTGGGGACGAGCACACGGAGCGGCGGTGAATGAGCACACCGACACCTGCAGCGATTGCGGTCGAACATACCATACGGCACAGCGGCATAAAGTTGGAGAAGATCAGGGTGCGTTGCTCGTTTTCAGCCTCGAACTTTTGCATGATCTTGAGCAGCTCGCGGAGGATAGCCGCGGCAGTGACGCAGGTTCGCAGACCAACAGGAAACCGAGCACTGTCACCCATCGAGTCGGGGTCGCGCCACAGATCTGGAGGGCAGAAAGAGTCGGTCGGCCAAGAAAACCAGTACGCTGCTCTCCTGGCACCACAGCCACCACGATCACATGGATATGGCAGGCGCACTCCGCCGCTGCAGTGCTGCGGCATCAGTCTGTCGTGTGTATGGCACGCACCTTCGATCATCGCCGGGAAGTAGATCAATATCAGCGTGCCCTGGTAGAGGATATTGCACTGCAAGATGTCCATCGAGAACTTTCCAAAGCGGTTGCGCTGCTGGTCGTTGATAAGGTTGTTCAGGTCTTTCATCCATTCGGGCAGGGAAATGTACCAGCTCCACAGCTTGTCGGCCGTCACGGATGACCAGGCCTTGTACTCCTCGAGCTTGGCTTGGTTCTCGAGATAGGTCTCGGGGTTGAGTTCGGGCGGGCCGTCGTTGTAGAGCGAGAGGTACTTTGTGGCCTGCTGGTCGATCTGCACAAAGGTGAGGATATAGCTTGTGTAGTCGGGTATATACGGATCCACTCCCGGTGGAACCTCGCTGCCACAAAAGAATGGCGGCCAGGACGAGGGGTTGGTCCAAAAGTACTCGTTGGACGGCGGACACGGCACCGTCAGGGGAAGGGGCGTGGCGTCGATGGACCGGTACGCCATGACGTTTGCGGCCGCCAGGTAGTTCAGATAGACACATTGAAACCAGGCTCGTCGAGCATGCTCGGCTTCAAACCAACTCTTGTCCTTGTACCACGACGGCCGGTCGATCTGCAGTGTTTGGGCGGCGCGAATCGCCATTTTCAGGAAGCGACAGGACAGCGGGACTGGCAGGAGCCGCCAAATCGCGTCAGTGACATGATGCAGTGGCGTGAGAATGGGACGATGAATATGCGAAACAGCGAGGGTGTCGCCGATCCGCGGAGACGCGAGCGAGCTGCGGACTATACTGCCAATCTGCGACACTTACAGTTGCCCATGTCTGAGCCGGATTCAGAGCGATGAGCCAGCGTTCGATCGGACAGTTTGAGAGAAGGGACCGGTGGTGCGATGCATCGCGGGAGACGAAGGGCCGTAGAATGTTAGTAACCAAATCTCGCAAAGCACCGCGGCATATCGCCTGATGCACGACACCATGACAAGGCTGCCCGGCTGGCCCGGCTGGCGAAGGGGCTTCGGCATCCCCCGGTACAAGACGACGGCTATCCAGCTCGGGGAAGATGGGGCTTACAATACGACTGGCGTCCCAGCAAGATCAGAGCCTGGATCAACTCGACAGAGAGCGTGTCCATGGCTTCCAGGACGAGCTCTCGAGCCTTCGAGAACATGGGCACGATGAAACCAAGCGGAGCGACACCGCGACGCTCCATCCACAGACCCGAGGTCAGGATGGCGTACTTGAGGAATTCCGGCTGAGTCGTCCAGTTGGATCTCAGATGAGGCTCGAAAAGCAGGCCGAGTGAGACGTAGGTTCCAACGGCATTCTGGCAGAGATACAAGACGGACAGCAATGTCAGCAGGGCAATGACGGCATGTCAGCAAGAGTGTACAGGGGGCGATACTGGCATGCATCCGCAACGAGTGGGTGTGCGATGGGCGATGGGTTTGGGTCGGTATGGCCAGGCCAGGGTCTTGACGATTCCCCTGCCGCAGCAGTGGAACATCGCCGGTCTCCCGCGGGCAGCATCTCCGGCTCGTTTCCAACGCCAATACCGACCTTGAAGAAATGGCCAACCGAATTTGAGACGAATTCGTCCGAGAAGCTATTTGGGTTGGTGCCGGGCAGCCAAGTTGGCCAGGTGGTGTCGATGGACAGGTGAGACAGGTGGGAGAGATGAATTCCAGTCGATTCGGGCGTGTGCGGCGGCGAGAACTCCGGGGTGAAGATACTTGGCGGGGACTGCGACGGGTTTGCGCTGGAGCTGGGTGCGATCGACGATGAGTGCGGGCTGGACATCGTGCTGGCGCCGGTGTCCCGGTACTGGTTGGGGCTGAAGCGAGCGTTCTGAGCAGAGGAAGACGCGGACGAGACGGTGTCGGGATCGGGCGCCGAGGCCAGGAGCTCCAGAAAGCCGACCTTGAAAGCAGTGTCGTTGGAGAGTTCATACAGCTCCGAAAGCAGCTCGACAAACTCCCAGGTGGCGAGCTTTTTGGAGTTGGGAGGCGAGCAGCGCTTCTTGAGAACAATGAGCTTGGCCATGGACGAGGCCGGGATCCAGACTCTCCAGACGGCGTCGAGCGGGGTATGACTGTCGTCCAGCTTTGGCTGGTCATCGGGCGCTGAGCCATCCCTGGCGGCCTGCACGGGCTCGGGGCTGGCCGACAGCAGCTCGTCGAGGGACGAGTCCGGATCGGCAAGGCCGGGGGCTTGCGGCCCGTCGACGGCCATATCCTCGAGCTTGACGTTCTTAAAATCAGCAGCATCGTCGGCATCGCCGGCGGGCCCAAGGGAGCGACACCGGACATGATCGACGGCTAGCGATGTGAAGCGGCAGGGCCGATCGCTCTGGAGCTGAAAGAGATTGTCGAGCAGTACAAGAATGTAGTCGGCATAGGTCTTTTGCGTCTTTTTAGCGGCATCGAAGCGCCGCTTCTGGTGGTGGAACAGGTTGATGCGGTGAGGGGTGAACCTCTTTGAGGCGGTTGCGTGGTGTTCTCTCATGGCATCGGGTCAGAGAAGGAGACGATGCGATAAGGCGGAGGGGGAGACGGTGTGCGATTGGCAGGGGCGGACGAGATATGGGTGGACTGGCACGGTGATTCGGCGACGGGGAACCAGGGGAGAGGATCGAGGATCGAGGATGGAGGGGATGGATTGTGAGAATGACAATCAGTTGATTCGAGGTCTGGAGGATGATGTTCGGGAATGTCGGCGACGACGCAGGCTGGCGGGACAGCCAAGTAACCCAGCCGCGATATTTGTAAATCGAGCCAAGACAAGCGAGACGGGCGGCAGAAATCCACGACAAGCCCAAGGACCAGGACAAACAGGGCGATGGAATGAGGGCGACAGGGAACGAAGCAAGAGTGTCCAGCAACCACGGCTGTCAAGCAATGACGGCGATCAAGCAGCCGAGACCCACAGGCAATCGAGGCCAGCAGGCAGATGAGTGGCAAGCGACCAAGGCCAACAAGCGACAAGCGGTCGTCGGCAGAGCGAGCCGGATACCCGAACGACAACGAAAGTCAACAACGCCAAAGCCAGCACAGAAATAACGCAGGGCCTTGACGCAAAACAGCAACCCACCCCCACCAATACCAAGCAGCGCAAAACAACGCAGATCGGCATCGCAAACACCGGCCCGGAAACAAAGCCCCAATCGCGCAACAAAACATGTCCCTGTTTGTCGTGGCAGCGCCGCAGTGGCCGGCGGGCACAAAACCGGGCGGGCTGTGCTGCGCAATTTTCTCCGGTTTCCCCCTCCGCAAGCACAGCCACGGCACCCACGGCACCCACGGCCGTGGCTTTCTGCCTGAACGCCCTCGACTCGGCCTGGGCATGTCCCAACTCGGCCTGAATACTCCCCGGCCCAGCCTGGGCATTCCAGGCCTATTCGGCCGACCGCCTCGGGCTCGCTCCGCAGGCTTCCTCTCAGCTTCCTCTCGGGCTTCCTCTCGGGTTTCCGCAGCCCGCCGTGGTCCAGACGCGCTGCTCCGTTTGGGCCGCTCGGCATGGGCGGGCCGGTGCCCAGACACAAGCAAAGGCCAGGCTCGGCACGGGACTGATCCCACGATTCGGCCGTTGCGCCTCCCGACAGAGCCGAGCCGGGCTTGGCGGCAGCGGCGTCTTGGCAGGAGGCGTGCTTGGCAGGCTGGCTGTGCACGATGGTGGCCAACAACGGACGCCGACCACGGTGACCTGCTGCAGCCCACGGCGACCTGCTGCAGCCGCTTGTGCGATTTGCTCCTATCGGCAGCAGCGACGTGGCGCGCTGGCGGGCCAGACGAGACTGTATTGGACTCATAGGGGTGGATGCGGAACGACGCGATGGATGCGGCCGAGCGGACTGTGATTACGGATTGATTAGGGCTGTGCGGCTTGGAGACATCCAACGCACGGCAGGCGGTTGGGGCACATCAGCTGGTCAGGTCGCTGAGACAGCGCTCCATCACCTGTCCAGAGAGCAGGGTTGGTTTGGCTGGCTGATTAGAGCAGAGCAGAGGCGGCGCGAGCGTCGATTGCGTGCAAGACACATCCCGTCGACGTCCATGTCCGCTTGTCCATAACTCGTCCATCCACTTGTCCATAACTCGTCCATCCACTTGTCCATCCATCCATTCGCAATCGCGCATATTGCTCGGCTGGACTGATCCCCCCCCCGCTGCGGTCTGGTTGCCGCTGGTTGTCGCTGGCCGCTGCAGACGACGCTGACGACTTGCACCTTCAGACATACCTCATATTTGATTTGGTTGGCTTGGCTGACAATCTGATCTATATCCAGTGCCGGCAGGCGTAGCAGCAGCGAGTGGATCTCGGATTGTTCCAGCTCTGGAACCACAGCAGACATGATGTGTGAGCAGACACAGCGACCAAGGGCAGCTGGGCATGCACGGATCCGCTGTCGCATCAAGGCAGCGGACCGAGCGATGGGATGGAAGCGCCTACCTTCTAGGTTTTCTTTACATTGATAGAGAATAGCTATCGGCCAAGCGAGTCAGAATATTGTCAGCCGTATGCACCGACGTGGCCGGAGCCGGGCGGCAGCGACACGATCCTGCTTCGTACCTAAGCAGACATAGACATGCATTTGGAATCCATCGGGAACGGAGAAATAGGTATCCCAGAGTCTCAGGACACCTGGCGGAAGTGTCGCAATCGGATTGAGGGCGGGGAGTCAGTTGGTGGTGTTTGCAGCCGACTTAATGACGATTCCACACAACTATCGACCAATGTGCAAGGGCACCCATGCCAAAGATGCAATAGGCTATGGATTGACAGGGCTGGAGCGGAGGCACAATGCACACACACCCCATCTGCAAGCGACAATGACGACCAGCAACTTTGCCGGCCAGCAGACACCGCAGGCACCGCAGACATCACTTACATTCGAACGGCAGCTCCTTGGCCAGCAGATTCTCGAACCACGACCGCGCCCAGGTCTTGTGGTCCACCTCCTCTTCCTCAAAGTGGTTGTAGAGATCGGGGAGGAGCGTGCGGAACAGAGTGATAAAGTTGGAGAGCCGCTCGCTGATGCTGTGCTGAGCCAAGTGATCGTCTGTGGAGACACGAGGCAATAAGTCAGAGAACACATCAAGGGCAAAAGTAAGACCAAGCGATCGATGGTCACATCGAGACCCGTGTCGTCGATTCTACCCATGCGGAATGCCCTCGGTGGCTCCGAGCAGCGTATTTGCAGTGGTGCCTGCAAGTGCCGATGCAGCCAGAGATGCTGACACCAGGATACGCCGAGATCGTGATACGCCCCTGCACCCACCGCCCTTCACTCGGAGCTTTGCCGGCCATGGAAAACAGGCCCACAACACGTACCCAGGCTCTGCACAATCTTCTCGAGGCTATAGTAGACTTCCGCCTCGGCCGACATCGAATAGACCAACGGACCGCAAAAATGAACCAGGGCGGGCGAGTAGTCGATGTGGCGGTGGTGGTTGAGGAACGTCGTCAGCACGTTCTCGATGGTGAGGATATAGTCCTGGCTCTTGAAGTACTTTGAGCGGCTCTTGACATACCGCGAAGCTTCACCACGGACCCGGTTGATCACCTCGCTCTTGTCTTTGGTGAGTCGTGAGTACTCCTCAGCCTTGGCCTTGATGCTGGGCATCTCGCTGGCTGAGAAGCGAGAGTGAGGATGAACACGAGGACAAGGAGCGCAGAAAAAAGATTGCCCAAAAGCAACGGGTGATTGGCAGCAGGGGTGCAGAATACAGAACGCAGAATGCAAGGATCCGCGACGGATCAAATCGACGCCGAGGATGGGTGGTTGCGGGAACCCGGGATGGAGCATCAGAGCCGTTAGTGCGTCATTCAAGCCAATGTCGGAATCCGGCATTCAGACTCCATTCTGAGACACCCAGGACAGGCACCAGCGCTGTTGAACCACCGAATGCAATCCCCCATGCAGGCAGGCGGTGATGCAAAATAACAGAGCAGCCTATGCATCGCCGATTGGTTGGGATCAACGAGGCACGGTGGCTTGTGTCCATAAGAGTTGAAGATTGCCCAATGACTCAATATCCCGGTGGTTCATTCCTTTAAGGGTGTGATGGCTCAATGGATCGGCTCTCTGTTCGAGCCCGAGTACGGCGAGGGTTGCCGGAACGCACCTTTATCGGCAGAGTAGACTCCAAGGAGGTACTTCCAGACTTCGCCTCGGACCTGGAGCCAGCAAACGAGCCAGCAAACGAGCCAGCAAACGAGCCAGAAACGAGCAAGCAGCCGCCCCGCCCTTCATCAGACTCTGAATGCCCGGTGCGAGCCCCGGGGCTGGCACAGCAGACGGCCACAGCTCTCCAACACCGTGGGGGAAGGTATGGGTCTGTGTCGATTGCTGCCGCTGCTACCGAGGAGGGATACGATCCAGTCGCTGGGAGAGGGAGCCAGTTCGGTGTTCTAGAGCACTATCGAGTACTCGACGACTGGACCTGGGGCGTGTGTATGTGGAAATACCTCGTCTGGAATTCCATGCTGGGCGGCGAATCCCAGCTTCTCCATATCGACAAGCATCTCGGCGTTGATGATGTCGCGGAACTCGTCGGTGCTGGCTGACATGATCTTGGACTGAATCTTGGGCTGGGTCTTGGGATGGGGCACGGGATGGGCTGATAAGACGGGGGACAGTGGTGCTTATCGGACAGCAGAGGCAGGGACGGCGATGGAGCCAGTCGACAAAGGTGACTTGGTGGAGCCAGCAAGATGCGTGGGCAGTTTGCTTGGAGTAGAATTTGATCGCCGGACAGAAACGGTGGATGCCGAGCGAGCGAGCTTGTTTGGCAGAGAGGAGACGACAGAGGGAGCCAGATGCGATCGACGGAGTGTTATAGACGAGACATGGAGGCACTGGGGAGGAGGCGGCGGACCGTCGGACTGGAGAGATACGGGAGCGGGCGAGGCGGAAGAACGGCCTCGCAACCATCGAAAACTTGGCGGAATAGGACCGAGACCGACCTCGGGCCGAGACGGCAGCGAGAGCGCGGCGAGGACCCCGCAAGGCTGCGACGAGAACCGCGCGGCGAGAGCAACAAAGACAGAAAACCAGGTACGACATGCGCTCGCCCGTCCGGGCAGCCCAACAACGCCGTGTCGTCGCCATCGAGGCCACAATTGGCTGCGCTATCGGGCGGGCCTGATGCACACCAGCTGCATCGGCTGCATCGGCTGCGCTGTGGGTGTTTGGGGGTGGGATGTGCCAGGAGGACGCGGCTGCTGTGTCGGCCGTCGGTCCAGGACCACAGAACCTGCAATCGTATTCCGTCGCGCCGGGGTGATCTCGACCAGGCATCGTCCTGGACCAACCTCCCCCGCATCACCCCGTGTCCGTCTCCATCCGTCTCCATCCGTCTCCATCCGTCTCCAACTGGGCCATGGCAGCTCGTGGATCTGTGGTTCGTGCCGCTTTACTCGACCGGCCTGCCGTATCGTCTCCACCATGTGCATGCTCGGCCGTCTCGCCCTTTCTGACCAGCACCCTGAATCTCTCGATGTTCGTCAATACACTGGATTATCGCGGATCCTTTCAATCTCGGGGTCGGCGATCCGCTGCATCGCTGATAGCGGTCCCTTGGGTCGCATGAGGCGGCTTGCTCCCTAGTATTGATGCCTTCCGGCACACACATCCTCGTCGATTGTCCTCTCGGCCATCCGCAAGCCCTGACCACGCATTACAAGCTACCTCGTTCCACGCCGTCCTATGCCGCCTCGGCGTCTCGGTTTCGCTTCGTCCTCCCCAATCTCGACTCGGTTGATCCAGCGACCATCGATGCCGTCCTGCTGACCAACTCCTCAAGCTGGCTTGGGCTCCCGTACCTCACCGAGCGGACAACGTTCCGTGGAGAGATCTTGGCCTCCGAGGCAGCCGCACAGCTTGGAAGGTCGGTATACTCGACAGGCCCGACATGCCGCTCATTCCACGTCCTCCACGATCCTGGAGCTAGATCTGGGTAGCGGGCCCGCCATCGGTCAGACGCATGAAACCCCGGCGTCGCTGGACAACTCGGTCGCGGCGAAATGGAGGATCCAATCGAGACAGCGGCTGCTCACGCATCTCCTCTCTATCGATAACAGCATCGTCTTGGAAGAGCTGGTTGCAAGCTTTGGCGAGTACGTATCGCTGGCAAACACCCCTCGGTTTCCCGGCGTGTCCGGGCGCTGGACCCACCGCCTGATTCTGACCCAACCAACCGCCCTGACCGGCCTTGGCTCTCAACTGCCACAGCGATGTTGGGTACATCCAGATCGGATACGAGCTTCAGCCCATGTTTTCGCTGCACGAGCTGCGCTCATGCATGGCCAAGATCCAACGGGTCTCCCACAACCAAATTCTGGTAAGCCGGTTGCGCACACTCGGCTGTGGTATCGACAGAGCTGCGTCCGTCTCGGTATCAAGACCACTGGATCCGATTGTCGCTCATGCAGATTCGTCCCAATTCGACTTACATGCTGTCACCGCTGTCTCCTTGGGGAACTGTGGCCTCGAAGCGCCTGGGATCCGACTTGATGGCAGTTCCCGTCAGCTCTGGATTCAACCTGGGCAGCACCAACTGGATTCTTGACACCTCCGCAACCAAGGTAAGGCACCACAACATAGCCCTGGTTTGGGCTGTCGTTTGTATCGAAATTCTATCCACCGCAGTGGCCCGGGCAATGTCATGCGATCCAACCATGCCTTCGTTGCTTGGCCAACATCTCTATGGCGCTCTGGATCGATGGGATCGACCTTGCTAGATCGGCATTGTCGGTGTCTCGTCGGTCAGCCAGCCTCAGCACTCGTCAAGAATCAACACCGAGGCACTCAACGACTGCAGCATCTGGATTTTCCACGGCTCTATCGCTGCCGACCACTCTGTCTCCCCGATTGCGTCAATCAACAGCCTGTGCGAGCGTATAGGTATTCTATCTCTCTCTTCCCGCGCCGGAACGTCTCGCCATCTCGCCATCTCGCCATCTTGCTGATCGTATGCTTTTGTTCGCTTGCCTGGCGTGCGTCCGACTGCACATGGACTCAGCGATGGCCGTCGATCGTGGCGGCAACGTGATTCTGCCGATCGGCCCGTGTGGGTATCTCTATGACTTGCTGGACATCATCTCGAAGCACCTCCGGGCCCTTGGGATGTCGCAGTTTCCGATGCATTATGTCTCGCCTGTGGCCAAGCGCTCACTCCACATGGCCAATATCCTGGGTGAGTGGTAAGTCTTCCAGTGCCAAGCCGAGAACAAAGTCGACCGGAACGACCACCCTCCGATTCTCACCCTGAACTCTTTGCAACGCCGTGGCTGCGGCGCATACAAGGGCATCGACCGAGTCGCAGGAAAACCTCTATAGCGCCTCGACGCCCCTTACCCACGGCGAACTGCTCGAGCACAAGCGGCTGTACTTGCATCCGACCCCCGCATCGATCCTGCGAATGAAGGGGCCCTATATCATATTCACCGACCATGCGTCGTTGCTGTCCGGGTCGGTTCGAGGGCTGGTGGCGGCTTACCGACAAGACCCCAACTCGGTGCTGATCTTGACCGGTCTGTACATCTCCTCAGGCAGCCACGGCTGATGTGCCTTGTGTGCGTGCCGCCATTTGACTTGTCTTTCAGTGTTCATCCGCTCCGATGCCGACTTGCCGTTGGCTGTCACATGCGTGCTGACTCCTGCTACTCTCGGAAACACTCAGATCCGAGCTTCACGGACCAGTCACGACTGACCTCGTTCATGCCGCTGAAGATGAAGATACAGTCGCTGCCGATCGACACGTCGCTGACGCTACAGCAGATTGCAGCTCTGCTCGATTCACAAACAAGCCCCAAGATTGCCTTGTTTCCGTCCTTGCCACATCTGTATCCGATACTGGCCAAGAGCCTTGCTCCGTCGGCTGGTCGGGTTCGGTGCCTCTTCAGCCAAACTCTTGGCGAACTCATGGAGTTTCCTCTGGGTGCACAAAAGTATAAGGCGCTCCTGTCGGAGGAGGTAAGCGCTGCGCCTGCATGATCGATTGCAACATGTTGCCACAGAATGGACAAGGCAGACGGGCGGCCGTTTGAACTGTCATCGCCAATCCATTCGTTCAGCCCACTCGTTCCCATATGTCGCCTGATGATCTCGGCTTCTCTCACCAGTCTGGCGACTAATATGTCTCTGCTCCATCAATCCTCATCGTACCGGTGGTCTTGCTGGCGATTCGTCGCGGATATCGTCTCCCGGCGCATGATCTAATCTTGCATACAAACAACCCCCGAGCCAGTCAGCATCTGAAATCACGCCTAGGCTGGCGAACTCGTGGCAGCACAGCCTCTCGACAGTCCGGGGCCACTTCCGGCTTGGCCCGAACGAGACGATGATTGTCAGCCTCGATCCACCAGCATCCAGCAGCAGCAGCAGCAGCGGCGGTGGTGGTAGTGGTGCTGGTGCTGGTGGTGGTGGTGCCGCTCACAGCGACATCTTGCTGGACCACCCAATCCTGGTGGCCAATTCGGCGGGCATCGAGCGCTTTGTTGCCGCCTGCGAGCAGTGCCTCCAGCACGGCAGCGAGTCGTCGAGCGTGCATGTCGTTCGCGATGGCTCCACGACGACGCTGATTGAAACCCACCACCATGTCCGTGTGGCCATCGACGGACAGGGTCTGAGTGTGGCAATCACGGCCGAGGATCTCGAGTGGATCCAAAAGATCCGCCGGCTGATACCTGAGTGCTTTGGGACGTTGTAGGCATCTGGGTGTACGCATGGGCGCACAGATAGATGCATGGATGGTGGCGAGGATTGCTACGTGACCAATCCGTCGAATATAGGCAATCCAATAAAAAACGGGACACCCGGGTTTTTGACCATTCATCGAATATTCTGTTACCCAATGTTATCGCGCGCTGGCCATGACCATTCGCCACACATCCGACTTTCGCACCGCCGCATTGCGATGCTACGCCCTCATCCATAGCCTGCGTAAGGTTGCCTCCATATTCAGTGTATCCAAGAGCACCATCCATCGATGGCACCGAGGATGCAAGCTGGATGACCCATCCCGGGTCCCAGCTCGCAGATCCACTTTCTTCGAGCAGGCATGTCCAGTCATTCGCACCCTGATTGAACAGGACCCGTTCCAGACTGGTCCTGTGTTGCGATGCAAGCTCGAGTCCATCCTCCAGAGGAAAGTATCACTCTCACTCTGCCACACTGCCATCCACCGAGCAGGTCTCTCACACAAGAGGGCAACACACCTCTACAAGTCCAAGCGACTGGATGAGCGAGTGGCACAGTTCAGGGACCAGGTCCGCTCCATTGACCCACGGCGGCTCGTCTTTGTCGATGAGACAGGGATCAGGAGATCCATTTTCCCTCTTTACGGATACTCACCGAAGGGTGCTTCTCAGACGACTCTGTGATTGCGATGGACAATGTCAGCATGCACAAGACAAGGGCTGTCCTGGACTGCATCGAGCGCCGTGGATGGTCAGTGATCTTCACCCCACCTGCTTCACCCGACTTCAATCCCATCGAGAACTTCTTTGGGATTGTGAAGCATCGGTACAGGAAGACAACAGCGCTGAATGCGTCCGAGGGGTTCAGGGTCGGGATGGTGACCCTGTTTGAGTCCGTCGTGCGGAGGGTGCTTCCAGATGTCTTCCCACGGCTGATTGAGCGAGCGATGCGCTTCTGGGGTTGAGTTCCCTCCAATCAAGCCGCCATTTTCGCGTTCACATCCCTGGCTTGAACCTCTCGGGTATAAATGCCACACCTTCGTCCTGCTGCTTTCTTCCCTCATCTCGCCTTGATCTGATCATCGCGCTATTGTACGATAAAAAAAGTCTCTCCTCTGACCAGTACCACTGGCAGGCATTCACCATCCTCTGCCCCCATGCCTCCGAAGCGTAAGGGTACCGGTGATGGCCAGCCTCGGCCACCCAGGCCCAAGAAAGCCAAGTCACAGTCGGAGCCTGTCTCTGGTTCGTATTCTGACCCCACGCATGCTTGGTCGTCTGTTGCTCCGTCGCTCACCACCACTGCTTCTGCAGATCCAATGGATGTCGATCCAACCGAGCCTGGTCCATCTACTTCCTCGAGTACCGGCAAGCGATGTCCCAAGTGCGATGGCACCGATCACGAACGTTGCAACACTAGCAAGTGTCCAAAATACCGGCCCCTCAAGAGTTCTGTCGTCCCACTCGTGGATGGAAGGTCATCCGCCCCTCAGTTCAGCTGCTTCAAGCAGACGATGGATAGCTGTTGTCTCAATCCCGCTCTCCGCGACAAGATCCAGGCCACCGTCGAGGCCATGACCCAGATCCAGTTCGAGGCATCCAGGCTGCTCAACCTGCACATCCTCCGGTGCATCGAGCAGGATCTTCCCGTCCCCGTCATCTCCAAGGCCACCCCTGCATTCATCCGCCAATGCTTCAAGATCGTCCAGGCCGGTGCCCTCTCGACGGCCAGGGACACCAAGAAATACAACGAGCATCTGGTCGCTTCCTTTCGCGACTACCAGACCACTCGGCACGCAGACCTGCCTCCGGCCCCTCGTCTGCCTGATGGTGCTCACAGTCAGCTTCTCACACTGGCTGTCAATGCCTATGCCACCAACTGCACCACCCATCTCGACCTGGCCTACTGGCGACTCCTTCGCCGCTTCTGCGCTGCCGTCTTTCCAGCCAACAAGCATAAGCACGAAGCCATCGAGGCCTGTCTCGAGCTCTTCGAGAAACCAGGGCAGACTCCACCCAAGGCCGATCTCGAGTTCCTCTATCCCGACTTTGGCCACGTCCTGGACGAGTTTCGGTACAGCAACGACCAGGACCGCTTCCGGGCCCTCCACCGCCTCTCATACCATGTGGGAATCCTCGCCCGAGACAAGATGGTCGACGATGTCCACAAGTGGATCGACTGTGACATGCCCGCTCTCCGAGTCACCGAGCTGCAGCGCCAGGCCAAGCTGGACAAGCTCACTACCCAAGGCATTCCCTCCGACGACAAGAGGTTCACCACGGCCAAGTCTGAGCTCGGCACCACCAAGGCCAAGATCAACAAGCTGGCATCCAGGCTCAACTGGGCTCTCAAGTAGTTCGCCGTCGACACTCCTCCGGCCGTGTGCACGATGGTTCCTCTATGCACTGCAAGGGCCAAGTATGTCAAGATCGACACCGTCGCACTCTGTGAGCTCCTGGGTCCAAAGAAGCGCCTTGGACTCACCAGGGACATGCTCAAGGATGAAGGCGAGGACGGTGTCAACAACCAGGATCGTCTCTGGCGCAGTTGCTTCAAGCTGCGTAGTTCCCTCTTCCAAGAGCGGGACGTGAACAAGAAGCTGTTCAACTACGAGATCAGCACCGATGGCATTGGATGCACCATCGGTCTCGTCAAGTTTCTGCCTCGAACCGATCACACCGAGACCATCGAGCCTCCTCCGACTGCCGAGCAGCGTATCCAGGCCCACATTAGCAACCCAGACCCCGACAAGACCACTTGGATTGGCATCGATCCTGGAGTCGGCTCCATCTTCACGGCGGTCATCCAAGCACCGGGCCACCAAGACGAGGTGGTCTCATTCTCCAATGGTCACTACCAGCAAATGTGTGGCCACAAGTCCAATACTGAGTGGCACAATATCATGAAGTATCGACTCGATATCGAGACCTGGATGTCGACCACTCCCTCGCCCAAGGTGCAGTCCTCGGAGGCCTTCAAGATCCATCTCACCCATGTCCTGCGACCGGAGCTGCGAGTGTAGCTCGACTTCCACCTTGGCAAGAAGGCCCGTCACCATCGATTCACAGGCCACAAGAGGCGCCAAGTGGCCGTCGACAAGATGTGCAAGGCCGTCCTGAAGCACGTCCCGATACGGACCGATGTGGTGATCGCCTTTGGCAATGCGTCATGGCGTCAAGGCAAGGGCTATGCATCCAGCCCTCGGAGGCAGCGGTTTGCTCGGTACTTTGAGCAATTCGAGCACCACCGACGCCGTCCCAATCACCATCATGGAAGCGTCAAGGTAGTCTCGACGAACGAGTTCAACACCTCGCAAGTGTGCTCCAAGTGCCTGGAGCCAGTTCGGTTGGAAGGACTCGATGCGCCCAGTGTTGCGAATTCCCACTTTGTCAGGAGCTGCAAGAATCCCAGCTGCCGGACAGTGTGGAATCGCGACGTCAATGCGGCGCGCAACATGATCACAGTGTGCAAGTCGATTGTGGAGACCGGAGAGCGACCGGCGGTCTTCACTCGGAGGCTGCCAAAGTGATCTGTTTTATTTCTTGTGGCTTTGCTTGACGCAAGCACAGCACATACTACATGTTCATGGAAACGGCTATATTGTCCCGTTTTTTTCTGAATAAAGTGCAGGCAATACATCGGCGTCCAATCCGAGGCGAGAGCTGCTCGGGTCTTGAAAATCAGCGTGCCTCCCTGCGCGTGGTGCGACCCTGGCGCTTTGAAATCCGTGGTTCGCCAACGTGGCGGTTTCCGAACCCTTGGAGCTCAAAAACCCGCCCTTCTGCCCCGGTTGCTTCGACCGAACCCATCTGCGGCCTTCGACATTCTCTCTCCCGACACAGCCATGACTTCTGTAGCCTGCTGCGGCGGATTCATTGATTCCGGCAATCCCGCCGGCACCACCTCGCCCATCGGCGGCATCGACTGCTATGTCGCACCCCGAACAGCCACCACTGACTCGTTCATCGAGAGCACCGCCATCGTCGTCGCCACCGACATCTTTGGTTACAAGCTGCCCAACTCTCGACTGATTGCCGACTCGTTTGCCAAGGACACCCAGTTCCTCACCGTGGTGCCGGATATCTTTGAAGGCACCGAGCCGCCGCCGGAGCTCCTGCAGTGCGTCGAGACCCTCTCGGGCGAACAGCCAGCGACCTTGTTCCAGAAGGCCCAGGCCATCGGGGCCATCCTCTGGCACGCTCCGGCCTTCATGTACTTCAACCCCATCTCCAAGGGCGTCAACCGAATCCGCAAGGTGATCGAGACTCTGCGCCAAGAGCGCGGCATCAAGCGGGTCGCCTTGATCGGCTATTGCTGGGGCGGCCGCATTGCCGTCATCCTCAGCCAGGAGCCCGGCGTCGCCGATGCGGTCTGCTCGGCCCATCCCGGCGGCCTCACCTTCCCCGATGACATTGAGAAGATCCAGGCTCCTATCCACTTTGTTCTGGCCGACAAGGACCGCAGCGTCAAGGAGGAGCAGATCACCATCATCCGCGACGTCCTGGGCAAGAAGAACGAGGCCGGACGTCTTGCCCACCAGATCGATGTCTACCCCGGCACCACCCACGGATTTGCTGTCCGTGGCAATGAAAACGATCCCAAGGTCAAGGCTGCTCGCGAGAAAGCCTACAAGGACTCGCTTGCGTTTTTCAAGGAGAACCTCGCCAAGCTGCCCTGAGCACAGAGGGCCCCGGTGCAGTGTTGATCAGCTGCGTGGTATCCAGCAGCGGAACCCACCATTTGCCTGATTGATTCACTCGAGCTTTTCCAGATATCATGACCTTTTCAGCCCTTTGATTTCGTTTACTTCTGCTGCACCCCATCTGTGATTGACCATCCTCCATCTTTTGCGTCTGGCGTACTCAATGCTGATATTTGTTGCAATTATCAATATAAACCTGTTTTCTCAAAGACTCGGCATCCCGACAGTCTTTCGTCCAAGGAGTGAGTTTCCGCTGTGGTATGCAGCGCTTGCTGTGAGCGACTCATGGCCAAGTGATGGGTCGCTGCTGAGAGTCGTATTGCTGCTGAGAGTCGTATTGCTGCTGAGAGTTGTATTGCAGCCAAGAGTACAGGGTACTCACGGGGACTCGGTGAGGGAATGCGCGGGAACCGTAAGAATTTGAGCAGAGGGGCGCGGATCGTTGTGCCGGGCTACATACTGGACTCGACAGCGGATTCCATGCCGGGCTTCATACTGGACTTGACGCAAGTGTATTTATGCGTTCACACCTGTCACACAAACCGGGTTTGTATGGCAACCATCGATTGATTCAGGCGGTCCACAAGCGACTCAGATCTTGACAGCGTGGTCGAGGCGCATGAAGGCCCGCAGATAAAAATGAGATCGAGCAGAGACTGGGGGGGGGTCTGGGTCTAGTCGAGCATATGTCAGCTCGGGAGAGCTGCCGACTCAGAGCAGCAAACACATGAGCTCACCTTGGTAGTGCAGAGACAAGTTGCTTCGTCTCGTTGAGTGGCTCGAACAGGACGTGCAGCTCGCCAATCTCGACGACGACGAGGACGCTGGCCAAGAGATCCAATAGTGAGGTGAGACGGCGCGATGAAATGACCGGTCGATTGCATGACCATGTTGGGATATTGGCAGCATATTGCCACCGCACGCCGCTGGATCGACATTGTCGAATGAACATTGTCGAATGAACATTGTCGAATGAACATTGTCGAATCGATACAATCACAGCCACAGTCTTGACTGCACTTGCATGGCGGTCCAGTGCGAGCTCCGTGAGCCAAGCGGGCCGAGTGACACTGACCACTTTTCAAGCAGACCAAACTCGTCGGGCGTCAAGGCGCTTTGCTGCGACAGCCTCCGGATTGTCTGGAGCGCCTCGACCAGCGACTCGAACTTGAAGTTCTCGAGGGCAGATTCACATGCCAAAGGAGTCAGGGGCTCGGTCTTGATTCGGGCTGAGCGGAGTGGGCTCTGGATATCCGACAAGATGGCCAAAACCAGGGCTGTCGCATGAGGAAAGACAATCAGCAGTCAGCAGTGAGCGACGATTCGGCCTGAGGTTGCTGATGCTTCGACAGAAGGCTCCTGGGACTGCAGCCGCCAGAAATGCGGACTGGGTGTCCTTCCGGCGGACACAGACTCACCGGCCTTTTCCTTTGACGGATACAGGAGCGCATCGGGACAGTGGTCACCGGTGCTCACCCATGCGACCAGATTGGATTCGAGCATTGTCTCGAGTAAAGTGCTGTAGAGCGTCGCATCGTTGTTCTGTCGGTGGATATGTGCAGACAAGCATATTCAGTGCCAGATGATCAATATCAGGACGCCATACCAGAGTATCCCTGTGCTTACCTCCACATGTAGCAGCACATGGGTCCTCTCGACCGGCACCAGATCAACGAGGTCGCTCTCGGCCGCAAAGCGGGTGATCGAGAGGACAGGCGGATAGCGGACGGCCCTCTCTGGACTCGATGGATTCAGTCGAGGCAGAGCCTGGACCACGGCCTGCAGATGGCCAAAGGCAAGCAGGTGGACACTCGAGCCCACGCGGTCGGCCAGGATCTCCAGCAGCGGCTCCAATTCGTTGGGACCTTGGTCTCGCAGGACAAAGAATGATGCTGAGAACGAGTGGACAAAGTCTTTGCAGCGGCCCACGACGGCAGCATCCTCCAGGATGCCGTTAGTTCGAAGGACGATGTGAAAATGGAGTGGCTTCGTGGTGGATGGCTTGGGAGGATTGCTCTTGATGGTGGGCGAATGAGGCTGAAGAAGTGGGTCCGAGTGCGACTCAGATGTCAAGACGATGCAGTGTGCCTCCTGGGGCTCCAGGGACGAGACGAGCTCGGCCGCCTTGCAAGCGGACGAGAAGATATCGACGAGACTGCCAGGCGAGAAGGGTAGCTTGGGGCTATCGTGGGTATCCTTGCTGGCGAACAAGCGAGCAGAAGATGGATTGTGGGGTGAGGAGTGAGGCATGGCGCCGCAGCGATTGATGTTTGCGGATGTTGGTGCTGATTTCGGGGAGCGGGGGCTCGAACATACAAGATCTTGCCGATGCGATCGACGTCGCGGGTCCAGGCAACGGTCTGTGAATCGCCCAGAAACAGAGTCGCTGGCTCGCCGGGATTCTGTTGATGCGCGGGAAGGATGAGCGGTCGTTTCGGCTGTGACGATCGCTGTATCGATGGGGGCGAGGCCGTCTTGAGCGATCTGGGGGTGATCAACGATCTAGGATGCCATGACCGCTCTGCATCGACATCATTGGCGGATGCAGACATACCGCCAGCATGACCGAGGCGAGCAGCCTGGCAAAGCATGCCCGTGCAGCAGTATCCGTGGGCGAGCCGTTGTAGACAAACAGGAGGGGCATTGGACGCGGCGATGACGATGACGGAGAGAGAGAAAGGAGGACACCCGCGCGACGCTGTGGCCTGCAGAAGACATGGGGTGGCTGGGGAGAGATATGGGACTGCACTATCTCTCTTGCAATTGGACTGTCTGTCACAACAGCAACTCTGACAGAAACTGTGACAGCGCCTGGCGCGTCGCCGTCGCGCACCCAACAAAGTCGCCGATCCTCCTATCTCTGCCCTGCTCTCGCTCCATAAATTCGCTTCCCGTCGCCTCCTTCCAAATGGGCTGCTCCGTCTCGTCGTCGACAAACCAACCGCAGCAAACCATCAACGCAAACGTCATGGGTCGCAAGTTCCTGGTACGCACGCCGCACAGCGCTCCGAGTGCCATCTCCATCGCACTTGTCCCTCGCACACACCGCCCATCTGCAACTGCCGCTTCTCCGCGCTGTCGCTCACGCACCCGCAATCCTCTCGCAATGCCTCTCTCGTCCTGGATATGAACCTGAACCTGCTCTCATAGGTCGGTGGAAACTGGAAAATGAACGGCTCGCTTGAGCTGGCCAAGACCTTGGTCAATTCGCTCAACAGCCAGAAGTGGAACACCGATCTCCTTGGTAAGTCGCCATCGATGCTCGCCCAAGCCTCTGCCGAGGCTGGTGGTGTGGTGGCGCGATCTATCCGCCAGATCGTGTCTGGGATGCTATAGACGATGCCGGGCGATGCCCGATATCGCGTTTAAGCAACCGGTGCTCTCCTGCTCGCATCGGGTATGCTGTGTATTCGGGCTCTCTGTTGTCCCAGAGCGCTGCAATGGATGGCGCGCCAGCATTCTAATAGCGCCCGTTCCTTCGCAGAGGTCGTCATTGCCCCTCCTTTCCCTTACCTCTCTGTCGTCCGCGAGTCCCTCCGCAAGGACGTTGGCGTCTCTGCCCAGAACGTCTACTTTGAAAAGTCTGGCGCCTTCACTGGCGAGACCAGGTATGTGTATTTGCCGCAGACACGGACAGACTCAAGATCCGCCTGTTTGCTGGCTCGCCTGCTCTCGCTTGCTCTTGTTGGCGACCCGAGCGGCTCATCCGTCGTCACGTCCTGCTCCGACAGCACCGAGTTCCTGAAGGATCTCAAGATCGAGTGGACCCTCACTGGCCACTCTGAGCGTCGCGAGTACTTCCACGAGTCCAACGAGGTTAGCCGCGGGCAAGCCATACTGTCGAAATGTGTCGTGGCGAGATACGGTGCTGCATGTGCTGCGTATGCTCGTCGGCAGCAGCCAGGCATTTCGGCAATCCGCCCAATCCCCTAGCCTGCTCTCTCCTCTGACGCCACTGTCTGCTGCCTCTTCGCGATCTAGATCGTCGCCAAGAAGACCGCCCACGCCCTGGCCTCGGGCATCAAGGTCATCCTCTGCTGCGGCGAGAAGCTCGAGCACCGCGAGTCTGGCCAGACCAACGACATTGTCTTTGCCCAGCTCAAGGCTGTTGCCGATCAAGTCAAGGACTGGACCAACGTCGTCATTGCCTATGAGCCCGTCTGGGCCATCGGAACCGGCAAGGTCGCCACTCCCGAGCAGGTACGCGCGACTGCCCCGAGATTGCATTTCTCTTCTTTGTCCTTTTCTCTCTCGTTCCGGCCATCCCGACGCTCTTCCACGGGCCACCCGGAGTCATGTTGACGCAAGACACAGCCGGGGCGTGCTGTCTTGGGACTGCTGCCACGCGAGTCTTGGCCAAGACACAGCCCGGAGTGAACCACGGCCGGCCGTGTCTGTGATCTTGATGTGGGCGATTCGCCAGAGCACAGATCGCAGCCGCGGGCTCCCCGACAATGTGATTGTCGTGACGAGTCATGGCGATGTGCTGGATGAGACTGTGACGGATTGCTGGTCGGGGTGCGGCCTGGTTCGATGCCGTCCCCGCTGCTGCAAAGGGCTGATCGACAGCGCTTGATCTGCCACCAACACCGGTGCTAACTGTTTCTCCAAATCGACCGGACTCGTCTGCAGGCCCAGGACACCCACGCCGATATCCGCAAGTGGCTCGCCGAGAACGTCTCTGCCGATGTTGCTGCCAACACCCGCATCCTCTACGGCGGCTCCGTCAACGGCAAGAACAGCGCCTCGCTCGCCGGCCAGGCCGACATTGATGGCTTCCTCGTCGGCGGTGCTTCCCTCAAGGAGGCTGAGTTCGCCCAGATCATTGCCAACGCCAATGTCTGATCTTGATTTGTGTGTAGTCACATTATGCATTCACTTCCCTGGCTATTTTTCTTTTTTCATGGAAAGAGGGGAGGGGAGCGCTTGTCTGTTAGATCGGCGCTCTCGTTGTTATCCCTCTGCATTGCCGGCCCGGGTTTGGGTTGGACTTGTAGGCCTGGGATGCCTTTCTGTCAATAAATGTTGCATATCCGTAGACCACGGCTGTTGCGGAGTGGCTGGCTTGGGCTCTCGGCTGTATAGCTGCCGCTCTCGCTGGGCAATGCATGAGCGTCTCGGTCGTCAAGGCTGCGTTGTTTCCAGAGTGCATGCGCCCCGGTTTCGCGCTGGCCACCTGGTTTGATCAAGACCCGCTCCCTGATCAAAACTCGTTCCCTGATCAAGATCCATCTCCACGACTCACCTCCCGGGTTCACCTCCACCACGGCCAGCAGCCAGTGCGCACATCTGCCCTCACCGATATGAATCTGGAAGCTGAGTCGCTGAAGCGAAAGGAGCGTCTGAACGCCATCCGGAATCGACGAGCAAGACCGGCGGACGACCAAGACGAGAACCGGTCAGGCTTTCTCCCTACGCTGCTCGAAACGCTTGGATGGGGTTATTTCGCCAACTGCTGGCTCTCTGCTCGGCCGGCTGGTTGCTGATGTTGGACAGCTGGCAGAGGTTCTGGTCGTATCGATGGATCTGGATCTGTTGCCACGGCCAGATCGCTGTCCCCTGCGTTTCGGCTTCGCCAGTCTTGTTCTTCCAAGAGCAAGACCTTCATCCCGGAACATTCATCCAGAGCTTTGATCCCGACCTGACCTGCAGTCGTCGATAGCGAGCTGATCTCTTCCAACGACGATCCCTCTGCACTTTCTCTGACCTCTGGGCTCCTCGTTTCGCTCCTTGCCCATGCATCATCCAGATCCGGGCTTCGATTCCGCAACTACACCCCCGTGTCGGAGGACATCAAGTCCTTCAAGGACGAAAAGGACGGCTCAGTTGACACCATCCGCCAGGCCGTAAAGGAGGTCGAGAAGCAGGTGCGTTGCCGTTGCAATGCCTTTGCTCCAGCAAGCACGATGCTGCGGACGGACGCTTGTCAGAAGGCGATGGCGATCCCATCGGCCAGACACTCGATGGGATAATATCCTCTCTCCCCTCCCCGCCGCCTACAAGCATGCTGACGTTGCCAATTATCTGCGGTGCTGACACAACATCGGCTCGGTCCATTAGGTCCACACCTTTGCCAAGGATGCTGTCAAGGAGGAGGAGCAGCGGAGTAAAGAAGTGGTGAGTGCTGCAGTCCCGCCCCCGCACTCGGCGCCGATGCGAAGGACCAGCGCCGAGAGCAGCCATCTGTTTGAGTGTGATATTGGTGCGCATGCCACCCTCGGATCGGGCGAGCGAGACAACAATGTGGAGATGTGGAGGATAGAATGATGCCAAGCTCATGGCTCTGCTCATATCTGCCAACAGGATCTGTTCAGTCTGGCGCCCAAGAAGGCCAACTGGGATTTGAAGCGAGACTTGGAGACAAAGCTGGAAAAGCTCGAGCGCAAGACCCTCCACAGCATCGCCGACCTGATCCGTAAGTTCATGGCGGACGGGTGGGCGTGCGGGGATAGAGGAGGCGGGTGCGCTGCGATAGCTGTCCTGTGGCCCGAGGTTGACCAACGGAATGACCCAAACTCGGCTCTGTGATCGACTTTTGCTCGTTCCTCGGCGCTATATAATGGCCTCCATGCTGATATTAAATGGCTATGGACATTGCAGGCGCAAGACTGCAAGCCGATAACGACGTCACCGATATCGGAGCAGCCGGTGCTGACCAGGGATCCGATGACGACGATGATGACTAGTGTCCAAGGCTGAAACCCTGTGTGAATCCATAATAGCCTTCAATGTATTTGCGGCTCAGAAATAACGCCAACAGGCAGAATCGGAAAAAGCGCCCGGGTTCATGTTTCGAGCACTCTCCATGTGGCGTATCGCCGGGGCTGGGTCTATCTGTGGCTCAAGCTTGGATGGCGGCTGTGCTGGGGCACTTGTCGGCAAAGCTCTGGGTCAGAGTTTCGTTTGCAAGGCTGAAGACGGCAGCGTCGAAGCAACTGAGGATCCAGTCGACAAAGGGAGGGAATAACGAGAAAGAGCCGGTCAGGACTCAGAATGCGGGATCACGATGACGAAATTCATGTACTTTGCCACAAATCGCACCCATGTGGCCGATCCATCGTTGCATGGTGGGTGTGGCCCAGGCCAGGCGCAACGCAGCATGAAACTTCCGCGGACGTTACTCACCTGGTGCAGAGGCTGAGCTTGCTGGGATCAAAGCCGCCCTCCCAGAACGACGGAAGCATGACCTTTTCAAAGTTCTCGAGGACTTCGATACCACAAAAGTTGCCCGTGGAAGGGTCCTTGAGACAGAACGGATCATGCTCGGGCTGAAGCAGGGTCGGCAGCAGTGTTTTGAAGACAGCTTCCTCAATTCCCAGGACGGACGGAACGATCTGCTCGACAAGGCTGGAGCACTGGCTCAGAGCGATAGGGAAGGATCGGGTGAGATGGATATTCAATCGACCGTGGGAATCAGCGCTGGACGTAGATGCACGAACGGCCGGACCCGACGCAGACAGATGGGTATGCTTGTTCTCACCTGGTCATAGACGGCAAGGTACTCGGTGTGGAGAGTGTTGTAGCAAGTCGGATCCGAGCAGAGTTCGTTGGTGAAGCCGAGGATGATGGGGTTCAGCTGCGCCTCAACCTTGGTGATGGCAGCCTCGCTGAAGACAGGGTGGGTGATAACCTGCAGGAACACCCTGCCGACATCGGCCGGGTGGAACTTGCACTCCTGGAAACAGAAGCACGATCAGTGAGGGAGCCGGTCGACATCCAGCTCCGAGAGACAACGGCTTCCGAGAGCCTGGGACCACAGTAAAACACATGTTCAAGTACATGTATGTCCATTGCTCCGTGGATGCCAGATTCGACGCGAATGACAAGACCCACCTTACTGACGTTGATGATGGACGAGACTACCTGGACCGCACACTCGAGACCGACAATCGGCGCGATGAGTGGTCCAAGCGAATCGCCGAGGATGAGCCCAAGGAAACCAGACTCGGCAGCAAGCGGGGCGCCGGCAACAGCGCCGACGGCGAGAAGGCAGAAGAGGATGGAGGCAACGATCCGCATGGCAGGGTAGGAGTGGAGTTGTCGTCGACAGGGGGCTCGTAGGGACTGCAGCGATGCCAGTATTTATGGGCTGCCAGGGGAACTCGGGCGCCTTGGCTTGGGCTTTGTGGGCTTTGTGGGCTTTGTGGGCTTTGTGGGCTTTGTGGGCTTTGTGGGCTTTGTGGGCTGCTGCTGGTGGATGGCAACGCCATCCCGACGGACCTTGCCAGGAAGCATCGGCGCGGCGAGCCGCATCGGAGCGATGCACATGGGCCGATGGCGGGTGGGTTGGCGATCCCACGGACCCTGCTTGTTGCGCCGGGTCTGCCGGTCTTGCTGGGCACTGAGCAGCAGGCAAGCCTCGGCCTCACAAGGGAATCATCCGCAAATTTCATGCTGGGGCGGCGACGGAGCAGCGCAACCAGAACGCTGATGTTTGTGCTGACCGGGATGAAGCAATGTTCCAGGCGATTCATGCACAGCGGTGCCGGTTCTTTGCCTGGCGGTACCGTCGATGGCAAGGGTCTCGGAACAGGTACATCATCATGCCCGAATGACAGCGGACCGGTGGATTACAGCGTCGGCGTCCTGTCGCTTTCAGCGCAGCATCGGCTGTTGTCGGTCGCCATCCCGAGCCGGAGGGCAATCCAGCCAAGTGCAACAATCCGGATGCACGGCGTTTGTTGTGCTGTCGTGTTGGACTGCCAGGCCGATTGCCATCCTGGCCCACTTCCCAACCAGCGACACCGGCGCATCCAAGTAAGTCGGCCGTGCCCTCAGTCCCGACGCTCCTGTCGGATCGAGCCCTTGCTGTACATGTCCGGGCTTGCTCTGATCGTGCTGCTGCTCGCTAACCATCGCCGATCGCATCCTCGTTGGTGGATCGGGCTTCTGCGGCGACCTGGGGCTACAGCCGATCGACCCCGCATCTGTCGTTCATCCAGTGTTCGTGTCCAGAGTCCAGAGTCCGTATCCAGCATCCAGCGTCCATCCAAGTCATGGAAGTCTTTGAAACGGGCATGTCGATCCTCTTCAGCGAGCCCGAGATCAACGCAGGCAGCCCTGGCGAGCACATCCAAGTTGCATTCAGAGGCATGCCCAAGATCGGACTCAGGATCGCCGACATCAACCCGGCGCACGTCGGACTCTTTGCGCACCATGTCTGGAAGTCCTCGATCCTGCTGTCGCAGATTGTTCTTGAGCAGCGATACGGCGTCTCTGTGGCCGGGGCCCGCTGTCTTGAGCTCGGCGGCGGGGCCGGCCTCGTCAGCGTCGTCTGCTCTTTGGTCGGGGCCAAGGCCATCGTCTCGAGCGAATATCCCGACGCATCCATCATCGAGGCTTTGGAAAGCAACATGCAGAGCAACTACCAGGTGGTCGGGCATTGTTGGGGCTCGCCGACGCAGGCCGACTTTGGCGACGAGCGCTTCGAGATCATCCTGATGGCAGACACGCTGTGGATCTCGGACCAGCACGACAACCTGATCAAAGACCTTCAGGCGCTGCTCCAGCCGGGAGGCTACATCATTGCGACGGCTGGCCTGCATACCGGATACACCGCCGTCGAATCGTTCTTCCACAAGGCCGAGCAAGCGGGATTCCAGATCGAGCGCCTCGACACCGTGCTGGTGCCGATCGGGAACGAGCTCAACGAGGACCAAGAGTGGGCCCGGACGGCCGAGATCTCGGATGCCGTCGAGGATCGGCGGCGGTTTTTGATCGTCTTTCGGATGACATTTGCCCAATAGATGCCGCCGCTGCCTATTGGACACGATTTTCGATCAATAGGACGGGTGCTGGCGTTGCTGGCCGGCTGTCCACACAGCAAGGCCCGCCCCGCGGCCCATGCAAGCCCGGCGGATGGCTGCCGTCCGGGCAGCTCCGTGCCATGCCGTGCAATGCAATACGATGCCATGCAATACGATGCAATATGATGGAATACGATGTGACCCAGTATCCTCCAAGCCAAGCCAAGCCATGCCTTGCCTTGCCATGCGACCCAGTATCCTTGTCGCAGGCCGCGCTCCTCCCCACGCCGGCTCGATCCAGCTCGATCCAGCCGCCCCAGAAAAGGCAAGTGGCAGCGCGTCGCACAGCGCACGTCTGTGTCACCTCCGTCAATAGCACGCCCACGGCCTTGCCTTTTCCCACCGCTCCACCTTCTGGCCCACAGTCGTCTGCTTCTGGCCCGCACCTTCCTTTTGGCCCTCCACACCGCCCAACGGATCCGCTTTCCCGTCGGCTCGACCCTCCTCCGTGCCAACCCGACATGGGCTGCGTTGGTATGTCCCTGCCACTGTCCCTGCCGCTGTGCCTCGCTGGGCTTGAGTGCATTTTTGTCGACTCGGCGCTGCCGCCAACGTCTGTCCGTTGTGTCGTTCGTGCCGCTGTCTGATTCCCCTGCTCCTCGACGATGTCGCTCCAGCGTCCAAGCCAGCGGCGCCAGAGGCGTCGCAAAAGCCCTCGTACATCGACCACAGTAAGTTGTTCCACGACAGAACGTGATGCGCATTCTTGCGGGCCGAGTCGGCTGCATCCCTGCACTCCGGGACATCATGAGCCATGCGGTTGTGTCGTTTCCCCCGTCGAAGCCAGAGGGATTGGCAGTTGTCGATTCGAGAGTACTCCTGCCTGACTCTGGCTGCCACATCCGCAGACCCCATGTCCAGCATGCCGCAGTCGCCTGGCATGCAGCATCAACAGCCCCGAAACCAGATGGATCGGGACTATCAGTTTCATCTGGAGCAGCAGCGAAGGCGGCAGCACCAGCAGAGCCCGACATACGGCCAATCGCCGAATCCGTCCAACAGCCAACTGCAGAATCTAGACTACAGCCAGCCGCAGAACCCAGGATACCATCAGCTGCAGAATCCGGGACACAACTACCCGCAAAGCCAGCCCTATGGCCGAACCCAGAATCTGGCACATGAACATTCGGCACAGCTGGGGCAGCTGCCGCCGTCCAACTCCTCACTCCAGAGCTATGCCGGCCACATTCCTCCTGGCGCTCACCCGCACCAGAAAGGTTCGTTCCATGTCTGCCTGTCCTGTCTCGAAAACACCGCTGGATTCGGGGCTCAATTCGCTGCTCCATCACCGCTCGCCGCCTAACCCACTGTTGCTGTCGCAGCCATGCCGTATGTCAGCGGCGGACATACAAGCGATCCGGCATTCGCAAACCCATCGGGCCCGCAGGCCAATCGACAGTATCCTCCCCAGCCGATGCATTCGCTGTCGTCGCCGTCGATCCTCAACTCGCAGCCAAACCCGACGCCAGCTGCGAGCGTGCTGTCCCAGCAGCCGCCTCAGTTCGAACCCCACCCTGCCCATATCTCTACGGCCCCGGTGCATGGAGACGCCCATGCCCACGTAATTTCGCCCATAGCCGGGAGCGGCCCCACTTCCAGCCCCAGTCCATCATGGCTGCAGCACCACCATGTCCAGGCCCAGCGCGCCAACTCTGCCTCCCCTGTCCAGCAAGCCGCCTTCACTCGCCACAGCAACCAGTCACATCTCTCCGACTCCAAGACCTTCTTGAACTCCGTTACCCCCGGCCACAGTCCCTCCCCGCGATTGCAGGCCGACCTCTCCCGGAAGATCTCGGCCACGTCAAGCAATGCTTACAGCACAGGGACGCCTCAGTTTAGCTCGGCCACGCCGTCCCCGAAGCTCCCGAACGCCGAGGGAGGAACCTATCATCCGGCTCCGGTCAACGGATACGCGGCACCCGCTCCTTCCTCAACTGATGCATCGCATCTGCGCTCAGCCCAAGATGTCGCGGCATCGCCTCGGACCAGGCCAGACCGCCGGGTTGGTCGGCACACCCGCGCCAAAGAGGAGGGTGCCTCAACTGGAACACCTCGCCAGACACACGCCCGTGTCAGCCATATGGCCGCTCCTGCTGGCCGAGGTGCTCCCTCGCCGGCGATGCGCAACCGGCAGTCCCCCAGCAGCTCCACTCCCGTCGAAGTCGTCTCTGTTCGAGCCCAGCAGCCTCACAAGCCAGTGTTCGTTGAGCCTCAGCGTATGTATCAGATAAAAGACCTATCTGCGGTCCGTCACTGGGTGGAGGCCGATATGCGATGAAACCCAGCTTGGTGTGCACAGAGAAGCTCCAAGCTTGCTTTTTGCGCAATCACAGGGGACCTACAGCGGCACTGCGGACAGCCCCAACGACGCCTCCGCTGCTGTGAGCCGGCACCGTTACTGACCCATCGTCTCAATCCTTCTTGTAGTCTCGTACGAGTCCGTTTGGGAGCCTCCCGCCGATGCTACATATGCGAGCCTGGCGCGCTCGGAATTCGATCCATTCGAGTTCTACGGCACCATGTCGAGCAACAAGCGTCAGTCAATCCAGTCGTTCCGCATTTCGCAGTACGGCACCATCGAGCGGCCCGCTCCCGAGGTCGTGCCTCCTGAAACCAGCGACGCGGCCGACGGCGCTCCAAACCCTGGTCCGCCTCCGAAGCGGTACTCGGGCCACCGCCTGAGTTTGCTGTCAAAGTCGCAAAAGCCCAACGCGCCACGTACGATGAGTGCGCTGAACCCCATGCGGTCCACAGTCATCATTGCACACGAGGTTATAGTCGAGGAGGAGGAGATCTACGACCCATCTCTCCCCAGACCGCTCAAAGGTGCCCCGCCGTCGCGACCACAGACCACCGCCATCACCTACAGCCATGACAATAGCGACGACGACGACGACGACTTTGAGGAGGTGGTGGTGATCGAGGACGACGACGAAGAGAGTGAGGTTGTTGTGGCCTATGCCGAGCGGCTCGAGCGTCACCTCCAAGCGAGTCAGACACAGCAGACCAAGACCCCGCTCTGGACCGGTCAGTCGCGCTCACATTCCCTCGAAGGCCAGCAGAGTCCTCGTTCAGCACGCAGCAAGTCCGACCGCGGCTCAGCCAAGGATTCGATTGCAAGCCCGCTCCCGTCTCCTGCGACAGCGTTGCGGGAATTGCAGCGAGAAGCTCGCCCGCCTGCTCCCCGGCCAGCGATTTCCGAGCCACCGGTTCTGGCCGTGCAGCCCCTGCCTGAAGCCGAGGCGACACCTGCCCTCAAATCCCCAGTCGACGAATTTGCAGCACGCCGTCGCGAGGAGCTGTCACCATCGCCCGACGATGCTGTCAAGCATTATGGCTCATCCGACACGTTACTTGGTCCCAGTGATAGCGAACACGAGTCACACCGCCACGACAGCCAGTACCCAGAGCACGACGATACCGACGACCAGCACGACGAACCACGGTCCATTCAACGGCAATACGGCGACGACGGCCAAGACGATTACCGTTACGACGACCATGATGACCGCTACAACAGCGATAGCCGGGGCAATCACTATGACGACGAGCAGGGCGATTATTACGGCGACGTTCAGGGCGGATACTATGGCGAAGACGACCAAGCATACTACGATGATGAGTACGACGACGCCTACGATTATCCCGATGCCGACGGCGTAGCCCCAGGCGGTGGTGCAGTCCGGCGGCCGGCAGATGATGCTGGTGCGCGGGTCCCCGAACGGTATGCTGAGGACATGGACTTTGAGCACGACGACAGACACACCCATGAACTCGACGACGGCTTTGATCCCGCTGGTGCCGCTGTGCCAAACATGGCAGAGCTGCCCCTGTCTCACCCGGACCACTACTTTGAGGACGAGCCCGAGAACCCATTCTGCGGTTTTTGCGAAGAGGCGATTGAGGAGCGCCCCATGTACCTCCTGGGCCGCTGGTGGCACCCACACCACGCCAAGTGCAAGGAATGCAGCCGCACCATCGGCGTCGACAACTTTGCCGAGATCGACAACTTTCTGTACTGCGAGGATCACTACTATGAAATCCACGGCGTCTACCAGGTGCGCAAGGGCGGGCCCAAGAAGAAACGAGCCAGCTTCATCGAACGCGACCTGGCCGAGATCACAAAGTACAACACCGTCAAGAAGGTTCGCAACCTGTTCAACTACCAGCGGTCGATGCGACTCAACATCATCACGGTCGAAGAGGGTGGCGTCAGTGCAGGCGGCGTGAGCCAGCCCGCCCAACAGCGCCGCTTCGTGACCAGTTTCCTGGGCCCGCCGTCGGGGCTGGAGCACCTGGACCTCTAGTCGAAAGCGCCTGTGTCGCTGCCGGCGGCGCGTGGGAAATTCTATGCTGGAATCGCGGGTTCTTCTGTTGCAGGTCTTTGCCAATACAGCTTGTTCTGATTTCATCGGCCGCTGGGCAATGAGCGTCATTCCTGGATCTGGTGCCAGTCGACCAACTCGACCAGAAACACAGCCGCTCGATTCGTTTCGGCTGCCTCGTTTCGGCTGCCTCGTTTCGGTTGCCTCGTTTCGGTTGCCTCGTTTCGTTTGTATCGTTTCGGTTCGATATCGCAGCTTGTTGTTCCACCCCGTCTCGTCTCGCCGGATCTCGCTGGATCTCGCCGGATCTCGCCCTCGCAGCGGGGTCGGCGAACTTTTTTTTCTGTGCCACAATCGCAATGGGGAACCGCCGGCTGCGCACACAGTCCCGTTGCTGTCGGCGTTTGCAGCTTGCCGTCGTCCTTTGAGCACTCCCGACACCACATCCTGCTCTCGCCTGCGTTTCGTTGCGTGCCTGCGACCTGCCCACAGCCGAGTCTGCATCTGCCGCCTGCAAGGGATCTCACCCGCTCCTCTCGCCGTGTCTCGCTGCATCCGCGATTGCCCGTCCAGATCCGAGCCAGATCGTCTTGTTTGTCTGTCCAGCCTTCGATACGCACCCACATCCGCACCCAATCGGCGTCAATCCCTTCCGGCACCTCGTTTGCCATTTGCCATTTTCCAAACCATCCGCCGTCTACCTCGCTGCCTCGGCCCCGTCCCATCCGTGAGTCTCGGCTCGTACACGGCGCCGCTGTTTGCTGTTCTTCGTGGCTAGTCGCCGATATTCGGCCTGCTTGCCGCCATCGGATGCAAACCCGCTCGTCAGGCAGCCATCAGCTTGCATCACAGGCTCCCATCGGATCCTCGGCATCGATTGGATGCAATTGCAGGCCGACATCCTCCTGAACCAATGTCGTTGGCTATCCATTTCAGCATCGAAATCATCCTCCCGTTGCCCATAGAACTCCCCTCGAAATTGTATCCAAGCCATGTGTGGAATCAATGCCATCTTTCTGTCAGACCCCGACACTGTGACATCGTGTCGAGCCAGTGCCGAGCTATGCGAAGGTCTCGGCGTCCTGCAACATCGCGGACAGGTAAACCGGGATTCACTTGGGCTGCCGACTTAGAAACAAGTCCGTTTGGCAGGGCATCGATCGATCGAATACAGCCGCCGACTCAGCTCTGGTCGACCAATGTGGCCATTGTTTGAGGCGGAGCTGCCGGCGCAGACCATGGACTCAATGACCTGTTATCGTGCCAGAATGTCGCTGCTTCTCAGGGGCGTGCTCGCACGGCCGACTCCAGGGCCTGTCGTCTCATTCAGCATTATCTTCCCCCCGAATCGTTTGCAGGACGCTGCGGGCATTGTCACTTGCGGCAAGGGCGGCCGTTTCTACCAGTGCAAAGCCAACGGCATGGTCCGGGATGTTTTCAACCAACACAATCTCACAAGTCTTATCGGATACATGGGCATCGGCCACGGTTAGCATCCGGAGAGGAGCGTCGCCAGCGGGGGCCCAGACTCAGCCCATCAGATATCTTCTATTCTGGTTCGGTGGAGATGTGTGTGGTTGGATCATTGGCTTGAGTGGGCTGTACTGCATTGACCAGCGGCGGGATGCTCTGAGTTTGTCAACAGCAATCCACCTGTCTCCTAACGGCTTGATGCAATCATATCCAGTCCGCTACCCCACTGCCGGCACATCGTCTCACTCCGAAGCCCAGCCCTTCTACGTCAATAGCCCCTACGGCATCGCTCTGGCCCACGTAAGCCGGTCTGGGCCCGCAGCTTTCGTTGCCGAGGCCAACGCTTGCCCACCCATCTCTCCGTGCATGCCTGATATATCCGTGTGCATGCTTCATATATCCGTGTGCATGCTTCATATATCCGTGTGCATGCTTCATATATCCGTGTTCATGCTCCATATATCCGGCAACCAACATTGATTTCTGTGCCTCCGTACCTAATGACGCCCTTCTCCCATCCCCAGAACGGCAATCTCACCAACGCCGCGGAGCTGAAAAACTTCCTTGACCACGAGTCGCACCGCCATGTCAACACCGACTCGGACTCGGAGCTCCTTCTGAACATCTTTGCCAGCCACCTGCAAAAGACCGGCAAGTTCAGGTGAGCCCCCCGAGGCGCGATGCAGTCTGTGCTGTGCGCTTTCTGTTGACCCAGAGCTGCCGGTTTGGGGAGGGCTGCGTTGCGCGGTGCCCACAGCGTCTTCGTGTGTCATCGCCAGCGGACTGATACCGTGGGTGCGCCGGTGGCAACATGCCTCGGCCATGACAATGACTCAGAGTCAACGAAGAAGACATCTTTACGGCCCTCCGCGGTGTCTATGAAATGTGCTCGGGTGGATACGCTGTCATTGCCATGATCGCTGGTATGTACCGAGCAGCTTGCTTTCGCAGTCGGACGGGTCAGGTCCCTTGCCTCGAGCAGCTCAATATTTGACACTTATCCAAACCGGTCTTCTCGCTCCAAGGATTTGGAGTTATCGCCTTCCGGGTATGATCTCGGAGCGTCGCACAGTTGCTCGATGCATGGTCGTCCATCTCTGCCTCCATGTCTGTGATAGAGACTGGCAGTGCCCAGCGGTGCCTAACTGTTTGCCGGCCATCTTGGCTACCAGGACCCTCACGGCATCCGTCCCTTGGTCATTGGCGAGCGTGTTAATGAGCACGGCACCGACTACATGGTGGCTTCTGAGAGCGTCTGCCTTGACCAGCTCGGCTTCACGAACTTTAGGGATGTCAAGCCAGGTGGGAGGCTGCTGCATTGCTCTTTATGCAGCCGTGCTTGCTACGGCCTTGGTTGCGGTACAAGCCACAACGTAGCCTCGATTTTAGCGTGGTGTCTATACCTCAGGCGATTGCGCGAGAGCTGTCTCTACTATTCCTCCTGATTCCTGCTTGGGCGGGATGGCTAACACTCACGGACGATGCTTTCCGGCCTCAGGCGAAGCGTACATCATCACGAAGGAGAAGGTTTCTGTTCAGCAGTGCGTTCCTGCCCAAAAATTCACCCCGTGCATCTTCGAATACGTCTACTTTGGCCGGCCCGACTCGATCATCGACGGCATCAGCGTCTACCGTGCCCGCCTGGCCATGGGCGAGGGTCTCGCAAACCAGGTCATCAAGAAGCTGGGCTCGCTCTCCGAAGTGGATGTCATTATGCCCGTATGTACTCTGCCTCGGCCTGCCCTGGTGGCTCTGATTGATGGCCAGCCAAAACATACGCAATGTGCGCCACGCCATCAATAGCGGCGATGTTCGTCTCGCAGTATATGCGGGTGAGCTGGCTCCTGCTGATCTCGGCCATGTACACGCTCGTTTGATCCACCTCCCCCCACCAGGTTCCCGACACCAGCCGCATCTGTGCGCTGCAGCTGTCTTACAAACTCGGCATCCTATACCGTGAAGGCTTTATCAAGAACGCCTATGTCGGACGCACTTTCATCATGCCCGACCAGAACCTGAGGTATGATTCTACAATCGCCACAACACCATGGCTTGGCTGCGTGCTGCTCATGTTTTGACGAGCGGCTTTAGTAAGGCTCCTCACTGGGTTACATTTTGTGCTCTCTCTCTCCTGCTCCCTCTCATGCCTCATATTTGCCCTGTTTAATTCGCCTTTCCGTGCTCTCAATCGTGCTGTGCTCTCCAGACGAGCATCCGTGCGACGCAAGCTGAATGCCATGCCCATGGAGTTTGCCGGCAAGAACGTCCTGCTGGTCGACGGTGAGTGATACACAGGCAATCCCGCACTCTCTCTTTGCTGCTCATAAGGATCACCGCTCGTCTTGGTCAACACCGCCTCTCATGCTCCAGTGGCGCGCCCTGTGATCGTCTTCCGCCTCCAACAGATTCAATCGTTCGCGGAACGACCTCAAAGGAGATTGTCCAGATGGCGCGGGAGGCCGGTGCCAAGAAGGTGTTTTTTGCCTCGGCTGCCCCTCCTCTCCGATATCCCAACGTTTACGGCATTGATATGCCGACTTCGTCGGAACTGATTGCCTTTGGCCGGACCGAGGATGAGGTTGCCGATGCCATTGGCGCCGATGCAGTGATTTACCAGGTAAAGCGACGCGAGCGGAGACGACTACTAGGCGTGTCCAGAGGCTCTGTGGGGTGAAAGACCCGAGATGAGCCTCCCTCCAGGGCGAACAGCGGCTTGCCCATCCGCGGCGCATTCTGGCATTCGCCCACGGAGGCATGGGCCGGTCGACATGGGCTGCGCTCGGCTCCGTGGGGTGCGTCGGGATCATCACCAATGCTGAGACTTTGCTTTCTCGATCGGCCACAGACACTTGACGATCTTGTCGCCTCCTGCCGCAAGTTCAACAAGTCGATCAGTGACTTTGAGACGTCCGTCTTTACCGGAGACTACGTCACCGGCATCACCAAGGAGTATCTGAACGAGCTCGAGGAGGGTCGCCGGGCCGCCACGCGAGCCAAGAAGGAGTTGAGCAACGGTATCGATCGCATGCCACCCAAGATGGGCAGCGAGAAGATGCTTGGCCTGCACAACAACCGCACATGAGTGTCGGGTCTGGTGTATTGGGTGCATTGTGCCGCACCACCGGTCTGCATACACGGCTTCGAGTGTCGGCCAAAGCTGTGGGCCCCAGAGGATCTTGATGTGCCAAAGAACAAACGCCAATAGAGTCGACTTGCGCCCTCGTGTCTGGCGGATCCAGGGTCCCCTCTCTCGGAAGCTGCTGGTGATGCGCCGCAGAAACGCCTCCTGTTGCGCTCCTCCATCGATTGATGCCGCTCGCCTCACGGCAGCCGACATCGATCAACGCCATATTGGGCATGCCTCGGCTGTATCGCCGCTATCTCGCTGCGCCACAGCCTGGAACACATCTCCGACCGCCGTGTCAGACCAGCTCACGCAGGCGGTTGGGGCTTGGTTGGCTGTATGCAGCCGAGCGGCTTCGACGGCAGGATTGCTGCGATAGCAGGGAGAGTCCTGCGGGCGAGACCCTGGGGGACCAGGCGGACCAGGCGGAATCATGGTGGGCTTGCCAAGGAACGACCGACGGATAGGCTGGTCTCCAACGAGCAGGCGAGCGGGAGAATGGTCCTTGGAATACGCGCACCCTCGGGCTATGCTGACGCAGCCCGTGAGCACCGGGCGATGACGATGAGGCCCATTCGCTCCTCCAAGCAGCGGCGGGCACCCGAACTGCCCAGGCTGCCTCGCTTCCGAGCTGCCCAAGGCCCCCGCTGGCTTGTCGACAGCGCCATTTTTCATTGTTTGTCTGTGCAATCGAATGGTGGCGATCGTTCCTGACTGCGTCCGCTTCGCAATCTAGCAAGGCAGAGACCCAGACCAAGTGCTGTCGATGGCGGCTGCAACTGCGCCAGATGGAGATGGGTCTGCGGGCTCCAGAGAATGAATGGCTGCATCGGGGCCGAAAAGTATAAATTGGTCGCGTCCGCCGGCCTGGCGGGCTGTTGCTCCCGCATCTCGCTCCATCTCCATCTCCGTCTCCATCTCTACCGCCCCGCCTCCAGCGCATCGCCCGCTCACCCTACAGCCATGTCCAACAGCATCGGAAACAAGCTCGGCCTCCAGGACATTGAGGTCCAGGGCAAGAAGGTCCTCATCCGGTAAAAACGCTCGCTCCGTTGCTGCTGCTCGCCTGTTTGACGAGCAGATCGCCCAGCCCCTCGCGAAAACGATGCGGCGGGGTCCGCTCGACTCCCCCCCAAAAGCAAAGGACCGCTGGGTCTGCCGCACCCATCTGCTTCGTGCATATGAGCGACGATGTAGATGTAGATGTAGATCCGCTAACCTGGGCTTTCTTGGCTCGGCAGCGTTGACTTCAACGTCCCCTTCGCCGATGGCAAGATCTCCAACAACCAGCGCATCGTCGCTGCCCTCCCTACCATCCAGCACGTCCTCTCGCACGGTAAGCGGGCCCTCCGATCGCTACGAGCGCTGTTGCGGATGCGCCTGTTCCCGTTGTGTCGTGGTTGCATATGCATGCATTGCCAAACCCGGCCTCTCGGCATGTTCGCTTGCTTGCTGGCTGGCTGGCTGGCGAACGATCTGGCCGTCGCTTCGTGCTAACGCGCGATATCACGGCGGGTCTGCACTTCCAGGTGCCAAGACCGTTGTCCTCATGAGCCATCTCGGCCGCCCCGATGGCAAGGTTGTGGCCAAGTACTCGCTCCGCCCTGTTGCCGACGAGGTCAGCCGCCTCCTCGGCCGCCCCGTCACCTTCCTTGATGACTGTGTTGGCTCCAAGGTTGAGGACCACGTTGCCAAGGCCACCGACGGTAAGATCCATCTGTCTGCAACACATTATGCCGTTCTCGCGCCTCAGGATCGTTTTTACGTGTGGCCAAGAATGGCTGATTCAGTCGCGAGCTGGACACTTGCCGCGGGATGGTTGCGATAGTAAGCGTGCAGTGTCTGGCTTTCGGCGGTGATCATTGTCTTGTTGGCGAAGCTTGTCCCGCGTCTGGCTCACGCCCCCTGTATCTCTGATGGCCGCCGCTCGACGTTCATGTGTCCAGGTGAGGTTATCCTCCTCGAGAACCTCCGCTTCCACATTGAAGAGGAGGGCTCTGTCAAGGACAAGGAGGGCAACAAAGTAATGGCATCCTATGCGCAACTGCTGGCTAGTGGAATCCCAGTTCCATCGAAGCGGCGCGTTGGGAGGGCAAAACGCGCCAGCACGATGATCTTGGTCGCTTCCATCGCTTGGGGGATGGCGTATCAGTGGATGGGATGATCGGCTTTGCTCGCTAACGCAGAGCGATATTATTCCTCTGGCAGACCAAGGCCAGCAAGGAAGCCGTCGAGGCCTTCCGCGCTTCTCTCACCAAGCTCGGTGATGTCTACGTCAACGATGCCTTCGGCACTGCCCACCGTGCCCACAGGTGTGTTCTCGCTATCAGGCAGTGGCTGCGTCTGGTCCCGCACGCGTCTGAAATGACATACGCTGACGGTGACATTCCTGTGGTTTCAGCTCCATGGTCGGTGTCCAGCTCCCCACCCGTGCCGCCGGCTTCCTCATGAAGAAGGAGCTCGACTTTTTCGCCAAGGTTCTCGAGTCTCCCGAGCGCCCCTTCCTTGCCATCCTCGGCGGGTACGTGGTCTTTTGCTGTAGCTGGGCGGGGCTATGGCAGCGATCAAGCGTGAGCTTGTCACTGACCGACTGATGAGTCAATTGATGGGCTGATATATCGTGCTCTTCGTATTCAGTGCCAAGGTTTCTGACAAAATTCAGCTGATCAAGAACCTCCTTGACAAGGTTGACTCGATGATCATTGGCGGTGGCATGGCTTTCACCTTCAAGAAGGTCCTCGACAACGTCAAGGTACATCATCGCTGCATGCGCTCTCGGACTGCGGTTGCTGTGGTTGCTGTGGTTGCTGTGGTTGCTGTGGTTGCTGTGGTTGCTGTTTGTTCGCTGCATGACATCTCATCACCGCTTGATGTTACCAGATCGGCACCTCCCTCTACGATGCCGAAGGCGCCAAGATTGTTGGCGAGATTGTCGAGAAGGCCAAGGCTAAGGGCGTCAAGCTCTACTTCCCCGTCGACTTTGTTACCGCCGATAAGTTTGACAAGGATGCCCAGGTCAGCGACGAGGGCGAGGGCGACCCGTGCACGGCTGGTGTGGGGTGTGTCATCTTTCGCCAGCACCTGATACTATGATGCTAACGAACTGCTTTGTCTCCAGACCGGTCTGGCCACTGACGCCGAAGGCATCCCTGACGGCTGGATGGTAAGTTGGTTGGTGGGGCTGCTGCTGTCTTGTCGATGATCAGCGGGTAATCGAGAAGGCGGCTCTGGCTCGCCGTAGCCCTCGACCTGCAGAGGAGTGCGGCATTCTTGCGCCGCAGACATTACCGATACATGAGTGGCGGCTGCGATGATGCCGTGGTGTACTCATTTTTGCTCCGCTGTGCTGCTCAGGGTCTTGACTGCGGACCCCAGTCCCGCGAGATCTTCCGCGAGGCTGTCCTCAAGTCCAAGATGATCCTCTGGAACGGCCCCGCTGGTGTCTTTGAGTTTGACAAATTCGCCAACGGCACCAAGGCCCTTCTGGATGCCGTCGTCGAGGCCACCACCAGCGGCTCGACCACCATCGTCGGTGGTGGCGATACCGCCACTGCTGCCGCCAAGTGGGGTGCCGAGGACAAGATCAGCCACGTCAGCACCGGCGGTGGTGCCTCGCTCGAGCTCCTGGAGGGCAAGATCCTCCCTGGTGTCGATGCCCTCTCCACCAAGTAAATACCATGTCGACCACCCGGCCTCGTGCCGTCGTTTCTAGCCTTCTGCTGCCGAGTCTGAGGGACGCAGCTGTGCGGCTCTCGCCCAATACGCAATGAGCCACATGCTTAGCAATACAGAACATTGTCTATTTTCGAGGAAAGGGTCAGTCCGCGCTTTGGTTTCTCCCGCATGGCCGTGGTCTGTTGTGTGGTGTTCGCCTTCGGGCTCATGCATGGGCCCAGTCATCTTGTGCTGCCTTGATGGTCGTGGGTCACCGGGTGCGATGACGGAACAGGCGTTGGCGGCCGACGCCGTCGTCAAATTTGCGATTCGGCTCGGGCGGGTGCGATGGCCCATGAGCGGCGATCAGGCGAAGCGCTCTTTTCGCGAGGAAAGGACCGCGCCGACATGTCCCCGCTTGCTCGCTGGGGTTAGCCTCTCAGGGTCTCGCCAGGAGCAGAGCAGTAGCAGCTTGATGTCGAGCCACTAGCCCATCTCCACCGGCGCGGCCGGTCGTTCTATAGAATCTGGATCGGCGGCTGTCGGTTCGCCTGCATCGCCCAGCCCGATCGAGCGACGAGGCGATCGAAGGATTCTCGGGCGACGGTCGTGGTCTTTGCAGTCGCCCATCGCCGCCGCTGCGGTGCCACAGGGCCACGGGTGCCCCCCCCCGGCCCACTCCCCTTGGCTTGGTTGTTCTGGACTGCAAGGCGGTCATGTGGCCGGCAGTGTGTACAACTTGCTGCAATGTACAATGTTGCTGAGCTCGGCCGTGTCCCTCCAGCGTCACACGGCGTCCATGACAGCATGCCCCACCCAACAGCCTGTCCTTGGCGACATGCGTTGTCTGTCGGTTGGTTCGCCCGCTCGCCTTGGGGGGCTGGGCGCATCTGGTGCTGCCGGTCCCACATTGCCTTTCTTTTGCAGGTCCATCGACAAGCGGAACGGAAACGGCCCACGTCGCGTCGTATAAAACGCACCCCCCCCATCCAGCAATCGCGATCCGCATCCACCGCCAGCAAGATGCTTCTCAAGTCTTCCGTCGCTGCCGTGGCCCTCCTCTCGGGCTCGGCTCTGGCTGCTGCCACCCCGTCGCTCCAGGACTTTGCCACCAACTTCACTCAGGGCGTCAATGCCCTTCTGGCTGCCAACAAGATTCATTCCCAGGGAATCTACTACATTGGCGCCCTGAAGGATGTCCAGAACACCGTCTGGACGACCGTTCTGCCGTTGGGCGAGGACGGCCGTGGCAAGGTCGCAGCCGAGGTCGACAAGCTCTTTGACGTCTGGGTCAACCGCCAGTCCAAGATCAACCACGTAAGAAATAGCCCATCCGTCGCACGCTGAGGGACCGGCTGGCCATGTGCCGCGGCAGGTCATCCACCGCCTCGGTTTCTAACATGGACACTCTGTCGTCTTTAGTACAACTACGACGCCATGCCCGTCAAAGACAACATCACCAAGAACTACCAGTCCTACGATGACGAGACCAAGTTCCACCTCGACCTGGCTCGTCTCTTCATGTCGCTCCGTGACCAGCACACCAAGTGAGTTTTGCTGGCCCTGACCTCGCTCTGGCGCCTTCGCTCCACTGCCTGGCTCCTGCTGACCATCGGCCCGTCTGTCCCGCACAGCTACAACGTCCCCGCACCCTATGCCTGCGTCCGTGCACTCTTGCCCTGGGGCTTCGACTTTTTGCAAAACAACAACTACGACGACCCCACCGTTGTTGTGTCTGCCATTGGCAACTTTGGCCCTGGCGTCGACCCCAGCGTCGTGTACGGCCCTGCCTTGACCGCCCAGCTCGCCCAGATCTCGCTTGGCGACGAGCTCGTTGGCATCGATGGCGAACGTCTGGGTCCTCTCTACTTTGCGGTAAGCCACCCATCCTGTCGTCGCAGTGGGTTTCTTGCGGCTTGACCGGCCCCATCTGCTGCCACCCCCTCGCATTACTAACGATTGCCGTGTTGCTTCCACAGCAATACCAAAACCTCACCAACGGCGCCAATGACATGGGCGGCATGCGTTACTTCACCAACCTGCTCTTTTCTATGCGCATCGGCGCCTGGGCTCCCCTCCCCAACAGTGTCGAAGACGGCCGCACCTATACTTTCAAGAAGCATAACGGCAAGACCATCAAGGTCAAGGTTCCTTACCTGGCTCGCATGCGCCATGACTGCGTTGCTCCCCTCACCACCCCCGCCAACACATCCAGCCTTCTCGAGCCCACCAGCGCTGTTGAGAACAAGGTCGCCCCCAAGCCCAAGGTGAATCTTGGATACATTCGAGCCTCCCGTCGACACGGCCCTTGCACCGATGTGCCTCTCGCACTGACCTTATCCTCTTACACTGACCTTATCTTCTCCCCGCCTTATCGTCCTCACCAGCTCAACCAATTCAAGCTCCAGTACCTTGACGAGTTCAACGAGATCTACGACAATAGCGCCTATCCAACTTACACCCCGACTCCCGATGGCAAGCTCCACTACACCATCTACAAGGAGCATGGCCACAACCTCGGTGTCATTCGTCTCGATGACTTTGAGCCTACCACCTCTGTTGACCAGATTCTTCTTCTCATCCGTGGCCTCCTCGTTAACGAGCTCGCTAACACCGACGCTGTCGTCTTTGACATCCGCAGCAACGGCGGCGGCATCATCGACATGGCTAACTCGATCCCGCAGCTGTTCAAACCTGACTATGACACCAGGTACGTCCTAACGCAACGATGACAGCATCAGGCAGGCCCTTGGCTCGACCCGTGGCTCGACCCGTGGCAGATACATACTGACATCCCATCTCTTGTCCCTTAGTGGTGCCCGTCTCCTGATCTCCAACACCAACACTGCGATGATGCATGCCCCCGCGGCCGTCCCCGAGGGCCTCGGCAACTGGGTCCAAGCCTACGACTCGGGTCTGGCCAAGAACGCCACCCTGGGTGACATTGCCTTTTTTGACGACGATACGTCCGTCAATTTGCTCGGCAACGCTTACCTCAAGCCCGTCGGCGTTTTCAACGACGCTGTGTGCTGTAAGTAGTCGACTGCAGTCGATATCGTATCAGCTTCGTTTGCAATCGTGTTCAGGGCCGTGCATCGCCGAGGCTGACCATCTGCTTGCGTTGCACAGACTCGGCTTGCGACATGTTCTCTGCCAACATGCAGGACAGCCAGACCGCCGTGATCTTTGGCCAAGACCACCAGACAGGCGGCGGCGGCGCCAACGTCGTCGAGCACCATGGTTTCCTCGTCGCCTACAGCAACGACAACGCCAACATCTTTGGTGGCAGCCAGATCTTCAGCGATCTGCCGTACTGGGACTACAACGCCAACTCGCCCGGTGCCGGTACCAGCAACCAGGGCAACCTGGCGATGCGTGTCGGCTGGAGACAGTCGGTGCGTAACGGCATCCACGCCGGTGCCCTGATCGAGGACGACGGTATCATTGCCGACTACACCCGCCGCCCCAACTGGGACGATCTCTTTGGCAACCGCACTGCCTCGTCTCAGTTTGATCTGATTGCCAAGACCCTGAAGCACAAGGGCTCCATCACCGGCCAGAACGGACGCACCTTCATCTCCGAGCCGCTCTATCGCGACATCCCTGTTGGCTCCAAGGTCGCCATCAACGGCACCTTCAGCAACCTGGCCAACTTCCAGGTTTCCGTCAACGGCACCGTCGTTGGTTCGGCCAAGAACCGCTACACCAAGTCCAAGCAGAACCTCAAGATCGTCACCAACTACGCCCCCACCGACCTCGGCACCTTCACGGCCACCATCAGCGCCTCGGATCATGCCGGCAAGCCCGTCATGAAGACCAACCGTATCTTCCGCGTTGTTCCTGCTGCCAAGCTCACGGCCGTGCCCTTTGACTTTGACTTCAAGACCATCCCGCCCTTTGCCGGCATCTACAACCCTACCTCTCCGGCCAGTCACGGCTGGTTCCTCAGCAACGGCACCCTCGCCATCGGCGTCGGCCCGGATGGCCACTACTTTGACAACACCGATACATCCTTTGTCGCCTTTGTGTCTCTGCCTGCTGGCCAGTACAAGCTCTCGGTCGCTGCCACCGTCGACAGCGAGTACACCTTTGACTTTTTCCGGGTGAATGTCAAGTACGGTAACGGCACCGTCACCAACCTGCTTGCGGCCTGCCAGAACCCCGACCGAAGCCCCAACCAGGTGTCCCAGACCTTTGTGATTGACGGCAGCGCCTCCGAGGTCACTCTGGAGTTCACCTCCGACACCAACACCAACTTCCCCGATGGTGCCCATGTCACCAAATTCAGCATCGACGCCCTCTAAGTACCTTGCTGGTCTGAGGCTTGTGTCTACTTGTTGTGGCTGCAGCATTGCCGGCTGCCGGTCGCCTGCTCCTTCCCACTGGTTCGTGTCGACTTTCTCAATCCTCAATCCTTGTCCCCTTGTATCCTCGGCCTCGTCCGGCGTAGTTCTATGAATCTCTCCTTCCCATAATCCCCCCCCCGACCGGGTTCTATGTGCAGCCGCGCATGTCGCCGCAGCCCAATGCCTATGCTCAATAAATGTGCGTATCTATGCCCCCTTCATACCTGGGTCTCCCATGGCGAGCTTCCGGACAACGGGATGGCGAGCAAGTCAAGTCGGTTGGCTTGCCGTGGTTGTGGCGGCATGCTTTTGGCGATCCGGCGTGGATCTGGACCGGGTCTGGACTTGATCTGATCGCCGACCCCCTCCTGTCGCTGGCCCGACTTGCCCCCTCTCCTGCCCCTTTCCGCTCTGCCCAAGATGCCGTCCCGCAAAGCAGTCCCCAAGAGCGCATCTGTCCTCGGACCCGATGCCACCGCAGACGCCGAACAGACCCCGAGGAGATCACTGCGTGTTCGCGGAAAGCGAGAGCGAGCATCTTCCCCAGACCACCCGCAGCCCGAGCAGCCAGTAAGGATCTCGCCGGTCGATACAGCTGCAAATGCCTCTGGGTCGGTGTCTCTGATCACGCTACTGTTACCACCGGCTGATCCCTGCTTGGCGTCGTTGCCTTGACAGAAACGATCTGCACGCAAGCAGCTGCCGAAAGCCGCCGCATTGCTTGCGATCGATACACAGCCGGCAACGGAGCCGTCCGTCGAGGCATCAACTCATGGGTCCGAATCCCGTGATGACGCTCAGAGCAGACCAACGTGCTACTGGCTGATGAAAGCCGAGCCTGAAACCCGGCTGGAAAAGGGCGTTGATGTAAAGGTAAAGGTACTCGCGGCGCCTGGATGTGGCTCTGAATCGGATCGGACTGATCGACTTGATCAACCTCGCCCATCAAGAGGCATCTGGGTCCGCTCTGACCTGCCTGCATTCTCGATGCCTCGTGTCGTCGCACGCTGCAGTTTGGAATCGAAGACTTGAAGGCTAAAGGCAGGTCGCATTGGGACGGGGTCCGCAACTACGAGGCCCGGAACATCATGCGAGACAAAATGAAGATTGGCGATCTGGTATGCCACACGATGCATCGATTGGTGCGCCCGATATTTGCGCCAACGCAGTCCGGGATGGGCATGTCTCGACAGTCAGGCTGAGCCGAATCTCGACAGTGTTTCTTCTACCACTCCAACTGCAAGATGCCTGGTATCGCCGGAGTGTGCCGGGTAGTATCGGAGGCATACGCAGACTGTGAGTATTTTGGCGTGCTGTCGGCCAGACGGACGAGGAAGTGCGAGCAACGGCCGAGTGAAGACGGGCCAGATCAACGAACAACCAGGCTCAGATGTTCACCAGTTTCATTGCTTTAGTCACCGCTTTCGACCCAAATCACCCATACTTTGATCCCAAATCACAGAAGGATAACCCAAGATGGTTTATGGTAGGCTGCCAACGATCGTCATGCACTGCATATCGCGGCGATGTGTCAATGCTCATGGCACTTTTGTGTCTCTGCTTGCGGTGATGTCGCGCCTCCAGGTTGATGTCGAATACGTGAGGACGCTCGATCGGTTCATCTCGCTCAAGGAGCTCCAGAGCCACGGAACCAAGGAGCTGAGCAGCATGGCTCTGATCCGCCGCGGACGGCTCTCGGTCCAGCCTGTTTCGGCTGGAGAGTGGGAGTATATTATGTCGCTGGAAAAGACACCTGCGCCAGAGAGAGATTCATGACGGCTGCAACTTGAGATCCACCCTGTTTGGAGTGAAGCAGGACAATGGCAAATGAATGTGTCTTCAAATCAGTCACTGCCTGCGGTTGATTTCGGCAGTACAATCTTGAATGCATCCGGTCGATCTCCTGTAGAGATGATCGACTGGCACTGATGCTGTTTAACCTTTGGCCAACGGATGGTTTCTCGACCCCAGGACAGTCGGGCCGGACGAGTCGCTTGCCCTATCTTCGAATGGCCCTGATCCCGAATCCCTTCACGAGGGAACGCTTGTTCGCATTGTCTGCCTCATGAGCCAGGGAATCAACGAAGGCCGCAACATGGGCTTCTGGGCCAACTTCCGAGCCAGCTTCAACCTCCCCCCTCTCACCACCTGATATTGCGGCGCACAATAAAGAAAGAAAAAAAAAACCTGATATTGCGGTGCTGATGGCCGACTGTTTTGATTCAGCACCCCTATCCAAGCACTGGACAACAATCTGTGGACTCGAGATCGATAACGGTTCCCATGCATCATCCAGGTTCAGTCCCGCCAGTGTTGCAGGGTGTTTCAACCGCACCCACACGGATACCAGCATCGGTCCTCCGCGAATGTGAAATATGGGCGAGTTGACGGCATCCGGAGTTCGATGATACATAGTTCGCACGATTGCTTGAGGCTCTCTCCCTTGATCCATCGAATGCAGTGCAGAGAGAGCTCAGTCCTCAGACACAATCACGCTTCCGTCGCAGCAAAGCCTGCACTGCGGGTACGTTCATACTTCAGTGGGTGTGGTTGGTGCACCACAATCCGCCGAATCTCACAGGATCTTGAACCTGCAAAATCAAATGAACACTCGATTCACGACAACTGGCGGCAGCAAGGGCGACGCCAAGTCAATGACATCTTACAGGCGAGCCACTCGCCAGAGACAACGACGAAGCGGATACTCGGGTGCCCGATTTTCTTGTCCAAGCTATATATTGTCAGAGGCCGATTGCCTGCAGTGCCCAGTCGAGACTCTATCTGCCCAGGAACTGTTCATGGTAAAAAGATTTTGCCTGGGTCTCGAAAAGCTCCTCGATGCACTCGGGCAGCTCATCCACCAATACCCCTGTAAAAATGATGAGCAAAGACATGTCAGGCCCCACGGTGACGCTTCCGCACATGTATCCATCCGGTACGCCGATCGACTGAGCAGGGCGGTTGTAGGCGAGATTGGCCCCTGATAGCCATGTTGTCCAGTACAAAGGGAGACGATTCGAGCAAGGGCAGCGTCGCGAACCTGGATTTCCACTGTAGACCGAGAACGACGGAATAACGCTGTTGGGAGGGATGACGGTGTTATCCAGGATCTCGCAACAGTCCTTGATGATGGTGAACCGGCCCTGGTGGGATACATACGGCCGGGGATTAGCGCATACATCCCGTACCAGCTCATCGGGCTCGAGGAGCTTCTCCTGCTTGGCTCAGTATGGAGCAGCACATTGAGCACGGTGATTCGAACATCCCGCTCCCGGTCGTCGGTCATCGGTCAGCGGTCGTTGGTCATCGGTCATCAGCCAGTGGAAAGGCGCAAACTCACAATCACACAGTTTTTGCCGATCCGGACGTGGCTGCCGATGTTGGCAGCCTCAACGATCGTATTGTCGCCGATGTGAACATAGTCGCCGATCTTCATCGGGTAATAGCTGAAAATGCTGAGCTCCAAGAGAAAGAGAGAGGAAGGCAGATGTCAGAGCAAGCACCGGGACAACGACTGGCACTCGAGATGACAGGCGAAGGCGAGGCAGGGCGATACTGCGAATGGCGGTCCAAAAGGATTCGTCTGGCCAGTATCGGCACCCTCGTCGATGCATCACAGCATGAGATAGAGGAATAGCCACCAACCCTTTGTAAGTTTTGTAGGGCGGCCGGATGACGGACTTGTGACCTAACAGGCAGTATCGACCGATCGCCACAACCACGGACGAGCCAGCACCGGATCGCCGCAGGTCGCCGCGAACAACGGAGTCGGTTTGGATGACGGTCTGCCGGCGTATTCGAGGCCGTGATGGAGTCAGCGTATAAATTGGGTCCCTAATCTTTCGATAAGCAACTGAGTTGCTTCCATCTATCGTGCCGGATTGACTTGATGGACAGCGGCTGGAAGGCTGCCGCATCCGTATCCAGAGGGCCTTTGGTCTCGGCTGGACCCACCTTGCCACCCAGGACGATGTTCTGGCTGCCACAGATCACTGATTTCCGGCTGACTTTGTTTCCAGTGTCCTAATCGCATGGAGGTAAAGGGGAGGACATATATGTCAGTGCCCGAGGAGAGGCAGCAGCGGGCTCGGCACCAGCACCGAGCGGTTCGCAACAGCGGCAGACCGGTTTGGGCGCTGCGACGACCAGCAACCAAACTGGCAGACACAGCCGCAGAGCCGGCAGACAAACGAGTGCGCAGGATGCCCACCGTCTCGATGTACTCTGCTCGGTCATAGTGGATGGTCGGGGGATCGATGGAGGCCATGGCCGGGCGGGTGTCTGTTGCAGAAGGAGGAGGGAGGAAGGTGCAAGCAGAAGCAGACACCACGGCGGCGCCCTTTGAATCGCCAGAATCGCCAGAATCGCCAGCGTGCGCTGTGGCTGCTCCGGGATGTGGGAATCGCTTGGCAGGGCGGCGGCGACACTTGCAGCGACGCTCGGCGATGGCGAGGTCGCTGGCTATAACCACAGCAGAAGGCTGCACGATTATGCAACCCGTCGGCCGCACGAAACATCACATCATTCCAACATTGGCGACCGCTTGGGCGCTGAATCATGCACACCGATGCGCACACCGGCATCATCAACGCAACCTCGTTGCCTGGCCTAGTCAGGCTCGTTTGCAAGCGCTTTTGTTACAAATGACACAGGTGCAGTGCATCAATTGAGCAATAGCAAATGACGGCAAAGATGGAGGCACAGTCAGGTCAAGCAAAATACATAGGCAGTAGAAAGAAAAAAAGCATGATTGCATGGCAAACAGTCTGGATGGGATTCGCGAGAAAGAAGAGAATAGGAACATATCTATAGCATTGAAGTTGCAATGAAATGATGGAGAAGCATGCAGGGCTCGAGCTGCAGCCGATCCGCAAGGCCCTCGGCGCTCGATATGCCCTTGCGCCGCACAAGTAGCCAAGAGGGGTCACGGAGGCCGCAATTGTCGTCGACGATATACGCTGTGGAGCAGCAGGTGGATCGACACCAGTGCAGGATGCTGCACGCAGCTCTCGATTCGCAGTAAGGCTTGCTGGCTCGCATAATGAATGCTGGACAGCACGCCGCTATGGCACGCTGCGTTCAGAAAAAGAACCATCCCAAAAGGAACGAAATCAAGGCCACCAGCGCCACAGTTTGGGCGGAAAACACAAACGCATCCTGCGGCTTCTGTGCCATTGCCAGTTGGCCATGGCCGCTACCGGCGATCCTTGAATCGTCTACAGCTTTCCGCTGTCGCAAATGATCCCGTCTCTCGATTTCGCTCTTGTAGGTGTCGCAGGCTGCCCGGAGCTGCTTGATGGTGTCGTACGCATCCTTCAGCTCTTGCTCTCGGGTATCGAGATACGTCGGCCCGGTCTTGTTGCTCATGATCGAGTCTCTCGATGGCTGACTGCGGAGGCCGAGATCGGGCACGGGGGGAATCGAGGCGGTCGAGTTGCGGGTGTTGTAGTAGATGGTGCTGGTGCGGTTGGCGGGGCTATCCGTGGGCTGCTGCAGGGAACCTACCGACGCTCTCGATGAGAAGGACGCATCAGCGGCCTGTGACTGCGAAGGAGGCAGGGAGGTTCGGATGCGTCCAGCAGCAGAGGCAGAGTCCACGACAATGGTGCACTTGATCTTCTTCTCGGTAAAGTCGTTCTGCAGCTGCTCGGGGTTGCTCTTCTTGATAATGTCGTTCCGCGTCCACAGCTCCGCCAGACGCACGCCAGCTAGCTCGTTGTCGAGGACCATGACATCGGGCGGGATGCGGATTGCTTGGACGAGGAATTTGTCTTTGGACTTGAGCTCGAGCGAGGGATCCGAGAGTGCAGCTTGCAGCAAAATCTGGATCTCCATCGATCCGCGCGGCTCGATGCGGCCCGAGTTGGGGCGCACGCAGTATTTTTTCGGGGCCGTCGTTTTGACCTTGAAGGCGATTGGAGAGTCCGACGCTTCATTCGTGACAATCAGCGTCTGGCGCGAAAGCTGAGTGAACGGACCATGGAACTCCAGTTCCTTGTCAGGGTTGAGTGACTGGAAAAGCGACGGCAGCATTTGTCAACCGAGTTAGCGGACATGTCGATTGATGGCACGGTCCGCATGGCGCCAGCGGATGAGAGGGAATGTGCCACCGCCCGTTACGTCGAGAGGCGGCAGGGGGTGCGGATGGTGGCGAGAGCGGCGAGAGTGGATGACCAGGGCCAACAGCACCGCCGATGGCTTCCCTCCCCCCAGCCAGAGGGCAGAAAGCACAGCCAGGTCCACACAGGCCACGGCTCAGCGAAGCCGACGCTCGATGCACACCTGCACCACCACCTCTAAACTAAGCAGGCCATCTGTTGGGCACTCGTGCGCAGGGAGGATTCACTTCATCGGAGCACAACGGATGCTGGGATACCCAAAGATCGAGCGGCCAAACGGGGTCGACGGTACTTACAATCAGCGATCTATCTTCTGCAGACATGGCCGAGGGTGCAAGCGAAAGGCGACGAATTCAGACTGTGATGTTGGATATGAGTGGCTAACTCTGCGGTGCAAATGAAGCGAGGATATCGAGTAAGTTATCGACCAGTGCGGAGCGAATGATTCGGTGACGCAGACACAGCTCGAGGCAGACAGGGCTCTGGGCGGTCTGAGCGTCAGCTTTAGACCGCCACCTGCGCCTCAAGCAGCCAGTATCAGAGGCGAGAGATATCCACAGCCGCCAGGGACAGCCCAATATGCAGAGGTTTGAGTCGCCGGGAGTCGGCGCAGAGGCGAAACGACCTCCCCAAGCCGACAATGACGCACATAATCAATTCGGGTGGAGGCGCAGATACAAGTTCGTGGGAGGGCTTCACAGAATGCTTCGCTCTGCTGATTCTGGCTGGTGGCGGACGTCGTGCCGAGAGCAGACCGCTGAGCCGGTGCTGAGAGAGTCGAGATGGGGAGGGATTCGGAATCTCGGATGATTCGCCGCTCGCTGGGACAGGCTTTTGTTTGGAGGGTGTTGCGCGCTGTCAGGCGCGATTCGATCCGCCGGCTCGAGCCAGGCGAGCCGTCCTGGTTGGGACAGAAGGTGTGTCGATGCCACCAAGGGCACAATGCTCCCTGTTCGGCCGATACATTCGTTGGCCGATACGTTCGTTGGCCGATACATTCGTTGGCCGATACGTTCGTTGGCCGATCCTCCGCGACGCCCTCGGCACGCTGAGATACGATCCGCAGTGCCATCTGTCTTCCGCGTGATATCTGATCACCAGTTAGCTGCATACGACTCACGACGAGTGGCTGGTGTATTCGCGAGCACACACGATGATACGATTGCAAACGAGGACCAGAAGTGGTCCAGCCGACCGAGGCCATGCGACATGGGATGATGATGGGCCACAGATCAAAGCACAAGCCCGGCAGCTCTGCAAGAAGAGGCACTCTCAAATCAACCGTGAGCCACTGGATCTGAACTTGCTCATTCTATTTGTCATCGATCAGCTGCTTCTGCGACGGGTTCCTGGTGCTGGTGCTTGTGCTGGTGCTTGTGCTTGTGCTGGTGCTAGTGCTTGTGCTGGTGCTTGTCGTTCAGCGAGTCCATATCGAAACAGGGCACCGCTCCGCGCGTAGTATTCGGGATGCCGCGGCATCGCACCGTCGCCCACATGTATTCTATTCAACAGCGCGAGGAATGTCTAGGACCTCATGTTCTCTCGGAAACGGAGCGTTTGCAAGAGCCTGCCGCAGCAGAGCACCTTGGCGCTCAGCGAGGTCGCACTGCTGCTGCTCCTTGATCTATCGCATCCACAAGAAGAAGCGTTAGCAATCGGCCGCGTCCTTGCGACGGCTTGAATGGAGCCACATACCATTTTCTGGTACTCGATAGCGTCATCTAAATACTGCCAGATGCATGTATAGGTGCGAGTGATTAGTGGAAGGTATCAGTGTTCGTCGATCTGCAGCTGCGACCTGGGGCGGGCTGCATCGTGTCCGGCCTCGCTCTTCGACCCACCAAGGCGTATCGAGGCGTAGTGATCCCAAGCACGCTTGCCAGAACTTCTCCAGCGTACTCCATCCCAGAAAAGGCCGTTGCTCCAACCGTCTTGGCGATTTTCCAAGCCGCCGAGCTCTTCTTTGCCTGCACGAGGAACGAAATGGGTAGTTCGCGGATGGTCAGTATTCAATCGCGTTGACTGCTGCTCTGGAAATCCCTTCCGCTCATGTATACGCTGCACACCAAAACATATGCTTTCACGGCATTGTCGGAAAAGCTCAGTCGGCGCACCTCTTGTAACGGCTGGCCTGTTCCCGATTCAATGTCAAGCTCCTCCATGGGATGAAGAGGCTGTGGTATCTTGCTCGCGTTATCCATGTTCGCGGCTCGAGGTTTGTGCTTGAGAAACAGGTATTGGAACGCGAGGATGCTGTTGCCGAGCGAGAATCGGAGCACGAGCGACGGAAGAGGCTCATGAGATTGACCGCCGCGCGAGGGCCAGCCTATCCAAGGGTGCCTTGGGGTGAGGCAGTTCACGCGGATTTGGGCGCCAACCCGCCATGCGGAATCGATGGCCCAGGTAGTGCCATTGCCAGTCTCTCAGGGAAGCGCAACCTCCAGAGACAGCACTCAAACGGGGGCGCTCAGTGCCGACGCCCGACATTGCCGCCATTTTGATGTGGCTTGAAACGTCGGCCAAACAAGGCAACTCGTACGGTCAGTTTTTGTTCAGGACCGGTTATCAGGCGATCTAATGTCAAACGGGACACCCAACATGATCATCCATCCCGTTCACGCCGAGTGACCCGAGAGCAGCCCCCATCATATTTCCCCGATCTCAGTAATATACCCCGCTTCTATTAGGTTACCACCCACATTTACACTCACCCAGGTCTCCGAAAACCGGTATGATGGCCGACTTATCCCTATGCGACTGGTTCCTGAGTCATCGCTCATTACAGTCAAGTGCAAGTGCATATATATTGGGCTGTCAGAACCACTGCGGCATCGACCGAGGATGCCGATGACCGCAAGTGAGAGGAAGGCGGGGGGGGGAGAGAGAGAGGCAAAGTGTTTGTTCCAGCCGCTGGTCAGAAGCGCAGGGAGAGGCACGGTCATGCAAGACGTGGGGCTGTTGCGGCTCAACTTCAGCATGCGAAGGTGTGCATTATCCCCTCCGGGAAGTCAGGAAATGCGCTTTGAATCCACCGCCTGTCCAGCCGCGGTGTTTTGAGTGCTCGTAACGCAGGTGGGCTTGGAGTGTCTATCCATCGGGCACGAGGGTGCGGCGTTTGCGTATAGAGGACGTGCTTAAACCAACAGAACCGCGTTGATGCAGCCGTCGTTTTCAGGGTTGTTGGTGACCTGGGCATATTTACCCCAGATGACCTTGCCTGTCGAGCTCACCAGTCCCAGCTCGCTCACATTGACTTCGATGACGGTACCCTTGGTGATGACGCCAAGTTGGGTGTACATCGGGCTGCTGGGGTTCTTCTTGACGCCCAGGATAGGCAGATGGAAGGTCGCGCCAAGCTCGGGATGGGTGACGTGCGCCTTCTTGTAGCGGAGCGCCATGGGCCGGATGAACCGTTCGTACTTTGGCGGTTTGCGAGTGAAGCCCTCGCCGACAAAGGTTGCCTTGGTGATCATTCGCTTCCATTGTTTTGCTGCAGCGTCAGGTAAACCAATCGACGAGACAGCGGTGGTGAGAATCAGGAAAGTGATACTTATGCTGATGGATAGCTGCGTGTCCGGTTCCAGCTGCAGCTCCTTTAGAGCAGGCCATAAAGTCCAATGTTGATGTGACAAATCCGCACACGCTCGCTAGCTGCATGAATTGAAGCTGTTGGAGTGCCCCGGGTCCACCAAGCTTCACCAAAGCGAGAACAGACTTACACTTCCGCTTGCCGGATTTGACGACCTTGAAGACCTCTGCCTCGTCCATTCCCTTGACCTTGGGCAGCGGGACGTTCCACTTGCCGGCCTTTTCCTTTCTCTTCTGCTTGATCATGTTGCTCAGGACCTTGGCTCGGGTCTGGTTCTCACGATCCAGAAGGTATGTGGGCACGGCACCCTCCTTGACCGGCTGGTCGTCGGCCTTGTGCTTATTGGACCGCTCCTCATGCATCTTGAGGCTGCCGGCAAGTCGGAGCATGAGTATGGCAGGCCATCTCGTGTCATTATCCAAGAGCGAGCTGCTCTGTGGCGAGTATATGCAGCGGACACCTGTGCCGGCAATGCGACCAACTTACGTCTTCTTCATCTGAATCTTCTCGGAATGGCGCTTCTTGTTGTACAGCTTAGCCTTCAGACCATGCAGCTTCTGCGCAACAGCCGACTTCTTGTGGACCATACGGGCCTCCTTCTTTCGCCTTTGGGTATGAAACAGAGTTGGTCAGCTTGCCGTGCCATGTCCGTGTGGTCAGATTGCGCTCGCAGGAAAGATGAAGGGAGCATCGATGATGCATGGAGCCGAGGGAGTCCCATCGCCATCAAGGAGGGCTTTGGACGCAGCCAGTGGATGTGGGGAGGGGGGTTCTGGCTGGGTGCGGCCGCTGCTGACGAGCAGTCCATCCCCGGGTACACGTACTTTTTTTCCTCATGATCGAAGCGACGACCATGTTTCTTGATGGCTTCTTCAATATACTCGTTTTGCGGCTATGCCGTTCGTTGAGCAGGCGGGACAGTCGAAACGCACGTCAGCCGGAGCGATGCTGAGCGCCTCAAGAGAGGTGCAGAATCTGCTGGAGAAGCGCAGACGCCGGTCTGGCTCACAGATGCAGACACAGGAGACGGATGCATTGCTTACCATGGCGGGCGTGCAGGCGGCCTACGCTTGTCGGGACTGGGCTGGTATCGCTGTCGGGAGGTCGTCCTGATGGGCAGTTGGCCGGAGAGATGAGCACCAGACGGAGACAGCGGGGCGGCCAGGGCGGCACAGATCCAAAAAGAAAAAACACACGTGACGGTGCCGAAGCCAGGACGGACGGCGTGGCACAGGCGCGGTGGCAGTGGTGTGGCGGTGGCGCGACTTGGCCGACAAGGCATCTGTGGCGCATGGCCGGCGCTCGCTGCGGGCTGGCGAGCTGGACGAAGGCTGATGGATGCGGATTTGCATCGATGCCGATGCGGATTTGCATGGATGCCGATGTGCATGGATGCGGATGTGCATGGAGATCGATGTGTATGGAGATCGATGTGCATGGAGATCAATGCAGAGCGAGGATGCATGCCCTGCCGCTGTTGCGCATGCCGACCACGCCCGCCAGAGCCCACAGAGGCTGTTGCGCAACCGAGCCCACGCCCGAAATGGAAGCCGCCCGTCCGCGGCCTTGCTGGGAGGGCGGCGCAAAGAGGCAGATGGGAAAGCGGCAACCAGCAGAAATGTACAAGTCCCCGGGTGCGCTGTGGGCGTTGTGCGCTGCTGGTTCCGGCGCGGCGACACGGCCGCAGCTTGTGGGCCAACACCGACAGCGTTCTGTGGAGGAGCACGCCGCGCTGTGCAACACCAACTGAACCAACAGCGACAACTGCAACTGAATCAACACCAACGCCCACATCAACAACAGCTGCACCCCAACACAAACTGCAGCCGCACACACACACGCCCGCCACGCGCAAGGCACCCCTCGTCCCTCCCTGTGTCCTTTCTGGATTTTCCTCTGGCCAGGCCCGCCCACTTCCATCCTTGCCCTTCCCCGCTTTCTCCTCTCCTCTCTCCCAGAGACCCGCATCGACATCGCTGCTCCTGCTGCTGCTGCTGCTGCTGCCCTTCCTTCCTGCCGCCCAACAACCTGCCCGACTGCTTCCTGGAGGATGTACTCGTCGACGCAGGTCCCGCCGAACAAGGCGGCCGACGCCGATCTGGTATGCATGGCCGTTTGGTCTCTCCGCCCGTCGCTCATGCTCCAGCCCCACTGTCCCCGCTGCCAATGCTCTCCCATAATCCTGGCTTGGCAACAGCCCCGATGCAATGCGAGACTGCAGTCCGTCCTGGCTCCATCCTAGCCGGCGGCGCCTCCACAGCGCCATCTCGTATACCTTGCCGCACAGTGGCCGACCCTGGAGCTAACCGGTTCCCGGCCTGTCCCGCAGCTCTATCTCCAAAAGCTCCGGGATTCGCTCTCCGAGATGGAGTCGGTCAAGGAGACTGCCATTAAGCAGGAAAACTACCTGCTGGCCGAGCAGATTCGTGTCAAGATGAGCGCCCTCGTCATCCAAAGCACCATCATGGAGCACCAGCTCAACACCGACATCCTTGTCCATTTCCTCACCATCTGGCAAGACAACCTGGCCAAGTCCATCACGGAGCAGATCAGTGCTGTGTCTTCGAGTGGCAAGGTACGCCCCTCGTCCCGGACTGTGCGCTGCTGACGGATGCTGCAGACGATTGACCTTGCTCGCAGCCATCATCCCCGGCACTTGGCTTGACCGGCCTCAATTGGTCCACGGCATCTGTTGGCTGTTTCTGCCGCCAGCGAATCTGTTGGTGGCCGGCCGCGCTGAATGGCACCGCCGGTGCCCTGACATCAACACCTGGCGCCCGGCTTTCGAAAAGCAACAACTCACATCTGTGCTTGTCTCTGCATGTCTCTGCTGTCTTGTCGCTTCCGTACGCCGTCACTCTTGTACCAAACCCACCGATGCCGATATCGATGCCGATATCGATGCCGATGCCTACGTCCACGAATGGCGCCTGACTCTCGCACTCGACACCGACGGGTGGCTTGCAAAACATCGCCCCTGCATCACCGCATTGGTGACCGACCAGAGCCATCTGCCAAAAAGCTACCCAATGCAGGAGCCCTTCCACATCAAGGCCCTCGAGTTCCTCCGCATGGTCCCACACAACTACTACGATTCTATCATCCGCTCGCTGCTGATGATTGTGCCCTACACTCTGCCCGATATCCAAAAGTCGCCCTTTCAATGGGACTTTTTCTCCCGCAAGATTGAAAATCTGGCCGGAAAGCGGCAGGAGATCCAAGACAGCGTTGTAAGTGTCTGTCGGTTGCGATCCTTGATCCGCGGGTTCCCTCGAGAACCTGCTCGTGACAGTAAACTGACAAGCGCAACTAACGCATTTGTTTCCTCCTCCCCCTCAGCGCTCCGTGGCACTGCTGGGTATCCTCGATCTCATCGTGTGTGTCACCGGCCTGGCTACTGTCCAAGACTTGAGACCCGAAACCATCAGCCTAGTCCTTCGCCACGCCTTTTTCGAGATCCGTTCGTCAGCACCCAAGCATTTCATCCAAAACTATCCTGCCCCGGAAGCCGAAAGTAACATCATCATCCGATGGTCCATCATTCTTGGCGATCTTTCCAAGATCAGGTATGTCAGCGCACGATCGGACCAACCGACTTGATCGTGGCGCCGTGCTGCACCGCTGTTAACGACACCTCATCGTCAAACACTGTGTGCGTCCTGCCAGCATTGCCCATATCAGTCACATTGATACACGTTTCCTGCTCACTCCCGGACCGGGGCCTTGCTCTTGCATAGCCGGACAGACATTATCCGCCAAGTCACGACAACGCTGGATATAAGCAAGAAGGGCTCCAGTGCCTCGTCCGAGGAAATCATCATGACGCTGTCGGCTGTGCGATATGTGTCGGAGCGCGTAAGTACATGCTGCTCGCCCCTCAACTTCTCCCTCCGTGGTGATCGGGCCTTGCAGTTGACGTTGATTATCGAATGGCTCCGCCTGAACAGCCTACAACCGAGCAACAGTCCCAGGACATCCTCAGGCTCCTGCACGAATTCAATATCTTCTTCGAGAAAGCCAAAAAGGCCAGCGTCCGCATCGCCGTCATCCAGGCCATCGAGCGTCTTGTTCAGCCCCTGGACTTCACCGCCATGCTCGGCAACGAAAAGTGGGAGACACACATGTACAACGAGGTATGCCACCGAGTTCGATCCGGCTGCGCTGACGTTGTCATCAGTGCTCGAGCATCCCTTCTTTTCAGCTAGCACTCGGCTCCCTCTTAGTTTCGGTCGTTGCGTCGATCTCTAACTATGCCGGCGGCTTCCTTGTTCGCCTCACGCCTCAAGGTCTCGGATCTGTATGTGCGAGCCAAGCGATGGAGCCAAATCGACGACTTGCGCGGCGCCGCCCTCCGGCTGTGCATCATCATCCTCGCCAACTCTCCCAAAACATTTTTCCAAACCCACGGCAACACGTTCTTGTCGCTCGAGATCGCACCTCTCCTCAAGGAGACCAAGCACAGCAAGCGCAACAAAGACCACCACGCCTATGACTGTATCCTGCAGTTCCTGCGTGGCCGCTTCTACCTCGACAACAAGGCCTTTGCTCGATCCTTTGGAACCTTCACGCTTGCCGAGTCTTATGGGTATATGAGCCGGCCTGTTGGCGAAGAGTCGCCCAACCAGCTCTCGGATCGCGTCAAGGATATCACCGACATGCTCTTTTATCGTCAGAAGCCCTTTGGCAAAGACAACTTGGAGACGCTCTCAGAGATTCTTGTCCACATGGCCACCCACCAGTAAGTCCATCCTGCTCCAGCGCATGGAAGCAGACAATCCCTCTACTTGTGCTGGCTTTCGCCTTGTCTCGTGCTGATTCTGTGCCATATCCTTCCGAACACCGCCAATCCCAATACCTTGGCCACTGCTGTCAGCCTCCCAATGACTCTCAAGGTCATTGGCTCGCTCCTCGAGACCGGCGGCACGCTCGATCACCACGTCGAATCGTACTATATTGCGCTCAAGGCCCTGCGCGTCATCCTCGATCCAGGATCTGGCTTCTCCACGCACTCGCCCTTCCACGCCGAGTACGAGTTCCAGTACCTTCTCCAAGAGGCTGCCTACCAGTTCGAGGCCTCGATCACCAACATGCTCATCCTGTGCGACACCCACGTTGGCATCGGCGTCCTCGGCAAGGCGGGCCGCGTTCTGGACCAGGTCGCCTGGGAGAAAACCGGTGCCGCTCACAGAAGAGCCTCGGGCGCATACGAACAAAACGACGACGATATCTTGGCGATGCTCTCGGAGGCCATCCACCGGGCTGGATACAATGCCGATCCAGAGGCGCTCTCTGAAAACGACAGCCGAAGAGTGCCCTATGGGTCGACCGACACTTCGTCCTACCACAACTCGGTTGGAGCCAGCGTCGACACCATCAGTCGCACTCGCTTTGCCAACCTGCTACGATCCACCCGCAGCTCGCTGATTGCCGAAGACGGTGTGCTGCCGGCCGAGGGCCCGCTCAGCCACGAAGTCAACCAAAAGGTGTGCGCGACCGTCCAGTCGTGGTATCGCAGCTTTGGCATCACCGACGCCACCGGCAGCAACCTGCTCCTCGTCTCCCCACTGACCGACCCCGTCCTCATCGAGCGATCGGCGATCAAGGAAAAGTCTGCCAATCCCACAGCCATACTGCTCTTCAAGGAAGTCTTTCGGATCATTCCGTTCGTGCCAGCCGCGGAGCTGGTCGGCGGCCAGTACTTTATCGGCGCGCATCTGATCCACAGCAGCGAAAAGGTCGCCATCGCCACCTCGCACACTATCCAAGACATTTTTGCCGCCCACCCCGACATGCGCCTGAGCATCATCAATGGCTTCATCAACTACATCAAGCTCACCGTGCACCAGGATGATATCAGCATCTGCACCGTGCTGGAGCAGCTGGGCTTCCTGATCCGCCAATGGTCACAAAAGCAGGCCTTTGCCCAGTCCGAGAGCATCAATCCCGATGTCATCTACCGTGTCTCGTGCAAACTCGACGGCCTGGCCCTGCTGATGCTGGCTCGCCCCAACCCACGCATCCGCAAAGCCGCCCTGCAGATCCTGTCCGACTTTTACGTGATCCAGGAGGCCGCCGGCCACCAGCCTTCGGTCTCGGGCCTCCCGCTCTATGCCATCATTGCCCAGACCGAGGAGCTCATTGCCAAATACGCTCTGTACGCCTTTGCGGAGAGCGAGCTGAACAGCTACCTGCTCACCCCCAAGCTCACGTCTTCGATGCCGCTCCTGAACATTGGCGACGTTGCCCTCTCGGACTACACCCATCTCTTCCGCCTCTATCTCGGCGAGTTGGCCAGGCAATTCACGCTGCTGGGTCGGCCCAAGGCCCTGCGTCACTGTGCCAAGTTCCTGCGACAGCTGGCGATCCCCTGCCTCACCACCATGACCCAGGTCGATGACCACTTTGTCTCGACCTATGGATCGTACTTTTCGCTCATCATGGCCCTCTCGGCCGTTCCCAACACCTCCGAGGTGCTGTACACTCTGGTGTCGACCGACATGGATGACCAGCTGATGTTCTACCACTTCAAGGCCTTCATCCCGCCGGTGCGTACTTTCAGTCTGAGTGTGGACGGCAACATCCCGGTCATGCGGGGCGTCGAGATGCGCTGCTTGTGAGACACGCCAGCGACAATGGCAGGAGCTGGCACGGCTTGGTTTACCCAGCTCTGGGTGGGGGCATGGCGGTGCTACGGCGTTACCGCGGCGGCTGCCGTCGGAGCCACGCCGATCTTGGTCTCACTGTGCTTGCCTCCATCTCCTCGTCTGCCTTCCGTCGGCACCAAACAGATCCTCAACTCCGATAACGCCTGGGAGATCAAGGCTGTTGCCGAATCGGCGTACTTTGCTCACCGCAACCTCATCCAGCTGTTCATTTTCAACTGCTGGGAGTGGTTCCTTGATCTGCGCAACAACAACCCCGCCCCGTCCATGGTCGACAACGTCCTCTATCTCCTGCGCTACTTGGTCCAGAACCCCGACTTTGAGCAGATTGTGCAAGAGAACCCCTTGTTCAGCGCCACGTCGATCGAGATCATCTCGGACTTGCTCAAAGTGGCCTCGACCCTGCTGCAAAACACCAACTTTATTGTCAACGGCCCGTCCTACCGCCTCAACACTGCCTTGAACTACGCCGCCATCGTCCAGCGCCTGGCCGATGTGCTCTATCACCCGCGCCAAACGGCTCTCCGCGAGGCTCTCCGGAAAGCTGCCGAAACAAATGACGAAGTGCCTCTCCCCGACCTGGGCTGGGAGGAAACCGCGCGCATGGACGCCGTCGAGAAGTTCCATCGCTGGTTCGAGTTGCTCCAACAGGTGCCGCCACTGGGCCGCTCCACCCCAGCCGCCGACGACGAAACGTCGCTCCTGCTCCACTACCGACGACAGCTCAGCAACCAAATCGGCGTCGCCACCGAGCGGCTCTTCCTCCTCGGCGACATCTACGACACCGACGGCTTCCCGAGCGCCTATCTGCACTGGATGGTCAACCTGCAGTCCAAGGGCTTCCGCGTCTTCTCCACGATCCACACAGGCTACGACAATGTTCTGGACACTGTCCTCTCCAACAGCTATGTTGGCACGCCTCTGCACCTGACCACGTTCTCGGACCTCGTTTTCGACCAAATCCTGCCCCGCCCGCCCGAGAGCTCGCTCCTCTTCCTCAAGAACAGCGCCGAGGACGACCAGCGATTCATCCAGGACTACATCACCAGCGTCCAGGGTCTGTACAGCGACCCCACCCGCACGGCCTCCAGCTCGCTGATCTATCCATTGATCGACCACGACACCTCGGAACGACTCCGTGCCAACCTCGGCAAGTTGCTTTTCTTTGGCACCTACTCGCTGCTCCACTCGGACAAGCAGATCCGCATCCGCGCCTTTGGCTTTGTCAGAGAGCTCTTCATGATGTTTGGCATCAGTCCTTCGATCAATCTCCGCTCGTTCTTTGCGGGCCTCTCCGGCTGCTTCTACTCCAAGATGGGGTACATTCTGCGCGAGCGCGCCCTGCAGATCGTCCGGCTTGCCGTCGAGCTCTTCCCGCAAGAGGTCTCCTCGTTCGTGGGCGAGGCTGCCCGGTGCTATGAACGCGTGCAGCGCGACACCTTCAGCGTCGAGACGTCGCCGACGACGCTGCTGCCGCACCGGGTCTGGGTCCTTGAGTTGGTGATCCCTTGGTGCCGTCAGGTCTCGTTCGACCGCGACTATGCGCTCTACACCGACTTTACTCGCTTCGTGATGGATATGTCGCTGATGTACCCTCCGTCGGAGGAGGTGCACGCCTGCTGGATCGAGCTCACCGACGGCGAGCTCTATGGTGCACAGAACGCCAGGATCCTCACCGAGATCGTCACCCAGGTCTGCGGCCGCCGCGAAATCTACCGCGACGTCTGTCTCAACTACCTGTCGCGCATCTTTTCGATTCATCCTGAGGAAGTTGTCTCGATCGTCGCCCGCAACCTGAGCACTGCGGCCTTCTCCTGGGTCCCGGACAATGCCGGCGAGCAGCTTGCGCCGCTGACTCAGCACTATCTGGAAAGCTCGTCCTTTAGCGATCTCAGAGTCGACGCCCAGACCAGCTTTGCTTCGATCTGCCAGTCCTCGATTGTGTTCATGGCCGAATTTGTCCTGCAAAACTACGGCGTCGTGGTGCCCCATCTGCCCACCCTGCTCAACTACATCGCCATTCACCTGCCCAAGGATCTGAGCGAAAACTCGACATGCACCTATCTCCTCTCCAAGCTCGCGGAGGGCTACATCGCCATGTTGCACATTTCAAATGTTGTTTCCAAGCCCGAGTTCTTCCCGGTCCAGGAGCGCGTGACCAAGTTGCTGACGTTCCTGGAGGCCCAGGGATGCTGCATCGAGTGGGAGACGGATGCGGATAGTCCGTAAGTATCTCCAGAGACTGCTGTGTGCCGCACGCTGAGTGGATGGGTGAACATGTACGGCGGCAGGGCCGACACTCTTGTTACAAGCGAGTGTCAGGCCGACCTGGTCAGTCGGTCTGGGAATTGCCATGGTCTGTTACGTTTGTGCCCCGTGATGATGGGACGCAGCCCCGGGCCAATCACGCTACTGACGCTTGGTTACCGACCACAGCAGCGGAAAGGAGCCTGCAGACGGCCAGCTCCACATCCCTGTCGCCGAGTTCCTGGAGCTGATTCTGAACATCTTTGAGGGTGATCTGCCCAAGCTCCGTGGCCTCGTTGTTGCCGAAGGCATCCAGTGGATCACCACAGGCAGCTTGGTAAGTTTGCTTTCTGCCGAAGGCTGTCGCCAAACACCGTCGCTGTCAGTCGCGGCTTGTATTGGAAATCGGCACCTGTGTGCCAGGATAGCAAGTGCATCGTGGCAGCAGCCGCTCTGTTCGATTCTGATGGTCTCTGTCTGTGTTGCGACCTTGTCCTCCACCTTTGCAGACATCCGAGGACATGGTGCATGCGGTCGAGTGCTACAACATCCTTGTCCGCAACGCCAGTGCCAAGACAAGCTTGGGTGCCCTCGCCTCGCTCGAGTCGCGCGTGCTGGACTTTGCCAGCATCATCGAGAAGCTCGAGCAGGAACTGCACACGTCCATGCAACCCGACTGGGATCGTCTCTCGCCGCAGAAACTGAGTGTCAAGACTTCTGCCGAGCGAGTCCTCCATGCGCTGTTGCGGCTGCACTCGACCTTGATCGACTACCACACCAAGAAGAAGACACTCCTGAACCAGCCCGAGCTGTTCTGGCTGTCGGCAAGGTCAGTATGCGCCAGCGCACCACAAACCGCAAGAGTATAGCCCGCGTGCCGAGGAATGCGTGTCCGGCTGGACGCTGGTGGACGGCGATGCAGCACAATCGCGGTGGATTTGCTTTTACCAGTCCTAATGCTGTACTTTCCCCAAATATGCTCGCCTTCATGCCCGACAGTGTGCTGCAGATGCCCGTGACACCCTTCAAGCGCATCTGGGAAGCCGCCCTGGACAACTGCCGTCTCTTCCTCATCAGCCTGACGCCGAGCGACATCAGCGCCAACGACGAGATCTTCCGGTCCATCTACGACAAGTGCCACACACACTTTGGCGGTTTGCAGCGCGTGCTCCTGAAGGGCCTCTTCCACAACGACAACAATATCAAGGAGAAGTCCTTTGATCTGCTGCTGCAGTCGTGGATGACGCTCCCGGACACTGTGACCGACGAGTCGCCGTTCGCGCTGATGTATACGATCCTGTATACCCTGACTTGGATCTTTGCCAACATGTTTGGTGAGATCCAGGGCGGCACGGTGATAAACGTAAGTACATCCGAGTCAAGAGAGAGCTGCTCGGCGCCCTCCCCTCCCCCGGCGGAAGAAATGCAGCGCAGCAAAGCACCGTTGGCGTTGCTGCCCCAGGGCGAAGGGGAGTGGAACCCAAAGAGCTGAGTACACTGACACATTGTCTCTTGCCACCAGCTCGAGGATATGGCCGCCCTCCTGCGCGATGCCGTGAGTCTGAAGGCCAAATACGAGTTCTCGGGCCTGATCCGCTGCCTCCAGGAGATCATCGAGGTCCCTGTCGAGTCGCTCGATGTCGAGGACCTGCTCGAAAAGTCGTTCGCCAACCTGGCGCAGGTGTATGCGCCTCAGTACAACAACAACATCTCCGAGTACTTTGGACACATGATCCACCATGTCCCCATCTTCACCAAGACGATCGTCAAGATGCTCTTTGTGCTGTGGTCGCTGACGGCGCAGTCTCAGCAGAACGTTGGCTCGGTCAAGGCCCTGGTTCGCAAGCTGCCCTTCGAGGCCAACATCCTCTCTGGCAAGAACCACCAGGAGGTCATGCGGCTGCTGGAGTTGGTCCTCCGGGAGACGGCCGACGCAGACGACGAGATCAAGATCCTGGATCTCACCAGCCAGGGCAAGATCGAGTCGATCGCCGATACGCCCCTGGCATCTGGAAGCGTTGAGTAAGTGAATGCGCCTGCATTGAGCGGAATCCTGAGGCGGGGGAAACCGTCGGATTGATTTTCCATCATCATGTCGAGGAGGCACTTTCTCACAAACCACACCGCATCTGTCTCTTTGCTCTGTTCAGGGCTGCCGTGCATTGTCTCTCGGACTTTGGCGTCTTTCCCAGCCTTTTCCTGAGCGAGAGCTTCTGAGAAAGCTTCGTCGTCCTGGAGAGTGAAAACTCATAGATCGCCAGCGTCGCTTGGGTGTTTCCTTTTGCTCCAATGTGTCGAAACGAGCCTGTGCCGTGATGCTGTTGCCCAACCCCCGGCCGTTTCGGCTTCCATTGCTTCCCATTGCCTTCCATTGCCTTCCATTGCTTCCCATTGCTTCCCATTGCCTTCCCTTTATCTTTTGGGTCTCTTTGATCTTCTATCCTCCGCTGTTTTCTTCGATCTGATCATACTTGTTTTCCTCGCTTCCCTTTCGCCCTCCTATCTTCGCTCTGCTTTGTCCTTGCTCTTGGGCACCTCTTGCGCTTCACCGCAGACCGTATCCGGTGTTTGCTTGCTGTCCGTGCCTCTGTATCGCTTCGCTGCCTTTGCAAATGTCGCCTCCAGCCCCCTCAATACAACCAAAGCTCCAACAATCGACGTGCACACCTGTTCTGGCCACCGCTCCACCCAGAGTCCCCGACTTTGCCACTATCTGCGGCTCGTCCTTTCCTGCCGGCTCGGCCTCCCTCTGGCCTGCATCGGATCCCACTCGATCTCGTCGGAATCCATGGCTGCACCACACCCGCCGCCCGAGCTCCCTCCAGGATGCCCTTCGCCTTATGGATGGCTCTCTGGGCCGGTCGAGAAGCTATTCTGTATCAGCGTCGCTGCTGTTGCCAACGAATCCCAATGCGCCGCAGCGGTGCCATTCTTCCCGGCCCTCGATGAAGACTCACTGCGTTGTCTCGACGACGGAATGGAGTCCCTGACTGAATGGTAAAGCCCCACCAGCACCATCACCGCCCAACGAGGATCGCTTTGGGAATTGGAAATGATGGATCTGGTCGATACCGCTCCGATCCAGCTGATTTGTTGTTTCCCTGGCCGTTCAGCCAGGTGCGCATCCAAGCGACTCATGCCTTTTCTATATCGACCTCTGCATCCAACTTGCACTGTGCTGGATCCACCAGCGACGAACCCAAGTGCCGGTCCCAGCTACTGCCGCTGCTGCTTGAGCGAGCGGTGTCCCTTGCCGTCGTGATGGACTCGCATACCTGGGGTCAGCGTCCTTCGGAGACCATTGGCGCTCTGCAGCAGGTCTACTGGACGCACTTTGAATGGCTCGGCCCAGAGCACGAACAGGTCGGCAACATTGAGCCATGGAGTCAGTAGCAACTGTTGGCAAGCAAGTCGGCACTGGAGTTAACCGATACGCCCACACTGCCAACACTACCAACACTGCCAACACTACCAACATTGTCTCATCTTCCCCTTTTCCCCCAGGCAATGCGATACTGCTGGGAGCGATATGCCGAGGGCAGTGTGCATCTTGCCCTGCTGGTCCTGTGCACCCGGATCGAGCGTCTGCTCGGCGATGTGAGTGAACTCACCGGAAATGGAATTCAGCGCACTGGCCCGGACGGGTATGTTGTCGAAGAGGAGGGGCATCGCTGAATCTTTGCGATTGAACGACGCAGGTCATTGCCTCAAGCAGCCCCGATGGCGTCCCGTTTCTATTGCGGGAGATTCTGCTGTCGCCAGTTCTCCAAGGAACGCTGAGCCGGCCCTTGGTGAGTCACTCGCATCTGATCCCAATGGCACTCTGGATCTTGTCGCAACGACCGGCAGTGCGTCGCCTGTCTCTCTGATCTCAGTCCTGGCTTGGCGATGATGCTTACCGTCGTGCATTGACTCACGCAACCAGCTCAACCTGCTGTATGCTCTGGTTGGCACGCCAGACGGGATGAACGTGAGGAACGTCCTGTGGCATGGATTTGTCTTGGCACCAGCAATCGACTACTCGGAACGGTGCTACTTTGTGTTGCTGTGGGTCGTGTTCTTCAAGATCATCGAGGAGTTTCGGCAGCATGGGCTCCAACTGGCTCCTCGTCCATCAGTCAGTCTCGACCGCTATTTTCCGCAGGGACAACCCGATGCCCAAGCTGGTTCTGGAGTGGAAACATCTATCGACCCACTCGAATCAACCTGTCCAGCCCCTTTTCGATTCGGTAGGCCCTGGACTGTTGCAGATGTATAGTGAAAAGCAGTCTCGTTGCGTCGACGAGGGCGAGAATCCGGGATGCTCCCGACAGCGAGTCACTCATGCCCGCAACGACTCAGTGCTCATCCCGGAGTCGGCTCGACAGCAATCTCGAAGCGCGGTTCTGCAACGCTTGCTCTGTGCCTCTGCGTTTCCTCTGGAGCATACGAAGCCGATGTGGTCCGACTCATTTTCGAGACTCGATATTGGCGACGACTTTGGCTTTCTGGTGTTGTCGCTGCCCTTGCTGGAGCAAGCGCTTCGCCGGATATACATATCTGCAAACCAGCTGTCGCCCGAACGTCTCTGCGCAACCAACGAAGGCGTCTTTTACATCCTACTGGACGATATGCTCAAGGCTCAATGCGATGGCTGTCCGAACCAGTTGATCAGTGTCGTCGGTCGGCCAACGATGGTAAGCGCAGGAGGTGTAGCAAATGGACGAGCTGGGGGCTGTCTGTCGCTTCCAGGCATCATGGCCACAGAAGCCGATGTTCTCTGTCAGCGCTGGATCACCAACGCATCGGCTGCACTGCTCCTCCAGGGTCTCCTAAGGGACTTGTTTTCATGGCCCGATGGACCACGGATCCGCGACCGACTTTCCCACGGCGAAGCCGCAACATCGGCACAGCTGGCGAAGATCTGTGTGGCATTCGAGACAGCGCTTGCGCTGCTGCTCTTGAAGTCGACCGACCCAGACCATCCAGCACAGCAATGCATCTTCAACAGCATCCCCATCACAGCCCTCGAGTCGGTTGAGGACCGATATTGCCCGCAGTATCACCCGCTGGCAAAGCTCCAAGCCCGTGTCGAGCACGGCCTCCGGCTGGTGCGGAGGTGTATCGTTCTTGGCCACGAAGTGCTGGGCCTGATTCGCAACGAGAAGGCCAAGGAGTATGGCGACGAAACCCTGGAAGTCGATCGTGGGTTTTATCGACCTAGCCCTGAAGCCAGTGATGCAGCCGCAGTGATCGAGTGCTTCTCTCGGCTTGGCTTGGATGATACCATTTTGACGCAAATCGAGCAGCTCGCGGTCCACGACAGCGCTTCTTTCCAGCCAGGTGATCTCACCGCCATCGCCAAGTCCGTCGGCGGAACTCCGAGTCCGGACTACGAAAGCGAGCCGGTGCCGTTTGTCGGCCAGCTCGCCCAAGCCGCAGACAAGATCCAGAACATCCTTGCCAGTATCTACCGCAAAGGCAGTGAGCTGCAGAATTACTGCCATGCCGGACAGCTGGATGTGGCGCGGCGACGGCGGTCTGTCTTTGAGCAGTATCCGAACCAGACCCGGCCGATCCTGTGGATTGCGGTGCTCGTGCTGGCGATGGTCAAGCGCATGGCACAATGGAGCCCCTGGCAAGGGCCACCAGCCACGGCTCCCACAGCACATTTGGACCATGACGGGATGGCGGCCAATACCATCCATACGCCCACACCCAAGCACGCAGCAAAAATGACCCGCAAGCTCGTCGTGCTTGCTGATCGAATCCTGCCGCTGGTCGAGGAGAGGCGGTATGTCGAGGTGCCAGGACTGTTCACGGCGTTTGCCGCGGACTGGGGCCGTGCGAACGCAACTCATCCACCCGCGAGGCCACGGCAGTGAAGCCCCGATTGGATATGGATCCTCGGGCAGCTTACGAGGATCGTTCTGGCCATGACGACCGAGGAGGCGAGCCCCGCATTTGCCCCGTGCGCTGAATAGCCACTTGAATACAGCCCGCTCGGGCCGTCGATGCACTCCGAGGCATCCGTTCTCTCGATTGCATCGGGTGGCGCTGCCAGGCTGTCGCACACGATGCCCGAAATGGACAAATTGATCCAGCCAGCGAGGACAGCCGAGAAGGGAGGCGAGAGGGCAACTGAGAGGGCAACCGAGAAGGCCGCCGAGACGCGGCAGGCGAGAGCGGCGAGCGAGGACGCTGCGGCTTGGTGCCGCCACAGCACAAATCGGGGCAAATGGGTGCCGCTTTTGGCTGGTGCGCAGCCGGACAGGCAGCTTGCCGCGCACACAAACTGTGCGGCTCGCCCTCGCCGCTGCTCTCGCTGCTGCTCTCGCCCTCGTGCTCGCCTCGCCCGTCCTCGCTCCTGCAGCGACATGGGCGGCCCCGTTTTTTTCAGGACAGGACAGGAATAAATCTGCTTCGGCTCGCCTTTGGCTGTCGTCTGCTCATTCTGCCTGTCGGGTCTGCCCTTTGCCGGTTGCGCTGCCTCGAATTCCGTCCTGTCCCCTTTCTATCGACAGGTATGTCCGATCGGATCGCCTCGGCAAGTCGGCGTTGCCGTCTGCTCAGGCCTCTTGCGGACACATGGCCGGCCTCGCCTCTGGTTTTTGGCGGGATTCCGGCTCACGAGATTCCCGGTTGTGCCAGGATCTCGCACTCTCGACCCGGTTGTGTCCTTCGCATACCCACCCCTTAATCTCGGTCCTAGGCCCTCTCCTCTCTCTGCTGATGGGATGCGCTGTGCAGCCGGCACGCTTGCAGTCGCCTCGAGCTGGTGCATATCGAGCAAGAGCGACGGCCATGTCACCGCCGGCTCTGGTGTGGTGGTGGTGGTGGTGGTGGCAGTGGTCCTCGAGAGGACATGGCCGCGATTCAGCGGCGCCAGGACAGCCTCTGGGCACCCACCCATCGACCCGGCCAGGTCCATGCGTCTTGCCTGAACCCCCACTTTGGCTAACCTGCTTTATCCTGTGTTTCCGCACTCCACGATCATCTCGCGGCTGGCTCCGTATCTCTAGAATTCCTCATGATGGCCACGACTCCTTTCTCCGAGTTGCTCTCAAACTCGTTTTCGGCCGGTACGTCCCTGTCCATCCGAGCGCACCTCAGTGAACAAATGACCTTCGTTCCCGGAAATGGGTGCCGCTGCCAAGCTTGGGTCGAATGGCTGGGCACGGACGCTTTATTGCGCCTGACACTCTCCGCCTTCATCTCCAGATGCGAATCTGCGTGTTTCGGCAACCGCTGCCCTGGAGGCTGCCTCAAGGGACTCCTATGTACGTCTCCCTGCCTCTAACTTTACTCAGTGGTTTGCATTTGCTGTCGTTTCTCTCGATCGAGCAACTTGTTCCTGTTTCGGTACCAGTGAGCGCCTCCAGCCATACCCTCACTGGCGCTTCTCGATCGCTGCGGGGCTGTCCGCCAGCTGTATTTATCGGACGCCCGCAGTGCACTGACAACTGACAACTGACAACTGACATCCCTCCTTACACCTGCCCACAGCCCCAGTACATGGGTGCCCTGGTCCAAGAACTCTCGAGTGAACAAACCGATGTTACTATCCGTACCGCTGCCGGTATTGCCCTAAAGAACCAATTTACTGCCAAGGCAAGTCCTCCCCATCCTCGTCGCAGCGCTTCTTCTCCTGCTGTGTTAGATCGCCCTCTGCTATTGCATAAGCAGCACTCGCTCACCTTTGTCACGAATCCCTCCAGGATGCTCGCACCTACGATCAGCTCGTCGCCAAATGGACCAGCCTGGATGCCACCCTGCAGGGTCAAATCAAGCACATTGTAAGCAAGCCGGCCTCCGATCAACAGCATTTCGCCCTGTCTCGCTTTGAACTGCCGCTAACATCACCTGACCCTGTCTCGTCGCCTCCAGCTGCTCGTCACTCTGGGCTCGCCCGAGCGCCGTGCTGGTCACACATCCGCCCAAGTCATTGCTGCCATCGCCAACATCGATCTCCCCCGGGGACAGTGGTCCGACTTGATCAACAACCTCCTCTCCTTTGTTGCCACCGCCGGTGCTGACACCAACAAGAAGATCTCGTCGCTGGAGGCCATTGGTTTCGTGTGTGAGACGATCGTAAGTGCCATGCCCTCCCCTCCCCTCCCATTCCATTCCATTCCATTCCATTCATCGCTATCCTTCGCAATATGCTTGCTCCGACTCGTCTCGGTCGACTTCCTCTCGTGCATTCCCTCGCATCGCTGACATCCATCCCTCCCGCACTCTATTGGATCAGAACCCCGATGTCCTGCAAAGCCAGTCCAACGCCATTCTCACGGCCATCGCCCAAGGCGCGCACAAGAACGAGCCCAAGTATGTACAGCGAAGCATGCATCCAAGCGTGTCCCTATTGAGCATGCATTCGTGCTGCTGGCCAAAGTCATCTAACTCTATCCACCTCTCGGCCCTTTCCAGCGAGGATGTTCGTCTGGCTGCCATGAACGCCCTGCTAAACGCTCTCGACTTTGTCCGCGAGAACTTTGAGAAGGAGGTACGTCGAGCCGTCTAGACTCAGAAACTTGCCTTTGTGGATCGCATGGGACTGCCCCAGCCACCGATGCTGATCCAGACGATCCTCTATCGCAGTCCGAGCGAAACTACTTGATGCAGATCGTGTGCGAGTCGACACAGAGCACATACGACAAGGTCCAGGTCGTGGCTTTTGAGTGCTTGGTCAAGATCGTCAACACCTACTACGACAAGATGCAGCTGTATATGCAGCAGGCTCTCATTGGAGTGAGTAGCCCCCCACACCTCCGATGGTTGCACTTTAAATCTCACGTTAGCCTCTGTAACGGCGCAAGCCCATACGTCCAACTAACGCGGCCGCATCAAACGTCTGACCCATCAACAGCTGACGCTCAATGGAATGAAGCACGAGAACGAGAATATTGCCCTGCAGGCCATCGAGTTCTGGTCATCGGTCTGTGAAGTCGAGTGGAGCATCATGTACGAAAACGACTTGGACTACGAGGACCCGAGCGACGAAATCAAGCGCCACAACTTTGGCTTTGGTGCCCAGGCCACCCCCCAGCTCGTCCCCATCCTGCTGTTTTTGATGACCAAGAAGGACGAAGACGATGATGAAGACGAGTGGAACGTCAGCATGGCTGCCTCCACCTGTCTGTCTCAGCTGGCCCTGAACGCCGGCGACCTCATTGTCTCGCCCGTCATTCCCTTCGTCGAGGCACACATCACCAGCAACGATTGGTGCTACCGGGACGCCGCTGTCATGGCCTTTGGTAAATTTTTGATCTGCATTGCGGTTCGCCTACACACCACCCTCTTGAGCACTTTCTGACGCCTTCTTGCGATGTTTTCCGATTTGCTGTCACCCCTCCAGGCTCGATCGTCGACGGTCCTCGCCCCGAGATGATCAGCCCTCTCGCCCTCTCGGCCCTTCCCATCCTGATCCGCCTCGTCAAGGAAGACCCCTCCGTGCAAGTCCGTGACTCTGCTGGCTGGGCTCTCGGCCGCATCCTCGAGGCTCTCAGCGATAGCATTTCCGCGAACCCCGCCAACATCCAACAGATCGCCGAGTCTCTCATGGTTGGCCTCAACTCGAACGAGAGCCGTGTCTCTGCCAGCTGTGCCTGGTCCCTGATCATGCTTGCCGAGACCAACCAGCGATCCCCTGAGGACCCCACATATGTCCTCTCTTCCTTCTTCGAGCCGCTGATCAACGGCCTTGTTGCCGTTGGCGAGAGGTATGTGTTGTGGGAGAATGCGCCGTCAAGACGCTCGAGTGAAGGCACTTTGACCATGGCCAATAGCAAATGCAAATGAAAGGCGCCAGAAACTGTGCACCTGGATTGCGCTTGGGAACTTTGCTTGTCAAAGCTCAGATCCAGTCCTGCACCTCGCCGCCCCTCATCGATCCGCAACTTACCTGCCCTTGTTTGGAATGCTACCAGACCCGGCGTCGACAGCAATCTCCGTGCCTCTGTCTACGAGGCCCTCAGCAACTTTGTCGAGCACTGCCCTGCCGACTGCGAGGAGTCTGTCAAGAACCTCACCACCGGCATCCTTGGCCGCCTGCAGATCACCCTCGGCATGCAAACCTCCAACGATGCCAACGCCCTGCAGCCCCACGAGATGCAATCGCACCTCTGCAACACCCTGACGGTATGCGTTGATACTGCTCCTGTAGCCGGCAACCCGCGCAGGCTAGAGACCACCTCTAGACCGGGCATCGCAAGACGCACTAACAGCGTCTGTCTTGCTCGCTCGCTTTGTAGGCCTGCGTTCGCCGTCTGGGCAATGGCGTCCGCCCCATCGCCGACTCGATCATGCAGCTCATGCTCCAGATCGGAAGCCAGACCAAGATCTCCTCTGTCATCGAGGACATCTTCTTTACTGCTGGAGCCGTCAGCGTTGGTATGTGACGGCACTGTTGCTCGATGCCGAGCTGTTCAGTGATCCTTCGCCCCTTGACTTATTCAGCATACGTCTCCCCCAGCGATTGAGGCGGATTTCATTCGCTACATGGACCACCTGACTCCCCTCATCCTTAGCGCCCTCTCAAACGTCGAGGACGTCTCTGTAAGTTGGCCCTCAAAGCAAACTGCCCTGTTCAGGCAATGCATCCACATCGCGACATCCCCAGGCACTCATACCGACTTTCCCTCTGTACCAGGTCTGCCGATTTGCCATCGGCTTGATCGGTGATGCTGCCCGTGCTCTGGGCCAGCAGCTTACTCCCTACGTCGCCGCCATCATGACCGCCCTGCTGAGTGCTCTGCAGGTATGTCATCCGGTCACTGCATATCACCTTGGGCTATGCCGTGCACTGCTCCAATCATTTTTCAGCCGCGCTTACCCGATCTGGATGTTCACCGAGCCATGTAGCTGACTTGTCTTGACTTCCTGCGCTTGTCTGCGCCAGAACGATCATCTCGACCGCGATATCAAACCCGAGATCCTCTCGCTCTTTGGCGATCTGGCTATGGAAGTTCCTCTCGCTGTTGAGCCTTACTTGTCGCATATTCTCCAGTTCCTGTCGCTTGCCTACCAGAGCTGTATCCACATTGATGGCGTAAGTTGTTGGATGCATTGGAAGCACATGTGCTGCCACAGTATATCCAAGAATCGCCCTGGCTCACCCGCCCATCTCCTGCCGCTTTCCCGTGTAGAACGATTACGACTACCTTGCTGGCCTCCGCAACAGCATCCTGGAAAGCTTCACCGGCATTCTGCATGGCCTCAAGGCCACCGACAAGGCTGCCCTCATGCTCCCTCAGATGCCTCAGCTCTTTGCCTTTGTCCAGAGCATCTACGAAGATCCCTCGCGCGGTGTTGATGTCACCAAGACCATCATTGGCTTCCTTGGGTAAGTAGCCGTCGGTCCCGGCGGAATCCTGTTGTCAACAGAATCGCGCTGCGCCTGGTCGATTCTGCTGTGCGCTGCTTCATTGTGCTGACCAGGCTTTCATCGTTCACAGTGACATTGCCTCGGCCTATCCCGGCAAGGAGTGTGCTGCGCTCTTCCAGCAGCACCATACTTGGATCGATAGCCTCCTGAGACTGTCCAAGGCCGAAAAGGGCATCCAGGGCATGAGAGAGGTTGTCCGATACACCAAGGAAGCTCTCAGGAGCGCCCAGTGAAGGACAATTGCTCGGTTGCTATCTCAAACTTGCGCATGTACCACTTTGCTTTCCCCTATTCCCACTCCACTCCACTCCACCACCCCAGTCCCCCTCGCACTTGACTTGCCCACTCCCCCCCCCTTTCTGCGATGAATTTCTATTGTTGATCACATCATTCTCGTTGGTAGAATACACACCACCCCCCATTCCTAATGCCCTCGCCCGAGTACACCAAAGTATACTGAATCGTCGTGCGTCGCTGACTCCCAATGTACACGATGGATGCTGTTTGTGCTGTCGTCTGCCATCCAGCTGCCAATCGGACTTGCGATCGGGCTGCTCGCGGGTCCCCAGGACGGGCCACGGGCCACGGACCGATCAGCCGCTTCCTACCGCTGTCCATGTTCGCCCCCCAAGTTGCTTGCTCTTCATCTCCTCCCACGCTCATGACCTCCTCAATGGCAACCGCGGCTCTCGAACCGGCCTCAAAGCCCTGCAAGGGCAAAACCGCCAAAGTGTTTCAGCTTATTACCCCAGCCGCCAACCGATTTCTCCAGCAGAAATGGGTATGGGCGGCCACCGCTCTCGCGAGCCTCATAAGCAAATCTTCAGCTTTGGCGCGAAGTGATCTGCGACAATGGCGATGGTGGTGGTGGTTGTGGCGATAGTATAAAAGAATGTCGCTCACATCACCTGCCTTGTCGTGCACTTCCCTTTCACTCCGGCGCGAATGGATGCGGACATTTGCGGCCTGCGGACTCGACAATGACCTCACGACATATGCCCAGGATATGGCCAGGTAGTCGCTCTGTGCTCGCTGCAATCGTTGCCAGATGCATCCACGGTTCCCAATGTACCGTATGGGTTGATCTCACCCTCCTCCACTCACCTCCCCCTCTCCAGGCACCAGAGACACTTGGACCGGTTGAATGAAATCAAGCCGGCCATCGGTAAATGACCATGCATCTCCATCAGACACAATAGTCTCGATCGGCCCCAAGGTCGTCGACGCGCAGCGGCTCACGCCTGGCTGTTGTTCAAACCGGTCTTCACCACTCGTTGCCCATCACTTGCCTCAGATAACAAAACGCCAGCCGAATTTCGCGAACAAAAGAAAAAGGATGCCAAGCGCATGCAGCGTGAAGCCGGTAAGCAGACCAAAGTATGGAGTCTTGAATCTGCGCCCGAGATCCGGCCGGGGTATTGGCAGATCCCACACCACATCCCAGAACCCAGAGCCCAGAACCCGCGTCCCATTCCAACACAGCCGATTCGTCGACACAGAGCGAGCGGCCGAGATCCATCAAGGAAACATCAAAATCCTGAAAAAAATTTCCAACATGGTCCAGAAACAGCACGAGGAATGGAAGGGCATGAGGACCCTGCCACAGGAAATCAATCCGTTCGAACACATTCGCCAGAAGCAGCTCAAGAAAATCAAAGAGGAAAATATTGTGAGTCGCATAGCCGACCGACAGGCTGAGACCACTCTGGCTTTCCTTCTCCCCCCCCCATCGCACCGTTTACCCCGCTGGCTGCACTAACGCCTTGCGCACGACCCGCTATCGGTATATTCTGCATCCGTCCTCCATCTATAGCGGCATCTTGAAAAGATCGAAGTGTTCTCGTCCCAGTCCAACTACTCCAAGGAAAAGTTCGACAGCGACTGGAGCGAGACCGAGCGTCATCTTGAGCGCATCTCGCTCTATCCGATCGTGCTGAGCATCCCGCACTCCAGGTCCACTGCAACCTCAAAGTACACGACTCCTCAATCGAGCCGGCCCAACTCTGGGCGACAACGAGACTCAGAGTCAAGTCTGATGCTTTCCATGGGAGAGCACAGCGATGGCTATGGCGATGATGGAGGCCGCTCTTCCGACCGCAAGGAGAGCGACTGGTCATGCTCATCACATGCAGCCGAGATCCACGATGCCGACGAATCTTTGGCGAGCATGTCCATCGTCTCTGAGACAAACCTTCGGCCCGAATCCCCCGCACTCATCTCCATCATCGTTGAGCAGGAATAGTGCCATGTTCTTGTGCATACGTATCATCCCTTGCCGCTCTGTCTCAACAGATTTGGTCATCGTGGACAGTCTGTTGTCATCGATGGATATATTTGCGACAGTGTCTCCTCGTACCCTCCCCACCCCAGAGTGTGCTCTGGCTCATAATACGGTCGATATAGATCCCGATGAATGCTTGCTTGCTCGTCCGCAAGCCATCGGCTCTTGTGCTTGCATCTCGATTGGCTCTATGCTTCACCTTGGGCGTCGTGGATTCCAGGCAAAACAATTGGGGGGTATGCTGCGGATAGGATGACAGCGTCAGCGGCGTCCGGTAACGGGCTGGGGTGTCAGGACCCTTCAAGCCGCTTCAAAGTGCATAATCGATTAGCCACCTCAGCCCAAGGCTCGTGCAGCCCGTACCTGTCTGCCTTTGCCCCTCCGATGGATGGTGCGGCGCTGTGTCGGCGGAGGCCTCCTCGACGGTCGCGGACTCTGAATGGTGGTTGAACAGTTTCCTCTTGTTGACTGTCCCATTTGACGGAATAATGACGTTGATCAGTCGGGTGGCCTTGTGTCCCGGCAAATTGTATCGGTACGGCCCGAGCACCGACGGAGCGTGTGGTATCTTGATATCGGGTACATAGCCGCTCTCGGTGTCGTCTGCCTCAAATGTCTTGTAGTCTTCGTGATACCTCTCTGACGACAAATTGAGCTTTGGGATTTCGTCCGTCTTGAGGGCAGGGAAGTGGTTGAGATCGACCGAGTTTTCGACCACTTCGAGCTGTCGCCGTTTGACATGCGAGAGATGCGCCCCGGGCTGGTAGTCTTCGACATAGACATTGGTTGTTTTAAAAATATGCCGCGCGCTTTCTCGTCGCTTGAGCTCCTGCTCTTGAAGCTCTTGCTCCCACCGGAGCTCCTGGGCATTCTCAGGCTTATGCTCGGCTCCACTTTCGCTCGCCTGCCTGGTGGAGGCCCGACTCCGGATGCTCCGTTTTCGGCGTCCCTCGGTAGTCTTGAGATACTTGCGCAGAAAGATGTATCTGCTCTGCGACTCGGCATAGGCCTCGGCCAAAGCCACACAGATGTACTTGAACAGGAACGACAGACGGCGAGGTCCGCACCGGAACGGACCCAGGGCGGACTGCTTGTCCAGAAGCATCTTGACGTGGCTGTGCTGCTCGACCACACGCCGCTGCTCCAGTGTCTCGCGGATGAGTAGCCCGGCTGCCTCGGCCCGGGTCGAGTAGTAAATCTCCGAGAGGGCCGAGACAGCCCCAGCACGGACTTTCCATGCCTCGGGATGTGTGCCATTGGCGGTGCTGGCGATGCCGGCTTGGTCGCCATAGGAGCAGTAGACCATCAACCCTTCTTCGAGGGCAATGCGACGAATCGTCGATGTCTCTGCAGAAAGCGATAGAACGCCAAGCGATAGCATCGCAAGATAGAGCCAGCTCCAGTGGTAGCGGTCCATCCGTGACAGGACCCGGAGAAACAACCGACTGGCTTTTTCATTGTAAAGCGAGGCAGATGCCAGAAGCTTGATGAACTTTCTTCCAATGTGCCTGGAGAACGTAGTGAGAGTCAGCTTTGCTCGATTTCTCCATTTTCTGGATATCAACCGATTGCCATGCGCACTGGTCCCATCAGCAGACTACGGCAGTTCACAGATGTTTGCAACAGCCATCGTTGTGCGTGCTGTGCTATGAAGTAGAGATGGAGCTCACCATTCTCGCTTCTCGTGCAGATCCTCCAAAATGCCGCAGAACGGCTCGGTCATGTCGTCAATGTCATTTGGCGGAGTCATGCGCAGGATTCGAGCGAGGAGCGAGAGGGCGATGGGCCCAGCCATCACCTCCTCGTCCTCGGTCTTGGAAAGGAGAAGCCAGTCTATCTATAAGTGAGTGCAAGCAAAGTGTCAGGGCCTTGCAGCTGAGCCTGCGAGAAACGACCTGGTAGGCGGGATCTTGCAGGTGGCCCTCGCAGGTGGGCATTCGAAATTGCCGGGCCATACATGAACCAATGCATCGGACTTGATTTCCCACGGCCACGATTCGGCCGTCAAACACCGGTGCATTCTCAGAAGCTGCATGCACATAGAGATGCCCCTCCAAAGCCCATGGCAGTGCACCAACCGTCTCGTTCACACAAGTGATGCTGTAGCTGATGTGGGGATCGTCTGTTTGCAAATCTGGGGTTGCTTCTAGGATCTGCTTGAATGCCACCTGGATGGTGTGCGGGATGGCAAACTGCTTGGCTTCGACACTGTACTCCAGCCGCTGCAGTGTGTGTGAGAGACACTGGCATTGGATGGCCGGTGCATCAAATCAGCTAGTGCGCACGCTGGGCCAGATGGCTTCTGCTCAGCAGGCTCTGTGTCGACTTGCGAACCATGAGCCTCCGCAATAGGCCTCGCACCGCCCTGCTATTGGCAAACTAGCTTGACCCTTCGCCCAGTCTACACTTACGAGTAGAAATAGCTCGAGGTATTGATCCACTTTCACAAACACATTTGCCGTCGTATCTTCCAGCAGCGTATCTGACAGAGAACCGCGCATGGCTTCTTTTCTGTTGCTTCGGATGATGCGCCGACACTGTTCGTCGATCAGATCGCCAATCTCCTTGACAAGCAGCAACAGCGATGTCGCCTCGGCATTGTCGGTGGCCAGCTCGTTCGTGTCCAGGGCCTCGATGAGAAGCTCAAACGCCTTGTCCTGGATGACCTTGGAGTGGATTTGGGTCATGGTCAGGACTGACCGGCGGCAGATGCTCGAAAACCGCTGGGCATGCGGCGACCGAGTCGGTTTGGCCTCGATTTCCACTGTCCCACGCCGTTCCTTCTTGCTCTGGTCCAGCCGGCGGACCCGCTCGATTGTCTCACGCTCGCGCAAGCTTCGTCCGGTCTCGGTGATGAGTTGGTGCTGAAGTTTCTGACTTTTTCCGCCGCGACCGGCCATCTCGAGATACAGCGGAACAGCAATGTCGATGGTGTCGGTGTCCTCCCGCTTGCGCAGCGGATCGGCAATCTGGCTCGCCAGGACCATGTGCTCCAGGCGCTTCAGGACATCAAGGGCCTCGATTTCCAGCTTCTTCCGGGGCTCGCCTGTAGCCGAGTTGCACTTTTGCACAAAGTCTGCGACGGTGCCCGGGACACTCAGGCGGACAGCCGAGCGCTTGGGCTCGAGCCGCCGGTGCCCGCGGGGGGTTTGCACGGAGGGCTGGACATCCTGTGGAAGCTCATGGTAGTCGTTGTGGGTCAGGCAGCTGTTCTTGACCTCCTGCTGGACACCAGCGCTGGCCGGTGGGATCTCGCCGATCGATCGTCTGCCTCGCTTGGGAGCTGTGCTGACGCCGATGGAGCCCCGGCCAGGCTGACTGCAGCCCGGCCGCTGAGCCTGCGAAAGCGCAGGTTGCATGACCCATGCATGCTGAACGAGGACGGTAACATAGCCCATGGAATTGCTGTGACCGCTGCTCACGACAAGCGACCCAAAGGCCAGCAAGAGCCGCCGGGTCGCTCTTGTCACTGCCTCGAGGGTCGCCGTGCTCTCACAAAAAAATCCGATCCTTGCTCCATTGTTTCGTCGCCGGTCGAGTCCCTGAGCTTCCATCATCGACGACGACACCGCTGCGCTTGCTGATTCCGTGATTCGGATGATGCAGTCGGCTTCCCGACTCCCAGCACACAGCGTTCGTGGAGCACTCTCATCCACCACCACAACGATCATTTGCTGCATCGCGATGGGATGTGGCATGCGGCATGGTCGCCATCTGCAATCGATCATCGCCATCTGCAATCGATCATCGCCACGGGAGATCGACCCGGTGTATTCAAGACAAAGCTCTCCGTGCCCGCAACAGAATTTTGATGGTCAGCCCAGTCCCGAAGCACTCGCACCACAGCCGGCCCTCAGCAGCTGACGAAGCCGTTGTTCAGCACTAATTGTATTTACTTTTGAGCAGCTCTTGGAAGGCATTCTCCATGCACTGGTGGAGGTCCTTGTATGTAACGATCAGACATGACTGCTCGTCTCGGCTCATCAGCATCACCTTTTCATCAACACCGACATCCAGCTGTGGGAATGGGGAGTGGTTGCATCGTCAGTGAAGCAACAACACATTCAGCACACGAACAGCGGCCACCGAACGAACGCGATTGCTTGTCCCAGTCGCAGACGCCATAGTATGATCTGGCATGATATCCTATGGCTCTGGCCGGCGACTCACCTTATTTAAACACTGGACGATATGTGCCAGGTCCAGGATCGGATTCCCCTTTTCGTCCACTTGATGGAACACATAGTCCCGGAAGAGCTTGAGAAGATATCGGTCTCCTGTCTCCGACCAGCTTGCGTCCATATCGAATCTGCGGGTACGCAGCCATCGTTGATTCAGTCAGACAAATGCAGGTAGTGCTGCAGCGAAAATCAACCGCACCGCACGGAAACAGGGCCTTGATCCTGGTGTGAATGGCTGCTCAGCCACCCGAATGAGCGCCCCGACTCGGCCTCCATCGACCGCAGGGAGGACTCACTCTGGCCGTTCGTTGATGAACCCGGCTTTGCATAGCAGCCGGAACAGTCGGCCGTTTTCGAGCTCCCGAGTCAGCTCGTTTTCCAGTATATCGTTGTAGCTGTAGTCAATAAAGTCGTGAGGATACGTTGCACTCATGGTGAGAGGTGCGCTGGAGAGCCACTTCGGCGCCCAGGTTTACGTTCGCGAGATACAATACTCACTAGTATGCGCTGTTGATCTCGGTCAGGAGACGCGGGCCCATCATAGTTATGACGTCATCGATGCTCTTGAAAGTCGTGGGCTTTGAGAGCAAGTACATGATGACGTTCCGTACATCGGCCGAATATTGGCGGCCAATGTACTCGACAGATTGCGCCAGGTTGTGGACAGCACCAAGGGCACCACAGCAGAGCGCTACGATGAGTTGGCCCAGATGAAGCAGGTCCTCCTGTTGGTGCTGCACCGAAGACCGCGTGCCGTCATAAGTCAGCGTGTCGAACATGCCGCAGCAATTCAGTCGGATGCTGATAGGAAGAAATGGAGACGGCAGAACGATGGGGTGAGCAACGCAATAAGCAGGTCGAACGACACAGCAGGACCATATAAGTCAGCCAGGGGCAAGTCCTGGTCTGCGACGCACTCGTATATCAAAACCCACCGATTCTTGCCGGTGATGAGGATTTTGCTTGGCTCAATCACCCGGGCTGCCAGTCCAGCGCCATGGATGGTTTTCAGGCAAGAGACCAGCTGAACAACGTAGCTCCAGAGAACTCTCTCGGGCAAGCCGGGGCCGCCATGAGGATACGGCGCAAAGTAAACCTGGTACAGGGTCTGTGCCAAGGGGTGGAAATCGTACACAAATACAAGAGCTGAACGGCAGCCCGGCCGCAGGTCAGTGGAGCAGCATTCCGGAATCTTCTCAGCAGACCCTTGCTGCCCAATGCTAGCCAGTGCAGGTTTAGACTCACAGTGGTCTCCAAAGACACGCGTGGTGAAGGCTTCACGCAGCGACACGATGTTGGCACTGCGAATCCGTCTCCAAACATCGATGTTGGACATGGCGGCCTCGTTGGTCAGGCGGAACCCTACGGAGAACAACAAAATGGCTCAGCTATCACGAGTCTGCATCGAAGTGGAGCAACACACTGCGGCGACATCAGCCGCGGAGAATTCGACGGTAGTGAAATTGGCAACTGGTGTGATGCCTCACCCTCGACCCGCCGCAGACAATAGGATTTGCCGTCGACTGATGACGTCGACCGATAGACCGATGTCGGAAGTCCAAAAACCTTGGTGTTCTTTTCCTTGTTCTCATCCAGCGGATAGAGGTTGTTGTAGACATGCACCTCGGCCGGGTACTGCGCAGCCTCGGGCGCTGCAGACGTTGCGGGATGGAGTTCACGGGCGACCGACCGATATCAGCCACAAAGGGGGCAAATACACACAAAAGGGACTGAGAATCAGCGCCATCAATCTAGTGGGCGAGGGTCCGCCAAATCAACTCCCAGGTGAAGCGCTGTTCCGTCAGCGAGATCCTGGATATGCCTCCAGAAGCCTCTTGAGTTGCTCCCGGTTGGCGATTGCCGACACTCACAAGTTGGGTCGATTGAAACCAGCGTGGCCTCGGTCCGCCGCTGCAGATCCTCGCGCAGCTTATCGGACATGAAAAAGGCATGGATGGTCTTCTGGTGCGGAGGCAGGCTGCTCACATGGGGCAGCGGCGGCGCATACAGATGGTATTGAAGCTGTAAAGACATCGGCTCGTAAGCGTGTGGTAATTCATGCGAGCAGATCCAAGGCGATGGCGATGGCGATGGCGATGGCGATGGCGATGGCGATGGCGATGCTGAGACAGCGTGGCTTACAGGCTCGTGCGCCGATGTCATGCCCACTTGCTGCTGCTGCTGAAACATCATGCCGTCCATAGGGTTTGGTTGGTAATATGGATTTTGCTGGTGGCGACCGACGATAGCAAGGATCATTAGCAAGCGAACGCCGACATCGCCCTGCCGGAGCCTGTTGCTGAGAATGGATAAGGACTCGAAAAGGGCTGATGCAACAGGCACTCCTGGATGCTCCGGTGCCGTGTCAGGCTATTCCCTTTCGACAGAGACGGCTGTAGCATCTATTACCATATCACTCGGAACGGATTTCAAGAGGCCATGCGATGGGTGGTGGCTGAGCATCGGGTGGTCCGCGACGCCAACAGGCTTTTGCATGGCGTACGGGTTGATGCTGTTGGGATGGTAGGAGGAATGGTCATAGCGGGTTGTTGGTACGGGATGATAGAGCTGAGGCCCGCTTAGCTGAACGCTTTGTTGGTGACGAGCCCGGAGCGGATTTGCAGACGCGGGAGGCTGTATTAGCATCAGCGGCCTCCCCTGTCAGGCGTGGCGCCGGTCTGCGCGAACGAACCTGTCCATCCCGTTATACAAGCGCTGACCATCTGCGCCTGGGTCCAGGGTCGGTGTCGGAGAGGCTAGCACCAGAATGTTGAGTCGATAGATTGCCAGAGATTGCATCATTGAGGACCGTCAGGACGTCGTAATGGGGGGGGGAATGTCCAAGCAGTGATCCAGGAACAACACATGATCCACATTGTAGCCCAAAAGCAGGTCGAGAATAGGCCGGGGATGGTATCGGGGGTCGAGGCGGCATTTTCCCATTCCGGGTTGAAGACATCAGCATCTGGATATCGATCCAGCCGATGACGACGACGTTCGCGAGCGATGCCGTTCGAAAAGGACCGAGAATGGCCAGGACCGGATGCGCCAGCCAGCAGTACCTGGGCAGACGACACATTGCTGCTCGATAGCAAGCCTTACCGGATGCCCTCTGAGAAAAGGAGAGGTTGTTGATTGTGGAATCGTTGCCGGTCTTGGTCGGGGTGAACACCGGCGAGTCAACCCGAAGCTTTGTCATGGCGCTGGTTCTGGGAGGCGCCATTGCAGCAATCAAATGTCAGGCCGGCATCGATGCCCACAAGCGACGGCATTCAATACACAGCGCGGGACTCGCAGACCTGCAGATGCAGGTATGCTCGAATACTCCTGCTTACGCTTCCGAAACCCCGGACTGAGCCGAGCCGTTCTTGTTCTTTGGTTTGCGAGCCAGGCATCGACGCCGAACAAGAGTTAGACTCGACGCCGGGTTTGGGCCGCCGGCACTCGGGGCAGAGTGAATAGCCAAACGGCGCCGAGCAATGCCACCGCGAGAAGCAGGCGAGCCGTGCTTGTGACAACACAGTCCACGGCAGCGACGCACTCACATGGTTGAATTCGCATCCTTTATTCTCGTATTTACAGAAGCCGTGGATGATGATGTTTCTGCACAGGCGGTTCTTGTCTGGCTCGGGTAGCAGCAGGAAACATGCGTCGCGGCAGGACAGACGAGTTCGTGGCAGATCTCAGTAACGCATGGACGGCATAACGCTTGCGACTGCGATTGCGACTGCGAGCGAACGGGCAATGATGCCATCAATCGGGTGGAGAGAGGGACCCTGGTCAAAGCATCCCAGGACAAAGGCTATGCAGCAAACTCAGCGCGGGAGAGGGGGAGAGGGCGGGAGGGCATTACTCGCTGCTCTGGGAGGCGTCTTTGGAACCAAGGCTGCGTCTGACGACATCGGTGCGGGCGGCGGAGGCTCTGGGTGCTCTCGGCGATGGCCAGATCGTCGCCGTTGCTGGACAGAGCACAACGAAGACCCGCCGAGGACGGATGTTCGTCTGCTTACGTAACGGCGAGACGGGGCGTGGGGCGAGAGGCCGGCGAGAAGGGGCCAGCCCAGGCCGCCTGGTCGTTCCCACGCCTCTGCCACAGACCACTGCCCGTCGACCCCATCTTTCGCTGCGTCCATCGACGAGAGCGAGTCTGTATTTCCCGTACAGCTGCGCCCTGACCCTGCGGAGACTGTTGCCTGGCTCTGTCTGCTTGCCGCCGCCGTTTGCGCCTGCTCGCCCCCTTCTCTCGCAACATGGAGCAGACCAAACCCATAACCGACCCTGTCGACAAGGAGCCGCTCTGTCAGCGAAACGGCCTCATACAAGAGCTCAAGTCGCCTGGCGCTCAGTCCAATACCAGGCTCAAAAGCCATCTTCGTGATACTTTTGGCAATCTGCGGTCGATATACAACGTCTTCATTCCGGTACGCACTCGATGGCATACTGACACCGTTGGACATGCTTCCGGCTGCAAGTGAACTCCCAGCCAGCCGCATCACGATGAATGACAATCTGCCCTTGATAATGGTCCGTAGGCTGAATTTGATCTGGCCAGGGAGCGGTGGATCAATATCCGTGCAGTAGTTGAGTGGTTCAACTCCGTGCCCGAGGTGTGTGCTGTGACCGGAAGAGCTGAGATTGCAGAAACGACTGGAAAGACTCGAAAGGCTGGAAAGACTGGTGGCTTCAGTCTCTTCAGTCTTTCCAAAGCAACCGAAGCGACCGAGACAAATGAAATGCCTGAACCAGCCGAAACGATCCGAAACAGACGGACTGGCAGTCGTTGAAATGGCTGCCATCTAACATGTTGCTCCATCCTCCAGGCCAGCATTGATCTCGGCCAAGCCGTCATTGGAGGCATCGTTGCGACCCTTGACGACATCAAGAATGGCAGACAAAGCATGGACGAAACCGATGTGGTTGTGCTGTTGATTATTCTTTCGGTGAGCAATTCCATCGTCTGCACTTCTCTCTTTCTTGGGGCAACGCTCCGCTGATTGAATCTTCTTGCCTCGGCTCGGCCCGTTGCCAATCACTGTCTGCGCTGCCACTTGCCAACAACACATCCGCCTTCCTCCCACAGAATCCGATGATGATGGATCCCGACTACTCTGATATGATAATGCCAAAGCTTTGCACCGTCCTGGGCTCGTCCTCACAAAGTCACCGCCTGCTCTTTGGCAAGATTGTGTCCAACTCAGTCACAAGAAGCTTCAGTAGCCGCGAGGAGGCCGCCCAGGCATTTCTGCAGATCGTTGGCTACTTCCAGCAGACAATCTCAAAGCGGATCGCCATCTTGCGCGAGCTTGATCTTGTGCCAAGCAGCCGCGACGATGTCGTTGTTGCGGCCATCCGGAGCATGGAGCTGCTCTGTAAGTAGCTTCGGCAGACATGCATTTGTTGGACACTTGCGACATTCCGACATATGCGACCTTTGTGGATGATCGGGCATATGTTATTCATTTCGGTACCTTTCACTTGGCGACAGACTGTGTCAACGAAGTGAACGGATTTGTTCCATATTACGAGTTCTACAACCCCAGCGTTGAGGACAAGATCGAGCTCAAGGATGACTACCGAGCATGGAAAGAGAAGGACGGGTGGGATCGCTTGAGCAGCCGATTGATTGCGCGCGAATGCGACGGCTCGAGCAAGCGGCAGACTCGGATCTGCAGGCAAGATCAAAGGGCGATGTCGGACCGATATGTCTCTGACCGACGCTGCACCTCCAGTTTTTCGCTGTTTCAGTATCCGTTCTTGCTGAGTACCTCGACAAAGTCCGAGATTCTCAAAATCGAATCCCTCGTGTCGATGAGACGGGAGCTCCAGGATGCCTTCTTTAGGGCGCTGTTCATTGGCGTAAACAGCCCATATTTGCAGCGTATGTTATTGCAATGCGCCGCTTTCTGCTCCATCAGCCATCGCGAAATGCATCCTTGCTGCAGGAGTCCTATGTTCGACTCCTTATCGTTCAGAAATGCTCTGTTTGAACAGGGGTGTCACAGCCACAACAGCACCGTCTGCAATGACCGCAGCTCGCGAGCTGTTTGCCATAGACACTTTCACTAATGAACACCCTCGAGCCTCTCGATCGATTGTGGGAGCCACGGGACAATCTTGCCGATATCTAATCCCATCTCTCTGCATCTTGTATCGCCTCGGCTGATCCTGTATCAACTCGGCCCGTCCCCATCATGCAAACAATGGCACATCGTACAATTGTGCATTTTCAGTCGATATACGCCGAGAACATATTTTACGCGACGCCATGTACCAGGTCAGTTCGCGGCGAACAACGCAGAGTCACAGGCGTGGGTGCTTCGCTATCAGACAGAACCAATACCGCGCTGTCATCTGACTTCTCCCCGATACACCGCCGATATCGCTCTCTGCACATCAGCTTGCCTCCAAGCCGTCCCAAGATCTCAAGAAGCAGCTCCGAGTCAGTTTTGTTGGAGAAGAAGGTAAGTTTGTCACTTCTGGGTCAGCTTAGTTGCGGCGAGGCGGTTGGCTAATCTCTTTGTGTCGTCCAGGCATTGACGAAGGAGGAGTGCAGAAAGGTACGAACACGATCGAATGTAGGCGTGATGTGCCGCGAGCGCAGTAGAGCTCCACGCCCCTGCCGCGACAGGTTGCAACCGAGACAGCCGCTGTGTCGTCTTCTGGATATATACTGAGTCTGAGTCGACGCTGTGAGTACTTGGTGACGGAACACACCGCCATCTGACACTTTGAGGGCATTTCTCGTCTCATCGGCAGAGTTCTTTCAGCTCATATTCAAGGAGCTTTTCGACCCCAACTTTGGTGAGTTGCTGCTGTGCTGTTCGATGCGGCTGCGATACAATTCAAGCGTGACAGGATCGTCGATAGAACTGAGCCGGAACGCCAGCATTGTTCAGCATGACGCCTCCACTGACCCACCGGCGCACCCTGCTATTTTCGCATGACTCCTTCAGGAATGTTTACGGTCTACGAAGGTAAGGCATTGTGGATGGCATGAGCCTCTGGAAGAGCCGGTGCATCAAGTGTCCAAAGTCAGCGCTCACACGTCCGTTGGAAAATACTCAAAGATTCCAGAGTCCGATGGTTTTCACGAGGACTGCAAAACGATCCGAGTACGTCAGAGGAGTACTCACTCATCGGTAGGCAACACTGGCACTTCCGTCAGGAGCAGCTCAGACACGTTGAATTGAGCTTTTTGTTGACAATTGCCGAGCAGGAAAGCTGCTTGGACTCGCCATATACAATGGAGTCGTTCTAGATCTACAGTTCCCAACGCTGCTGTACAAGAAGCTACTCGGAGGCCCGATGAACTTGAGAGATCTCTGTGAAGTCGATCCGGTACAGCATAGCAGGAAAGCGCACACGAGTGATCGTCGGTTGTCATGCCGTTGGCAAGACGGTCGTTTTGGGCTATCTCTGAACCAACGCCGCCACTCCAGGATCTTGGAAAGGGCCTCCAGCAGCTCCTGGAGTGCTCCGACGACGTCGAGGAAGTCTACAGCCGAACATTTCAGGTCGAATACGAGACCATCACAGGGGAGATCAAGGAATACGAACTCGTCAAAAACGGGAGCCAGCGGAGCGTAACAAACTCAAACCGACAAGGTATCAGACCGACCAGTCCGACGGCGCACTCACTTTTAAAACATCAAATACCGGGTGTCGTTTTGGATTTCAGTTCTCTGTGCGCTCATATTGACCCGAATGCATGTCTGCTCTTACAGAGTTTGTGGATCTGTACGTCGACTTTTTGCTCAATCAGTTGGTCTCTCTTCAGTTTACATCGCTCCGAGCCGGGTTCGACACGGTCATGTCCGGAAGCGCTATGGAGGTACATTCCTGCGCTGCTTTGCATCGATGCACCCCGCCAGCATGGCTGGGAGGTTGATCTACGCCAGATAGTTGCTCTAAGAGAGATAGTTGCTCTAACCTTGAGACAGCTGTTCCGACCAGAGGAGCTTCAGGAACTAGTTTGCGGTAGTCCGACCCTGGACTTCAACGAGCTGGAGGCTGCGACCCAATATGACGGATATGACAAAGACTCGTTATATATCAGGTGAGGGGAGATTGAGGCGATCGCTAGTACCGGGTGTGGAACAACCTCGTGAGCTATGTGGTCTACCAACACATCTATCGAACTGGGATTGCTGTAGAGACTTCTGGTCAATCGTTCACACATTCGACGATGAAATGAAGAAGCGTCTCCTGTTCTTTGCGACCGGTAAGAACGGACATCTCGCTCCGGTCTGGAGCTGCGCATGGATATGCCAGTGCGCCGGGCTGACAAGACGATCCCGCTCCTTGAAACCGCCAGGATCAGACAGGGTTCCGATTGGAGGCTTGGCCAAGCTGCAAGTAAGCCAACCGATCGCATGCATCCAACATCTGCGTTACATCGATGCACAGTGGACCTTGCCGCTCCTCACACATGTCTTCTCTTGCCTCGCACCCACGGCTCCTGAAACGGCCAAATGCGATAGTTTGTGATTGCCAAGAACGGAGGAGACAGGTATGACCTTTGTCTTTCCGAACACATACACCCACGCGGAGCGCCAATGTCGCTGTGATATGCCATCGTATGCGCTGTGCGGTCATAGGCTCGGTCGAGCGGAACCAGTACTGATACAAGCCGTCGGTTTACTCAGCGAACTGCTACCGACTTCGCACACATGCTTCAACGTACTCCTCTTGAGCGAGTACGGCTCAAAATCAAAGCTCCAGCGGCAGCTCGAGAAGGCTCTGGAGAACAGCCACTGTGGGTTCTTTTTGAACTGACGGTCTGCTACCTCGAGCCTCACTTGTGTGAGCAGAGCCGCAGGTGCTTGATCATCTCAACTGTTCTCATCGGCCGCTTGTAGATTCGCCCCGGCTCGATGCACACATCCGTGCATACTGTCCATGGCGCCCCTGAATACAACTCACTCAAAGGGTACTACATCGAGAGACGGCCGGCCCTCTCATATGCGCCGCGCAGTCTACTCTGGGGTAACGATCACTTGCACGAGCTGGACTGTTTGGCCGCTGTACCAGATCTGCACACCCCATTCAGAGAGCTCGTGGTGCAGGCCATCCTGCGTCGGTGATGCAGCCGCTGAGGCAGCGACTTGGAAGCGCCCGGCATACTGACTCGGCGGTACTCTGATTCGAGTGGGCATCGCAATCTCTGGGCTGGCCCAGAAGGACATTTCGAAGGTCCGAGAGTCCGGATCGTATGCGTAGCTGACAAGGATGCCAGAAACTGCCTCTGGATAGATTCGGGCGAGTGCTCGTTGCACCGACAGATTCTGAGAGCCGTCCTATGCGCCAGTGAGAGGATAAGAGGCCAATTTGATTTGATTTAAGCTGCGGGCCCCCACTTGCAATCGGGATTGAGTTGCGAGCCAGCGCCGACATGGTACCCATACCTCGTTGAAGAACCCCCATGACCAGCCCGTGATGGGGGCATATCGCTTGTATTGCCAGGCCGCCCAGGATTGGTGTTGCTTGTCCATCAAATCCATGACCTGCGCTCGCTCAGGCGCCCCGAGGTCAAACTCGGTGAGGATCGAGGCACACCCTGGAGCAATCCAAAGTGGAGTCAGAGATGTGGAGCGCAATCGGCGACAGACGACCCGGATGAATCTTTGCTCACCCAGTCGCCTCGAGTCTTGGATTCTCTGATCGACAAAGGGCTCAAGATTCGGATGGTTGGTGCTGTAATAGTGGTAGACGAGAGCGCTGTGCGAGGCTCGTGTCTTGCCACCTGGCACCTAAGCAGCAACGGGCGAATGAGTAGATGTCGCATCGCCGAGCTGCGCTTATCGCGATACGCTGTGGCTGTTCAGTTGGACCAACGGAGTGGAGTCAAGTACCTCGTCGAATCCCACAGGTGCGACATCAGTCACGACGTTTCCAGTCCAGAAGACAACCCGGCTTGGATCAACGCTGTAGATGGCACGGGCCACGACATCCATGAACGGTGCTATCAGCGCCCTGTCAGGAAGCTGCGATGTTGTCGGAGTCGGAAGCACCAGCTCGAAGTTCTTCCAAAAGTCGCCTGGAGGTGCATGGGGCATCGATATGAGACCACTGCACGACAAGGATTCGTGAACCATAGCGTTCTGGAGCCGTATGGGCAAAGCGATGAGGCTCAGGGAAGGTGACGATTACCGGGGAATGGTTCGTTCATGATCTCGTATCCAAGGACATTCTCGTGCTGCAGGAAGGATGAAGCGACGAACTTCCAGTGCTGGCAACCAAAGCAATGAGTGAAGTGGGGTGAGACTTGTTCAAGCACAGAGCGGACAGAACGATACCCGGAGGGATATGGAGGTTCTAGAGAGGACGCTTTGATTCCCAAGCAGTTCCGAGTGGTTTCTCACGTTTACAAAGGCATCTCGGGTGCCATTCCAGTTGGTGTAGAACTGTTGATAGCCAGCCGCCACCAAAGCGCTGTAGGTGAACTGGGACCAGTAAAAGCGATCGCAGTCACTTCGAGAGGGCCGCCCATCCGACCCGAGAGCAAACGGTGGGGTATGGTCGTCGCCCAGGTTGAGCTGAAGAGGGATGACATCTTGCCAGCCGAGCGGGAATGGAAAGTGCATGGAGCGATCCGTGTACTGAAGCCGCAAGAGGTGGCATAAGCAATGGAGTTTGATGAAATGGCACGGATCAAGCTACTGCCTCGTAATTGGGCCATGCCCGAAGGAGCCTCGTGCGAAACCAAGCGCTCACCGTGGCCCATTGAGGGATGCCTTCGCCGCAATAGGCTTCGGAGAGCAGATCTTGATGGAACTCCAGGATGACCGAGATGTTGTAGGCAGCCGAGAGCGTAACGATCTTTCTGATTTGTTCAATGTAGCTTTGATTGCGCACCGACCTTTGAGGCTCGACACCGGGCCACATTACCGCCAGCCTGAGTAGCAACGAAAGCAGCCGTCAGGACAACTCATCAAGTCTTGGATGAGCCTCGACAACTGAGATGCAGAGATGGGCTTTTATCTGGTAATTGGCAATCACACCGACCTGATGAGATTCATCCCATTGCTCCAGAGAAGGCGAGCGTCCTCTTCGCTGAAGGAGTCAAATGGATCGAACGCATCGGTGCTGGGGACATAGGGGAAAAGCTTGTAGACCACATTGACGCCATGGAAGATCCGCACGCGCTGGTGCTGATCGACAAAGGTGCCGTTCTCTCCAACGGCAAGCGAAATGGGCTCCGAAGCGACAGCCACGATGCTCAGCAGAGCAGCGAGCGCATATCCAAAGCAGTGCAGCAGTGCGTCAGATCTCATGATGCCGCAACGGACATGGGCTGGTCGTGGTAGCGGCTGGAAGGGCAGAGCACATTCGGCGGCATGATGGAGACTGCAGCCCGCAATGCACCACATTCGGGCTGGCGCGAACGACTGGCGCTGACCCAGCCCGCCATCGATCAGCGTACCAGAAACGACGGCGGCAACGAGTCTGTCTAGGTTCTCTGTGTCCAGGTCCTCTGGGGCAACGGCTCTTGATCATGATCTACAAGTGCCAAACACAGAGGTATGCAAACACACAAGCACCGGTAGCAGCCAAGCCATGGCTTCCGACAACAGCCGAGCCACTGATTCCGATGCCCATTGAGGCACGCAGGCCCCACCGGACGAAGCTCGGATCAGTCGAATGTCAGAGGGGTTTAGCGAAACGTGAGCCGCGATTCATGCATACGCCCATTTGGAATGAAATCCTCGGTCGAGGGCCAATAAGACATGCTGAACAAGCAGTGCCTCCAAAGCCACGCCCCTCTAGACTGGAGACAATGGCACCATTGCTTGGATATGGGAACGCAGCTCGGACGATATATGGGCAATCAAAGCACGGGAGGCGATAAAAATTAAGCAGAGACGGGCAGAATCATGTGTCTAAAGATCATGACGGGAGTTGTAGTGTGCAGGACGCAATCGACTGCTCTGATATTGGGGTTCAATCAAGCCTCATCGGGAGAGTTCTCATCAAAAGCATCACGCAGCAGGCTCGACTCTCCAGCCGAGACGCTCGACCGCTTCTTGTAGCGATCTCTGTCTCGGAGGGGGATCTTGTCGAGGCTCTTTGTGGAATCGGCTGCAATCGGATGCTGCTCATCTTTAGCCGCATTGATCATGAAGACGCCGATGAAGATCGTGATGAACCCGCCAAATATCGAGACGATGTCCTTGGGGTCGCTCTGGATAGTCGCAGCCGACAAAACAGTCAGGGGATTTGCTATTGCTCAGAGCGATCAAAAACAGGTCACCGCAGCGCTGTCTCACGATGGCACTACGACACCACGACACCCCGATCACGGCGGTGAGGTACTAGATGCACTGATGCGCTTACATCGTTGAATCCCTGGAAGAGAATCACCGACGCTACAATCGTGGCGGAGGTGAAAAACACATAGTAGACTGAGGAGGGCCAGAGTTAGTGGGCACATTCTAACCCGAATCATTTCGAACCCCACCAGTGACTCAGATGTGCCTGCGCATCGCGTGTATGAACCGACAGCAGGACTTACTCGGGGTAACCCTGAGGAATCGCGTTATCATCGACAGTCGAGTCGAGCGAAGGCTATTAGTGCGGTGCTCCGAAGACTGCGAGGTGCTGGCCCCTTGTTACCACGAGAATGCAGGCGGAGCTTACTGGTTGGTAGAGAAGAGGTCGAGCGACTTGTTGAAGTAGTTGATCTGGGTGAGGGCACAGCCAATGACAATGAAGCCAAAGAGCCAGGTCGAAGGGTATATGAGCTGGTTGTTGCCTTCGATGGTGAGGCGGATGGCAACGCCGAAAGCCTTGACGGCCATCACCGAAACCGAGCCCACGAGCGAGCAGATCGTGATGTAGACCAGGATGTTCTTGGAGCCGTAGACGGGTCCGATGCGGTAGATCAGGAAGAGCGATACAGCCGAGACCAGGAACATGTAGACCATGAAGCCTAAGGTTCGACCAGTGCCATAGAGTAAGATGAAAGAGCGATGCCGAGTGATGCATGATTTGCTGTGGACGCCTGATCTGTGGCTCGCCTGTACTTGCCTGGCTGCAGGAAGTACGTCAGAATCTCGTCAACCGAGTCGATGGATTTTTCCTCTGGCGAGTGCAAAATGACGATGACGGAGCCAATGATCGACAGGGCGCATCCGAGCTGGCCCTGGAAGGACATGGTTTCGTGCAGAAACACCGAGGCGCCTACGGATCTATAGTCGTATAATGCATGAGACCACGGATAGAGTCTGCGCCGACGATGCTCTGCCCTGTCCGATATTCGGTCAAGGTAGCAGCCTGGTCCAGGATGATGTGACTGGGTATCTCGGGCAACAGTCCGACTGGATCGCCACGACCGTCCTACCCAATGACAACGCTGAATGCGCCTAGCGGGGTGACCAGGATGGCTGGAGCAAATGTATATGCGGTGAAGTTGGCAATCTCGCCGAGGATCACTGCGACAGGCAAAGTGCGGTCAGAACACAAATGCGTTAGCAAATGTCCCACGCATGGACAGCAACAGAAACCAGTGGACCCGATGTGCATTGGATGGCGCCGCAGCCGACAATGTGTTGGAGTTTGGTAGTGTCGGTGGTCGTCTGGCTCATTCGAGCGAGTAGACCTGGTTCGACAGGTTTTCAACTCACTTGTCATCAAGCCGGCCCACCACAGCCCGTTCTTGAGGTAGCTGTGCGATTCCAGGTGAGTTGCGCCGCCTCCTGGAGGAAGTAACCGCCCGCCACAGTAGAGGGTGTGAAAGCCATTCCTGCCACAGCCACAGACACCGAGCCGCCTTCTGCCCGATTCACCAACTGTGCAGCTCTGCGAATGCACCCCGCAGACAGGCATGGTGGGTGTGCCCGGCCTCCCGTAGCGCGGTGCAAAACGACTGGCAAGCCCACGGTGCCAAACCCACACGAACCTGACTGCTGAGCACTTTGGATCAGCCCTTTCTTGGTGATGATGAATGAGGAGCCGATAAGAAGGCCGGACGAGAGAGCCAACGCGAGTCCCACATACTTTGGATCGGCCATGGCGCGTACGATACAGGGTTGAAGGGGCGAAGGTGGAGCGCTAGAGGAAGGATCGACAGAAGCAGGTGGGCCGATGGTGAGAGCAGCAAGAGACAGGCGGGAGGGGCGGATGGCACCAAGGGATATTCCCACGATCGAGGCTGGCCGTGCCGGCATATGTCGCCAAGCTGAACCGGCCGACCGAGACGTCAGCCCTGAGCGTCGACAGCCAATGCTGGCAATGCATTGTCGTGACACCAGCGCCTGACGTTGGGTTGTTGTGGCTGTGAGGACATTTGTGTGCTGAGCGGTGTGTGGGAGCGGGCGAGGGACAGAGATGGACGCCAGATTCGAGTCCCTCAATCAGGACGTGGACAGACGAGCACAATGAGTGAGCCGGAGCAGCAAGCGAGCGACGAGGCAGCAGCTCTGATCCATCAGCAGAGTGGCCGGGGTAATTGCGTCGGGCTGGCTATCGGGATGATCGCCGGGGTGATTGTCGGGCAGCGAACCATGTCGAACGAGGGAGCAACCAGGACGCGATAGTCGCACCAACCCGCCGAAACGAGGCAGCGCAGCGCAGATACGGTTATAACGCTGCGGCGAAGAAGGTGCTTTCAGTCGGGGAGTTTGGCACCTCCCTGTGGCCTCTGCTTCTGGAGGGACTGAATAGTGGAGGGGTTCACTGGCGGGCTCACGTCGCTGTGCTCTCGGGTTGTTGAGAGTCGGCCTGCAGCAAGCTCTGTGTGAACACCCTGTCTGGCCGGAGGGCTGGGCAGAGGGTTCTCGAAGAACTGGGTACGCCCTAGGCCGGCAACGGAGCAAGGAAAACCAGTCGCATGGAGTAGTGCTGGGAACACTGGCTTGAGATTCGGTCTCAGCGATGCCGCCGGGGTCCTCCGACTCCTGTTCATTTTTTGCTTTGCTGCTGGGACATGCGCTGCCCTGCTCCTGCTCCTGCTCCTGCTCCTGCTGCTCTGTCGCCCGCACAGCATCACGGCCCGGGGCTGTCTCGTTTCATCAAGCAGTCGCTGTATTATTCGGGACTCCGCGCCGGCTGTCTCTCTATGCATGCTGCTCTATCGATCGCATCATATCCGCTAGTCATCCGCGGAGAGAGGGCCGGCAGCTTGGTAGATTGACGCAAAGCCAAAGAGCAGGAAGAGGATTGCTCCAAGAAGAGTGACTGGGGCCCGACGACAGAGGAAGCAAATCAGCCAGGCGCAGTGTCGGCTTGCAAGCGCACGACTCTCTTGCATGTCGATCCGGCCAGTCGCTCGCTTCATCAGACACGATCCAGATTACTTACCCACTCTGACGCTGATCCGCTCGGCAAGCTTCACGACAGAGGATGGCAAGTCAGCATTCGATTCGACTGCCGTAACTCAGGGAGTGCTGCCTCCCACACCCGCAGCAGCATGACGCATCCTTCATCCATGGTTTCTTACCAGTCGCCCGCCAACGACGGCAACGGCAGTGCAGATGCCGTGGCCAACGAGACCACCCAGCGTAACGAACCAGAATCCCTACAAGACCAGCAAGCGCACGCCGCACATCAGTCCGAGCCACAGACACAGTTGCATCGATCGAGATGTCCACATACCTGAGCACCAGCCAGGGCAATGGCTGGGGGCAAACCAGCATCGGCGAGTGGCGCAATTGATCAGCATCGGCGAGTGGCACAATCGATATCAGCATCGGCGAGTGGCACAATCGATATCAGCACCGATATCAGCATCGACACCCACACCGGTATCGCCATCTGTGTGCGGCGGAGCGCTCCCCTCATCCCCGCCCCAACACCTTGCGTCTTACTTGCGATCTGGCTGCGGTCTCCCCATTCGGCCAGGAAGGTCATCACAAAGGTCTGGATGAGGATCGGCGAGAAGAGGTAGGTGGCCAGGTTCTGGAAGGGGACCCACCACTCGTCCTTGGGTTGGGGCTGCAGGCCACCTCCCTCCAGCTCATCCGTCTTCTTGCTGACTTCAGCCTCGGCGAGCTCCTGGGTGACCTCCTCGAGCTCTTCCTTGCCCTCGGTGCCGGACATGGTGTAGACGTCCTTGAGCATCTTCAAGCCAAACACAATAAACAGCAACCCGGCGGCCAGCTGGGTGTACTGCTTCGAGATGAGATTGGGCAGGATGTGGCCCAGGAAGGCCGACAGAATCGTCATGAACACCAGGGCTCCCATGGCGCCGCTAAAGATCAGCAGCCGTGAGTTCCTCATGGCGAGGACGGCGGCGATGAAGAAGGTCTTGTCGCCAATCTCCGAGACCAGGATGACGAAGAAGCTCATCGCAAACTGCATCAGAGGCGTGTCGTCGGAACCCGGCATGCCGGACTGCTGGACCACGGCCGGGGTGGGATTCGGAGCGGTGGAGATCTTTGGGAGTCGATGGACGGGGGCCATTGATCAGCATGGGCCGCAGAAGCATGGATCAGGTCCTTGCTGCCGACAGCCAGCGACGGATTGCCCGAACCGCCTCGCACATTAGACTTGGGCGGGGCGAGGGGGAGGCGAGCGACCCAGGCGGCGAGCTAGCCCGTGGAAAGGCAGCCAAGGCCCGGTGCACCTACGTCGAACAGAGGGGCGTCCATCCTGGCGGTGTCGTCGAGGAAAAGTGAGATGGCGGCGAACGAGCGCCAGCGGGGCACCAGGCGGGGCGAAGGATTTGCACCTCGTGGTTGTGCCCGCCTCTGCCGTCCCTGGCTGGGCATCGCCGCACCGACTGCTCTGGATCCCGAGTCCGCAGCGAATCGCAGCGAATCGCAGCGAATCGCAGCGACTTTTCCCATCTGGTTCGGGTTGAGGGACGCTCGGGACGATCGCCGATCCTGCTGGCCCGCCCCTCCAAGCCCAGCGCCCTTGGGTATGCTCTCTGCGGGCGACGGCCATTGCTGTATTCGTGGGCCATTTCTACTGCGCCGATCGGCACCAATCTACACTAGAGCTCCTTCTTGACAGGATGGTCCTTGTTGGTGGCTCGGCTCGAGCTCTCGCTGGTCGAGTCGCCAGCCGTGGGCTTGGTGGTTTCCTCCTCCTCGGCCTTGGTCTTGGTGGCGCCTTCGCCCTCCTTTGTCTTATCGGCTTCCTCGGTCTTGGGGCTCTCTTCCGTCTTCTTCTTGGCAGAGGTGGTCTTCTTGGGCTTGGGGCGGCGCAGAAGCAGAGGCGTGACCTCGCCGCTGACGTCGCGGCTCTTGCGCTGGATCTCTGCGATTTGCAGGACAGGGGTTTCGTAGGACTTGAGCTTGGACTGCTCCTCGAGCTTGGTGTTCAGCCACAGCTCGGCGTCCTGGACATTCTTAGTGATTTTTTCCATCTCCTCTACGGAAAACAGGCGGTCGCTGGGATCCGGGAGCTTGTTCTCGCGCTCCGAGACGTTCTGGGCCAGGGCGAGAGAGTTCTCAATCACAGCGCGGAGACCCTTGACGGCTTCGTCGCGGCCCCGCAGCTCGCTGCGGCGGAAGTCGATCGGGCCGCGGAGGTCTTCAATCTCTCGCTTTTGTTTGACAAAGGCAGAGGTCTCGGCCTTCTCGGCCTCGTCATCGAGCCAGTCCGACTTTTCTTCCAGGCGCTGCTTGAGAGTCTCGCGCTGCTCCTCGGTCGTGACGGCCTCGGCATCATCGTCCCACAGCAACTCCTTGCTGCTGTAGATATAGGTCTCGAGCTGGTTGCGGGCCTCTTCTCTGGCCTTGCGACGGGCGTCCTCGGCGTCCATCTCCGACAGTCTGCAGCAATAGTACCCACAGTCAGAACGAACGATTCCCTCATTCTAGTGCTATTACATCGCTGCGCTCGACCGGGCCTCCTCCAGCCCCAGCCCCAGCTCCCCGTTTGCAGCAGCGAGCCGGCTAACGGACTCTGCCAATTATAACGCTGCTAACCTGCTGCGAGACTTGGTCTTCTCCTCAACAGACAAGGGCACGAGGGTCTTCCACTGGATCGCCACAGTCAGATTGGCCTTCTCTGTAGTAAACTTCTTCTCAGAGTCAAGGGTGCCGGCTTCGGTTTCGTTGGCAGCACCGTCGGCAGTCTTGACGTCATCGCCAGGGAGTTCGCCGCTCTAATAGACAGAGCGAGTATCGTCAATGGATTGTGGACTGCACGACGTGGCTCACATGCCATTCGTCCATGTACTTGCTCTGGTGCATCGCAAGCTCTCAGTTCGGCAGACCCACACAAGACTTGCAAGCTTACCTCATCATCCTTGGTCGCTCCAAGCACTGACTGGATTCCATCTGGATCAACAAAGTTTTCGCGGCAGGCCTTAGTACATACATGCTCACCAATCCTGGCCCATCCTGTCGTTTCCGCAGACCTGATCCAAGGGCACACATCCATGACGAGCGCCCCCCTCTCTCTCGTTCAAGTACACACCTTTCAGCGAGTCGAACAGGCCCTTGGGTCCATTGTGGATATCAAAGTAGCCGCGGGCCTCCTTGATGCTGACGATGCCGTTGCTGTCCAGACGCATGCCGAGCTTGATTTTGCTCTCCTGGATCTGCTGGTCCTTGTGCTTTTCCACAAACTCGTCGATACCGCCGATGCTTCCCTGGGCAATCACGACACCGCTGCCCTTGTAAGCAAGCTCAAAGTCAAAATTGCTCTGGCGTTTGAAGTTGAAGATCTTCTCGGCGCCAAGGAGGGTGGTGTTGGAGAAGACGGTGGTATGGAAGGCCGGGCGCTTCTTGTCACCTGATTGTCAGTGGCGGTTTCCAGGTGCGCATGTTTTAGGAATCATACCGAGATATCGCTTGCTCTGCCGTTGTTGCCCTGTAGGAGTTTTAAAGGTGCGTACCTTTGGGCTCGGGGCTATACACCACTTCGATCGGGAAGGTGTTGATGTCCTTCACGGAGATCTCGAGCACCTTGAACTGCTTGCTCAAAGTCGCCGCCCAGAATCCGGCACCGAGCACGGCGGCTTCGTCCTGGTTCACGTTCTTGACAATTTTGCTCCTGTCCAGTTGGCACCATTTGATTCAGCGTTTGGCTCTGTACCTGGAGCCTTGCGACCAATAAATATGACAGCCATGCTACGGAGCTTCAACTTACTCGTCGATGCTCTTGTACAGGACTTGCTGGACAAACGGAACGCGAACGCCGCCACCAACCAGAACGAGCGAGTTGATCTTGTCCTATAGGAGGCTGTGGGATGAATACCATTGTTGCATGCAGCTTCCCCGGACACCCGGCGCAATTCAACACCGACAGGGAACGCAGGCCCGGGACCGCCTCAGGAGACCCGACCTACGATGGCGCAGTATACACTGCGGATCGGACATACCATCGTGGCGTTGGCCTTCTCCAAGACCTCGTTGATGGGCAAAAGCACGCGATCGACCAGATCGGCACTGAGAGCCTCGAGCTCCTTGCGAGTATAGAGCACTTTGAAGTCGCGATCTTCCATCACACCCTCGATCTGAAAACATCGGACATGTTGGTGAGCTGGTCGCACTACAGCGGTGCAAGGCACACACAAGACATAGCCGGCTTGTCCACGCTCGACAGGAGCCGCTCCAAGGCCTGCCAGGAACTCACCGAGGCATATGTCTCGGTATTCGCGCTGAGGATATGCTTGATGCGGTTGGCTTCCTTCCGGAACTTGGCCATGGCTCGGGGGTCATCAAAGGCAGTCCCTTTGAGCTTGCCCTTGTTGAGGTCCGTAAACTTCTCGGCCAGGTCCTTCTGGATCTTGGCATCGATCGACTGGCCGCCCAGGGTGGTATCGAAGGCCGTGGCGACAACTTCGACCTGGATGATGTGCTTGTTCTTGTACTTGGACACCTTGATGGTCTCGTTGCTGAACTTGATCAAAGAAGCCACGGTGTTTCCAGCACCCATGTCGTAGAAGATGTGGTACTCGGGCCCGTTTTCGAACCGGCGCAGCATGCCGTAGTTGATTGCCACCGCTGTTTCGTCATTGATCAGCGAGAGAACATTCAGCTTGGCCAGCTCGGCGGCATCGAGAATCGCCTGGCGCTCAAACTGGTTAAAGTAGGGGGGGACCTATTCGCGCACGAGCCAGGCATGGCGGGGTGTATGATTTGGTTGGGAAGAAGAGTGAACAAGTGAGCGAGTGAGCGGGCGAGCCGGCCACTCCACTCCACCCCACGAATCGCACGATCCGGACCGAGGCCGATTCGTCGCTCGGATCATACAACAGTCAAGCCTTACCGTAATCACAGCGCCGCTGACGGATTCCTGTCCATAGAGGACGGCCTGCTCCTTGGCGTGCGCCAGTTGCATTCCGACCAGCTCCTCGACCGAGTACTCGTTGCCTTGCTCGTCCAGAGCCAAGCAGGTCCCACGGACAGCATCTTTCTTCAGCACGACCGGGAACTCGTGGCTGTAACCCTCGGCAACGTTGCTGTCACAGATCTGGCCGAGGAGCCGCTTGAGAGCAGGGTAGGTTTGTTTGGGGAAGCGACCATTCTACAGCGGGGGAGGTCGTCGTGGTGAGTGAGCAGCGATATCGTTGGCTGGCAGAGCAAGACAGCAGCAGTGACCTGGATCTTCAGCCGATTCGCCGAGTCCCCATCTCGGTCCTGGTTGCCGCTGCGACACCGGCCCGGGCCTGGTGCGCCAGATATACGGCCGCGATGCCAGCGATACTCACCAGCGCCACGGCATCCGAGCCAAAGTGGCGAACGCCCTTGTTGAAGGTCATCAGAGCATTGGTCTTGCGCTTGGATTCTCGGTTCAGCACCAGCTCAAGCGGGACGCCAGTCTTGACAATCGAGACCTTGAACCACTCGGCGCCATAGTCAATGCCGATGACCGACGCCGAGACAGGCGCACAGAGCAGGGCCAGCAGCGCGACGACGGCCGCGGCCAGTAAGCAGCGATTCAGAAACAGCATAGCACGGGAAGGAGGAGGCGATCGAGACGAAGCACGGCGTGCGTGAGAGTGAGAGAGCGATCGGCGATCGGCGGGCAGCTTTTGAGCAAGCCCGACGCCGCGGTCTGTGCGATGGCGCTCGTTCACTGGCGGGTTTGATGGGATGGAGCGACCCCATTGGCCAGAGTCTGCCGCGTCTGGGAAAGCCGTCTGGAAGGGTCGCTGGTGGAAGTGCTGCTCGGACGGGGTGAGGAAACAGCACCGGCGCATTGCAGACGAGCCCAGGGACATGTCGCACGCAGGAGCAGCACTTGCTTCACGATGTCGCCTCTGCCGGCGGTCGACTGGGACTGCATTTCATGATGCGAAACTGAGCGTCGGCTTTACAGCGTTTCGATAATGAAATGGGACACCCCCGTTTTGAGCCATGACAGTGGTTTGTTTCTGTGACCTGAATACACCCACCCACTCATCGCATTCATGGCCAAACACAGCACCCTCGATTTCCGCATCGCTGCACTGCGACCAGCGGTCTTCACTCGGAGGTGATCTGTTTTATTGCACATGGCATAGTTAGACGCATGCCATCGCATGCTACGCCGATAAATGCGTGTCCTATTTCTCCCTGAATACAGTGTACTGACGAAACCTCGCTGCATCTGACCCGACACTCAATGCGACACACAATTCGATACTCAATGCGGCACTCAATGCGGCACTCAGCACACGACGCATTCGCTCGTGGACCTGTCTTTCTCTCGACGTTCGGTCGGCTGGGAGCCGCGTTCAAGATCGGAATGTGCAGCACGAGGCTCCTGACTGCCGGTCGGTCGGTGTTGCGCCAGCTCAGCCCTGAGCATGGTCTGGAACTTGCTGATGAGCACGTCTTGCTCGAGGTTGTGGCGGCCCTGGGTGTGCTCGTGCTGGCGCAGGATCTCGGCAAAGCCGGCCAGGAGCCGGACCTCGAGCTCGCCAAGCTTCTGGCTGGCCAGCTGCTCCTGTTTGGACGCGAGCGCCTCGATATGCTGCTGGATCTGCTCATCGATTGCTCGTCGGACCGAGTCAGGGACGCTTCCGTCAGGAGACAGCAGCTTCGGCTCGGCAGCGTCTTGTTGCTCGGCAGCCCCACGAATCGCCAAGTGAGATTCGACCAGGCCGAGCACCGGGTCAGTGTACTCGATCAGCTTGTCGACATTCTGGACCCGGAAGCTCGGGTCCTGGTGGTAGTCGTAGGTAATTGGCGCAGACGGCTCTTTGACCAGTGCATCGGGCAGCAGGGCATCTCCGTAGGGAGCAAGCGCGAGGAAGCCGATCGTCTGGTTGCTGTCAGTTGTCACCTCGACTCGGACGGCATAGACACTCCGAGTGTTGTGGTCGACCAAGGCAAAGAGCGACAGTCGGTTGGTGTTGCTGGGGATCGGAACCTCTTGCTTGCCCTCGGCAATGGCCTGGAGAGTGTACCGGCGCAGCTCGCCGGTCGAGAGTCCGCGGGTCACACCTTCGGCGCTCAGTTGGAAGAGGGTGTCCTGAGCACCCGGGTACTGGATGTCGGCGGCATTGCTTCGAACCGATTCCTCGTAGTTCTCGTAGGAGCTGTACTTTTTCAGCTGGACGCGGTATTGGTTCCATTCGACCATGTCGTTCACAGCGACCGAGCACAGCGTCGACGGCGATAGGTTGGGGTTGAACGTGACCGGAGGGCAAACGAACTCCACGATGATGCCGGATCTGAAGCCCTCGAGGTCCTGCAGTGACATCAAGGGGCGGTGAGCATGGGTTACACTCCACAGCTGAGACCTCGCAGTTCGCACTTGGCACTTGGTGCTGCCGCGACTGCTGCCGCGACTGCTGCCGCGACTGCTGCTCTGCGTACCTCGACGACCAGGTGGATCAGGATGGGGGTGTGTCGCAGATGCCACCCTCTTACGCTCCAAGACAAGTTGCCATTCTGCGCGTCCTTCTGGCAGGGAACCAGCGACGAAACCTTGAGATTCAGCGCCGCACGCGCAGGAACCTGACACGGAAGCGCCGACTGGTTGCTTGTCACCGAGGCAGCGACCTGTGCTCCTTCGAGCTGTCTCCACTCTGCAAGATCGCCGCCATCCTCGCCCAGGATCAAAGTCGGGTCGATGGTAGTGTCTGCCACGCGCCAATAGGCCGCAACGTCGAGGATTCCGATCACTTCCTTGCCCGGGTTGATCAGCGTCAGGCTGTTGACGGTGTAGACGTCGCAGCGCTTGGCTCGGTCATAGGTGCTGCGGGTGTCGCCGATCTTGAGGCGGATCGATGAACCGTGGTCTCGCCATGGCTCAAACTTGCGTGCCGTGCGAGGACGCGGCAGTTTCATCGACGGCCCCTTCTCCAAGCTGGCTGGGATAGAATAGGGCTTGCTGGGCCGGGCTTCGCCGAACGTTGGCTTGGAGATCTCGCGCACCTCGCTCACGACAGGGGTGTCATCCCTTGCGCTAAGCGGCCATGCAAAGTAGACCTCGGATACAAATGGACACGGCAGCGACGGCGTGCTGCATTCGAGCTTGATCGTTCAAACAAACCGACGGGCAGCGTCAGCGTGCATTGCGATACCGCAGTCTCGACTGACTCTCGGGCAGGCCACAACGTGTGTTCCTTCAAAAACGGTGCTCAGGGCAAAGTCCGTCCTGGAGCACCAGTTCAGTTCCAAGACCAGAGCCCCCTCTCCTTCCTCCTCCCTCTCCCCACCACTTCAAGAGGATGCAATATGGTCTGTCGAGCAAATCGCGCTGGCGCAGACACTTACTCGGACTCCGGTGACCTTGAGCTCGTTCGTCACCCAAGTCACACGCGCCACATATCCACGGGCTGTCTCGATGTTGGCAATCGGATATCGGATGTCGGACTGCTCAATGTCCCTTTCGGAGAACACGAGGAAGAACACGGTTGAAAAGCTTTCGGTGATCCAGACAAAGAACTTGCCGTGCTCGACCAGCTCGCCGGTGATCGATCCGCATTGAATCCGAATGTGTCCAGAGTCGTCAGTCCAGTCGCTGGCGATGACGGAGCAAAATGTCTGGACGACGGCGGTATCGGCAGCCTGGGTCAGCAATGCCCCGAGTACAGGACTCACAGGCCACCACCAGCGACCAAGTTGCGTTGACGACAGACAGCCAAACTACCCACCTCGGTCGAACCTGTCGATGACAAAGGCCGTTCAGTTCGTCCGAGTCCGTAGATCAAGAGGGGTGAGGAACAGGAGACAGTCATGGCGAGGTCTCCGTATGTCGTAAGACAATAGGATAGCAGCGCAGCCATGGTATCGGTACCGGAAACCCACCGGTGTAGCTCGTGAGAGCATTTACCCACGAGAAGAATGCTTCGTACTTGAAACGGTTGTGATGGCGGTTGGTGTGCTTGGAGCGCTGGCATCCCGTCGAAGTCGTTCCACAGCAGGAGTTACCGCCATAGCTTTGCATCAGCCCACCCAAAAATCAGGGGTTAGAGAGACCGTCGCCAGAGCAGACACCGCTACAGGAGCCATCATTCGAGGAGCCACAACCAACTGGCCGCAAGACTGGTTCCCTACCCTCAACATGACATCAATTTCGCGGCACTGTGCTCACCCAGCCAGTCCGCTGTGGAATCGACAGGCGCCCTCGCCGTTCTGGGACTCGACGTAGTCACTGCCGCACTGAACGCAGCTGAAGACGGGCTCGGGTCCGAGAGAGCTCTGATCCTTCCATTGGTTGCGGAATCTTGGCCAAATGTCCTTGGAGAGCCTGCGGTTGTCCAGCAGACTTGGGGGTGAGGAACCCAGCCATATGGGCGCGGATGGCAGTTGACTCGGTGCGTGACCCTGGGTCTCGATGCATGACCCTGGGCCTCGGTGCATGGTCCTGGACCCCCACTCGACACTACCTCTCCACAATTATCGAGAGCTTGTCGGTAACATCCGAAGGGTCCAGGAAGACGCCCTGGATCTCAAACATGCGCTTGATGGTGTCGGCCACGGTGCGGGTCTTGCAGGAGCCGCTCGGGACGGCCGGGAAGGGCAAGGTGAAGGCGCTGAAGCGAGAGTACCCCGTCGGGCCCGCCTTTCCGATCAGAATTGGGATGATTTCAATGCGGCTGGCCTGCTGAAGCGCCAGGGCAGTCTCCCACTCGAGAAGGACGTTGTCGAGCGAGCCTTCCTGCATGCGCAAGATCGGCTCCAGACATTCCTCCGAGATCAGAGGCAGGAACAGGCAGCTGCCCTTCAGCGACGACAGGAACTGGGTCTGGTAGAGCTCGCCGGCGGTCAGATTCTGCTTGTCGAGAAAGACTTTGATGCGCACTTCTCGCTTTTCCTGGGCTGCCTCGGTGAGCGAGAAGAGTTGGAGCTGGCGACATCCAGAGGCCGTGGTTAGCAAGCGCACCGTAACGGGCGGCTGCCCTACGTTCTGTTCCCGCACATTGTCCAGAGTCCATGCTGCCGCTGCGAAGAGCCCCTCTCCATCACACTGCGCATCTCTGGCAGCCTCTGCATGGTGCGGATCTCACCTTGTCCGTGAGCTTCTCGGCCAGGGCCGCCTCGGACTTGACTCGGTAGGACACAAAGACATGGAACTCTTTCGTTTCGACACTCATGCTCGCAGCGGGCAGGATGTGCTTGCGGGATGGGACTGGGAGGCTTGATGGTGGCAAAGCAAGCCAGGTCCCAAGCCAAAGCAAGCCCGTCGCTGTCGCTGCGGCAGCTTGCGGCACTCGGCACACATTCGATCCAGTCACACTTTTCAAGGGGGCACAAGCAAGGTGGGTGCGGGACGACGGACATGTCAATCGCAACACCGCCATGGTGCACGATTGCGGCTGTCGCTTCGAGCGGCATTGGCATCATGCAAGCATTTGATGGCACCAACAGTTCTGCACAAAGTCTGGCTTTTTCTCGACAGCATGGTGGTCGGAAGCAAACGGGCTGCTTGACCACCTCCCCAGTCGCCGTGAGCCCAATTGGTGGATAGCGATTGAGGACGACGGTTTTGTCTGTATTCTCTCACACACATATGGCTATAAAAGCAGGTTGGTTCATTTTGCAGGTGCTGTAGAAACGGGCGATCGGATGATGATGCCCTCTCCTTTCCTCTTACTGAGGTCGTAGCTGGAGGGCCTTTAGCCGCCCAGCTTTCTTCGAGCACCCCCTAGTTGGAAGTGTGCACATAGAAGCCGTGCTGACCCGGGAGAATCGGCACAATGCGCAGGTTATCGACGCCTTGAGCTTCGACACAATTGCCGGTGTTTGTGTTGAAGGTGTAATCTGGATAGACATGTGTGAAGTGATCGAAAGAGCGGGGAGAGGCAGCCAACAGGAGGGAGACATGGTTAGCATGGCCACAGCGTCTCCAAGCACCAGCTGCCTCGATATGGGGAGGAGGTTGCCGCAGGCGGTGCACTGATCCTGGAAGCGTTGACAGTCTCCAGGGAGACACCGCTCATGACAACGCAGACGCGGGAGACAGCTCCACTCATACCTTTTTGGCACTCGCAGCGACCGAGCACGCAGACCCACTGGCCTGGGTGGCAGATGCAGGAGAGAGCGGCGAGAAGTTGTCAGTCCGGGACCAGAGCACATGTCGGGCTGCATATGGACAGCTGGAGTACTCACTGTTGGGCTTGCAGTCATAGGTCTGGCTCAGTTGGCCGCCCGGACACTGTTGCCACGAGCCCGAGGCCTCATCAGCCAGAACGGCTGCGGTCCAGGTCTCTTCTGCAGCAGGAGCCGAGGTCGGGCTCGGAACAGCCTCCTCGACAGCAGACGTGGTGACGTTTCTGGAGCCGATATCGTCGCTGTCGTCGCTGGTGCTGTAGAGGCTGTCGGAGTCTTCGTATTCCGTCTCGTTGCCGATGATGGCATAGTTGGCAACTCTGCTGCTGCCCACGGACGGCCACTTGACTTCGATCTCGAGGGTGCCCTGCTGGGCCTGTCCGCCCAGCGCAGCCCAGGCACTGCCGCCGTAGATGTCGACGTTGTGGGCCAGGGCGCTGTGCTTCCACAGACATCCGGATGCCGGGCAAAAGTCGACGATGGTAGCAGTGATGGACTTGCCGTTGGCCTTGTTGCGGATGGCAACGTTCTGGAAGCAGTACTTTTGCTTGTTGGCACCGCCATAGACAGCCTCGGAAACGGCCACGAGGTTGCGGATGGGATAGACAGTTTTTTTGTTGGCGGGGAAGGGCGGGTTCTTGCGCAGGCCCTGGGCCACGATGGCCTTCCACCGAGGGTCGTTGGATCCGGAAGCACAGCCGACGCCGACAGCGTTGGGCTGGAAGCCGGGCTCGGACCAGGCCTCGTACTGTGGGAAGGGGCCGTAGTGGGTGGCCTCGCCAGAGACCCATCCGGTGCTCTGAAGCGAGGGTTGGGCCATTGCGCCGAGCCAGAGAGCCACGACGGCGGTCGATGCCTTGGATGCAAACATCTCGAAACGAAGAACAGCAGCAGCAGCTATGGGCGACAGCGGGTGCGAGAGGTGCTGGGGGACGGCGCGAACGAGGTGCAGGGTTTTTGGCAAACAGATGGCCGATGGGAGAGAGCGAACCAGCGCAACAGCAGCCAAGCAAGCCTTCGGAAGCAGGATGAGAAAAAAAGCCAAAAGGCCAGAGCGGTGGGGGAGACGAACAGCAGCGCCAGCGACGGTGATTGCCGAGCGAGCCCGCTGTTGCCCGATCCTTGAAGGCCGCCTGGAGGGGCCTTGTGGATATTGGACGGGCCCGGGCCAAACAAGCGCCGATACAGCGGCCGGGCAGTGTATGGAGCACCGGTGGTCGGCGATGGTTGTGCACGGGCGGTGGCCATGTCCGACACCCATGTCGCCATGAACGCGGGACATGGATCGGTGCGGTGGATCGGTGTGGTGGATCGGTGCGGGTCGGTCGTCCTTCCGGGCGGACCTTTCTGTCCCCTTCCCGCCCAGGCTGTCCTGCCATCGGCCGCGATGCCGAGAAAGAGGATTGTCTCGCGTATGGAACCAAAAAGAGCGCTTTATTTCTTTTGTATAGGTGGGGGGGGGGATGGTGGCGATAGCAATGGCGATAGCAATGGCAATGGCGATGGCGATGGCGATGGCAATGGCAATGGCAATGGCGATGGCGGCAACAATGTGCGATGGAGAGGCGGGGCTGTGGACTGACAGCGGTGGGAGGAGTTGGCGGGGCTCGTGATTAAAGCAGGGTCTCGCCAAGAGCGGCCCGGACCAAGCTGCATCCAACCTGTAGGATGACGACGAATGGTTCGATGCACATCCAGCACAGCGTTGAGCCGGCGCAAGTGACAGATGCAAGAAAGCTTAGGTCAGGACATCTGATCGTAGGGATGTGAGAACAGAGGACATCTCTCGTGCGCCACACCCCTCGGCATCTGTGGCGATTCCGCTCACCTGAATGGTCTGCGCCAGTGAGAGATTGTCGTTGGCGAGCGCCGGGTTGACCTCCATCAAGTCGACAGCGACCAGAGTTCCGATCTCGTGGATGGCCTCGCAGATGTAGTGTCCCTCGCGGAAGGAGAGGCCGCCCCGAACCGGAGTGCCCGTGGCCGGGACGACGCTGGGGTCAAGGCCGTCGACGTCGAAGCTGAGGTGGATGGGCGATTCGCGGCCGAGGTAGTCGAGCGCCATTTCGACAACCTTGCCGATGCCGTATCGATCGACCTCGTGCATGCTGAAGGCCTTGATGTTGTTTTCTTTGAGGATCTTCTTCTCGGGCCCGTCGACGTCGCGCAGACCAATGTAGACGATGCGGTGCAGGGGCAGACAGGGCTTGAGCCACTCAAAGAACTGGACCTGGCCAGCAAGGCCCGTCAGGAAGGCAACGGGGCAGCCGTGCAGATTGCCCGTGGAGGTCGTCTCGGGCGTGTTGATATCCTGAGGGTGGTAGTGGTGGTGGCGGCAGTGGTGGTGGGGCCAGCGATACAGAGTCAGCATTACCGGCAGGTCAGCGAGGTAATGTCGAGTGTCGGATTGCGATGGGGCGATATCCGATGCAGAATTGCCATTGGGCAGCGAGGAGATTGGAATGTTCCGTCAGTCCGGCGACATCGCGTGGGCAGCGGTAGGGACAAAAGCTGCGGATCAGCTCAAGTGTTTTGCTGGAGTGATAGCGACTGGTAGCGAGAATGGTGGTGGAGCATCTACAGCAATAATCGATTGCTGGGAGCTTACCGCATGGGCGTCGACCCAGATGACACCGAGTCCCTTGTGAACTGAGGCCGAGCCGGCAACAGTGCCCATGGCAATGGAGTGATCGCCGCCAAGGGTCAAAGCCAGGCGGCCGGCCTCGCAGTGCTCGCGAACAGTGGTGAAGACAGACTGGCAGACATTGGAGACAAAGTGGGCGTTCTTGAGTTTGCCGACGGAGGGAGTCTGGGGCCGCAGCAGCTCATAGTCGGGGAACTTTTCGTCAAAGTCGACATTCCAGCCGAGCTCCTTCAGTTGGTCGATCAGGCCGTGCTCGACCAGACGAGCGGGGCCGAGCTCGACACCACCACGGGGCTGAAGCAATGCGAACCAGGAGAGCGTTGGCGAGGGAAGTTAGTCACATGTGGGTGAGCAGCAGCTCCGACACATGGTGCGCATTCTGTGGAAAAGCACGGCATACCTGACCGCCGTCTGAATTGGATGGTGAGATGGGTGTGGCCGATCGCGGGTGGTTGCGGGACGTGAGTAGTTGTGGGCAAGTACAAACCAGTGTTAGCGGGTGTGGGCAGTGCAGACCAGTGTTAGCGGGTGGGCAGTGCTGAATGAGACCGCGGAGTGCTCCGCAGCATGTCCCAAGAGCCTGGGGCTGCCTGGTCCGGAGCATCCCGGCTGTGCACATGTCGCAAATGCGATGAGAGAGCTGCGACTTACTGAAGCCGGCGCCGATGATTCCCACCGTCTGGGGCTGTGACAAGAAGGTCTGAGGGGTCATGATGCAGATGCTGGCGAGGACAGGAGGGGGGTATGGAGGAGAATGGAGGGGGCTTGTCGGTAGAGGGGCGAGCAGAGAATCGATGGTGGTCGATGCCAGAGCCCGATGGTGTCGATGAGCAGGGTATTTATATCGGCGGGTTCAGGAGCAGGCGGCCCCACCAGTCCAGGGCGAATTCCGATGCGGGAAACGCGGCGGCGCGAGGCCACGGCCGAACAGAGCGGGGCGGCGCCTGGGCGTGGGCCCAATCAGGGGAGGCTGAGGGACACGGGCGGTGCGGGAGAGGGCGACGGGCGGAAATGGGGCCTGTCGAGCGAGTGCGGGAGAGATGGGTGCGGGAGAGCGGGCATTTCGCCTGGTCCGAGGGTGCGGGAGGGCAGGTGCGGTCTGCGAGGACGGTGGGGAGTGGATGCGATCCATCGGGTGTGATCCATCGGGTGCAATCCATCGGGTGCAGCGAGATGCAATCCGTGGTGGAATCTGTGCAATCCGTGCGGTGGAATCTGTGCAGTCCATCGGATGCAGTGGGACGCAATCCACTCGACAGAGCGATAGACTGATGGGGCCAGCACATCTCCCCCTTCCCATCAGCACGGCTGTTGTGTTGAAGGTGTTGAAAGTGTTGATGGTTCTGTTGGTGTTGATGGTGTTGATGGTGCTGTTGGCGTTTGCTCCTTGCGCGGTCACGCGACTTGGCGAGTGCGGCGCGCGGATTGGCTGCGGCTTCCCTCCCCGCATTGCCGAATCGGTGCGCTGCGCAGCACACGTGGATGCGTGCAATCGAGCCAGTGTGGATCCAGCCATCCTGGGTCGAGCCGGCCGAGCTGGCTGCCTCCGGGGTCGCACAGGACAGTTTGCGGCGCGTGTCGTCTGTGTGGCTGTGGGTGCATCCAGCACAGAGACACAGCGACGCAGTCTATAATTGGGTGGCGCCGCGACGCGAGAGGGGGGTCACTGTGTCTGTGGAGGGGCGATCTACCAGTGTCTGAGTGCACCTGTCCGACAACGAGGCGCAACAGCACAGCACTCCACACACACTGTGCTAGCAACAACACGCGCTGTGCTCGCACAAGAAATACTTTTTTCTTCTGGTTCGCTCTCTTGCTCTCTCGCTTTCTCACTCCCACTCTCTCACTCGCCTTCTCCCACACCCACCCCGGTCCTCGCCCTGTCGTCCTGCTGGCTGCCGACACCAAACCATCCACCACCACCATCGCCTGTGTCGGCCATCTCGTCGGTCTTGTCAGCCATCTGCCGTTGTCTGCTCCCCTGTGTCTCGTCCTCCGGCCTCGGGTCGGGTCGCTTCTCTGGACACGCTCTCGGCAAGTCGCTCCCTGGCTATCGGCTGCCAGCACCCTGATCCCCCATCCGGCCTGTTTGCCTGGCTTCGACCATCCTTCCGCTTGCTGAACGACCGCTGTGAGTATCCGTGCTGCTTCGGGATACGGATCCTGCGAGAGGGCACTCTGCTTCGGCAGCGAACCGCACTTGCATATCCACCATCACCTTCCCGCGCCATGCCATGCTTTTGCCGACATTTGCCGCACATGGCATGCTCGCAAGCTCGCAAGCTCGCTGGGCCAGTCGCCGCTCGTGCCTGGCTGCCATTCATGCTCGTTCCCCACAGGCCATACCCATTCGCTGCTGCATGTGCTTACCCGTCCTCGCTCTTCCTCCTTTTCGGTATCCTATTCCCGTTTCTGTTGCTGCACCGCCGTTCCGCTCGCTAGAATCTCACCATGGTCGAGCTCGATCGAACCTCAAACCCCTTGGCCGCATCGGTTGAATGGAAGCCTGTGGATCGAGGTATCCAGGCCATCGTCATCGCACCATACATCCCCGGCTCACACACGCCTTCCTCGGGGTCGCAAGTAACCACCCAGCATCAGACCTCGCTCTACATTGGCGATCGAGTGCACATCATCGAGGAGTACGGCTCGGACTGGTATCGCGGCTATGTCTTCACCACGGGCCTCTCTGCCGGTTCTAATGGAGGAGCTGCTGCTGCTGCCTCGGCCACTGCCACTGCCACTGCCACTGCCGCCGCTGCTGCCGGGCCCAAGATATACGTCTTTCCAAAGAACAGAGTCTTCATCAAGCCGAACCAACAGAGGCGCAAGACAGGAGGACTCGAGAGTGCCGGTAAAGAGCCTTGCTTTCGGGGGAGCACGCAGGAGCATATGCCCGGAGCATACGGAGCATACGGAGCATAAGGTGTTGCTCGCTGCCGGACCCTTTGGCGAGGGCCCATGGCGGCAGGATCGATGGACTGCTGTGGATCAGCGAGATGCAGGAACGGGGCCTTTCCCTTCCAAGGCATCCCTTGCTTCCCTCTCCCCATTTCCTACATCCTTTTCCTTTCCGTCGACTCCCGCTTCGCACTTGTCTCGCACGGGGTCTCGACTGCCGGTCTTGCCTTCCTCGCTGCATCAATCCCACCAACCTTTGTCGGAGTGGTCCCTCTTGATCCTCGATCCCTTCGGCCCCCGCTTCACATGACCGCTTTTTGCCTTGCCGGCCCTCCCGGTCCGCTCGCATATCGATGCCGCTCTCCCCACTCCGTCTTGGCTGGGCTCAGGGTCATGCATCCTGAGGCGGCGGGTCGCTGTTACTTGCACCACGGCCATGCACATTACTAACGCTTTCTGACTGCCGCCAACCACATATCCCAACCATCCAACCATCCAACGCATCCAACGCATCCAACGCATCCAACGCATCCAACGCATCCAACGCATCCAACGCATCCAACGCATCCAACGCATCCAACGCATCCAACGCATCCCACCCGTTTCCGGCTCTGCGATTTCTGGATCGACATCGCGATTCGTAACTGCATCCCCAAACCCACGATCCACAAACAACGTCGTCGCATCGTCATCGATAACGGCACCCCTGTGCTATTCCCGCGACACCGACGACCGCGCTCAATCGCAATCACCCTCGCTCGTCGTATTCTCCATTTCGAAACGACTTCCTTTGACAACGCTGCCTGTTCATCGTATCCGTCTTCTTTCCGCGCGCGTTTCACATGTACGGATTGAATCGTTCGCCAGCGCCGCCACTTGGACCATCCCCTTCTGCCGTCTCCAAGCGCCGTCTCTCGGATGTCTCGTTTGCCAACAAGGCCATTCGACACCCTATCCCCAGTCCCATCCTCGCCCTTAGCGACACCACAGCCGGCACCAAGGAGCCGCTCGTCGACGAGATCGCTGCCACGCTGCGAGAATGGGCTATCATCATGCGCCAGCGGCTCATGGACCAGGACTATGACACCGTCAAGGCCGTTACCGAGCACTTCCATGCCCTCTATCAGGGCCGTCGCGAACTTTTGTCGCGCACCCTGTCCAAAGAAGAGCACAATCGCCTCCGCGTCCGTCTCATCAGGATCCTTGAGGACGGCAACAGCACCCTTGATCTGCCTCTCGTCATCCGCCATCCCGAGCGCGGCTATCTCATCAGCGAACGGAACACCTCCATCATCAAAATCTTTCGTCTCCACGTCGAACGGTCCAGCATCGTCCCATCCGGAAAGACCGATCGTGATGCCACAATCTCCATCGTCACTGGCGAGGGTCCACTCTCGCCCGGCTACTACGCTTCCGCAGCCGACGAGGCCACCGTTCGGCTTGCCAATATCCTCTTCCGTATCAAGCGCCTGCCGCCCCTGCTCTGCGCCCCGGGCGAATATCTCGAGTTTATCTTTTCCATCTACGACCCGAATCTGCATGCCTCCATGACCGACGACTGGGTCATCTCCGCCGGCGACAAGGGCGAGCTGCTCAAGAGCTCCCCCAGCAGTGGCCTCTTTACCCACCTCCCCCAGCGTGGTCACGGTCAGCGCATGTTCCTGGTGTGCCGCGTCCTCCGTGTCGGTAAGCTTGCCGCCGACAGAGACCAGACCTCTTGGAGCGACCGCAGCGCCTCCTTTGTCAAGAAGCCCTTCAGCCTCGCCTCCAGCGCCGGCTCTTCCCAGCAAGAGTCCCTCAGCAGCCTCGTTCAGCACTGCCGCAAGCCCTTTGGTGTCGCCGTCCTGGATGTTTCCGAGGTGCTGAACGGGTTTCCTGTCGACTCTGAGTTCTCCATGCGCATCGTGCCCGTGCCCAGCGACAACGAGTTTGGGCGCTTCCACGAGTACCTCGCCGACAGCGACCCGGCTTCGGTCGATGCGTCCTCCAAAATCGAGCCCATTGTCATGCAACTCGGCCGAACCAGCGACGGCCTCGCAGGCTATGACGACGCCCCAGCCTCGCCCGCTGGCGTGGCTCGCATCGACCGCCGCGAGATCGTCGACACGGCAGCCGTCCATCGCAACACCCTGTACATCACCCTCGACTCGGGCAACTTTGTACCCGTGGCCAAGGCCGGGCGCACCATCCAGGTGATTGCATCCGTTCGGCTGCTGAACGGCGAAATTCTTCGCGGATGCATCCGGTCGGGCAAAGCCGAGCTCCAGTCCCTGCTCAAGTCCATCGTCATCCCGAACAACTCCTCCCCGCGCTGGGGCGAGAGCTTTGGCATTGACCTGGAGCCCAACACCTTCTACGGCGCCCACGTGCTGTTCTTTTTCCACCGCTTCACCGGCCTCGAGCGCGGCAAGGAGAGTCCCTTTGCATTTGCCTACATGCCGCTCTGCCGGGAGCTCAGGACCGTGGTCCCCAATGGCGAGCATCGCCTCCGCGTCTACCGCTACGACGAAAAGCACCTTTCCTCGACTTCCTACCTCCGCTATCCCTTTGACGATAGCGAATTCACCCCGTTTCCGATGGCGCCGGAATCAGCCGAGATGCCACCGCTGCTGAGTGACGCGTTCATCATTAAGAGCAGCCTGTGTTCCACTAGCCTGACCCAAAACATCCATCTTGTCAACCTCTTCAACTGGGTCAAGACCGGGGGCCACCAGCCGGGCGAGATCGATACGATCCTCTCCAACCTGCGCGTTCTCAGCGAGTTCGAGGTCACGCAGTTCCTCCCCGAGATCCTCGACGCGCTCTTCGGCATCTTGGACTCGGAGGAGAACAGCACGGGCGGCTACGACGACGTCCTGTTCGAAACCTTTGTCGACATCCTCAAGACGTCGAGCGACAAGCGCTTTCCCAACTTCCGCTCCCAGGTCGATCAGTACATCGAGACGAGCTTCAAGAGCCGGAGGGCGTGGGGTTCGTTTCTGAAAACCTTGCAGCGTATGATCCCCGATCGCCACAGCGAGGAGAAGCCTGCGCTCCTGCGCTCGACCATCCGAGTCTGGAGCTTCATCTTCCGCTTCGCGATTCAGTCGCACTCACTGGACCAAAAGCACCGCTCCGCGGCCTCTCCGCTCGGCAAGAGCGAGCCCATCATCATGGATGCCCGAGGCGACCTGTCGGCCCCACGACCACAGCGGCCTTCCCAGGGCGAGTTCCGGGCTCTCGTTGCGTCGATTCTGACCGAGATCAACAGGCTGATGGCCCATGACACGCCCAAGAGCATCATCGGCTCCCAGGCCATTGCCCTGCAGAACTTTGCGCTGCTGGTGCCCGAGCTGCTCAAGATCTATCCGCCCAGCAGCGTCGCCGACATCGTCATCAAATTCACCGACTCGATCCGCATCAACAACCCGGACTTGAACGAGAAGAAGATCCTGTTCATCCACCGCCTGACCCGCAGCACCTTGCTCTCGGAGCCCATGTGTTGGGTGCCTCTGACCGAGGCCTTTGTTCGCTGGATTCTCGAGTATCTCAACGGCCAGTGGGGCGCCAGTGGCGCCAGCGGTGCCAGCACCACCGCCCACAGTGGTGCCGATGCAAGCCCGCAGCCTTCCGAAAAATACCGGCCGCAAGTCCAGGACCACTCCAACTGGACCGCTTGTCTCGATGTCATTGCCTGTCTCGTCGATCGACTGCAGAAGCTGGGCGACCAGGCCGGCAAAGGCACCCGCCAGAGCGAGATTGGCGGGGCCCTCCGCGGACCCATCATCGCCACCCGCGGCATGGTGATGGAGCCCCTCCCGCTCATCGACAACTCCCGACGAAGTCTGTACAACAGCTCGCTCATCCGTCTGTCGTCCCTGATCCCGCGCCTGCTCGACACCTTTAACGACATGTGCTCGACGATCCCGGTCCATCAGCGCACCCGCGACCACCACAATCGCGAGCACAGCAGCAACCAGTTCGACAAACGGCTCCTCATCCTGACCTACATCGCCGCCGTCATCCTGGCCATCTTCCATATGATGAGCGAGGATCAGATCTCGTCGTTCTGGGAGGATTACCTCAAGAGCATCGATGCCGCCGGGGTTTCCAACACCCTCGTTAGCTTGCTCAATGTGCTCAAGAGCCTGCTGGAGGGCAACGGCTTCCCAAACTCGTGGATTGCCATGCACTTCCTTGCCCACAAACTCATGGTCAAGCTCCTGCGGCCGACCGGCAAGTTTATGAAGAGCGAGTTTCTCCCTCGCTCCGACGCCAAGGCCGTCTCCAGCGGCACCTCGCTGATGGGCAAGCGCTCGAGCTACATGAGCGACAGCGGCGCCACCGCCAGCGACTCGACCGCGCAGCCGCCCGACCCCAGCCGCGACTTTAACCAGTGTCTTTGGACGGACTACTTTGAGGTCTTGCTGAGCCTGCTTAACTCGGAGTGGATCCATGTCGAAAAGTACGGGCCTATCCAGTCGTGGGTCGCGTTCAAACTCGGAGCCGATGTCCGTGGCGAGGCCGGCGAGCTGCTGAAGGAGATGTGGAAGCTCCTCGAGGACGGCGAACGGGACCCCGTCACAAACCAAGTGCGCAGTCTCCAGCTCAACTTTATCCCCAGCCTCGTTGGCCGGTTTCTGGAGCTGACCATGTCGCCGCATCCTGTCCTGCGCAAGTGTGCCATCGATCTGCTGTTCAGCTCGATGGAGCGCGAGTTTGTGGCCTGCGGTAGCTTTGCTCGCGTCGAGCAGGAGTGCTTTGACCGCATCGAGCTGCTTGCCACCAATCTGGGCCGTGTCGACGAGCATTACCGGCGCTTCGTTGTCGGCTCCCTCGAAGCCAAATTTGCGAGCCGATCACAGGACGCCAAGAACAACGCGGCCCTGGTAGAGATGGGCAGCAAGTTCCTGGTGCTGCTCGACCGGTTCCTGGCGATCTGCTTGGCGGTGCGCAACATCTCCCAGAGCAACCAAGACGACGAAGACCGCTTCGCGGCACTGGTCCGGATGATCCGCTTCGCCAGCGCTACAGGGCGGCAGTCGATCTACATCAAGTACGTCCACAAGCTGGTCGAGGTCTGCGTCAAATCCGGCAACTTTACCGAGGCGGGCCTGACCCTCAAGCTGCACGCCGATCTGTATTCTTGGGAGCACACCATTGCGGCCTTCCCCGTCGATGAGAACGTCTACGCGTTTTCGTACGGCCAGTCGATGTTCCAGCGCAAGGAGCAACTTTACCTCGAAATCTTGGGCTACCTGGAGAACGGCAAAGCCTGGGAGCGCGCCATTGAGCTGTGCAAGGAGCTCGAGATCGAATACGAGCGGTGGGGCTACGACTATGTCCGGGTTGCCGAAATCGCCAAGCGCAAGGCTGTCCTGTACTTCAACATCGCCAACGTCGATCGGTATTCTCCCTCGTATTACCGCGTCGGATTCTACGGCCAAGGCTTCGGCCCGGCTCTGCGCGGCAAGGAGTTTGTGTTCCGTGGAGGCGAGTGGGAAAAGATAGACTCCTTCTCGGACCGGATCCTCAGCCGGTATCCCGGCAGCACCCCTATCCGGACGGCCGCAGCGGTGAGCGAAGACGCGATAAACTCGCCCGGCAAAAAGATCCAAATCACAGCGGTTGCGCCCGAAGAGGACCCCAACGTCTGGCTCAAGTACCAGAGCCAAGTCAGTACCCTGAACTGGGAGCCGCGCTTTGGCGAGGCTACCGACTGGAACGGCGACGTCGGTGACTTGACCAAACTGGATGCCCTTGCTCCAGAGCTGAGCCCGGACAGCGATGGGCTGTGGGCCAAGGCTTCTGTCATCCGCGAGCGGTTCCCGCACGCCATTCGCGACTACTACAAGTCCAACGAGACGCGAGTCTTTACTTTCTCGCGACCGATTCGTCGCAAGGTCGAGGGCAGTAGCCGCAGCAAGGACGACCCTGTCAACGAATACCTCGAGCTCTGGATCGAAAAAACCGTGATCGTGACCGAGGACTCGTTCCCCCATCTAACCCGGCGCTCGGAGGTCGCCCGGACGATCGTCCACGAGATCTCGCCGATCCAGAACGCCATCATCACGGTTCGCGAAAAGAACCGACAGCTTCTGGACTTTGAGCGGCGATACAAGCCCATGCTTGCTGCGCTGGCGGGTTCGGATATGCGCTCGGTCTCAAGCCACGGCACCGGTATCGGCATCGGCGTCGGTACCCGCAGCCTCGATCGCCGCAGCACCGGTCCCAAAGACACCATCTCATCCGGAGGTCTAACCTCAGCCAAAAATATCCAGCTATTCACGATGGCGCTGACGGGTGCTGTGGATGCCCCTGTGAACGGTGGCATTCCCATGTATCGCACCGCCTTTCTTTCTGGCGACAAGAGCGAAGAAGCCGAGATTCTCGAAAAGGCCATCCTCGAGCAGGTACGGATATGCCGTGCGTTGGGCGGTGGGCTTTTTGGCGAGGACGATATCGTGAGCCAAAAACCAAGATCGTGCTGGAGATGACATTCGCAGCTGTGGTGATATGTATTGGGGGGGGGAGCATGGATTATGAAACAGCATCGCTTACCGCGCGTCTACGACTGTATATATGTGTGCGATGTGTACCCATGGATGAATAGGTCAAGATTATCCAGCGGTGCTTGAGCTTGCACGAGCAAATCGTCCCCTCCGACATGCGACCTCATCACGAAACCCTAACGGCATGTAAGTGCTTGGGTGGCAGTGGCAATGCGAATACGAATGCGAATGCGAATGCGAATGCGAATGCGAATGCGAATGCGAATGCGAATGCGAATGCGAATGCGAATACGAATGCGAATCGGAATGGCAAGCGACTGGTCACAAGATTTGGCCAGCGTTGTCATGGCGTCAGCCCAGTCCTGCTGGTCCCTTCCGAGCCCATGCTCTGACGCCACCTTCGATTCAATTCGATTCATTGCGTGTGGGCTTTTATTCTGCTGCGCCTGTTCATCCGGTTCGCATTTCGGGCTGATGGAGAAACATTTTGCTCGAGTCTGCTTTCTGATCCACTTTCCCCCGCCATCCATTCCGTCATCTCCTCTGGGCATCACCGTGGAACCACAATCCAACCCATCGCGATGCCGACCAGTCTTCGAGCGCAACTTTGCATATGAGACCAAGCTACTGCGCAGCATTGAAAACGAAGAATCCCTGCAGGATCCGAGAGCCATCCTGGAGAGGACCGGTACCGCCCGACTCTCACAGCACCGCGAAATTACACACCTGTCTCTGCCCAAGACCGACAGCTTCCTCAGTCGAACAATGAGCATGGCATCCTCGGCCTCGAGCGATCGTCGTGACACAATTCTCTACCAGCGATTCTCTACGGCCACCTCGTCGACCAACACCTTGGCCTCCACGGGGGCTACCGTCTCGCCGCTCCTGGGAACCTCATCCAGCGGCAGTTTTGATGCCGGGCAAGCCAGCGGCCCTTCTGCTGCTGCTGCTGCTGCTACTGCAAATCCGCAGTCCACTGCCAATAGCTTGATGCACTCTCCGATTATCGACATATCCCTGAGCGGACGCGTGTCGAATCCGCGGCTCAACCTCGGCGAGTCTGAGCTCGTTGGTCCTGACGGTGTCCCGACCCAAGCAACACACTCTCCGCCGATCGACGCAGCCTTTGAGCTCTTGAAGCAGTGGTAGTTGACGGACTGACAAGGCGCCGGTCATAGCCTGTGCTCCGCCCTCACTCCCACATCCCCAACAATTCACTTGTCGCTTTCCGAACCGATTGCACCCACTTGGGCTGTCCGCCATCCCCGTCGGTTTTCAGTCGTCTTGCCGTTTTTCCGTTGTCTCGTCGCTTCTCCAGCCTCTCCCTATCTCTACCACACGGATCTGTCTGTTTCGAAATATCCCGCTCCCGTCCCTTTTTGCCCCTCTTTGTTTCATCGTTGGTTCCCGTTTCATCGTTCTGCACTTTGGTTTGTGTCCTCGGGGTGGTGCAACTCCCCCCTGACTGCTTGCTCCGGCTCCAGTCTCTTCTCATGGGTTGACGCTCAATCGCACCCACTACAGCGTTTCCAAAAATGAAATGGGACACCCCCGTTTTGAGCTATGACTATGTTTTTTTTTCTGGAACCTGAATACACCCACCCACTCATCGCATTCATGGCCAAGCAAGTATGTCCAAGGGAGACCGAAGTGGTGATTGCCTTTGGGAATGCATCCTGGAAACAGGGGAAGGGATACGCTTCCAGTCCCAGGAGACTCAGGTTCGCCAAGTACTTTGAGCAGTTCCACCATCACCAGAGACGCCCACCAGAGACGCCCACCAGACCAATCCGTCTCCAAGATCCATGTGTGCTCGGTGAACGAGTTCAACACATCCCAGGTGTGCTCACATTGTCGGGAAGCCAAGCGACTCGAGAAGGCTGAGTATCTTGATATCGAGAAACCACACTTTGTCCGGAGCTGTGCAAGCTGCCATACGCTGTGGGATCGAGACATCAATGCCTCAAGGAACATGATCTCGGTATGCCAGTCGATCATCGCCACAGGAGATCGACCGGGTGTATTCAAGACTGTGCTTCCCAAACCAACCAAAACCACTCGATTGCCAACCAGGACGGGAAACAATCGCATGGCTTGCCCGCTGGGTCTACAGTCAGCCAGCAGGGTCCAGATATCTGAAGCCGGGAAGGGGGTGCCCCGTTTCTTTCTGGATAGACTGTAAGCTTTTGGGTAATCCATCCAACCAACCCCTACTACGCTCGGCGCTTTCTCGCCCTTCCGATTCTGAATACACCCATACGACACACTCTCCCTCGATTCACGGTCCGCGCAAGCCTGCCCCTTTTTCCATGGCGTCGATGATGGCCATCTGAAACTTGTTCGGAACGGAGCGGGACAGAGTGTCCCTGTTGGCCCAGGAGGACGGGCCATGGAATTGCGTTCCTGTTTTCGCTGGCGATCCAGTGGGCTTGGCTGGCTTCTGGAGCATCATCTTGAATCTGCTCGGTCAATCATCTGTGGCGATAATCGGCTGGCAGCAATGTCCCATTTCGGTTTGGATGGGCTGTAACGAGCCCACGATGATTCAAGCGACAGGCAGGCCGAACCGCCACCCGCGGATCCGGCTCCAGACTTTGCCCCAAGGCTCACATCACCCGCCCTTTCGCTTTAGCCTCCGATTCCCTCCGTCCAATACCGCTTGGAAGATTTACTCGGCCATCGAAAGGCGTCAGCCGCTAGCCGCCACAGATATCCATTCCCGACGCGTGGCGATCGCTGTGACCGCCGCTCTGGCGCAAACCTCATTTCTCCGGCCTGATCCTGAGCCCACCCAACAGCGACAATGTCGAGCGACAACATTAACGCGTCGATACGGCTTCCGCCGTCGACCCGAAGGAGAAGCAGCGTGGCCCAAGATGCACGCGCGATTGCACGAAGGAGAAGTAGCTTTGGTGCCGAGAGCCTCAGCGGGCACCCTCGATCGGTTCGGATGTCCACAACCAACTCGCACCGCAATTCGATTGTGGATAAGATAGGGTCGACGCCGCAGACAGGAGGCTCCACCTCGGACCAGCCCCAAGATGCCAATATCCGGTCCGAGGTTGTTGTTGGTATGACGCGCAATTCCGGTCGCTGCCTTATCACTCGGAGCCCTGCAATCATGCAGTCCTTCGATTGACTCGCTTGGCTATATGGCACGAGGAGCTCGTGTCGATAGTCCATCACCTGCGAATATCCGTGGCTGACTGGACGCCACTATGAGATCTCTAAGAGAGTTGCTCCGACGTGCATCTCGATCAAGAGGCGCGATACTCATCCCATACTTTGGCATGTGCGCAATCGCATGCTTGGTGACATTTCGCCGTGCATTCTAGCCATCGACAAACTGAAGAGCACTTCCCGGGACTCGGCGTCCATGCCAAAATCAACGCTCGACCATCAAATTCCAATCGAGAATTTAAAAATTGAAGAGTCACAGACGTCGTCCACGTCGCCAACCGCTTTCTTCCCACGAGTGCACCCAATATTGCTGCACTTCAACGAAGGAGATCTTGAGGTGGAGTACGAGCGGTACTTTATGAACCACAGCCTCAAATCATGGCGGAAGGCCCTTGGGGCCCTGTTCCTGTCCGCTCTTGTCGGATACCTTTACTTGATGGCAAGGTCGCCCGGAGACAGCGATTACTTTGTCAGCAACTACTCGGATGCAATCAAAGGCAGCGTTACAATAGCAAACATCGACGCTAGCTGTCCTGCCGGATGGTTTTGGTGAGTGTCTGTGAGACCAGGTTGCCCAAGAGCTCGAGCACTCCATTGTGAGGGGCGCCTGTAGCAGTCGGACACCAAATCGAGTCTCTGGCCTCCAATGCTTCCATCTGTCTTCATCCTCTCGTGCTTGGTGCAATGTCCCACATCTGCTCAACGAATGATGCCGCCGCAGTATGATATTGGGGTAGCGACAGCAGCGTGCGTTGGACCGATAAGCTACTGATAGAGACTCCTGCTGACCATTGTAGCTGACACCTCTCTCTCGGCCCGCAGTCTCGTATGCGATCCGGATCAGCTCTGCGACGTCTACAACATTTATCTCGATGTTGCATTTCTCGTCATCGGCGTGCTTCTACCATACATTGGTGTCCTCACCGCCTCCCACAAGCTGCGACCGTCTCAGCGAGACCACTTTATCCACCTTCTCTCGGTGTTCTTCATTACCTTCGTGTCCGTTCTTGGGATCATTGTGCGCTTCTTTGTTGTCGAAGCACACACTACTCTCTTCCAGCCAGGAACCGTAAACATTCTCTTCCTATACGCCTCATATATTTTTCTCCGCGTTCGCTTTATCTACGCCCTCAACTCCATTATCGTCATCAATGTAATCTTTCTCCTCCTCAACCTTTCGCGATTCATTTCGCCAGGATCCTGGAACCACACAAACATCGACATCAAGACCTTTGTTCTCTGTACAATTACCCTCATAGTCTCCTCAGGGATCATCCTATTCACCTGCCATGAAACTGAAATCTTCCATCGGTCAAAGTTTCTCACGGCACACCAAATGCAAAAGGCCAACACAAAGCTGACAAACCAACTCAAGGTTATCCAAAATGTTTTCGGATCTAAAGTGGGAGACTTTGACTCTCCGCTTGAGAAATGCTTCATGATCTTGCGAAGCATGATGGCTGACCCAACCATGGGGCCTCACCACCTCATCGCGATTGGAAAGGTCATGGACTTGCTTGGATCCAGCAACCTCTTATCGCCGGACATTGCAGGACAGCTTACCGAGTTTATGGACCCTGAGCAGGAGGTAACTAGCAATGCCGTCCCTCTGACATCTTGTACATGACTTGATGCGAGAGGGAGAGCACCCCCCCCCTTCCTTTCTATGATCGCTATTGAGTTGGACATCACATCATATCCATCAAAGAACACATGGTACCCATGTTTCTATGGCTGGAATCGGTGTCTCAAGTTCTCTGCCAATTAGAGTTGCTCCATGTGCTCTGGTGTCGAGTTTATGGCGGCATCACGATTCTCTGGCCACTCACCGCTGCTTCAATCCCGCGTCGATTAAATAACTCATCTCTATACTGAATCCGCTTGGTAAACCATCTCCACCGCGTACAATGCCCACCTCGATCGAATCCGTCGAAAGGTTTGGCTCTTCTCCGAGATCTTCCCTTCCAAGCGGCTAAAGTACGAGGCAGCCCACTTCAAGCTGACTCCAGCCACTGTTTCTCAAGCCGGAGACGCCACACCATTGTCCAGACATATCAAGCCAGAAGAACCTCAGGGTAGCCCCGCCGAAGTTCGGGAGAAGCGGCTAAACAATCAATCGCGGAGCCTTGCTTCCCATTTAGACGATGAATTTGGTACTCCAATATCGTCACGCGCCTCCTCGCTAGAAGGATCGCTCGCCGGTAGTCAGTCATCAATTCCTGGGCGCCTTGAAAAATCGACGCCAAAAACACAGTCAACCATGTCGAGCAAATACAAGAAGCAGTCAATATCGCCTTTCCTCACCAAGATTGTCGACTACAACTGGCCGTTATTTGAGTTCAGCGACGTGGCCAATGGCAAGACCCTTCGCCACTTGATAATGCATTTGTTTCGAACCGAGAATCTATTTGAAGAATTTCAAATCCCGATCGAGAAGTTCCAAAATTTTGTTCTTGAGATCGAGAAGGGCTACCATGGAAACCTCCCATGTAGGTTACGGCCATTCCTGACGCGGCAAATCAATTAGATTTGGCTCGTCTCTGAGCACAGCAGTGTATCTTGGGTGCGGCCGCTACGACCCGCGCCTGTTATGCATCAATTTGCGCTATGCTGATTTTGCACTTTGTCAACTCACTTAGATCACAATGCGACGCATGCCACCGACGTGCTACATTGCGCCAGCTGGTTTGCGCGTTGTGAAGTTGTTTCCGAGGCCCTTACATCCATTGATCTTATGGCCACCTACGTTGCCGCCATGATTCATGGTAACCCTAAATTGATATGTGGTAGTCGCGCATGATACCGAGATTGGAGCGACTCGGCCTCACTGCTGATGCCAATCGGAGCGAGCACTTGCCTTGATGCCGACCTGGAGTGCAGTGGCAGCTTTGGAGCGAACGCGTGTCCGTTCTGCGCACTTCGCTAGCTATTACGTCGCCGATATCAGCATTGACTCGAACTCGTTCTTTCAACCAACAATAGACTACGATCATCCTGGGCTGAACAACCTGTTTTTGATCAATACCGTCGATCCCAAGGCCTTACTGTACAATGACAAAGCTGTGTTGGAAAATCACCATCTCTCGGCATCGTTTTCGATTCTCCAGAAGCCCGAGTACAATTTTCTTGCTCATCTACCCAAGGTCGAATATAAATTGTTTCGAGAGGCTGTTATCGAAATGGTTCTAGCTACAGGTCCGTCGAGATATGATCAAAGCTAAAGCTCAAACAAATTGACGAGCTCGCTCGGCGATAGTGAGCAACCCTGCAGTGGTGACCTCGACAAATGTCAAGCGAGCCATCCGCAGCGCTGGTGAACATCACTAACCGATATCTTCTCGTCGTATTTCATCCTATATTTCATAATCCCATTGTCGCGACTGGCCGCAATCCCCACGCCTTCCTCGGAACATGTACTGGTCCCTCTGGTCGCATCGCCTCACCATCCCGCCTTGTCCAAATGGATCCTAGATCTATCGCAGCATTTGACATTGCTGTCACTCTTTAAAAACAAATTGGCAACCAGCTATAACCCGTATGAAGTTCGCGAAGATAGACTCTTGATGCTCAAGATCCTAATGAAATGCTCCGATGTCTCGAACCCATCCAAGGACTGGTCGATGTACAGCAAATGGGTCGAACTGATATCGGAGGAATTTTGCAGACAAGGAGACATCGAAAAGCTGATGGGGCTTCCTGTTTCGCCCTTCATGGATCGCGAAAATATGAACATTCCGAGCTGCCAGATTGGATTCATAGACTATGTGGTCCTTCCGCTGTTTGAAGCCTTTGACAAGTACATGCACTTTGATGGACTGCTCGATGTGATCAGGGCCAACCGCGAGAAGTGGTGAGTCTATTTATGCCGTCGCTTAATTTCGTTGCTCTCGGTGTGCTCCACGATCTTGATTCTATTCGCGATCAACTCTGATCTGTCCGAGATACGGTTTTTACGTTCGTAAGCACGTAAATCCATATCACTCGATGCCCCGGGAGATCCTAACCGGCCGTCGCCATGCTTCTCATAGGGTATCCCTGAAAAATCAAGGCATCACAGGAATCGGCAGCAGCGCACTAGAGCAGCAATAGTCGCGCGCATTTCCAACCTGCACCTGTGCATAACGGCAAACGAGCAAATATATTCGGTTCTTCCCTTCAGCAATATGACTCCCTCTCATGTACGGAGTATCCACGCACCTAGAAAGACTGCGTGTGATCCAGAACAGATTTCCCTCGAATGCAGCAGAAAAATCGATAGCTAATTTGAGCGCTGCCGCATTTCGGTCGAACATGTGGTCTGTTATAGCCTGCGCCCGACAGGGCGGCTTGCGATCAAGGAGATCGCTTCGGCAGCCTCCAAGAGGAGACAGCGGGTTGCTCTCCGGGTTTTACAGCGATGAGGAAGTCAAAGTGTGGTCGATGGTTCTTGCCAACGGGCAACGTGGAGAGGCGTCAGGACCTTTGGTCGTCCATCCAAACACAAAGTGCCTTGTTTTGCTGCATTGACTCTACAGCGTTCCCAACACGAAATGGGACACCGTTTTGAGCCAAGACAGTTGTTTTGTTCAGGAACCCGAATACACCCACCCACTCATCGCAATCATGGCCAAACAGTGTGCTCACAGTGCCGGGAAGCCAAGCGACTCGAGAAGGTCGAGTATCTTGATATCGGTACACCATGGAGCTGTCCAGAGGGTCGAGTGAATTCACCACACAAAGATTGCCAACCAGGACAGGAAACAATCGCACAGCCGCAAGCTCACCACAGCCTACAGTCAGTCAGCGGGCTGCAGGCCGCTGAAGCCAGAAAGTGACTGTCCCGTTTCTTTCTGGACCGACTGTAGTTTTTGCATCAGATGTGATACCCGTCGTAGCGCTCAATAGAACCGACTCTCAGAGTTCAGCGAGGGCTCTGTACTAGGCCTGCCACAGCCAAGAGAAGCATGCTGAGGGCCAGCGAGTCGGCGTTGCAAACGATGAGTGTATTCCAAGATCCAACAGAGTCAAATATCGGCGGAAAGCTGGAAAACTGGAAAATTGGGATACAACTCCTTGCGGGCGCTGATTGTTTGCGGATGGCCAAGCGATAGCCATTCAACGTGGGGGGGGTGTTGGTTACGGCGAGTCCCCTTGGCTGGTATCAAAGCTGAGCTCGGTGAATTTGTCTGGGACCTGAGCCACCAGCAGAGTGGTGGTTAAGACATCGCGAAAGCAAATCGATTATACAGTCACGACTGGACATCATGTGACCAGTCAGCCAATGGATTGAGTGCCCCGCTTACCATGAGGAAATAGCGGTCCATTGCCATGCGAAACCGCTGCTTGTAGACCCTGGGCGAGACGATTGTTGGCGTTTCGCGCCCACCGCCCAAAAACGCTGTTTCCTTGACCCAGCTCTCAAGCTGCTTGTCCCAGGTGAAGGTTCTGGCAAAATCTAGAGAGCGGCAAGAACGGCGTGTGTTAGGTTGCTCTGTCACATTTCAGGATGCTTTGTGGCAGACTCCACAAGACGCACTTACCAACGATCCCCACCACCAGCTCATGGCGGTCATCATCGATCCCAACAAGAAGTGAGTAGTCCATCACCGTCAGGCGATATAAGAAAAGAGTGTCGTTGAAAACAGAGTCACTCAACAATATTTTCGAGTGGCTTCGGATAAACAACGGGGACTCGTTGATGACTGAGGAATATGCGTCACCGCCACAACCGAGGGGGGAGGCCACATGTTAGGAAAAGGGTCCAGCCAAGTAGGTCCCGCTGCACTTCGAATCAATGAATCGGCCCAAATTTTGTACATCGGTGCCTCTTCTGCACGTGAGCGTCAAGTCTTCATGATGTACCCACATTGAACGAGATTTTCATCCAGGAGCACCACATTCTTGTGGTCCGAAGACTGGGCGTCAACATGGACGTGGCGATTTCGCATGGAGCCCTTCAGATCAAAGATCTGCATCACGTCCTGGGTTAGTTTGACGTATATTGCGAAGGGGGGTCTGGGCAAATTGCACCGAATCCATCGCCTTCCAACTTACCCGCGAGATGTTGCGTCCATACCACAGATTTTCCATCACGAGCAAGTCCATTTTGAGGCTCTTCCCGCCAAGTGAGTTTTTGAACCCGATGCGATATACTCCGAATATCTTTGTCAGGACGGTGGGAAGCTTTACGTATGACGCGCAACGTTTGATGGCTACAGATCAGAATCGGCGAGTGGCACACCATCGCAGCCATCAGTGCATGAGCCGCCCGCATGGGCAGCCGCACGAAAAGCCCAATCGGCGTGCAGTGAGAGCGGCACCTACCCCATGAAAAAACACTTTGGACATGTACTCAAAATAAGAGGGTGCAAACTTGATCAGTGCGTCCATCTCTGGCTTCGAGAGTTGCTTCAGGATAAGTCGGTCGTCTGGAAGTGGGCAGAGTTAACTCAAGCCACATAATGCTGTGCGGTACTGGCATCGGTGTGACAATCATCCAGAAGCAACACAAACTCACCGCATGTCTTGAGAAACGTAGAGCCTGATTTGCCACCGGTAGCGTTCCACCGAAAACAGCGAGACAGTGACTCGATATAGGCCTTGTCAAATCCACAGTGGCGCCGGAGGGCGTCAAACTGCTCAACAAAGAATATCTTGCAAAAGAGCTTTGTAGGTCCATCCGAAAACTCTGGATCACCGTCCCACAGACCATGCGGATGATTGTCAGATTGACGCCCGGGTATCAGACCCCATCTTTTGCTTCAGCTAGATCACTGCGCAGGATGCTCTCCGACTACATACGATACTTCATGTGTGTGCCAGTGCCTCGAAGCATCATCGTCTCGATCTCGTGGTTAATATGATCTGCCGGGGCAGAGTAGCGCAGATACTCCTGTGACTTGACATTGGGGATCGAGGAGGCGCTGGGCTTTGAGCTGGATTGATCGTCTGACGCGAGCAGCGCGCCCAGCTTTTCTTCGTAGTGCTTGGAGCTGCATTTGAATAGAGACGGGATGGCCTCGGTCAAACCCTGAGCTCGACACATCGAATTCTCCCTCTCCCATTCCCCCTTCCTCATTTCCTATCCCCCTCCCCTATCTCCCCTCTTTGGCATCTCTCGTTGATATCATCCATTTCAGCCGCCCACGAAATAACGTCGGATCCAACTCACCTCAGTGTGAATGAGATGATCGAGCTCGGCTCATCTTCTCGAACGACGACGCTGGAATCCTTAAAGATGTGTTCACTTGGGGTACTGTTGATTTCAGCATCAAATCATACAAGGTAAGTGACCGGTCCTTCCTGCCATCTAGGAAGCATTCACCCAGCGTCTCTTGCACAAGCCGGAGCCTTGCTCAGATCACAAAGCCCGAAACTGACAATGGATACGAAAGGGGATGCAGATCCACGTTTCCAGTCCAAAGATTCGCAAGAGTCTTGATAATCGAAACTGGCTTTTCGTCGGAATGTGCGGGATGCTCGTTGTCGTGCGAGCCAAATTCTTGCTCAAAGGTACTCGGAGGCGTGCCCCCGGCCTCCCACCCAACTGTCGGGCTAAAATAATCGTCAGCGACCTTTTCATCTTCACGGCTAAACACATCCAGGCGGCTTCCCAGGACCGGCGAGAGATCAAATCCTTCCACAGAAGGGTCTTCGTCCTGAGGCTGCAACACAGGCAGTTTCGTTGGGCTTATTTCGGACACGGTAAAATCAAGCTCCTGCATGGCAAAGATCTCAGAGCTGGAAACATTGTGCTGATCGATGGGCGAGATGACATCCAAAGGAAGCATTGGCCGATCGAGCAGCACCTCCATTTCGGGCTCATCTTCGCTCAAAGCCACATCAACGGCGCCTCGTTTAGGTGTCCGAAGCGCTTGATTGGGCTCGTAGGGCGACTGAGATACGTGTGGATACAGTCCATCCAAATCGTCCATTTCCTTGATCAGTTGGATGGAGTACTTGCGATGAATGTCCAGCATGGGAACAGGTGGCTCCGATTTGGATTGGCTGAGTATCATGGAGCTACTCGGAGTCAAGGTGGTTGGTGTGGTACCCAGCATCGGCCGCGGCATCTCTACATGTAGCTTGCCTGGGCCGTCAACGTCCACCGATCTCCCCTCGACCTCCACAGAATCTGCTTCCTGATTAGCCTGGGGGAAGATCTTTTTGATTTGGGCTGCGGTCATGCGGCGCAGGTCGCGAGCGTCGATTTGGTAGTGGGTGCGCATAAAGTTGACGAATTCCAGGTCCCATCTCTGGACATTTTCTTGCAAGAGTCGGATGATTCGATTGATGGCAAGTGCATCGTCTAGATTGAGGGAGTTTTGCTGTAGCAGCTGGAGAAGGTATTTTCGCTCTCCGGCGATACGTTTGGTGATCTCCTGGAGCTCGTCACGACAGGCAGTGATACGAGTCGGCGGCAAGATGTCCAAATTCATAACTTTGGCGCGGTGGAGGAGCGAGTCGTAATACTGATTGGCTTGGTCTCTGAGCTTCTCATATTCGTTTTGGAGAAATTTTCGACTTTCTTCTGTTGCAGGTTGCACGTGAATAGGCGGCACCAGCACTTCGTACATATCGATGTGATCATATTCAAACCGCACCACTAAATCGCCCCAGCGATAAAAGCGACTGTGTTGCTGGTTCAAACTATGAGAGCATCCATCAAGGTCACAAACCAGAGAGGAGTGGTAAAAGCTGAGCTCGAGAAATTTGCCAAATGAGTATTTCCACGTTTCCTTGGACATGGTGACGGGCGGCGTCGACTGCTTGCATACTTGGCAAAAACTCCACATGCTGATGCCTTGGCTCGCCGGCGGAATCTCAGGGGGGTCAACTTCCTCGATGGTAACGGTGATACGGCCTTCACCATGGGTGTAGCTGCGATAGTGCATCAGCATCAAATCATTGCAGTGCTTGGTCGGACATCTGCAATGCGAAGAGACAAAGAGCTCCTCGAGAAACTGGCCCAAGGTCATGTCCGTATCCTTGTAGTATTCAAAGGTGATGAACTCGGGCTCGTGGCATGGAAGCGTGGCATCATTCGACACAATTGAATAGAGTACCATGATGCTCTGGTATGAAAACGGATCAAGGGTCGTAGCTGGGATATTGGCAATCGTGAGAGGTGTCGATTGGGCATCGCCTTGGAGCAGGTCGGAGAAATCCTCTCCACCGACGGCCTCCTTGAGTTTGCTTGGGTCAATCGAAGGAGGATTCGCTGTGACATCATGGCCTTGTTTTTTCAGGGTTTGAATAGCTTTGAGCTCGTTGTCACGTAGCTTACGGAGCCCGTATGGCGGAGGAAACCGGACATGTGGTGAGGCTGATAACAGCACTTGGTTATAAATCGAGATGATCCGGCTCAAGGGAGTTTCGTCAGAAACACCAGACTTTGCCTCTGGGTCGCCATCTTTGACGGTCTTAGGGACCTCGTCTTGGGCCATGGCGGATTGATCTTGAAGCAAGCCAACCTCAAGCTTGAGATTATTGGCAATGTATACCATGAGACCGACAATTTCCTTGATCACGCCAAGTGTATGCGCGTTCTCGCCTCGAAGGACAACGGTGCATCCAAGATCCTTCGGGCATCCCTCAAAGTACATAAACGATTTCTTGCCGCAAGGAAGATCCGGGTGGACAAAAGTCTTGAAGGAAATGCGACCACACGAACCCAAGCTGGCTGAGGTACAGTCCTTCAGCTTGGCCGGAGAGGAGACTATGGATGCGCCTGTGAATCTCGTCAGCCGCTCAAGCACCGATGCCTTTACATTGGGAATAACTGTGATGTTTGTCTTCAGAAAGCGCTCGAGCGCTGTTCGAGATATAGATCTTTCGACCAAAACGATGCTGGGCTCAAGTTCGGCAATACAGGATACGAGTTGCTCGATGTAGTCTCTTTCGTTCGCAAGCACCGGATCCAAAGAGAGATGTCCGGCGGTTGGTCGTTCGTACTCAAGGGCAAAGCTCAGGAGCAAGATGCGCGGGTTCGTAATGTCGCGAAGCATCTTCTTGTGTGGAGCCGTCTTCGAGGTAACACGGCCGCTGATAAGTTCGCAATCTTGCGGTTGTCCACCAGGGATCTTTTTGATCTTGACATACTGCCGAATGTCCATGTCGTCTCCTTTGCTTATATCGGGATCGATGTTCTCACATATCTTCAGCAAAAGGCCAACTATCATATCTCTCCACCGATCCCGTGTGGAAGGGTGTATTTGATGCCGATCTAACATCTGACCAAGAACGGCTTTCATATGATCGAGGGCATCTTGACTCCACATCGATTGTGGGGAGTCGGTGTCGCTTGGGCGGTGGGAGGACTTGTTTTGGAGCGATTGTTTTGGAAGGCTATTGCTGATGGTTTGTAAAATGTCAATCGTACGGAAGCGATGTGACCAGCGCTTTGGTAGGGGACGGCGCTGTGGAGACGGCTGAACCTCGAGCTGCGCTAACGAAACATCGGCGACATCACCATGATGGCGCCGATGACTGTCAGAGGCAGAGGACAGGCCTTGATTCAGCATCGATGGAATGTTGACGGCGCTACTCCAGTCCTGTGTAGTCGTCCGAATGTGTCGGTGACTACGAAAGCTCGCGTTGGGATCGTCTTCGTCCTCATTCTCATCGTCGCCATCGTCATCATCGGCGCCATCGTTGCGAAGATGGCTGCGGTGGTGATGAGGATCTCCACCACCATCGTCGTCTTCGTCTTCGTCATCGTCATCGTCATCGTCGTCTTCAGGATCATCGTTATCAGTTGCATAGTATGGCTCAATGTGGCCGTAAATTTCGCTGTGCGAGCTCAGATCAAGCATTGCACGATCGCGGCTGTCAAATTGATGAATCGACGAGCTGGCACTGATACGATGCGGTGATAGGTTGTGATGGTGGCGAGCTTCTCGCACAAACGTTCTGGACTCTGAGCAGCGCGCACATTTGCTTCAAGGGAAAGGCCCCCCATGTGTATGTTAGTGGAGATGTACTGACGAGGGGCACATCCAACGACAGCACTTGTGCCGACCGCTGTCGAATCCGAGGTCGGATAGCGACCCCTCGAGGACATATATGTCTTTTTGGCTTACCCATTGCTGGCTATCTTGGCAGAGTTGGTGCGGGCTGGGCATTGAGGACATACAATCTCCCCTAAACCCAGAAAGCAAAGGTTGAGCCGCTGGATCAGTCGAAGCGGCCGTCGAATGGGGGAGGTGATTCAAGACCAGAACGTGGGTCGTCAAGATATGAGCACATAAGGAGCCAATGGCCTGCTCGTCTCTTACCACAGACGCAGCATTCATACACGGACGCTGAGGCGCAGATTGGGCATAGTAATCGGCTCTACGACCCAATGAAGCAACGAATGATGATACTTAGCACCCAGTACCGGATCAAGAACAAGCCACAAACAACACATCAATACGGGCTACTGCGTGAGTCAAAGAGAAATACACCAGCACAGATACTACCTCGTCTTTAACGGCAGCATGATGGTGATGTGGGTGAGCATCTGCGGGGCTGTGGCCGTTGGTGGCTCGGACAACATGGGTCGGATGGCGTTGGCCCTGTGCGGACAGCGAGCCGTCGATTTTGGGAGAGTCGGAGAAGGAGTGCAACGAAGACTCATCTCGACCGCTACTTTCAGGACCTAGCGATTCAGTTTCAGTGTAAACGGCATCGCTCTTAATCCAGCATGTCCACAGAAACCCCATGCACCAGAGGTCGACGAACGGCGCAGCGACATACCCGAGACAGGCGGCATGGTTCTCGCAGGTCTTGTCGGCTTGCTGTCACTGCCCGAGCCCGACGCAGCGGAGGACCGGAACAGGCCGCCCCACCAGGACGAGGCAGGCTTTTTCTCTTGCTCGCTCATGTCGATCCGGCGGACACGGAGGGCTGGAGGGTATGAGGAGCCAGCAGGACCACAAGAAAGAGCACTGTCTCTGACCTGGCTGGCTGGCTGGCTGGCTGGCTGGCTGGCTGGCTGGCTGGCTGGCTGGTTCGAACGTGCTCTGCCAGCGGCTCCAGCCACACACACACACCCCACACACACACGCGTTCGCCTCAGGACTTCCACGAAGTGGGCAGTCGCTACGGATGATGGATGGCTGTGTATTCAGGACCCGTGGGCTTTGGAGAAAAACGGGAGCAGAGTCCTCGTTCGTTTCTCCAGCGCTGTAATGGATCGTGGAGCCGCCAGAGCGGTGCCACGTTATTTCTCGAGGTGGCTGAAGCAAGGGGCCTGAGTCATTTTGAACCAGGCAAAACACTCTGGACCAAAGCGCAGGATTGGAGCCGCGATCTGTTTAGCTTGACATCTTGGCTTTCCACTTGGGAGTGATGATGTGCCATCTCTTTCGGAGCTTGCGAACTGTTTTCCAGCCCTTGGTCTTCTTGCCCCACGGCGTTCTGGGGTGCTTGTTGCCCTTGGATTTGGAGCCACCACCGTGCGGGTGATCGTATGGACTCTGGGCAATACCACGGACCGAGGGGCGGAGGCCGCGTCGGCGGCTGGCACCGGCTTTGCCCCAGACAATCAGCTTGTAATCCTCATTGCCAACAACGCCAACGGTGGCGCACGCTTCAGATGGAATCAAGCGGACTTCCTTGCTCTTGAGGCGGACGTGTGCAAACCCGGTTTTGCCATCGGCATCGTTATCGAGCACTTGGCCGCTTGTGCCAGCGGAGCGGCAGAGCTGAGCAGGACCATCGGACTTGAGTCCAATGTTATGAACGACTGTGCCGATAGGAAGATCGCGCAGGCGCAAGCAGTTGCCACTCTTGATCATCGTAGCCCTGGACAGAGGCTCCTCTCCAGGGGCAGGAGCAGGAATGCCGCTTCGCCACGAATGGATCGTATCGCCCACATTGACATCTTTCGGGTGGATAATGTACGAAAATTCGTTGGTCGACATGTTGCGGAGCAGCGCCAGATTGCAGTTGCGATTGGGATCGTACTCCAAACGCACGACCTCGTGTGGGCCTGGGGCGGTGCGCATAAAGTCGATCAGGCGCACACGGCGCTTGTGGCCACCACCCCGGTGTCGCACGGTGACGGATCCCGTTCGAGTGCTTCGGCCACCGGTCGAGCGCTTGCCGAACGACAATCGATGGATGCACGAGCCTTTCCACAGATGGTCTCGAGTGAGCTGACGACGATGACGGCAGCCGGGGCTAACAGGCTTATAAACTTTCATGTTCCCTGTGATTTTCCAGAAACGGTTTTCTGTCTCTGGGAATGTTCTTCGCACGGGCTCGATGCCTTGTTCGCGCAGGAGCGTAATCGCTTTCAGATAGCGCTTGCGACCCTTTGTGTCGGTTTTTCGATAGGTCTTTGGACGAATTTGAGAAGCGATGAAGGGGCACGGAGAACACCATGGCGAAACTATCGACGGCGTTGACAGAGCGGTGGGTCGATTTGCAAGCGCTGCCGTCGGATTGAGAAGGCGGGAGGCAATGCCGATCGACGGTGGGCAGTGTGAAACGCCATGATGCATGGCCTGGCCAAGGGCGGAGCCCATATTCACAAGAAGCTTCATTGGACCCAGATGTCGATCTTGTTAGCGTTGACGATGGAGACCAAGGGGAGATCTAACAACAACATTCCAAATACAAACAGCACTTAGTGAACAATCGAAGCTGCCAGCGGCCATCCGCAGATCTGTTGCAAAATGGATTGCCATATACGATTCTCCAGAGTTCCAAAGCGGGCTCCGTGGAAAAAGGGCCGTGGTGTCGCAACCCATTAGATGCGGCACGAGGATCTTCGCGGCCTGGTGCATTGATGGCCGCGACGGCTCCGCTGGCCATACCTGCTCTGAACGGCTGTGCGCTGTGTCGGTCTCGGCGCGATCTTGATCTTGATACCCACCAGACGCAAATTTTTTTTCGTCCAAAAGACGAGGACGGCAGCCACCATGACCAAGCCACGCACGTGTCGGCTCGAGCCAGCCGGATGCATCCAGACGTCTGTGGCTACGCGGTGGTGGCACGAGACCGTGTGGGAATGTGGGAATGTGGGGATGTGGGGATGTGGGAACGGCACCAAGAGGCACTTGCGCCGAGAGCGAGCGTCAGCCAGGAGTACGCCGGCCAAGCGGCTCTTACTTGAACGAAAACTCCTGAGCCGTAGGATACACGAGCGCCGCTGCGCGATGGTGTCCCAGTCTCGTTATTGACAATTTTGCTGATCCAGGCTTCGACCTCATAGACGTGTCTGATCGATTTCGTTTGGCGACGACCGACTGGCCAAGATCATCCTCTGGCGGAAGTGGCATCTTGTTCCCGTACCACAGTGTGCCTGGGGCTTTCAACTCAGCTTTCCGACGCCCGGAGCGCATCTGGAATGCTACGGCCCACCCCGCAAAATATTCCCAGACCGGTGGCCAGCGATCCGGCGTCCTTGGTGATGACGACACCACACATTGCAAGCCGCCCTGTCGGACGCAGGCTACAACAGACCGCATGTTCGACTGAAATGCGACAGCGCTCAGATTTCTCTCGAATGTAGTGCACGTATCCGGCTGACACCCATGGTCGACGATCGACATGGGGTGATGAGGCTACTCGGAAGCATCAGATATGATGGAGGCTGCTAGATCCATCCTTTGCCTGCCTCTTCCGCGAGTAGATGGGGACCATGTTTGGACGATCACGAACACATGTATTCACATCCAAAAAGCGACCAGCAGACAAAACGGCGTTCTCCATTTTTGCCTGTAGTGATATCCCTGATCTCCAATCCTTCCCAAGGGTCCAGGGTCCAAGCCATGGGAGGGAGTTCGGTGCAGGTCCGCACGCTCGCAATTCCAAATCATCAACTGTACAAAAGCTGCTGACGGCAGGTTCTACACCTCCTACTCATGACTGCACAGACATCCCGAGGGATAGGGTGGCCGTCCTGGGTTGGCATCGGAGCGCCAATACTACCGGATATACCCCCATCCATAACCCCGGTGTAGCTCCTTTAGTTATCTCGGGGCTGCTGAATGCCGGCTCGAGGACGGTCGCCGCCAGGATGGCGTGTCTCGGTCTTGTCGAGTCGCTGATGGTCGCCGCGGCGTCCGCTCTTGCCGGGAGGGGTCTGGACGGCACCATCGCCATTGGGCCGGCGAGTCGCCGATCCAGGACCTCTGGGACGCTGGCTTTGGCCTTGACTCTGGCTGGCCCGGCTGGAACGATCTGTACTACCCTTATCACGGCCTTCGTCTTGGGGCCGATTGCGGTGGCTTCGAAAGTCAGGACGGTAATTCTTTCCGCGGTATCGGGGGTTGCGAGTACGCTCGCCCTGAGGTTGGACTTCGCGCGGTTGGGTCTCGTCAGAAACAGGGGCGCTTGCTGGCTCGGGGACGTCGACAGAGAAACCTCCGGTAGTGTCATCAACAAGGACGGCCACCTCTTCACTGGATGTGTCCGCAAAGTCGCTTTTTTCGGCCAGATCATCGGCCGGGACCGGTTCTGTGAGTATTTAGAGTCCAGAGTCAAGCATGTTAGACAGGGCCGCTCCACCCACTACAGCGGCGACGGAATCACATCGCAAACGAGAAGATCATGCGGCTCAGGGATGGGGTATTTTGGAATCAAGTGGTATCATAAAGACTAATCGATTATCCAGCATCATAGCAGCACCCGTTTCTTCTATTGCCGGGGTTCATTCGCGCGTGCAAGCCTGGAATGGCTGACGCACCTCCAAGGGCGGGCTCTAGGCATTCACTGGGGCTGAGGAAGCTGATTGTGTTGGTCTTTGTCGTGAGCTCGAGGTTGGCCAGGGGTTGGGGCAGGGAGGCGTCGCGACTGGCTTCCGAGGACTCAGCTTCGGCAAGGTCTTCCTCTGGGACACCAAACTGAGGAGCCGACACGGGGTGGAGGATCCCGGAGATCAGGGCCGCAAGATCAGCGTAGCTTGTTCCGGGCACGAACTCCTCGTTGGATCCCTCTAGATACTTGATCAGATGGGCATGAGCCTCGTCGATAAAATTCTCACAGCTGGAGATGGAGATATAGAGTGTTAGGACGAAGCAGTAACAGGAAGTTGGAATCCGGTTGTGGCAAAATGACTGCAAATGGATGGGATTGTGGTGGCAGAGGCGCTGGTGGATATGAGCAGGCTCAGGAGTCGGTCACTTTCAGAACCGCATATATGCGCATGTACCTTTCGGCACCTTCGAGGTTGACGGCGGCAACAGCACATCGGAAGTGAGTCAGCGTGTGATACTGCTGCTCATTGATGGCAATCGACGAGGCAGACAGGTTCGGCAGCAGGAAGTTGAGAACAAAGAACGACTTGAGTGTGTTTTGGATGTGAGCGGCAAAGACGGACTTTATAGTGCGACGGGGGGTCAGAAAAAAATGGCCGCTGTTAATTCTATGCTAATTAATTAAGAGCTGGCGCCGGAATGATTGGGCAGCCACAGACAGGCCGGGGGATCAAGGGCACCTTCTGATCCTCGATGGCCTGTTGGAGGGCCTGGGCATGAGCCTGCTGCAGCTTGCGTTGCTGGTCCTTGGCGATCCTGGCTTCCTGCAGATCCAGAGGGCGGGTTAGTCGTTGACGGACGCAATATGCTGCCGCGCTGATCCGAGCCGACCGCGAGCGCAGACCCGGGCTCCAGGCGGCTGGCGGGAAGGAGCCGTGGTTGATGCCGGAGGTGGGCCACTCGAGCTGGCTCCTTCACTCACTTGAGCCTCGATTGTGGCGAAACTGGCGAGAAGATCCTCCAGCTCGCTGATGGCCATGTTGAGCTCGGGCTTCTTTTCTAGCATCAGCAGCTGGTCGGGGTTCAGGGTCTTGCGATCAAGACCTTCATATCGCCCGACTCGAGACTGCGATCAAACAGAGTCCAAAAGGCGTCAGAGAATTGCGATTGATGACGAACACCAAATGGATTGGCGTTGGTCGGATCGCAAAGCGCAAGCGCTTGGGGCACCGCGATAGTGCCTCAGCTGATCGAACAGGCCCATGTCCAAAAGCTTTCGCCCAAGATCCAGATCCAGATCCAGATCCGGACTGGGTCGGGGGGGGGGCTCCGTCCCAGCGTGAGGTAGGACTCGCAAGTCCGAGCCTTGCCGACAAAAGCTGCTGATGCGACCGACGCCGAGGTCGGCAGACGGTGGGTGGGCCATGGCTATGCTCGCTCACCTGCTTCTTCTTGAGATACTTCAGGCGCTTGCTGATACCTTCGCAGTAGGGATTGGCCCTGGGCTCCTCGTCAGCTTGATCATCGGTGCCATTGCTAGTGTCGACGCTGGCGGCCTGATCAGACAAGAGGGTAGCCTGAGATGATGCGGTTTTCATCCCGGTGTCGATCTCGGCTTGGAGCCGTCGGCGAGCCTTCTTCTGCTGGGTCTTGGACAGCGCCGATGGGGTGGCCAAAATATCAGGAACCGCCGGGGGCCGTTCATACGACTCTGGGAGCGCCTGGGCAGTGTCGATCATGGTGGGAGATCAGAAAGTGTTGGGCAGGCGAGCAATCCAAGGCGATCAGAGGCGATCAGAGGCGATCAGAGCCAAGGGGAACCAGAAGGCGCCCGACACCCCAAGCTCCGAGGCCACAGCAACCGCTCGCAACGACCGCTCGCAACGACCGCCCACACCGTCCGCCGATCACCGCCATCCACAAAAGCCCCTGTCTGGCTGCGACGACTAGCGGACGGCTCTTGCCGCAGCCGACGGATCCAGTTCTCGCAAGACAGCTCCATGCATCCCAAGCGGCCGCCTTTGTTTCGTGGTGGTTGCTGAGCGACGGTGTGTCTCGTGCTCGACTTTTCCTGGGCGACTGCGTTCGTCTGGTGATGTCCATGTCCGAGCGGACGAACGATACGTCCGACAATAATGAACGGGAGCGTTGCCTTTGATGCCGGTGTGCACTCGCTCTGGGCCCTGAATACACCCGCCCTTTGATCATCCTCCGTGCCTCGCATGACAAAAGAGCCAGCGACCACATGCAACAGAAGCGTTGACGTTGATGGATCAACTGGACATGTTCATTTTAGGCTCCATCCAAAGACGTCCGATGAGTCCTGAATCGAACAGAGTGTCCTGGTATGTCTTGGACATGGGTGTAGGAATCGCAGCACCTCGGCGTCTGGCTGGGCAACTGCCGCAACAAACAGCGGGCGATCGGGCCTTCCTGCATCGTCGCTCTGTGTCCTTTTGAGCTGCCGATCCAGCTGCGGCGTCGGCGGTGGTGGAGGCGGTGGACGGATATGTGGGATGGGGCAGTGGTCCGCTGGAACACATTGGCTTCGACATGAGCTCTCGCATGGCTGGTGATCTGCGTTGCGACAATGCTTGGGGGTTGTGCTTGAGGTACGCTGTTCCCTGAACCCTCGGCGATCATCTTGATCGAATTTATGCGAGTTCGCTGGGCGGTATGGCTTGTCAGAGGCATCGTCTTCGGCATCGTCTTCGGCATCGTCTTCGGCATCGTCGAATTGCCCCAAGAGATTCAGCGCGTCGGATGAGCGTGCTGGGATGTATATGCTGCGTTCACCGGGTGGCTGTTGGCATTGCGAGTGCAAATCTTGGGCGAGCGATGCAAGATGCTGCATCTGTGCAGAGAGTATTCCGAGTCGATGGCAGCACCCTGCATGCCCGGAAGCACCTATCTTGCTGAGAGAAGATCGAGACCGTGCTGCAGCGTCTCGGTCCCCCTCTTCATCGGAGGCCTCTGTGCATGCATTTCTGCTCTGGAGCAGAGGCAGCAGGCTGCGAGTTGCCTCGGATTGACGTTGCAGGCGCGCCGAGCCTCTCGGACTGAGGATATGCGGTTGGCCTGGATGACGGTATACCGCGTTTTCAGTGCTTGCTTGCTTCGAACAGCTAGCGTCCGATATGAGGAGCCGAAGCTGCAATTCTGCGAATGGCTCGACTGCGCCGTTTCGAGCGGGATCCATGACGAGATCGTTGCGGCTGGAAGGAATCGAGCCCAGGGAATTCTCACCAACAGCTTGTGGTTGCAAAGAAAATGATTGATACAGGGCGCCCTGTCCGAGGCAGTGCCATTGCATTTTTCTGGGTCCCATTTCGTTTTGGGAACGTTGTAACCAACCAAAACAAAGAGATTGCCAACCAGGACGGGAAACAATCGCATGGTTTGCCCACCGGGGCCAATAGAAGTTCGACAGGCTGCAAGCCTCTGAAGCCAGAGAGTGACTGTCCCGTTTCTCGCAGTGAGCGTTGTGTATATTCAGTAATCCGAAACAAACGAAAGAAACGGATAGACCAAGCCACAATGACATCGTTCGCTTGGCTCACAATAGAGTTGTACAGACGAGTCGCTTGCAGCCAGCGTCAGGTCGCTGCGGTAGCAAGGGCTAATGAAGGCGGTGTGGTTTTGGACCCAGTGCAGTAGCCATTTGATATCCAGGTCAGGGCAGATCAGGGCAGATCAGGGCAGATCAGGGCAGATCGTATTTCAGTGGAAGCAAGTGTTTCGCAAGCCTGGCAATCGTATCCATGTATAAATATGCGAAATCGCCAACACATTGGAATGGAGGCGGTGACCGATATGTGGATGATTTTCGAAATAATACCGGTTAGTTGATTCGAGAACACACATGATCTTGAGTGGGTGTCCAGAGATGGGAAGCAGTGTCCAGAGCTGGGAAGCAAGCGCACATCCAACATTTGATCGTGGATGCAAGCAGCTGTGGCCAAAAGCTTCTGTCATGCACATCCATGTTGGACCCCTGTGTCCAAGTCGTGCAGCTTGGAGCACCCCTTTGACTTACTCTGCTCATGAACAGGCATCTCAAGCTTTTTGTACGTGTTCAGCTCTTCTCGAATAGCAATCTTCATTTGCGGTGTTAGCTTCCTAAACGTGGCGTCGGTTGGAGGCTTGCGATTGTATTCGGACTTGCGGAATGTCGGAAGCACCTCGACCGTCTCGGAAAATAGGAGTACTTTCTTCTCCATCAGCTCCTCGACGTCAGGACGGTCCCTTAGCTTTCCCTCCAATGTATCCTCGATTTGTGCTCTCTTCAGTCTTTCCTGGGCAGCAACGATTGAAGGATCGATATCGGCACCTGCATGTATCGAATCCAAGCGCATTTAATCTTGTGATTACATCCGTGATCGTTTGCCGCAAAGTAAAAGAGCTTTGAGCTCTCGAGAGAGTACAGACGATCTTCGAACCAATTGCATGCCAAACTTCCGACAGCGCAAGGTGCATACAACTCACGACCTTTGATGATATTGGCCGTCTCAAGCGTTGCCTTCTCTGGACGCTTTTTGAGGCAGGACTTTAGTGCCTCGGCCTTTTGTTCAAAATTGAGACTCTTTTCCAATTCATGGCCGGACTGAGCGAGATTTTCGTTACTTCCGCCATCCTCGACTTGATCGCCAAAGATTGGCGTCAGCAGTTGAAGAGTGCATCAGTCAGATCGGGGCAACATACTCGTATTGAAGCGTACCACGTCCGAAGCTCACGCAGCCCCCATCAGCATATCTCGATTCCACGCATATATCGATGTTGAGAAGGAGCCAACCGCTGATCAGCACACTGCTTGTACCATGCTTCGTTGCCCCCTTGGTTCCCCGTTGTGATTATGGTTCACGCAGACAACCCTCCAAAGTCTCCCATAGTCGCGACCCAGGGCATATGATACAGGCGCCTCAGACACATCAACCTACCCTTGAGGATGTTTCGAAGTTTCAAATCTACCTTTGAGGGTCGATGGCTCAGTCTCTTGTCAAGTTGGGCTTTCTCCTTCTCCTTCTCCAAAGAAAGTTTCGCTTGGAGTAGCGTGGGCGAAATAGAGTCGTCATCTGATAGGCAGAAGGGGGTGTGCCCGATGGGATGGGATGGGATGGGATGGGATGGGATGTTAGGTGCTCTCGGAGTTTCTACCAACCCAGCTGTCCTCGCAAGCAATACCAGGGCAATTCAGCGCATGGGGGTGGTGCTCTATCCTAGGTCTCAAGCCGACCCACCTTTCAAAATGTTTTTCTGGATCAATTCGTCCTTATCTTGACGACGAGAGAGTTTCTTGCCCAAGTCTGAGGATATGTCACGGAAGAACGTGGATGTCAGTTTCATTGACTCCGGGGGCGGCATTTAGCAAGGTCTAGGGACATGCCTCGGGAGGCGACATCCCACCTCGAACTGCCTCCAGAAATGTCGTCTGGGCGGCGCTGTTTGGGATGGCTTCCATACTGCTGAACACTCTCGGTAGGTGGCAAGGACCAGTGGATGAGCCTAAGGGTAGAGCAATCTACTTGAGCGGAAATGGACTCAAGTGCTCGGAGCAGGAGTGTAGTTGCAGCGTAAGCCTCAGGCGAGCGGCAGCGGAGCTGTCTCTAAAAGGGGAGACGATGGCATCGGAGGGTGGGCCACTCACCTGTAGAGGCATATCCGAGTTTGTTGACGAGTCCCTCGATCGCAATCGTGCGCCCCTGAGGGTCAGCTGCAACTGCACGACACAGCACCGTCAATACCAGGGGGTTCGATGTGTTTGTTTGCACTTTCCAGTGCTTCTGTTCAAGCGGCCGCCTCGAAACAGCCGCTCAACAAACGGAATTCCCACCAAAGGGCGATTCGTGCTCACGTGGCATCCACCCGACCCAACACACAACGGCCGCTTGTCGTGCCTGTGCCTGTGCCTGGTCCTCGAGGCCGGCCGGGGCAACTTGAGCTGCACCTCATGAGAAACTAACGCATGCGCATCAAACATGAATCGAGAGGCCGGTCACCTCGGCACTGCTGTCGTCACAGTTTCGTCTGCGAAGCGGTAGGCGGGCATTGAAGGGGGCTCAAACACAGCACCACACGCCAACACGACCTGAAGGCGTTTCCCTCCCCAGAAGCTCCGGCCTGCCGAGCTGGCTAACTCATCTGCCCTGTCCACGAACTCGCTAGTATCAAAGTATTGAGCATGGGCGAGCCAGGGGTCGGGAAGAGCTGTTTGATCAAGAGATTCTGCGAAGGAAGAGTAAGATATCCATCCAAACGCGCTCCGGGCCGAATCGACAAGGATCCGAACCGAGCCGCTAAATGGCGATCCTCGAATATCGGCCCTTTCGAGAACTGACGGCCAAAGGTGCTGCTCTGGATTGGAGCCTAACTGAAATGTAAATTCAGTATGTCCCAGAGTACGTCTCCACCATCGGGATCGACTATGGCGTCAAGCCCGTGCAGGTGGATGGTCAAGAGGGTGAGTACCTCGCTGTCGGGCAGTGGCGACTGACATAATCGCGCTGCTCTCGGTGTTTATTCGGCCTATGGTCGCCACAATGGCTTGGGCCGGTCGAAGGCTGTGCTTTGGCAGAGAGCGATGCTCACGAGCTTCTTGATATATTAGTCTGTCGATTGACCGGCATGCGTTTCCATTCCCCTCTTCAGTCAAGGTAAATTTTTGGGATGTGGCTGGCGACCCTGTCTACTATGAAATTCGAAACGAGTTCTATAAGGACACAAATGGGGTGAGTGGTAGTGAATCCCTGAGGAGCGTGTAGCGGCAAGCTCGAAGCTCATGAAGACAGGGTCCGAACGAGATCGTCTGTCGCCACATCATCAGACGTCATCAGACATCAGACATCAGACATCAGACATCAGACATCATCAGACATCACCAGTGTCAGCTCAGGGCGATCAGCAAGATGGAGACACATGCGATGGCATACTCATGAAATGAGTTTTGAAACTATGGCTATAGGCTCTGCTTACCTTTGATACCACCAACCGTGCGAGCTTCGAAGCGTGTGAACGATGGGTCAAGGAACTTATGACACTTTGTAGCAACGAGGTCGTCGTTTTCTTGGTGGCAAACAAGGTCTCGCTGGTCATTTGGCGGAGAGGGGGTTGCGAGAACGCAAATGCAGATGAGATGCGGTTTCACTGATAACAAACAGGAAAATCTTGGGAGGAGCTCACAACGAGGGACACCAGAGAAAGCCCGCATAGCAAGGGCACAGCCCGGATATGCAACTCACACCTGATGCCCTCCACGGCAGATCGATATCAAGCCAAGAGAAGTCAGTGCCCAGGAAGGGCAGGCCCTCGCCGAAACGCTCGGTTACCGGTAACTATCGAGCTTGCGATTGCTTTGTGTATGGTCGCTGATGGCAGTCATGACCGGGCTTGCATGGACTGCATTTGCAAGAGACTGTGGCGACCTCAGCCGGACTTGCTCTGACTCGAATGGACCCACTTGTTCCCGGACGGACCGGGTAAACCTTCCGACCAGCTACTTTGAGACCTCTGCCCAGAGTGGCGAGGGTGTCGAGAGCATGTTTACACAGCTGTTCCAGCGGGTCATTGCGGCGATGAAAGGAAAATCGTCGTCTGGATAGCGCTCGCTTCTGCATCTCGCTCGGTGAAGAGGCCACGCTAACTGTCGACAATAAATGGCGATACGGCCATGACCAGGAGCATTATGTTATGGCACGCCCCCCCCCTTCCCCACCATTGGATCGCACCATCAATCCCGCTGGCATCGAGGTGCAGTGGGATCGCCGATGGCTTCGTGTGTGTCGCATTCTTGGGGTGCGCCATTTCATTTTTTTGCGGGCGTTGTCCAGGGACCACAAAAGCGCCTGCAAGCGATCTGCCGCGGCCTGGCCTTGCATCCCCTGTGCAGCACACCGACCGCATCCGCAGCGACGCCGAGCACCAACCTGGGACGAGCTGATACGACGGTCCGGTGATCGGCATCGGGTATGTCTCATCTGTGCCAAGAACGGATCTGGCCGCTGTCGCTTCGGTGCTGTTCCTTTCGCTGCTGTTCCTTTCGTTGCGGTTCCTTTCGCTGCTGTCCATCGCTAACCATCACCCTGCCTCCAAACTCCCGACCCCATCTCCCAACTTCCCCTTTTGATGATTATCTAATGCATACGCTTCACCGCTGGTCGGACCCTTTGCCCTGCCTCGCCCGTCATTACCCAACTCGCTGTCCGATCCAGGCTCGCTTTTATCGCCAAAATGACTTCATGCCAGCTCCAGCTTGAACAGGCTATAGCTTCGGCTGGTCCCGCTGCAGCCGAGGAGCTGAACAGCCCGACAGCGCTGGTTTCGCCTCCGATCTACACATCATCTGAATCCCATGATGCAGATGCGCCCTGTAACGGTTCCCGCAAGTTTATTGACTATTCCGACTACGACGACTTGCTCTGCGATCTACTGGTAGACTCGGTGTGTTTCGGCGAATCTACCCACAAAATGAACGAAGATTACTTCACTGCTTGCTACCGAGACTGCCCTGCCTCCGTCCCTGCTCCCTCCCCTATTCCTGTGCTGCTGTCTGCCTCGGCTGCGAGTGCCGGTGGAGGCGATGATCATTCCTATACATCTGTAGCATCTACGGATGGCGGGATTTCGGCATGTGAGTTGGTTGCGACATGCGATAGTCCATTCCTGCATCTACTCGACTTTGCTCATGATGGTTTTGAAGAGCTCGTCCAGAATCTCATCCTTGCTGGCCACACTTTACCTGCTGTAGGCGCTGATCCGACTGGCAACCAGAGTCTGGGTCCAACGTGTGTTGTCGTCGCAGAGACAGAATCATCCCAAAGTATCGAGAGCATCGCCAACGATAAGTTGGACATATCAGAGCCAGAGGCGGCAGGCTCCATATCTACCCCACCAGCGGAGAGCAACGTCCGTAAGCAGACACACGGCCTTGCTAGTCAACCGCTCCTGCCAGCAAGATCCGAGCTTGCCCACCCAATGGTCGAGCAGCTGAAGGTCTCCGTCCAGGGCCGAACTGAAGCTTTGGCAGGAGTGTGGGTGATCGAAGAAGAGGGCTTTTGTCCCTGTCCCCTGGACCTTCAGTCAAGTGGTCACGTTGGTGGCGACAAGTCAATCTCGGCCACGACGGTCAGCACACATTCAGTCACCCTTGCGTCGATATGTGCTGAGCAGCCGGAATCTCAACCGGAACTGCACGATCTGGGAAGCACCGAACCGAAGCAGCCCATTGTCCCCGACACGGACGCCGGGGTGAGCGAGGCGTCGGCTTCTGTTATGGACGCAGTCCATAGTAGTTGCTCTACCGCTGTCCCAACGAATCCCACAAGTTCCGGTGATGAAATTACCGAGTCTACTGTCACAAGCGAAAATTCCGACAGCGCGGGCGACTTTGTCGACGAGGTTTCCTCTGGAAAGCCTCTCCTGAGCCGAGTCAATAGCCGAGTCAAGTACATCAACCATGGGAAGCTTGACCGCCCCGCAATCCTCGACTTTGTCCGCGAGATCATCCGAAACTGCCTTCTCTTCGAGCGAGCTTTACGTGGCAGTGCTTCTGTACTCACAGGCTTCCTTTCGGACCGATTGACCGACATCCGGGATGAGTAAGTATTTGTCTTGATCATTGATTTGGTCGTGCCACCTCTGTCTAACCGTGTTGATTGTCGTCACCCATGCGCTTATCCATTCCAACGCCTGTTGGCTATTCGGCATCGGTGGACGATACTGCGGACACTCGCCGGGACATTGATATCGACATATCGGACCTGGCTTAACCATTGATTGAACCGCACGATGGATGGCAACCAATCACTGATACGACTACACATTGGGTGTGACTCTATTTCATCGGCGTTACTGAAATTGCCAATGACGGCAACAGAGACGCTCCCAAAGATCTCCTGAAGTACCTAGAGAAGTACCGACCCTATTTGGAGCCCATCCGAGGCTTTTTCGACTCACGTACCAGTCAGCAGCTCGCCGAGTTCAGCGAGTGAGTCATGGCATGTCCTATACACCAAACTCGCTTGTTCTTTACGCCCACATTCTGCCGTGACGATCGAGAAAGGCACCCTATGTGGACTCATCGGAGTAGAGTGGCATTTTCTTCTTTTCCGTTTCGGTCTGATTCTAATGCCTCGGCTTTCCCTAGCCACGCTCGTCGGTACTTTCAAATCTACTTGCCATCAGCGGGATTCGAAATCTCCCACACGAAGAGATACAAGTCGACCGGAAAAGTCGAAGGATGCATCATCACCACAAAGGACTGGAAAGAGGGCGATGAGATCCGACAGCTGACGGGCGTGATCGTCGAGCTTACGGATGCTGACGAAGAGATTCTTGCCCACCGGGACTTTAGTGTCATGTATGTTTCTCGGAAGCGGGCCAACTGCCTGTTTTTGGGCCCAGCTCGGTTTGTCAACCACGACTGTCGCCCAAACTGCAAGGTAACGCCCAATATCTTGATCAAAGTGGATGATAGTCGCTCGTGTGTCATCTATCTCTTGGATTGCTCAGCCATCGCCGAGAGTAGATCTGCCGCCGATCGTCCGTTGAAACCACTCTGACCGACAAAGATCATCAGTTTATATCTCAAGGGAAAGACGAAATCAGCTTCAAGGTTCTTCGCGACATTGCCGCTGGAGAAGAGATCACTGCGTTCTATGGTACCCACTACTTTGGAGAAAATAACGAGGAGTGTCTTTGCGAAACATGCGAAAGGTGATTAGGGCTCAAGGTGGTGCAAGTGAAGTCCCAGCGATGCCGTCAATCCTCAATGGTGGGAAGTAGATATGCGGCCACCACGGACCACTAATATCGAATTAACCTGACCAGAACACAGAGCGGCGGCTTCTCAAGTCTGTCCAAGGGCAGCGATGACAGAATATCCTCGAACGAGACGATGCGGATGCGAAAGGCAGCCCTCCGGCGCGCTACACGGCATTCAAAAGTATCGAATACTACCGACCGGCTTGATTGTATGTTTGGAACCAAAATTACGAAGCTGTCGGATCAAGATGACGGTCACCCTAAATGCAAAGTATGCAGAGCCACTCTATATCCCGAGGAAACGAACCCGACCCCAGATAACGAGCAACATCGTGCCACTGAAAGTCTGCGCTGCTCTCGATGCATTCGACATCTGAGCTTGTATCGCTACGAGTGGCCGACGCGGAGATTTTTCTTGAGTCATGAGAACCCTCGGAGACTCGGTAGGTGCTGGGACGCCATCCATTCCGCCCGGCCGGCTTGTTCGTAGTCCTGTATCGGCGCCTACCGCCCCCCCCCTTTCGATAGCATTTTCAAACAGTCGGCGGGATCTTGACCATATATTCAAATCGCAGCTGGTATAAGCGCAGACTTCATAATCGATGAGGATCTACCCGAAGACCCGGCCGCGCCACTTGTGACTCCCAAGCTACGTGAGCCCAACACGCCGCACCCTGTTGATCACCTGCTTCTGGAACGCTACAAGCATATTCTCGGAGAGATTCCTTATGATTGTGAGTCGTCCCACACCAATCGGTAGTTTGATCTCGTATAGCAGCTTCGTTTGCATGCCAGTGCGCTGCATGCATTGTTAGAGTCGATGGGTATCCCAGGAGACTGCTCGTGCTGATGGTGACTCCGTATCTCAACACAGATGACACTGCTCATCCTGTGTTTGTGAGCAATACTGAGGTCGAAACCAATCGAAATAAGCGGCACTGTTGGTGGCCGGCCATAGTAAGCTGGCTTGTTCGTTTGTAGCGTCATTATCCACCGCGAAGAACGTGAATCAAGCACCATATCTGCCTGAGCATGGCTGAACAAGAGCACTTACCATATCATGGTCACTTAGATGGTTCCCACCCTAGAGATCGACAAAACCATGATGGAACGTCGCCCGATCGAGGACTACCAAACGATGCATGTTGTGGCGTACGTAGGCTACAAGTCATAGTGAGTATCCGGTCCCCGTACTACCGCTTTCATCGGCATGGTCTCGCCACTTTGTCGCTAGCACCACAGCATTTCGAGGAAATTTGTTGACCCACCGCTCCATCGTCAGCGCTCTTGTTCACGCTGAGGAGTTACGACTCTTTGATCCCAACAAGGAGCCGTACCTCTCGTTCAAGAGACTGTACCCAGAGGAGATGGAGCACAGCAGCTGCGCCGCGTTAGAGCAGTACTTCTATAACCGAGATCTCCCGCCACCGGGACGGAAATGGGAGGCTTGGGGCTATGCTGAGCGGCTTAAGCTCGAAGGCGGAATTACAGCATCGATGCGCAAGCCACGCGAGGCGCTATTTCACAGCGGAAGCCGACACTACCGGGAAACGACCCAAGTTCTGAGCGGCTCAATGGAGCTATCGGTGAGTTCAAAAAAGCAGAGCCTTTACTGTGCGTCAACTCATGCTTCGACTGCTCTCTGATACTGCCCTAAGGTAATATTGGGAACCTGCCCCACACACATGATGGGGATTAACCGACTCTGTTCTCTGGATTACCCCCTGCAGCCCCGGCGAGGTGCGCACGTATACTCCCCCATCAGCACCTTACAAGATCAAGATCTTTGCTACGCGCGTGTCCGGAAACGCGGACGCATGAATGAACTGGAGCTTCTGATGCAGTACGCCAAGTATCGCAGGCCAAAACATGACACCGATGGGTCGTACCCGGACGATCCAAAGGTGGCCTTTGAAAGACCAACAGAGCCATCACCGGAACCGCAAGATATGTGCCCTGAGGCAATCCTCTATTGACGGCGATGCTTGGGCGTACGGATCACCTGCCTCCTGTCCGACCCTGACCTTGGCTCGGCCATGCGGATGCACAGCGCTCATATAATAAAACGAGATATCCTGGTTGCATTGACAGCGCACCCAAAACCAAGCAGAGCGCCCCACATCACAGCCTCGTGGACCATGATCTCGCTCGATCGCCACCACAGAAGATCGAGCGGGTCTGTTCGAAAGCGTGCCCTCCACATCTACAGCAAATTTTAAGGTCCAGCGCATTTTGGGCTGGCAGAGATGCTGTTCACAGTGGCGTCTTTGATTCGGACCCAGAAACGTATCTCACAAGTGGCCCATTTGTGGGTCATCTGGTCACTGAATGCAAGCCATGGCTGGCAGTGCAGCGATGCGGAAACCGAGGGTGCTGTGCTTGGCCATGAATGCGATGAGTGGGTGGGTGTATTCAGGTTCCAGAAAAAAAAAACACAGTCATGGCTCAAAACGGGGGTGTCCCATTTCATTGTGGAAACGCTGTAAATGGGGCACCTCGACACCGGGGATGGCTTGTGATCGGTTGATGTTGATCAGTCTGACCGAATGGTGCTGATCACTCCGACTGAAGGGTGTTGATCATCTCCTCACCGAGGTCGTCTAGCGATTCTTTCTCTTTGCCCTGGGTCTTCCTCCCTCATTTGAGATATGTCTTCTTGCTCTGACCTGCAGTGACTGCATCTGCAGGGCCTCGCTGGTCCCTGTCGCGCCCACTCACTCCGTGCATCTCCCTCACACAGGGAAATGGTTTGACCCACTCGAACGGGTGTGTGATATGATCCGACTACGCCGTGTTGTCCGAATGAGACAATGTGACCCATTTTTCTTTTTTCCACACCTGCAATCGAAGAACTACTGGATGATGGTCTCGTAGCGGTCGGGACGAAACGATGGTGGGCGTGGCGACCAAGTTGATCAAGGCAACTGAACAAGTTGACTGAGCTGCATTACCGAGCAATATGGCCAAGTAATATCTCTGTTTCATGTCGCAATAGAACATGCCGCCATGTCGAGGCTGTTTCGATAAGCATGCAGTCTTGGCTGCGATCCAGGCCATATTTGCATTTTCAATACGAGCGGCCCTTGGGGTACGTTTTCGTTGAGGTGACAGATCGGTTACAATGGGAGGATATCGCTGCCAAATGATACGGATCATTGTTGATCTGTTTCTAGCATCATCAATGGGGCAAGTTCTCCTCGGCCCTGGAAGGCATTTTCGAATATGTCCCCCCCCCACGAAACATTGGATTAGCGACGCAACTCATAGGCCCAATAACCGTATCTTCCACGTACCATCTCACAAGTTCGTCGGTGTCGTCCGTCTCGGCGGGAATAGTGATGATGGCATCAGCCACGTCTGTTGTTTGTCCGGCTTGCAAACGCAGCAGAGGCTCGTCCAAGGGCATGGACCTCACAATGCGGATATCGGGCTTTGTGTTCTCAGGAGTTTTTGGCGTCGTACGGAACTTGGTTTGTCCGACATGCTTCGGAACCCACCCTGCAAAGTTGTATGAGCCACCGGCATTGACTCGTAGCTCGTGGTCGAAGGTGAGGCTGTCTCCAAGGGGATCGTAGCTCTGTCTCTGGCTGCGCCGCTTTCGGGTTGGGCCGCCGAAGCTAAAGAGTGATTTGAATGTGCCTCCCCTCCCCAGCCATCGGATGTACAGTGCCACACAAGCACCCAGAGCCGCGAGCAATAAGAGGCCCAGGCCAGCCCACAGTACCCAAGACGGCTGGACACTTGTTGAAGAATGGGATATGGGTGGATCTGGGTTCGATGGATCGTTAGTTCCGGCCGCCTCTTTGGCCAAGGAAAGGTCCGGGCCTCTCAGTCTCGTCTGACGGATGACCCACAAGCGCCTGCTGGAGTGCCTACCGGATATACTCGAGTTTGAGGATACGGACATTGTCGTCGAGGCTATCGGTGCGAACTGCCCACCTGAGCAAGCCCGTCTTGTCTCTATCAACCTCTCCGGTCGCTTGGCCGTGTCGGCTTGCCCGAGCCTCGAACATTCCCTCGCCGCCGTTCCCACAGAGTTTCTCCCACGTGTGCTGCGCATTTGCGGACATCGTCATCGCTTCGCCACCAAACCGCAGACCGCCCTGGGTTCAGAAACTCAGCCTCACTCACAGCTCCCGCCCATTTGAGCGCCGACAGAGGCACCCAGGCCACAAACCAACCCGCTGAGACAGCGAAACCCAAACGCAAGGATCGCCTGTGGTGCCTGCCTCCCAAGAAGGTGAGCGCACTGGTGCATGCCGCATCATGCCGTCAATGCACTGCGCTGCTGTGTTGCTGCGGCTATGGCCCAACAACTGTTTGCAAGCCATAGCGAGTTCCTGGCCAGCAAGATATGGCCTTTTTTTTTGCTCAATTGGATGGTGTGCGGCCGCTCTGACATTGTTCAATCGGCATCGCCACTTGATCGAGGCAGTGCACGCCAGAACTCTGAGTACATCTCCGAATTTCAGCATCCATGATATCTCAGAAATCACTGTCGGCGTCAACAGCCGCTTCCTTGGCCCATCAACTCGCCCTTACTTCTCTCACCGACCCGAAACCTGGTCGTGAAGATGCCCATCAAGATTCCTCCGCCGATCTCGATGTATTTGCCTTTGAAGCCGATGGTGGCGAATCGATACTTTCGCTGCCTCTGAAGGCAAGTTTTTTTCCACCAACGACACATTTGCTGATTCATCGCGCGGAACGAATCTGAGCCCAATGGCAAATGGCTTAAGGCTCACATTGATCTCGAAACAGAATCTCTTTCTGTCTGCTGCTGTGTCCTCGCAAGACAAGTTGCGCGAGATTCTTGCGTCTCGAATTGCCGATGGCCAGGGAGAAACCATTATGGAGATTGGGGTCACAGGTGGGTCGCTTGCGTCTCTTTGTGTTGCAATCGTGCGCCTTGTGGCATCAGGGCGCTTGGACAATATTGAACGGCCTTTTTATGAGACAAGGCATCGTGTTGTGTGCTTGGGTCTCCATACGATACGACGCCTATGCTCGGCTTCAGTTGTGTCTCTATCCTGGTGAAGATACTGTCAAGGTGGCGCATGGTGTAGCCAGATCGATTGGATCAGACCGAGCGGTCCAGAGGGGAATTAACATATGCATTCCTCTTGACAGAGGAGGGCCAATCGATGGAGCTGATGCTCGGTGATTTCCAACAATGCCTTGAAAACATCGGCCACGTCGCCAATTCCCTCAACTGCGACGTGACGCTGTTACATCAACGGCACACCCTCGTCCTACAAACATCAGCCAGCGAAATCGATGGCCCGGTGGAAACGGGTAACCAAAGTTCAAACGGCTCCAGCGACTCGGCAAGTGCGCCTCATGTATATGGCCACGTGCTGATCCGACAGAGAGGCGGAAAAGTAGAGCAACTTCTTGAGATCCGTGTGGCTGTCGTCGGAAATGTCGATGCTGGAAAGAGCACGATGCTGGGTGTCTTGACAAAGGATGTGCTCGACGATGGACGTGGCAAAGCTCGATTGAATCTTTTTCGGTAGGGGATGTTCTGAAGTCATTGCAGGTCGATTTCGAATGTCTCTCCTTACCAACCGCAGGCATTGATGCCCGGCACATGATCGCCCAAATATCAAGCTGGGCGTTGGCTGTGATGATGACAAAGGTTATGCTCTATACCAACAGACACAAGCACGAAATTGAATCGGGTCGAACAAGTTCAGTGGGGATGGAAATCATGGGTTTTGATTCCAAAGGCAAGGTTTTGACTCCCGCGTCGCAAGGCAAAACCAAGCTGAACTGGGATGATATTTGCACGAGTGCTTCAAAGGTATGCCTTCAGATATTCACGCAGATGCAGAAACAAAGCGAAGACAACGCCATTCAGAGATCGAGCAATGTCGTTGCATATGAATAGGTGTTCAGCTTCATCGACTTGGCCGGCCATGAGAAGTATCTCAAGACAACCGTGTTCGGAATGACAGGGTGTGCGCCAGACTTTGCCATGTTGATGGTGAGTTTTAACTAGGCGTGGATGCGGACGGGTCGAATACATCAACATAGCAACTCCAGCTCAAATTGACCGGTCAGGCTTCTTTTGGCATGGCCCTTGTTCAAGTGCCAGGGCTATATCATGATATTAACCGACGTTCCTGTTCACCAATGTGCCAAACATGCCCTTTTTTTTGGGGGGGGGAAGATTGGTTCCAACGCCGGCGTCATAGGCATGACAAAAGGTAATGGAATCTGAAGTGATTTCAATCTGAAGCCGCACTCTGGCCGCTCAGGTTGTTCTGACATTGTTCGGGCCACACTTTGTCCTCACTAGAGCATCTTGGGCTCGCACTGGCCCTTCAAGTTCCCGTGTTTATCATCATTACAAAAATCGATATGTGCCCTGCCAACGTTCTTGAGAACACGGTACAACAGCTCACCAAGGTCTTGAAGAGTTCCGGATGCCGCAAAATCCCAATGTTCATTAATAGCGAGGAGGATGTCTTGATGACAGCAAGTACCTTTATTAGCGAGAGGTGAGCTGGACAAAAGTGGATGCGAAGTGCTGAGCACACTGGCCGACCGATGATGCAAGCGCATTTGGCAGGTCCTCGACGTGGTTGAGCATAACCAAGGACATGGTGGGGCTGTGCAAGGGAGTGTGCGGCATGTGATTTGTTTCTGAGTTGGCGTTCTTTTTGAATCCCTCCCAAGGATATGTCCTATCTTCCAAGTATCAAACGTGACAGGTGCTGGATTGGGCCTGCTCAAGTTATTCATGAACGTCCTTCGAGCCAATGGAGTGGGGCGATACGATGTAAATCAGCCTGTGGAATATCACATCGTGGATACCTTTTCAGTGCCTGGAGTCGGTATGTTTTGTGGCATGTGACTGCCATTGGCCGGACATACTCCGATGTTTGACTCGCGTCAGTATAGCGGTGATTTGACACTGGTCTATCAAAAACAAACCAATCAATCAACCATAGGTACTGTGGCTAGCGGTACTGTCATAACAGGTAAAGCTCTTAGGCCTCCAGTGGCCCGGCTATGAGCAACAGTGCTGGCGCTTGCCATCATAAGTCAGTCTTACAAACACCCGTACCTTTGCTGCCCGATCGCACAGGAATCGTACACGTCGGCGACACGCTGCTATTAGGTCCGGATTCGTCAGGTGCCTTCACGCCGACGATCATAAAGTCGATTCATCGAAAGAGAGTGAATGTGCCATGCGCCAGCGCTGGGCAGAGTGCCACATTCGCCCTCAAAAAGATCAAGCGATCCTCCATTCGGAAGGGCATGGTGCTAGTGAGGTATGCGGTGTTGCTGTCATGGATATGAGCGACGACGATCTTTGGCCGAACCAAATCCATTTGGTGGCAGAGTCGGGTGACTACACGTCGAGAATGCTCACATGCTCGTTTAATTGATGGGAACTTGGAGCAGTAAGTCGCTGGAGCCAAGAGCAGTGTACGAGTTTGAGGCCGAGATTCTGGTGCTCTATCATAGCTCAACTATCGGAGCCAAGTACCAGGCCATGTTGCACTGCGGATGTGTTCGTCAGACGGCCAGGATCATAGGAATCAACAAAACCGTTCTGCGGACGGGAGATCGCTCACTCGTGCGATTCAGGTCGGTTGGGGGCATTCTTGAGAGTTTCTCCTTCGAACGATCGAGATAGTGGGTCCAGGCTGCATACCAAGACGTAGGCAAAAACAGAATTTGACCCCCACCCATATACTGATGTCCGGAACAGATTTATGCAGCACCCCGAGTACATCAAAGTCGGAAGCCGCCTTCTCTTCCGTGAAGGTAAGCGTACCACATCGAAGGCTAATGGATGGAGATGAGCTGGGGTTAGACACGCCGGAGTTGAAGCGTTGTGCTAACCGCTGCAAGTCAAAATAGGACGAACCAAGGGAGTCGGAAAAGTGATTCGACTGGTCACCGAAGCCGAGCGATTACAGCGTTTGCAGAACGAAGCGGCGCCGCCTGTTTGAGCAGACCTGCTTGAGCAGCGAGATGCCCCTGTGTATCTGGATTCTGGCAAAGACGCATACCCTACTTTCAGGGGGAATCGGGACACCAATATGTCAGCGTAGCATGCGATGGGCTGCGTCCAACAGAACCATATGCAATAACACAGATCACTCTAGCAGCCTCAGAGTGAAGACCACCGGTCGCTCTCCGGTCTCCACAATCGACCTGCACGGCTCAAAGTACTTGGCAAACCGCGGCCTCCTCGGGCTGGATGCATAGCCCTTGCCTTGACGTGATGGCGCATAGCCAAAGGCGTTGACGACCTCGGTTTCCTTGCACGTACGATATGGCCGGGATTGCAATGAGCGGGTGTGTATATTCAAGTCCCAGAAAACAACAGTCCCGGCTCAAATCAGTGGGTCCCATTTCGTTTGAGAACACTGCGACGACACTAGGATGATGTACAATGTTGGAGCATGCTTTGGCGACACCTCTCGCAATCTCTTCAGGCAGACCACAGCATTCGAAAAACAATCAAGCACATTGTCCCTTCCGAACAAACACGTAGTCCAATCAGACCATTACACTCGGTTAAATCATATCCTTGCCGCGGAGTTTTAAGCCGAGCCTGTTTTGAAACGGCAGACTTTCACACACGGAAGGCTTGTGGATCGGTTGATGTTGATCGATCTGGCTGAAGGGCGTTGATCAGTCTGACTTAAAGGCGTTGATCAGTCTGACCGAATGGTGCTGATCACTCCGACTGAAGGGTGTTGATCATCTCCTCACCGAGGTCTTCTAGCGATTCTTTCTCTTTGCCCTGGGTCTTCCTCCCAAATATGAGATATGTCTTCTTGCTCTGACCTGCAGTGACTGCATCTGCAGGGCCTCGCTGGTCCCTGTCGCGCCCACTCACTCCGTGCATCTCCCTCACACAGGGAAATGGTTTGACCCACTCGAACGGGTGTGTGATATGATCCGACTACGCCGTGTTGTCCGAATGAGACAATGTGTCCCATTTTTTCTTCAATACGCTGTTGGCCGAGCTCGAGATGGGTTCATCGCCTTGGTGGATCTGGGCGGGAGGCAGGACTTGGGCTGACGGTGCCTGGCCTGTGAGCTGCTCTGGCGACAACAAATACAACTGAGCCCCCAAGCACCGCCTCAGTATTTGTTTACCACTGACGGTGCATATATGGGGCAGATATCTCATCCTGGCTGCCCACAGCCGAGAAACCGACCACCGTTACCATCCAGTATGCGACATAAGCCCTACGTTCCCCCTACTGGCTGCGAAAAGACGTCCTCGAGCGACCAAGTATCTATATCCACCGTCGCAGACGGCCCAATCATGATGTCTGGTCGTCAATTCCCAGACAAGGCCCCTGATAACGACCTGACAACGGGGGGCCGGCGACTGATGCAGACTCGTCCGGAATGTGGCTACAGCGCCATCGGCACAGTGGGGCTCAAGAGACCTCTGTTGGGGTCGCTGAAAGACCTCATCAATGGACCCAGTCTTCAAGAGAGGGCAGTCCACCCAGGCTCCACTGATATCAACTCAGGCTTTACGGATCCTCGCGGCCCTTCAACAGAAAGGCCTGCAAATGCGGATCCAAGTTCGGTATTGCATCATTCGATAGAGGTTGCAGATGTGGTTTCACAGACTAATTCAGTACTGTTCGCTGTTGACATTTCTTGTGAGCAGACAACTCCAACTTGCCTCGTTCCCAATATCAAGACCCCTTCGCCACCATGTAGGTGCCTGTTCCAGTCGAGTGAGGCACTGAGCAAGGACGACGGCAGTGGCGCCCGCTCACTTGAACAACTTTTGGAACCGATACTCAGGTCACACAGCAGCACCTCACTACCCGGAAGATCTCAGCCACGCACCCATACCCCCAGCCAGGGCCCGACAGGGCAGTTCGGCCCGGGTTTCGCTCCGCTGAATAAGCGTCAAAAGGGAAGTTCGGAAGGCACGCCCCAAGGCATCGGCGACCAGGCTGCCCTAGACCATGGTTTCGGCCCGGGACTGCGTGGCTGTGAATTCACCAAGGAGTCATTGATCACACTCAAGACCGATCCAACTCCCGATCAAAGCTTTGCCTGTCTACATACAATCAAGAGATCGGAGACCCCAATCCCCACACAAGCCGTTCCAGATCAGTCACAGGAGTTGACCGAGGGCTCTTCGATTGATCCTAGCATCATAAGCGATCTCCAGGTCAGCGTGCCACAACAAATAGCAGCCCTGCGGAGCGCACAAGTTCACTGATTTATGGACGTTTCATCATAGGATATATATATAATGGAAGAAGAAGAAGCACTAATGCAGGAGGTATGGTCAACTATATGAGCCCAGGCAATCATCAGGCGGTGTTTGGAATCCGATTGTGGGTTGAAGGTAGTTGGTTTCGGAGCAAGCATCACCCATGGGTGAACCAGTTTCAAATTGCAATTCGGTTGATACTCAACCACAGGCGATACGATTGTCGTTGCTGGATGCATATCCATCACCACAAACCGATCAAGTCCCGATTCTGGCCGTCCCAAATGCAGCGCTCTCTGTTTCGACCCACGGCCTCGAGGCCTCGGTTGGGGGCTCGTTCGATTTTACTGAAGACACAGGCGCTGATTTCGAATGGGTGGACGAATCACAAATTGATAAGAAAAAGTCTGTGGCGGACACATACGATGAGGATCTTGAACTTCAGCGTGCCATTGAAGAAAGCGCAAGAGAATATCGGAATATGATGAGCCGACGGACACCACTCGATGCAACGAGTCCATCACCTGATGACGAGTTTATCGCATCATGTACATCATGGTCATTTATAATGACTCGAGAGGAGATTGAGGAGATCGCCCAAAGTCCAACAAAGAAGGGAAAGGAGAAGGCATTTTAGGAAACTCGAGGCATGGCGCTCGGGAAGAATATAATTGGCCCCTTGAGCCATGTCAAATTGGCAAAGGCATACACAGACCAGCAAAGTTGTGAATAAATATGGGATATGAGCAGATATATGCTTGAGAGTGATGCCAAAGGGCCGCTTTGCAAAGGCATAGAAAAGAATTACCTGTGTCCGAGGATCCTCTGGTGGTGATCAAGCTGTTGAAGGTACCAGAAAGCCTCAGACATCAGCTTTTTCTTGAGAATATTCCCCACCCTGTTTCCGCGATATTTCTCGAATGCCGATGACGGTACCATTAGTGCCCAACATATCAGAGCCCAAAAAGGAATGAATGACCCACTGGCACCTTCGGAATGGTTAACATCGCAGGTTATGGTGGTGACAACTAAGCTGCAGTATGGCAAAGGCCTTGATGTCTGCCATCTTGAGACCGGTGCCGCCCCAACATTCAACCAGTTTGAATATCTCGATCCTGACGAGATTCACCACCTGTCCTGTTGAGAATACATGGGTGAATGCACTTGCAATTCAAAAAAGCACAGCTCCAAGGTGATGAAGGATAGCTTGATGAGCACGAGCAAGTGTTGAATGGATTGATGCCAATGATTATGACCGCCACATATAGATTGTCCCAGAACATGTCCGTATCTTAGGACCGGTATAGTACGAGAACTCACCACCTAGATATTTAGTGGTAGTCGCAGATGTGTTTATGGCGATGATGTAAAATGAGGAGCCGCTACTGATTTGACATATGATGAGACAAAGAGTTGCAGCTCGGTAACTCTGGCACAAAGAAAGCCGGCTTTGTAGGAATGACCCAACAGAAAGTGGGCAATCTGCCCGATTGTAATGGTGCCAAGTTCATGGAGGTTGTCCACTTGTCGTATCAAGACGGACAATGGGCCATAAATCTCAGGCACTGTGTTGGATTTGAGTATGGCATCCTTGGGACACGATGCAGAAACTGGGCGATGGCGGAGCAGCGGAAATATTGAGCAAAGTCATGGTGAACATGGAAGAATGCCTGAAATGCCTCTGCTGATTGATGCGAAGAGAATACGTCCTTGCAGGAGATTCATAGAGAAACGGAGCAGTTCCTTTCTGGCTTCAGAGGCCAGCAGCCTGCCGAACTTCCGTAGGCCCCAGTGAGCAGGCCGTGAGATAGTTTCCCGTCTTGGTTGGCAATCGAATGTTTTTGGTTGGTTTGGGAAGCATGGTCTTGAATACACCCGGCCGATCTCCTGTGGCGACGATCGACTGGCATACCGAGATCATGTTCCTTGAGGCATTGATGTCTCGATCCCACAGCGTATGGCAGCTTGCACAGCTCCGGACAAAGTGTGGTTTCTCGATATCAAGATGCTCGACCTTCTCAAGTCGCTTGAATTCCCGGCAGTGTGAGCACACCTGGGATGTGTTAAACTCGTTCACCGAGTGTTAGAACTTGCCCAAAGGTACAAGGGTTCAGGGATCGCGTGTTTGGGGTGCAGGTCATGATTGGGGTGTGGCGGGGCAGTTAGTCATGTTACCTATGCAAAGGATGGCCGACAACGTTCGGGACTTTTCTGCGCAGCTCGTTAGCTTAGTCAATTCATTTATTCCCTTCCTTGATCACGGCGTGGCTTGTCACCGATTGAGCTCGGAGATCAGATAGACTAGACGGCTGAGGTATAAATAGACGGGCTCAGGACGTGGGTAGAAAGCTCATCAAGTGAATTATCTTCTCACTACTCCAATATAAGATCATCACTCTTCTAGACCTTGTGTCAGGAATTGGCGAGGGCAGGGCAGGGGAATCAAGGGCAGGGACAGGGGAGCTAGGACGGGACGGGAACAGGGACAGACAAGGAGAGTGATAATCGTTTATTAGAAGTGATAATTCACTGGCGTTCATCAGGAGGGGAGCGGGGTGGTCTATTTAAGTCTATGCCTACTCCCCCCCCCGCTCGCCCTTCGGAGAATATATTTAGTCTCCGATCCTATGTTTCCCACGGTCATGAATCATGACCATGTGGCCATGCAGGGTGGATCATGAGTGACGTGTCGCGCGACTGTCAGTCACGTTCATAACATCATCTCCCCCTCAAACGTCTTTGTGTCCTGTGGGGGTATCTATCCTTAAAATCTCTGAGTGCCTGGCGACAGTGTGTCAAGTTACACTCAGGCTCCCAGGTATTGTCTATGTCTCCATACCCCTTCCACTTAATCAGGAACTTGAGTGTACGCCCGAAGTACTTTGCATCTAAAATCTCCTCAACCTCAAACTACTCCTCGCCGTCAATCTCAACCGGTGGAGGAGGGTCAGAATGTCGCCCATCAATGCGGTTGGGATGATAAACCTCAAACATGCTGACATGAAAGACCGGGTGAATACGAACGCTCTCCGGCAAGGTAAGCCTAAACGCCACGGGGTTAATCTGCTCCTCGATCTTGAACGGTCCCAGCTTGACAAAGTCTAGCTTGGAGGACGGTCGACGAGTTTGTATGTTCTTGCGGAGGAGCCACACTTTCTGTCCAACCTTGAATTGGTGGTCCAGTCGACGTCTGTTGGCAAACCGACTGGCTTCTCGTTGTGCTTCCGCCAGGGTTTCACTGAGGAACTTGCTGATAGCTTGAAGACGCTCCAGGTGTGAGGCCGCGGAAGGTGAGTCCACGGTGCTGATTACGGTTCGTTCCCAGTCGGCCCTGGGGTTGAACCCGTAATTTGCTTCGAATGGTGATAGCTTGCTGCTCGCATTGACGGCGTTGTTGTGAGCAAACTCCGCCATCGGCAAGAGTTGGCTCCAGTTGTCTTGTTGATAACTGACAAAGCATCTCAGGTATTGTTCCAGGGTTTGGTTCACCCTCTCGGTTTGGCCATCCGTTTCAGGATGAAATGCCGTCGAGAGTTTCAACTGGACACCGAGGGCTGTCGTGAGTGCCTTCCAGAATTGGGACCGAAATTGGGGCCCACGGTCCGAAATGATATCCTGTGGGAGTCCGTGCAATCGGAAAACGTGGTGTAGGAGATGGTATCTCCGACGCTGTGCTGCGCGTACTGCGCGTACTGCGCGGCGCAGTGGGTCGTGACCTGTGCTGCGCTTTGCGTTTTCACGCACCGCAGGCAGGCCACCGCAGGGTATACCTGCGGGTTGCCCCCGTTCCCCCCGTTTGTCTGGAGTTCGGTTTTATCGTGAATAAACGTAAGTGCTCCCCGAGCTCACCCGTCCGCTAGAGTAGCCTAGCACCGCCCTGTTCTGCCCCGTCCTGTCTTGTCTTGTACCCCCTCCCTCCCCGTCTTGCCCCAACGTCCCAGTAGTGGACGTTACATGGTAGCATCGGAAATCCTCGTCTTGTTTTCGTCCTGTTTGTCCTCTTTCTAGATCCTCAAGCTGGATCCCGCCTCTCTTGCCGACCGACTCTCCTCTCTGTCCCTGGAGCCTGCCCCTGCCATGAGCAACCCCCGCCCACTTCCGGAAGCCTTCCTCAAGACCTTCCGTGCCCCAGTGTTTACTGGGAAGAGCCGCTCCTCCTCGGTGGAGGACTGGCTGCAGCAACTCGAGGACTACCTCGATGCTGCCCAAGTCGCCCCCACCCACCACATCGTCGCCGCCAAGCTCTGCTTAAAGGACCAGGCGTACCGTTGGTACCGCCGCCAAGGGTTCGACGAGCAGAGCGAAGGTGTGTTTGACGACTTCAAGGACCGCCTCCGTCGCCGCTTCGGCAGCCCCAATGCTGAACTCATTGCCCGTGACAAGCTATACTCTCTCGTGCAGCGTGGTTCTGTGACCCGCTACATCGAGGAGTTTGAAGACCTCTCCTCCCAGATTGAGGAGCTGGGCTCTGCTGATGCGATGTACCTCTTCCAGAAGGGCCTCAAGCCCAAGATCAGAGAGTACATCGCCAGCAACCCTGATGCCCGCAAGTCCCTGGACGTGATGATGGACGTTGCCGAGAACCTCGACAACGTCCAGTACCATGGCCGCCAGTTCTACCCGCAGCTGGCAGGCGGCCATCGGTCTCATCACGTCCCAGCCCGTCCGCCTCGCCCGGCCCCGCCCGCAAGACCCATGCCTGAGCCCATGGACGTTGACGTCAACGCCATGGAGGCTCGTGGCCCTCCCCGCTCCCGGTTCCAGCAAGCTGCCACTGTCTCCCCCAAGGACAGACAGAAGCAGGAGGACCTCCGCCATGGTTCCTGCTTCTTCTGTCACCGACCGGGACACCAGGCCAAGGAGTGCCCCATGAAGTCGGGAAACGGCCGACCCTACTAGGTGGCTCTGGAGCCCTAGTAGGAGACCAACGCCGTGGATTGCTCAATGCAGTCCACGCGTCTCCAGAGGAAGTTCACCTCGCCCCCTCCCCCGAAGGAGAAACAAACCAAGTGTTGTGCGTCGTGCGAGAGGTGCATGGTGGCGCAAGCCGCCTGCCTCTCCACGAACGTGAAGAGAAAACCAAAATTGAAAACCAAAACAAAAAAGAAAATCAAGAACCCTTGAGGGACAGGACCGCCTGTGCCCTCACCCCTGTCAAGTCGTGTGTGTCGGATGCTTCCGACATGTGTCCGCAAGCCGTGGACGTCGTGTGCAATGGCGTGCTGACGCCGCAGGCCCCCGCAATGGCCGAACCCTATCCAAAATGTCCGAGTGGCCGTGATGAAGCCAACCAAGACCAAGTGTCGCCCGTTCCCCCAAGTCAAGTCATGGTGCAGGAGGCTGTGCAGGAGGACCATGAAGAGTCCCTGCTGTACCTCCCTGCCACCGTCCAAGGTCACACCGTCCGAATGATGGTGGACTCTGGAGCAAGCTGCAACTTTGTCAGCAGACGCTTGCTCCAGGAGCTCAACATACATGCAACCAAGAAGAAGTCGCCGATGAGTGTGGCGCTTGCAGACGATCGTGTGCAGCAGTGCACACACCAAGTGGTCCTGCGAGTGGCCCTCCATCCCAAGTACCATCCTGTCCTGTTGTTCCAAGTGATCGACACCAAGTTCGATGCCATCCTCGGCATGAGCTGGCTTGCTCGTGCCGAGCCGACTCCAGTCGTCGACTGGAAAGGCCGCACTGTCCGTGTTGGCCCTGACATTGTCCTGCAGGGCATGGCCTCACCCAACATGCCACCT